ACAGCTCGTGAAGAACCGTGATTCTCTCCCTCCAATAGACGTACTTGAAGTCATCTAGCAATTGCTGAACGACTTGATAGTCCTGAAGGCGGGTACACGCGGGGTCGAATCCTGCATGCCGCCGAAACACAAGGCCATCAAGAATCTCGCATGATTTCTGATCTGTGGGTGGGAAGACTATTTCCTGCATAGAATGCAGCGTCTCGATCAGAAGTTGCGGAGGAAGTGTGCCACTATTCATGATTTCAGTCGCTGTAGGTTCTTTATCGGGGGCAAAAGGTTTCAACCTACTCGGCCAAGCTTTCCGTCAAACTGCGCCGCAACGGGTCCACGCAGTTGCGTTGCTTTTTCAAATGTGCTTTGATGAACTCGACATGATGGAAAAGGTACAGACAGTTCTCCTTGGGGTCATAGAGCAAATGTTCCGCAATATTGTGCGTTCCAACGAACACGATCCCTAGTCTCGACTTCAACTTCCATGCCTTCATAGAGGTTTTGTTCTCGGTTGAGATCTCAATTCTTGCTCCTGGTGGTGTATGCAATGATACAGGGAACGATCTTTCAACAAAATTCGAAAACGCCTCTCCTGGTAGCCAGGATGCTGGTCGATAGGTTCCGATTGCATAGTCCGGAGAATGCCAGCTGTTTGGCGAGCAATCCAACATAACCATTGCCTGAACAGCAAGGTCCACAATATTGTTAATCTCTCGTGAAGTTCCTGGTTGGTTGAGACTGTCTTGTAGACGTGAGGCAACTTGGGTTTTCGTCGCGCTAGCGTCATTTTTGAGTATGTCCACAACTTGGAGAACATGCGAATGGCCCAAATCTTCTTGTTTGAGGTGTTTGTTGAAGTCGAAGGTGAACCCACTGCTTGTGCTGGAAAGTTCATCGTAAATCTTGAAGAACGCGTTGAAACTTCCCTCTTCGCCAAACAGATGACGCGAAATGTTTTTTCTTTCCTCATTGTCGGTGTGTCTCATAATGATAATGTTCAGAAGGTTGAAGATGAGCAAGAGGTTGATGTAAGTACAAGAGTTCACTCCAGGAGAATAACGCCTTTCTATCCCATGAGCTTGGCACTAAGCCCCTTCATACAGCAGGGGATAATGCATGTCAGATTGACAAGTATGCCTTGGGCTCCGAAGGGGTGTGCAAGTATGCCTTGGGTACCAATTGCATGCTAAGCGTCAATGATCTGCGCCGATTGGACGGCTTTCTGGCTGAATTAACCCCTCTTTTGGCCCTCTCTTTAGGTATTCTTATTGTCGTCATCAAGTGAGAACATCCTACGCTGCGCAAGACCATCCCTGGCCTTTGTGTCGCTCCCATAGCTCTGTTTCCCGGAGCAAATTGCTGCCATGGAAAAACATTCAGATGGAAGAGCGAACGCAGAGACGGATACAATAGGGTCTCTATCAGATCCTGGGTGGACTCGGGGCTTCTTTTCTTCTAATCCGCACGTAAGTATGGTACGCCCACGCCGAAGATTCAGCTCAGATTCTCTTGCTAATCATTTCTTAGTCGCCGCAGCCCGAGATCGCAGACAAGTTCCAAGAGCTTAAGGCAGTCAGAGCACGCAATGCGACGAAATTCGAAAGAAGGGGGACGAAAGGACGATCATTCAGCGGGATGACAGATCCATGTGCAAGGCCCGAATGGTCATCAGGCGCTTTCCCGATGACGACCGAGAACAATGCCACGGCCCAATATTTCGATGACGATGCTGCCAACGCTACGATGGAACGCAATCTCTCAGGAGCCAGTGATCCAGAACGGCAGTCAAGCTCCGAAGTGCCTGCTTCCAAATCACCCGCCGAGGACAGTAACATTCCGCTACAACCAACACCAAAACCTCTCAAATGCGGCCAAGACAGCTTGCCGCTCCCCGGTAGCAGGAAAAAGAGAATCTGGCTGTATTTGGACGACGAGATTAGTATGCGACTCAGTTTCAAAAAGCACGACATAAACCCTTCTTTCCTCATATACCAATTGAAGAAGGCAGTTGATCAGGGTTATCCCACATCACCACTAAAAGCCCGACAGGTGAACTATGCTTTTAAGATGGTTGGAACTTCTGCGGATCAGGCTTCACTCGCACTACTAGTCTCGTGTCTCAAGACTGAGCTCAGCACGCTGAGAAACTCGATTTTTACCGACCACTTTCTCAGACGTGTCGGCGTCCATAAACCAACTGGATTACGACAACATCTGGGAATCGCTTCGAAGCCGTCAACAATTCCACTGTACTTTTGTCCTTCTGATGATGATCCTACTCAGAGGAAAGCAGGGGAAGAGTCTGATATCGCGGCTTCATCGCCGTCTAATATCCTCACAATGTGCGGTGCCTTGGTCGAATACAGAGGAAGGCGCGCAACAGTTGGTTTGACGCTTGAAATACATGGCGTAGACTACCTTCTGACTGTTGCGCATCTGTTTGACGATTTAACAGTCGACAAAATCTCAGCTGAATTCGAGCATCTGGGATTTTCGTCTTCTTCGGACTCTGAAGGAGTTCAGGATATCAATGAAGAAGATGCAGAATGGTTCAACGATAGCGGAGACGAAGATAGCGATGCAAGCACTGACGAGGCTGATTCAAGCGTGTTGGATGCTTCAGTCGTCAGGCAGTCAACTACCCAGGAAATTCGTGGAGAGCTCATAACAATTCTGGTCGGAGAAGCTGAAAGCGAGAGCCAGACCGAGAAGCAATCTTCACTCAGACCTCGGGGAAAGAGGCTTGAAAGTCCCATCTCGCTAATTTCATCGAAGCCTTACCTGGACTGGAGCCTCATCAGCTTGGACGACAGAGATTTTCACGCATCGAGGCGTGAGAATTTGATCGTCTTGGGCACACAGAAGGGCAACTCTAGTTACCTACTAGCTTCCGACACGACTGGGGCTCCTAGACTTCATGTTACACCCGTCTACATTGTATCCGGAATCCGTGGAGTACTGACCGCGACATTGTTCAGATCTACAACTTATCTTGGATCAAATCCTGATCAGGAGCTTTGCCAGGTTTGGACAGCTGTTCTCGACGGCGATCAAGGTACCATAAACCGTTGGATCGGTTTGTGCTTTATACAGTGAGCTTCGCTGACAGCATGCAGAAATTATCGCCGGAGAATGTGGATCTGTCGTCGTTGACAAGAACACTTTCAAAGCCTACGGTCACGTAGTTGCTTCCAACATCTTCGGGCATGCATACGTAGTCCCCCTGGAGAATACGATCAGTCAGATCAAAGCGAGGTTGAACGTTGACGTTGTCAGCCTACCTCTTAACTCCGGGAGGTTGCTCAGCAGTCGGGGCTCAGATGCAGAAAATCCTCCCTCGCCCAGGTCTCGCGTAACGTTTGAAACCATGCCACCCAGTCGCCCATCATCATCGGAGTTTATCAAGAATTACGATGAGAATGTCGATACTCCCAGTGAGTGCATCTATCCGACTGTACTGGATTTTCGAGACACGAACAATACGCCTAACAAGAGCAATGAAGGCATGCCAAAACAAGGGAACAATAAAAAGTCATCAGCTAGCAGCGACAGGTTCAAGTTAAACCGAGACAAGCAAATTCAAGACAGGAGAGGATTCAGGTCACATCCATCATCGTCCCGCGACACCCATCTTCCCCAAAGAAAGCACGGCGGTGATGGTTCGGTCCGAAATTTACACGAGGAACAGCAGACACCGCCGGGTCAGCTACTTGGAGGACTGGTATCCACCGTAGCACAAGGAGTCTATGACTGGGTGTCCCTAGAGGCTGCACAAGGACAGCATGGGTAAAAGTTCCAACCTCGGAACGTTCAAGGATGATTTACTCACAATGTTCAGTTCATCCATTGACGACCCCATCAGAGATGCTGCACAAGTGCAGGCTCGTCGCGAGCGACAGGCGTATGCCCGAAACCATCCCGGGGTATCGTATTCACGACAGCCAAGCCGTCGCGATGCCATCTCAAGACAAATGATCGAGGTCGACAGACTAACGAGGAACACGAACTCGCATGCAAATCAATATGATACAAATCTCGACTTTGACGGCTCAGATGCTACCGGCAGTGATGCATATGCCAACTTCAATGACCGGTACTACACGTACCAAGACCCACGCGGGTCCAAGTAATCAACAGGTGGGTATCTATAAGCGGCAGGTAAATGGTCTAAGAGGATTCATAAAAAGTAGGTGCTTCTGTGCAGAGTCGCTTACGAATTGTTCCAAATTACCAAGTTACCCAGCAACATCTAGCACAGCTAAGCATCCTCTTATGCAGACTCTGATAGTTTTGTCTCTTCGCTTGCATTTGAATGCGGTGGAATGAAAAGAGGAAAATATCATCTTAAGACGTTGCAGATAATAATAATTTACGTGAAATGCCTCAGCCGCTACGTATGGAAAGGCGATAGAAGATTGGAATGACGTACAATTACTTATCTTGGGATATTTTTGTCTGGAGTCGGAGTCTTCCTGGCTTGTAGTCTATTCATACTGGAGACTCTCATTGGCATAGAGCATAATGGAACCCTGCTCGTCCGAGAAGTTTCCGAACATTTCAATCCGTTGAGATGAGGTGATTGATCTTTTGTGTAGTTGTGTTCTTCCTGTGTTGAAGAAAGATTCGCAACTAATGGTTGATGATTAATACGAGACTTCTGACCTGTGACCTTCAAGGGACGATATGATGAAGGCGCTCTTAAAACAAGTATTTCGTTCCAGTAAGACTGGACTATAAGTAACTCCCCTGCTCGGTTTGCTTCCACATGAAAACGATTTCTTCCGCTCTTCGCTACGACCTTTTGAGTGTGATTGGGAAGCAAGGCTTATCCAGGAGTCAGTACGAAATAGGTCGAGAAAATATCTCAAGCGTGGCCTTGCTTGAGCATGAATCTCTCTGGCAGCAAACGGCGAACGTAACAAAAGGTCATTTGGAAAACTCGACTATTCTTTATATTGATCCGCTGTACATAAAGTCAATATTTAATACGCTTTGAACTGGGTTGTCTAATGGCTCTCCGACTTTCTAAGCGGAGCAGTAATCGAGAACGACACTATACTATACTCCTTCCTCTCGGCATCCCTCTCAGCCTCCTTCCGCTCCGCAATCTTCTTCTCCTCCGCCGCCTTCTCATCCTCCGTCTTCTGCTTGTCCTCCTCCTCCTTACGCTTCGCCTCTCCGTCCTTGCCATCATCCTTCTTGACCTCCTTGATGACGTTGCCGTTGCCATCAAGCTCGACCACAACATCCTTCGTATCCAAGCTGCCGTCCTCGGTGTACTCCCACATCTCCCTTAGCTCGCCGCGAACCAGACCTGTCAGCCAAAGGGACCCGAGGACGCCGGGGACGAGGTAGAGCAGCGCGGGCTGGCCGTGCTTGAAGATGGTCAGCATGGCCAGCGTGACGAGCATGCCGACGGTGTATCCGATCAGCGAGGCGTTGAAGTAGGTCTTGCTGAACGTCGATCCGCGGACGGTCGGTGCAGTGGCTTCGTCACCCTTGAAGAGGCCGGACCAGGAGGACGACCAGAACCAGTCGCCCCAACAGCCGGCGATGTCGACCCAAGTGGGCTTCTGCGCCATGTGCTGCGTCTCGCTGACGGTGACGACGTCTCCGGAGTTGGCGTCGTGTTTGTCCGACTTCAGGTCCGTCGGGACGTACTTGATCTGGCGCTTGTAGTGGAGCCACATGTCGAAGCGGAGGGCGAGACACATGACGATGCCCGGGACCACAATGTCTCCGAGACCGAGAATGCTGGATCTAGCAGCAGACTGGAACTGGAGCTTGATGGGGACGTCGAGCTTGGTGGCGACGGTGATCATGTAAGGCCTGGTTATGATTAGCCGGTTGCCCATGTCTGGAAAGGGGGTTTACATACGTGTAGAAGACCATGACAATGTCGTAGAAGAAAAGACCCATCAGTACCAAGCTTCCAGTCGCGAACGTCGTCGGCGACATGATCAAGAACGAGCCGTAGCAGAAGCCATAGCCCATGATGTTGGAAAGAAGAGGCGATCCAGTCATGTAATACGCCGAAACCGTCGCAAAAGCCAGGAAGAAGCCGAGGATGTGGTTCACGGAGAGGTGGAACTTCTCCCGGAACACGGCGTGGACCTTGGCTCTAACGGTCCAGTCGTCCGTCAAGAGGTGGCGGACATCCCACAGGAAGCGATTCACCCTGGCCGAGTTTACAGCCGCGATCCTCCGCAGGCCCGAAGGAAGGGGACTCCGGCTCAGCGAAGCCTCCGCCGCATCGTCCTCCTCCTCGTTGACCCTGACCAACGCCTCCCGATCATCGTCAACCCGGCACAAAACACCCCCCTCCCGCACCCAACCCGGAAACACGAATCCAGCGCCGACCCTCAACGAGTGCGCCATCAGCGTCGTCAAACTCGCGACGCCCATGACGGACATGTACACCCGCAAGATCTTGTTCAGAATAGCGGGGTCCTGAAGCCATTGGATGAGGTAGTAGAGGCCGATCAGCATGGTGCCGGCGAGCAGCGGGAACACGATGGCGTCGGAGGGCATCAGGCCCTCGGTGACGGGCTCGTCCTCTTTCCGGTCGCCCTTCTCGCCCTTCTTACGTTTCGGGGGCGCCGCGGAGGGGGGCCGGCGCAGGGAGCCGTGGGCGCCGATGTAGATGATGGCCAGGGCGCTTAGGATCAGCTTGCCCTCCATTGTGAGGAAGCTTGCGATGTGGAAGAGGGTCCATTGCGGCGAGAGCGCGTCTGCTGTGGCGTTGCCGGCGGCTGTGAGGTTGGTGAAGTTGGTGAGGTTCTGGGAGATTTCGTCAAAGGGCGGGGTTACCGCACTTGGGACGGGTGATGATGATGCCATGATGAACTACCCGCTGGGTAACGGATGAGGCGTGAGAGACGAATGTTGATGATGTCGGCCAAGATATCATCGACGAGCCGGAGCTTATATATACACCTACACTGGACGTGTGGTCCGAGTTGATTGGGACTTGAGCCCGAAAGTAATCAGCCACAGACGACAGCCAGGAATCTCTGATATGACGATTGATATCAAATGTTACGACCGCTGTTGCAAGCCTGTTTCCAAAGCTGAATCGACCAAAGCTTTGTAGATGTCGTGTTTGGAGGACGTGATAACTGAGAAGCCACCTTGCAGCTACCATGTGTGTGGTTGTGGTTGCCTCTGAACAGCGTGTTACCAACAAAGAGCTCGAAGTTTCCCAGACGGATATGCTTCAGCCACAAAACAAAACAAAACACTTCCAGGCCCAGAAGACAAAAGCAACCAGGAAATGCAAGATCCGAGCGGAAATCAAGGACGAGCGCAAGTCTTGACTTTTAGTCTCGCATCCAAGAAGTCCAGGCCAGCAGTGATGATGCAGGCAGGATCTGGCGGGCTACAGCGGGACACAGCACGAAAACGTGCCACGGCAGGGCTGCTCCACAGCGGTCCCGATCCCGCTAAGCCAGTGTCCCTCTCGGCCAATGAGAAGGCCTGCGCACCTGCGTCTTCCCAATTCAGTGGCTCAAGCTCCCCGCCATCTCATTCTGTCACCGCCGTCGCAAGCCGTGATTCCATCGCAGCCTCGTCCGAAATAATTTCCAGCGACAACTCCAGTCCACACTCTCTTCCGCCGCGAACCCTGCGAAACCGCCCAAGATGACGACCAACGTCTCTCTCGAGACCTCACTGGTACCTCCCCTTCAACATCTTTCCCAGCAAACCAGAACAAACAAAAAATACTAACCAATCCCCCTCAAACAGGGCACGATAGTCCTAGAACTCTACACCTCCCACGCCCCCAAGACCTGCACCAACTTCGCCACCCTCGCGAGGCGCGGCTACTACAACTCCACCGTCATCCACCGCATCATCCCCAACTTCATGGTCCAGGCCGGCGACCCCACCGGCACCGGCCGCGGCGGCACCTCCATCTACGGCGACAAGTTCGCCGACGAGATCCACCCGGGCCTCAAGCACACCGGCGCCGGCGTCCTCTCCATGGCCAACGCCGGCCCGGATACCAACGGCTCCCAGTTCTTCATCACCCTCGCCCCCACCCCCTGGCTCGACGGGAAGCACACCATCTTCGGCCGCGTCAAGAGCGGCCTGGGCGTCGTCAAGAGGATGGGCCTGGTCAAGACGGGGCCCGAGGACCGGCCGCTGCAGGAGGTCAAGATCGTGAGGGCCACTGTTGTTGAGGAGGGGGAGGAGGAGCAATAAAGTAGCAGAGAGACCAGGGCGCGTTTACGCGTTGGGGTCGTACTCGAGAAGGGAGTTGGATGTGTACGGCGGTGGGGCGACTAATTTTTTGCATGGCATGGAGTCAGGCGTTGGGAGATGATGAACAATTGGCATGTCTAGCCGAAGAGCAATCATCAAGTCAGCAATTTTGGTGATCTTGTAGCCGTTGACGAGAGGTATTATGCCGCTCACATGTGGCTGCAGGGTTAATTTCAATTTTCAGTTAAAAGGCATCTAGGCCTGATCAAGAGACTGCATGAATACAAGCAGCCTCTATGATGTATGCCATTAGGAAATCATCACATGCGACATCAGGCCTGTAGATACCAGGAACACAAAAAGGTCAAGGGGGAATCAATGTCATTGAGTCAATGCCTATAAAAGCAACCGCATTCTCTCTAACGCCGCCATCCGCTCCGCCAGGTGATGCAGAAGAATTGTATGTGATAAGCCACCCCCACTCCTAAGAAGCCCTTACCGACTCCCGGTTGTATGCAATGTTGTTCTTGAGTGTGAAGGTGTGTGTTAAGAGCATGTGTCGTGCTGCGGTGCGGAACTGTTCTGGATACAATGTGATAAAGTCTTGGTCTAGGATCCGGCTCGTTGGCCAATCCGCCGACCTCTGTGTTCCGATGTTTTCAAGAGCCCCGACAGGGCAATGCCGTATCCTGATGCTTGGTTAAAACCAGGTCGGGGATACCGAAGAATAATAGTGATGGACAAAAATGTCAAAAGCTAGTTGCGAGCAGCGTCTCATTGGACAGATCAATGCTCTTCTCTGGGGGCTTCTATCGCCTCCGTGTTTTGGTATTGGTAATCTTGCCTTTGCGAGTGTTGTCTTTGGCAGGTGGACACTGAGAGGCATCGATCACAGGCTTTGCCTCGTTGTTCGTGATTTCTCGTCTCGGCGCAGGTTGTGGTTCGGGGTCCGAATCAGTCTCTTGGTTCGAATCCGCAGCGTGATCTGAGCTGGAGACGGTCGTGTTCGACGCGTTGCCACTTGGTTGACCGCCAGGCTTCTAGTTTGGCGGCGATGACAATGTGCCAGAAGATTCAGATTCGGCATCTTCGGTTCTACCGTTGCCGTTCTTGGATAATGGCGATGCGAGAGGCGGTCTTGCACCGAGCTTCAGCTTCTTAGCCGGACTGATGCCTTTGCCCTCTTTCGGCTCCTTCTTCTCCTTCTTCGGAGCAACCTCGACAGTAGAGTTATCGTCCTCGTCATCGACCTTTGACTCGTGGCTAAGGAGCGAGTTCGTCTTGACTTTGTCCTTTTTGGGGCCCTTCGTCTTAAGGATGACCTTCTTCGTCATGACGGACGGTTTCAGCTTCTTTTTCTTGTGACTGTTCTCCGACTCTTCTTCCTCCTCGGGCGCCGCCACTTCTTCGCTGTCGCGTTTCTTTGGGCTCGAGGCTCGGGATCCGGGTGCCGGGGTCGCCTTCTGGCTCGAGGGAGGCGTTCCGTCGTTCTGACTGGCGCCGTTGCTGCCGTTGGAGATCTTGGCCGCCGCGGCGCGGCTAGCGTTGCGGCCACTGTTACCGATACACGAGCCCATGTGGTTGTTGAGTCTGGTGACGAGAATGCATCGCTTGCACTTGCTGCAGGTGGCGGAGGGAAATGACAGGACGTTCGCCGGTCGCGCTTCGCCCGGAGCAGGAGACTCGATGTTCGGATCGGGCTTCATGTCCTTCTTCTTCTTGCCTCGTCCGGGACCGGGCTGGACCCAGGTCTGACCATAAATGTCGTAGCCCGGCTTGTCGATGTAAGGGTGTTTCTTGCAGTAGATGACGCTCGGGTCGGGCTTCTTGGCGCCCTTTCCATCGGTCGGATGAAGCAGTCGAGGGAGGTGGCATTTCGGGCACAGAATGTCCTTTGTGGTCTTCAAGGGATTGCCCTTGAGCAACACCTTGCCGTCTTCGTATATCGCGGCATCGGTTTCGATCCGTACGTCGGGTTTTGAGTCGGGTGTCGAGCTATCTGATGCATCGGAAGCCAGCTTCTCGACACGGATCGCGGCCGTCGTGGCCCTTGCCATCTTCTCATCGCGGTGCACCTTGAGCAGGAGGTCGTGGACGACGTTGTACATTATGTCGTCGAGAACGGCGTGAGCCTTACAACAAACAAGTCAGCATCACGTCATGTCAGCCGCAAGTTTCATCGCCTGCGTGGGCCGACTGCGGTCGAGATGGTCGGGCTGCTCAGTCGACAAGCAACATCAGGGCGGGACTTACAAGAGTATCCATGCTGCCAGCGTCGTCGGGAGCGACGATGGCTCCAGCCTTGCCCGTGTTTGAAGCCATCTCTCTGAGGCCGAGGGAACGGCGCACAAAGGATGAGGGGAGGAAATGGGCGTGATGATGGCAGCCTCCGAAGGCGAAGCTTTGTGGTCGTGTGCAAGTTTGTGGAATCTGAATCGGGTCGACGGGTAACTAAAATAAGGTGCCACACGGGCGGACGAGGGGGGGCGGCGGCAGGTGAGATGAGGTCAAGCTGAAAAGTTGGCGGTCATAAAAAAAAAAAAAAGTTTCGGAACCTTGTTGCTTGCTGAAGTAATAAAAGTGCAACTCAACGACAGACAGGAGCAGTGCTGTACAGAGTAAGGTATCGGCGACCAGCGACGGACAAGCACGAGCCTCGTGTCGATGAGCTAAGGCGACGGGATTTTCTTGTCATCTGGTAAAGCCGCGCTAAGGAACCCTTTACCGAAACTGGTAGGGATTTGTAAGTGAGTTGTTGCCGGCCGGTTTGGAGAAAGGGTGATGTGACGGGAGGGATGAAAAAAGCGACGGAAATACGTGTATGTAAGATGGGGAAACTGGGAAGGAGAGGAAATGGGCAGTTTTTCCGGACCAGCAATTGCCCATGAGGTGAGGTGCCAAGGCGAAGAAAGAACTAAAAAAGAAGAAGGCAGGAAAGCACGAACGGGGAAGAGCCCGAACGCGACTGACTTCCCAGAATGTCCAACGTCGATCTTAGCGGGCCAGTTGCAATTGCGAGAGCTCGAACCCCTTGCCTTTCCTTTCCTTCCTGTCGGTCTTTGACGGGTGGTGTTAGGGGTTCTTTTTTATGGATTGGCGATGTATTAGCGGATCAATCAGCAACTTACACCACTTTACTTCAACTGCAACTTCCCGCTTCTGGGTGAGTTGGCTGCATAAGTCATAAGATGGCCATTTCACCCTCGCAGAGTTGCATCAACTTCAGTCCTTCAAAGTGGCTGCAGATAGAATGCCCAGAGTCTTATGTTGGTAAGGTAAGGTAGGCCGGATACAGGTCCATCAGCGCATGCATGTGCCTGAGTTAGCTCCCTTCTTGAGGACCCCATCCTCACGATAACACCCCGGGCGGGAGAAACCCATATCAACCAGGGAAGCTCTTGACCGCCTAGAAGGAAGCACGTAATTGCCATTACCTCCGACTGTTGATTTGCATAAGGTATCTGCGTATCATGCTGAAGAGCCTCATGACCAGAGTCTGAGCTGACTAGTAGTAGTGGACACCTGGTGCTTTCTTTCATCATCGGGTAAGGCAAGGGAACCAACCCCCTGTGTTCGCGACTTCTACAAGCTCTGGCTAGGCCCATCCATGTCGTGGTCAGGTCCCGGCCAGGTCTCCCGAACTCGCAGGCTTGGATTGAAGAAGGCGCGACCCAGTGGGGCCGGCCGTTCTTTCCCTCCTGCCGCCGGAGCCTCCTGCCTCTCAGACCGACTATTATCTTTATTTTATCCTTATTTCATTCGGCCAGAAATACGCATTTGCTGTCGCAAGGGGAGGATCGGCGCAGCCAACCAGGAGCAGCCGAGTCACGACTAATTACTTCCAGGCCTGGTCCGCGCGCTCCCGCCAAAACCTGCCCCCCCTTCCCGACGAAAGCATTCAGAGAGAGACATACGAAACTTGGCTTTTCTGCTACCGTTTTCTTCCCTCCCACTCCATTACACCTCTCCTTCGCCGGATACGTCCAACCCACCGCCGCACGCGTGTAAATCAACTGCGCGTCTGGATTCGCGTTGACGTCAATTACAACAAAGCCACTAATTAATCCCCAACATTCTTTGCCCTTCCCGCCCTCGACGTAGGGGACCCTGAATACTTTCGCAGTTCGTCATCGACACCCTGCAAAGTGGTCCAGACACAGAAATCGGCCGTCCGCCATGTCTCTCCCTCAAACCACGACGATGAAGCAGCCGACCCAATCCTCCATAAAATCCTTCTTCCAACCCCGACAACAACCCTCATACGCACCACCTCCCGCATCATCCAAGTTCACCCCAGCGCCGGGTTCTACAACACCATCACCGCCAACAGCACCAACAGCTGCTGCTGCCCCTCCCCCCGCCTTCGAACCCCCCACCACGACATCGACATCCTCACAACCACCTTCCGCCGCCTCCTCCTCACCCCTCCACCCAAACGCCTCGATCCGCCCCGTAGGAGAACAAGACGTCCAACCCCTCCGTCGCATAAACTCCCTCCTCCTCCCCGTCGCCTTCCCGGAAGCCTTCTACGCGGCCGCCCTCGCCGGGCCCCTAAGCCGCGTCATAACCTGGTCCGACAACACCACCACCCAAGTAATAGGCGGCGTCGTCTCCCGCATCGAGCCCTCGCCCTTCCCCCCGAACCCGACCTCCACCGCGCCGGAACACGCCCTCTACATCCAGACCCTCGCCCTCCTCTCGCCCTACCGCTCCCACGGCCTCGCCGCCGCCGCCATCGACAACCTCATCGCCGCCGCCTCCTCCGTCCCGGGCGTCAACCTCCGCCACGTCTACGCGCACGTCTGGACAGATAACGAAGAGGGTATCCGGTGGTACACGGCCCGCGGTTTCGAAAAGTACGGCGACGAGCTCAAGGGGTACTACATCAAGCTCCGCCCCGACTCGGCCTTCATCGTCCGCCGCGCAATCGGCCCCCTGTCACTCTCCTCCGGTCACCAGTCTTCTTCGTCCGGCATGACCACCCCGCCGATCCCGGGCCCGACGGCCGCCGTCGCGAACCTGCCCCCGATGAATACCAGCGCCGGCGCGAACGGAACAAACGCGCTCTCCCGAACACCCTCGGGACAGTCGTTCCAGAACCGCAGGGCCGATACGGAGTGGAACGATCTACCGGCCGACATGGCACCGCCCATGCTCGCGCCGCCGCGGAGCAACGGCGGATCCGGGGCCAGCTCGCGGAGCAGCTCGACGGTGAGGAAGAAGAAGGATCGCTCGTACCCGGCAGCTGCTTTCCAGGGCTGAGCCATTGACAGCGGCACATCATATCAGATGGTAGAAAAGTTGGAGGAGGATAAATGGAGTTTTAGAGTCGGCGTTTTCAAAATCAGGATCACATACCAGCATTGTGTTTGCAAGTCACCATAGACCACAGACGGGGTAGAAAAGGGAGAGACCAAAAAATGCCAGAAGAGTCCCATGGGACCATCAAATAGATGCTACTTCTTTGAGAGCAAAAAAAAAAAGAGAAGCCTTTGAAGGCCATTCATTGATAAAGAAAAGGAAAACAAAAGTGATGTTTGCTCATCCCAACTCCATCCGTCCCAGAATTTCTCAAATGGAGAAATTCAATTGAAAAGCAATGATGATAGGGAATAAAGAAAAGAAAGCATGCTGAATGGTATGCTGATGAACCATGATGGTGTCCCTTTTTTTTTCCCTTCCCACTCCCCGTCACACCCAAATTCCAGAATGCCTGCCACCCACCATTCCACTCATTCAACCCAGCGTTAGTACGTTCATGGCATCAAGGCCATGATCTGCTTATTGACGATTATAACGAGACCACCAGACGGCGGCAATGGCTGCGACACCCACAATGCCACCAATGATCAGTGCCTTGTTGGAGACCGCAGGTTCTTCGCCTGTTTAAGTATAAGTAAAGGTGTTTAAACGGGGGAGACTGTAGTGGCGATGCGATCGGTTATCGATCCAGTAGGGCACTCACGTGGTGTCGGGATGGAGTCAAGTTCGCGCTGAACGTTCTTTCTGAACTCCGTCAGGACATCAGATTCCTTCTCCATGCCAGCTGCCACAAGGGCAATCAGCGCGGCACCAACACCGCTTCCATCCTTGGCGATGCCAATGCGGATCTTGTTGGCACCCTCAGCACCAATGCCATCAATGGCGCGCAGGGCCTCGTAGATCATGTCCCTGAAGAAGGGGTAGTGCTCCACCAAGCTACCATCTACACCAATGTCAATGACCTCCTCGAGGGGGTCGTCAAGCTTTCCGGACTGGAGGACGATGGAGGCAATGGCCACAGCGGAGAGACGGGCGGCGCGGCGGCCGACGGCGCCGGAAATAGCCTTGAAGGCCTGGGCGTCCTCGAGCGACGGGGTGTAGACCAGCAGGGAGGACTCGAGCTCCTGGCGGAGGGTGGAGAGCTCGGGGGTGTTGTCGGCGGCGGCCACGGACATGATGGCGCTGTCCAGGCCCCATTGCTTGAACATGCCCGAATCACGGCTGATGTCAGTGGTGGACTTCCAGTCATTGGAGCTGGAGTTGACGTCCTTGAAGAGGGACGACTTCTCGTCCTTGAGCATGTCGAGGACGGTCAATCTGACGATCTCGCCGAGGAACATGCCGGAGACGCGCTTCTCGAACATTTGGATGCCGGGATTGACACTGTCCTTATCCAGTGCGACGTCTGCGTCAGTCTTGGGCAGGATGTTGAGCTGGTTGTCGAAAGAGCCCCACTCGACGTTCACGACCATTTCGCCGGTGGCAGCCTCGTAGTCGCCGACGATGGGCTTCTTGATGTTGGAGAGCTTCTCGAGGTAGGCGCCGTTGGTGCCGGTGCCGAAAATGGCGCCGAGGATGGATCCCGACTTGCCGGTGGACGTGTAGGATCTGGCCATGAGGGTTCCGACAGTGTCGTTGACGAGGGCGGCAACCTTGACGGGAAGGTGCAGCTTGTCGATCTCGGTCTGCAGCAGGGCGCAGACGTCCTTGCCGACGGCATCGGGAATGTCGAAACCCTTGGTCCAGCGGATCAGGTTGCCCTTGTTGATGCCAAGTTGCTGGACGGGGAAGCTGAAGGTGAAGCCGAGGCGGAAGACGTGCTCGTCGCGGAAACCCTCGGGGGCGCTGTAGGTCGCGCGGCGGCGGATGTGCTGCTCGAAGTGGTCGGCGTGGTGTTCGCGCAGGAAGAGCTCGATCTGCTTGGCAAGGAAGCTGAAGAGCTGCTCGGCCGTGTCGGCAGTCATCAGGTTTTTGGGGATCGCGACCTTGCTGTATGTGAGGTTGAAGGTAGTGTCGCCGTTGAGCTGGACGGAGCACACGCGGAAGTTGGTTCCGCCGAGATCGACGGCGAGATAGAGACCCTGGGGCCCGAGTCAGCATTGGCATTGGAGGTGTTTGGAGCTGTCGCTTTTTCTGCGTGATTACCTTCTCAGTGCCATTGGGCACGCCCGTGACGTAGGTAGGGATCTGGCTCAAGCTCGTGCCATCCTTCTCGAGTCCCTCGTCTGCAGCAGGCGCCAAAGTCAATTACAATGTCAAAAAATAAATCTGGCGCGGAATTTCGCGCGCAACCACCCGCCGAGAGCTAGACAAGGCGAATTGTCTGGCGCACAGAGCTGAGCACCCGTAAGGTGCAGCTCCGTCTCGCGGGAAGCAGTTGCACGCGCGAGGAGGGGTAAAGGACTTACGCATCTGGTTGAGGAACTCCTTGACGGCGCTGTTGAGGTAGGCATCGGTGACCTCGAACTGGTCGACGACGCGTTTCGTGTCCGCCTCGAGAGCCATTGTGAGAGGTTTCGAAAAGGGTGGTGTTGTTGGGAAGGGCGCGGGATTCTCGCAGACGGGCTCCTGGAATATTTGGGCCGAGGGCGAGTAGAAGGGAGGAGATGGTTGGAAGAAGTGGTGGGATTTGAAAGAAAAAGAGGAACGGAGCTGTAGCTGGAGATGTGGTGGTAGGAGGAGCTTTGAGTTGCCGAGGAGAAGCTGCGCGACCTGTGTGATAAGAGAGGAAGGCACCGGGTTAGTCTACGAGCTTGAAGGCTACCGAACGATTCTCGACATGGAGAGTGGTGAGGTGTAGCTTGGTAACAGGAGGGGTAAGAAGAAAAGATGCGTCAGGATAGATTGACTACAAGCTGACGTCGGAGATGAGGCTTGTATGGCCAGGTTGAACAGAGGAAGATGGAGATGGGTCGAGGAGATTGAGGGTGAGGAAGTTGCGAAGACAGAAAAGTCAACAAAAGCAAATGAATGGAAATATTTTGGGGGAGCGGCAGCTCCGTGGATGATGTATGTGACGAAATCGCAGAGGAATTTGGCAGGGGCTCGGAGGGATGGGGTCACCTCAATTGGACATTTGACATGGAGCGGAACATGGAGCAAGGACGATGGAGCATGGAGCAGACGTGGAGCAACCCTGGGAGCCCCAGCTGGGAGCAGGCATGTCGCTACCTTAGCGCCTCAGGGTGATGCTGCAGTTGCACCTGCACCTGCCCTGCCCTGCCCGTATTTTTCTTCTCTCTTGTTCACTGACGAAGAGGAAGAATCGTGAATCGTGCCTGGGAAAATGAGGTAATGATGCGGTGGGGTGACAAGCCTCGTGGCACTAGGTACTTCCACCAAGCTTGATGTCGTTATCATCTGCCTGCACACACGACTTTCCGAGCTTGCTCAGCATGGGAATTGTGTCCGTATCTAGGCTTCTGAAGAGGTGACCAAAACTTCATGATTCTGACAGTTCGCCGAGAACAGCCCAGCCGAGCCAAGGACCAGGATTGGGGGTGCTGACAGCCACGGGACGGTACAGAACAGGACAGGAGGAATGCATGCCAATGGCCGTTCTCAGCTCGAGTTGCAGATGCAGCAGGTCTGATTCAGGTCGGCCCGGACGGAGCACCAGCCTGCGAGGTGGGATTGTAGATGTAAGGCAGCTGTAGCAGTAGCAGCAGGCCTCGCAACATCTCAACTTCTGTGAGGTACGGATAGCGTGAGGTGAGGTGAGGCGAGCTGCTGACAGGACACCAACACCAGGTGCTTGGTCCTTGGTCCATGTCCTTGTTCCTGGGGCTGCGGGGAACGTCCAATGTCCACCTCATGTCCAGTCCAGGCAGGCCGCAGTTCAGACTCAGTGACCACTGACCACCGGCCACTGGCCGTCATGTCAACACCTCAGTGACTTTCCTTGAATGACAAGTGCAGTGTGCCCGGCGAGACTGCCCCCGAAAATCGAAGGGGAACCAGCCCGCTGGAAAAGGCCGAAGGAGGACTTGCCCGCCTTCCATTGGTCGGTAGGCTCAACTTCGGCCTCTCCGCCGCCTCCAATTGGCTCCCAGCCTCCGGGACCGGGTCCTGCCCGATTTCCCTCGCGGTGCTTCTCGCGGGCTTTCACCGAGTCCCCTGCAACTTTCTTGCTGCTTCTGGTCTGCAGCATGTCATGTTCCCAGGCCCAGAAAGTCGCGTGTGAGCTGCCCCAGCATTTCTCTCCCCCGAGGAGAAGAGAAACCCCAAAAGCCGGGCCCCCGTGAAATACAACCAGGCCCGGATTCTGATGGCCCAAGGGCAACTCAGGTATCCGTACTTCGTACCGGCCCAACATCTGGCTGGCCTCTATGCTGCCACGCCACGAAGACGGAAGCCTCAACCACGAGATGCGAAACCACCCCGGCTCCACGGTCCCACTTCTGCGCCGAAGAAGCTCCCGTCCAACATCCACCGGGCGGGCCACCGAACATGCCGGAAATGGAGAGACTCTGACGAAAGGGAGAAATAGGAAACGAAATTCCAGAACACTTGGAAAATAGAGCATGCCCGCGTGCTCAATATTCGACGGGGTGACGTGTGGGTAGTGGATTCAGACGACGGGTGATTTTGGGATGAGGGACATGAAGGACATGATACATCAGACTGAAGGAAATGATTTGCGGCTACTCACCAACACAACCACTAACACCACCACCGAGCAAACGCCGTACCAAAACGAGGAGACCCCGTGGGATACCAGGAAGCTGCTCCTCCTTCTCCGGTGTCCTGGGGATGTTCTTGTTGTCGTCGACTGCCGAACTTTGCCGCTGCCGCCGTTGATCTCGTCCATGCCGCCGCTACCGAGCGTCAACACCACTTCTTCCGCGTCGTGATATGCGCCGGCACCATCGCCGAATTCGTTGATGTAGTCCATGTCCTCCACTGCGACATCAGACATCTTCTCATACTGCATCTGCCGCCACAAATGTCGAATTCGCAAAATGCGCTCCTGGTGACCAAGGCCGCCCACGTGCCGATCGCCGGCGTCTACGTCCGGCCTTTCGGGTGGTTCAGACAGCCAGATACAGCACTGCAGTCGTTTCTTCTTCTATCCCGCCTCGTCGGGACGGAACGACGGCCTAAATGCCCGACGTCCTCTCCCGCCAACGAGAGATAAAAAGTCGCTCAAGGGCCTAGACTCCGGTTCGCCGTCCCCAAAAACCCGCGCGCTACTTGCGAGATGCGGTTACAATTGCAGACGCAGTGCTGCGTGTAGCAAAGCCAAGCGAAAAGCCCACGATAACTGCGCCCGTCGCCGCCTTCGAGTCTTGACTCTTGCGGTGTTCCGATGGTGCAGCTCCCAGTTCGGCCCTTTGGAGGAGACAGCACGCGTTTAAACGGCCCGTCTGTAATTAGTTTCCCGGGTGTGACGCTGCGGATAGACGACGAGGACCCAGGTTTGTTCGGCCGGCCCCCTCCAATGAGGTCATGAATGGGGATCCCGGGGACGATGGCAAGGGGTCTACCGTCTTCGTCTTTTTTTTCGCGCGCCAAAATTCTGCTGTCCTCGTGAATTCGCGGTGGTGCGGGCTGGCGTGGGGAGTGGGTGAACTTTGGACGGGAATAATAGGCAGGCTTAGTAAAAATAATTATGGGATTATACGGATGGGGAATTGGCAAAAAAAAAAAGACACAAAGGATGAGGAGGAGGGAAATCGCTAATGGCGGCTCCTGGTTCGTTCATTCCGTCAATCGTTCCGTTCAATTGCTCGTGATGATTCGTGCGCGCGTCAGGGTCCTTCCCAAGTTCTGGATCTTGGGGTCTCTGGGTCTGTTTTGGGGAGGATTCTTCTTGTTTTGGGTACTGGTGCCGTAGATCTGGGTTGATCGAACGGGAGATTTACAGTCTCCTGTGTCGCCGGTTAGAGGCGTCTTGGTTGGGTGGCTTGATCTTGGTATTAATAAAAGCGGTAGTCTGGTCGTTTTTTCCCCGTCGAGTGCAGGTTTCGTTCGGTCTGGTCTCCTTTTTCCTTCGGCAAGTCGCCCCTCAGATTTAGCGCCTGCAGTTGTATGTCATGCGACCACCGACAAAATGGCTATTGCAGTGGCTGGTTGGTCGTCCGTTTCTGAAGAAATTGGCAGGTGCGTAGTGCGGTTCTCGGGTGCGTGGCCGGCGCAAGTTTCCTGGCAGGTCTGGTCCACGTCGAATTTGCAGAATCTTGGTCGGCGTTCAGATTTCTCGTCTCGATCGTCCTGTTATTTTCCGGTTTTTGGTAGGTATGCGCGGTGGTGGTGGTAAATCCGTGGTGATGAGATCAGATCAAAGGACCCTTATCTGTGGGTTACACCAGGAGATTCCAAGTCCGCGATAAGACAGACAGACAGGCCCCTCAATCTTCTCTTGGCCGTCAGAGGAGAAGCAAGTTGAGTCTGGAAGCGATGATGAAAAACGAGTGAGGTGGGTGAAAAGTCAAGTCTCGGACCCAGCTATCGGAGAAAAGAGGTCAATGGCAATGACGGAGGTTGGCGGTATCCCTTTTCCCCTAAAGAATGGCTCTCTCCTCACCTTGCCAGAATGCCCTTCTGCATGAAAGCGCTTCCTTGGAGTGGAGGGGAATCTTGAGTCGACCACTCAAAATCGCGACTGGATCGAACCGGTTCGCAAGGGGTTCCGCCCAACAGTGCGGTGTGAACTGCAAGAGCCGGGGTCGAAGACGGCGAGTTGAAGGATGTCGGATGCACCTCGCTGCGAATAAGACGCCGCCACGACCGGGTTTGTCAGACCGTCGGTTTTACTGTCAAGCACAATGTGAAGCCTCCGAAGAAAAGATGGGAAACATTGCACAGAAAGAGAGGCACACGATACTTGTAGGACACGGCAGGCGGAAGCCAGCTCCCCCGAAAAGGGAAGGAAGCTGGAGCTGATGAAACGGAACCCAATCACTTCCCCCCAACGAGAAAAGAAAGGGCCCCTGCGCGGAACTGAACCACTCAACCCCACGACCTCGTTCCCCAGCCTTTGGTTGGCGGCATCGTCCAACTATCCTGGTCGTCAATATCCTCGTTTTGCTAGGGGAGCCTCGCTTCACGTTGAAAACGGTACCGATAGGCCAGATTGTCTCCTTTAAATCGGTTCCAGAATTTTCCAGTCTATCAATGATATCTGGCCGTAGTTATGGCCACTTGTCACATTTCTGAACTGTGGTATCCGTACTTGCTGCAAATAAATGCTCCAAATGCCATGCCATGCCCTTTTCCGTCCATGACCGCTTGTTAATCCGTTCAAGCACGATCTTGACAAACGCGTCGCGTCTTGCATGCTGTTGGCGCTGTACAACACTTCGTTTAAGAGCTAGTGAAGCTCCTCTTAACAATGAAGAAAGACACCATCAAGAGTGCCGCGCAGGTGATGAAGACAGCATTCCGGTGATCATCGCCTGTGCACGCATTAGCATAAGTCCTCGATATGTAGAGCAGACACAACTCACCCTCCTCGTCCAGGCTGTGGGCCACGACGACAAAGACATTGAGCGGCAATCTCAGCAGACTGTAAACACGCCCTCTGGTGCTATCCTCGACAACCTCGCTCTTCAAGAACGACATGCTGGGGAAATAGGCACCGATGCATGCCTCGATCATGCAAAGTGCCCAGAAGAGTAACTGCTCATGCTCCAGCAGAACGGCACCGGATAAACACCCGCTGACCACGAGGACAACCGCCATCAAGATGTTGGACGTCGTTTCCTTGGTGTGTGTTTTGGTGTAGAGGGAGAAGAACGCAGACCCAGCCATCATGGAGCACATGAAGCTCGAGAAGATGAGGCCAAATGGCAGCTCCTCGTCCGACCCCGCCTTTGTCCTCGCGCTCTTCAATGCAGCAGACCAGAAGAAAACAAAGAGGTACATGGCGCCCTCGAAGAAGGTCAAGGTGAGACCCAGGGACAGCACGCGCCTGTCTGACACGATGGCCTGGATTCCTTTCTTGACATCAGCCACGGAGGTCGTTGACCGGCTTCCCTGTTGGCCTCCGTAGTTCTCCCGCCACGACTTCATGATCAGCATCACGGCCAACACGGAGCACCCAGCGCTTGCCATGAAGGGCCACACACGGCCACCCAACCAGTTGACCAAGATATCGCCGAATATGCCGGACAGAATGGCGACGATAGAGCTGATGGTGGTCATGTTGCCAAAAATGGCGCCCAGCTTGAGGCTCGTCCGCGACATGCCTCGTTGGTGGTATTCGGTGATCAGCCATGCCTCGAAGACGCTGTAGAGCAGGGTGGTTGAGATGCCACCGCAGAATCGACCGACGAAGAGGATGAAGAGGTTATCGGACAGCATCGTCAGGCATGTCAGGATGTAGGTGACGAAGTAGATAATGCAGGCGAGGCGGCGTCCATGTCGATCGGCGAGCTCGCCCGCAAACGAGGCGGAGATGGCACCGGAGACGAAGCCTGCGGCGTAGAGTGCGGCGACGATCTTCTCGGGGATGTTCTTCTCGTACTTGTAGATGGCGTAGATGTGAGGGCCCTGTCATGGTCAGCTCTGCTTCCTCGGTCCAGCCGTAGTCGAATTACCTGCAACCAATCCGCCGCCATCGCCAGAGCATAGACGGGGAAATAGTCCAGCTGGAATTTGCGGGCGGCAGCTTGGGCGTCGTAGGCCAGGAGAGAGTTCTGTTGTTCGGCCTCGCCATCCGAGCCGTAGTCGGCGTCGGCAGCCTCCTGCTTCAACTCCTCGACAACCTCATCCTGTTGGCGCTTGTATTGACGGTACAACAAGTATCCGTTGCCCACCACGAAAATGGCCAAGTTCAGCGAGTAGAAGTCCATGATGTCGCAGATTCGGCCGTCCGGTGATGATGAAGGCAGGTCTGCTTCTCCAGTCGCAAACGGGACTTTGCAGTGTTCTAATAATCCGGGTGACGCGGTGCCCCAGCATTCCACGAAGCAACGGTATCAGCAAGCGTCGCGTGTCTTGGGATATCCTGACATTCAACGTGTCTCAGCTGCCCTTTGGTCAGTGGCACCCCAGCTTGGCATTTGCAGAACACGATGCCGAGCGAATTGAGACGGCGGAGGGGAGACAGGCATGCAAATGAAAAAGGGAGGAATGCAGGCATTTACATTTTCGATAAAAGAAGAAAGGTGCTGGGGTGCTTGGGAGCTTTCCCACGCATTTGCCGTTCTTCAGCTTTCTGGGCAGCAGCGACTGGGAGTTCTCCATCGGACTTGCCTGCGAACAATTTTCAACTGCCAGACCCGGCGAGATGGGACGCAAACGGTTCAGTGGCTGCTGCGGTAACTGCCATGCGCTATCATATCTGTAACGCCGCACTTAAACTGTACCTGTCACGCCTGCCAGTTCATCCGCGAAGCTGGTTGTCGGGTGTGTGTGCTTGCTAATTAAAGAAGCTTTGACGTGATATCCAGAGTTTAACCCAAATCTTGCGGGGAGCGTTCCAAGTTGGCGGATACGGCATTTGAGGGAGGAACCGGGGCCAATTGGAGACCGACGGCCGCTCCCAAGTGGGATTTTCAGAATCTCCCTAGGAAAGGGCTAAAGAGGTAGATATCAGCCACGCCTGCGTCGGGGCCCAGATCGGCAGAGACTTCGGCTTTTGAGAGGTTCGTTGTGCTTGCATCATTCCTACGCAGTCCAATATTGCGTAGGGAATTATTGCCTGGGAAAGTACCCAGGGCAGCAAGGGAATTCGGGCCATGTGAATTCTTGCTCCTTTCGATGCCTTTTACTTCCCTCGTTGATACATAAAGAGCTCTTTCGATATGCATGCAACAGCGACGTCTGGCTTGACAGCTCACTTGAGCAGGGAGACTATATGAGACATGATGCACAGGGCGGTTGAATCTCGAAATAGAGAGGAACGCCTCGGGCCTGATGATGGCAAGTTGAGTTGGGCACATGGCCATTATGTATCCATCAAGGACAGCCGACACCGGCACAGTTCAATGTCCCGGGCCCGCAACGTTGCAGCCCTGGCTTCACCGCACCGGCCCTCGCCCGGTCTCCCGGAGGATGGATACCGAGGCCACGCAACGAGGACGTCAGCTAGGAGCCTCGGACGTCCATGCTACGGTCACGGCCACGGCGGGACCAGGTCTGTCCACGCGGACGGTGCCAACCCACAATTCTTCACGTTCTCTGGTGAGGGCCTCGGACGTCGCCGGGGCCAATCCGGAGCTTTGGAGCTGCTCCGAGGAGAAGGCCCCACCGAACGGACGGGGTCTTGGGGGGCAGTGCAACGGCGCTCGCGAGTTGATCGAGGAGAGCGGAGAAGTGTTGGCGCAGTCGACGACGTGGGGTCCCCGGCCTACGGTTTGAAAGATGGCTTCCAATGTCGACGGAGGCGGTCACCGACTCAACGGCGTATCCCCTGGGTCAGCCGAAGCCAGCGACGGGAATCACGGCTCCAATTAAGTGAGCACTGGCGCTGACAGGAGCCCACAGGCAGCTGCTTTCCGAATGAGAAAACGAGAAGAACTGGCTGGCGGGCTGGCGGGCTGGCGGGCTGGCAGGAATCCGACCGGTTGGCAGGCGGGAAGACTGGGTTGAACTCAAAAGCAGTGCGGCTGAGCTGTGGAAGCCGATCAGGGACGGAGGGAGTAAGGGGGTTCCCTGTCGACCTATCAGAAGGACTTGTTCGGGCTCAGCATGGCTGTCGTGCTACGCCTCATCGCGCCTGGCTTTCCACTGTGGAACGGTGTTTCTTGATGAATGAAGCTTCGGTTGATGGCTGCCGTGTTTTCGTTCGTTAAGTGGAAAACACCCCTCAGTACCTTGTCTGGATGTGAATGGTATCTAGTTTCGACATTAGCTACATCAGAAGTGGCTTGGGACGGAATGCTGCCAGCGATGCTTTCTTTGTGAATGTCGAATAGATGTCCACTCGTCTTTCTGGCAGTAAGTAGGAAGCCCAATCGCGAAGAAGTCTCCCACAGGTAGAGCAGGCTGAGTGTTGAGGGTTCCAGATCAATTTCAAGATGACCTTGGGATTGGAAGTGTTTGGCGGTGGATGACGACCGAATCCTATGCCCCACTTGGCTCAGGCATTTGGCAGATGGGCATCAGCACCTGTGGGACGTCGGAATTGCAGAAGTCTCGATTTGAACATGATCTCCGAGAAGATGATGTGAATTGCTCGATGGACTTGTTCTGGCCCAAAAGCGTATGCCAAAAAAATTAACCGCGATGATATTCCAGAATGTGTTTGACTGAGGAAGGCCAATTTTTGACGGGTCCCAGGATTATTACATAAGAAATCCGGGTTGTCGTAATTCTCATGGCAAGGAAGGTGGGGTCTGCGACAGCGCAGGACGGCACCTGCCCAAACTCGAACCTAATCTGGCGGGGTAAGCACGACGAATGCAAGAAAAAAGACCGAAAAGAAAAGAAGAGAAACCACGATATAGCCCTCCTGGTTTCCAAGTCCCAGAACAAAGGATTGGATCGCCCTGGTAACCCGAAAGAGACGGCTATCGTGCCACGATTTTGATCAAACACGAGGGAAGAAAGCAGGCAGGCCAGGCCAGGGACGGACCTGCCTTGAAAGACTCGGTCGCCAATCGCTCATGTCATTCGAGGCGGCGGACGGCGGACTGCATGTGGGTTTCTTCCTTCTGCAGTCCGAGGCGAGGAACCTCTCAGGTACATCCATATGTACATGCACCACCCGACGCCAAAAAGTCCTACAGAAAGTCCTGCATCAAGGGTCGAATACCAGGCAATGCAATCATCCCGTCGCTTGTAGCTTGTACAAAGATTCCGCGTCAAACTCAACGCAACATTGATACTTGGCCTTCAAGGGGACCCATCATCGCAGTTTGACTTGCCGCCGATATCACTCGACCGGGGATTATTCATTGCTAATGGAATTCAAGGATTTTTACGCTTCGAGAGGATTGTTTCGTTGGGCGTCAACCCAAGCGGTTCTCGACTGCTTTTCTTCCTGTCGGCTGCGAAATGCGCAATGGATGATGCGCTGATGGCGGCCACCGTGGCCAACGACAACTTCAGACAGCCGAAGGCTTGCAGTAGAGGCATCCTCCTCATGCTGCAATAGCCGCCCGCCGCATATCAGAGCCTCAACCGCTCGTGATTTTCATGAGCTGTCTTTGTCTTGCTGGATGGGACAGACTTGAGAGTTCGGCTGTCAAGGCACGTTGTCTGACTAGGGGCCCTGCCGTGTCGTCGCAGGCCAGCAACATGATTCCCTGCTCTGAAATCCTTAACTCAACCTTGAGTTCAACAGTTGCTGACAAAAGAGAACCGAACCCGCCGCTCCGGAAACCCCGTCCATCGTCTCCACGAGAGTCGCAGCAGGATCCAGTCGCAACTTGTCAGCTGTCAGGCATCTCTGACGACGGGCAGGGTTTGTTTCCAGGTATCATAGTTGAGACTGTCATCAACTGGAAACGAAAGATTCCAAAGAGCCAGGCTGCCCAAACGCAGCCTGCTAAGCTTCCATCAGCCATCTGGACCCGGGGAAACAAGATGAGACGATTACTACGACTCAGCTGCTCAGCTCGGCCCGTCGCCAGTCGATGCCGTCCTGGACAGGACGGGAAGGGAAGTATGCAACCCCCCACAGACGCCGTCCAATGTCTGCCGCGTCTGATACAGGAACCAGAGATGCAGTCTCAAGAATGTCTGTCGTTAATGATGGACGGCCGCGAACCCCTCACTGGCGGACTGGACGAAAGTGACGGTGCTGACCGCTTCAGTGTGTAATCCACGTTCCTACTTCTCCAGTCCTACGTTTACGAGGACCAACATGGCATTCGACATTCAGACACATGGATGTACCTTTCATGTACAGCCTCCCCACCGCACCGCACTGCCTCCCACTCGCAGCGTGCAGTGCAAGTGCAGCCAGCTTTTAACCTAAGTCTGAAGTCCCCTCAGCCTTACACTGCCCAGCAAACGAGCTGGGGGTTGGTTTAGGGGCCCTGGGGATAGGGCCCTCCACCTGGCTCGTTTTAGTGCCGTCCCGTCAGCTGCTGGCGCCAGTCCAGCCACCGCCATGTACCTTTTCCGCGGAATCTGTGCGGTGAGGTACATGTGCTGTGCTACGACTACCCCACCCCACCAGGACCTGAAGCACAGGGCAGTTCAGCAGCAGCAGAGAGCGCAGAGAGCACACAGCGCGCTCTACAAAACACGACGGAACACAGAAACGAAGCAAAACAGCATGGAGGAGAATGGAATGGACTGAGGTGTTTGCTGAGGTGATACCAGGCTCTCAGTTTGATAACACCAACCGGCCATCAATAATACGGAACGGGTTGGATTACTCCACGGCCCCAGTTTGGGTTGTCGTACTGCCTCTCCCTCTGCAGGCGCATCGCCAACAATCACCACCACCACCACCAACAACAACATCAGCATCGCCAACAGTGTCATCATTGCATTTCATTGCCTTCATCCTTCCGCTCGATCCTCGATCCTCGATCCTCGATCCTCTGTAATCGCATTGTTCATTTTGGCCGGCAATGACTGCCGTCTTTCACTTCTGATGATGCTCCTTCTGAACGTAACTGTGCCTGTATTGCGAGGATTCTAAATGCCAACTTGACTTGCATACACTTTCACTTGTTTCCTGATCTGCATGCGCAGACGAGTCCTTTCCAACCAACAAGTCTCAGTCATCCTACGGGTAGTCGTCATCAATCGTCTCCAGCTCTGCCATTACGGATCAATTCACCACTACCATTCATTACCGTAACCACAACGTTACCTTTACAGCTGGCTCATCTCGCTCAGTGTCGCACCGATCTGTACAGCGTCATCCCAGAAACGGATATTCGATTGAGGACCCCAAGGAAAATAAAAATCGAAACCAGCACCTAACAAGCGCCGGCCCACGCCCTCGTTCTCATCCTCGTCCTCGTCCTCGGGTGTCATCCCGGTGCTGCTCTCACCTCCATTGTCACTCTTTCCAGTGGCTCCCACGTTCCCCCAAAAAGCGAAAACGTGAAAAGCCCACCCCTCACTTTCACCTCCTCCACGCCCCCAAATCCTCGTCTTCGTCCGCCGTCGCAGCCCACCTCGAACACGGGTCCCCGTCTCCATCCCCATTCCCAATTGCTCGCTCAGTCCAGTGTCCCATTCTATTTTCTCACTCTGCCCGCCTTCCCACCTTTTTTTTCACCTCGCCTGCCTTCAGTCATCAAAAACACCCGACCGATAGAGACGGGAAACGAGCAGCAGACAACCAGCCGCTACCTTATCCGAGAGCAGATACGCACACAGAAACAGAGAGCCCCGAAGGCTGTCTTGTCCGTCTTGATTGACTTGATTGACTGACTCTCTTCCCGTCTTCTTCTACCAATTATTACCCCGACTTCCGTCTTCACTCGGCACTGGATTCAGGACTGGAACCGTGACCTGACTGCGGCTTGACCACCACCCCCCTCCCCCTCCACCAGCCGCAGCCCGCTCCGTCCCATCCCATCTCATCCTGTCCTGTCCTGTCCTGTTCTGTCTGGTCCTGTACCGTCAGTCAAGTCAGACTTGTCCCGTCTTGCTCGTCCTTTGCTGCGCTGCGCTGTCCCCGTCCGTCCCAGCCAGCAGGCAGAGCGCGCCCACACTCTTCCTCTCAAGTCCTAACCTACCTCACCTTTTAAGCCTAAGGTCCTAAAGCCTAAGTCTGCGCCCAGGACCAGCCCGGCCAAAACTACCTACCTTTGCTACCACCACACGGCTGCAACCCAAACCGAACCGATATACCCTCTGCTTGTCCTGCCCACCTGAGGCCCGCGTCCTTTTTCCCTTCTCCCCTCTTCCCTCCTCCCTCCTACATAACAATTTTCCCTTATGAGCTTTTCCAATTCCCGCCTGAAAGGCTTTGGTTTCGGTAAACGCAAGTCAACTGCCAGCATCCAAACGCCCGATCCGAACCAGACACCAAGCCCGACCCCTCCTCCCCAAGGCCACTCGTCCGGCGCCCCTCAAATACCGCAGCAGATTCCTCGTCCCGGCTCCATCGCCTCTACCTCGTCCGCCTCTATCGCTCCCATGAACCACCCAGGCGCCGGCAACCGCCCACCGAGCTATTCGGCCAACTACCCTCCCGGCGGTCCTCCTCCTATCGGCCGCACAAGCCCGTTGACAAACCAAGGCCCGACGAGAACCCCGCCCAGCCAGATGATTGGCGGCCCTCCTCCCATCAACACCGGCGCTCCTGTCGCCGGCTATCCTCCTCAGCTTCCTCCCGTCGGTGGTCAAGGACATCCCATGGGCGGTCCTCCTCAGTACGGCGGCGGCCAACAGGGTTATCCTCCTCCTGGTCCTCCTCAGGGCCCGCCTGGAGGTCCTATGGCGCAATACCAGCGAGGCGGCAGCGCGGCCGAGGTCGAGGGAAACAGCAGGAGCAAGGCTCAGCTGATCGTTGGTATCGACTTCGTATGTGGTTTCGGTGCGAAATGCGGGGGTGCTTCGACGTGCTGACATGGCTGCTAGGGCACGACCTTCTCTGGTGTGGCGTTCGCCTTCGCCACCAACAACGAGGCAAAGGAAGATATTATCACGGAATGGCCCGGTGCTGGATCGTACACAAAGCAAAAGGTTGGTTTCCCGAGGTTTCGATTGCCATGTCTTCAATTGCGGCTGACAGTGCTCGTTTAGATCCCCACCGTCCTCTACTACGATCAGTACCAGAAGGTTGTTGGCTGGGGTCCCGATATCGCCGATGCCCTTGCGCCTACTGGATACCCCAAGCCCGGCGTGCAAAAGGTCGAGTGGTTCAAGCTGCAGCTGATGCTCTCCGGCAACACATATATCGACCCCATCAACCTGCCTCCCCTGCCTCCTGGCAAGTCCGAGATCGATGTCGCCGCCGACTACCTTTTCAAGCTCCGCCAAGCTATGCGCTCGGCGCTGCAGAAGACCCTCGGCGAGGTGTTCAACCGTGAGGAGAGGAACATCCGGTACTACCTGACAGTCCCGGCTATTTGGAACGATGCTGGCAAGGCTGCCACCAGAGCCGCGGCCATCCAGGCCGGTTTCCTCAGGGACGAGAACGACAACCGCCTGACACTGGTCTCAGAGCCCGAAGCGGCAGCTATTTTCTGCTCCAAGACGGGTCTCCTCAACCTCAAGGTGCATGACGCCGTTCTCATTGTCGATTGTGGTGGTGGTACCGTCGATTTGATCGCCTACGAAGTCGAGGACGAGAACCCGTTTACGGTGGCCGAGTGCACAGCTGGATCTGGTGACTCTTGCGGTTCGACAGCGCTGAACCGCAACTTCAGCAACATCCTGCGCACCAAGATCCGCAAGATGAAGCTTCCTGACGGATCCAAGACGGCCGGTCGTGTGTACGCCAAGTGCATCATGGACTTCGAGAACCGTATCAAGGCCGACTTCCGTAATAACGGACAGAAGTGGGCTGTCGACGTTGGTATCGAGGCCGAGTTCCCCGAGGCCGGCATCGAGGAAGGCTACATGACCTTCACCAACGAGGAGATTTTGCAGTGCTTCGAGCCCGTGGTGAACCGCATCTTGGAGCTTGTTCGCAACCAGATCATCGCCATCCAGGCCCAGAACCGAACACTACAGAACATTCTTGTTGTCGGTGGTTTCGGTGCTTCCGAGTACCTCTTCCAGCAGATCAAGCTCCATGTTCCTCCCCAATTCCAGTCCAAGGTCGTGCGACCCATGGACTCCGTCGCAGCTATCGTCAAGGGTGCTGTAACTGCCGGTATCACCGAGCGAGTTGTCACACACCGTGTTGCTCGTCGCCACTACCTCATGGCTACTCTCCAGCCCTTCAAGGAGGGTTACCACCCCGAGGCTTACCGTGTGCCGTCCCTTGACGGTAAGGACCGTTGCAAGTTCACGCGACAAATCTTTGTGCAAAAGGGCCAGAAGGTCAAGATTGGCGAGCCCGTCAAGGTTTCCTTCTTCAGACAGGTTGCTCCCGGTGCCACCCTTATGTACGAGGATATTCTCTACGCTTGCGATGACGACGTGTGCCCCGAATACACCAAGGATCCTCGTAAGTTTCAGTCATGCTCTCCGAGACGACACAGGCTAACCCCTCTTAGGCATCAAGGAAGTTGTCACCCTCACCTCAGACCTGTCGCGGAAGAACCTCGAGAAGGATTTCGAGAGAATGGACACGCCACAGGGCACTTTCTACCGTGTCTACTTCGATATCTACCTGACTCTCGACGGATCCGAGTTCAGCGCAGAACTTGTTTGCCAGGGTGAGGTTATGGGCCGTTGCAGAGCGCGCTTCAGGTAAAAATGGCGGGGTTGGGGGAGAAGAAGAAGAATGATAATGTTTGCCGGCTTTGCATTGGGCATTTCGTTTCCATACACTCGGATGATACCTCGAAAAGGTGGAGGGGGGCAAAGAAGGACAGCCGAGGCTAATAATGGCCAAGAGTATATATCTCATGAAGAGAGACCTCCCAGGACAGAGCTCTGGAGACGAGGATTGGGTTTTGGGAGGCTTTTATTACGACACTGAAGGAAAGGCCTGTTGTCACTTGTAGACGCACGACATTCCCAGCATGGGACAAATCAAGTTATTCAAGATCTAAGGCGTTGCGTTGTATCCACGGCCATTTGAGTTATGAACAGGGTATGCTGCCTTGCTCTCTGGCACTACTGAGTCGATGCAGGTCCAAGGTCAACAGAAGCAAGCCTTGGCCGAGAAACAAGCTCTCGAGCCGGAGCGCGACTCTGAGCAGTTCACAGTATTAGCGCTAGCACCACGTGGTGAGTCAACGTTCCCCATGTTGTCCCTCGACAATTCCAATGGCATCTAGAGTGCCATGATGACGGCAAAGAGCGACGATGCTGAGGCTGTGTGGGAGATAGATGATGTCTTCCGCCAGTGTACACCTTCACGCGGCGGACACCAAGGAATACCTCGCTTGCTGACCGCCATTAACAACGGTGGACACAGCCACATCAGCTTGCAGGTGGAGCTGAGTCCAGAAGCGACGCCGCGACGCGGGGGGCGATGAGCCAAGCAGGGAATGACCCCGTCGCTTTCGACCCGAACTGGACCCTGCAGGGCCAACGGGAAACCGGGCAGCCAGTTGCACCTGCGTCATCGTCTGAACATGAACCGCCGGGAGGTTCGACCCAAGGTCGGGCCCTGCAACGTTGGCAAGCAGTAGTGGCAGGCGCACGATGGGATGGACCAGTGCCCATTGTTGTCATTGGGAAGGTCTGTTGGAGATGGGGTTGGACTTCCCTTTCTGTTTTGTGAGATCGTGTACCTGAGAAGGATACGAAATAGACATCGTCCTCATCTTCATCTTCGACAACAACACGAGGCCTGCGACCCTATCCGCCTCTGCTGCATCGCTAGCTCCTCCAACAACACCCTCTTTTTAGGCGCCTGAAACAACCATTTTACCTCTGCCCTACGGCCCAGTTCCTGATTCATCCGTCCAACCAACCTGCAGCTCCCACCTGGCACCCTCTGACGCTATATCGCGTTGACAGGGATAATCAGGTATTGGCCCTGGATCAAGCAGGCCGATCGCCTCTTGGGACCTCGCCGCCCCTTGCTTCCGTTCGCTCTCTCGACGACACGCTGTACGTCACTCGGCGCTGGCTCGCTGCGAGCCATTGGCGGCGCCAAATCACCACCTCAGAGAAGCTGTCCGTATATCTTAGCCCGATCGTCGCCCTGTTGGATCACGGAAGCTTGGGGCCTCTGAACCATGAACTGTTGCACCATCCCGGCTTGAACCATACATCCAACCCGCCGAAACTTGAACCAGCTTTATTGGTTCTCTTCCTCATCATTCTACTTTGTTTGAATCGCCTCGACCCACGGCCGCAGCCGACGCACACGCAGACCATGAGACAATTGTCGTCAGGGAAAGGCGATAGACGCTCAGCAACGTCCAGTCGGAATCTCTTTGTTGCCCTAGTCCTCGCTTCACAGCTACCGGCCACCAATGCCATTGTCTTCCCGAGCACCCACCCGAACTACAAGACCGACTATCTCTCATTGAATAAACGCTACAACCCCGCCAGACGTGGTCCGCCCGAGGATTGGAATGGAAGGATACCTCTGAAGATCACCAACTCGTGTCACGAGCCGATCTGGCCCGGCATCACCACACAACACGGCGTCGGCCCCGGAACCGGCGGGTTCGAGCTCGCCGGAGGTGAGAGCCGAGACTTGTGGGTAGGACCGACATGGCAAGGTCGCGCTTGGGGAAGGACGAACTGTACCGTCAACGGGGAGTCGGCCGGTTGCACAACGGGCGATTGCTTCGGGAAGCTTGACTGCGAGTTCAGTGTAAGTCGCTGTACCGATTGTCAAACAAAGGGGAACTAACAAGGCCTAGGGCGCCGTTCCTGCAACGCTTGCTGAGTTCAACCTGGCCGGAGGTGTTTCTGGCAGACAGACTTTCTACGACATCTCCCTCGTCGACGGCTACAACATCCCTGTGGGCATCAACTACATCCCGGCTAAAAACACAACATACATCCCGCCCAACTTGACCAACTGTGCCTGCATCGCTACGGCTGGACTCTTGTCAGAGCGATCGGCCACCGGCAGCCTCTACACGAACACGAGCTTTCCCGTACCCTGGGAATCGCTTGAGACGAATAAGAGCGCGCGAGACTGGTGTCCGTGGCCGCTCCTCTCCATGCCTCCCGAAAAGCCCGGTGATGGCGTTTACCCCTACCCGGACGACAACGTCAAGCGTCCCGACTTCAGCCCCTGCAAGAGCCAATGTGCCGCTACGAATTCGGACCACGATTGCTGCATCGGAAAGTGGCACGATCCCAACAAGTGCAAGCCCGGCTTGTACTCCAAGAACGCCAAGTCCATCTGCCCCGATGCCTACAGCTTCGCCTTCGACGACCAAACGTCTACCTTCATCATCCCGTCCGGCGGCGGCTGGGAGGTCGTATTTTGTCCAGCGGGCAGGAGCACTAACATTCTCCGCACCATGGGACCCCAACTTTTCGAGCTCGCGAGTGCCGGATCCCTGAGCCAGAAGAACTTGGATCTGGTTAAGAACCTCTCCTACATAGAGTCGCAGAGTGAGAAGAGCACCGCTCCGGGTTTGGCTTCCGCGTCGGTGTGGGCGGTTTGCTCGGCCGCTGCCGTTGCTCTGCTGATGGCTTGGTGAACGACGACGGAGTTTGTTTTTCTGTTCAAAGACGAAGCATGACGGGCTGGTCCCGCGCAATCAGTCATGCTCTACAATTTGGATTTCAGCATTGGGATACCCTAGAACGATGATACGAGGCATGGGAAGATGACGACTAAGGAGGATATGAAAGGACTCGAGGGTGTGAGTCGTTTACCGTGGCGGATGCCCACTGTTTTCTTTTCATGTACCTAGAAACATTATACCCGTACCAAAGAATAGACAAAGCTCATACCACGCTCAACTTTCACATGTCGCTTATTTCAGCACATATCTGAATGTTTGGACTGTGTGCAACAAATATGCAGAAATAATGACGTCTATTCCCTACTATTGATCTCTGTGAAAAACACCATCATGTCCGAGGCCACAACCCCCAATCTTTGACGCAGAAAACACCCAAGTTAATACGCACGACAATCACAATACAATCCGAGCGTCGGAGGTAGTCAGAATTAACCTCTCGGACCCGGTACCCGACGCAGTGGCACCGCAACGGTTACAACCTAGCTGCATGCGTTCCCGTCTTCTGGAAACCATCAAAACGATTCCTTCAGGAGGAGGCATGTCATCGGGCCCGGACAGACTCGGGGATTTTGTAACTTGTTGAATAGGAGAAGGGTCTCACTGCTCATATTACAGATTAGTTCTCACAGAATGTAGCAGATGTTGCCGATGAGACCAGCATATGAAGCGTTTCGTAGACTCTTGGGAGACTCCCCTCTGTCGTCGTCATAGTAGTACCCCGCAATCAAAGAATCACAGAAGTTCCACGTCTACTACACACGTGCGTACCAAACCGACCAAAACACATGGACCTGACTGGATCAAATGCACAATGTTGCGTTAATAGACGTTAAACCGAACCATGCCCTCCGTCTAAGCCGGTGAACCCGCTAAGCTAGACCAGACCTCCCAGGTCTCCCAGACTCCTACAAAACCCCCCGGACTTTCCGCCCACCCAGTGAGAAGACTAACACACTCCGTGGTCTATGTTCCCCGTCTCTCCCCGATCACTCATTTTGCTTTTTTTCTGTCATGTCCGTGTATCGAGACAGTGGCTTAGTCTAACACGTCTGTCCCGTCCGCCCAAACGGCGTGGCATGTCCGCCACGTTCTCCCAATTAAGAGAGAATATTTAACCGAGAAAGGCATGACCACTGGAATTCAGGTCCCCTCATCTTCATGAATCACGACTCTCCTGTCGAGAAACTCAGCTCTTCCGCGCAGCCCTCTCCTTCCGTCTCCGCTCCCACTCGGCCCTCTCCTCGTCATCGCTCCCGCTGAACTCGGCGTCGTCGTCGTCACTGCTGTCCTCCTGCACCGGCGGCGCGGCCTGGGAGGGGACGGGCGGGGCCTTGCCCTTGGGGGCGGAGGACTCGACGTTGATGAAGTCGCCGGCGTTGAGGGAGGCGTACTCGTGCTTCTGGATGAGGTCGCGGAGGGCGGGGTTGCGGGGGTCGACGAGCTGGAGGGCGGTGAGGCCGCCCTTGTTCTTGACGCGCGGGTTGGAGCCGGCCTCGAGCATCATGTCGACGAGGGCGTTGCCGAACTCGCGCTGGGCGGGGGGCTCCGAGTTGATCCAGCGGATGGCGGTGTGTAGCGGGGTGTCGCCCTCGAGGCGGTTGACGGGGTCGCATTCGAAGGAGGGCTGGTCGAGGAGGAGGTCTATGATTTCGTCTGTGAGGAGAGGGAGGGGATGTTAGCGGTGGTGTCTTGGGTCGAGGGCAGAGCTTCGTGGACGGTAGTTTGGGTTGTGGGTTGAGAGTGTGAGTGTGCAAAGTGGGGGGAGGGGTAGACCAGTCCAACGGGCTGGATATAGAACGTACAGTTTCCTCGCGAGGCGGCCTCGTGGTATAGGTGGTTTCCCATGACGGTCGTGGTCTCGTTGAGGATGCGGGAGAGCTCGTTCTCGTCCTTGATGTCGGCGACGACCTCGTTGAAGAGGTCGGTGTTGTTGCGGCGGCAGGCCTCGATGAGGAGCTCCTTGACGGAGGCGCCCTGTGTTTTGCCTCAGGTCAGTGACTTGTTGCGTTCGTTTCTGTGTAGGTAGGTAGGTGGGCTTACCTCGTGTTCCTCGTTGTCACCTGCCATGCTTGTGCTTCTGCGGTTTGGCGACGGAGTTTGAGGTTTTTGGGGAGAGATGTGATGTGTTTCGAAATGGCTCCGTGCTGGCCGGGACGGTGAGGTAGGTAAGGTACGCAACCTGGTAAGTGCGGTTGGTGGGGTAAGTGAAGGTGAAAGGAGAGGTGGTGTCGGTGAGTTCGCGGGCTGGAAGAGACTACGTAATGTCGAGATGTGCAATATGTACGCGGCAGAAACAAAAATTGCCCAACGACGTAGGCAGGTATCAAACGCAGGTCCCGGTTCGTCTCAGCAAGGCAAGGCGAACATCAACTTGGCCTGAGGTACCACCGGTTCAAGATCTGGCTGAAGGAGGGGAGAGAATGGAACGTCTGGCTGGGAAGTCCTGGGCCCAGGAGGTGGCAGTGAGATCTACCGAACCCCTGATCAGCTTGGATTTCAGCGGGTGTGCGGGCTTACAGAGGACAAAGGGTGCTGTAACAGCGGTCGTTACCCCGCTACGTGGGCGCTAAAAGTCGACGGGACGGGTAAGGCGGGGGAGAGTTGGAGCCCAGGGAAGAGGGGCACGGAGATTTGTTTGGGCGACTCCCGGCGGGACCGTTCATCGGGCAGGCCCCACCAGGAATTGAGGTGAGTCTTTCGGTGTCATTGCTCACCGAGACGCGGCAATGACCAAGTTCGTCCCCCACCGTCGCATTCAGTCAGGCCCGCTGAATTTTCCACGACCACGACCGAGTCACCGAGATATCCCCCGCGCAATACGGCAATCTCCTGAACATTGGCGCATAGCAGTCGTCTTGCACATATCAGCACACAAAGAAGAGCCACGAAGCTCCAGCCGTCAAGATGTTGCTCTGTAAGTCTCAACCGGAACAGACAACCCGGACAACCACTAACTCGAGCAACCAACAGTCTGCCCCAACTGCGCCAACATCCTCACCGTCTCCGCCTACGCCGGCGTCCGCAACCGCCTCGAGTGCCGCACCTGCCCCTACGAGCACGCCATCACCGATGCCATCTACTCGCGCCGCGAATTCGAGCGCAAGGAGCGCGAGGACGTCTTCGGCGGCCCCGGCGAGTGGGACAACGCCGACAAGGCCCGCGCCCAATGCCCCAAGGACGGCTGCAACGGCGAGGAGGCCGCCTTTTTCCAGGTCCAGATCCGCTCTGCCGATGAGCCTATGACTACGTTTTACAAGGTATGGGCTACCAGTTGATTTGGGGTTGACGAGGTGCTAATGGAGTGCAGTGTATGACTTGCGGAACGCGGTGGAGAGAGAACTGAGGATGGAGGAACTACGCGGGGTTTTCACTGTTTGGCATTGCGAGGCGTTGGGGAAGGAATTTGTTTTGGTTTATCGAATGCGCGGCTATTGCGCAATGTAGAGGCTATTCGAGGTCGCCGGAGTTCTGCACGGGAAAACATTATCCTTGCGGAGGTCCAGTTCTAAATCCCACTCGCAAGTCTTGTTTGGTTTCGTGAACCGATTCCGCCATCTGGGCGGGAACGGCATCAACTGTCAATGCCTCGCAAGTCGACGACGTGCTTGTGTTTGCTCTCGCCCTGGCTGTGATCCATGCTGCCGATTCTACCGCATTCCAGGAGCGGGAAGCCAGGACGTCGATCGATGTCAGCTGTATCTTCTCTCCCACCACCCTGATTTCTCTCAGCTGTCCCGTTTAAGTTGGATCTCGGCTCCAGAGGCCACAGCCCGGTCTCTCGATGTTGGAATTCATGCTTCTCGGCGAATATCGATGATGCGCAAGGACCTGACGTCCATCTTTCCTCACAGACTGCGTCGTTTTCTTTCCTGAATGTCTTTCCCTTTCCTCACGCCTCACTGCGATGCCACTCAACCGCCGCCCTCATCCCGTCATCAATCAGTCGCTGCACGAGATCGGGACTAATGATGTCCTGCCGGAACTGCTCCTGCTGTAGCAGATCTAGGTGCTTGAGCGTCGGGCCGGGGTACATGAGGTACTTCAGATAGGGCGGTCGGGTCCAGTACTGCAGATAGGCGAGGTATGCGACGAACTCGGGGCGGGTGAGGAGCTTTTGGGTCGCGAGGTGGTTGAGGTAGAGGGGATTCGCGAGGGATTGGACGAACTGCGCGACGGGCGGGTGGTTAGCGGTGTTGGCGATCGGGGTTTCGCGGAGGACGGAAAGGGTTACCTCGAGCTCGATTTCGAAGCGCGTGAAGCCGCCGTAGACGGGCTCGTTGTCTGCGGGCGGCGCGGGCGGTTGAGACGGCGGTGCGGTGGTGGCCATCTTTGCGACTGGCGATTGCACGTGTTGGTGACGGAGAGATGTTGGAAGCTGTGGATCGGCGCCGCGAAAGTGGAATTGGATCTGGAGCTGGGGCCGGGGTTTGGCGCTAGCACTTGCCGTGTCTGGCAGCTCGGGACGGGGGTCACGGCATTGGAAACCTCACATTTATCTACCTTGGTGAACCAGTCACTTGTCTTGAAACGGAACTCCAGCTCACGATGATCGAATGAAACCGAGGATTTTTTCTGACGGTCTGGTTGTGGTTCAATATTTACCATAACAGCTTTATGTTGGGAACAGTGAGACCAGGCGGGTGCCAAGTGGCTTCGCAGCTCGGCGACTGGTGTAAGCCCTCAGCTGGATTGAACCAGTGACCAATCTGGATATCTTGTGGCTTTCACAGTTTCGTTACCAAAGGTATATGGTCACAATCATCGGAAGTAATGTCAGTCGGGTGCAGAAACCCGGCGCCGTTTAGCCTAGCGGTCATGCTCACATAGGTAGAAAACTTAGGAGTAACGTGCTCCTTTGGAATTCATAGGGTTCGAACTGACGAGTTCATACCTGAACTTTTGAGATTTGCTCCTTCTTTTTATTGCTGTTAGCGTTTTGCTATTCAATTTGGAAGAGTCTTATTCTTGTCTAATGCTTTTCGCTTGCGATCTAAGGTATGAAAGGCGGCTTCTTACTAACCCTCGTCTGGCTGTTGTAAATTACAGACGGGGAAGAATACATCTTGTCGTCTTTGGCAGCTGAGGTTTTGGAATAAATCCGAACAATTGAGAGGAAATGCATTAATATGGTCGAAACGACGTAGACGGGAATACATTATGCTATTTTGTAGGCATTTACGGTTTTGCGTCTTCTCCGTAGGTGAGCTGCATTAGCTCTTAATACGGTTGACTTCGCCGTTCAGCAACCTGGATGTTGGGGTTCGTTGCCAAACGCGGGGCAGTAGATGCACTTCACTCTAGCATTCGAAAATCGTATTACATCACTTGGTTGGTTTTGCAGAATTCGGTGACTAGCTTCAGTTTATATCATTGAGGCTCACAAGCACCCTCTGCAGCCAGCTTCTCGAAACCGCTGGATCTTTGCGGCCGTCAGCCTCACCCAGTCAAGTGGCGCCCCGCATCCTGGATGCCGCCTTAGAGGTTGATGAACGGAGCTCTTCTGTCGTCGAACCACAGTGCTGAGAGCTATCGTCTGCCCCTTGATTCTTTTTGACAGCCTCCGTTTGCTCGTTGGGCGTTCGAGGCGTCGTTGCCTTGGTATTCAATGTATGACGCCGCAGACCAAAGCTGCATAGACATTAGGCAGCAGGTTCAGTCGGTCTTAGTCCCTCAGTCCCAGTCCTCGTCATCAGAGTCGCCTTTTGACTTCGATACGGTTCCTTGTCTGATTCCTTTGCCCATGGCCCTCTCCTCCTCTTCGTCCTCGGCCTGTCTGCGCCGCTTGACCACACGCATGTCCGAGTCCTTGACTGCGCCAACCTCAACCAAGAGGTTGTCAATCTGCAGCATGTTGATCTTGACGCCGCCGTGTTGCACCAGAGTGACAATCTGCTTCACAATATCGCCGTCCTTGTATACCAAGATCGTCGGGCAGTTGCGTTCGGGGTAGTTCTCGATGGCCTTGTCCGCGCGCATTTCGCAGAACTTGATGTCGCCATACTCCGTCGCCGCCTGTCTCCAGAGCTCCGACAAAACTCTCGACTCGACATTCGTTCCCAGAGATGACGTCAAGTTGACAAAGACCGGGCCGTTCTTCGACGCGTCGGTAACTTCGCGCTGGTATTCGGGCTTCGAGATCGGGTAGACGGTGCCGTGGAGGGCTTTCTTCGTGAGCGCATTGAGCTCTTGCATCCTGCGCTGACGGTACTGCTCCAAGAACGCCTCATCTTCGTCGTCCTCCAGCTCGTCGAGCTCGTCCAGATCCTTGCCCTCTAACCTGTTCTCGTGCGCTAACCGGCGGCCCTCGAGGATGGCCTCCTCGATCATGGGTGTCGGGCTGGGGGGTTTCTCGGGGATGACGCCATGTTTCCGGAGGATTTCGTTCCTGGCGGGATGCGTCAGGAGTCGTCCCGCAGATGTCAAGATAGAACGTACCACTCGGTGTCTGCGTTGGGGTCGTCGATGGGTACGGCGATTCTTTGGTCTCCCGGGGCAGCCATTGTGATGTGTTTGCAAATGCGACAGGAAAATAGAATCTGAACCAAGCCGTGGGCAATCCTCCAGTTGATAAATAAAAGAAGTGACCAGGCACCAGTTAATGGTTGGAGATGCCTACAAAGGGATCAATGCAAGCGCGGGGTATTGTGTACTTCAGTAAGGTAGCTGGAGCTGGATGCCCCGCCACGAATTTCTGCCAGGGCCCAGGATGCACCAGATTCTTTGCGACGGAGGAACAAAGGTCCCGACAACCTACCAACAGCGCGGGCGGGCCGGGGCCGTGGTCGTGGCCGTCAAGGTCCCCAGAGGTGGCCCGGGCGGGCTCACACAGCAACGGATTTTCCCTCGTCCGGGATCCGAAAGGCGTGCCGCCCGCCATGACCCACTCCCTAAGCGATCTCCACAGCACACAGGAATTAATCGAAAATCTCACTTTTCATTCTCTCGCCCCCTCGTCAAACATCACGAGCGCAACCTCTCGACAACACCATCCATCAAATCTGTCCTCCGACCGACCGCACTCGCACCGATAGTCGATCAATCAATCACAGATCAGATCAGTCAAGATGGTAAGAACTCCCTGCTGCTTGATTTTCTGCGTGGCGAAACGCGTGTGATTCCGAACCCGACGACCCAAAATACCGAAAAGCGATCGCGCGACCGAAGAAAAAAAAAGAGGAGGGAATCGTGGCATGGCTGGAAACATTTTCGAATACGACACGGACACACGCGGCGACACCTACGCATCCCGGACGACTGCACGCATACGATCATTTGATGAAGGAACCATCGTGCTGATGGCTTCTCCCCCAGGTTCTCGCCGTTGATCTCCTCAACCCCTCCCCGGCCGCCGAGGCCCGCAAGCACAAGCTCAAGGTACGCCCGCGATACCGCGACACCAACACCCCTCTCTGTCATGACGGGACATGATGATGCTCACACGGATGACAGACCCTTGTGCCTGCCCCCCGCTCCTTCTTCATGGACGTCAAGTGCCCCGGTTGCTTCACCATCACCACCGTCTTCTCCCACGCCCAGACCGTCGTCATCTGCCAGGGATGCACCACCGTCCTGTGCCAGCCTACCGGTGGTAAGGCCAGACTCACTGAGGGCTGCTCCTTCCGCAGAAAGTAAACGTCTCGCAACGACGATTTTCTTTCGGCAATTCAAAAAAGGAGCCCTTGGGTGTTTTATCTAACGACTTGGACGGTTCATCACTGGTGGGACATCTCGGATCTGCAAAAGCAAGCGACCTGGGCATGGGCGTATAGACAACCCTGGCACAGGCTTTTAGAGTCTGCTGTCTCCGAACAGAACATAATCAGACACCTTTGCGGATAGAAGATGGAACATCCAAAAATTCCTTTTGACCAAATCAAAAACACAGGGGCGTTTGGGGTCTCCGGATATCCTTGCATCACGCACACAACGAATCGGATTTTTGCATTTCTCTCTCGCTCTCAGTTTCGCCACACAAAAGCACACACAACCGCTCTCGTCGTCGTCGTCCTCTCTTCCCCGCGTCTACGCTTTTACGCCTTTGGAGTTTTTGTCGTCTTCTTCTCTGCATGGGGTGGACAGCTGGAAATGGCTTTTCACATGAGCGTTTGGGCGGTCTCGCGAAGGCCAGACCTGGACGTGAGGACGTGGAACCGCTGATTGAGGATCGCTTCATACCCGAGTGCAGTGAGTTCGGAGGAATCAGCACTGCTTGCGAAATTCAATGGTTTCCACAAACGCCGCCGCCGCCCTCAACGTGTTTCCTGGTGTTGTGACATGTGTTGTGTGCTGAGTGTAGTGATGTGACATGTTGCTTGCCGTGCCTGCGTGACTGATTGCTTAAAGTGCATGCCTTGATGGATCTGCGACGCTCCACAGTCCACCCGCCCACTTGGTTCTCCTGCCATCGTGAAGACGTGCTCGTGTGAGGTGGGCTCGTGTGCCTGGTTAAGTTTTGTTTCATGCCGTCGGTCAACCCGTAGCACCCCCCAACCAGCAAGTTGGAAGGTTGGTTCAAGAACTCAAAACCCCAACTCATCTTTCTAAAGTCCAGACTCGTTAGGATCCAATACCGGTCCTACAAACACAGCTGGCTTGGCCCTGGTGGGGGTTTACTGGCTTGCTCTGACTACCTACCCCTGGCATGCCTTGGTCAGTCCTGTGTCTCGCTGACCACTGAGCTCGAGATAACAGCAATTATTTCTTCTTTGGAGAACGTTACACCGCTGGAGCTTCTCCTCACGCCCCCTTGGGCCGCCATGTAAGTTGCCTCCTCGGCTAGATGACTCCTGCAAATCAGCACCGTTTTCTGCCTACGATCGACTATCGTCTGCGTCATCACACTGAATGTCGCCGCTGTAGCCTTGAGGCCTGATTTCAGAGCATTCGAGTATTGGCAAACGGTTGATTGAACTCTACAGCAACTCAAAGAAAAGAGATGAAATGAAATTCAAATGAGTATTCTCTGAACAGGTTATTTAGAAACTCAAAAATAGCATCTCAAATGATGCATTATCGCATCCACTTCCCTGCCTTTCGGGGCTCAGCGCCGTTCGTCAGCCCGCATCCACCGTCCGCACCGGTAGCGAGAAGGAATGCGCGGCAACGCCAATCATCAGCAGGTCATTGTCAGTTTCAGGGCACATGGTCTCCATTCAAGTGCTAAAGTGGCCCACTTCCACGCGAGTCTCGCGAAAAAACACGCCCAGACGCGCTTCGCCGCCGTCCCTTGGATCGTCAGTCGGCTCCTGCTTCACCTTAGAAACCGCCAGTGACCACTGACCCGTTCCACCCCACGGTCGTCATCTCCTAGGGCACTCTTGTACCTCCCCTATCAACTTAATCTCCTCCCACCCACCTACCGCACCCCAACCTCGCCCACTCTCCTTTTTCTCAACGACAAATCTCCCCTCTTTCTCGCTTCCGAACACGTTTGCGTCATACTCAGATCCCGTTTGCGATTGTTTCTACAGCGACCGTCGTTTTTTTAAGCTGTCCGACTGAAAGACACTCTCCACTCTACCAACCACCCATCCGCATCTCACGATCTTAGCTTGCTTCCCCAGCTCAACGCTAGCCGCTAGGGACTCACTCACAAGTCCAACGACATCGTCAATAATCAACGACCCTATTCGTAACCGTGGCTTGGTCCTTCAACCTCCCCATCCGCTGTACTACAATGTCGGCCCCACGAACGAAGCGTCCTTTCGCCGGCGCCTCAGTCGACCCTTCTCAACGTCAAATCACCTCCTTCTTTACTACCCGCCCCGGCCCAGCTCCGGCAGGTCCCTCGCCGACTCCGGCCGAGACCAACAACATCCCATCGGAGGTCCAGTCCAACCTCCTTTCCGTCGGCATGCGCATCCGCAAGTCCGTGCCCGAGGGTTACAAGACGGGCACCTACAGCAGCTTCAAGCTGTGGAGCGAATCTGCCTCCGCCCCCACCGTCGTCCGGACAACCCCGTCGACCACCTCCCGCAAGCAACGCAGTGCCGCCTCCTCCCAGCGCGAGCTCATGCCCTTCTGCGGCATCAATAAAATTGGCGGTCTCTCCTCTCAGCCTGTGACAGAGGACAATGACTCCGACGACGCCGAGGTCCCGGGCCTGGACGACATGCCCGGCCTGAGCAGCTCCCAGGAGAGCGTCGAGAGTGTCGATAGCATGGATAGCGTCGAGACCACCGGCGACGGACGCAGCCGCAAGCGCATCTTCGATGACCGCGACGACAGCGATGAGCCCGTGCAGATGTGGGTGGATCGCAGCGCGTGGATGGAGGGCGAGGTGAGCCCACGCAGCCTGGCGCCCTCTGGCTGGGCGAACGCGAGGACCCTTGCGGTGCCGAGGAAGAGCCGCCGCGGCAAGCCTATGGGCCAGGAGAATGTGGTCGACGACGATTTCGAGGATGCCGATTTTCTCGTCACCCCCGATACCGATATGAGCGATGCGTAGATGAAGAGGTGGTGGTCGAGGTTGACGTGACGAAGGAGGAAAAGCAGATTGGTGTAGGATGTTTCTTGCTGCAGTCATAGGCGTAGGCGCGGAGTTTATTTTGGAAGTTTCACGGGATGATTGCATTTGTACTCGGCAAGAGCTGCTCTGAGGACGTCTGCAGCGATTGTCTCTTTCTGGAATCAAGAGGGACCCCTTGGAGGTTATGGGTGGACTCTGCTATGCCATTAGATTGGAGGCATTCTGCCACCACCATTTGTATTGATATCATAGGCTAGCATGCTACTTTTGGGAGGCTCAACAGGCCTGAAATTGTACACTTACCCTTACACTGCTTATCTCACACGCCGTGATTCTACATACCTGTGAACGGATCTCGGAACTCGAGAAGGTCCCTCTGTCCGTAAAACTCACCCGCAACGGTCAGGATCATGTTGAGCGTAGCCCGCATGTTCATCCTCGCGCGAAGCTGATCCGACATACGCTTCTCATCATCCTCAACCTCCACAACCTCGGCCGGCACCTCCGCAGTCGTCGTCTCTAGCTGCGCGAGCAAGCGAGCCCGCGCTTCCTCCAGCGTCTCAGCAGGGGCGGGTTGCTCCGGGACTTCGCCCTCGTCTACCTCGCCGTCTTCCGAGACATCCATCGGTTCCGACTTTTGATCGTCGTCGACCTCTCCATCTTCGACTTCGCCCTCATCAGCTTGCATCTTCGGCTCGACGGGATCCTTCGCCTCGCTCTGCGCAGACTGGGGTGTCTGCTCTGTACTCTTCTCAGGGGCCGACGCCTCCCCGTCCTTCTCGTCGACCTCCATCTCCCTCATGACGTCCTCGTCGTCAGAGCTCTCGTCAACGGCGTCGTGGACACCCAAATCCATCCCCTCCCCCTCCAACGCGTCCCTCAACCTCGCCATGTCCGCAAGGCTCTGCATCATCAGCACCGCCCGCCGCCCGAGGTCCCTCACCCAGCCGATCTCCGCGTGGTTCAGCTCCCCCCTCTCCGGCAGCCTCGCCAGCAGCGCCCAGAGCCACCGGCTCGTCCTCTCCGTGAGGTCGTATCCCCTCCGCAGGAACTTGCCGCCGAGCAAGACCCGCACCACCCGGAGCACGCCGTCCTTGTCCATGCTCGCGACCTGCGCCGGCAGGGGGTCCGACGTGCGTAGGCGGACGGACCAGATGGAGAAGGTGGATGATTTGGGGCCGAAGGCGCCGACGTAGTGGCCGTGTGTCTTGGGAAGCGCGGCGACGGCGGACGCGGGAGGTTTTGTGTGTAGGGTTGCGCGCAGCTTGTGGAAGCGGGAGAGGATGGAGGCGAAGTAGGCCTCGTATAGAGCCGTCGGGTCGTCCTCGTTCGGGTCGTAGTATCCGTCCTCGTCGTCTTGCAGTTCACCTTCGTCGTAAGCGTCTCGGGCAGGTTCCTCGTCCCAAGCTGCCGGGCGGGCAGTGTATGCGCCGTCGTGATAGTATCCCCTAAAATCACCCTGACCCGAGGAGTAAATCTCGCGGTCCTCCTCCGCGTCCTCGCCATTTTCAACGTCCTCGTCGTCCTCCCTTTTGATGTTCTGAAAGTCCTGGGGTAGCTGAGGTCCGATCGGGATCTTGGGCGCGACGAGGAGGTGCGGGATGCCGTTTGCCTGGGTCCTACATACTCACCACATCAGCGTCTCTGCACAACAACACTGCACGGAGTTCAGCACGTGGAGAAGCTTTGAAAAGGTTTTGAATCGACTCACCTTACGGACCTGAGGTACGCCATGGCGTCGGCGTCGTCCTCGAAATCGAGCTCCGAATCGACGGGGACGGTGGTCGCGCTCTCGGAGGCGGAGAAGACGTATTTCTGTCCCCATGTCGGGTCGATGTGGGCGTTCTGATGGTCGCGCGACTTGTGGTTGTTGGGCTTCTTGTTGCGTTTGGGCGCGGGCTCCATGTCGCTGTCCGTGGCGGTGCGTTTGGTAGCCATCGTGGGCTTGGAATGACTTTTGGTCGGGAGATGTGAAGTTGGATTGGGATGTTGAGTCGCGAAATTTCGCGCTGGCCCAGCTGCTGACGCTGGATGCTGGATGCACTGCTGCGCGTGCAGCTCCCCGGGCAACTTTTTAGTGGAGACAATTTGGCCTTATTTAGTGGGTCCCGGCGCCGTTGAGGCCGCTCACCGAAGCTACGCAATGGGACGGGCGATGCTTCACCGAGCCGGAGTTTGACGACATGTTGCTAGATGGAAGGCTTTCGTGCCGACTCGAGAGTAATCATTGAACCTCGGTTGGTCTTTGGAGCTTTACTGATTGTTCTACGTATCGGATTCCACATTGAGAGCTTCGAATGTTGTCATTTGGCAATCCGGCCTCTAACGGAGTATTATGTTCTAGCATGCGTAGGACGGATTCTCGTTTCCCCTTGCGCTGTGTTGAAAGTGCATGGCTTCTAAATTGTCTTATTATTCTTTATGGAATATCTTGGGTATTATGTTGGTAAAAACCTAGTAGTGAAGTATGATGCTGTTTTCGAACCTCACCCTTTCAGTTTTAACTTTCGTCTTTTAATTAAAAGGTGGAAAAACCATATGAAAATAATTACCCAGCCACCCACGCCTGCTAAATACGTTCCAAAGCCTGTCAATAGTGATAATAAGCACGTGTCTTTTCATTTCAGCTTTTTGCTTAGGGAATTATTTGCGCAGTCTCTTCCTGTCAACGCGTCCTGAAACGGATGTCATAACTCAACGACAACTTCTTTCCATCTAGAATGCATACATGTACATTAGCCAGCAGGATGTGTAACATATAACGGTATCCAACTCTAAAAAAATCGCTCGCTTACTTGTATGGAAAGTGCTTCTGCGGTTGAATGCATTTTCCAACTTTCATGTTTCTTTGCTTCAGTGCAGGCTGCAGCGAAGCAGCCTTGCTGCGGTACTGCAAAGGAAGCAAACATTGAAGATACGGGCCTTATAGCAGAAAGATCTCTATTGAAATTGGTTTATGGAACGTAGTTCCAATGCAACCGGTTGTCTTTGCTCGTGACTCCAAGTTGTCGGTTCTCACTGCCTCAGTGAAGCAGGCGATACATCATAGCAGCAACGTAACCGTTTGGTTTATTGCGTAACCTGCAGTTCTTGCGTTTTGTATGCGCTGACTATATGCGCTGACTGCTACGTGTAGGGTTGGAACTGTGAGGGGTTGGTATTGAGTCGCAGCTTGGAGTTGAAATTGCTCTCCAGACTTGACCGCATTCCGCACAAGGTGAACAGCACAACGTGAGAAGCAAATGGGCTTCAAGGCTATATCAGACTAATGAGAAAGTGATGTGTCATTACGTTATCCAACATAGGATCAGAGCAAAGGCCTTCTAATGAGAACTATGTTGTCAACAGCTGCAAAATATGTGCCATTCTTGATGTTTGGGTGATGCCTGTACGATACAATGGCGCCGTATCATTCTGTACGTGAACTTGGGCTGGGAATCATGCGTAGCTGGACAATGAACTTAATATTGGAGCAAGTTGCTCAAGGTCAAAATACAGCCCTCGAAACGCCGTAAGTTTGCTGAAGATATCTCCGTATTGCCACCAAGATTCTAAGTTCAGCGACCCTCTGGATCTCACAACTCATCCAGGGTAACACATCACTTTCAAGGTGACAGTCAAAGCTTAAGCATCACCTTTCTGAACAGATTGCCCACGCCCTTCCTCAATAGACCAGAAACCCCCCCTTCCCTTCACCAGCCGAGGAGACAACCTCCCGGCGCCGTCTAGCCTAGCGGTAACACACATAGGTAGAAAACCGACACTTGTCTGGATTTTCATACGGTTCGAGCCTCGAAGCTGGAACCCGAACTTTTGTTTCGTTTTCTTTTTTTCATCCTGCCTTGACAGATACGCTTCCTTTCTGGACCAGGAACTCTTCCTATCTGTCACCAGCTGAGGAGACACTTCCCAGCGCCGTTCAGCCTAGAGGTAAGATAACTAGGTAAAAAACGCAGACTTATAGAAGATCTTGATGTTTTCACGGGGTTTGTTACTTGGTGATTTCAACCTGAACTTTTGCTAGTTACTTAGTTTTTTCTTCTTCATTTTTTGTTCTTTTATCCCCTTTCTTTTTATATCACTTTGCTCCCGTCTCTCCATTTAATTCTCTTGATTCTCTTCATCTATCTTCAATTTCTTTAAATATTTTCATCACGGATTACGACCTTTTCTGTTAGGTGATGTCACAAGGTATGATTACCTCGCAAGAGCAACATCTTATAACTCAGAGATTCAACATTCAACACAGTGGGAGAATGTGTATCACTCAAAATGACACGTTTAGAGTTCGCAATGGAAATGAATGGTCAAGGTTCTCATAGTTATGTCGATTCCATGGAACAACAGCTGGATGGATAGTTGAGGTGACGACAGTCCACGACAGGGGTTCCTCGATTCCCCGCGTACCCCGCTAGCCGTTTCCGGATAGCTGCCGAAGCGCTGCCTGTTCATTTTCGGGGAAGCAAAGCGCGTCAGAACGCATGTAAACAAACCTGTAAACCCATCAACGATCAAGACGGCCAGACTGGACAAAGTTGGGCTCTCAAAGCTCTCCATCTTGAAATACTCGGATAGTGGAAGGGATGCTCGGAGCTTGGTTCGGAGATCGGGTGCGTACAGCCCCTGCAATCCTCCCCTGGCACTAAGAACCCCTGGCCGAACGCGTCGAAGCCCCCACCTGACGCGCCTGGCCGTGTCCCACTCCGGCCGCGGGCGCTGGGGGGGAGCTTCACTTAGACCTCTCCATGCGCACAATTTCAATTCCCCCTCCTTCCACCTTTTCTCTCTCCTCCTAATCTTCGAGATGGCCGACGAACCCGCCCTCCCACGCCTCCTTCCCTCCATCACCTGGAACGCGCAAACCGAGCGCTTCAGCAATAATCCCAAGAAGCGCAGATACCACTTGAGGAACCCCTCGACAGGGCCCGCTTCCTACTCCAACTCCAGCGATCCTGCCGTCTTCTCCAGCGATGACGACCCCGGTCTGGATAACTACGTCGAGGGTCGACGGAAGAAGCGCTATGTCGGAGCCTGGTACGAGCAGCAACCCGTTGCGTCATCGGACTCCGCGACTGGAGAGCCGCGACCGGCGTTGAGGGGCAAGCGGAGGGCTTTCAGGCGCGACATGGATAGTGGTGTCTTCATGGGCAGCGACAGCACCGATGGAGACGAGAGCATCATGATGCCCGACATACCGACCCAGGCGAGGCTGCCCCAGCTGAACATCATGCCCCCGACTCCTCGTCGCCGCAATGATGTCTCTGCGATGGAGCAGGAGGCGCGGGAAAAGATTCGGACATTTATGGACGAAGGGGATGAGAGCATCGATCTCTCGTAAGTTGTGTCGCACTAATTTGCGATGTCAAGAACGCCTCTAACACTTGCCAGAAACATGGGCTTAAAGACACTGTCGGATGCGACAATTCGACTCTTGTCCGAGTTCATTTGCATCCCTGTCGTCGCCGAGGGAGTGCCTTTCGAGCACAAGGACCCGGATTTGAAGCTATACCTGTACCGTAACCCGTTACTTCGGGTCCCTGGCGCCATCTTCGACCTAGAGCACGTGACCGTGCTCTCGCTGCGTGGATGTAGGCTTCGAGAGCTGCCTCCAGCGATCGGCAAGATGCGCAAGCTGAGGACATTGAACCTAGCGCAGAATCTGCTCAGATGCCTTCCCGCCGAAGTGCTTGACTTGATGACCTCCTCTTCAGCCCTAGGAGAGTTGCTTCTTCAGGGCAACCAGTTCTTTCGGACAACTGACCTGCCGCGTCTGAGCGACTTGGGAGACTTTGGCGCCGACGGCTCAGTGGAAAAGGAGCTGTTCGAGAGTGGGACGCTGGCATCGAATGGGATCGCGGCGAGGTACTTCGCACGGTCTCCGGTTCAGTATATGGACACGAGGAGAGTTACCTGGTCAGAGTTCGTCCTGGACCCTGAGGCAGTTGTGGTACCGACGGAACGTCACGAAAGCGCTGAGAATTCGTCACTGGTCACGCCACCTTGCTCAGCTCCATCGCAGTCGAAAGCGGCGGGAAGAAGCACCTTAGATGCCCGAGGAAGTCGTGTCCCCAGCTTGATGGAGAAGGCGCTTCGCAGCGCCTACGGCAGCTCCGACCTCAGCGAACTGCCGGAGTACCTTCCTCCCCAGCTGGACCATCTTAGTCGGCTTTTAGAGCATGCCGCTAATGTGAAGGCGGCGGGAGGTACGGTGTGCTTCGCGTGCAAGAAGCCTTTCGTGGTGCCGACGGCGCAATGGCTGGAGTGGTGGCAGGTCTGTACGGTTGAGAAGACCCAGAGGGACGGTGAAAACTTCCTGAAGGCACGACCTTGGACCGACCTGTTGGAGGAGAACGATGGTGCTGTGCCGTTCCTACGGAGAGGGTGCTCGTGGAAATGTTGCCCCGCTGATATTGCGGAGGGAAAGTGGTCAACCCAATAGTGAGAGACGCCGCGTAAGAGCTGGCAACTCACGGGTTCTTGGCAGTGGTTTCAAACAGAACGCAGGCGCATATGGTCTCATTTAGGCTAGGAGTTGGGAGCTGAATTGTCGAATTTGCTGAATGACACGGGTATTGGCCGTGGTATCTTGTCCTTTAACTGAAGCTCGTTCCAACGCCTTTGCATATCGCACCCTTGTTGTACCACTCCACCGCCGGCAGAATCTCAGACGTGACCCATCTCGCCGTCTGTGAGTGCAAGCTGCCATGGCCGAATGGCTTGTCAGTCCTGTCTTTCCTCATCCTCTCTCCGAGGCCCAGCTGCGCCACGTTTTGCTGCAAGACCTCCACGTCACCAACCTCCGCCTCGGCATTCCGTGGGAACGAGGTACGCCCCTCGGCCAGGGCTTGGAATATGACGAGTTGGTCTTGGAGGAACTCGTCGCACGTTGAGTCGCGGATGGAGAGTTCCTTGGCGAGGTCTCTGACCACTCTTCTCGAGACGAGCGATGCGATGTCCTCTTTTTGCTTGCCCTTTCTCGGTGTGGACATGAGGATGTCGCGGCCCCAGCGCAGATTTGTGGCGGAGCGGGCTACGAGGAGGGCGTAGATACGCGCGTCGCTGCCGGAGTCCTCGACGATCTTGAAGGTGATTTCTGCGGATGGCAAGAGCTCTGAGATGTCTTTCGTAAGGGCGTCTTGGAGGTCTGCGTGCATGTGTGACGGTACAATCATCGAGACGTCGACGTATCTGACCTCGAAGTCAGACGCATCGCGAGTCGTCGTGGGGTTGAGAACCCGTAGGCTTTGACCTCGTTTGAGGGGGTGTATGGTCAAGCACATCGACCCCCTGCTCTGCGGGCCAAGACTCCAGCCACGCTTCTTCAACTGCCTGTCCACCTTGATGCCAAAGACATCCTGGAGTCTGGGCAGGAGAACTTGATCGAGGTACTCGTAGCTCAGGGACATATCCACGTTCGTGCCGCCCGTGATCTCGAGATCCACGGACGTGGGGTTCTCCGCTTCATCGGCGGTATACAGGAGGAAGGGCAGGATCGCCTGGAGAATCAGCAACGTACTTGCGGCGCCGGTGTCTGCCGCGATCTTTAACGACCTGCTCTTGTTGCTCAAGGCGGCCGACGGCGGGATCCGCGGCGCGAAGGTGAGCGTCTTGCTGCCGATCTCGAGACCTTCCACGTCGGCTTCGGTGGCCTCTGCGAGCCACCTGATGGCGGTGACGTGCTGGGCTTTGAGACCTGGGGATGCGTAAGCTGAGATGGGACTTTGGATTGCCTCTTTGAGGCTGAGTGTTGGGTAATATGTTGCGCGTACCACCGCCCTTTCCCCCTGCACGCGTGGGCCTGTTGCCACGGACTTTGGTAATGCGAATCGGTTGGGAGGTCACCGCTGCCAAGGCGACGGCGACTCGCACGACTTGTCCTCCTCCTTCGCCTGTTCGGCCGTCTATTTCGATGGGTTTGGAAGAAGGCATTTGTGCAGCTGAGGTCGTGGAAAAGCCGTGATAATCAAGGCGTCTATGTAGCTGAGGATGAGATGGTGAATGATTGGTCTTGGACCGATATAAGCCCGTGTAAGAGGTGAGACAGGCCGGCGAAACCGTTTGGCGGCTGACGGGCGAAGCAAGACCTGGAATGCCCGACAAGTATGGGGATCTGATCGTATTTAGAAGAATGCAAGGAACCATCGTCTTTGACGACTGCTTGATTTGGTTTTGGCTGAAGACTCATACGGCAGGCGAGGGCGAGGTGGTTGGTTGGTTGGCAGCCTATTTCTGCGGAGGCCCCTGCGTGGTGTTAGTCACCCCGGTGGCCTCGCCTGTCCATCCCGTCCATCCTTCTTCACATACAGGTTCTTAGTCTGTCAAGGCGAGTGACTCCAAATCGAGTAGCAAATACCACGACCAACAATTAGTTTTGGAGTTGCCTACAGGGAGTCAGGCGCAGCGGCGAGGATTCGTCGTTGCTTCGAGGATTCTAGGCTGTGCACGCACTCAGCATCCATCAGGTGCTTAGTGGTCTGCTAGTCAGGTCACCGTCGAGGGCGGGAGTCAGCGCCGGGATGGGGATTATAAGGAGACCTTCCCCTTCCCCCAAATTTCGTCATGTAAAATTGGTATTCTCGATGGAAGCCGTCGAGTGACGTTTCCAAAGGGTAGTTGCATTGTGGCAGATTTTCTTTTGTCCTAGCGTTCCTTCCATGTTCATCTACTGCAAACAGACTTTCCGGCTCATCCCGCTCTTTCCGCATTGACCCTCTTCCAATTTCAACGTCACTTCCCCTGTTTTCTTCTTTCTTGATAAAACTTCTTCCATGAATTTTACTCTCTCTATTTTATCGAAGGTGTTTTGGGGCATGACTTCGCCTCGGAGGACTCCAGCCGTTGTTCAAAGTCCCAGCAATGCCGAGACATCCCCCACACTGAGTATGCACCCACTTGCTGTTGAACCAATCAAACAGCGGCACTCTTCCATACTCAGCTGCAATTCAGGGTCTCGTCCTCGCCGCCATGCACGAAGGGTCGGTCGATCCGCTGTATCCCGCCAAAGATCGCCCGCTACACCCGGGTCTCAATCAGTTGATTCGGTCTGACGCGCCGTTCCGCCACCCGCACAGCCCCGGAAGGCCGGAGGCCCTCGGCCTCGGTCAACGTTGAGTCGGTCTCGACCTCCAACCCGGCAAGCCTCGTCGGACTTGCATGGCTCTTCTGGCGACGAGCGCCGATGCAGTGGAAGAGGCGACTCCGTGGCGGCCTCAGACTGTGGCTCTGCTGTGGAACGGCCGTTAGAGCGGCGTTGATAAGAGCCAGTGTTGCCAGCTGCCCTGGGGGTTGATTCGATAACACTTTTCGATTGCTGCATGGCACAGGTTGGTTTTCCTACCAGTCATCCTAGCGGGCTGCCTAGACACGGGAACACAACAACGCCCCCTCTCGACGAGCCATTCATTTGACGCGAAGCCTCAGTATTCGATGCCAACAACGGCTGCATGCGTGAGCCTCGAACGAAGCCTTGGACAACAACATAAATCGGGGGTATGCCGCACACATCACCTAATGCAACGTCGTCCTCAGATGCGACAAAAGAAATCTATTAAAATACTACGGTCATATCAGCAACGGAGAGAAAACAGGCGTTTCGCACGAACTCAAAACCCGCGGATCCCCGTCACATGCTCCAAGTCAATCTCCCGAGCGCCATCCCAGCTTTACCAAAGTCTTTCTGACGACGAGAGAAATGAAAACAAACCATCCTTTTTTCACATTTTTCTCTTTTTACAATGTTTTGATAAGATTCATTTGACCTGCTCTTGCGGAATGGTCATGCGTCTAGGGTGGTGATATGCCGCCGCCGTCTAAATGCAACAAGGAATGCCGACATGGACGTCGTCCAACAGGTGGGTATCCATAACACGTTATCGTAACAAACTGATGCTGACAGTGTATCCCTAGGTCGATATTAGCGGAGACTAGCAAGAAGTTTATCATAAGGCAACCCACCAGCAAGGCAAGGGAAAGCCCACATCAACAAAAAGATTCGTCGACTAATGGTACCGATTGTCACTGGAGTGATTGTAGTACGTCGTGGTTCCGTATCCCCCGTGGCTGCCCTCGTCCGAACTCAGGTCGACGTGTTGGGCATATTGTGGATTTGATGGATACGCTCGACCCACTGGAGGCCCATGTCCCTGATGATATGCCTTATCAAACTCGTCGATATAATCGGCTTGGACGATAGTGCGAGGTCGAGAGCCTGTGTACACTACACCAGGGTGGTCGCGAGCGTATTTGCCTCTCTTTCGATGTTCTTCCGCCTTCTTACGGCGGTCCTTGGCTGCATGGGCAGCAGGGCTTCAACATGTCAGTACCGACTCCAACACGGCTGTCATGGTTGGCTTACCCATTCAGAAAGCTTCCGGGCTCAGACTGCTGAGAGTCATCCTCATCAGGGTACTCGGCTGGAGGGCTTTGCCCGCTGGCCGCATAGAAGGTCGTTGGATCGGGCTGTTGGGCTTTGGACGCCTTTTTCTGCTGGCGACGCTCCCCAGACGAGGAGCCAGACCGGTTCTTGTCTCTTTTCTCGGAACCCATATCGTTCGACTTTGACTTTGACGTTGAGTTCCGTTCGGATTTCTTGTCGCTGGTTCTGTTGATTCTTTCCATGGAACTCTCAGTTGGCAAAGTATGCTTTGGTGTCGGGAGATGTTCGAGGTATTCGGGAGAATGGTCACGCTTTATCTGAAAAAGAGAAAGCAGTCAACGACCCCTGAACGAAGAGTCACAACCTGAAGGACTTACCTTAGGCAACCACCAGTCCTAGGACTAGTCTGCCATGGCAGGCTGGGCGGCGCAGTTATTACACTTCAGCACAGGCCATGAGCTGAGGTGCCTGACGTCTAACCTCGTCGTACCTACATGGTACAGTATCGCTCACAGAAGAGACGCGCGGTTGCGCGGCAAGGCCCCGCCGGGCGCAGTCAGAAGCCGTCTCAGCCAAAGCCGGTCCATCGAAGCAGCACTAAATACCTAGCACTTGCCCTAGACGAGGGGCCAGGAAGCCCGGGAGCCCAGTCACGCGTCACCGACGGCGACGAACGGAGCTCTCCGACGTGGTTCGCCATATACGACGACGGTGTGAACGGTGGTTCGCCGGCTGCCTTTCGACTAAGTGGACTCTAGGTGGCCAGTCACTTGTTGACCTGTCATCATCAGATGGTAGGGGAGCACGCCAGTGCTCTCGGCACGACTTGCGCTACAGAAAGCTCGACCTTAGTCACAGCTGGACCGGCGAGGGAAAGAGGAATAGCTCGGACCAGGACGAGGTGAGAACTGAAGATGGAAAACAAACCAAGGCGCAGTTCTTGGGGGCTGCGCCAGACGACAGCGCCACGTCAAGAACCTTTAGCCTCGAGGCTGACAGCTCACTGCCCCCAAACGACGGTGAGCGAAAGCGGCTACCGAGAGGGAGAGCTCGGTCAGAGAAACGGAGAACGGAGCAGCGATGAAAGCCTGGCGAGCAGCCTGGGCCGAAGCACTGAGAGTGGCAGAGCATTCGGAGTGGCAAAAAGCTGTACGGCGAACGAAGGATGAGTCGAGGACCCGGTCGCTTTAATGCTCGAAATCGCGCACCGGGTGGAGGCTGAGGTGCTCACTTCATCGTGTGACCAAGGATGCACGTTGCAGCGAACCGGAAGCAAGGAGTTGTCGAGCGGTGGGAGTATCATCGAAATATGCCTCGGGCAAGCAGGCTCGGGCAAGCAGGAAAGAATGGAAAACGCCAGATAACCAGCTCGACAGGGCGGGGCCATCTCACCGGCATCGAGTATTGTATGAGAAAGCGTCCACGGGCGGCGGCATGTCATACTTGTTCGGAATGCTCTGCTACCCCTCACATCCAAGAACGTTCGGGTGCAGATTACGCTCCCCGAAATCTCCCCAACCTCCTCAGGGCTTATCGCCAAGCGTATCTGGCGAGCATGTCTTACACAACAGCATGCTGGTCGGGGGACTCGAGAAACTCGAGTCCTTGTTTGGGTCACTCTACAAATTATTCGGGGAAACGAGGTATTAATTCCGCCTAACGAGCGAGCTGACGGCCAAACTTGGGAGAGTGTCTGTGTGAGTGCCGACCACCCCTAGAAAATGGAAAAAGAGCAGGCTGTCTTCGGTTGGCATTTCAGCTGATGTGGATGTAGTGTGGCACCCTGCAGTAACATTGCTTTTTCTGCGTGGATACAGCGGCCACCGCTCACTGGCATCATTCCGCCTGTTCTATTCTACATCCGAATCCTTCAATGACGGGACTTTGCAGGGAACGACTGGGGCACGCGCTGCGAACGATTCTACACGAGCCATCAACCCACAAGTTCGGGGTTTGGCTGGCGCATGTTGTGGCTGGGACGTTTTGGGCTGACAGGCTGAAGACAGGCTGACAGACCATGACGGCGCAGCTTCGACACGCACAAGGATTGAAGGCTCCCGATTTAGGCACCGAACGATTGAGCTTGGTGGTCGGGAATTCACTGTTCGAACAGTATCTACAGCGACTCGGCGAACTGAGATCACGAGCTTCGCCGAACTTCATTGGCGCCGAATTTCCACTGGCGATATTCTCCCAGAGCGTACGGAGTAGAAAGAAGAACTCGACGAAACGGTGCGAGGGGATCAAGTCCAGCCAATTGTCAGCTTCAATCAGCTGTATGCAACTACAGGGCCTTGGCTGGGCCGCACCCATGCTACGTCATGGTGTGTGACACAGCTGTTGGCTCAACGCTCAACGGCAGAAGCAAGAGGCGCCACTGCTGAATGTTTCAATCCCGACTAAGCCGTTTTGCATGTGGGAAGGGATTCACAGCGCGGCAGTGTTTGTCCTGGTCATTCGAACTGCATACTTTCCTCTTCGACTGCATCTGTGGCTACAATGTCAGAGAACAAAATCCCTTTCCACCGGGTGGCCAGCCAAACTTCAGGACAAAAGGCTGTCATCTACGGACAAGAATTGGGGCTGAAGATGCCCAGCCTGCGCCACACAGTAACCGCAGCGGTCTGACGGTTACCTATTTCCGATGACTTCATTGGGGCAGCGAACCTATGGATCATTCCTGGCTGTGTTTTGTATCTCTGGGTCATTCACCTGCTAGTAAGTGGTATTGCCTGTATCGGATTCGACGCTCAAGACTTATGCTAGGAATATTTACACATTGACAACTGGCCATTCGCTTTTACCCCTTAGGCGACGGATGTATCCTTCAGCCCGTAAACCTCTTCCGGGTTGAAGAAAATCAGAACCGCCTCACTTCCCCTGACATCGACCGAGCCTTCCACCTTCTCGATGTCAGTCTCCCCCTCCGGTTCACCCTGGGGGAACGACTGGCCAGCCCACGTAGACAACTTGCTGTCGCCGGTGTTCACATAGGGCGCAGTCATGCGCTTGGCGTACACAGTTCCGTTGGCAGCATCCGCCAGCGAGGACAGGTCGACACTGACGGTGAAGTCTGAAGCCGAATTGGCGTAGTAAGGCTTCATGTTGACGAGCGCAACCTTGGAAATCTTGTCCTCGACGTAGAATGCCCAGGCGGAGAACCGCTCCGAGTCAACGCCGGCCGGCGCCTCAAGAGCCCGGACCCGGGTCCCCTGAACAGCGAACGCCTCCGCCATAAACAGCTGGGCAAGGAATGACGGCAACGTGCGGGCGGGACCTCGCTTGGCGGTGTCGCGCGGGTAGAGCATCGAGTAGGTGCTGAAGCCCGGGGTGCCGTTCTCGCCGGGGCTGTTGCTCTGGTCGGCAGACTGCAGAACAAGCGTGGCACCCATGTGGAGGTGCGTCGCCGAGGCGTTGCGGGTGGCGTAGATGAGCTCGCTGTCGACGACCCAGAGGGCCTGAGCGAAGGTGTCGGTGACGTTGGGCTGCCCCGAGCACGAGATGGAGTTGAACTCGCCAATGTTCCAGCTCTTGCCGACGTCGAGGGCCGCGCGGGCCGAGGGGTAGATCTCCTCGTCGCAGTACCGCACGAGCTCCGTGTGATTGAGGATGTTCTCGATCGTGGCGCGGGCGGCGCGCGCCGGGTCGCACGTCGAGAAGCCGTACGAGTGGATCGAATAGACGCCGACCTGGTTCTCCGAGTCTACCCCGGCCGGGATGAGGGCGATGGGGCGGACCTCAAGGCCCGAGTCGTCGGTCGTGGCGGACGAGGCCCACCACCGTTCGCTGGAGAGGCTGATGCCGGTCTCGTTGACGGCAGCGTCGATGTCGTGGGTGTACTCCTTCCACTGATCCACGTAGGCCTGTGTGGAGAAGTTCCAGCGTGTGGACTTGTAGTTCGTCGGCTCGTTACCGAGCTCGAAGTACGCGATCTTGTCGGCTTGGTACTTTGTCGACGCGACCGCCAGGCCCTTGGCGATCTCCAAGCTCTCGTTGCCGAAGTTGAGCGTCGAGATGAACTTGGTGCCCTCGGGGAAGTTGTTCCAGCTCTCGTAGTAACCCGGGCCCACCGTTGTGCGCCAGACGCCTCCGGCGGCACTGGTGGTTCGGACCGAGTCCGGGCCCTCTGGGTCGAAAATCATACTATCCATGGTGATACCGCCGGGACGGATGATGGGGAAACCCCCATGCTCGTGGATCCGATCTAGGACACCGAAGGTGAGGTTGTTCGGGGTGCTGGCGTTGCCGAAGAACTCAACCCAGAAAGCGGGCTCGAACGAGAATGAGGCGAATGAGTTGCTGTGAGGTATCGAGGCGCCGGCCGCGGTTTTGGGGACGCTCAGGGCGGCGGCTGTCGAGGTCGAGCTACCCGCTGCCGGGTAAGCTTGGGCAGCACGAGCTGCGAGGAGGGCTGTTGCGCCCCAGAGAAGACCCATGGCGAGAACCTGATGAGTGTTTCGACGACAACTGAGATCACCAATCGTGACAATTGAAGTGACAGGTATGGTGCTACATTGTGTGCTCAATCCATCGCGGTTTTATAGCTTCGCCGGCAACTGAAGCGGGCGATGTTTCTCCGGCGCGATGAAATACCAGTATGTCATTGTTTCCGTGGCAATCTTCTGATCGTGCTCTCATTTGAAGCAAGCGCGCCTATCATGACTAGGTCGTACGAGTTGTGGACCTGGCAGAGTTCATGATCATGGCAAGCCCAGGCCTGGAATGATACCCCAGCCAAGGATCGAATCACGCGATGATTGGAGCGCGTCTCCTCGGCGGGGAGCTCATCGCGGGGAAACAGGGAACACCCCGCTCAACCCAGATCGCTCACGACGTCAAGACGCGGGGTTTGATCGGGAGACAGATCTCGCCGGAGTCCACACCCGGACAGCCAGAGCTTAATTTTCCCGTCTGGTTGTCGGAATCCGGGTCGATGGGCGGCATGTTGGCGGCTTCCCCGCCGCCGCCGCCAGCGCCGCAGTTAGTGAGATGGATGTTCCCGAGCGGGTGTCGCTGAAGCTGAAGCTGGATCAGGGATACAGGCGCAGAGAGTCTGATCCATCTCGGCCGAGTGGCGCGGGTCAGACTAGGGTACGCTGAGCGGGGCTCGTGGTCGTCGCCACTGATATCATGGCATACCGCGGGCCCGATAACCTCTCCAGAATGATAGGGGCCTCTGGATTGATGGCTAATGTCATGAAGGTGAAATTAGAGTCTCTCAGTAAGTACAAGTTCTCTCGCGTTGTATAGCAGTTGGTGGAATATTGGCACAAATTTTAGAACGCAGCGCGATATTCTGTTCCACAAGGCCGAGTCTCCCGAGACGTTCAGTGCTTTTGATAAGTTTGAGTGTTTCTTAAGACAGTCCTACCAGTGTATCCCAAGGGGGTTGAGGTGATTTATTATTCCGGCTTTTGTACGTGTCTCGGCGCATGACCTACCTGCTCTCCTGGCTTACCTATAGATGAGACCTTACCGGCGAACGCTGAATGCTTTCTCTCTCACATACCGAGTCCAAGTGCGTCCTGATGGTTTCAAAGACACCTATCGCATTGCTCCACATAGCCCACATGAGCGGTGTAGTATCGTCACTCATATCCCACGGACTCTGCGTGACCGGCTGAAGACCCTCAACAAACCTCTCCATGCGGAATCCCCACATGTCTCTTAACTTGCTCATATTAATGTCAGGATCCTGGATGAGGCGCGGCTCAGCGTCAACAGGCGCCCCGCGCGAGATAAGATCTTGAGCGAGGCGAGTAGCCCAGTTCCTCGTCTCTTCGTCTCGAGCTGTAGGCCACGTCGCCAAAGCGTGAAGCGGAGACCACCCCTCGTCCGTCACGATCTGGGCGGACGCGCCCTTCTGAAGAAGCAACTCAGCGGCGCGGTATGCACATTGCTCCCTTTTGAAGTTTGTCGGAGACAAGGCGCAGAGTAAAGGCGTCCAGCCGTTGCTGGTGACAGCGTTGACGTCTAGACCGTGCTCCAAGAGAAGTTTGACAATGTCGTCTCGCCCTCCGGCTGCAGCGTAATGCAGGAGTGTCTCCCCATGAGACGTTTGCGACCGAATGGATGCAAGTGAGTTCGGTGAGTATGAGAGACACAGCTGCAACTGCTCTGTGGTTCCGTTGTGCGCGATGGTGTGGAACAAAGATTCTCCAGCTTCACCCACCATCTCGAGTGATGCGCCGTGCTGCAGGAGAACTCGAAGCACGTCGGTTGATAGGGGAGGTCTGCTCACCAGGCGTTTGAGGGCTGTTCGGCCCTCAGAGTCTTGAGTATTGACATCTACTCCTCTCTCCAGTAGTCCCCTGAGGGCTCCAATGGAGTAACGTACTATCGACGCCATGTGAATTAGGGACTGGTTGAAGTATTGACGTCGTCTTACTTCTGGGTTTGCCCCGGCGTCGATGAGTTGGCGGACCACGTTCTGCTGATGAACGTAGTCCTCCGTTCTCGGGGGTCGTCTCGTGGGAGCCTCAGGAAGAATCATCCTCCCCTGAACAACACGTTCCAGCGCACCTTGGAGAGCGCTCGGTTCGAAGTCAATCCGAGCCAGCAACAAGGCCACGACATCATCGCACCAAGAATACGCTGCGTCTTGCAGCGTATGTTGCTTGTCTTCGTCTGTCCAGTCCGCGTATACCTCGAGGAAGTACACTACCAGATCAGCGTGGCCGTTGCGGGCAGCGACCTGAAGACAGGAGAGAGCAGATCTTTTCCCGGGGTAGAGTCGCCCGGCGGGACCGACTACCTGCCACAGCAGACGGGCGATCTCGAGTCTGCCGTGCTGCGCGGCGGCTAGCAGAGGCGTGAAGTTGGGATCGTGCACTTGTCGCATTCCCGGGTCGACGCCGGCATCGAGGATCATCCGGACCGCGGCTTCATCGTCTCGGAAAATGGCGTCGTGGAGAGCGTATCGGATGTTGCGGTCGGGGTCCACGGCGAGACTCCAGTGTTTTAGGACCTTCGCTAGGTAATCCCTATTTCCGGTGTCCAGGTAGGGCTGTACGACTTCGTAGAAGGGTGGTATTTTGAGTGTTGTCAAGTCCATTGTGTTGAGAGCAATGGCTGGAATGAAGGCGGTGTCGGGGAGGAAAAGACGCGTCAAACTGGGCTCGGTGGTTGGCGATTACTCTAGTATTTCAGTGGTCGCGCGGGTGCGGCGCTGTTATGAAGCTTACCTCAGTAGGCATGAAAGGCGAACGCCAAGGCATGGCATAGGGGGGCATATTTGTTGGTCGCCATCTTGAGATTGGCCTCACTTAGGCAGCAGCAGCTCCTTGGTATTAATTTGAGAAGTATGCATCGCCAACCGAATTTCAGAATGATTGCAATTTCTCCAAGAATAAGAGTACATGGTTATGGGCTGTCCCGCGTTTTTGAGCCCGCGTAACCCAAGCCTTCACACGTCTTCGACGCGGGCGTCATTTGATCCCCTGCACCCACAGAAAACCATCACACTACCTCTTTGTTTATCAATACAGAGCTCGGAGTAGCACCCGAACCCAGCTCCAATTCATCGATAGTCAGATCCAAGCCTCCTGGAGCGAAAACACGATTGAGAACCTGTTCCACGCAGTCAAGGTATCTGATTGCCTTGTCCTCTGGGAAAAAGCCGGAGTCAATTGTCATGATGAGATCAACCCCGACATTGCCGGGGCGAAGGCAGAAATTCATGAACATGGCGTCCACCAACGGCCGCACCGTTTCGACGCGGCTTCTGACCAACCCGAGATGTTCGGTTGCAGCTTCATCGTAATCATCGCCAGGATGCACGACGACGACAGGGACAGCGGCCAGAGACTGGCGCAGCTTCTCACTGAACTGGACCAGGTGCTGCAAACTCCCGGCCGCATCTATTCGCTTTTGCACGTGTTCCACAGTCTTCCGGAAAGTCAAGTCATGGTTGATGCTGGTTGCCAAGGGAGCTGTGGAGCTTACCGGGCCCATGAGCCTGTCGATTCCCGTGAACTCGGCATCTCGACCACCTAAAAGGAGGTTGAATAGGAAGTGTTGGTGTCCTTCGACGCGTGCTGCAGCTACCGACCAGGCTGTGAGCATCACGGTTGCATAAGAAAGTTCTGCTGGTAGAGTTGCCGGGAAGTCGATGGCGAGGGACAGAGTGTGGGTGATACCTGGAGCCTTTGTGCCGTCCAAGGTGAAGTAACTCCAAAATTTGGTGTTTTCGAGCTCATTTTCAAGAGCTGAAACAGTTTCGGTCTTCTCCAAACCGTAGACATACTCGATGAACCTGCTGTACTGCGGTCGCTCCGCCGGGGTGTCGTTGTGGTGGTAGGCCAGGTCGATCTCTTCCAACAGCAACTTGCGACACCAGCCATCGAAGACAACGTGGGCGCTTGACCAGACAAGCCAACTATCTTCAGATTTGCCCCCGTTTACAATGCTGAAACGTGAAAGCGGCTGTCCGAGACCCCAAGATACCTTTCGATCCTCGGCAACGAGTGAGGACAGGGCTCCGACGTGACGGCAGGCAAAGTCTTCTTTCAGCACAACCTGGACGAATTGTGATGAAACCGGGATAATTCGAGTCCGTAAAACGGAATTCGACTGCACAACACGTCGCAAAGCAGCCTCAAGTCTGATCAAGTCGATGTCGGTCGGAAGTTGCATGATGTGCCGGTGAGTTGTACCCCCTGGTGAAATCATTTCTCCTTCCATGTAGCGTTGCTGTTGTCTCGTGAGGGGATAAGCATCTTCGACGTCTTCTTCTCTGATGTTGTGAGCCAGTAGACTTTTGTTGAGTTGACGGACACTGCGTTCGATCTTTCCCAGTAAACCGAATTTCGAGGGGCCGGATGTTCGTGTCTCCTTCAGAGGTACGATATGTGCAGCCATGGCGGACAGTACGGGGTTCTTGAAGATGATCGGTGCGGAAAGATTATATCTAAGATCTCGAGCCGCAGACGCCAGCTTGATAGCCGCCAAGGAACTGCCGCCAAGCTCGAAGAAGTTGGAGTTCGTACCGAACTGCTCGCCGTTCAATCCCAAGAGCTTTTGCCAAAGAGTGTGCAGCAGCCTCTCCGTTTCAGAAACAGGTGGCTGGATCGTGGTTTCCCCAGAAAGGAGCAGATGAGGCCCGAGACGCTGTCGCGCAACGTATGCTTTGAGTGCGCGGCGATCCGCCTTGCCATTCGATGTAACCGGAATATTTGTCAATGCCAGAAACACGGATGGAATCATGTACTTTGGCAGAGTAGCGCTGATTTGGCGGATCATGTCTTCCTTCATGTCCGCCAGGTGCTGCTGCAGGACGTGATCGATGTCCATGTCGCCTCCGCGGTACTCTCCTTTCTGAGCCAGGTAAGCGACGAGAACGTCGGAATCCTGGCCCTCGAACCTTGCGATATCGACGATCACCTGGAGCTGCGCATTGAGCAGAGCGTCCTGGATGCGTTGACGCACCTCCTCACCCTCAAGACGCTGGCCGTGCAGTTTCAGCTGCATGTCCCCGCGGCCGATATATAAGATGCTGCCGTCCTCCATGTATCTTACGAGATCGCCCGTCTTGTACATCCTGGTGATGTGGCCGTCTCGGAAGTCTCTCAACCACGGGGGGCTGAGGATGAACTTCTCGTCGTTGGCTTCGGGACGGTTCATGTAGCCGGTGGCCAGGTGTGGACTCTCGATGACGAGCTCACCGACAGCCCCGAGGGGAGTGAGTCGATTGTGGTTGTCTGGCCTCACAACCCACAAGCTGGTTCCGGCACTGTGACCAATGTTCCTGGGGTCATTGCGGGACAGATTGCAGTTGATGGCGCACTTGACGGAACACTCGCTCGGTCCATAACCGTTCATGAGTTGTACCAGGCCGTCCCACTTGTCCACCAGAAGTTGGTCGGGGGCTTCTCCGGAGAGGAGCAGTGTCTTGAAGTCCGGCAACTCGTCCTGCTTTAACGTGTAAGCCACTGAGGGTGTGATGTTGGCGAAGTTGACTCGGGCAGTCTTCATGAAGGCGCTGATATCGCCCATAATGTCCTCTTCGGATGGCACGCAGATGCAGCCGCCGAACATGAGGGTGGTCAGGATGTCCTCGACACTGGGGTCAAAGGCATATGGTGCGAACTGCAATACGCGAGAGTCTGGACCACGCTTGAGCAAAGGCGCGCGAGCTATAGCACCAGTTGCGAAGCTCTTGTGTTGAACACCGAATATCTTCGGGGTTCCTGTGGTTCCCGATGTTGAGAGGACGTAAAGCAGGCTGTCTGGAGTCGCGACCTTGCCGTAGACGGGAGCGGCGGGTGTGAAAAAGTAGGCTGTGTCGTCGCAAACGACAATGGTCCGCCAGCGTGGTTCGGGAAAGGCTTCCTTTTGTAGAGGAGAGCAAAGAACGACTTTGATACCGGCGTCGCTGGCGATACCTTCAAGACGAGCTCGCGGATAAGCCGGTGAAAATGGCGCGAAGGCAGCGCCCGCTTTGACAACGGCTAAGATGCTCACTATCGCCCATTGTGACTTTTCGAAAAGAACGCCGACAGTGTCACCTGGCATGACGCCGGATCGCATCATCTCTCCCGCCAAGCCGTCGGAAAGCCTGTCCAAGGTCGCGTAGTCCATGGTGCCGTCGTTGGAATAGATGGCTGGCGAAGCTCGGGAGTGCCTCACTCGCTCTCGGATCAGCTCGTGAACGCAAACCTCGTAAGCCTTATGATGTCTAGCATTCCATCCAAACATGGTTGCTTTGTCTGCCTTGCTCGCGAGGTCTAGTTCGCCGACCTTGGTATCTGCAGGCACTGTGCTGAGTTCATGGAATGTCTGCTCGAATTGTTCAACAATACGTTGAACCTGAGCCGGCGAGATGACATTGCTGTCGAAGGTGGCGACTATCACGATCTGAGAGTCACCAGGCTCAAGTGTGAGAACCAGTGGGTATTCGTGAAGAGATCGCTCGACCTCCTCCAGTCTGATGCCTTGTTCCTCCACTGACTTGGTATCCGCAACTTGGACAATCAAGAGAGTACGGAACGAGGCGGCATTCTGAATGCCTTGATCTATTCCAAGAATGCGGGACAGGCCAAATTGTTCATACGGGATCATGGATGAGAACTGCTCTTGAAGACTACTCAAGAAACCAGAGACCGTCTGCGCAAGGTCAATCCTCACCCGAACCGGTAAAGTCGTGATGGTAGGCCCGACGACATCTTGCAGCTTAAGAGGCAAAGAGTTGCGTCCGTGAAGTGAGTTTCCGAATGTGACGTCGCCTGAGCCCTCGTACTCTGAAAGAAGTAGGGCCCACGATGCTCTGGCAAGAACCGTTGTAGTTGTCTTGGCCGTTGTCGGAGCTGTCATGGTGCGTCGCAAACAGGATGTGTCTGCAGCCAGATGTCCGGTCTTCGGGAAGTTGGGGAATGACGGCGTTGGTGCGTTCCTGAGCTCATTCCTCCAGAATGAAACGCATTCATCTTGATTCAGACCCTCGCAGAACTGCACGAATTCCCGGAAACTCCCCGTTGGCTTCACAGTGTTTGAGTGAGAAAAATAATGACGGCGTATGTGATCAACCACAGGTCCCAAGCTCCAACCGTCAAAAACGGCGTGGTGAAGCGTCCAGACAAAATGGAACTGGCCAGATGACGGGTCTTGGACGTGGTAATGCCTACCGAGAGGCTGACCCGGCTCGAAAGGAACCGCCTTGTCTGCAGCCAGAAAAGATGCAAGATCTTGTTTGATCTCAGTCCACTCCGCGTGGTGTCGAAAAACCACCTGAACAAGGCTGGAAGAAGAAGGAATGATTGCTGTCCTCAAGATTGGGAAGGCAGCAGTCGCAGCCTCCCATGCTTCCTTGAACCTTGCGAGGTCCACAGCACCTGAGAACTCGAAAACAAACTGGCTCGAATATAAAGAGGGTGACGCCATCGAAAGCGAAAATAATCCCGCCTGAAGGGAGGAGCAAGGAAAGACACTTGTGACTTCGTCATAACCAAAGCCGTACTCTTGCAGCAAGAACCGGAATCTCGTAAGATCACCTCGTGTAGTTGCCGTTGATACCGGGATGGCGCTCGGATCGGATTCGTGAGTATTGTCTGCGGCGGCAGCAACTTCCTGCATGGAGACGGCCATACCAGACAACGTCGGGCTCTTAAACACCTTCTCCATTGTCAAATGGAAACCTTCGTCGTTCGCCATCGAAACGAGTTTCATACATCGGAGCGAGTCTCCACCGAGTTGGAAGAAGTTGGCGTCTGGCGTGAGACTCTGAGCAGACGGAAGAAGTTGTCTCCAAATCCGGGCCAGCGTGGACTCTATGGACGAAAGGTCTTTGTCTTCTTCATTGCCGGTTCCTATCCTGAGAAAGAATTCGTTTCCGAGGCTCAGGAGCTTCCGCCGGTCAAGCTTTCCCGTGGGCCCCAGGGGAACTTCCTTCAGAGGTATCCACGCGACGGGACACATGTAGGCAGGAAGCACTTCTGAAATTCGTGCACGAAGTCCTTCGATCTCAAGGCTGATCTCTTTGGGTATGTTCTGAAGCTTGGGATGATGAAGAAAAGCCACCAAGTTGTCAGTTCCGTGCACACCGAGGACCTCCAGGAGTATGTTTGCGTCGGGGAGTCGAAGGTGTTGCTTCAACTTCGTCTCGATGTCTTCAAGCTCGATTCTTTGGCCGCGGAGTTTGACCTGGCGGTCACGTCGACCGATGAAAACGATCTCTCCGTCCTCGGCGTACCGGACGAGGTCACCAGTTCGATAACTCCGCCCCATCGAAGGTACACCGGACTCCCAATCTTTGGCCCACGGTGGAGAGTTGAAGAATAACTCTGCGTTGCTGGAGGTGTTATTGACGTATCCCCGCGCGATGCCCGGACCTTCCGCCACCAGCTCACCGATAGCACCTACCGGGGCAAGCTGAGTCGGGTCATCCAAGCGTGCTATCCAAGCACGGCTGTTGACAGGAAACCCGATCCTTACCGCATCATCATTCGCAGGACGGGCCCTCTTGGCGATACATGCGACGGTAGTCTCTGCAGGGCCATAAACGATGATCAAGTCCAGCTTCTCTGCCCAGAGCCCTACGATGTCCTGAGTAACTTTCTCTCCTCCAGAAATGAGAGTTCTCAGACATGGAACGTCCGATGGTGATAACAATCGCACAACAGTTGGCGTAAGAAGAACAGCATTGGCGTTGAAGCTGCGAATCGATTGTGCCAAGTTGTTCAGACGATCAGCATCGGAGGGAATGCAAACGCACCCACCACGCATCAACGTCATGAGAATTTCTCCAAACCCGGCGTCAAACGCGTAAGACGAGAATTGGAAGTATCGAGTTTGACTGTCGATACCGGAAAACGTTGCCAAAGCCGATAGACTGGAACATATCGACTGATGCTCAAGTTGAATTCCCTTCGGCGTGCCCGTTGTTCCTGATGTGAAGATCACAGCCGCTACATCGGATGGAGCAACTTGAACGTCATGTTCCTGGCTTTCTGCAGGAGAAGATAGGGAGGAAGCAGACACCACAATGCTGCGGGGTGCCAAAGCTGTTGCCTTTTCTTCCTGAGCAGCGGAGCTGAGGACGATGTTGGCTTTGGTTTCCTCAGATAGTGTCCGTAGTCGACTTGTGGGGTGCGAGACATCCATAAGTAGGAATGAACAGCCACTCTTCAGAACGCCAAGCATAGCCACCACGGTCCAGAGCGTCTTCTCAAAGCAGAGAGGGATACAGTCCCCATGGCGAACTCCTGCTTCAAGCAGTAGTGAGCAGACACGTGAGGACAGGTTGTCCAGCTCCAGGTATGTCAGCTGGCCGTCCCAAGACTCCACAGCTGATGATTCTGGATTCTCAACAACTCTTTGTCTGAACATGTCCTGAACGGTGGATGCTATAGTTGAAGGGACTTGTTGGTTCCATTGCCGCAGGTCTCGTCGGTCAAGATCACAGATCAAGTCGAGGTGCCGCAGTTTCTGTCCACAGGAGGCTCTAGCTAGCAACTGTCTGGCGACGTGTGCCAACTGAGTGAGAAACCTTGCGTTGGCGGGAGAGCTATCCCCGCTAATCTCGAGTTCCAGTGTAAGGGACGATGCTTGTGAATCTTTCACCGAGCAGATGATTTGACGAGGGATAGCAGAACCACTCGAATCAGAAGCTCTGTCGTTGGAGGCTTCCCAGTTATTGAAGCTGTCTGCACGCAACAAGAAGGTCTGCAATGTGGTCGGAAGTGTGGTATTTTGCTGATAAGATCTCCCAATGTTGTCGAGAAAGTCGTGCGCGCTGAGATCTGGGTCGATTGCAACATCGCCATTCCAGAGTTGCCCAGACGTACTGGTGCATATATGAAGTGAAGCAGTTGGTGTTCGCAGATAAACAGATAGGAGAAGCCCCAAGCTGCCAGAAATCAAAAGCTCTGGGGCCCATTCAGGAGTGCCAAGCTGGACTTCCTCCCGAAAGTTGGTGTCCATGTTTGAAACGATGCCCATCATGTCGGTTATTCTGTTACGTGGGAAACTGATAAAACAATGCCGTAAGTCTGTGTAGCTGTGTTATGTATTGATATAAGAGGTAAAATGTCTAGCATGAATAGTGCTTATACTCAAAGCCTTCGCCCGAGAACGTGTGAACATGTGCTTCACCAACCTTTGACCAGGATACTTTGTTATTTGAACAGAAAAATATAGCAACCTTGGTGTGATACACTGATGCCTACGAATTCGCGGATGCACTTCCGATCTTGTGCAGAGTGAAGCAGCCTCAGTCTCATCGGCTAGATGTCAGCTCGGCACGCCCTTATCGCCTAGCCGCTTCGATGCCGCGCGCCAGCCTTTAAAAGCGGGGATAGGGCTGAAATCCTTCATCTACTATCTTAGCTGTATGACCAACAGTGATGGCAGCGGAGGCAGTCAATTGCAACTGCTGAGTGACAACACTTGAAAAACAGTTGCGGCGGCTGTAGTGTCAGTACTGGATGAGGTAGAGATTGCAGGATTCCATTTACCACCGTTTCTTCAACAGTGAAGTCATAACTCAAACAGCAATCCCTTTGACATCTTGAATACCATTCCATCAAACACTCCAAACCTTCCCTCCTTTACAAACAATACGAAACGTACACGGCATACGTCGGAACCTACTCTGCTCTGAGAAGTATTTACCTACAATGTCGACCCATGTTGTTGTTCAGCCGGTCGATAGCCCTGAAGACTTCACCCAGATTTATCACTGCATAAGCGAAGCATTCGGCCGTCAAATCAAAGACTCAATATGGATTGCCATGAATTCCAACTGGAACTCTCCTGAGGGCCAGAAAGAGGGCGCTACTAAGCTCTTTCAGCGCTGGCAATCTGCGAATAAGAACAAGGACGGCCGTCCCAACACAGTTATGTTGAAGGCAACTCTACCAGATCCCCAAGATAATTTCAAGCTCAAAATTGTCGGCGCGGCCATCTGGACTCAAGCCTCTTTCGTAGAGGGTCACGGCGATCCACCGACGGATAGCCCTGCTGGACTGGCAGCTCTGTCTCCAACCGAGAGACGCTTCGCTAGCCAGATGTTCCGCTCGTTGTGGAAACGTCGTGTTTCTCTTGCCCAGGAAAAGGCGAAATCGGAATCGCCAGCCGTATTTACGCTCGATACGTGTGCCGTCGACCCAGCCTTCCAGCGAAGAGGTGTCGCAGGAAAGCTGGTGGCATGGGGCCTCGAGGAGGCAGAGCGCAGAGGCGGATTGGAGTGCATCACTGAGGCTTCACCTATGGGACGGGTTGTGTACAAAAGACTTGGATTCAGAGCGGAGGGCGCCGAAGAAGATCTCGTGTATGAGGTTGATGAGGAATTCCGGAATCGGGATAAGCCGGAGATATTGTTTATGCGTACTTGGGCTGGTAAGGTGTAGCGATATCATGAGAATCATCTAATGAACCGATTAGAAGAGTAAAGTTTCAGTTCATGTTCTTTACTTAGGGGTTGAAGGTTGAGAATTTACAGCAACCACTTTTACCCCTTCTGACGAAATCGATTTTGAATATTTCGCGAGACTCATATGGCCTGACAACACTTGGAACCGCATTGATTCAAGCAAAACTAACATCCTACATAAAAATCTCTGGGGCAATTTGCACAGAGAACAGCAACTGACTGACGAATAATCAAGCAACAAAGGAGCGACCTACCGAAATGGACATGTTTCCTCCCACGGAATTCCGGTACTCTCCATCACATACATCATTGAGAGAATGATTTCGATTCTAACCGCCTCAGAATCTGCAGAGGGATGAGTCCTTGCAAGGCAACCTCGCATTGCTCACGCACCCACCAAAAGCCGTACTGTTCTCGATCTCACGATCATCCTCAATCAGACCGGGGCGACGCCAAGGCTCCGGCGGCAACGCTAAGCTTTCCGGGCCGGCATGACCCCACCCTGGATTGCGGCAACGCTAGTCGTCCCGGCGGGCGGCAACGCTAAGCTTCTTTGGGGAGCCGTGAGCCGGACCCTGCACGGAGGACACGGGAGACCCCGTCCCGCCACGGCGCTACTGTAAGATCCTTTTGACTTCGAAGAGGCGACTTCTTTGATTTGTCGGTTACCGTCTTTCTAGAGTCTTGTTTCTTGTCATGCTCACCTCATAGGGTGTGTTTATTTGAGGTCACATAGATCTGGCTGCTGGATGGGGTGAGTGGAGTTCATTGCAGTATGTGCCGCGCGAAAAGTTCCTTGCATACCGAAGCCGCTTACTTGCCTCCCATGAGGAATTCCTCCGTGCAATGAAAAAATCGTCTGAAGGGCGCGTGTCCACATCTGCTAAGGCTGAATGGACCCTTAGAGATTTCGACAACTTGGCCTCCTTTCTGAGTGTCCATATGCTTCTCGTTTCTCTGTTTTCAACTACAGTGTTTGTACGATCTGTCCTGTTTGCCCTTGCGCTCTCATCTGAAAGTCGGTTGAGTGTTTTCTGACGACGCACTGGCACTGAGAAACTGCCTATCCCACGACCATGTCGGAGAAGAAGGAGCCAGATTCTCCGCCGGTCGAGTCTGTGAACTCAAGCGAGGAAGAGCTCCCAACTGTGAGAGGTCAGGTTCCGCGGAAAGTATGGCTCGTCCAAGGCCTTTACTTTCTGGAGAGAGCGGCATTCTACGGACTCAGCCAACCCCTCCGTAAGTCTTCTTTTGTTTAGCTTTCGTGTAAGGCATCTGCCTAATGACACGATGCAGAGAATTACCTTCAGCTTGAACCTGATGATCCCCTTCGCCCAGGAGCTCTTGGTCTAGGGCAGTCCAGAGCAGTGTTGATAGTGTATGTCTGGTTCATCTACAGCTACAGCACACCTCTTATTGGCGGACTGCTGGCAGATTGCTGGCTTGGCCGCCGCAAGACGATCCAGGTTGGGTTCTTGTAAGTTGACAAGCAGCGTGGATTTCCCTACAGGCAGATACTAACGGACCAGGATTTACGTGCTGGGACTCACTATAATCACAGCAACAGCTTTCACGCATCGAATCTACGGCGTGGGTGGCCTTCCTGGTTTCATAATAGGGATGTTTCTCGTTGGTGCTGGCACGGGAACTGTGAAACCTAATATCACGGTATTCTTGAGTAAGCACAAAGACTGTAGCAGTATGGCCACATATTCACAGGTGCTGACAATTAACAGTTGACCAATTCCCCGAAGAAGAGCCCAAGACCGTGACTCTGAAGAATGGGAAGTCGGCAACGGTCAGCCGTGAACTCACAATACGGTTTATATGGAACGTCAACTACTGGTATGGTTTCACTTCAAATTTCATAAGGCCGTGATTTGCTGATAAATAATCGACAGGATGATCAACGTTGGAGGCTTGTGCGGCATCATCACCACGAATGTTGAGAGGTATGCCTACGCCGGCTTTGGCTTCGCCTTTCTCGTTTGCCTCTGCCTGATTGTTGCATCTGCATCCATCTTTCAAGCTGGATACACCAAGTTCGGTAAGCAATCTGTTGCCTCTCAATTGGCAATCATTAAGTATGTGTCGCTGACGAATTGCAGAAACGATGCCCCCGTCAGGAAACGCCATTGCGAATCTCTTCAGCGCATTGCGTCGCCGGCGAAACCCAGTCCATCATGGGCCAGACCAGGCCGAAATCTCAGCATCCTCGTCGGCTCAAGAAGATGGCCCTGCAACTCCAAGCAAGGATGAGGCTGTGATTGCTGATGCAAAGACCGCCCTCCGAGCCTGCTTAGTCTTGTATGATATCCCTCGCATGAAACTAACACCGGTTACAATCACTAACAACGAATAGCCTCCCATTCCCAGCCCTGATGCTCTCCATCAACCTCATGGACAGTACCCTCATTGCACAAGCAGGCACAATGCAGACCCACGGTCTCCCGAACGATATTATGTACAACTTGAACCCCATCTCCGTCATGGTCTTCTTGCCTCTGTTTCAAAGCTTCATCTACCCCGCACTGGCAAAAATGAAGATCAACTTCTCCGCCGAGCACCGCATCGGCGTGGGCCTCTTCTGTGCTTCGCTCGCAATTGGATACGCCACAGGGATTCAGCACCTCATTTACTCGACTGGGCCATGCTTCAACCATCCACTAAAGTGTCTAGGTGGGAATATTCCGAACGATATCTCTGTTGGGGTTCAGACACCGACTTACGTATTCCTCGGCTGGGGAGAAATCCTCGCGATTGTTTCGGGTACTGAGCTTGCCTATTCGCGGGCACCAGCGAGTATGAAGTCGATCGTCCAGGCCCTTTTCAACTTCTTCAGTGCTTTGGGCTCGGTTTTCGGCGTTGGCGTATCGTTTGCCGCCTACGACCCAAACATGGTCTACGTTTATGGATCAATCACTGGGTTTCTGCTGTTTGTATCCTTGGCGTTCGAAGCTACCTATCTGTTGAAAGGCAAAACGTCGAAGTGAATGAGGCAATAGTCAGGGCTCTGACTCGTATTCGATAAATAAATGTAATCAAGGTTCTTTCTGACCATCGCGGTTGTAAATTGAGTACACATGAAGCAAGGAAAGGGGACATGAAGTTCTAGAACCGTTGGAAACCCAAGATTGGGGAACATTTCAAATACAGTGTATACTTAGAAGCTACGTTCAATTCAGGACAAATATAGAAGCAATCAGACTATATTCCCATAAGTCGCATTCAATGTAATTCATTTTGACAGCTCTTATCTGCTAGCATGCGATTGAACTGCTTCTAGCTTGGTCGCTATATTTCAACTGCAAGGCTTCGCAAGACTTGAAATTGCAGATATTACTGGAACTGAGAATGTGCAAATGCCACACGAGCTCCCTCAACGTCACCTTGATTTTAGGCGTTCGAATGTAGAAAGATTTATGTTCGTTCGGGCAACTTTGGAACTTTCGATGGAAGCTATCTGCCAGGTATCCATGTGACTTGTCATCTACGTAGATGCTGGCCGCTTATCCAGAACCCATTTGATCCCATCAACCACAATTTCCGGCTCAGTCATCTGCACAAAGTGCCCACTCTCAGTTGCGAACACAAGCTCGCTCTGTGTAGAAACCTTCAAGAATTCTCTCATGAGACCCTCATTCTTCCCATCGACCGAGTCGATCAACTCTCTCACATACTTCCTCTGCTCCTCGGTACCGTTACCTTTCGCAACGCCAGCATTATACAGCCCACTCCAGTCCCTGCTTCGCAAGCCGCCGATCACATAGACTGGCTTATCACCAAGTAGTGGTTGCTTCTTGCTTAGTTCCTTCTTCCTAAGCGTCTCGAAACTAGGAATGTAGTTCTCGAATTCCTCTTTCTGTTCGATAAGCTTGAACTTATCCGTCGTCTCCGCCGCTCTGAAAGCATCCCACTCCTCCCTCGTCAACTTGTGATTCGCCTCTACACCCCAAGCAGAGTATGGCTCGACACCTGCGGCAACAGCCCAGAGTGTTGGGTCGTTCACGTCCACAACCAGGGGCTGTGTTTCGTGATTGGCGTCCACAAGCACCAGGCCGGCGATCTGGTCGGTGCCCTTGAGCGCAATGTACTCATGGGTGAGCACGCCGGCCCAGGAGTGGCCGACGAGGATCAGAGGGTTTGGGATCGGGGCCTTATCGATCAGAAGTGAGAGCTCCAGGACAACATTCTCGGCCGAGGGGTTCAGTGGTGAGGAGTCGGAGTTATTATAGCCGGAGCGGTCGTATGTGTAGCTTCGCACCGAGGTAGCCAGCTGCCGTACCACAGCTTGCCAGTTGAGAGCATCGCTCGCCACACCGGAGATGAACAGTACGACGGGCTCGGTGGTGCTCCTAGGCTCTGGGCCATGATTGTACAAAGCCAAAGAGTGAGTGCCGATGTTGACGAGACGGCCATTTGAAGGCAAGGTTGAGGAGGCCATTGTGGGTTGGTGGTTTGGTGGAAGGTTTAGCTGCGATGTTGAGGTTTCGTTACGTCTGATGAATGAGTTGTGATATGATGTTCGCCAACTTTCACATGCTGAATAAGTTTGCAATATATCGCGATATGGAGAGGATGTAGAACAGAGGGGTCAAGTGAGACGATGGAGGGGTAAAGTCACGGAGGGGCAAACAGCTTCTCGCGAGACTTTGGGAATTTCAAAAGCCTGATCGGTTGGCGCTCCGTCTGAGTGCATCTTTAGCGTTGCCGCCTGGCCCACATGCCCCTTGCTTGTCCCTGCGGCTGATGGTCTTGCAGGTCATACATGTACCCTTACCTGGGCCCGCCACTCAATGTAACGTGAGTCTGACATTCGTGATTTTGTGCTGAGTTTGCGTTGTCTGCCGTGATTTCTTGTTAGGCGAATAGTTGTTGTCAGCTAGAATGTGGACTTGCTTGAGAAGATTGGATGTACTGAAAGCTGTACTTGGATTGTATCATGAATTCACCTTCGATGGAAGCCTTTGTTCCATGAGCACTTGAACGGGAGTTGATGAGACTCTGAAGATGAAATTTTGCTCTATGGAAAATGCTAAAATACAGACGTGAAATTTCAACACCAGACCCTAGACATCTCTATCTGCACCAGTGCTACTCTTCACCCATCTCAGGCCCTCACCACTTTCATACCCACTCTTCGTACATCCCGAGTCCTCGTCATGATCTTTCTATCCTTCGGCTTCCCGTCATTGTTTCCCAAGAAACCCTGACCGCGAAGGTACTCAATGTTCTGACGCGCAGCCGCAAGCACCTCCCGCATCTCCCACTCGTAGCTCTCATGATCTGTGACTTCAATCTTTGTACCGAGAGCGCCCAGGAACTGCTGCACTGGCCATAATGGGTGCTGTTCCTGTTCTTGTGCCATATCCTGCCTAGCAAGCTCAGTCCACTCGCTCCACGAGACCGGCCGTAGCTGAAGCTGTAGTTGATCTTCGACGGCGGCCCAAAAGTCGTTGACCCAGACTCCTCTCTTAATGTGGACGAAATGCTCGCGAGTTTTACCAGTTGCATGCCAAAGAATGGACTCCGTGACGTGGCGAACATCCGACACCGACAGCCAAGATGCCTCCGAGTCGACTGGGCGAGCTCCAAGCCTGACCGCGCCCATCACGACCCTCCACAAGAAGTCGTCCGCATTCGCAACACCTTGATACACATCCCCAATGATCTGCCCCGGTTTGACGACCGCAAATGTCGTATCCGGTTTGCGGAATTGAGTGGCCGCAGCGCTGACCAGTCTCTCCGACACGTATTTTGTCTGGTCGTATCCGTTGGCCATCTTTGCCTCTTCCTCCGTCCAGGTTCGGCTATCCGTGATGAGACCACCCGAGACGTACACAAAGCTCTTCAGGAACGGAGATGCCATTGCTGCCTGTAGAAGCTGCACCGTAGAGCCGACGTTGACATCTTTCAGCCCGTCGTAGTTCGTGGTCCAATGCACTCTGGCACCGTTGTGGATGATGGCGTTGATGGTACCATGTACGCTAGGACGACCGCACAAAGCGCTCCATTGCGAATCGTTCAATCCGAGCCTTTCGGCTGAGAGATCTCCGTCCCAGACCTCAATTGCAGAAGTGAACGATTCCTTCCACCACCCAGCGATCTTGGCCGTCTTCATCACCCTGTCCAAACCCCTTTGTTCGTCTAGGCCGCGGACAAGTAGCACGACTCTATTGAATGCGCGCCTCGTGAGTGTTGATTGAAGAATCTGGGTTCCAAGAAATCCGGTGGACCCAGTGAGAAATACTGTTGATCCAACAGCAGCGCGGTCAACTTCAATTTTGCTAACGAGCAAGTCTATTTCTCGTTCTAGATCAGTCGGGGTGGGTTGCACCAGCTCCTCAACCGACTGGCCGCGAGAGAGATTGTCGATGAAAGCGGCAAGTTCACGCAAGCTATTTTGCTGCTGGACCAAACGAGGTACGCCAATGTTGATGTCGAATCGCTTGCGTATCGTCATAGCCAGCGACATGGTCTTGATGGAATCACCCCCAACCTCGGCGAACGTATGGTTGGCAGCGATGAGATCAGGCTTGATGTCGAGTACCCGAGCCCAGATATCCCGTAAGGTTTCTTCGGTGGCAGTGAAGGCAGACTCGAATACTGACACGTCTGATGGAGAAGGCGCCGGTGGGCTGTAGGCTCTGCCTAGCTCGCGAACTCCCTTTCGATCTGTTTTCCCTGTCGCTGTCATGGGGAGCTTTGCGAAGGGGATAGGAACGTACGCGCCGGGAACCATGTACGAGGGAAGCAATTTCGACAGCTCCTTGCGAAGGTTTGCTATCATCGGGCCAGTTGTCTCTTTCAACGCAGCTTCATCGACGTCTTCGTCGGGCATGACCAAGAACACCGCTAGAGTCTGTGTCTGAGTAGCGTCTGGGATGATCACGTCGACCACAACCTGCGGCACTGCCTTGGTTGGAAGAATTTGACGAACGTGGTATTCGACTTCTCCTAACTCCATTCGCTGGCCGTTGATCTTGACTTGGGTATCGTTCCGCCCAACGAATCCGAGAGAGCCGTCTGGGGTGTAGTAAACGAGATCACCTGTTCTGTAAAGTCGTCCACGGCGACCAGACACTCGTTCAGGAACTCCATCCACCAGCCATTTGGGATCGTCGATAAATGCGCCGGCTGTCTTCTCGGGATTGTTCAAATAGCCAGCACCCACGATCGGCCCCTCAAGCCACAACTCTCCAATAGTCCCGATGGCAGCCAACCTGTCAGGGGCCCGAGGCTGGACAACCCAAACCAGACAGCCGGTGCCTTTGCCAATACCGGGGTCACCAGGTGGTCTGCCATCAGGCTCAGGTTTTCGGACCCTCTCGACTGTGCTCGTGACGGTACACTCGGCAGGGCCATATGTGTTGTAGATCTCGGCACTGGAAGCCTCCCATCGAGCGACGTCGCTGGCCTTGAGCGCCTCACCGATGAACAAAACCTTCTTCAGGCTGCTCAAGGCCACAGGATCCAGCAAACGTCCAACGGTTGGTGTGAGATGGATGAAATTTGCTTGCAACCGGCTGATGGAGCCATTGATGTCGGCGGTGCGCTCGTCCTCTGAGGGAATACAAAAACATGCGCCCACGGTCAGCGTGTGCAGCACATTAGACCACGCAACGTCGAAGGCGTACGAGGTGTAATCGAAAACTCTCGACGATCTTTCGAACCCGAGCTCTGATTGGTGGTATCGGATGGCGCTGCAGAAGTTGGCATGTGTGACAGTCGCCCCTTTCGGAGCGCCTGTGCTACCAGACGTGAAGACGATATACAGAGCGGATGATGGGTCGACTGTCGGCATTTTGGGAGAGAAAATGGCTTGAAACAAGTTCTCGAAGTTGTTCAAATCACCTCCCACTTCCACGATTGGGGCATCAGTGATGTCGGCCGCAAGCTTTGCACAAGACTTCGAGCTCAAGATCAACTTGGCCGAAAGCTGACTCACAATGCTCTCTAATCGGGAGCGAGGCATTGTCGTGTCTAAAGCAACAGACGCCGCACCGGTCTTCATGACTGCGAAGATTGCGACTGGCATCCACACTGACTTCTCAAAGCACAGCGGGATGATGGCACCGGGTCCGACTCCCAGCCCCAAGCTGAGGAGATGGCCCGCCAGCAGTGTAGAAAATCGATTGAGTTGAGCATATGTGAGCTGGCCGTCCCATGCGTATATGGCTGGTGCCTCAGGAGTTTCGACGACCCTTTGAGCAAAGACGTGGTGGACACAGTCCTCAACACTTTCTGGGACGGTTGCGTTCCATTTCCACACGTCAAGCAAGTCACGCTCGCTGACTCTGCTGAGATCATTGATGTCGGTAGATCCATCAACAGAGGCGATTTGATGTAGAATGTGCTCGAGCTGCTGAAGGATCCGCGCCGCGGCGTCTTCTTGAATAACATTGGAGTCGAAGCTCAGTTGCACACTAAGCTTTGAGCCCGATGTTTGGCAGGTAAGCATCATGGCATATGTGTTTTCCGAGCCAGAACCCGTCTCTTGATCGTTCAGGTCATCTTGAAAGATCGCACTCTCCATCGTGTTTTCCTCAGTCGATGGGTGAACCAGGAGAAGTGTTTGGAAATCACAGGCGTACTTGGCTTCCTCGCTGATCTGCCGAACATGCTGCAAGCCATACTGTTCAAAGGGGATCATCTCCATTGCCTGTTCTTGCACCTGATGCAACAACTCTTCGACAGTTCCGCGGACTAGGACCCGGAGTGGGACAGTGGCGATCGTGGGGCCCGCAACGTCTTCAATTCCAGGCACGGGGGCTTGACGACCCGACACAACAGCTCCAAACGTTACGTCTGAAGAATCCACGTACCAGGAGATGAGCGTTGCCCACGCCGTACGAAGGGAAGATGAGGCGGTGACACCGCAGTTGGGCCAGCGAATGCTGTTGATGGAATGATTGATGATCTTATCTGGCTTTGGCTGGTACGTTTTGGAGGGGAGGACAGGAAATGAAGATGCTTCGATCCCAGCAAATTGTCGCTTCCAGAAGGCCGTCCCGTCTTCGTTGTGTTGGTTCATGACGTACTTTACGAAGCTTTGCATGGGAATGGAAGACAGCTCGGCTTGCTCATCATTGTACGCCTTCTCCACCTCGGCCTGTAGCTGTGGAACGGACCAGCCATCGTAAGTCGCATGGTGGTGCGTCAAAGCCAGCCATTTCTTTTTTGCAAGTTCGTCTTGTATGATCGCGAGATGTGTTAAGGGGTTGCCGAGACCAATAGAGTCCTTCTCGGTGTTGTTTTTGCTCTCATGGTACTCATTCCAGGACGAGAGGATCTGCCACTGCAATGCCTCATCGAGAACAACCTGTATCAGGCCTTGACCCGGTAGGTCGACGATGCGAGTTCGAAGCACGGAAGCTCTTTCAGACACCTTTTGCCACGCCTGCTGGAGCTTCTCGATGTCGGTCTCTGGCTTCAGCTCAGAAACCTGGTGACCGACGTATTTACCCGAGCTCCTCATAGTCATTGCCAAAAGACCCTCCTGAAGCGCCGTGCAGGGGAATGCATCTTCGACCTGTGAAGGCTTCACGTGCCAAGAGCCGACGGAGCAAAGCTCTGCTAATTGTCGACACGCCTCGTCCCTACCCATCTCGGCTTTCAGCAAGGAAAACGGCCGCACGGCTTCCGGAACTGTTGCCTCGGTTCTTGACATGAGCTTGGCCATCTCACTGAGCTGTGGATGACTGTAGATGTCCGGGACCGTCAACCACATTCCCTTGCGGCCAATATCAGTCGCTAGTCGTATGGCCGCGATGGAATCACCGCCAAGACGAAGGAAGTTGTCCTGCGCTCCGATGTCGCTTGCCGGGATATGAAGAACTGACTCCCAAAGGTCCCTTAGCTGCATCTCTGCCTCAGTCGTGGGCTCGATGTGCTGTGAAGGAATGTCACCAAAGAATGATGTAAGTTCCTTGCGGTTCAAATTGGCACCCATCTCGCGGAGTGCTCTTCGGTCTGTCTTTCCCGTCAACCCCCTGGGCAGGTCGGTCATTGGGATGTAGACACTTGGTACCATGTGAGGTGGGACTTGGTTGGGCATTTCTGCTTGGATAAGTTCGCTGATCGGACCAGCTTTCTCCATCAAGCCTTCTGGGCTTGTTGTGGGCATGAGTAGAAATGCCACCAAAATAGGGCGTTGGGTAGCCTTTGGCGTGACGACTTCGGCGACAATATCTGCCACAGCTGGGGCCGAACGCAGGACTCGACAAATATGGTGCTCAACGTCGCCTAGCTCTGTACGCTGCCCGTTGATTTTGACCTGAGTGTCTTTCCTTCCGAGGTAGATGAGTTCGCCATCAGAAGTATACCGCACCAGGTCTCCAGTTCGATAAAGACGTCCGCGGCGCCCCTCCGCCCCTGGTCCTCCCCGAAGCAACCACTTTGGATCCTCGATGAAGGCAGCGGCCGTTTTCTCGGGGTTGTTAAGATACCCAGCTCCAACTAAGGGTCCTTCGAGAAGCAACTCTCCGATCAACCCGACGGGCGTAAGCGCGTCCTTGTCTGGGTTGGCAACCCAGGTCGTCGATCCAAGCGCCCATCCAATGGTAGCCTTGGTGGTACTGCCGTCGTTGATAACTCCAGTGGTGGTGACCGTACACTCGGCTGGCCCGTATGTGATGATCGTGGTCTTGATGTTCCTGAGTTGCGGCAGCTTATCGAAGTCTACGACTTCGCCAATGAGCGCAACAGTGTCAAGTGTCGGCACTTTGTCCAGGTCTAGAATAGCGGCTACCGATGGCGTAAGATGCACAAAGGTCACCTTGTTTTTGACCATGTACTGGATGAAGTCATGCTTTCTGTCGTGTTCCGAAGGTATACAAAAGCAAGCTCCTGCGGCGAGTGTGTGGATGTAATCGGACCATGACACGTCAAAAGCGTACGAGCAGAATCCTGCGACTCTTGCTGTCGGCTTGAAATTCAAGTATTTGTTCTGATGCTTGATTGCCGATGTAAAGTTCGAATGTGTGATTGCTGCGCCCTTGGGGTTGCCCGTGGTTCCGGAAGTGAAGACAACATAGAGCAGGTCGCTGGGCTTAACGATGGGCAATGTTGTCTCGAAGCCTGCATCTTGCTTTTGGCCAAACAACTCTGATGCAGACTCTTTGCACACCACGAATGGCTCACGTTCTGTAACGGATGAGGCCAAGGGAGCCGTTGAAGGGGAACACAGAACGAGGCCAGGGCCTACTATGTCGATCATCGTCTTGATGCGTTCCTTGGTCTGCGAAGGATCGATCACAACCGACGCTGCACCAGCCTTCATGACAGCAAACTGAGAGACTGCCACCCACATTGACTTCTCCAAAATCAAGGGTAGCACATCCCCAGGGCGAACTCCCTTCTGCAAGAGACAATGAGCCAGTTGGGTCGAGAGCGTGTCCCACTCAGCGTAGGTCAACTCGCCATCCCAGGCACTGATGGCGGTCTTGGTGGGATATCGAGAAACGCTCTTGGACAACAGATCATGAACGCATCCTCCCGCCCCCTGGGGTGCCTTGGCGTTCCACGTCCAGACTTGTCGTAGGTCTTCAGAAGTCATCGCGTCCAGGTCGCAGACCTTCGTAATGGACATATCGGCCCGGCAGATCTGACGCAATATGTGACCGAAGTGATTCATAACTCGCGATGCAACTTGCTCGTCAATCACAGCCGAATCGAAAGTCATCTTGGCCAGCAGAGAGGTGTCTCTCACTTCGCAGCAGAGAGTGATAGCGTAGGCGTCCAATTCTGTTCCATCCAAGATCGGCGGCTCGCCCGCTTCAACGGCAGACTGCACCATCAGCAAAGATTGGGATTGCCAGCCCTGATCAGCATCCTCGGTGATGCGTTGAGACGTCGGAGATCCCGTCAAATCGGGTGATAACGTGTGGTGTTGCAATGCAGTCAAAGTCATGTCTCCTTCAACTCCAACACGGACAGTTATGGCTGTGAGCCCAGGACATTGCTCGATGCTCGACGATGGCAAAGCAATGTCAAAGACTGTCTCGATTGACTCTCCGTACCAAGATAGGAGGATAGCCCACGCAGATCCAGTCACTCGATCGAGATTGACATTTTGAGGCCATTCTATGTCCTCAATGTCACAATCGATTGACTTGTCGGCTCTTGAGTGAAGATCGCGCAAGGAAAACAGCTGTCTTGACACGATCTGCGGCTTCCTCTTGGCTGTTGGAAGTAGAATGTTGACATTGCAGTTTACGTCATCAGACGATGGAAGTAGTAGACCAACCATTTTGGCGTGGCTTGTAGTGTTGGCGGGTTGGCTTGAGGATTGAAAGTAGAAGTTGAAATGTTGTTAATTTGGTGTGCTTGTGCTACTGTTGAACTCGCAGAATGCGAACTTGAAAATGGAACTGTTCTTTGCATACATGTGTGTGTTGATACACCACTGAAGTTCTCAACTTCTTCTAATAGTACGTTTAGAATTGAAATCATATGGTTTCTCTATCTTCTATTACCACCATTGCATTTCTGTTTGCTAGCATATTTTCTGTTGACCTCGGTTTAGTCTTGCCGCTCGTAAACTTCAAGTTCTTCTCGGTGTATGTTCTTCACAACCTCTGCCGCCCGAGACAGGGGCAATTTTCCCATTCGACACTTGTAAAGCAATAACCCGGGGAATAAGCGCTAACTGTCTTACCGGTTGTGCCATGTTTCTAAGCAATACGGTTGCCGCGGTGGACGGCCGTCAGCTTTGCCCCAGTGCATCACTGAGTCAGACTTCATAAACGTACCAGCTTCTTCAGGGGCTCGCTTGTACGAGGCGATGCCTGTAAGTGGAGCGTACGCGCGTCTTCCAGCGGCCCGCCATCCTGCCATTGCGGGCCGCCGATTCCTTGGTGTTTTCCTTAGCTCTGCCGCCCAAGGCTCCCAAAAGTACCCTACAGTTAACCGACGCGCTAAAGATCTTGATCCAACGTCCCTGAATCCTTCAAGATCGTTCGATGTTTCGGGGTTCATGATGGCCTGGGTTGCCTGCATGGCCGCCGCTAACAGTGCCGCCTCCAGCCTTGTCGTGTAATACGATTCAGCGAGGCGTACACTTGTAGAAGGGGCCGAGCAAACAACATTATCAGAAGGAAAGGAAGCAGCAACTCTAGTAATACCAAGCTTATTCACGGAAGAGTTCATTCGGTCATCATTTGGCACTGCTCTTAAGCAAGTAGACAACGCAATACCACGGAAAACTGGCGACATTCTCTACCAAGTTCATCGAGAGCAACTATGTCGTTTGAAAAGTCGTGGCCAGAGTTCTCTCTGAGCAGTGAACAACAGTTCACCAACACCTCCGTGGTCATTGTCGGAGCCGGCATTGGAGGCATGTGTGTCGCCATCGACTTGATCAAACGCAATAACTGCCGAGATTTTGTCATTCTGGAGCAATCTTCTGGAGTGGGCGGGACATGGTGAGCAAAACCAGCTACATTCGTGCGCTATGAGTTCCTAATCAAAGCATGATAGGCATGCCAACACGTACCCCGGCTGCGCTGTGGACTTGCAATCCATCGTCTACAGCTACAGCTTCGCCCCCAACAGCAATTGGAGCCGAGACTTCCCTGGCCAGAAAGAGATTCTCTCTTACTTGACCCGAGTAGCGCAGGAATACAGGCTTTACGAGCATATCCGATTCTGCTCAACTGCTGAGTCTGCGACTTGGGATGATGAGTCGAAGAAGTGGAAAACGAGCGTGACAGTTGCCAAAGGCTCCAAGGACGCTGAGGCCACTTCCAACTACACCATTTCAAGTGACTTCTTCGTCAGCGCTGTAGGCCAACTGAGTCAACCTAAATGGCCAGACATTGAGGGTTTGGGTAGTTTCCAGGGCAAGACTATGCACAGTGCTGCATGGGACTGGACGTATGACCTGAAAGATAAGAGAATCGCCGTTGTAGGAAGTGGTATGTCATCAATTTTGGCAATCTCTTCGTCACCAAGCTAATCTTCTCTCTCCGCTTAGGTTGCAGTGCTGTCCAGATTGTACCTGAGCTTGCAAAGGTAGCGAAGAAGGTCACGGTTTTCCAAAGAACGCCTCACTGGATCCTACCTCGTGGGGACTACGAGATCTCAAACGCGAGGAAAGCGCTTTACCGTTATTTTCCCTTCTGGCAGCGGTACTGGCGCAGACGCTATGTAGACCTCAACGAGACGGAGTTCATTTCGAACAACTTCATCGATCATGAGGAAAACAAAAAGCTGAAACAGGCAGCTCTGGACATGATGCGAGAACAGCTGCCCAATCAACCAGAGTTATGGGAGAAGCTGACACCCAACTACCCGGTCGGCGGCAAGCGAGTGGTGGTCTCGGACTTCTTCTTCCCATCCCTGAATCTTCCCAATGTCGAGCTCGAAGCGAGGTCTATACACAGCATCAACGACCAAACTGTGCGAGTTACCGACGCTGCTGGCCAGGCTGAAGATGCAGACTCTCACTACGACCTCATCGTCTTTGCAACTGGCTTTCGAGCCACAGACTTTCTTCATCCAATCAAGGTCTTCGGCCGGAAAGGTCGGGCCTTGCATGAGATGTGGAAAGACGGCGCCCGGGCTTACCAGGGCACCTGTGCCGACGACATGCCGAATTTCGGAATGGTATTGGGGCCAAACACTGGCCTGCTCCATAACAGCTTTATCTTGATGATCGAGGCCCAGAGTCGATACATCAACGGCTTGATCAAGCCGGTGCTAGAGGCTCGGAGGCTCGGAGGAGCACTGAGCTTGACGCCTCGCCCGGAGAAGACCGAAGAGTACAATGCAATACTCCAACACCGACTGAAGGACTTTGCCGTGAACAACTCTCAATGCAACAATTGGTACAAGAATGATTCTGGGCTGATTACAAATCTTTGGCCGGGCATGGTGCTGGAGTTCCAGAAGCTGATGGAGCAGGTGAATTATGCGGACTACGAGTCCGAAGGGTCTTTGAAAGAAATTGTACAAAAGCGGCCTTTACACAAGGTTGGCCGCGTTGTCGAGGAGGGTGGCATTCTTGAGAAGCTTTCCTTGACACATGTTGTAGCACTTGGCACCGGTACGGTTGTCGGAGGACTCTTGATGCGCAGACTCGTTACATTGTCATAGGGCTCTATGGAAAGACCACCTAGACAACATAGGCTGGTTATATTTTACACATATATTACTTGCGCAATTCATTTTCATTAGCTTTTAATTATAGTTACGTTTGTCAACTTATATCATGAACAACTCCCATAGCCATAGGCGTCAGCAATGTTGGTCCGGGAAAGAAACAATTGATGTCAACTTACGACTCCTGTCATTGCTTCATGCGCGGCGTGCCCAAGAAAGGGACATATACATGATCAGGCAAAAAGAAAAGAAAATGCAAACCGTTGACTCAATAGTTGTGTGTCAAAGCACCCTTTTTTGAATTACATGGATGTCTACGTTTTCTTCTCTACCGTTTCCTGAGCTCCAAGTTCTATGCTCGCTCAAATAAGCAGAATGTACTGGCCACGCTTTTCCATTGTAGATGCCCAGTCATGACTGGCTGGTTCCGTTTTCCTCAACCGCCAGCATTCTTCCATGAGACCCAAGGCCTCCACACACGCCCCGTGTTTTATCTGCGGTAAGGACACAAGCTCTCGGAAAACTTTTTGTTGCTCATCAGCTGCTAAGCAACCCGAGATGCAGTACGGCCAAACCACGTGTTGCAGCAACTTCGGGTCTGGTAAACTCTGAAGAGCATCAACCGTTTTCGAAACGCTGCTCTTAATATCCGGGATTTCGGGAAAGGCACCGGAGATAACTACGTGAAGGTAGGTAATGGCGGAGAGCGCAAATATCCTGGTGATCTGGTTCTTGATGAAGTCTGGTCGCAGGTGCGTATCTACTGGCGCTCTGTTCGATATGTCGTTTTCGATGCTAGCCAGTCGGCTTAGTAGGCGCTCCTCGATATGACGACCACGCTTAATCAACTCTATGAGACTCAATCTGTGAGCGTCATCCTCCTCCTTTTTCCACTTGTCTAGAGATGAGATCTCGAAGATGAAGATCATTGCCCAGTTACTGCAACCTATCAAGTCTGCCAGGTTGAGCTCGCCTGTCTCGAGCAAGACTTTGTGGTCTGACACCAGGAATTGGCTTGATCGGGTCGATGCACAGGTGATTATGTGCATGTGGATGAAGAAACCGAGAAGAAAGCTGATCGAGGTATCACAATGTTGGATTGCCATATTCTGATTCTCTTTCCAGTGATCCTTCCTCGCTGCAGCTGACCCCATTTGTGCTTGCACAAGCGATGGAAGTAAAGCAGTTGCACCCGCGAGGTGTACTTGCCAGCTGTGGTTCCCGCCACTGCATGACTGTTTTGAGATACGATTAGCATTTGATGCAAAATGAGAACGACTGAGGGTATGTTTACTCACTTCGTAGAACAAGAGGTGAAGAATAGTGGTTAGCACTTCGATGTTATGGGCAAGGCCAAGATTTCCGCTCCACGCTGAGGATCTCGCGAAGCTTGTTTGCAATTCTTGGAGAGCCAGCTCGTGGTGTCCGGGCCTTCTTGCGACAGGATGGACGCTGCCGTGCTGTGTTGATGTCGACTGGTAATACTCGCTCAGAGCAAGAGCAGCGTGATAAGCAGAGCTCGCCCGTTTCAAGATTGAAAGCAGCCAGCCTCGCCCTTGCCGATTGGAAGGGAAGTAAAAAGGACAGTGAAGGTAGAAGACGTGATCAAAATAATACATGAATAAAATGTCCTCCACGTCCCCGTGCAGAATTGGATTGCCCAGCCCGATCGGTTGAGAAACAACATCTGTGGAGCCTGAACGCGAAGTCCTCTGTGCTGAAAGAGACCAATCCGCTTCACTGCTGTATCCAGACAATTCAGATAAACAATATTCGCCCAGTATGGGGTCGCAAAAGAGATCTATGGCGTCCATGTTCGCTTCGGATGAGGGTTTCGATCCAGAGACATCGATGGAGCCTCCACATCGGGCGTGGCTTTCTTCGGTGACAGGCGATATGCCTGTTGGTATTGTCGGAGCAGCCGAGGAGGACTGGTGAGTTTGATTGAAGAAGAGTTCCGTCGAGAAACCGGCATTAACAAGCGCCTCATTCCATGCCCCTCCCGTGAGTCCACTCGTCAATTGGTTCCCTTGCGGCGGATGAGCTGAAGGATGGCTTGTCGAGGCGACGCTTCCGGCAATCAAAGTGTCTGAATCGAGTTCGAAGTCCTGCGTTGAGCCGGGCATTTCGTTCTCTCGTATTGCGGACTTAATCTGGGCGATGATTTGCGTCTTGTAGCGAGCCTGTTCCCTCTGCAAATCCCCCCTGTCCATCCAATAAGGCCTTGGCCCGTACCCATCGCAGGCGATCTGCAGAGAAGTGCACCGGAAACACGACGGGTGATTCTCATCGCACTTCTTTTTCCGAAGTCGACAAGTCCAGCAGCCCTGGGTGCTTCTGCTGGCCAACTTGCGCGACATGTCGTCTGTTATTTTCTGGTAAGATTGGGTGATGCCAAGCGTGCGGCTCCCAGTTTTCTGCTTAGGCTCTTCTTAGCCAAGGTCGATCTTCCGCATATCTTGGCTTCACTGCGTCGTACATAGATAAGCGCTCAGCAATCAGCAACGTTGGATCCCTTGGCACTCCACCGACTTACCTTCCTTAAATATCTCGAGAACGGCAGCTTTTCCTTCACCCACCTAGCTGATATGCCAAGCTATACGCCCAGAAGTCGGGGGATCGCTGACCCGACTTACACGAGCCTCTTCGCAATAACAGACAGAGCTGAGATTCTTTCATACGTGATCAAGCCATAAAGCAGCAGGCGGCCCGCTGGCGGGTGAGGCGGCCCACGTGCTATGCAGTTATATATGGTAGGCCAACGGCGGTCGGCAGAAGACGTTTTACTCCGCCGGCGGCGGCCCGAATCTTAGTTCCCCTTCAGACCTTGCTGCAGCCTGCCCCGCCCGAAGGATCGCCTCTCCACACATTGGTCCATCTCAGCCTGATGTACGCTGTAAGCTGCACTTTGCTGGGCAAAATCTTGTTGGAGCGGCGGGAACGCTTGTCTCATACCATTGAACCACTACTCCATGTCCTGCCTGTTCAGGGTAATACGTGATACTAAGCGAGCAGCGGTGCCGCCACTCGGAATGTCTCACTGCCGATGTCGTGGGGAGCCAACTAAGACAGGGCGTTATTGCGTCTTTTTGGGGGTAGGAAACGTTAGAGGCACAGCGGCTTCGACCGAGGCCTCAAATTGTTAGCGCAGAAGTAAGCAGTTGAGGTATTATCCCGTAAGGCTCACTCATACGAGAGGCAAAAGCAAGTAAGCAGCCATGACATTCCCGTGTGTCTTGAAATTCGAGTCGTCAAAATGTTGCAGGCTTTCATTGGAACCCCCTGCCCTAGACGGTGCATGTTGCTGGAGGCTTGACTGCTCAATGCAACGGTATTACAGAATACCCATGAGCATGCCTCGGGAAATATCCAATCGGGAAGGGACGCATAAGCCGAAGTGCTCGATAGACCCTGGTAGATCATTTTCTGGGCGGAGCCCTCGAAGTTCGCTGCAGAATTGTTTTTAGTCTTTGTTATTGGTGGGTGGAGTTGTGGTGAAGTGTTGACGCCATCTTCTGTACCTTGCAGTCACCCGGGTTTGTTGGAAAAAGACCACATAATACATGTATACATGGGAACGTCGTGATATCCACCCAGGTCAGGATTCGATGTAACGTTCTCGAGCTGTTGCCTAGAAGTTTGACGTGGGTATAGTCTCAGTTTGACCTGGTATTGGGGCAGATGGCCTGAGGCGAGGCAGAATACAAACATGAAGCCAGGGGCTAAAGGGATCGGAGGATCGGAGTTTCTCTATGCTCACAAGACTACTGTTCTGATGACGAACCCTGATGGCTAACCCTGGCCTCGGCTTTTGTTCGTCCCGTCAGTTCATAACTCCGAGGGCTTTAGACGGACGTCTAGGATGCAGTGATCAAGCGACGACGAGGCATAGCCTAAGGGGAATACACCATTGCTGAAAGAACGAGAACGTCATAGAAACCTATACCAAAGTTTAGGCGCACAGGAGCATGAATTGGCACCCTTTTATGGGTAATATTGATGTATCTCTTGCGACGAAGCTCAGTCTTCTTTGCCTACATGTCAATGACAAGTCTTTGGCTACACTAGCTCACGGCATACCCCAGTCCTTTCAAAGACAGAGGAAACAACTTCAACACTCAAGCTTCATGACAGTTATCAGAAGCTTTTCCAGTTTCCAGCAGATAATATGCGACGGCCTCACTGCTCTTATGAAAGTAGTTGTCGATCTCAGGGAAGCTAGATTAGCGAGCAGGGTGCTGTGGAAGGCCATCGTCGGAAACTGAGTACATTCACACACAAGGATAAAATCATAAGCTCATGAAATGCCTCTTTCACCAGGTAAAACATGAATAAGTAGATATAAGTCGCGCAGAAACGCTTAATACATCATCTAAGTTTCGAGGTAAAGAACCTGTCTCGCGGTATTGCGCATCGGGGTCTTTCCAGAAACTCAGAGAAAACTGCTGCGCAGGCCGATTGGAAATGCTTCGAGTTCACATGTACAGATCTCGTACGAAGGAAGGCCAAGTGAAGTTATAAATAGACCAACAAAAACGATGCTAGTTCTTTTCCAAAGCCGAGGAATATTGCCAGAGCTAGTAGCAACTACGGTAATTATGTTCGAAGCTGCATCTAAGGTTTTACTAGCACCTTACTTTTCATGCTGGGAGGTTTTAAGGGTATAGTCATGTGATAAAGATGGCACGATCTCTGGTCCGGTAGGCTGATTTGGTCCTGAACCGCTGTTGGACGTACATGCTCCCTCTAAATTGGGTCTCGGTTCAATGCCAGTGATAGATGCATTGGGAGCCCCTGAAATAGTACTGCTCTGGGCCGGAGAAGGTTTAACAGGAGATGTCTCGACAGGAACAGAAGAAGTAACAGCAGAGATAATTCAACAACAGGGGAAATAGAAATAGCCTGGGCGAATTCTGTGTTGGGGATGGGGCAATCGTTGGATGTTCTTTCTGCCTCCGACCCGGTGTTCGACTCAGATACAGGGAGATATACGTTGCCTGCCCTAGGAAGGCTTGCATCTATCTATGGGCTTATAAACTCTCATAGTGTTGAGTGCTGGGTATTGCGCTTACATTGTGTTCTATGTGGAAAGTTATTCCCCTATGTATTGCTTGATACGAGTTTTCTTTTTTTCGTAGCTGGCGATGTCCTCACTTCTTCTGCTCGCGATGTCCACACCTTTTTCTATGATAACTATAGAAATATAGGATTTCATAGAGAACTATAACGTTGTCTACGTTATACATAGTATAGTTCTACAGTAGTCGGTAAACTAGGTAAAAGGGCTTAAAAATAAAAATTCATCTACCTTCCAGCGACTGGACACACGTTGAGTTGAGCTCGGCTTGTACAGCTGTCTCATCGGCATTGTCAATATTATCAAGTATGAGTATGTAGAATCATGCGCTCTACATTTAATGATTTGCCCTGCAGTCTCCATGTCTATCTATCAAAGTAAGGGCGAGATGGTGCCGGTGCTGGCTGTTTCTCAAGTTGAATGCACAAGGTCATGAACGCCGATGTCTTTTGGCTACATCACATGAAACCATTTAGTTTTGTTTATGATTTGTCCATGTTTCTATGTTTCTCATCAAAGAGTGAGAACAAAGACTACGGACTTTCCGGCTCCGGATTCAACGGCCTCGAATAGTTGAAAACAGAGGCTTTTGAAAATCGCCTCCCCAGCCGTGCCTCGTGCACATTTGATGGCGATCCCAGTTCTTCGATGTCGTCTTCATCTAAGTCGGACGCTTCTACTAATTCCTTTGACATCCTCGTTAACCCATTTGACCCCTCGGAACTGGATGAAGAAAGAGACAGCCTATGTCTTCTAGCCGTAGCTAGACTCATTGTATCCTCCCGAGGGTCATCCCTCAAAGGCGCAGTTGACATAGGCGACATCAATAGACTTGAAGGGCATCGTGGGGCATTGAATGTTCCCACAGACACCGGCCGTGCGACTTTCGTTTGAGAGTCTCGCGGATGAATAGATCGGAGGCGGTAGTCCTGTAACGACAAAATGTTAATAAAACCCATCTGAAGTGATCGAAAGATACACACCTCGATTTCCCCCGAGTTCCTGTTTCTGGGCCATGTAAGGTAGAAAGTATGCGTCATCATCATCCCAACCCTTACAAGACCAGGCAAGATAAAGCATCCAAGCAACACAATTCCATGAATGCCCAATACCACAAGTCCCAATATAATCTTTGTCTTGTGATCCGTAACCTTAGGAAGGAACCCAATGGAGATTCCCAGGATAGCCAGCTTTGCTGTCGTCAAAAGCCCAGCTAGCCTAAACAATGGGAAACATTTCCAAGTGAACCCCATTATGAGAAGCTGAACAATCTCGCAGGCCAGGAGAATCAGCAACTGTACGAGCCCTGCTATCTGTAGCCCGCCAATTGCTGCTCCCCGAACAAACATCAGGGCGAAAGTGGCCATTGCGTGCCGGTCTTCGGATTTCGACATGTTTCCAGGAGTTTGCAGGCGTTTCGAGGAATCGAGAATCAGGTAGCCCATATTTCGTGGAGAGCTTTGTGTGACGCTCCACCAGAACGCGGCTATTAGCAGCGCAATCACGAAAGCCGTGAGGACGGTATGGTAAATCGGGAAGAAGGTTGCTCCAGTAAGTTGGTAGGTTGTCCATGCCGTTATGGGCGTCAGGAAGTAGCTGAGAAAGACACGGAGAACTGTCCATGCTGTGCCTCTAACTCCAGAGTCTGTTGTTCCACGAAAGCGAGCCGAATTGACGCTAATCCAGGACTGGGTGAATGGTAATCGGTGAGAAACCTGGAACAACAGGACCATGCCAACAAGCAAGATCAGAGAGAGCGTGATGATGTTTGCCCATGTGTGAATAGTAACGGGTGCACCTAGAACCTGCGTCATGAGTTCTAGACCAGTGGTGCCGCCGAAAGTGCCGTTGACTTCGTATATGCCGTCTTTGATGCCGTAGTAAGGTGTTGATGAAAGAATTGGTCCGTGAGGAATCATGAGTGTTGACCAGCTTGAGTTTGAGGCTACGGCGCGGAGGAAGCCAGGGTAAAACAGGGCCAAAGAAGCCGAAAAGAAGATGAACTGGATGTAGGAGAGAATTTGCGATACAAGAGTGAGGTGAGTCGGTGAAGGGGAGAACATCAATGGGCCTTGTTGGTAAGCCTCGGATGGGAGCGGTGTGATTTCATGCCAAATGGCCAGTAACAAAATCAGGAGGAACGATGAAATAGGCAGATAGAGGGCGATCCGACTGGCGATAGGCGACAGAGCCGGTGTGATGTGTGCTGTGACACAGGCGATGGGTATGGATGCGTTGTCTACCAAGTCAAGGGATATTTCCAAAGTATCCAGAAAGGCAGGCCACGCGATGTCGTAGGCCAGTCGGTGGTGAACAAGAGCTCGATTGTAATTCGGGTGACTGTACTGATGACAGACGGTTTCGGTCGTGGTGTTGTATGAAGTAGAGCCATCGAGGCTAGATACGGTCGCTTTCGCTAAGGCGTGGTCGGGGGACACGATATCGCAGGTTTTGTGGTCGAGATAGCTTCCTGTGAGGTTCAACTCGAGTCTTGGTTGGGAGATATCCAGCGATGCCCGGAGGGCTTCGATATTGAGTCGTGGTGTTGTAGCATCGTTACTGCCATGGCAGTCTCGAAACTGAACGTAGGCGGCGGATGTTGTTTGCGCAAATGCGCATACGAGATAGGTTAGAAGTACGCATCTTGGTGATGGAATCAAAAACATGTTGATGCACCTTCCATTGACGTGCCGTCGTAGGACGACTCGTTAGGTTTTCTGACCTTGGTGGGAAGGGGTAATTGACAAGTTGACGATGAGTGTCCGATAAAAAGATTGCGGTTCGTTTGTTTGTTATTCTTGTTGGTGCATGTCGATACGAAATCACACACAAGTCCAGTCCCACTTATGATCGACAGAGCTCTCGTATTCAGCTGGCTGTTGGAGCTTTTACGAGATCTTGGACCAATCAGCGACACTGAATTAAGTAACTATTCCTTGTATTGGATGCTTGAGAAAGGGACCCATGCTTTGAATTGCGGATGAAGTTCCATATAAGGTCTACTCCGGGGACAACATTTCCCATTTGACCCTGGAAAGGCCGTCAAATAGGGTTGTGGGACTGCGTCTATGTTTAGTTTGAGTTCGTGAGAGCCGATGGCCGGTAGTTAGCGGGTCCCGTATCGGTGGTCGGACCCGCCTTCCGTGCCGAATGCGGGCACACAGTGCATCCGACGTGGCGCGGAGCTCTACGTTCGCATGCAATACGCGTTGAGAAAGCCTTGTTATTGTTTCAACGGAGTTACGTGCTGATTTCACATCTTGATAATTCGCTCCTAATGCGCTGAGTACAACAGACTCTTATGTCCACCAGATATGAAGGCGACAAATTTACGATCGTCTATGAATGAACTACGAATGAATGACCGTAACTGGGCAGATTTTAATTTAGTCCGGTATTTCGACACCTTGTCCCCTGATTCTTCTTTTGACAACGTCGTCAAAACTTTCCACCTTTCTCTGGAAGCAGCCAAAACTGGCTAATAATGCTGCCGCGGAGAGTCCCATCATGATTTTGTATTGGAGGTTGAACCCACGACCGTAGCATTCGATAGTGATTGCAGTTTCTTCCGGGGTAAAAGAAGCAATAGCCGTCGCTGATCTTTGCAGCGCTTCAAGCTTGTCCGATGGAAGCACTCCACTCAGATCGACGTTCAACTGTCGATTTAAAATTGCCTGCGCCGCCGCAACACCAATAACTCCTCCAAGGACTCTTATTTGGGTGATCGCACTGATCGTAATGCCTGCCGCAGAGTTAGTTTGCATCCAATTGCTTCGCTCTCCTGCGTTCTCTCTTACCCACGTCATCGTCATTCTTGACTTCCAGTTGGGCCACAATAACTAGGCAACTGAGAGACAGGCCAAACCCCAACCCGAGGAGAACCTGGAATCCATACTGTGCTTTAGGCAACTCCCTCGAAGCCGTTGGAAGAGTAGTCATCAAACCAAGACCAACCACCTGGAGACCTAGAGAAATTGCCAAGACGTACCAGCTGACGTTATGTTTTTTGGAGAAAATCCCGCCCAAAGCAGCACCTGTGGCTGAAACAAGAAGGAGGGGCAGCATGCGGATACCCGCATCTACAGGGGACAGGCCGTTGATGAGCTGAAACCTTTGAGGAAGAAAGACGATGGTGATTAAGAACGGAAAGCCCGCCAGAAGTGCCGTACTGAATAATTAGCAAAGGGAAGCTTGATAACCTTGAAGCCGGGATCTGAAGTCAAGGAGGCAATACGCACAGAAATGAGAAGCTGATGACACGCTGCTTCCCCAGGTGCATCGGAAATAGGGGCAAGATTGAATTTCTGACCCATGGCTTCTTCGAGATGATCCATTCCCATCCAAAGAAGCCGACGAATCCGATGCCGCTCAGAATGAAGCTGGTAATAATAACGGGGCTTCCCCAAGGGTAGAAGCTGCCGCCCTCCTCAAGTGCGAAAACGACCATGATAGATCCTGTCAAGTAAAGTATCATACCAAAATAATCCATCGATCTAAAAGTCTTTTGCGAGATTGTAAGGGGCTTTGCATTTCGCGGGAAGAAAAGGAACACCATGAGGATCCCTATGCAGCCAGGGGGGAGACTGGAGAATGATTAGTACTACCAAGTTGATGGGCCGGAGTCTTTTCGCATTCGATAGCTTACTTCAGATAGAAGACCCAACGCCAAGTGCTGTGGTACGTTATCGCGCCTCCTAGATTTGGCCCTAGGAGGCTCGACATGGCAAAGATAGAGCCCATTAGCCCGGATGATATTCCGATATACTTCAATGGTGTGATCTCTGTGATGATAGAGACGGCCATGCTGTAAAGGCCAGCACCACCGATACCCTGAAATGCGCGAAAGATGATCCTGTAATGTTAGTCCGACTTCACTCGAGTGGCACGGCTTGACTTACAGCTGTTCCATGGTCTGAGAAACGCCACAGGCCAGCGAAAATATTGTGAAGATTGTCAAGGATACTAGGACGGTGCCTTTGCGACCAAAAAGATCACTGATTCTGGCAAAGATGATGAGAAAGCCTATTCTTGGTTAGACCATGCGCTGAAGAGCAAGAGAAGCCGAACCTGTGTATGTCAATAGGTATGATGTGACAACCCAATTTGACTTGTCGAAGCTCCCAAGGTCTGACGAGATGGATACTAAAGACGTGGCTATGATTGTTGTTTCTAGGCTGGAAAGAAAAAGCCCAAAGGCCAAACTATAGAATAACGGTCAGCAATTCCTGTGGTGTTCGGACATTCTGGCCCAGCGAGTTCCAACTCGTACCATCCCATGTTCAGCCAAAGACGCCACCCATACTGAAGATTCAAAGATGCCAGCTGAATTTCTCTTTTTTCTGGCCTTTCTTTTCGGAGGTTTCCATCGTGGAGTTCCGTGAACGTAGATAATATCTCTACTTGGGAACCATATCGAGAGTCCGGTAATGTTTCGACGTAGAAGTCGTCAAGATGGAGGTTATCGTTGATGCGGAGGCGATCGTCTAGCTCTCTGCGCCAGACAACGATGCTATTTGCGAGACCAGCGTCCATCTAGGCGATAATGATGAACCAAATGAGTTGAATGGATTAATCCGAAGTACACAACACAGCTCAATGCTCAGTAGAAGTTCTTTTCTGTTTTCTTGAAACACGAAAAATTCTCTTTCTTACACCTATCCCGTCTTCTGTTGACGTAAGTTATCCTACCAGTGTGCGACTTGGCGGCGACATTTCTTCGCTTCGGTTGTTTCTGTGGATTCCTTCATTCGAATAACAGGAAGACCACGATATGCCAAAATAATCACCGTGTTCTTGTGATAATCCTGGAATGCGAGTGCGGACGGTACTTCGGAATCAATTAGGCCGACTCCATTGTCGTGGTGACTCCATCACGGATCCTTCTCTCGCACTCGCACCCGCGTCGATCATCAACCCCTGTCTCCCCTCGCCAACACAGCTTGGCATCAACGTAAGCCAATCACAACTCTCCACCAGGCCAAACGCGGGCTCATACATACCGGCGTTTGCAGGAATAAAGAGATTGATTCAATTGATCGCCTCGTTGACGGAGGCGGTGTTACACTGTTCGCCAAGGCGTACACGCGTTCACCATCGCAGGAAGAATCCAACTTGCTTTTAAGGGAAGAAGAGTAAGCACAAGTGGTTCTTTCTGGGTCTCTAACTAGACTTCCTGTCAATCCGATCTAATCGTTGAAACCTACTTCTGTATTACTCCGGTCCATCTTTTCTTTCCATCAGGATTTCTTTAGTAACGAAAACTCGCTGTTCCTCTCAAATCCACAATCACCGAAATCACAGCATTCTCTCCACATCTATTCACGAAAAATCTCAGCATGTCAACCGGTCTGCCTCCTGGAGTGCCTCCGAATGTCAAGGTCTTTGGGCCGGGGGCAAACTGTACGCTAGAGATTTGCCCTGTTGAAATGAGTGTTTACGGCTACAGACCTAGTCTTGCGGCAAACATCACATTTCTTTCCCTCTACCTCGTCTCTGCTACCATACATGTCTATCTCGGATTCCGATGGAAGACGTGGTTCTTCATGGGATGTATGGTCTTCGGAGCCGTCAACGCTGTGCTAGGCTATGCGGGTCGAGTTGTCATGTATTACAACCCCTTTAACTTCGCAGCGTTCATGATCCAGATAAGTACGTTGATCCGGGCTCGTAATTCTCAAGGCTGAAGTGTTGACTAACAACACTCTGTTTTAAAGTATGCATCACTAGCGGCCCAGTCTACTATTCCGCAGCTATTTATGTCACCCTTGCCGCAGCGTAAGTCGACCCTCGCCTGTCACCATGTTCGGGAATTCTCTAGGCCGAAGGAGAATCCGCCTGCCTAAATAGCGCTATCAGTCGTGCTAACTCGGGCTGTGGTGCCAGGATTAAGTATTTCTCGCCATCCTTGTCACGGTTCGAACCGAATCTTTTCTACTGGATCTTCATTCCCGCCGATGTCGTCTGTCTTATTTTCCAGGCAGTCGGTGGGGCGTTGTCCACAGCATCGGCCGGCAGCAGTGAGATCGGCGTCAACATGGCACTAGTCGGCCTCAGCTTGCAGGTCGCGGTCATGGTTGTGTTCTGTGCTTTCTTCGCAGACTACCTGATCCGTTATTTCCGCGCAGGCTCGACGGAGAGATTCGGCACCAGATCTAAGCTATTCTTTGGCTTCATGGCGCTGGCAATCATTCTCATCTTGGTGCGATGCTCCTACCGCCTGGTTGAACTGCGGAACGGGTACCGCGGTGAACTGATTCGAGACGAGCCGATCTTTATCGGTTTGGAGGGAGTGTAAGCGCACCCTTGTTGCTAATGACTAGTGTCGCCCCCATGAGTGAAAGCTGACGAAAACTCAATAGCATGGTGATAGCTGCAGTCTTCTGCCTGATGGTGTCCCATCCGGGTTTCGTCTTCAAGACCAACGCCAAAGATGGCGATGCAGACTCGACTCCTGGACGGTATGAGATGCACCAGTGCCTCTCCAGAACTAGTTCTGGGGTCTAAGTTAATCCTCCACGATGGGCTCACGAACACGGTTTCCCTCCCCGGGAAACGATCATCACCAAAGGATTCAATTGAAGGAGGGACTTTAGCAAGTTGATGGAGAAAACAGACAAGTTATGAGTCTATTCTAGAGAATGATGTCACACAGGCTCGGCGCGTATTCTTTAAGGGCACGGAATCGAAGGTGTTTGTGGCGGTGATTTAGTATGTCTCCGGATAGAAATGGTTCAGGTTATCAGAGTAGCAGGCAATCAAGTTCATTGACGTCAATCCTTTCCTTTTGTACGAAGTTTTCTTAGTGTACTGCGTAGGCTTGGTTCTATTTCCGTTGGCGCTATGCTAGGACCAAACTCCACTCAAAAGCAACCCCAAGTGATGAGATTCCTGGCAGTCACCTCAGCCAAAGTCACCGACCGCAGTGGAGCAGTCCCGAGTGACTTTCTCTCCACTGACGGTCACATCTTGCTGAGATGACTGGATATTCTGGGCGAGCTCGGTGCCGCTTGGCAGCATTTGACAAGTCGCATCGCCCTGTGGAGTTGACCTCGCCGGTCGTAAAATGGGACCCGTTCAAGCACATGAAAATATCGTGGGGTCCGTCTGAGTGCTGAACGTGATAGGTCGGCTCGCTGCGGGAGGGTTACACTCAATTCGAACTGCAACCCTACGTTCTGCGCGAGACGTACCGAGAGCCTAAGGTAAGGCGAAATGAGTCTGTGTTACTTGATTCAAGGCTTAAGTAATCTTGGCTCTTGTCTTGCCAAGTTGGATGACCCTATCGAGCAACGATTGCCAGGCAGCAGACATTTCCGTACCAAGACATTTGGGAGCTGAGAATCAACCCGCCGTTCTGTGCCTCTGTTTCATGTTCAAGGCTGTGCAGGTGGATGTATGCCACCCCCATCTTACGATCTGACAATTGAACCCAAAGATCAATTTGATGCTTCCTTTGCTTGCTGCCTTCCAACAGTGGTTCATGAGCATTCATCAGGGGTTGATATAATACCTCGGCAGCGGTCGCCAAACGAGGTCCCCAGTAACACCGCCAACGCAACCCAAGACTTAGATCGCTTCACCCAACACGAAAGATGGAGACCGTTCTCAGAAACGCGTGCGACGCTTGTCACAAGCTGAAAACCAAGTGCCCTACAGAAGGTACCGGTGCTTGTGCAAACTGCCGCCGAAAGGGCCAAATTTGCCAGTTTAGTCCGTGAGTGCTACCCTAACAACAGACACTGTTCCACATTCACCCACCACCCATGAAACATCACGCTTCAACAAATATACTGACTCCGTTTAGAAGAAGTGAAATGGGGCGACCTCGCCTAACCCCCGAAAAAGCGGCAAGCCAAAAGCAACAGACAAACAAGCGGCCGATATCCGAACAGAAACTTTCTCCCAATAAAAGGAGGACGTCTTCCACGGCATCACTCACGAACATGCAAAGAGCATCCCCGCCACGGGGGGAAGCTCAGTCGCAACAACTCGATGTAGCGTGCAGCGATGCAATGGGACAACAGACGACTAGCAATCACGCCATGGAGCCATTGAAACTGAGCGATTACCTATGGACCTTAGAAGAAGCATGTTTGTATCCAGTTTCAGTTCAGTCGGATTTCGTTATGTATGTATTCCAGATTTAGTGACGGCTATCTTCAGACATGCTAACAAAAGCAACAGGCCTGACCCGTCTCCTCTGGATCTCTCATGGACCCAGCCAGCACCGCCGCCGTATTCAAGCCCCATGCCGATCACCAACATTCCCGACTCCGTTGAACTCATGGAATCGGTCGGTCTAGCTTTCGAGAACTCTAGCGAAACATCAAGTTCCAGCAATCCATCGCTCCAGCCCGACTTCGCATCTATCTTCGGCGGCGCGGGAACCTATGCTCCAAACGGCCTCTCAATGGGCATGCACATGGGGGTTGACGGCACCCAGGACTTGATGAACCAAGGCAAAGACAACATATTGGCGGAAGCATATTCGCAGCTAGCCAATGTGCTATTTGGTCTGCACAACTTGACTTCATACGGCGAATGCGGACCTGCGGCGGACCTTGCCACACGGCTGAGCTCCCTTGAGAAAGTATTCCCCTTAGTGTCGACCTTATGCGATATTCTCAAGAGGCCTCAGCTCAACCATCTTCTTGGCACTCAGAAGATGCTATCCTCGCCATGTCTGCTGCTGGCGAGCTCGGTTATCTCCACCGTGGTCGAGATTTACAGCGGCAGACTGAGTCCTTTTCAACCATCAGATGGAGATAGAGAGAGCATGGCGGAGCTCGGGACACAGCAACGGCTACAACTTCAGACCGACGCGATGGTGATGGACTACCATCTTACGGAGCTTCGCCCTATCGTGAAGATGGCGTGCGTTGCAATGCACGATTCACAGACCATCGACTTGATGGACACGATGCGACGGACGCTCAGGGAATTTCTGGAGGATTGGAGCACTTTGAATTTGTAATGCATTGTTAGCGTAATGATTCACTCGTTAAGTAGCAAGATGTTTTTTTGATAGATAGCGGGAGCTTCTGGGGCGGGCCTTTGAGTTGTCAAATTATTTGACAGGTAACATAGTATTATTCGATCACTAGCACCAAAATGCATTATAATCACCATCAACCCTTTCAATAATTGACCGACCAAAGATTTCCGCTGGCTAAAACATGAAGTTTTTCATTCTATGATTTCATAAAATTGAGTTGCAATTGAGGTCTCCAAGTCGTTGTGCTCAAAATCTGTAGAGCCCTATCTCATTCGTCGGGGTGGTTGGAACATCAAGTAATCGCCTGCGGCCAAGCCTCTATCAATAGAGTCTTCAAGAGGCGGTGCAAATGATTGGTGCCATAATTCAGTGTCAACGATTCATACATATTCGACAGCAACTCTCGAGTTTGAAGACAATTTCTATTCTTTCTAAATGCCGAAGGAGATTCAAGAACTAGTACAAATGAAACAAACAAAAGCCTGCGCCTAACACCTCGAAAGCGCCCTGTGAACACAATTCTCAATTGAGGAAGCCGCTTTGCGCGCAAAATTCCTGTCTCGGGGGAGCTGATGCCCCTGGTCGTGTGCGACGATCTCGACAGGGCCGGAGCACAGCCCAGCCAATAGCCGACTCTGGGGGCAGAACGGGTCGCGTGCACCCATGATGTGTACTGTAGGGATTGAGATCCTTTGCCTCTCCCGCGCCGGGTGGAAGCGCCTTAGCACGACGTCGCCGGGGTTCGCATCCCTCAGGAAACCATTGATCTGGAGGGCTTCGACTTGGTCGCCGGCCACCCAGTCGCGGACCTGAACGGCCCCCGTGTCAGGGCAGATCGTCGCGTGGTATTTGTCCTTGCGCAGGTGAGACTGCGGGTCGAAGGGCAGGCTTGCGCAGGTGAATACGGCGAGCTTGAAGAGGTCTGGGGCGTAGGGGTTCAGGGCTTGGTGGTGCAGAATGAAGGAGGCTGCGAGGGCTCCGCCCTGAGAGAAGCCAAATATGCCGTCGAAGGGGCCATCGTCTTCGATGACTTCGTAGATGAGGTCGTATGCCTGCTGCAGCTGCTCGAGGACGGGCTTGTCGTAGTAGCAGGAGAACGGGCCAGGGAAGATTGTGTCAACCTTGTCCGCAGGCTCGCAGTCGACGAGGCCGTCCACAAACACGAATTCGTGGCCGGGGTCTAGCTGTGCGACGATGGGGGCGAGTTGGGCCTCGTAGACATCCGAGTTGGTGCCCATACCGTGGAGACAGAGGAACCTCATGATTGATCGGATGGCAATGTAACGAATTTGAGTAGGAAGACGTAGTCAATTTGGTTAAAACTAGCCATTGATCTGGTTCCAAGGCCTGGCTGGTAGAACATTTTGAAGTCTAAAGTATCAATGGCATCAACGCTCGCTGCTGTGGCATCTAGGACTCGAGGCATAACATGTCCGACCGAATTGCCGGCGACTTGTCGCATCCGGATCCCCAGGCGAGATGTTGTTGATTCATTGTATCCTACGGTGATATCTAATACGATCCTCCATTTTCATCACAGCCAGCACTCCGTAAGCCCCAATCCACTAAACCTTGATGTGAGCCAATGTCTCCGATGACACTTGCACCGCCCTTCTTCAGTCAGCAGTCTTGCTCCAGCCCAGTCCAAGAAAAAGGGACTTTGGTAACAAGGCGTGACCTGGCAATCAGACCAGGGAAGTCTTGCGGGTCCCAACGGGCCGTTCCCTAAGCCCTATGGATAAGGTACCAAAGGTCCTAAATTGCGTCAGTCTCCGGCTGTGCCAACGCGGCAGATCACCGCGGGCTAGGCCTCCACCGGTACTTCTGTCAGGATCCATCGTGTGTCATGGTTTGGCAGCTCTGAGCTCTTTGATGCGATTCTCAGTGCTGTATGGTTGTCGGTGCGAGCTTTTCGTAAATGGAGAAGGTCCACTCGTCTTAGCATTGCATGAGTTGTCGACTGCGAAAAGTCAATCAGCAAAAGACTCCTAACACTCAACTGCTCATATTCAAGTGTTTACAGCTGTGAAGAAGTGCATGTTCTGTTTATTGGGCATATGGGAGAATTGGACGTGCAGAATTGTTTTACGTTATTAACAACTGCATATGACTCTACTAATACTGAAAAATATTACAAAACTTTGATTCCAGATTATAAAAACCACAATCAGTGGCAAGATTTCTGATTTCACAGGTGGCTGTGAGCTTGCTCACTCGCTCATTCGCCTTGGCAGTTAATCCAAGTAAAGTGTGCCCCAGCCCTTCCAGCTTTGCGACAGAAAAATTAGACAAAAACGGAATTACTTGTTGAACATTCCCCGAGTGCTGAGTTACGAATAAACAAACAAACACCGATAGAATCTCAGCACGAATTGCATTGTAGATGGTGAGCCACGAGCGGCGGGGACATCCAATTCAGGGATGATTTGGTATTGACTTCAGGGAAACTCCTACCAATCCTCTACATGTATCATCTGTCGTCCGACGATCTAGGCTATTCAAATCAATGACAAATAAAACGAATCCCAAAGTTCCTACGACTTCGACCTTTCCTCTCCTAATTCTACCAGGGATGGACCTTGCAGCGAACGCCCTTGGAGTCAGTCTTGGGTCGTGGAACCATAGCGTCCACCGAGCAATCCACATCCGTTTCGTCCGTCTCCCACAACTCTAGGAATCCGATATCGTCCTCAAATCTGACCTCCTTTGTCCCATACGTTCGGAACAGTACCCCGATGATGAGGTGGATCTCGGCGATGGCCAGATCACGCCCAGAGCAAGCACGAGCGCCCTTGCTGAATCCAAACTGCCACTGGGACAACCCCGGGTTCTCGATCCAGCGTTCAGGTCGGAAGAGCTCTGGGGACTCGAACAGTTTAGGGTCTCGGTTCAGAAGCAGATGGGTCATGGATATCGGGGTGTTTCTGGGGATCACGAAGTCGGTTCCCGGGACCACTAAATCCTCATCAGGGGCGATTCTCGCGGCTCGTGATACGAGTCCGTGGCCTACTCGAACCATCTCGTGCGTCACCGCCGACAGATAGGGAAGGTTTTCAAGAACGGCGATTAGGCTCTTGTCGTTGGAGGCGACAAGATTGGCGGGTAAGGCTTCGGTCAGCTCCGTCTTGAGCTTGTGGAGGACTTGGGGGTTGCGCAAGAGGTGGAAGACGCCCGAGGTGATGGTCCATGACGTGGTGACTGTTCCAGCTCCGAGAAGTGAACCTCCTTCTTGTGCCAAACGTGCGATGGACTTTTCGCTCTCGGGGAGCTTGCTGTCCAGCAGTTCGTGGAAGAAAGTTGGGTGTTCCAGTTCCGGCCACTCGCTGCGGTCTTGGCGGCAAATCTTGGTGATGAGCCTGCCGATATCCTGTACCAGGCATGATTAGGACATGTTGGAGAAGTATCATTTGAGACATACTCTTTGCATTGAAAAGTAGGAGTTGATAGCCGGACTCCACTTGAGAAGCCAAGCGCCGGGAATCATCTTCACGATGTCCTTGAGCAGGGGGAACTGCCGGGACATGAAGACCTGTTGGCATCCACTAAGGCAAGCTGTGTGGAAGCCCCCATCAAAGTCTGGCGCGTTGACTCTATCGTTGCACAGTCCGAATGCATAGTTCGTGATGATATCTATGAAGAAGTTAGATTATTGTCCAAACATAATAGTAGAATGGGCGGCGGGTGATCATACCGGTAGCGTACGCCGTCAAGGCATGGTCCAGTCTCAAGACCTCGCCGTTGGCCGAGAACTCCTTGAGTCTTCCGAGAACCGCGAATGCTCTGTCCTGGATCATCGGCTCCAGCTTCCTGACACGGTTCTTGGAAAAGAACGGCGCAATAGCTGAACGTCGCAGGCGATGGGCTTCATGCAGCTCAGACCCGAACGTGGACAGGTCGACACCGAAAGCGCCGCTAGCCCAAGCCCACTTGTTTCGACGGTGCTTCGTGCTGCTGTAAAGAGTGTTGTAGAACTCAGGGACCTGGACGTGGATTTCGAACGGGTTGATCCTGACTACCGGGCCATATCTCTCGTGCAGCTTGCCGATTTGGAAGCTGTACTGGCCACCTAGGTAGACATCGTAGTAGAACTCATACCTGCAATCGGTTGAGCACACAAAGTATTGAGCAAAGCTATTCCTCTCTGGCATTGAGACTTACCAAAAGGTTGCCGCGGCGAGCTTAGGGCCTGGAAACTTTCGTAGGGGACTAAAGAAGAGGCGATACGCGACAAGAGACAGGCCGTACAGACATGCCAGCAAGCTGACAAGCCCAAGAGTTGATGGGGAGAATAGGTGCGTAGTGATGATCATTGCCGATCAGGAGGGTGCTCACTGCTCCCTCTTTTGATGAGTTAGGATATACTGAAAAGAAAAAGGTGTTGACACTTCTGGTGCTCGAGATTGCGCTTATTGCACTTACACGATCATCACCATCGCGAAGGATGATGGACTTAAGAACTTCCACGAGTCTACGGCCAATATTCGCACTCGCATTGACTTGCGGTGAGTTTGCACGGTGATCTCACTCATGGCACGCATCCTGAATGTCAATCGCATGGTGATCGAATGTCGGGTGAAATGTCGCCGTTTAGAATGGGTCAAGATGATGAGAGATGTCACCGACGGGCTTAGCTGCCAGAGAGGATACTGGGACATATTTAGAGTTATGGGCCACTGTTTTTATCAACTACTACAAGCTCATCTGGAGCATGAAAACGTACGATCATACTCATTTCAACGGGGTAACTTCGAGTTAACCGCTTCTGGAAGCCAATGTGTCGATGGCTTCAGCGCTGACGGTTTCCTGAGCTGTAGATGCTGGGCTTGGCCCGAAGAACCCTGGGTAGAGTATCCGTGGCGAGAAGAATAATTGGGATTAAGGCATTCGAAAATCCGGTATAAGACGCATCAAATCATGGACGAGAGCAACTTCACTCATGAGATATTGGATTAGACAGTGAAGACGTAGATAGCTTGTGAGGTTGACCGGAGTGAATTTAATCATAAGCGCTGGTCGGAAGAACATCAGTACTCCTGACTCCAGCACATGCAAATGAGTCTTTCACAATGTTCGTGTAATTATACCTATTGTATATGAATTGTCAGAAAATGGTATCTCGTGATTAAATGACGAACATGAATGCCTGACACTAAGCAAACACTTGATTGAAGCGCAAAAAGAACCAAACACAGGTGTTCTAGCGGGTGCAGACGACAGGAATAGCGACCACCAATCCCACAAAACACAGCGTAGCCGCCATGCACAGCCCATACAAGTCCCAGTTCCGTGCTTTCCAGGCGGGCATTCTTACATCAGCAGGCTGCAGGTGCATATGCCGTTTCTTCCTCTTGCCCCAACCTTTTCCCTTCTCTCCCAAGCTCAAATCTTCAGCAAGTTGCTCACGCCGCCGGCCTTCCGAGTCCACCATCACCTCCTCAATCAAGTCTGCAGCAAGCGATTTACGTCGCGATGCAATGCGAGCCAGTTTCTGCAGCCTGTCCACGTTCGCCGCGATGGGTCCGTCCGATAACTTGTCCAGTACGAGGTCGCCAATGGCCGTCTCCACGTCTTCGGCGGAGAACTTATCCTTCGACAGCGGGATAGACACGCCAGCGTCTCGCAGTCGCATCTCGTTTTGAACCTGGTCGAAGTAGACGGCCAGCGTGATGAGCGGCACCCCCGCGAACAGGGCCTCATTCGCCGATGCAGGACCGCCGTGGCTCAGGAATATGGCAACGCGCCTGTCTTCCAGCAGAGCCCGCTGCGGAGCGAAATCGACGAACAAGACGGACGGGTGACTGCCCATCAGCAGCTCGGAAACAGACATATACCGGATCTCCTGAGATTGCGACAGTCGTACTGGAATCGATGAATTGCAGTCCATTTGCTTCCGAGCCATGGGTCGCATCGGCCAGATAATGCCGTCAATTGAGCCCGCTTCTAGAGCTGCGAGAGCGCCCAAGAGAAGTTTTTTTAGGCTTGCCCAAGACAACAGTACATGGGTCCCCAGGGAGATGTACAGAACACGCCGCCGTTTCTCGAGGAAGCTCGCGTACGGTTCTGCGATACTCTTTACCTCGTCGGAAAGAACAGGACCTATGGCGGCAACGTTGGGCGGCACGTCCTTGGCGATTTCCAAGCCGAACATCGAGTTGACGAGGCAGAGATAATCCGGCTTCCGTAGTGAGGGAAGAGGGCGCGAGACACCAGCCTCCAGACGCATTTTCTTCCGCCAACGCAAATATCGATAGTAGTGCAGCGCCGAGGTGTAGATTGCGATGCCGCTATGGAACCGTTGCCACAGCGAGGCGTACTCGGAGGAGAGCACCTCAATCTGTAACCCTGGAGTACCCGGGATGTATGGCGCGTGAAGCATGGCGGTTGGCATCTGTGGCCAGAGCATGGCCAGAGGGATATCGTGGTCGGAGCTGACATCGCGCGCGGCATCGACCCAATAGTCCGCCAAGATGAAATCGGGTCGGGTGTCAGCGTTTTCGGCAAGCCTTGTGAGGCTTCTGTAGACATCTGGCCAAGACGACTCGAGAAACTTTCTCGCTTCGAACTTGGTGCCCCAGTTGTCGCTTGACCAGTTCGACATCTGCAAGTACTTGGCCTCCTCCACGCTGGATGGCAAAGCCGGGCCAAGGACGTGAAAACGAGAAACGAAGGGACAGTCTTTGATCCACGTCTCGCGTCCGGCCAATGTACCGAATTCTACCGTGTAGCCACGAGAGGCAAGTATCCTCGCGATTTCCAGCACAGGTGCTAGCCGCGAAAGTCAGCATCTTCTGGGTGTCGTCGGTACAGCATTTCTACCCACCTGCATTGGTATATCCGCCAGCGGTCACAACCACCAGTACACGCCTACAAGAGCCGTCAACCAGTGGCCCAGTGGCCGCTGAGAGAAGAGTTTCTGTGGAAGACATGTTGCGAGCGAATTCTCAGGGAAGCAAAACCACAAACATGAAAGTCCTCAGTTGTGAACTCCACTTCTGTTCAGTATTTCCCTTTTTTAACATCTTGTCACTTTGCTTTCGAAGATCTTGGTCATTCTCACATTCAATCACTTTGTTATGGCGAGTCGATTCATCGTTGCCTTGTGGCTATGCCTGGAAGCTGAGCATCTCGCGGTGGCGGGTGTGGCCCCCAAGCAAACCCACGGCGACTTTCAAAGCCTTCTTGGCGGCGACTTGACCGTCAAACGCCGGGGTTGCCCACCCGTAAGCTTCTCCAAATCCAATTCTGTCGATTGCTTCAATCGCGCTGTCAGCAATCAACCCCGCTAGCAAGACTGATTGCCTCTCCAGTCAGACAATGCCGCCGTGAACCCCACGATGCCGGTCCAGTAAGCCTCCGATCTGGGGCGCGGTGTATCTGAGATTAGCATCAGAAGTTGTACACTTCCAGGCACCTATGATTCTGGCGAATGCCTTCATCTACAAAAAGATGGCATCGCAAAGACTCCAGACATCTCAGAACATCATCATCCAGCAGCTCGTCTGATTCTAGCAACCTCAATCCTCATCAAGAATCAATCATCGAGAAACCCGACTTATCACAACAACCACTTACAGCCTTCACACCACATCTCTCCAAATTCTTGCAACACTCGCCCACCTTCTTCACTCATCACTTACAAGAATCACGGTTTCTTCACTTTTGCATTCAGTCATCTGCTTCTGATATCAAATCACCCTTCTCCTACTCGTTATATCTCAGATACCCATTTCTTTACGCAATTTCAACTTCGAAATGTCTCGATCAAACATGTCCTCTTCCACTGACAACCTGTCTACTTCTGGACAGGGCACTGAGTCAGTGATGCCCATCGCTATCGTGGGTATTGCTGGCCGCTTTCCAGGGGATGCTGAGAACCCCCAGAAGCTATGGGACATGCTCTCTCAGGGCAGAAGTGCCTTGTCTGAGGTCCCCAGCGACCGATTCAACGTCGACGCCTTCTACCACCCCCATAACGAGCGTCAGGGAACCATCAACGTGCGCAAGGCTCATTTCATGAACCGCGACATCTCAGCGTTCGATGCCCCATTCTTCAACATGCCCATCGCCGAGGCCAAGGCAATGGACCCTCAGCAGCGCATGGCTCTCGAGTGCACCTATGAGGCTTTGGAAAATGGTAGGTCCTGATGCTCACACTACCCTCTCATGACATACTAACAGATCATAGCTGGAATTGCCATGGAGAAAGTCGATGGCTCCAACACTTCCTGCTTCGTAGGTTGCTTCACCAGGGACTACAGCGACATGCTCGCTTGTGACCGCGAGGACCTGCCGCTTTACCACGGCACTGGTACAGGCTCTGCGATCATGTCCAACCGCATCTCGTGGTTCTTCAACATGAAGGGCCCGAGTATCAGTCTCGATACCGCGTGCTCCTCGTCCATGGCTGCTCTGCACCTCGGATGCCAGAGTATTCGCACTGGCGAGACAACTATGGTAAGCCTAATCATTATTCCGTCACCTAACAGTTCTTAGCTTACTCGATATATAGTCTGTGGTTGGTGGCACCAATCTGATGCTGCTTCCGGATATCATGGGCGCAATGACACGCCTGCACTTCCTGAGCCCGGATGGCAAGTGTCAGTCTTTCGACCACAAGGGCAATGGCTACGCCCGTGGAGAAGGTGAGTTGATACTTAAATAGCAATCATCGTCACTTCTAACAGCTTCATAGGCGCTGGATTCTGTGTTCTGAAGCCTTTGGACTTGGCCCTTAAGGACGGAGACGTCATTCGAGGTGTCATCCGGAACACAGCTGTCAACCAGGATGGTCACACTCCCGGCATCACTCTCCCCGCTGCCGATGCTCAAGAGGCCCTCATTCGCCGCGTTTACGCCGAAGCCGGCCTTAGCCTCGCCGACACTACTTATGTGGAAGCTCACGGCACTGGCACTCCGGCTGGTGACCCTGTCGAGGCGGCTGCGTTGGCAGCTACCTTTGGTAGCGCGAGAGAGTCTGGCAACCCCGTCTACATGGGCTCTGTAAAGTCCAATGTCGGCCATCTTGAGGGAGGCTCCGGCTTGGTGCAAGTCATCAAGGCTATTCTCATGCTTGAGCAAGGCAAGATTCCGCCTTCTCTCTACTATGAGAAGCCCAACCCTCGCATCCCGATGGAGGACTGGAACCTACGCGTGCCCACTGAGCTGCTGCCATGGCCCACCCCTGGTCCTCGCCGCATCAGCATCAACTCGTTTGGCTACGGAGGCACGAATGCTCACTGCATCCTCGACGACGCCTACCACTATCTGAAAGCCAATGGTTTGACCGGTAACCACAACGTTCAAGTCTCTGATGGATCTCCTACTCTTTCTGAAGACTCGGGAGTCTCACTCATCGAGGGAGTCAACCCGCTGTCTTTGGCGAACGAGCCTTTCCAGTGGAGGTCGAACATCGACACCTTGACCAAGCCCCAGCTTCTGACATGGAGCTCCCACGACCAAGACGGAATCAGCCGCACTTCGACAGCGTACGCTTCTTACCTCTCCTCCAAGCTCGATGCCGATAAAGAGGTTCAATCTTCCGAGATCTTCCAGAAGCTTGTACGCACGCTCAGTGCCCGCCGAAGCCAGTTGCCGTGGAAGTCCTTCGCCATTGCCTCTTCTTCCAGGAATGCAGTCTCGGCTTTGGAGACGCCGATCGCTGAAGCGGTTCGCTCTGCCAACGGCAAGAAGGTTCGACTCGCCTTTGTTTTCACGGGTCAGGGAGCTCAGTGGGCTGCCATGGGCAGGGAGCTCTTCTCTACCCCTGTCTTCCGTGAAAGCCTTGAGGCCGCTGATCTCTCCATGCGAGAGATGGGAGCGTCGTGGTCATTGACTGGTAAGCATAGCTCCTACTCACCTTTGCCATTGGTCGGTCACTAATCCATATTTGCAGATGAGTTGTGGCGAGATGAGGAAACTTCGAAGATTGGTTTGGCTCACATCAGCCAGCCTGTCTGCACTGCATTGCAGGTAGCTCTCGTCGATCTCCTGAGGAGCTGGAACGTTGTTCCTGGTGCTGTCATCGGCCACTCCAGCGGAGAGATCGCTGCGGCATATGCAAAGGGCGCAATCACTCGAGAGGATGCCTGGGCTATCGCATACCACCGTGGTCGTTTGGCTGGCAACATCTCCTTGGATGGTGCTATGCTGGCTACCAGTCTGGGACCCCAAGACGCCGAGTCTTACATCGAGCAGCATGCTCCTGGCAAGGCAGTGGTCGGCTGCGTGAACAGCCCTTCCAGCACCACCCTCTCAGGAGATGCAGACGCTATTGACCAGCTGTTCTCGGCGATCAAGGCAGACGGTCACTTTGCTCGGAAACTCAAGGTCAATGTCGCTTACCACTCCCCACACATGGAGGCCGTGGCCAAGGAGTACCGCCAGTCGATTGCCCACATCACACCTCTTCCCGAGGACCCTCGCAGTGCGAAGATGTTTTCGTCTTTGCACCCGGGCAGTGTCAGCAGCGAGCAGCTTGGTCCTGACTACTGGGTTGCCAACATGGTGAGCCCGGTCAACTTCTCTGGTGGCATGATGGCTATGATGGGAGGTGGTGCCAAGGACCGCCCGAGACGTCGAACCAACAAGAAGACCGAGGTGGACAACATGATGATCGAGATTGGACCGCACGGCGCTCTCCACGGACCCTTGCACCAGATCTTCACTCATGGCTCCGACAACCCGGCTACGGTCACGGACCTGAGCTACAAGTCGGTCCTCGAGAGAGGCAAGAATGCAGCAGAGACAGCTCTGACGCTTGCCGGAAAGCTGTTCCAGCTGGGCTACCCCATCGACATTCAAGCCGTCAACGGTGACTCGGGATCTGGTGGATTCCTTGTTGATCTTCCCCCCTTCAGCTGGAACCACAGCTTGAAGTACTGGTCTGAGTCACACACAGCCAAGGCCCACCGCTTCCGCAAGCACCCCCGGAAAGATCTCTTTGGTTCCGAGACCTTAGAGGCGATCGACCGAGAGCCCAGATACCGCAACATCCTCAAGATTGCTGAGGTTCCTTGGGTGCAGGATCATAGAGTTCAGGGCTCCATCCTGTACCCGGCTGCTGGCATGATGATCATGGCGATTGAGGCGATATGCCAGAAGGCCGATGAGCATCAGCCAATCGAGGGGTACGAGCTTCGAGATGTCATCATCGGCAAGGCTCTTGTAGTACCACAGGACGAGGATGGCGTTGAGACGATGTTGACGGTGAAGCCATCTCGTCTTGGCTCCCGTACGAACGCGTCTACTTGGGAAGAGTTCCAGCTTTACTCTCGCAAGGAGTCTTGGGAGCTCAACTGTTCCGGTCTGATCCGCATTTGCTACAAGGACACCGTCAACTCGGCATTTGCGAATGAAGACCGGATTCTCGCCGACAAGTATGCGGAGCAGAACCGTCGAATCAGCGATGTTTGCTCCCGCCACCAGAACCCGCGACAGTTCTACGGAAACTTGGAATCGATCGGACTTCGCTATGGACCTGTTTTCCAGGGCCTGGTCAGCATCAAAAAGGGCAACCACCAGTCGGCGTGCGAGATCGAGATCAAGGACACCAAGAGCACGATGCCTCACAGGTTCGAGTACTCTCATGTCATTCACCCGGCTACTCTCGACAGCATCATCCAGATGGCCCTACCCTCGTGCTCTGCAATCGATGAGGACTTGTCCACTGCCATGGTTCCTACGGGTATTGGACGACTTTACGTGTCGGCCAGTATGCCCACCGAGCCTGGAGTGCAGCTGCCCGGCTTCTCTTGTGCCGAAGACGTAGCCACGGGCGGTCGGGAGGGCAAGATTGTGTTGAGCGATGAGCAGTGGAGCAAGCCTCTCGTCATCTTTGAGGGCATCAAGAGCGCTACTCTCGCCTCATCTACAACCGACTCCGCTGCCGACATGCTGAAGCTTCGCAAGCTTACTTCTGTCTTCCACTGGCAACAAGACATCTCTCTGCTTGAGCCCCAAGATATCAAGAAGCTCTGCGCTGACAGAGTCGGTGACCTGGGCCAAGTTGACCGCAGTGTCTTGCGAGAGCTGGAGATCGCATGCTTGATTTACATCAAGCGAGTGATGAAAGAGTGCCCGCAAGAGGAGGCCATGTCATTTGCCTGGAACTTCAAGCTCTACTGGGAGTACATGCAACGATGCTACCAGATGGGTCAGCGTGGAGAGCTCTGCTACCAGAGCCCAGAGGCCGACTGGCTCAACATGAGCCAGGAGGCAGAGGCTCAGCTTCTTGCGCGGGTATCGCGGTCCTCCACCGACGGCGCTGCCTTGGTCGAGCACGGAGAGCACCTGCCCCAGATCCTCAGAGGCGAGATCCCGCCCCTCCAGATCCTCATGCGGGACAACTTCCTTCACAACTTCTACAAGGACGGTCTTGGAACGGAACAGCACTACGCTCAGATGGCCTACTACGTCGAGCTGATGGCGCACAAGAACCCGAACATGAAGATCCTGGAGATCGGTGGCGGAACAGGTGGCGCCTCGCTGCCTGTCCTCCAGGCTCTCGGTGGCTCGAACGGAACCCCTCCCCGTTTCGAAAGCTACACTTTTACCGACATCAGTGTCGGATACTTCGAGAAGGCCCGCGAGAAGCTTGCACCCTGGGTGCCATTCATGAAGTTCGCGAAGTTGAACATTGAGGAGGATCCCGCGGAGCAGCAGCTTGAGGAAGGGTCTTACGACCTAATCATCGCCTCCAATGTTCTCCACGCCACAAGGTTCATTGGAAAGACCCTTGAGAACACCCGCAAGTTGCTAAAGCCCAGCGGAAAGCTGGTTCTCAGCGAGATCACGAACCCTTCCGAGAAGATGCGATTCCACATGATCGTCGGATCCCTCGAGGGATGGTGGTATGGTAAGTTGATACATCCTTTCACTTGAAACTGCTTTTACATCTGCTAACGAGTTGCTTTGCAGGAGAGGACGATGGCCGTCACTTTGGTCCTACTCTGACTGTCGATGAGTGGGATCGCGAGATGGTCAAGTCTGGTTTTACGGGTGTTGATGTGGACTTCAGCAACTTCGAAGACCAGCGAGATCTGAGTTTGTCGGTCATGGTTACCACCGCCAACCAGCCTATCAAGGCGCCTGTACCGTACGAAGCTCTTGTTGTTCTGCCCAACCACCCTGATGCAGACATTTCTGCATTCGCGGACAAGCTCAGCGAGCGGCTGGCGGACAATGACTGCAGTGTTCTGGTCAGGCAGCTGCAGGAGACGTCTGAGCTCGAGCTCAAGAACCGCTCATCTCTGGTTCTCTTGGACGCCTCCAAGGACAATGCATGCCTTCCCACGGTGTCGGTTGAGGACTGGGATGCACTCCGCCATGTCATCCTGACCTCTCGCGACACCGTCTACGTCACTCGTGGTGGCACCGTCAACAGTGAGAATCCCTCTGCAAACCTCATGTCCGGCATGGCGAGAAGCATTCGTTCCGAGAACCCGGGACTTGGTCTCACCACTCTTGACGTCGACTTCGACCTGCCGATGAACTCGGAGAAGACGATTGCTGCCGTCTACAAGGTCTTCCTCAAGGCCTGCGACTCCAAGGAAGCGGAGCGACCTGACTGGGAGGTCGCAATTCGGGACGGCATGCCTATGGTGCAGCGCATTGTTCTTGACAAGGGCATGAACGACCTCATCACCAACCTCAATGCGCCTCCTGCACCCACTGAGATGCCATTTTACCAGGAAGGACGTCCTTTGACGATGGCAGTCGGTACTCCCGGGCGCCTGGATACCCTTCACTTCCGCGATGACAAGAGCGCCACTCAGCCCCTTCTCGATAACGAAGTCGAGATCAAGGTCAGAGGTGTTGGTCTGAACTTCAAGGACATCATGGTTGCGATGGGCCAGCTCGAGCAACCCGCCCTCGGAGTTGACTGTAGCGGCATCGTTAACCGTGTTGGTAAGGAGGTCACCCGGGTTCAGCCTGGCGATTCTGTGATGACATGGAAGCTTGGCACTATGGGCAACCTGGTTCACGTTGATGAGCGCATGGTCCAGATCGTACCTGAGGGTATGGATCTCGTCACCGCTGCATCACTGCCTGTCATCTACAGCACTGCTCACCACTCCATCTCCAACGTTGCTCGACTCCAGCGCGGAGAGACTCTGCTCATTCACGGAGCGGCTGGTGGTGTCGGCCAGGCGTCTATTATCCTGGCGCAGCACATTGGTGCGAAGATCTTCGCCACTGTGTCGTCAGAGGAGAAGAAGCAACTCCTCATCGACACCTACGGCATTCCCTCCGAGCAAATCTTCAACAGTCGCGACACGCGATTCGTGCAAGGTGTGATGCGCCTCACGGGTTCCAAGGGAGTTGACGTCGTGCTCAACTCCCTTGCGGGTGAGCCCCTTCGACTCTCGTGGAGATGCATCGCTCGCTTCGGACGGTTCGTGGAGCTCGGTCAGAAAGACATCGTCAGCAACACGGGACTCGACATGGAGCCTTTCTTGCGCAATGTTTCTTTCCACTCAGTCAACTTGCTCGATCTGCTTGACTACGATGTCGACGCAGCTTCCCGCGTCTTCTCCGAAGTCATGGACCTTCTGCGCACTGGGGTAGCCAAGCCTGTCGCTCCCATCGAGTCCTTCCCCCTGTCTCGTGCTGAGGAGGCCTTCCGTCTCATGCAGATGGGCAGACACGTCGGCAAGATTGTCCTCGAGGCCCGCGACGATGACATCGTCTTGGCCACGCCCCCCACCGTTGCTCCGATCGGGTTCAGAGCCGATGCGACTTATGTCGTCGCTGGTGGTAGCGGAGGCCTGGGCAGGTGCATCGCTGAGTGGATGGTCCGGTCCGGAGCCAAGAACATCTTGATGCTTTCGCGTTCTGGTGACCGCAAGCGGACTGTTCAAGAACTTCTTTTCCGCCTCAGGAAGCAGGGTGTCCGGGCTGAGGCCATGGAGTGTGATGTCGGCAACGAGACTCAACTTCTTTCCTGCTTGAAGAGGTGCGAGTCCGAGTCCTGGCCTCAGATTCGGGGTGTTGTGCAAGGCGCTATGGTTCTCAACGATGCTGTAAGTCAAGCATTTTTCCTCAATCAGACAGATTACTAACGATGGTTTCTCTACAGATCTACCAAGGCATGACTAGGGATCAGTTCCTTGGTGCTACGCAGTGCAAGGTCCAAGGCAGCTGGAACCTCCATGAGCACCTGCCCAAAGAAATGGACTTCTTCGTCCTCCTTTCATCCAGTGTCGGTATCGCGGGTTCCCGAGCTCAGGGCAACTACAGCGCCGGCAACAGCTACCAAGATGCCATCGCGCACTACCGTCGCGGCCACGGCCTCCCCGCCTGCTCGATCGACGTCGGCATGGTCCTCGGCGTCGGCTTCCTCGCCGAGGAGACGACGGGCGACCGCGTCCACGAGAACACCCGCAGCTGGAGCTTCATCGGCATCCGCGAGCGCGAGTTCCTCGCCATCCTCCAGGCCGCCATCACCAACGAGAGCGTCCCCGGCGTCGCCGCCCCCAAGCAGATGATCACGGGCCTCGGCACCGGCGGCATGATGGCACAGGGCTCCGAGAAGTATCCGTGGTGGTTCAACGACGCCAAGTTCGCGCACCTGGTGCAGATCGACACGCACCACGTCGTGCAGGAGAAGAACGACGACACCGGAAAGCTGCGCGACGAGCTCTCGCAGGCGACGAACCTCGACGGCGCGGCCGAGATCGTGGCGACCGCTCTCGTGCAGAAGCTCGCTCGCTCCATGATGGTTTCCGTCGAGAACATTGAGACCTCGAGGCCGGTGAGCAGTTACGGCGTGGACAGCCTGCTCGCGGTCGAGCTGCGCTCTTGGATCTACGAGGAGTTGCAGGCTGACATCTCCGTCTTTGATCTGCTGAGTAACGTGGCTATCTCTTCACTGGCTCGTAACATTGTGACGGGATCTAAGGTGGTTTCGGAATCCGTTAAGGAGGCTTAGATTGATGATTAGAATGTCTTTATTTCTTATGTATCAGCGCGGTGTACGGTTTAGATTTGGACAACGTTACATATAGATACTTTTCTTTTGTTCTTCTAGATTTCAATTACGATTTATTTCAACAAAAGAATGTGGTCATCTGATCGTTCTATAAGCTATTGTTACCCTTGTGTGATGAGGACATCATATTACTCGCTTTTATGCATCAGCTTACCCTATGGGTTTTACATATTTTCAACTCTCGTCGCTTATAGTCAAGTACAGCCTCTCACCTCATACTTATAGATAACATTTAGTGCCTACATCTTAGCTGTGGCAAGTTAGTCTCCTCATGCTTTCATACGAGTACACTTCATCGGCATTCGATATTCAATTCGCGTTTTGCAAAAAGCACCTATATTTTCCGTCAAAACCTTACAGACTACTGATGTCAGACCACTCACGGTCAGAGATTTCAACATGTTGGCTATGCGTGTTGATCCTTCAAAGTCCAACTGAAAAAGAGTATGTTCGCTTGTCAAGTCTGCGCATTCTCTGAGTTGACTTCTGTGAAGCTGACTAGGATAGCTTGATGGTGAAGCAAAAGTTTCAGGTAGTTAGCAGGGGTAGAACCTGAAAAATGCAAGCAGCAAGTCTTAATCAGACCTGTTACGGAAGCACTTTTACATGAATTCTTGTGTCACATGAGAAAGGGGCGGCTGATGGATAGTGTTTGGGTGTTTGTGGGTGATTGTCACTAGTACAAATCTTTTCCGAACTACATCTTAGGTTTTGGTATCTGGTCAAGTCCACTCCGAACTGAAAGCGTCCTCCGTGAAAAGGAAAACCTCGCTAAATATTGGCTCTCACGCCATGATGAGATACATGATTCCCATTGATCCACAAGCCCGCACCGCCAGCCTACTTGTTCAGAGTCCCATCACGAGTGACAACAGAACGACGGTAGTCGGCCCGCTGGCCAGCAGCATGCTTCAAGACCTTCGCTTTCCATTTGCTCTGGACGTCTCTGATGGCCTGGCCTCCATCGACGTGCTTGGAACCCGGTATGGCGATCCCGAGGCACGGGTTCGACAGGTCCATGGCGGGGTAGAGCCGGCCGAGATTCTCCTTCTACAGGCTCCTAGGTTTGATGCGTGCGAGTTATCTGTCGCGGTTGTCCTCCTGGGCATCTTTGTTGGAAGAAGTCACGGCAATACCCGCGGTGATGCCGTCCGCGCCTATGTAGAAGATTGGTTAGTGATTACGTCGCCCGCTACACCGCTTAGGGTGAGCATTTGGGGTGGTGAATACAAATGTCTTCGCTACAGTTTGCCTAGTTACTGCCTGCCCGCATTGGCCAACTCAGCACTGCCTGGACCCGGCGCAGTGGAAGCTTGTCTGTTATCCATCCCGGGCCCTCCGTGTGGAGCAAGGTGGCCGTTATGGGTTGCATTGTTCGCAAAGCTATAACAAAAGTTGTTATTGTTAGTCGTTCTGTAGAACTTGCTTTTCCTGTCTGATAGAACTTGCCGGACAGAGTGAATGGGTCCTGCTAGAGACTCAGCCGCGAGGAGGCCCAGTAGAACGACGGACTTGATCAGTTGCATGTTGGTGAGGTAAGTGATTGAAGTGAAGCTGAAAGAACTGCTGAGGGGTGAGTTTGGAGGATGATACAACACTTATGTAATGGTATGTGGTTATTGTCTGTGCTAGCAAGTTCGTCGAGTTCGAGCTGCTGTTGCTAGTCAAATCCTTAGATGAGGAAGACTTGAGGGCCTTTTATTCAGTATCTGTGCAAACTTCTGGTCTGTGTAGTGGAGACCATTCTGGAGTCTCGGCGTTTGTTGGACCTCAGGATGCAACGTAGAGCTTCGTCATTGATCTCGCTGGGACATGATATCATCGGAGTGGTGGACACCCGATACCACGCCAATCAACCAGCACTCGTGCCGGCCTCACATTTTTGGAACTTCTGTTTTCACGAGTCCGTTGGTCCCGATCCCCAAGTCGCGCATGAAAGAAACTTAGTGGGTTGGAATGACGATCGAGGCTTGGGGGCTCGAAGAGAAAGCCTCGTGGGGGCGGATGAACCAGTCATTCATGTTGCTGTAGCGAATGTTCCAACCAACACCCGAAGAAGTCTTCAAACGTCATGATAGCGTACGTGCGGTGAATGAACCCAGCCGTATCCAGCCTTGGCATTCGGATGAGCGCCATATTTCTGATACCATTTGGCACGGTTCTCGTCATCGAAGTGTGATCGGCCGAATCCCACGATGTTACGTGATGTTCCTCCAGCTCTCGACAGTCTCATGGGCCACGATAACGAAGGAACACCAGGTTGAAGTGCTGAGGAGTATGTAAGAGATCAACCAAGATAGATTCCTCTGCGAGTCCGATGTCTGTTGGCTGAGGCCGTGCAGTCAGACGGAGGACTCTAAATTTAGATGTCTTAGTGGGGGCCGTTCTTCAACAGCCCAGCTAACACAAACATCGTAACCTGGAAGTTAACCGCTAGGCACGAACTCACCTCGCAATGAGACTATCGCCCTGTTTTCTCCACTCATCCTAGCCCTTTCTCTTTCACACGCGGTTTTGGTCGCCGAGATACCTCTGCAGGAGAGAGTCGGTGCACGTCATCCCCAAACCCGGCCCGCCCGCTATTCCGTGCCCGGTGGCCCCACACCCCCGGTGCGGGGCCGCCGATCGCACCGAAATGTCGCCGTCGCCGGAGGATTGGTATGTCGCCGCCGTCTCAACGGCGAGAATATCGTGAGCGGCCACTTCACAGATTACCCGTGCAAGACAAAAGCGATGGTCTTATCTGATTATATTTCTGCGGACCCATCAATTCGTAAAGTTTCTCCATTACTCTAGGTAAACAACACCGAAGTAATGTATTTCGTGAATTCCATCTTCCTGTTCGGCTTGTCTGCCCTGCAATTCTTGTCAAAGCCCGTTCGAATTCGCGGTCAGCGCTATCCCTATTCAATTCATGGAGGTGCTCAGACTAATACTGAATCCTCAGCTTCGAAGTCAACTCGGTCCTGAAGAGCTCGCGATGGCGCAAAAGTCAGGGAAGGGGCATGCAAAGGTTGAGGCGAGGCCATTGCAATTGATCCAAACAGGGCTACGAAGTTTATCGGTATGATTTCCTGAACTTCGCTGGGTGTACTTCTAGCAACCTGCGCACATACTAACAAGGATCCCCAGCGAGGAGCCAACGGCATCAAAATCTGCGTCGCCGTGCTCGGCATTGTCTAGGACATTCGAAACGCTGGGGAGCATGTTTCGATTGATTGGTTCACGGTGTCATGGCCTTTCTGTTTTACGTGGAAATGAGTGTTTCTGGGCTTCATAGCGTTTCGCGGCATCTCTTCTAGCAATTCCTTCGATAGCGGCCACTTCTTTCGAAGACATCGACTGGTGAAGTTGACATCATTTTGACTTACTTTCTGTACGTGCAATAGACCGTTGTATTGCAGGCCTTGGCTTTGAATCCAGGGGCTTCCATTAAGCAACGCGATACCAAGCGAAGTGACGTTCAGGGTCCAGAGCAAAAGCAGGTACGGAGACATCTGCCATGCATCGTCAAATGAACCAACCCGTCCATCTCATTTCCGAAAACCTGTCTGCGGAGCTGGGTTGAAGACCATCAACTACATTGACAGGACAATCGCCAAGATTTCTCCAGACCTCGTCGCCGTATGTCTCGACTGAGTCCGAGTGTGAATGTCGGCAGGCAGGAGTTCAATCGAGTCCTCTCTTCATCTCTTCATCAGGCCAACCAGAGGCTGGGCTCAAGGGAAGGCAATTCGAACCGAGCCAACGGCAAACGGTGCACCGAATCACCAGGCCCCAAACCCGCCCGCTTTACACCGGACCAACAGGCAAGAGAACGCCACAAATCTCACCCCAACAGGCGCTTCTTGTGGGCGAGGTGAAGGTGCGCGCCCACACCATGCCACGTGCCAAAAGAGTGCGGTGTCCGCTCGCCCATCTGCACTGATTTACTCCAACTTCTTAGTCTAGCCACTTGTGACAGCCCTCAGTGTCAGGCGTTGGAGAAGGGGCCGGCTTCACTCATGGGCGGGCAGTCGGTGCATGTCGGTATTCATCAGCCGCAGAGTACGAGCGGTTCGAGCAACTGCAGCAGTGACCGACGCACTCCAATATCATCGCTAAAGTGCGGGTCAGGCTATCTTTCGAATGCCCAACTCGACCGTTTCTCTGCACGCGTCCATCACATTACCAAGCATGCGGCCGACTTAGTCCTGGAAATCCGAGCGTGCAAGCGGGAACTTCTGGTTGCATGACGCGTTTTCAATCGTGGTCATGAGAAGTGATGGTGACGACCGGTGTGCGACCGAGGATCAGTTGCTTCTCTCAGGGCGCGGAGCAAAGGAGCCCTTCAGGCTGGATTGGCGGTTGATCTGGTACTCAAACACGTCCCGTGACATAGTCGTGACGAATATCAGGTCATCTCGGACTCAGCGTGCACCTCAGCCCTACTCATATAGGCTGCTTGGAGCCACTTGGTCGAACGGCGAATGAAGCTGGTGCCGGGGCTGATTCGATCGTTGCTCATATTCATCTCGATGGAATGAGACCCAAACCCTCTCGCATCTCGGTTCCGGGGACACACATTTTCAGGCCTGACAATGATTTGGGTTGCATTATGCTGTTCAGACACGTTGTTCCTTTGTGGTCAACGCTTCTGAGGGTACTCCGCCAAACACTAGACGGAAAAGTATTCATACCTAGTCCGGCAAGCGCCCGTAGTTGCAGATGTGCTCGCCAACAGCCAATTTCTAGAAGTGGAAGTGACCAGCCGAGGTCAGTGAAAAGACCCTCTGACTGGCCGTGCCGGCCGTTGATTGCCCCGTCGCGGGACTCGGATCTGCAGAGGGGTAATCAGGCTGATCTATGCCCTTGCTCGTGGGGAATCCGACCCCGGCCAGGAAGTCGCGGCTCCGCGTTCCCCAACTCTGGTTGGAGGACATTCATACCAGTGGCGTTGGCATTGGACGAGCCACGTCGACTCACCTGAATGAGGAGTTATGTGAGCCAGTGGATGCGATCATGAGCTGCATTAGCTCGACAGATGGTTCTTTTGCTCCACATTCTGCTGAGTCCCAGTCCAGGTACCCTTCATGATCTGGATTCGATGGTTCAGTTGGTTGATCGCAATTTTCGAAACGGAAAACGATTGTGGTATTGTTTTCGAAAATGCAGTGCGCCATGCTTATGTTTCCTGGTGCCCAGCACCCAAAGATCCGTTGTCGCCCCTGTGGTATCATTTTCCGACGTAACCGTGGCCATGTTTCGTGACGACTTCCAGCGAACTTCCCGTCATCCTTTCCCCTTCAGCCAAAGACGAGGCCGACTCCCATATTTGCAGCAATTTGCTTCCACAGATCCGGGCACGCCTCAGCCCCAACCTTCTCCTTACCATAGGCCCGCATGTCCATTCTCCGCCACACATCCTGGACAACGGTCCAGGGCTTTTCCGTGTTGACTGTGCCCTTCTTGCTACCGAATGCGGTGAAAGCTTGTCGTACGAGACCGCGATCCCGGCTGCATATGGCATGACATGCGGAGAAGAATAGCGGCCACAGGATGGTCAACCCGGCCGCGCCGTGCGACACAGCCGCAGCACAGTGCCATAGGGCCGCCTGTGCGTGTTTTTGAACCAAGTCATGCGATGAAGGGTACTCGGATATGGTGCTGTACAGATAAACCAGTGCGCTCTGTCGGTAGGCAAGCGCAGTGCTAGTGATCCATCTAATGTTGGCAAGCTCGGCCTCGGTGGCGTGTTCTGGGCCATCAACAATGCGGTTGACGAGATCAAATCCTGGAGGGAGAACCGGATGCCACGTTTCTAGAGCGTGCTCGATCGCCTTGTAGGTCGTCTGGTACTCGGTGCGAAGGACTGCAAACTTCGAAGATTGCCCTGTTGCCATGGCGGTCTGCAGCTCACGCTTCATTGTGGCAAGCTCACTCAGGCGGTGGAGTGTTGGCCAGAGATCATCGGCCATTCCTAGAACTGGATCAATACCATCGAATGTGATCGGCGGTGGAGAGCTGCCAGGTGAATAGGTTCGGCTAGGGCTTGGTGCCGCAAAGACTGGGGTAGCGCCGTGGGTGAGCGCGTATAGCACATCGAAGTAGCGGAAAACCTATGGGAGTTAGACCTAATATCTCATCCTGGAAGTAGAAAATACCCGTTCAAAGAACTCAACGCTTGGGCTCTTTGGTGATGGTATCGCACTGATGATGTGCCAGGCCCCCTGAAGATGATTGCTGGTGATGGTGGGCAGGCTTCGCTGCATGAGCTGAGTTCGTCAGCAACGCCTATCAATGCGTTATGCCTGTTGTATCTCACCAGATCGTACTGCAAAAGGAGAACAATTGTGGCAAGCGCCTCTTCAAAGCCGTCGCCCTCTTCAATGATTGCTGACAGGCCTGCGACGGCTCGCTCGTGAAAACCTGCAGACCCTTCTGTGCTTTCCAACCCGGCATATTCGCGATGCGCACTAGCCAGAGCATAGATGGCGTTGCGAACAGCGGAGCTCCTATTTGAAAGTGGGATGATGTGTTGCTCGTAGTGATTGGAACTCCCTTCCTTGAATCCCATTGTTGGTAACATGACTTTAGAGTAATGATCCAGCAGACCTGTGCCCTCCGGACAGTCTGGTACGTTGTGGAAGGATGGAGGAAGCAAATTCATGATTGGCGAGGAGCCTGCTGACCACGACGGCTCATTCCAAGACATATCCAGGCTTGCCGAGAAGAAGGAGTCGTCCATTGAGTGGACACTACCATCCATGGTTGTCAAAGGAAGCTGCAACTCGATGTCTCCCTTTTGATAGCTTCCGATTTCCGTAACTGTCGTGAAGTCACCTGTTCCTGCCTCCGCATCCTCGTAGGCCATGTCGTATTCGTAGGGGCCGTCGAAGTCTTCGCAGATAGGCAGTATAGCGTCTATTGAAGTGGAAAAACAGTTGTCTGTAGAACCAGGCGATGAGAAAGCAAGGTCAATGGTGGGTTGGCCCACATCAGGTGGTGTCAAAATGTTCGTGTCGGGGCTTGTTTGTTGGTCTGTGGTGCCTGTCGGGCTGTTCGAGTCATCGGATTCGATGGACTCTTGGGTTTGGGCCGACTTGACGGATGCCCTCCGCTTCCGCTTCTTGATGGGCTCGTAAACGCATGTTACGCCGGCTTGAACACAACGAAGACAATGGGGGCGTTCTTCGGAGCACTTCTTTCTCTGTGATGAATGTTGGAATTGGTTTCAAGCCGAGGACGGGTGGAGAAGTCGCAACGAACCTTGTCTCGGCTACCTGACGTTAGCAAAAGCCGTCCAGCTGATGACATCCAGGTTTTAATCACTTACCAATATTTGCATCCTGTTGATGGCGGAAAACAAAAGTCAGACAGCCATTCAACAAGTTGTCTTGCGAGAAGGCTCCTACGAACCTGCTCTAGAACGAGTCTTGATCGGCCGGGGGCGGACGGGTTGGTTGACGAGCATGTTGTTGAGAGGACCACCAACCGCGGCTGATTATTGAATGTGTTTTCGTAGTGGCAAGCCCAAGCCTCAGAGTTCGTCGTCGTATTCAGATGCCAAAAGACTCCAGGATGTAGACATGGCAAACATGCGGCCGCGACGGCCAGCGGAGGTGATATTTGAACGAGCAGGTGCGGCCAGGGTTCCCCAACTACCCCAGTCCAGTGAGGGGAAGTGGGCGCTAGAGGGGTCGGCTTCAGAGCTGGCAGATTTGGAGAAGGCCAGAGTGTGTGCAGTCGAGCCACGGGGACATGCCGAGTAGACACAAGTTGCGGTACCAAGCCTTCTGGACATGGCGAGGACTCTGGGGTCCCCAGAAAATGTCGAGCTAGAGCATGCAACAACATATTAACCGGCCATTCAGCCTCGAAGTTGGTGATCATTCGACTGGTTCCCAAGAACGCGATGCAAGGTTGTGGACCCTGCTCTTCTGAGCTAGCTGCTTAGCGACCGCTGACATGCAAGGGTCGACATCGAGCCGTCGACATTGCCATTCACGAAGCGGCAGGTGGCGCCAAAATGTGCTGGTTGGTACCTAAGAAAAGAGAGAAGTGGACGAAGTCTTCGGGTTTGCCACTGATCTCGGAGGCAGTGGCCGAAATGGTGTGGTTGGCGATTTGCTGTAGTTCATCCCAATGCGTTAAGAAGATCTAGTCCAGCCAGTGGCGATGCAGTTGAGGATGTCAAGACAAGCGATCATGTCGCGTCGGACGAGAGCCGCGGATAAGTATTTGGGAGAAAGCCGCAACGTACACTATCGATGAAGCTGCAATGTGTGTCTCCAAGGACCCTTGAGGTAGTAGAAACAAGACACCAGCAGTTGGGATGACATCCAAGACGTGAAGTGGTGTGGTGAAGACGGGACGTTGGGCAGTGGCTGATGCTCAGACGAAGGAATCCAGATGGCGTTCGTTATTGGAGGAGCGGAATTCCTCCGGTGCCATTGGCCCGTTCTCCGCTTTCAGTGCACGGTCCATAGGTCTCGGTTAAACCTGCTTCCCACGTGCCAGAGCCACCTTCCTTCCCATCGTCATTTCTTCCAACGCGCCTGGGCCACAGCTAATTTCGTCTCAAAGGCATCGCGGCCAAATTCAGTTCAACATTATTTTCGTTTGCCTGTCTATCCAAGACCGTTCCGAGAAGTCCCTCGCCCACAGGTGGTCAATATCACCGGATTGCCTTATTCACTGCCGTTCCCAAACTCCTTGCTCTGTTATCCGCAATACAATTACAACCGGGCCGTCAACGTCATCCCTCCATTTGCTGCTCGGATCGCGCCTTCGCAATAGCACAGTTACCCAGTCGGGTCAGCTCCCCAACAAAGGCATCGATCATGTTGACATGGGAGACCTCATGTGGCGTCAAGCGTCGATTCCGCATCCCTTCGATCAACTTCGGCACCGACTTCAACAGCTCGATATCCTCTTCTGCCTGGGAGTTGAGCGGCTCATGCAGCAAGTTGCAGAAGATGGTTAGGATTGCCGACATTGGATAAAAGACAACCATCCTGGCGAGGTCAGCATCGTCACAATTCACGAAACTTGATCACAGCCTTCGGTAACTTACCAGAACGCCACCTCCTCGACTCCGTGGATAGCAGCTCGAAGAAAATACAACGTCGACCGACTGGCCTGTACCGACAGCGTCAGGCTTGAACTGACGCCCTCCAATCCGCCACCCTCACCACTGTTCCAACACCGACATCTGCCACTGGCTCGATGGATCATGGCCATCAGGTAGTGGTACTCGAAATGGAGGATGATCTCCTCCATACCCAACCGACCTTTTCTGACACAGACCGTCCCCCGAGGAAAGGTCAGAGTCGGTCGATATGACTGAGGCACCGACATTCGCCATTGCTCCAGCTCGTCGTCCAGTTCGCGGATGTCTCTCAGCACCTCGGCATCTCCCTTCTTGAGGGCCGCAACAGAGTACAGGGTGCGACTGATCTTTGACTTGATGATGGTCAACTGCAGCGAGTCCGGTTGCAATGCCGACGTGATAGTTGCTTCGTCAAGGAAGGACGGCGATCCTCCCATATCGCCATCACGATGACGATTCCACCAATCCATTTGCGGGAGGGTCAGGTCGCAATGCTCGTCATCAATGCTTGGTGGCTGGCCAGTACGGAGAGAGATCTCCTTGTCGAGCTTGTACGACAACCAGAACAGCCTTCGTAACTGATTCTGCTCACGCAATGCATGATCGTTCCCAACCTTGGGTGACTGATGGGGGGTTCGGCTTATGCCGGGCTCGAGGTGGCCCCCGAGCATAAACAAGACTCGACACGTGGCGGAATGGAACATTGCTCCTTGCTGGAGGTGGCCGCAAAAGAGGTGATACAGACTCTGCAAAACCAACGTCAGCGCCGCTCCAGTTCTCGGAACAGCATTCGGCTCGGAAGACTTACCAGCAAGAAGACGGTTTGCAGCGCCCGCATGTTCGTGTCCTGCAGGATCATCGCCAGCAGGCTCTGAGCTGCTCCTGCGCAGGCCTCGCCATCGATCTCGGGCGATGACTTCCAGTCTTCCTGGAAAAGAGACACAACTGCAAAGAAGGCAAAGACTTGGGCCTTGGCCGTGACGACCTCGAGACTTGGTGATCCCTCATACGGCTGGTAGGCAACGTCAATTGTCTCTTGGAACAAGACATGATCAATGACTGGGAATGATAATGCAAAATGAGACGCCGAGAATAGCGCCAGATACTCCTGAACGGTCGCCCTATCGGGCAATTCCCCTCCTGGACCAGATTGCGGGAATCCGTTCAGGAGGATGGGAACGGGGTGCTGGGTCTGCCACAGGGGCCCCAGAGCGAACAGGGTCTGGATGGAGGCGTCCTCTCCAGCTCGGGACCGAATCCATTCCTGCCCGTCAGTGGAGAAGAAGGGCACGCCATTGTAAGAGCTAATATCACCCATGTAGTAGCCTGCAAAGTGCATCTTCCCTACGGTAGCGCCGGAAGCCCTCATAGATGAGTCATAGGCTCGGACTTGGGATGCCTCCGGGGTACCGTCGGCGGCCGGGGCGTCCGGGCCGCCGACTGTTGACATTGGCGCCGACGATGACGACGGGGACATGGATTGGTCCCGACCCTCGTCCCCAGGATCCTGGGCGCCATGATTCCGCCGAGCCGCCTCGAGAGCTTGTTCGATACGGTTGAGGCGTTCGACAAGGTCCTTTTCAGATCCAGCCCTGCACATGTCGTAAATCTCTGTCTTCTGTCCTCTCATCTCGAGTCGCAATGAATCATCGAAACCGGTGTGGGTCTCGGTCTCAGGGTTCACTCACTTTGCTGTGGCCACTCGCTTCTTCACCTTGGTTGTCCGGTTGAAAGTGCAAGCCATTCCATGGTGCTTGCACCAGTTGCATTGCGGGACGGCCCCGTCACACTGAATCTTTGACAGGAGAAAACAGAATCAGCATCGTGTCTGAGACAACATACTCAAAGTCCATGATCAACAACGGGCCGGGACGATACCTTCCTCCTGTGACAGGAATCACACGCTCTCTTCCTCATGTTGAGGCTCCGATTCGCTGCGTCGGCCGCCGCCCAGCCGCGGCACGATGCTTTGCCCGGGAAATAATTGGCGGAAAAGTGAACCAACTTGGGTCTCGGGAGGGAAGCCGGTTTGCCAGATTTCGCATCTCACGCCGCAGATAATCAAGAAGTCGCCTGTTCGCGGCAGTCGTTCCCCCCTTCGGTTCATGTAAGAAAAGTCCCGCTGACTCAGCGGCGACGAAAAGTCCGTTAGTAAGCGGCCAAGTAGGAAAGTGGAGTAACTCTAATCGTGATTCGGGCATCAATTGGTTCTCAGCGGCAAACTAAAACCCAAAACAGTGGGAGGATCCACCGTCATTTTCAGAGTCTGCGCCCGTGCCCGGCGCTCCGAGACACGCCGCTCCGACTTTTTTCGGCACCAACCAACGCCATCCGATACCACGGACACCACCAAAAAAGAACGAGTTCGCCGCTTACTCAGCGGAGAAATCGCCATTTGACATAACATTTCCGACTCTGACAGATTAGCCTCACTGCGGCTCACGCCGTATCTTAAGGGATCGTCCTGGGTCTGGCCCACGGCATCCCGCATGTCGGACAGGGTCCCACCCCGAATGAGTCCGCTGCCACGAGTCCACGACGCTTCCTGCAGGGTTCGTACGGCAAGTGCCATGTTTTTGTTACGGTGGGATGAAGCACAATTATTCAGCGGACTGAAGCTGTGCTCGCCCGAAACGAAACAATCTTCGGACTACTACGCCATCGACTTCGAGAAGATTACGCTTTTTCGTCCGACACATTTTGTCATTACACACGGGATGACGGGACCACCTTGTTACCATGGCGTCCCCCCTTATCACACTCCGTTGGACCCGGTTTAGTGGTTGACCCGGTCATTCTATGATACCAAGGGGTCGCACAGAGATCTCAGGGATCGCAGGTAACCATGGATCGGGCCCTACTCCAAGCCCATGTGGCCGAGTCCATTCGGCGGGCCGGCCGGACTTTAGGACGTCGACGAAATTTGACAGAGAGTTCGCTGCATGATAGAACAAATAAGACGCTCCCACCCGGGATATTCCACACTCTGATTCTCTCAAGCGTGTGCTACTTCGAATCTCACGCCTTCGTGATACTCCTGGTGCCACGATGAACTTCACAACAGAGAAACAAGAAGTCGAATCGTCGTATTCTCGCGAGGGCAACATGGAGTCCGACGGCACCCTCAACAACGGCTCCAACTACGAGCAGTCCCTCGAGCTCGCCCCCCTCCCCGAAGATGATTCTACCACCTGGGCGTTGAAGCACAAGGTCGAGGCCGTCAAGCAACGCGATGAACGATCCGGATTCCCCCCTCGAAAGCTCGGCGTTACATGGCAGAACCTCACCGTCCAAGCCGTCAGCTCCGATGCCGCCATCCACGAGAACGTGCTCTCGCAGTTCAACATCCCCAAGCTCGTCAAGGAGTCCCGCCACAAGCCCCCTCTGAAGACCATCCTCGACAATACCCACGGACACGTCGCCCCCGGAGAGATGTTATTGGTCCTCGGCAGACCCGGTTCCGGGTGCACGACACTTCTCAACATCCTCGCCAACCACCGCCGGGGATACTCCTCAGTAACCGGAGACGTTCACTACGGATCGATGCCGGCGAAGGAGGCGGAGCGGTATCGTGGACAGATCGTCATGAACACCGAGGAGGAGCTTTTCTTTCCTTCCCTTACTGTCGGCCAAACCATGGACTTCGCAACGAGGATGAAGATCCCCTTCCATCTGCCCGATGGCGTTTCCACTGCAGAGGAGTTGAGAGCCGAGAACCGTGATTTCCTCCTGGAGTCGATGGGTATCACGCACACTTTTGACACCAAGGTTGGCAACGAGTTCGTTCGTGGCGTGTCTGGTGGTGAGCGGAAGCGTGTTTCCATCATCGAGTGCATGGCCACCCGAGGTTCAGTGTTCTGCTGGGATAACAGTACGAGAGGTCTGGATGCCAGCACGTGAGTACCCATCTGGTCTCTGATGACGAGACGATACTAACAGTCATCAAGGGCCCTGGAGTACACCAAAGCAGTCCGCGCGATGACCGACGTCCTCGGTCTTGCTTCCATCGTAACCCTCTACCAAGCCGGCAACGGAATCTACAACCTCTTCGACAAGGTCCTCGTCCTCGACGGAGGCAAGGAGATGTACTACGGCCCCATGAAGGAAGCCAAGCCCTTCATGGAGAAGCTCGGCTTCATCTGCTCCGACGGCGCCAACGTCGCCGACTTCCTCACCGGCGTGACCGTCCCCACGGAGCGCGCCGTCCGCCCCGGTTTCGAAAAGACCTTCCCCCGCAACGCGGCAGCCCTCCGCGCAGAGTACGAAAAGTCCGATATCTACCCGCGTATGATCGCCGAGTACGACTTCCCGACGACGGAGGTCGCCAAGGAGAACACGAAACTCTTCCAGCAGGGCGTGGCCAACGAGAAGCACAAGCAGCTGCCCGCCAACAGCGCCCTGACGACGAGCTTCATGACGCAGGTCAAGGCCTGCGTGCAGCGGCAGTACCAGATCATCTGGGGCGACAAGGCCACCTTCATCATCACCCAGGTCTCGACCCTCGTCCAGGCCCTCATCGCCGGTTCTCTATTCTACAACGCCCCGAACAACTCGGCCGGTCTCTTCGTCAAGGGCGGCGCTCTCTTCTTCGCGCTTCTTTTCAACAGTCTGCTATCTATGTCGGAAGTCACCAACTCCTTCACCGGTCGTCCTGTCCTGATCAAGCATAAATCCTTCGCGTACTACCACCCGGCCGCGTTCTGCATCGCCCAGGTTGCTGCTGATATCCCGGTCACGTTATTCCAAGTTTCGGTATTCTCGGTTGTATTGTACTTCATGGTTGGTCTGAAGACCACTGCTGCTGCGTTCTTTACCTTCTGGGTAGTCGTGGTCGCAACCACAATGGTGAGTCTCGCCTCTTTTTGTCAAGCGAGATGTTTAGCTAACAGGTGCAGTGTATGACGGCTATGTTCCGCTCCATTGGCGCAGGATTTTCGACGTTTGATGGCGCTTCCAAGGCATCAGGTTTCATGGTCAGCGCTCTGATTATGTACTGCGGTTACATGGTAAGTCTCACTACTCTGCTCAGATCTCGATCAATGACGTCCTGACCATGGTCTCAGATTCAATACTCTCAAATGCACCCATGGTTCATTTGGATCTTCTGGATGTAAGTCTCTTTCTTTCAGGAACCCGGACCCGTTGCAGTCTGTTCCTTTCCGCAGTTGAACCCTGACTAATTCCCTGCAGTAATCCTCTCGCCTACGCGTTTGACGCGCTTATGTCCACCGAATTCTACGGCCAGCTCCTTCCTTGTGTCGGCAACAACCTCGTACCGAACGGGCCCGGATACACCGACCTCGCTCACCAGTCCTGCGCCGGTGTCGCCGGCGCCAGGCAGGGAGACACCTCCCTGACCGGCGAGCAGTACCTTTCCGCTCTTTCCTACAGCCACAGCCACGTCTGGAGAAACTTCGGTATCGTCTGGGCTTGGTGGGTTCTCTTCATTGCCATCACCATCATTTCAACGTCAATGTGGCGCTCGTCCGCAGAGGGCGGCTCTTCTCTCCTGATCCCCCGTGAGAACGCCAAGGTCACCGCCGCGCTGAGAACCGATGAGGAGGCTCAGACTACCGAGGAGGCTACTGGTGAGACCAAGAGCGACAATGAGAAGCGGGACGGCAACGCCAGTGGAGACGAGACGGATCAGAACCTCATCCGCAACACCTCAATCTTCACCTGGAAGAACCTCTCCTACACCGTCAAGACGCCCTCCGGAGATCGTGTGCTTCTCGACAACGTTCAAGGCTACGTCAAGCCCGTAAGTCAACCTCCTATTCTCTGTTGATTACACGTCACTGACCTCCCCTAGGGTATGCTCGGTGCATTGATGGGATCTTCCGGCGCTGGTAAGACCACTCTCCTCGACGTCCTCGCCCAACGCAAGACCGAGGGTACAATCCACGGCTCGATCATGGTCGACGGACGCCCCCTTCCTGTGTCCTTCCAACGATCCGCCGGATACTGCGAACAGCTCGATGTCCACGAACCCTACGCCACGGTCCGCGAAGCCCTCGAATTCTCCGCCCTGCTCCGCCAAAGCCGCGACACCCCGCGCGAGGAGAAGCTAGCCTACGTCAACACGATCATCGATCTCCTCGAGCTCCACGACCTGGCCGACACCCTCATCGGCCGCGTCGGCAACGGTCTCTCCGTTGAGCAGCGCAAGCGCGTCACCATCGGTGTTGAGCTCGTCTCTAAGCCTTCCATCCTGATCTTCCTTGACGAGCCCACCTCCGGTCTCGATGGCCAGTCCGCCTACAACACCGTCCGCTTCCTCCGCAAGCTCGCCGACGCCGGCCAGGCCGTCCTCGTCACCATTCACCAGCCCTCCGCCCAGCTCTTCGCCCAGTTCGACACCCTCCTGCTTCTCGCCCGTGGCGGCAAGACCGTCTACTTCGGCGACATCGGCGACAACGCAAAGACCATCCGCTCCTACTTCGCCCGCTACGGCGCGCCCTGCCCCGAGGACGCCAACCCCGCAGAGCACATGATCGACGTCGTCTCGGGCCACCTCTCCAAGGGCAAGGACTGGAACGAAGTCTGGCTCTCCTCTCCGGAGCACGACGCCGTCGTCAAGGACCTCGACCACATGATCTCCGACGCCGCCTCCAAGCCCCCCGGAACCGTCGACGATGGCCACGAGTTCGCCCTCCCCCTCTGGGAGCAGACCAAGATCGTCACCCATCGCATGAACGTCTCGCTGTACCGCAACGTTGACTACGTCAACAACAAGTTCGCGCTGCACATCTTCTCCGCCCTCTTCAACGGCTTCTCCTTCTGGAAGATCGGCGACTCCGTCTCCGACCTGCAGATGAGCCTCTTCACCATCTTCAACTTCATCTTCGTCGCCCCCGGTGTCCTCGCCCAACTGCAGCCTCTCTTCATCGACCGCCGCGACATCTTCGAGACACGCGAGAAGAAGTCCAAGATGTACTCGTGGATCGCCTTCGTCACTGGCCTGATCGTGTCCGAGGTCCCCTACCTCATCATCTGCGCCGTGCTCTACTACGTATGCTGGTACTACACCGTCGGCTTCCCGACCGACTCCTCCCGTGCGGGCGCCACCTTCTTCGTCATGCTCATGTACGAATTCGTGTACACGGGTATCGGCCAGTTCGTCGCCGCCTACGCCCCCAACGCCGTCTTTGCCTCTCTCGTCAACCCTCTCCTGCTCGGAGTCCTCGTCTCCTTCTGCGGTGTCCTCGTCCCCTACGACCAGCTCCAGACCTTCTGGAAGTACTGGATGTACTGGCTCAAGTAAGTCTTCCCCCTTCCCAACATCAACCACCAGACAACTAACCATCACCCCAGCCCCTTCAACTACCTCATGGGCAGCATGCTCGTCTTCGACCTCTGGGGCACCGAGGTCAACTGCGACTCCAAGGAGTTCGCCCTCTTCGACCCGCCCAACGGCACCACCTGCGCCGCCTACCTCGCCGACTACATGCGCGGCATGGGCGCCAGCAGCAACCTCGTCAACCCGGACGCCACCTCCGGCTGCAGGGTCTGCCAGTACCGCGACGGCAGCGACTACCTGCAGACCATCAACCTGAAGGAGTACTACTACGGCTGGCGGGACGCCGGCATCGTCGTCATCTTCGCCATCAGCTCGTACGCGCTCGTCTACCTGCTCATGAAGCTGAGGACCAAGACGTCCAAGAAGGCGGAGTAAAGAAGACGTGCTCGGACCAGGCTCTGTATTTCTCTATCACATCACACATGAACACAACAACGGCTTCCACATTTTAGATGGTACTACCTCCGCGGGTAGATTCTGGGGATCACATCGGGTGGGCTATGTCTCTTTGCGTATTACTGCTCTGCATCAAAGCGAATGCATTCTCTCGTGTCAGTCGAGGGGCTAGATTTCATACTGGGAAAGGATAATGGTTAGCATAATAGATATTCAAATTGTAAATTTCACGCATGAATCTAGCCGATCAAGGGGAAATTGAGACCTCCCCAATCAGAGCAATCAGTATCTTGTTTGCTCTAAGCCGCGTGTCTTGTTCTGTGTAACATAGCCCAATCGGCAAAGTGTTTCTTGTGTTGCCTGTGGTGCGCCCGATTCCCTCTGGGCTGCTTGATTCGACCAAAGCCTGAACAAGTCAGTTCTCGTGCCAGCGTTTTGCCTAATTCAATTCCGATGGCTTGCTCGACGGCAGGTAGGTCTACTCCAAACGTTGTTTTGACCGACCCATTGATCAAATTGAAAGCTACAAGTGTTGGTCTTGTATATACCACACTTATGGTAATTAAGGACCCTTGCCATGCCTTGAAATTCATGAAGGCTTTCTCTATCATCTAGCAGCCGCAAAGAGGGAAATTCCCTGATTGTCGTACCCGTGTTTTCAATGCCGTCGAGTTCCAAAGGACCCTGATCGCGATGGTACTCTGCGAATGTCTCCGAAAGGTGAGGCTCTTGTTTCCAATACTCTCGTGGTGCACGCTCAAACCAAGCCTGCCTGGCATAGTCCGAGCCAACCAAGCAAAACTTGTTTGTGATTTTCAGCTGGGGAAGGGTGATTTCATTTTGTCCTAGGTCTGTGACGAGAAGTGTGGATGTGACCTGTGTTCCCAAGGCTGTAAAATGGGTGCACATGTGGCGTCTGCCTCAGTACTGTCAGACAATTCATCTATTCGAGAATCGCGCTCCCACAACCAATCGGACATCCGACGAGAAATTAATTGCACATCTACGCCGTCTCACTACAGGTCAGTCCAGCGAATAATCGATCCCTTGGCCTTGACTCGTGAGACGATCGAATCCTGCCTGCAAGGCGTTACGCCTCAAATGCTGCCTATGATGTCAACGGGCTCCCTTGTCTTCACCTTTTGATCTGCCTCACCTCCAGGACACCTATTCCAGGCACACAGAAAGGACACATATAATGCACTCGAGCCACAGATTGCAGTCATTTCATCTGAAATGAGCAGTCTTTGCTTTCCGACGTCAAAGTGTGCACTGCCACTTCGATTAAAGTAGACGGCAATTACCATGATAAGAGAAAGACCATACGTTCGCGTGCAGCAGGACGCATATGAACTGGAGGTATGTTCACCTTCCGAGGAACCTATTCCCACATACCCCTTTCGGTGGTATCATTGCTGGAAGAAGCTGTTAGTACACCCCGTTACCTGCCTACATTGAGAGAGCTGTCAATCACTCTTGCACCAAGAGAGACTTCGACTGGCTTCGAGCGTATCAGGCTCCATGTGCGCATACATGGATATCTATGTACTTTTGCCCACTAACAAATCATAACTTCGTGTCAAGTCGATCATTCACGGTCCCTGAGCCTCTTTGGCAAAGATCGGCCTTTTACTTCTCTGTCGCGGCATTCTTTGTGTTCCTTTTCAACTTCATCTTCATCCTCTGGGCTACGATTGCGCGAGAGTCTAATGAAAACGATGGAATTGGTACTGTGTTTCAAGCCGAAACATGCTCGAGGACCAAAGTTCTAAATACTGGCATCCACGTCACCATAAACATATTCAGCACTATTCTGCTCTCTGGAAGCAACTATTGTATGCAGTGCCTTATGGCACCTACTCGATCCGATATTGACAAAGCTCATTCGAAGCAATGTTGGCTCGACATAGGTGTACCCAGTGTCCGCAACTTCTTTAGTATAACGTGGAAGAAAAGGATTCTTTGGCTTCTCCTATCCTCCTCATCTCTACCTTTACACTTGCTGTATGCGCAATCTATTTCCGCCACCTAATGCCATTTATTGCTGACGAAATCCTAGATACAATTCCGCCATCTTTACATCTACCTCGACAAATGACTATCTTGTCTTCGTGGTAAATGAAGACGTCATATCTGAGGACAGCGCCAAAGAACTGTCTTTCGCAGCTCTTCAGACGCTGAACTTGACCAAGGCTCACGACACACCAACAGACGGCCTTCTAGAACGCCTAGATGTCGAAGAGTGTCTCAACGTATACGCAACGCCATTCCAGTCCTCCCGTGGCAATGTGCTCCTTGTTGCGAAAGATTACGCTCCATCTGAAATGCCGCCTAGCTTTTCCAAGCGCGCTACCCTTAGAATAGGAGGAGAGACGATATCTCAGCCTTACGATTGGATATGTTCTAGCACGTGAGTCTATTGCCGAACATGCCCTTCGATACCAAACCTCTCGAGTAGGCACAGTAATCGAAGCAGCATGGCTAACTCGAATTGCAACAATACGCTCACCCCTTTGGAAATAAAGACTTCCAGCAGCCAATTTCGAATCCGAGAGTGCTACAGTCAGAAAACCCCGGAGCGGTGCAGACTACATTACAGCAGCCGGATTTGCTGGATCGTGACTGCGCTCAACTTGCTCAAAGGCCTTCTGATGCTTTCGATCGCATTGAGCTCTACCGAGAAGCCGATATTGACCATCGGAGATGCTGTGGCATCGTTCTTGGAGTATGAAGATCACACCACGAAAGAAATGTGTCTGCACTCGAAACACACTTTTACCAAGACCGGATGGCAGAAGGGACCGCAAAGATACAGATCGAAGCTACAGCCCAAATTTTCCGCCAGTGGTCTTGGGAGATGGATCGTATGTCTCGTGCTGTACGTCTCACATTCTCGGCCTCACTAGGCGCTGCTGACTTGGCAATTTGGAGATATTTCGTTGCTTTTGCCGCCTGCTTCTATTTATTGCTGCCCGGTACCCTGGGATTGATCGACGGCATACAGCGCCTCGGGCTTGGCGAAACGAATCCAGAGACTATTCTGACCAGCTTGATGAGTGAGGGGTCGACGTCGCTCATTGCCAGCGTTGTTCTGGTCAACATACCTCAGCTCGTCGCCTCTCTTCTATACTTCAACTACAACTCATTATACACCAGCTTCTCTCAAGCTACAGAATGGGACATGTTCAGCAACAGGACGAAAGGCCTTAGGGTTTCTACCAAGCCCCGAGGAGCCCAGCGGGAAACCTACTTCTTACAACTTCCGTACCGGTACTCGCTCCCGCTTATCACCTGTTCCGGGGTTCTTTACTGGCTCATTTCGCAGAGTTTCTTCCTTGTTGATGTTGAGAATTATGGCCCAACCACGGATGCAATCATGAACCCGGGCTCCGAGATGTCGAGCAGGTTTATATCCTGCGGGTGGTCGCCACTGGGCACAATGTTGACCATGGCCGTGCTGTTTCTCATGGTCGGATCCCTCATATTCTCAGGACAGTGGCATTTGCGATTTGGCAAGATCCCTGTGGCAGGCAGCTGCAGTTCAGCCATCTCCGCGGCTTGCCATCCTGTGCCAGATGAGCCATCTTCTTGGGAAAAGCCGTTAAGGTGGGGTGCGGTGCCTGTGTCGGCTGAGGAACCGCAGCACTGTTGCTTTTCAAGTGGTCCAGTCGAGTTTCCGACAAAGGACCAGCTGTATGTATGAGATGAGCCAAAAGCATCTGGACAAGCGGGGCCTAGAAGAGGTATCTAAGCTATTGAGGCGGATGATGGCAATCACGAACCAAATAACCCAGAGACGTGAGAAAGGGATAACAACAGAGATGGCAAGACAGATATCCTCGCGGACTCAAAAAGACCGTAATTCTAGGAACCGGCCTCATTTTTGACCTCTGACAGCACGAAATTGATGATGGCATCAGCTTTGTGCATATATAATACCCAGAAAGACCGCTTAGTAGAACTTTGAAACGGCGACTCGTTCATATACGGGATGGCTAGCCTGCAATGTTTTCGAGAAAGTTGTGAATCACATATCGGCAGCACAAGATATCAGAAGTTTAACAATCATGGCATCACACGTGCCATGAACAACATATATATAGTTATGAGAAAGGGAAGACTGAGAATGACAAACACAGAAGACTCAGACGGTCCTCCTGCCGCATCTGGTGGGTTTGTCATCTTCTTCTTCTTTTCACGTCGTGACATTCTCTTAGGCAATACTTGACAGAGGCTCTGCTAAAACAGCCAAAACACCTCAGGGCTACACAATCATCATTAGCAGTGACGCAAAAATACACCAAAGACGCCAGCGAGAGACGGCAATAGAAATACACTCTGCTGTGATACACTGGATACCAATGTGCGATTTCGATAATGCATGTCTCATCCTCCGAGGCCAGTAGGCCTGAAGAACAACTCTCACGTTCTTTTGACAACCACGATTTTGTGTGAGGAGGAATATTCAAGGTCGAAGTGGAAACAACTTTCTTTTATGTCAATGCGAAAATGAAACGCGGTGTAGGGCACTACTGTCATCCACATCATAAGACGTTTCGACTTCTAAAAACGGCCTTTGACCTAAAAAGAAATCTACACTTGGATGAAGGAACAGCAGTACCGACTTAGAGTTATGAATCTTTCACGTGGTGATATTGTGAGGGGTGTTGGTAGCAGGCTTGGACCTCTGCGTCGTGCAGCTAAAAAGTTTGAACATGCCGTTTAGTTATTCGTCGCCGCTGCTGCATCAGGGCGGAGTGTTGCAACTATTCACATACACGCGTGGTTGTATCCGTTACTGCGATTAAACGATTGAGTAAACTCATGTATTAGCGCACGAAGGCGCTTGGGTGATTACAAATAAGAAACTCAGATAGGTATCAAGATCGCGAGACTGAACATGAGCAAGAGATGCTTCCGCACAAGATCTCGTATTTACACATACACCCTTTCCCCCTTTAAAACTCGAATAATCGAGCAATCGCAGACGCGATGACCATTTAGAAGACCTTGTGAAGAGTTTGTCTCCACTTAGGCCACTGGGCAACCTTGGCACGGTAGGCGTGGATCTCATCCCAGTCATGCTCACGGCGGCCGGTGTCGAGGTCGATCTGGGAAAGCTTGAGGAAGCCCTGGCGCTTCCAGAGGTAACCGCAAGCCCAGAAAAAGAGGACGACGGGGAGAGCCAAGTAGGCCTTGAAGAAGTCCTCAGCGGAGGCCAAGCCACCAGAGGGGGGAGCGATGGCGACGAAGAATTGGGCAATGAGGGAGATGAAGATGAGGAAGAGACCGAGCCAAGAGCCGGCAGTTCCACCGATGGCACGGAAGGGAAGCTCATCAAGGGTGTGGCCCTGAGCCTTCCAGGCGGCGCGGAAGCGGATGTGGGCAGCGCAGATGGAGCCCCAGGTGAAGAGGGCAGCCAAACCGGAAAGAGATAGAAGCCAGTCGAAAACGACACCACCAGATGAGGCCAGACGAACGTAGGCAAGACCTCCGAAGGCAAGGTTGAGAACAACGGCAGGGAGGGGGCGGCCAGAGCGGTCGATGTAGGCGAAGATCTTGGGGGCGTATCCCTGCTGGGCAAGTGCCGTCAAGGTACGCGAGCCACCGTAAACGCAGGAGACACCGATAGAGACGACAGATACAAGAATAACGACATTCATAAAGCTGTCGTATCCCTTCAGACCAGCGTCAAGAGGAGCCAAGACGAAGGGGGAGACACCGTCGGCGTAGGGGTTCTCGGAGTTCAGAAGACGGTCATCGGTGGAGCTGACAAGAAGACCGACAAAGGTAAGACCGAGGATGTAGAAACTATGCTTCTGTTAGTTACGGTCGTGACGAAGGCATGTCAGCTAAAACCTACACAGTAATACGCCAGAAAACCTGCTTGATAGCACCAGGGAGAGCCTTTGCCGGGTTGGTGGACTCGGCAGCGGCCAGACCGACCAGCTCGGTGCCAGAGAAGGCAAAGGCGGCAGTGACAAAGACGGAGCAGAAGCCACGGAAACCGTTCTGGAAAGCGCCAGGGTCGCTCCAGAGGCGGTTGCCCCAGTATTCGTCGTACTTGCCTCCCTCAGGGCCGCCGCCGCAGATGAGGACGATAGCAACGACCATGAAAACGACGGTGGCAACGAGCTTAAAGGCGGAAGCAAAGAATTCTTCCTCGGCGAAGCCCAGAGTTCCGAAAACGTTGACGATAATGATGAAGATCCAGAAAACTGTAATCCATACTGCTGTACTGATTTCTTTATTCCAATATTGTACCGTGAATGAGCAGACCGTTAGTTCGAGTGGTAATACAATGACCCATTGGAAGACCTGCGTCGTGTTAGTCATCTGCTTCGTGTAGATGAGAGATTGGTGAAACGTACGTAATTCCAGCCCATGGCAAAACCCCAGGAAGGATCCAGGAAGCGGATAGAGTACGTGTAGAAACCACCAGAGACCGGGTACATAACGGCGAGCTCGCCGAGAGCGTAGACGACGTTGAAGATCATGACACCAGCGATGAGGAAGCAGATGAGGACAGAGCCCGGGCCACCCTTGGTGAGAGCGCTACCGGAACCGACGAAGAAACCAGCACCGATGGAGCCACCGATGGCGATCATTTGCAAATGGCGAGGCTTCATGGAGCGATCGAGCTCGCTGCCACCAGTACCCCAATCACCTGGAGATATAAAGTTAGCATGCGACGGTTGCTGATGCGGGGTCTCAGGCGAGAGGTTCTGCGAGACTAGGCAGTTGAGGGGAACTCACGTCTCTGGAAACTCTTGAGGTTGAGACCATTGCGGGTCATGAAGTCATCCTCACGGAAGGTCTCAGGAACATGACCATCGCCAGGAGTGTGGTGGGCAGGGCCCTTCTCGGAGTCGTAGGGCGGGGTGACGCCCACGTCAGTCTCGTGCTTGGACATGGTGATGCTGTCGCCAATGGCTCGAGGTAGGAGCTAAAGACTGATTGAAGAATTAAAACAAATGCGCGGAGGCGCTTGTCGTGACTGGAGCCCTAGTCGACGACGGGAAGCAGGGTGTTACTCTGCAAGGTGCTACAGGAGTATGAGGGGAAGGGACAAGAGAGGGGAGACAGATGCGATGGACATGCGACGCGGGATGCCGTTTAATAAGATTCGAGACAGGCAGCAGATGGAAGAAGAACCACCATCAGCAAATGTAAGGTAAGGTAAGGTGTAGGTGTAGGTGCAGGGAAGACACCCACTTGATGCCAGGCCATGCCAGGCCAGGCCGAAGAGAGAAAAGTGAGGCCGGGGTGCGTACAGAGTACAGGGCAGGAGAACGGCAGGCAGGGACGTGGAGGGTAAGGTCGAGAAGCAGGCAAGAGCAGGTGCACCTGACGGGCTCGGGCGAGAAGGTTGAAGGGACGAGGGAAGGACCAACCAACGTCCTCACCGGAGCGATCCAACGGATGGGAAGCTGCAACAACGACCGGGGTGGTCCCGGTGTGTGAACCCCCCCCCTTCCCCTTCCCTTCGTGCCTTCCCTCCTTCCGTCACCTACACCCTACACCCTTGTGCTTGCCTTCTCGGATACATCAAGGGCACCTTACCAATGTCCTCCTAGCCAGATTTTGTTTTTTTTCTTTCTTGTTTCCAGGATGCGTTCCTCCCGGGGAAATCACCCAGCTGCGCCGCCAAGTTGCAGAAAGAAGAAGGAGACGATGGCTGGCCAGACGAATCATGAAGATTGGGTACTGTAAGTTGTCTTGGCGTGCGATTGGACCGGTCGGTCAACCGTGACAGAAGGACACTTCCTAGACGAAGGATCAGGGAGGGACGGGGGGCAAAGGCACTTGACTTTGATCGTACATGTAGGATGGATGCTCGGGAACGATAGAATATGTGTGGAAGGCGAAGAAGGCAACAGAATCAGCACCAGCACTCCTTCAAGGGAACATCGTCACCCCAAAGACTCGGAAGGGTGCTGTGTCACTTGACATGATTTGACTGGTAGGGCTGGTGGAGGCGGTGGTGGCAAGCAAACAGGACGCCAGAGAAAAGACGATCAGGCTGGAAGAAGGCATCCATCTTGGTGAATCCCGAATCAGAGCAAGAACGCGTTCATGGTTCGCGGTCGCGGGCGTACTCTCCCATCCGAGGCATCACGGCGGCTTGGCAAGACCAGCGAGCTTCCTCAGAGCAGAAGGTGGAGAGGAGAAGACAGCAGTCGGTATTTTTGCCAAGTGATTAGGACAAAGTGGTGGTCCTCATTGGTAAGTCTTGGCTTGTTGATTGCTGGTGATTGGGCCATCAACGGAGGTAAAGTGCGATATTTGAATGAGCCGAAGGTACGGAGTAGAGATACTGGGTGAACCGTGCTCCTGCCCGTGCTCGTGGACTCGTGGACTGTGGACATTTTCTGTTTGTAGCGGCGCGGGGGTGGGACAGTGGACCTGAGAGATGTTTTGATGGGGGCAGCTCGAAGGCAGGGGTGACATATCAGACGAGATTGACTGCGATCCGTGACACTGGGAAATTCCCGTCCGTCTGCGATAGGGATAGAGAGATGGCTGCAGATATCTTTAGCCTTTTTCTTGGGAGATGAGAAGGCAAGACGAAACCAGCAGTCCCCCGCCAGATTCAGAAAGAGCTATGGTGTCTTGATGTCGAAGTGAGGAAGGTGAAAACTGAAGATGGCACTTGCACTTGCTGCAGTTGGGGGTAGAAGGAAGGAGCTTCTCGAGAGGGGCATCCAATAAACGAAGTGGAAGGGATGAACTGTGACCCACTACGTACACCTCGACCTGCCTTCCTCATCCTTACGAAATATCGATGCCTGCATGCCTGCCTCTTAGGTTCCCGTCCTCACGTCAAAAAACCATTGACTAAGCTACCAGTCGACCTTTCGTTACTTCTCCCTCACGAATCGGACTGCACCATATCGTTAGCTTCCTCCTCATCTGACATAACAGAATGTCTTTCAATATGTACATTCGTACGCAACCTCCAATGCGAAGCGTCGTCTCCCGGCGCTACCGAGCTGCAGCCAAGCTCTTCTGGAACAGGGCTGTGTGGCTTGGTCTTCTTGGCCTCCTCGCACATTTTCAAGCCATCTCTTCGCCAGCTGCCTTTTCGGGAAGGCACAAGACGGGGCTTATTGCTTGAATCTCCCACCCGGCCTTTTATCCCTCCATTCATCGCAGAAATCCCCAATCTCATCTCAATAACCTCTCGTCAGACAGATGCAACCCGCCAGCAGCCAAGCCTCGAGCCACCATTCCTCGCGCCTAACCTTCCTGCCTACGTTCCTGGCGTCCCGATCGTTGGCCTCTCTCCTGCCTTTTCCACCCTTCACCGACGACCAGACACTCGGCTTCACCTTTCACCACCTGTCCGCCTCTGCCGCAACCCGACTTCTCATTCCCGTCTGATTGACTTTCGGCGCCTTCTTTTAGGCAGGTTACAAGCGGGGGCCGCGGGGAGGAACCGGCCACTAACGATGCCAAAGAATCCTTCTAGAATGCCGCTAGACCGTCAAACCACACCATTATCACAACGACACCAACCGACCACTCACCTCTCACCCTGACGCACCCTGGTTTGCTCGTCACTCAGCTCGTCACCCATTCGCTTCCTCGAGTCGACCTTGCGCAATTCCGTGCCGCACCCAGTCCGATGCAGCGCGCCACAGTTCATCATTCAAGCTCCAACGGCCGCTGTCAGTGGAGGGCCGCCCACGCCCGCTTTCCCGTTGCTCATCATCCTATCCTCAGGGGGTGCGTCACTGAGCCTTGCAATTGGCCCGCGATGCCCTCGACATTCCCTCGTCCGGCGGGAAATATGGGGAACAAAGTCTCGGCAAAGATAACAGTCTTACGCAGACGATCCCATATGTCATTCGCATCTGCCAACCAAAGAGCCATCCCTCCTCGCGATACCAATCGCGATAGCACTGCGACACCCGAGTCGGCCACGCCGTCGAGTGTTATCAGGCTTTTTCCAGTTGTGTCGTTGATGCCTTGAATCGTGCAAATATCTGCATCCACATTCCCCAAGACCGAAAGCGTTATGCGCTCGTGGTGTCATTCGAGCACGCCAGCCAGCGAGCCGCGCCTAATACAATTTGGTGTTTCGTGGCTTCGGGTATCTGCCTCAATGTGTCACGTAAGACCTGGCCCCAACCGACGCTGGCCCTCCCGTCACGCCGCAGGTGCTTATCTGGCGTGTTTGAGGAATGAAGCGCCGCCAACACAATCGGTGCTCTGCTTCACTGCTCGTGGCGGCCATCCACTCTGAACGGCTTCTCAGACAATCAGTGTCGTTTACGGCTAGCCACGGGCTATCGGTCGGCCATACTGCGAAGGAGGCGTTTTCAGTTGACGCGAGCCAAGACATGTTCGATAGCGCCAATCGACCTTCAACTTGAGGGCACTTTGGCAGCCGTTGGCACCGTCGAGCGCTGTTCTTGGCTCTGATTCATCACGACCGCTGACGCCAAGAGCCTCCAACAACACAGCCTAGCTGCGTTTTACAAAGGCAAAATTCGCTAACGTCCGGCGCATGTCAATCGCCCTGCCATCCGAAAGTTTCGCAACCATCCCGGCGCGTTGCGGCTCCTTCGATGCGGACGCAAAACAGCATCAAACACGAACATCGGTCATCTTCAACTTCCAAGACATGTCGTTGAAATGCTCAAAATCCCAAGACTTTGGCATCTCAGGGCCAAAAGCTTGACCGTAAGCAGAGATGTAAGATCGGCTTGGTAAAGCAAGTCAATTGGATGCCCCAGCATGGCCGAGAGTCACAGTACCTTGGCCTACCGTCTTGATGGGAACCGCCTAGCAGACAAGCGATTGGCGACCCAACCGAGACCGTCCTTCAGCACACCCCTGTCTGTCGTTGACCTTCTGTAGCTGGCCACTGGCCCGAGACGCGAACCAGGGGTGCGGGGGAAATTTTCTTTACTAATAGTGTGCCCAGAACGCCGCGCCTAACGAAAGGGCAGCAACAGCACGCCACGAACACGACTCTTGTTTCTGGGGAAAGCGGAACTTTTGAACACGAGATCAACTTGCTGGTCCGCAAATTCAATTAACCTCGGTTTATGTTACGTTATTGACAACTTGTCCCCGGATTTTCCCCTCATCATCCACAAAACCCAACTTTGTTCAGACGGCAGCGGGTCGCTGGCCCATAACGCACTGCATGAGAAACGCCGCTTGGCAGGCTTGTCAACTGGAATTCCGGTGGAGCTTTCGACCACAACCGTGTTTCACTGAGCTGACTCTATGAACGCATGTCACTCGCACGATTACGATGAGGATTCGTTAGGTTACACCGCAATCAGCCTCAATAGAAACACCTTAGCGGCCCTTTTGTCTGGCTATCAATGAGATCTGCCCTGCCGAGGCTCGTGTCTCAGTCAATCCACTGGCCGTGTAAGTCACATGAGGAGGTTGTCTTTGCAAAGTCTGTCTTTCGTGGCGGCGCAATTGCCAGAGGGAATTATTCTCGTATCAGTGCCATTCAATTGGAAAATTGTTTGTCATTGCCACAGGGCCAAGAAACCAACAGCCCTTAATAGCCTCAAACGTTAAGCAATGTGCCTTGGGCTTGGCGACTGCTGATGTGCCAAAGAGTCTACCTTAAAATTGAAACTTGGAATCTGCAGATCTGGTAGCTCAGAAGGGGGGAGGTAATCGCGAGCTACGAGAACTCTGACTTGTAAGATTTCTCATTGAGAGGAATATCATGTTCAAATGATGGCTGCGAGTATTCTACGACTGTTTCGACGATTGCGACACGCAACTGAAGTCCAAAGATATGAAAAGATGATTGGTAAGTCTTCAAGTTGAGAGCGTGAGACGATGAGACCTCCAAACTCCGTACGACATGAACAGCAAAACCTATAAATAGCAGCGTTCCCTTTGCGGACGAACAGCAGAATCTACAGCGCATCAGGCTATGTTCAACGTACCCGACGACATAGTCCGTGCCGTTGACGTCGGAACATTAATTCCAAACACCCCTGTAGAAGGCCACTGTGACACGATGCTTTTAAAGCCATTACTACTTATATACCGTCGCTCAGCCGCGTCTTCGTTCTTCGACTGTCCCGGGGTATGCGAGATATGTATAAACCCCATAACGCGGGTGGAGAGGGGAAATATCGGCGTTGCGAGACTTGAATCTGATGGTGCCGCGGCGCATATCCTGAGCCTGTTTCTCTTCGAATCGATGCTCACTCAGATGGAGACGATGAAGTATCCTGTCTGGGCGATGAATTTCGGTGGAGGTCGGACTTTATAGGGAGAATGGACGATGTGCAAGATCTCATTCGACATGCCTAATCAACGAGCACGCCATAACTGAGGCGTCCAAAGGCCACATGGCGTGGTTGTTTATTAGGCATGTGGAATGAGGTATCGAGATGAAGGAACTGTGGCGTTTGGATCATCTAATTGATGCGAGAGGGATCGCTTTCGAGGACGGTGGGGTACGACGTAGGTATTAAGTATCATGAGTGTCTGAGGCTGTTCTTCTGTCGACAACAGTGCCTTGGCCGTCCGTCTCGATTGATCAAACTCGAGGCTTGACGAGAAGGTTGCTTGGTTTCGGGGACACAAGTTCTGGAAATACCTCTAGACTTTTTGCAACTTCACATCAAACGTTAGTAGACTGTGTATGCTTTCCGCTGGTGTCTCTCAGCCCCGTCGTCTGTTGAGTATTGCTCGTATCCTTCGAAACTTTCCACTGACCTTTCGGCTGACATAGGTTTGCTCTGTGACTGTCGAGGTATTATGGGTGAAATGAGCGCTCTCCATTGTAATCCGGAAGAATTCGAAACACATGTGTTTCGCTGTGGAAAGACTTCTGGTTGATGCGCGTGGGGTACTTTTATAGACCGATCAATCTTTCAGCGAGAACGACGATGGGCAATTTTACGAAGACGAGGAGATCCCCGAATCAGAGTATATATTAACGCAATGTCTCGGGGTGAGTGTTCCTGCAGCAAAAACGCATGCATGTGGCTTTTGAATTTTGCCCTGTTCACGGTCCTGACTCTAGGGTTGGGAAAGAGGTCTGAGAGGTGTTAGGACGCATAAAGCAAGTTCTACTGTGGATCTTTCTGGGTTCTGCGGGCTGAACACCGGTTTCCTGTTGACGTCTCTCCGCTCTGTTAGCCGTTGAGTATTCTTCATATTAGACTTCCATCTCTTACGAACATATCAACGAACGGAAGGTTTCTCAGTGCATACAGCATTTGGATGTACGATACCGCATCCCATGACTACATGTATGCGATCATCATCAAGCAATCTAGTGAGCTTGGTAAGACGAGAATCTATCGTGGGTGGAGCAGCTGACAAGCGATCTGTGTGCCGTAATTATATTCAGAGAACAAACGCCTCTTCAGAAGAAAGCATTCTTACCGGTTCCGGGAGTCTTGACGAGCGTGTGGCTGGGAGTTGATGCGGAGGTCTCTGAGGGTATATATTGTTCGTGTTCCCTTAGGACAGTACTGTTTCTGCACAAATGCTGTCCGAAGGTTATCATCTTGAGCATTCGAGGTCTTCATGCTTGTTCGGCTTGGAGGAAGGTCTTCTAGACATATTAGTGTGTAGTCTATGCTATGTGCATAGCTTTTGAGGAATGAGAGTCTGTTTTCTCTTTTATGTCTTCCAGTACTATAGTCCGTTGAGTATTCTTGGTATCAACCTCATGCTTTGCAATAGGTCTTGAATGATCTATTTATGTCTTGCGAGATAGGTATGTCGATATGGTCTACCATATTTCTTGGTCCATCCATGAAACGTCAACACAATGCAGTTCGAGGGTGATGGAGACCCATTACAATCTGTGCGCTGGATAAGAAGTAGCTGATAAATCGTCGCAGAGCCCGAGTAATCCCGCAGCGTACCACTGGAAGAGACTCCGAAAACGGTCTGATTACACGGGATCAAGAATTTGTTCATCTAGCAGCCTTGAGAATCTCACTGACCTTATCTTACATTCAGAACTCCTCGTAATACACGCCGTCGACATCATGTTTGAGAAGCACACACAAGACAACAGGTATCCGACGAGGACATGTAGACGTAAAGGTCAAATCGTCTCAATAGACTGAAAGAAACAGCGGTCACACTCGAAAACTTCAAATTCTGTACGCTAAAATACCATAAAAGATTCATGCCCCAAAGAGGAGACAACATAGTTCAACGCAGTCCTTCCCTACAAACATAATCACTAACTTTGTTCGGTTTTCACCCCAAAGCTAATGTTACTCTATCAGATATCAGTGAACAAGTCCCCAAAGCAGCAAACAGAGACTCTCACCTAAGGAGTCCACCCCCAAACGTTCTTGATATCACCGCAAACATTAAGCGGGGCTTCGTTCTGCTCAAAGACAAGATCGCAGACTTGGTTCTTGGGAGGCGTCGTCCAGCAGGCGTAGTTGCCGCTGAAGTCGATGCAGATCGTAGCGGCGTATGCGTCGCCACCACCGCCGCCCTGGTGAACTTGGCAGTCTATTTACGACTGTTAGAAACCTGAATGTTGCATAGCAGACTCCGTGAGAGTATTTTTCTCACCCTGGTTGATAGTAGTGACGACTGGGAGGTCTCGCGTCCTAGACTCCCACTTCCACTTGGAGGCGTCGTTCGCGTCACGGCTGAAGACGAAACCGTTGCTTGCGTCGCGTCCTCGAGGCTCCTGGGCTTGACCGCAGAAATCGGCGACTACTGCGGGGATGCCGACAGCGAGGACAGAGAGGAGAGTGGAGAACTGCATCTGTGTGGAAGGTTAGCTGGTGGTCTGGTAGAGATTGGGGGTGGTGTTACCTTGGTGTCAAGTGAGTGTTTGATAATGAAAGTAGGAAGAAAGAATGTTGAGAACGATGGTGGTTTGGAGACGAAGCTATTTGGTTGATGATGAGATGGGATGTTACGATCATCAGTGTCGCGCAGCAGCATACTTATAGATCTCTGAACACACGGTTGAGCTGGAGGCATCATGAGATGATGTTAGAACAACAAGTCACGATTACTCAGATCCAAGAAGCTTTGAACCTCAATCTAAGTCGTGATGCCGATCGCACGCTTGCGGGCTCCATGCAATCTATCATCGGAATCCGAGACCGAGAAAGTTGTTTACTAAACTATCCCGTTGGATGTGAAAGATGAACAGACATGATTCTGCAATACCTCGTCTTCGGATCCGGCGGTCTGCCCTACTCCATATTCTTTGATGATGTCGTCAAACCTAAGTAGATTGAGTGGCTCGACCTCACGGAATAGCGCGACCTCACGGAATAGCGCGCCGTGTCACAAGTGGCCCTACGGAACCAAGCGCTCGGCACCCGAGTCATAGGGCATCACACCGGGACATGATCTTCAGACCCCGTAGTTCGCATGCAATAACCATAAATAGGATGACAGCTCAAGCCAAGAGTTGGGACGATCGCGCAGAACCGCGCATTATTATTCCGATCTCCGCCAAGCAGCTTGGGTAATCTATTCGAGTCCACGTTCTACACTACGACGCAGACTCCAGCTCGCAGCCTATGACCCGTTTAAAAACAGTGCTCGCCAAGTCCTTCGCCTCTTGTTCCGAAACCAGGCCGGCAGCGCCCTTCTCCCACGTTATGTCCGTGATGTCCGCGGCCGCTCCCCCATCGGACGACGTGGAATTGCCGTCCGAGACCGAAAGCTTGGCCTTGATCTCGAACTGCTCGTGCCCCGTCCAGCTCCGGTACACGTGGACCACGAAGTTGCCCTTGTCGTCGGGGCCGTCCGCGCACGACATCCAGCGGTCCTCCATTCCCTTGGGCGCGTAGCCGTTGAGGAGCTTGACGGTGTCGCTGGGTGATAGACTCAGGTGCCACTGTGCGTTTGCGGGATTGCTGATGGGTTTGACGTCCCAGGTCGAGTTATTGGCCCGCTGGCTGGGCGTTGAGGGATGCGATGAACTGTCCATGACTCTGTAAGGTTTGGGTTGGTGGATGATCAGATGACGGGGAGTCTCGGTGAAAGTGCGAGAGATGGAGAGAAGTTGAAGTGATTTTTGGTTAGATCGTTTTGGTTTACTGACAAATTCCGTGGACCTCGATACGATCAATGGTTATATAAAGTTGTGTGTACCTGCGAGTTGCTGGCAGTCAGCCTGGGAAGTGTTATATCTGAAACCGAGAGGCCAACATTAGCTCAAGTCTACCTAACCTGAGACCCTGGTTTTCCGCAAAGAGACAACTCCATGTCCGCATGGAGCTGTCGCGGCTCGTTCGGGAGGGAAAAATAAACTCGAGCAGGTATTGGGATCTTCTGATCTGCAACTCTAATTGATGACTGTGGGGTTTATGCCTGCGGCTGTGCCGAGTCCCGCCGGAGCTGTCCATCTTCAGACGCCCGCGAGACAACATCTCTACCGACAACTGCATTTAGTTAGCTCAAGTGCAATGGAAACGACATGTAAGTACCTTGAGGGCTAAATGAATCGATGTTGAGAAAGTATGGCCGACAGCTTTCTCTTGGCTATGGTGGTCATTTGACGGGATCATCATGCATGCAAATTAATTGCACTTCAGAAACCTTTTCAAGGCTGACATAGTCGTACGGGGTCTATTTCCGACGCCCAGCCGCGGAACCCGTGGATTAGTCAAGTCTCTAATGTCTTGAGTCGATATCACGACTGCTAGCCAATTCAACTCAGGCCGTGATGGCGAGAAGGATATAAGTCTGGAGGACTTGTCCTTCTTCTCGTATCGTGACATTACTATCTCTCATGGTCTTATAGCTTCACATTCTTTTATAAAAAGTTACTGGACAACAGTCACACGTTCTTTACAACTTCACTTGATCGCATCCTAACAAGCTTCAAAATGGCTGGACATCACCCTCTTGTCTTTGGGTTCTTCCTCTTCTCTCTGTGGTCACTGCTTTGCAACGCCGTTGACCTCTACCGTGCCGACTCCCGTCCATACACCACCATTCAAGCCTCCAAGGGCTTCTTGCCCAAGGGCCAATCTACCTTTGGAGTAGCAACTCCGGACACTAGCCTGTGGAACCACGTCAACGGAGCCAGCAACGGCTTCAGCAAGGACGAAGACGGCTACGTCTCCACCACTTCGGACCCGGCCCTGGCCGAGCGCTGGGTCACCCAGTTCCTCAACGGCAACGGCTACATCTACCGCATCCACTCAGCCCCCAACATGATCGACTGCCCGGGCACCCTCGGAAAGTACAACCCGTACCCCGAGGAAGCCGAGTTCGCAGCTCTCGGCGGCATCAAGGACAACCAAATCATCGGATGGACTCCCGTCAGGAACGGCGTCAAGGGCAAGGAGGAGCTGAACCCGTTCTACTCCAAGGCTATCTACGGAAACATGGGCACTGGTGGTATCCAGCCGAAGCTTGCTGCTTTCCCTGCTGGTCACCCTGCCTGGAAGGAGGCTCCCTGGGCCGAGTTCAGCAGCTGCTCGAAGAGGCGCGCGAGGGATCTCTTCCGCAGGCAGTCTTGCGGTGGACTCAAGTCTAACCAGGAGTACGCTGCGGAGTACCTTGAGTACGTTCAGGCCGTTTGCCCTGACTGCCAGTAGATTTCTGGCCCGATGTTGGTTTTGGATCACCGCGGCGATGGTAGTTCTTGTGCCGTTTGAAGCTAAGAGAGACTCATGTTCCACGCAGTCTTTCCACGCTCTCCCCGTCATGCGACATAGTTTCGGAGGACTACAGTTTAGAAGATTGACTAAAGGTAGCTTAAGCGCTTTTCATACACCAACTGAGATGCATCCTCCAAAATCATTGTCACGTAATTCTTCCACACGGGGTTGCCGCCAATTCAGGCTTCCGTGCTTTGACATGCTGACTGTCTTGCCGTGTCGTCAAGACCTAACGCTAATATTGCTCAGTATAGTTCGTTGAAATCTCCCGTCTTTACTTTTGAACTATATCGGTCGGATCAGATTGTTGCATCACGTTGTATACATAATTTTGAATTGCACATGTGATAGATTTAGGCAATTTCATGTTGTCGTGTGCCATGCCACATGTCGAAATAAAATGCTGACATCCAAATTTCTTGGCGGTATTGGTTTGCCCGGCTATGATGCCTTCAGGATTTGGCGCCCGTGACGAGACAGAATGGAATCCTCATCAGTCTTGGCAACGCCATCCATCCCATTGACAAGTGCTCAACGCCTCCGGATCCTCTCAACTTCTACGCACCTCAACCTCATCGAACCCGTTAATTGATAGGCCATTGCTGGACTGGAATCACGACTACTTCGTATGGAGGCGTGTCCTCCGACCCTCCCATATGTTCAGTATTTGTCGCTCCATACAACGAAGTAACTCTTCTGATCTTTAGCTTGAACCAATGCGTCACACCCAACAAAAAAAAAGCATGCAATTATCTCCGAACTTTTGACTTATGAGGCTGGTTATTGTTGATTATGGGTTCCATTGTACACCATCTGAGAATAACTCTTTGCCCCTTGTCGCGTGACGATGAAGCAAAGCTTCGGAGTTCAGCCTCACTACTCTCAATAATCTGACCATCACTTGCTGCCCAGCAACTAGTCGTGGCATGCGCAAACATCATGGACCTGACAGCCGCCATTCCGTCATTTGAGGCTCGAGTGAGAGACACCAACCAAAGTCGTCGTCATCGCTATATGATCAGATACCCAAAGGCGTGAATGCACCTCCGCCGGTCAAGAGTTGGTTCAACTGCAGTCAGGATCAATCAATTTTGCCATCCGTTCTCGACCTCGCACGTTTCGACGCACGACACAGAGGTCATCCGAGCCTTTGGGACTGTCTGCCACAGAGCCCTGCAGCCCGCACGGTGGGCATGCAATCCCGTTCCGTTTCCGAGACAACCGCTTGGCCGGAACCGATCTCTTTCATTTGGATTGTCTGCGGATGCCCCGGCTTCCCGGCAGCAAAGAAACGCGACTGGTTGAATGTTGTCAGAGCGTCTTCTGCGCGCTACTTGAACGAGTGCCGACGTGGCGCGGGTTGGTGTGAAGGGGATCATCCCGGTTAGTCATGTTAGCGCGGATCTCTCTCCCCCAACCACCGAGATTACCTTCTGAAGCCGACCTGGGGCCGCTTGAGATTGGGTTACATTCTTTTACCTTACTTGAGCAAACTAATTCTGTCGATGCTACTTATCAGCCCTAGGACTGGCCCCTGTAGATCTTCTGTTTTTGAGGCATTGGTTGAGAATTAAGCGTTTCTGGCATGAGACTTCGACAAGTTGTTTCTACTATTTCATTTACGAAATCCGATGTTTTGCTCTGCCACAATCGTATTGGTCGAAAGCTCGGACTCGGAGCACACCCGAGCCGCCGCACAGCCCGTGGTGGGAGCGGCAAACCCCTGGGGCTGATATGCCAGAGAGAGAACAGAAGGTTGATGACTCGGTTCGGACGCGGAGTAAACATGTCATTCTGTGGCACTTCTCGTGCAGTGCTGACAGTTTCTTGGTGTCTGATTTCTACATAGACGACCGCCTTCTTCACCCATTCTAGCGCCCTACGGACGTCCGCTTCGATGTTTCAGGGTCACCGGTCGTCGTTGTCGTTCTCGGTTTGGCGACGACACATGCAATTCCATTCTTGGAGCACCGGGATTGGTAGTTGAGATGATGCTTTTGCACCATTGATAGCTGCATTCTGCATCGTTTTCCTATTTCCGACGGAGTTGACTACTCGACCCGAACTTTTGAACTTTGAGCTTTCTTTGAGTCAGACGAAGGATTTTGGTCAGATATGGTTCTCGAGTGGTCAGTTCACGATTCCAGATTTAGTTGGCCGCGTGTGTGTAAGCGCACGAACGAACTATAACCCTTAGCACATTCGTATCAAAAACGCTCCCGCTACACCCGCTCTAGTCCCAAACGGCGCCTTGCCGTTCAGGTGAGCCCCCTTTGTGTAGTCTTTTGATCATGTAAGATCAGCATGGTTCGATCCGATGACGGTTGTTGACATTAACGGCTATGCCAGGCACCGTATTTGACCTCCACCTCACAGCTCATCTTATCCAGATACCTGGAAGGAGGAAAAAGCGTGTGATGGACAGCCCAGGTCTCGGGAACTTTCGAATTTCTGCCACCCGTATTTGTAAACATTGTCAAATGTTCGTATCTGGCTTTCTCAGCCCGCAGACAGAACTTACCGACCAGTTGGTGGTGATCGTCCGGACTCTCAGGCACAACACACGTACACGGCACTACTGGGTACTTGAGCTACAGGGACTACGCATGTGGCTGGCGCCATTCTTAGACCGTGGGTGAGAAGCTAGCACGGAAGCAAGAGTCTTCCGCACTAGGTCCGATGTCGATCAGGCCAAGTTTGTTGCTCTCGAATTGGTTAACGTCCAAACGTGGTTCCCGAAGCCGACTTGCTGGGATGACGATCGACTGGAGAGGCCATGATGCCGGGATGCCGCAGGCGAGCTTGTCTACCGTCGTATCTGTATTCGAGTTATGATGAACCCGAGCCCTCTTATCACAGATATATAGCTCAAACATGCTCAGCTTCTCTCTTGGCTTTCGAATCTCATCATCATTCACTCGCTCAAGCTTTTGACTACATTCTTTACTTGTATTCTTTTCTGACCGGCCCCGGTTAGTTGCCAAAATGGTAGCCATCAAAGACGTTCTCAAAGGTGGCCTAAACTGGCTGTTTACAATCCAAGCGGCCCTGGACCAACACAAGACCAACGGGTACAGTTTCCATATGCAGATTTTCCATCAGAACTTCCACTGACAGTTTCTTTAGTAACTGCGTCCTTGGAACTTTGCAAGCCCCCAAGCTTCCAAACTTCTTGAACAACAATCCCCTTCCGAATGGATTTCCCTGGGGCCCGCTCACTGTCGATGGTACCAACCCGTACAAGCAGTGGCCCAACACCGGTGTCGTCCGGACGCTCGACTTCACCATTAGCCGTGGAGTCATTGCACCTGACGGTTATGAGCGCAAGGTTCTCTTGGTGAACGGCGCTTACCCCGGCCCGACCATTGAGGCCAACTGGGGAGACTGGATTCAGGTCACAGTCCACAACAACATCGAAGACAACCCTGAGGGAACCTCTTTGCACTGGCACGGATTCAGACAACAGAACACCCAATGGGAGGATGGTGTCCCGTCTATCAGCCAGTGCCCCATCGCTCCCGGTAAAAGCCACACCTACAAGTTCCAGGTACGTTCATGCAGATCCAGAAAGTGTTCATGGAGCTACTTCCACCGGCTTCCACCGAAGCTTCAACTGGGTTTCTTCATTGAATACTGACATTCTATATCAGGCTACTCTGTACGGCACCACGTGGTACCACTCCCACTACTCCAGCCAGTATGCGGGTGGCGTGCTTGGGCCTATGGTTATCTACGGACCGGGAAAGAACAACTACGACATTGACGTTGGTCCGGTCATTCTTTCTGGTATGTCTTCCACTGGCAACAAGCACTGCATTGCCCTAATAGTCGGCACGCAGATTGGTATCACAAGCAATACTTTGACATCATCGAGGACATTCTTACGCCCAACGCTAGTGGTTTGGTCTTCTCTGACAACAACCTTATCAACGGCAAGAACAACTTCAACTGCTCTACTGTGGCTGCTGGAGACAAGACCAAGTGCACCAACAACGCCGGTATCTCAAAGTTCAAGTTCCAAACCGGCAAGACCCACCGTCTTCGCCTTATCAACTCCGGTGCCGAGGGAACCCAGCGCTTCTCCATTGACGGACACACCATGACCGTCATCGCCAATGACTTTGTCCCAGTCGAGGCCTATGACACCAAGGTTGTCACTCTTGGCATCGGCCAGCGAACTGACGTCCTTGTCAAGGCCAACGCTGGTAACTCCAAGAGCGCTTTCTGGATCCGCAGCAACCTCACCAGCTGCAGTCTTGCCAACCAGCCTCTTGCCCTTGCCGCCCTCTACTACGACCAAGCTGACCAGAACAAGGCACCCACGAGCAACGCCTGGAATGTTCCCGACCCCGGCACCTGCACCAACGACGACCTTGCCTTGACCAAGCCCGTCATGAAGCTTACGCCGCCTACCCCTGCCGTTACCCAGACCATGGAGATTCAGGTCACCCGTAACGCCTCTGGAATCGTGCAGTGGAAGCTGGCTGGAGAGGACTTCAGAGGGGACTTTAATAACCCTACTCTTGTCCAGGCAAACAAGGGAAATTTGACGTTTGATGCCGACTGGAACGTTCAGAACTATGCGAACAGCGGCAGCGTTCGCATCGTCGTCAGCAACAACAGCCCTGCTGCGTAAGTGACCACGTTTTCCTCCTCCAAGGCTTCAACTGACCATCATCTAGCCATCCCATGCATCTTCACGGTTTCAACATGTACATTCTCCACGAGGGCGATGGGCTGACCTGGGACGGAACCATCACGAACCCCCAGAACCCTCAGCGTCGTGACGTCCAGCAAGTCCGCGCCAATGGCCACATGGTCATGCAGTTCGACGCCGTCGAGAACCCCGGTGTCTGGCCTTTCCACTGCCACATTGCCTGGCACGCATCCGCTGGTCTCTTCTCTCAGCTCCTCGTCCAGCCTGACAAGATCAAGCAGATCCAGATCCCCTCCAAGATCAACCAGGTTTGCCAGGACTGGACTGCCTGGACCAACCGCAACGTCCCCGATGTCATTGACAGCGGTCAGTAATTACATACTTGTACCTTCTTGTCCATATGTATCGTTCTGTTCTGTACTTTAACTTTGCACTTTTTCAAGTCTTTGGCGGCATGGCATTTTGCATGAGGCGGGGCATTTGTGTTTATTTCTAGCAGGTAGAATTCACATCAGATTATACCTCAACCAACCGAGTTCATTCCAATGGCTGGTATAATTCTATCTGCCATTTATTGCACAAAGTCTAGTGTGTCACATAACTTGAGTGGCACTTGAAACTGAGTAACGGTTTACTGAAAAGAGAGTGTCATTATCCTGTTTCGGACTCATACGGCGAAATCTCAAATCAAGCAGTGAAGCTCATTTACTTCCGCACCCAAACTTCACTATGCCTTGACGTCCGATGGTACACTTATGTTACATTGATATTTCCATATTCTCCAGCTTGATTCGAAAAGAGCACTGGGCTATTCGTTCTCATTCGTCAGAAAGGTGAAAGTTGCGGACTTTCACTTCTCCTGTGATGCTCTCACGGCTTCCATCACCTCAGCCACCGCATTCCTGAACAGAAGCATTGCGTAAACCTCATGAAACGAATGCACAAAGCCTGGAGCAGCCTCCTTGTTTTGAGTAGGATTGCAAGAGAAGCTTTCGTAAGCAATCCTTACGGAACTCGGTCGAGTACTGTCGCGCAAGACGCTGAATCTGTGCGCTCCCGAGAACCAGCCTTCGTTATTTCCGTAAACAAAGTCGATGCTGCTAGTTTCACGGCTCTTATCGTCGAATTCGATATCACGCTTTTGAAGCTGGATGTCGCTGACTTGGAAAGCACCAAAGAGTAGTGAACCGAGGGCTGGAAGTCTTTGACGCGAGATGTCCGAGGCTGTCCACAGTCTATCGTCGCTGGTCTTTGGACCAAGACCTGGAAACGAGCTTGATCAGAACATTCTTCCTTTACATTGTTGAAGTAGCTCACTCTCGAATGTTACGAAATCTCTTCTGAGACTTGCCAGTACAATTCGTTCTGGAGCAATCACCTTGCCACCAAAGAAGCCATGCACAAATGCTGACAGTAGCAGCTCGTCCGTAAAGCTCTTTGCAGTCAACGGCAGCTGCAAGTCAATGTGTCTCTGATCGCCCCTTGACGTGTGATTCCTTGGATTGACCAGACTCATGGTTGGCGATTGGCGAAATGGTTGTGATATTCGATCTTCACTGAAAATTTGACGTCTTTCTACTACTTGAATCTGGCTGTAGACTTCCCATACATACTTGGCGGCTAGGAAGCTCGGGACAGCTATCGCAACGCCAAAGATGTACTTGCTGCGTAATAGTTGTGAGCTCAACCCCATTGCTAAAAAGAATTGATTGAAATATTGTTAACAAAAAAACAAATATAATGGGACTTTCTGGCAGATGTCCTATTTTCTTATATGATCAATGAGTCAAACTCTCTGGCATCAGCATCTGCAGTCACGCGACAGCTCAACGCGTGTTCTCCCGTTCAGTCCGACTTCGCCCGCAGCCCTGTGTACTTTGGCTTTGACACTATGGTTATTGCGAACGTCTCCGCGGCGCTGACTGCGGCGTATTTCCTGATAATCCATATTGATTCTGATACTGATGAAATGGAATCGCTATCACGTGTCTATTTATGGATTTCAACTTCCGGGGTTCAAGCGTCATGATTCTAAGACTCCGGCAGGCAGTCCGGCACCTCACGGGTAAGTACTTTTCCGCCGATCGGTGGTCCCCGGACCTGGACCCCGCCCCCACTAAAGAAATATCCGCAGCAACTCGGCCGCCACTCGCCGCCAATCTCTTCTCCAACAGAACGCCGATGCACCCTGGGTGAGGGTGTGATATCGCCGTCGGTCTCAGTCCCGCGTTCAACGTTTTTCCGACAAAATCGGCCGAAGTGGTCAACGTCCTGTGTTAGCGACATGCTATGCACACGGGACTTTGAAGGTGCTGAACGTCCAACGATGTGGCGAAACGCCTCCGTGGACTTTACCTGACTTGTCTGAATCCGAATAGCTTTTTCTTTCCTTGCAGAATAGTCTGAAAAGTTATGTCAACTGCACCTCTCTCCGTTCCAATATCTGGAATGCCAGCCCGCCCAGCCCCCATCAACACCTCAGACCCTGCGGAGTCGAGTCTGGATACCACAACCATCGAGTCTATGTCGTCGACACCATGGCAGGGGTTCATGCCGCGGGTCCAGACCTACCACCGAGATGCATCCATTGCACTCGTTGGAATCCGCGGCACAGGCAGGTCAACTTTGGCGGTAATGGCCTCCAGCGCGTTGGGATTCCGACTTCTGGACGCAGACCAGCACTTTTTTCAGGTCACGGGTCTTTCTCGCTCGGCCTACAAGACCCAGAACGGCGCCGCGGAGTATCGACGCGAGGAGCTGAAGCTGATGCGATCGATGCTCTTTGAGAACCCAACCAGAGCAGTCATCGCCTGCGGACCGGGAGCTGTGGAGGGCACAGGACAGGCTTGGCTTTCTGAATATGCCCAGACGCACCCGGTGATATACATATTACGAGACGCCGACGAGATCAAGAGACATCTCCGAGTTTGGGATGCCGACGCCATCAAGCGCCTCATTCATCTTAGCGGACCAACGCATCGGTCTGTATCCAACTTCGAATTCTACAACATCTCCGACAGCTATGGCCAAACCGCGGAGCAGACTTCAATGTCAGGCCAACAATCCCCGAGATCACTGGCACTAAAGCGCGTCGAACACGACTTCCTCGACCTCATCTTCACCATCACCGACCGCGACCGTCAAGGCCAGAGTTTCTACCCACCTGGTCACAGCGACGCATCTCTTATGCCGGAATTCAGGCCTTTCACATACTCTCTGACATTACCCATACTTTCTGTGGATGCTGCAGGACCCAGACTTGGCGGCATCAACACGACGGCTGATGTGGCAGAGCTTGTTATTTCGCTCCAGGAGATGCGAACAAGATCACTCAATTTCGACGACCCGTTGGCCAATTTCATCAGTCGACAGTACTATGCTGTCAAGAGATACACTCGCCTTCCGATCATCCTCAATTTTCAACTGGACGATGCGTCAAGTAATCCGGATATCACCTATTATCTCCGTCTTGTGAATCACGGCCTGCGTCTCGCACCCGAGTATTTGTGTGTAGACTTGAGTTGTGAGGAGGCCGTCTTGCGAGACATCATGTCTTCTAAGGGAACGAGTAAGGTTATGGGACACTTCACAGATGTCTCCGTATCGGAGGGAGGTTGGGACAATCCGGCGCTCAAACAAAAGATACACCTTGCTGAACGTCTGGGATGCGACATTGTCCGGGTATGCCGGATAGCGACTTCGACGACGGACAACTTCGCGGCCAAATGCTTCGCCCAAGGAAAGCCCGGAGAGTTTAAAATACCGGTCATTGCATACAACACTGGCCGTCTGGGCCGGATGTCCTGTTATCTAAACCAGACCTTCACGCCAGTCACCGACCCTCTTCTAAGATCCATCACGCCATCATCAACCACGGAGGTTCTTTTGACAATACAAGAGGCACAAAAGGCTCTTTACTCGTCTTTTCTCCTCGATCCGATGTACTTCGGTATCTACGGCACCAATGTCCTGCAGAGTCTGTCGCCAGCTATGCACAACGCCGCTTTCGCGTCTTGTGGCATGCCTCACGAATACAAGACATTTCAACATCCGACAGTTAACGACTTGAGGCATTTGATAGCTGACGAGAACTTCGGAGGCGCCAGTATCACGGCCCCCTTCAAAAAGGAAGTCTTCGCCCTGGTTGACTTCACCAGCCCGGAAGCACAAGCTATCGGTGCAGTCAACACTTTGATACCGCTTCGCTCTGCAACTATCCACTCGTTACTCGACAGGAACAGGTCCGGACCGGTGGCCGCCCTGTACGGTGATAACACGGACTGGATAGGCATTCACACGTGCATACGCCAGAACCTATCACCCATCAATGGCGTCAAAAGACGAACAACGGCGCTCGTTTTGGGAGCAGGCGGCATGGCGCGCGCTGCGGTGTACGCTCTGCTTCGGCTGGGAGTCCGCAGCATTTTCATATATAATCGCACAAGTCATAATGCACAGGAGATGATTAGGCATTTTGAAGGATATCATTCCAAAAGCAGGAGAGGAAGCCCGTCTCAACCGGGTTCCGGAGAGAGTCTCGTTGGCTCACCTGATATGGATGTTCCGTCGTTGAAAGCTCTCCAGTCAAAGACAGATCGTTGGCCTGAGGACGTTGATCGACCTACCATAGTCGTTTCCTGCATCTCCACTCCCGAGGAGAACGGTCAGTCATCTGTTGACCGTACCCTACCCTCAGAGTGGCTCTCTAGTCCGACTGGAGGCGTCGCTATTGAGGTCAGTTTCTCCCTAGAAGACGCGCAACTCGTCATCACTAACGATGGACACAGCTATCATACATGCCCCTAGAATCACCATTCCTAAAGCAAGTCAAGGAGATGAGTGAGCATGGATGGATTGCCGTTGACGGTCTCAAGGTGCTCCCCGAACAGGGAATAAGGCAATTTGAGATATTCACTGGTAGAAAGGCACCGGGAAAGGTGATGAGAGACCAGATTTTGAAAGCGTATAAAATAAGGGGCGGCAGCGGAGCGGAATGAAGGTCCCGAGATGGGCAAAGACTCCCAATGTTACTGTGTATACCCTAGCCATGAGATGCGGCAAGAATGGAGTGGTGCATTGGAACGGAGCATAGGTTTACGTTGCATTACCTTGGTGCGCGGTGCGTGGTACTCAAATGCGTCATGCGACCGCTGATATGCGTTGGCGATCCTTCTTCTACGGTAGGCAGATACCGTCAGAAAGATCTCCTTGATAACGAACGCCTTGCGGGAATTTGATTGGTTTTTCTTGATATACTCTACCAATCATAATTCACACATCGAACCTTTGAAAGGACTCAATTCCTTATCAAGGTTAAATGAAGAACAATGATTACATTCGCGCCGGCGGCAGAGCTCTCTTCCGTTGCTAGATAGGACTCCGCTATTGGGTTGTCCAGCTTCTCTTTCTGTCGAGGCGGAATCTGCATTCAACCTACCTCAGCCACGATTCATGTTGAATATCAAATCAGATATCATTCTCAAATTACTTATGTGACTTGATTCGGCGGTTTGCAGTCATATCCAGCGCACGAAACCTTACAACCTGTGCCCAGTCGACTCAACTATGGAATCGCATCAACGTAACCCAGTTAAGCCGAAGAGCTTCTTCATTTTTGGGCACAACATATCTCACACCTTGTCACCAACATTACACAACACCGGATTTAAGGACCTCGGCCTTCCTCATAACTATCAAATCCATCAGACAGTCAACGTGGACGAGACTGTTGAAGATGTAATCAAAAAGGACGATTTTGGTGGAGCTTCGGTCACATTTCCACACAAGCTCCAGATCGGGAAGCTTCTGGACCGTGTTAGTCCGTTCGCTGATAAGATCGGAGCTGTCAATACCGTCATCGTTGAGGACGATCCGGCATCCGGGAAGCGCCTTCTGGTCGGAGACAATACCGACTGGCACGGGATCAAAAGATGCATTGAGAAGAGCGGCATTGAAGACCTGAGATCGTCTGCGGCTCTGATTCTTGGGGCTGGTGGTGCTGCTCGTGCAGCCTGCTTTGCAGTCCAAGAGATCGGGATTTCCGAAGTCATTGTTGTGAACAGAACCGCCTCGAAAGCGCGCGACATGGCGGCGAAGTTCCCGAGGATCTCGACGGTTCATGTCTTCGAGAGCCTGGAGGCTGCTGTCTTGAGAGTACAGGAGGGCGCAACGAAATTACCAGTTCGAGTAGTGATAGCCTGCGTTCCGGCGGACGATCTGACCGCAGAGAAAGTTCCTGCAGCGCTGTTCTCGGGGGCCAAGTCTGGGGTTTTGGTGGAGATGGCGTATCGGCCACAAGTAACTGGCATGATGTTCGTGGCATCTCTTCATGATGGTTGGAGGGTTTTCAAAGGCGTCGACGTACTCGAGGAGCAAGCTTACGCACAGTTTGAGCTGTGGACTGGAAGAAAAGCCCCGGTTGAGGTGATGAGGGCTGCGATGCAGGCGAAGATCAAGGAGAACGAGCGCGCCAAGTCTTCCATGTAGATCAATAGAAATATCGTGTAGTCTCAAGGCGGTCTCAGCCATGCTTTCAATAGATGCTTCGGACCTCCAGCAATAAAAGCTTAAGAGACAAAACCACATGATGCGTCTGAAGTTCTTTTGAAGTTGTCTCGGCTCTGCTCAAGCAAGATTAACATGTCACAATTTGAGAGCGAATGTTACTTTATAGGCCAGGAAATGCGAAAGATTGTGATTTTAAAAATGTCTAAACTTCAATGTCTCTGCCCTCGAGCCAATCCTTTGCCTGCCAGTACAGAAGATCATGCTTCTCTAGATTCTTTGTTCCAACATGACGGCGGTGACCTGGCATATCCAGCAAAACCTTGACACCCATTGTGAGCTCTTGAAAATAGGAAAGATACTTGTAGCCAGGCGGGTATGTTGCCAACTTCTCCTCGTTGATTTCGGGAAATTTAGCTGGGTTTGTCGGTATCACCTTGTCCTTTTCATACCAATGCCTGACCAAGCGCGCACCCCAGCGATCATCCACCTTCTCGAAGAAGAAGCAAAACCGGCAATCAGCCTCGACATCAAATTCTGCACCATCAAATTCGAATCGTTGTGTAATAGTCGCTTTCAGCTTTGTGACAGCCCGGCGGCCGTCTGGGTCGATATCGGTGGTGCAGCCGTGGCATCGGTGCATGATGAAGGCCCCTTTATCCATGCCAGCTTTCGAGGCTGCGATGAAGTCGGTGAAAGGAACTCGGCCAGACCACGTCGTGTAGACATAAGCGCCAGGGTGAAAAATGGACTCGAAGTTTTCCCATTCGCAGGCATCTCTGAGATCCCACAATGGTAAGCCATTATTGTATCTACGTGCGGGGTCAATTTTCATGCTGGGAACGGTTACCTGTACGAAGGCCATCCCTCTGCAAGTTCTCGCAGCTTAAGCCGCTCTATTACCAGATGATCTGGTCCATTATTTCGAATGGCTGTCCCAGGGCGCGAGCCTGCTGGGAGGCTGTGAAGGTCCACCATACTGGCTTGTGGCTGTTCTGTTTCGGGATTGATGTGTGCGTAAAGAAAGACAGAGTTGATGGCAAGTTCATGAAGAACAACACAATAATATCAATAGAGGTTATTGGATGCCCGGCTTAAAGCTAATCTTCTGAATACCGATATTCATGTCAGCCCGCGAGGCGTCATACACTATTGCTATTGACGAACATCGGATGAAGCATTTGCCGGTCTTTCAGCGCGGGGCATTGGCGCCATGTTCCCCGCGTTCCAAGCTCTGGGGAGAGGAGTCGGGGTAAGAACCAATATAGCTTGTCTTCGGTAAATGATTTCGGAAGTCTCATTGATAGCAGGCATCTCCAAGTGACATACAAACGATTTGACCTATGCCCGGGAACACTTTCTGTACCGAAACCCACTTGAAGCAATGGCCGCACTGACGACTGAGCGACGTAAAGCGGCAAAGATCTTAGCCGCCAATTCCTTTTACGGTTATCTAGGTATTATTCGCATCTTTCATAATCATTCTCAATGACGTGAAAACATGACGAGGGGCAATCACTAAGGACAGTAGCAACATGATAACAAGACAAATTACACCATCAGAGACAACATCATAGTCTTCTTGATGGCTATTTAATTCACGACAGAAATTAAGCTCTTAGAATGGGTTCTGGGCCTACCTCGGTATTAGATTTGACCCCTTAATTCAATCAACCCCGACTCGGTTTCGGTGGAGTCAAGTTATTCGTCAATAGCAACTTTAGCTACAAGCTTGACAAACTACGAACAGCTTGCCTCGCATGCTTCATACCTTCAAGCAAATGATTCCTCTCCTGCCAACAGACAAAGTGGCAATTTTATTGTACAGCCCTACATGTTAAGATCGATATGCCACGATGAGCCCTCCTCGCCGGCATCGGACTTCTGTCGCCGATGAAGACCAGGAGCATCCGCCTAGCGCACGGCGAGCTAAACGAGCTAGACACGACCCCGATGAATCTGAGGATGGTGTTTCTCTTGGAAAGACTCGTATGAGGGTTACGCGTGCTTGCAATGAGTGTCGGAAACGAAAGGACCGTTGCGACGGAGGGCGACCGGCGTGTCAACCATGTCTGGATGCAGGACGTACTTGCAGCTACAACCCACCCAAGAAACGCGGTCTACGGACAGGCTACGTCCGCGCACTCGAAGTGCTTCTTGGAATGATATTCAACGCGGTCAACCATTCCGATAGCTGGGTGTCTGCTTTGCTCGACGGCCAAACTTGGCAGCCCCAGTTCCAACTTACCGACTCAGGACCAGATCTTCCGGAGCATGCGGACGCCTGCGAAGTTCTGGTTGAGTCTTGGAGGAAAACGGATGTTCTCAAACAAGTGGAACGTTTGCTCTCTGTCGAACCTTCCGAAAACGACGACGATGCCGATTCCAACGAGACTTTCGATTCCAGGATCAAACAAGCCATCATGCTTATCGACAAGGTTCGAAAGGAGCAGGGCAGCAGGAGAAACCATGAACCTCAGACCGTGAGCCTTCAAGATACAAATCAACCCCTAAATTCCATCACAGCCACGGAACCGGCTTACAAAGGTTCGCAACCAGAGGCCGATGCAATCATCAGCCATGAGCTCGCACCGACAACCCAAGCCTTTAGTTCCCCCGAAGACACAATCATGCAACTCGAAACTCTTCACAGTCCTCATTATACCCAATTCGAGCTTCCCGAAAACAGGTCAGCTTTGCTGGAAACATACTTCACGGACACGCACTCTTGGCTTCCCATGTTCCAAAAACACGAGATTTTGCGCTTGGCGTATTTGCTCGATAACGAGAAACAAACAACAAGCACATCGCACACTATGTCTCATGGAGATCGTTGTTCGTTGATGGCAGTGTTGGCATACTCAGCAACCATGGCCGAGAACAGGGAAGATCGGGGATGCGCCACCGCACTTCGCACCCAGGTCACAAAGCTTTTCATGGAGGATCTGAAAGTATACGAGGTTGGACATGCCAGGGCCTTTCTCATTCTGGCACTCCTGAATCTCTCCTGTGGTAATAAAGCAGCAGCCTGGCTTGCGGTTGGAAAAGCAACATATGCTATGACTTCGCTAGTTCCAGTTCAAGAGATACTGGAAGGTCAATCGCAGATTGATGAAGGTCTGAGGCGAACTGTCACTTGCTGTTTTGTCCTCGACACCTTGGTCGCCAGTTGGTTGGGTGCGCGGCCCTACTTCAAACGCTCAGATATCACAAAAGTCGGTCTGCTCCCAACCGATTCTTGTGAGGAATGGGAGCCGTGGCAAATGCGAAAAGTGCAAGGACGTGTCTTTCTCCCACAACGTACGCCAGGACATATCATCAGCACTTTCAACCGTTTTACTCAGCTAGTTACATTCCTCAACGACATGCTGAGGTTTCGCAACAGCGAGGGGTCGAACGAGCGCATACAAGAACTCGAAAGAGCGTTAGGGAACTGGAATCAGCAAAACGCCTTTGAAACTGAACTATCTCCCCAGAAGTTTAACTTACAACTCGCATATGCCGGCATATCTGAAGCTCTGAGAGCTGAGAAATTGCGCCTCACAGGAACTCAGCCCAACATCGACAACGACAGCGGCTTTTCTCGCATGCACGAGCAAGGGAGGCTTCTAGACCAACGCATGCTTTCCATGGGGATTTCTTCCATACCACCGACCTCAACGATCTATCTAGCGTGCTTTAAAAGATCATTGGACATCCAAATTCGACTGCAGGTTCACACGATGTCCAAGGCGGATATGCAAGCTCTGCAAACATCTGTTTTCGAGCTCGACCAGAATCATCTTCAGGCACGAAAACCCATAAATGAAGTTCGAGAAAATAATACGCTATCTCGGCTGGATAACAAAAATCTCCAGGACCATTCACAAGCAACTGGTCAACCAAATAGGCCATATATCCCGCTAGGCTTTCCCACACCAGGGAGTTGTGGTATTTCCACGCAGTCCTTGGATAGAGATTCGGCAAATTACAACGGTTCCGGCCCTGGCAATTCCCAGACGTCAAACTATAACAAAGACGCACCTCAACAAGGTCTCTTTTTCCAACCATCACAGAAACTCGTGAACAAGCCTTCGTCGTTTGGTTCCAACTTTCAAGTTGACCCCGCCTTAGAGGTAGCATCAACAGAGATGGATGAGGACGAGCTCTTCCAGAGCCTTGCCAATCTCGACTCTGCGGACTGGTATTTACCTCTTCCACTTTCAACTTATCTGCGTCTGATGAATTTTGTAGGTCGGCGAATCCCCCTGAATTCATGGAACATCTTGGCGTTTTGGGGGACGTTACTTCAGACTTGCAGTCGTTCTTCGACAAGGACCTCGGCTGAAAAGTTCTTGATCCCACTGGAATCGCTTATTTGGAGCTGAACAATCTGGCAAATTCGTCATTGCTATCTCAGAGGCCGGTAACTCCTTTCTCGGTTCCGCGAAATACGTCAGAGAGTGCCGGGATAAGCTTCTGCCGCCCTATGATATCAGGTAGGTTAACTTTACCCGCTTGTATGGTGGACCATAATGTTGCCTCCTTACTGACCTCAACAACAAAGAACGAAGTTAAAGAACATTCAGAAACAGATTCTCAATCTTCTTTTCGCTCGAATTAGAATTATTCACCACCCACCACACCAACCAGTCCCCATGTCCGAATTCCGTCCTGCTTTACTCTCAGCCTCCCTAGGCCGCGCCTGGGTCCACGACTTTGAGAAGAAGGTCGCCCAAGCCGCCAAGCATGGTTTTGAGGGCATTGAGGTATTCTACGAGGATATCGAGTACTTGGCTAAGAGTCTTCACAACGTGGACGAGCCGACCACAGACCATATTCTCGCCGCGACGAGACATATCCGCAAGATTCTCGATGACGTGGATCTGACCGTCATAGGCTTGCAACCATTCTTGTTCTACGAGGGCCTTCTTGACCGTGAACAACACGCTCGACTCATTGAGAAGATCAAGGTGTGGTTCAGTCTTGCCAAGATACTGGGGACGAACACAATCCAGATCCCAGCCAATTTTCTTCCTGCCGAAAAGCTCACTGGCGACATGGATGTCATTGTTGGCGACCTCATCGAGCTCGCCGATCTCGGGTTGAAAGAAAACCCGCCCATCCGTTTCGCCTACGAAAGTCTTTGCTGGAGCACCCACATCGACACATGGGAGAAATCATGGGAGGTGGCCTGCAAGGTCAACAGGCCCAATTTTGGACTCTGCCTCGATACGTTCAACATCGCTGGCCGGGTATGGGGGGACCCTGCTTTGCCGACGGGCAAAACGCCTAATGCAGATGCAGACCTCAAAGAGTCCATGGAGAGACTGGTGCGAGAAGTTGACTTGGCCAAGGTTTTTTACATTCAAGTTGTGGATGCCGAACGCATGGACACACCTCTGGTGAAGGGCCACCCATTCCACGTTGACGGAAATCCGCCACGGATGAACTGGTCCCGGAATGCCAGGGCATATCTTTATGAGACGGACCGAGGAGCTTACTTGCCTGTTGAGGATATTGCCCGGGTCTTGATCGAGAAGCTCGGGTACAAAGGATGGGTCTCCATGGAACTGTTCTCGAGAACGATGTCGGAGGAGGGCGAAGGAGTCCCCGCAGAGCATGCACGAAGAGGCATCGAAGCATGGAAGAAGCTCGTTCATCGTCTTAAGCTGAATGAGTAGTTCTTCAAGTACTGAAATGTCGATTTACTTCCATTCAATCGCCTCGTCACATGTGAACGTATCTAAATGCTGTCTACTCCTATGGCAGATGATGGCCAAGAAAGGGACATAACTTGTGTCTGCGTTCAGCTTTTACTCTGATGAAATTTTGCGAAGATGTAGACCTACAACATAGCGTGGGAAAGGTCGTGCATCGGAGTCAATATTCAAAAGTTGATACCTGAACTTTTATCGGCAGCGTCCAACAATACCTTCCAAGCGCCCTCCTTATCCAAACCTTTCACTCTCTCCTCTCCGGCCCACAGTTTCCACTGCTCCTCGATCTGATAGCCGATAACATGCGTTCCCTCCACACAAGGCCACCCAAGACCTTCTGCCAACTTGATTGTTCGCGTCCGCCTAGGTTTGAAGCACATGTCCAGTAAGACGCCCTTCTCCGTTCTCGACAAGAAATCTTCCAAGGATGCGCGAACAGCTAGTTCTTCTTGAGACTTGGGCTCAAAGTCCGGGACCGTGCCAACGACATAATAGGAGGTCTCAAGATCCTTTGACTCCCCTTCTTTGACGTGGATGATCCTTGGCGAAGGCGATAAACGTTGCGAGTCGCATATGAGATCGGCAACCTCCCCATCATCCCGATTCAGAACGTAGATGACGGAAGCCTTGAAGTATGTGTGCAGTGCGAAGACAGCCGCTCGGCTTGCCCCACCTGCGCCGATGATCAAAGCCGGTTTGTTCAGGACTGGGCCCGGTTGGTCTCCCTTTTCGAGCAGGCAACCTTTGACCCCGAGCCAGTCGGTGTTTGTACCACGAAGCTTTTGAGGATTTGAGGCATCTCGATAGACGTTGTTACAAGCGCCGATGGTCTCGGCCAGGTCGTCGAGTGCATCAAGGCGGGACATGATTGTGTTTTTGTATGGCATTGTGACCACCAAGCCGGCTGTCGACTCCTTCCGGGCCAATGTGAGGAGATCGTCGATTGTCGCACATTCCGTGGCGTAGAATGTCCAAGGGAGATTAAGTGACTTTGCGATTGCATTGTGCATTGGCGGCGCGATGGAATGGCCCACGCCAATTCCAACAAGGTGGAGAGTCTTTGCCTCGGTATCGGATGGCATCATGGGCGGAATACTTTTGCGTGCAGAATTTCAAGTACACTGAGTATCAGGCGATTGGGAAGCAAATTGTAGTGACTTTTCTTAAGTAGCAAGATATCATCAACCGCCATGAACTGAAGCTAACCGGTTGAAAAGCAGCCGCATTCATGGATAGACCTAGGATTGTTTGCGACGGCAGAAAGCTTTGCCGCCAGACCAATAGCACCGCATTAGTCCTAATGTCTGCCTCAATGTCCTCGTTCAACAGTATTCTGACTTAAATCATAGCCGACAAGGGTGTACGGTTCGGTGATTAGACCCGGTGACTGTCGTCTGCCGCGGACTAGCTGTTGCAGAGGTCTCTGCCGCTACGGCGTTGCCGCCGGATATCGCGAGACTCATCGTTTCATACTACACCATCTTTTGGATGTCTATCTCGCAGCAATTTCCTCGAATAAGCTTTTAACTTGAATACATTTTTCTAACCAGCGAAATGGTCTGCAATGTCACCGGGAGTTGGGCGAAGCACAGCCCGGTCCCACATCGGAGCCGGTGATCCACTCTGACCCATAAGTCGACGGAGGCCGGTCCGAAGTAGCCTTTGGTTAATCTTGAACCTCACCTGCTGGAATGAGTCCATCCTTGCTGTCAAAAGAATTATGATTACCTTTCTTATCACTCTGATCTATCTTTATAGCCATTGTAATGTCCTCCTCGCGAGATTTACATCATACCTCGCTCCTTCTTTATGCCGAAGCTGTGAAGTCCATGCTGCGCCATCCGATGCCTACTTCCTTCTCACACCTTGTCCCTTGGGGACTCTTGCCAGCCAATACAGTCCGCACGCCGCAATGATATTGAACCCAACATAAACCCAGAGAAGTCCAAAATTCCTCCAGCGATCGTCATACTTGATCTCGAAGTGTGCAAGGAAATCATCCGTAGTTGCCATACGACAGTACCCGCACATATCCGTTGCCGCAGCGTCTACGAGATATCCACCTGCCCCCTGAACGAACGGGCCCAGAAATTCGCCGCATGTCATGTTGGACGGGACAGGCACCTGCACAATTTCCTTCGCCGTGCATACCACCTTCGAGCCATGTAGACAAGTCGAAAGAGCACCAGACACCAGATACGTCATCGGACTGACGTAGTACATCAAATCGCTCCATATCGCAGGCAAGTCAGCGCGGATAACACCGATGCCGCAGAAGGACATGCAGAGGATGGCGAAAAGACTGGCAGGTATGCTGGCGAGATCGGCCGTCTCAATAGCCACGATGGCCAGCTGCGAGAAAGTACTCGTCCAGAGGAAGAATATCCAGATGAAAAGGAAAACGGTGAAGCCTCGGATGTTGACGTCATCCGGGGTGGTGTTTCGAAAGAACCTTGCAGGGTAGTACCAGCAGAAGAAGAAGATGACTGCGGCGATGGTGTTCCAGATCATCTCAACAACGACGTTCGACAAGAGGTAGGCTAAGACTTGTGAGCATCATTCTTTGGAAGGAATTCAGGAACTCGACTTACTTGTCCAACGGTAGACTCTTGACGGCCTCTCTCGCACTTCATACAATGCTCTCTGAGGAATGAACATGGGCATGACTTGTTTGCTGAACTCGTTGACCGTCGTCAAGCACATGAAGAAGGCATAGAGCTGGTTTTGCAATCCCTGGAGGCTGTTGTCCGACTTGAATGTGAACCCGATGTAGAGCGCCTGCATTGCCATTAGTAAAGACCAAACACGTTGTGACAACCAACTTACAAGCAATACCGTGAGAGTCAGTTTTGACCAGATGTACACCGGCGACCGCCAAAAGTGCTTTGCAGTGCGCGAGAAGACCTGCACAAATTGTGTCCAGAAGGAAGCGACGAACTCGTGGTGTGAAGCCGAATCGTTTCCTGAGCCTTGCCCTGTCGATAGCTGCCGGAGTAGGCCAAGTTCGTCCTTGACGTCGTGATATTCCGGAGAGGACCGCCAGATGTCGAACCAATTCGGCCCATCGTCAGAAAGCGTTGTGACCTTGAGCATCCACTCGGCCGGGTTCCCATCCACGGGACAGGGAGGAGCCCCGTTGCGCTCCAGGTAGTCGATCATAGTTCTGGCATTCGTGCCTATGTCTGTTGCACCCACGTCAGCTCTGTGTTTTCCAAGTCATGAAGTTTGCCCACCTCCAAAGTAAACCGTCTTTCCACCCCGCTGAAGCAGAAGCAGCCTGTCGAAGCGTGAAAATAACATCGCTGACGGCTGATGGATAGTGCAGAGGACCGCCTGGCCGCTTTTCGCAAGTTTCTCGATAAGATCGCAAATAGCCCAGGAAGTCTGTGAGTCGAGTCCAGATGTAGGTTCATCGAGGAAAACAAGAAGTTGCGGACGCGCCGCAAGTTCGACACCAATCGTAAGACGCTTGCGTTGTTCGACATTTAGACCTTGTCCGGGGACGCCGATCACTGCGTCCACAAAGTCGCCCATGTCAAGCAGATCAATGACCTCGTCGATGTATTCCAACTTTTCTGAGCGGGGGATCTCTGCACTCTGCCTCAACAATGCACTGAATTGGAGAGCTTCTCGAACAGTCATCGTATCCATGTGGACGTCCTGCTGCTGGACGTACCCAACTCGGTGGGGAAAGGACTTGTCGGTAGGCTGACCGTTGACCATAGTGTCTCCAGACAGAATGCCCATAGTCACGCGCGTGGCCAGAGCATCGAGAAGCGTAGTTTTACCTGCACCAGATGCACCCTATTCAAACTGTCAGCTACCAACTCAAGAGTATACGGCATGGATCAACTTACCATGAGCGCAGTAATGACGCCGGGTTGCACCCATCCATCGATGTGATCCAGAATGCGTCTGTCTTGCCCCTTGATCTTGACATCGTAACAGATGTCTTCCCAGTGGAAGATAGGCTTTCCGCAAGCGCTAGGCCTTGGCCTCTCATTCGATGGTCGCTTCTCTACAGGAAGGGAATGCACTTTTTCAGTCACAGCGATCTCTCTTGTTTGATGCTCCTCGTCCGATCGTGCCTTCTCAGCAAGCCCAGCTGGCATCTTGCCGCGTCGAAATACCAGGACTTCACCCTCACTTTTGGGTGGCTTGGCAAATTCCGCGGCGACGATGTAGGTGATAAAGAAGAAGACAATGTAGCCGCAGAGAATCCCAACGTTCCTGAATATCCAAGTCAATCATCAGTACTAATAATGGCGACGTCTCACATACCTCCACTTGTGGCTGTTGAAATACCCGAAAGACTGCTCGATGTATCGGTCGCCATCGACCAAGTCCGATCCGAGAACAGCCCCGACAACAGCACATGTCCGGCCACTGATGGGAAGATCACCGTATACAGACCCAGAAGGGACAAGGCCGCTGCACTGAAACGTGCGGCCGTGAAACTCGTTCGCCATCAAGGCCTCGAATGCGTAGGAGAGCGGGTTGATGTATCCCATCCAGCGCGACCAGCCTTGCATATAGGAAGTCGGCACCGTGAAACCAGCGTACATCATGACTCCGATGGTGACGAGCGTGACGGGGACCATGGCCTGATGTGATGTCCTTGCCAACGAAGCCATCGTTCGATAGATGCCAGACATGGCAAGAAGGACCGCGAACGACACAAGGCAAAAGAAGAAGAACGGGCCGGGTTCTCGTTTGAGGTTGGCCATGAAGTATAAAATGGAGTTGAAGGTGAAGACGTTAGTAATCTTGTACGGCAACTCAAGTATGAAACTCGATATGGCCTCGGCGGATTGGTGGTAGAGCGCATAGCGGTTGTGCTTCTCGACGACTGGTCTTTGGGCGTATAGGGTAAGAACCTGGAAGCGAGTTAGCCTGACATTCATGTCAAGATTGGATACGGATAGTATTCGACGGAAAGATAAGACCAAGGATTTGGCAACTAACCTCCATCTCGCTGGCAAAAGCGTTGAACAAAAGAGCGAAGAAAATGAGACCACCGCGGTAGTAAAACGTGCTCGAATCGGCTTTCAGATTGAAGAACATGCTTCCGAGTACGAAGCCGACAATGATGTTGAAAACCAGTGAGGAGATTGTGAACCCCGGGTCTGCAACCAGTCGCTTCCACCCTCTCCAAAGGCAGAGTTTGACTTGGCGAGGATAGGTGATCATGTACGGCGACTTGAGTCGTTGAAACGAGCTCCTCTCTGCTTTGATGCTTTGCTGGAACTCTTCTAGTCGGACTTTGGCAGGGTGAGCCTTCTCATAAGCAGAAATGTCGCTCATGAGAGCTGAGTGCTCTCGTGAATCCTTCCATCTCGCGGCGAAATCGTCGGCTGTTCTAGGTGCTTGGTCCTCGTATCCGGGTCTGATCCGTCGTTCGCTCGGGGAGGTCATGGAAGTGAGGAAGTCGGGAGTTGTCTGTCTGTCGGGGCCTGGCAGTATTGCTAGTCAGGATCGAAGTTTCCTAAAGAATGAGGTGATTCATACACATGAACCCCATGTTCTCGAAATACTGTTTGGCTTGATCGATTTTGCCAAAATAAATTTGACGGCCTTCATACAAGACCGTGACTTTGTCAAACAACTGCATCACATTAGTTGAGCACACTCATCTGAAAAGACCCTGTGTGTTCCTCCACTTACGTCGTATGCAGACTGTGGCGCTTGGTAGATGGCCACCACGGCAGCCACATCCAACAAATCCGCCTGGGTGCGGAGGTTCTGGCAGAAGGCGATGGCGTTTCCACTGTCAAGTCCACGAGTGCTGTTATCCCAGCACTGGAATTTGGCACCTGTAAGAGCAGCTTCGACGATGCTAACTCGCTTGCGCTCGCCTCCTGACACTCCACGAACGTAGTCGTCGCCGACTTTCGTGTTGAGTGTGTGCGTAATGCCAAAAGATGCCATGAGTACGTCGCGCATAATGCGAGCGTACTGCTTGCTTATCAGCCCGGCAGGTATCGTTGCCGGCACGCGGGCTCTGGAAGCGAACTCGAGTGTATCGCCGACCGTGAGGGGTGCCAGGTGTACGTCGACTTCTGCGTTGTAGAGGACATCGCCGCGGAACCAGTCGTGCATGTACCTTGGATCGATGCCTTCCTGGAGTTAGGCGATGGCATTGTCATCTGGGTAGGAATACTAACCGCGAAAGTTCATGTATGAATCCTTTGACACATTCAAGCCCTCGGTCTGACCCGCCAAAGTCTTGAGCAGAGTTGAGCATCCTGAACCCGGCGGCCCAAGTGCAAGAAGCATCTCGCCCGGCTCCACGAGGCCCTCGAAATCCCGCAAAATGTCGATCCGAGACTGCGTTCTGCCCGTTGCAAGGCCGACAAGATCCGAGGCGATGCTGAGCGCGATGTTGCCAGCGCTCTTCTGGTATTGGGTCCCCGTGCTGTATCCGAAGACGTTGAGGTTCTTGAAGGCAACGCCAGTCAGCCTCCCAGGCGTGGAGCTGGGATCCGACTCGTAGAGGCTGATGAATGCTTTCGTCCATGCTACTGTGTCGAAATAAGCAGAATTCGGGTTCAGGGGACTGTCTTTGGGTGGGTTGAGAACATCGTCTTGGACGTGAAGGCTGTGAGGTCTTGAGGCGTTGGTGACTTGTCGAGCCAAGTCCTCGATCTGCCTGTACATGTCGTCAACGGTTGCTGTTGCAGAAGATTCGGAAGACTCCGAGTGAGAGGCCTGAAAGTAGTCAGGTTGCTCGTTCGAGACCATGTTCGCGTCTCCGGTGTGCGGCATGGTTCTGGCCACCCTACAATCGAGATGTCGCGTGGCCGTGAGAGACAAAAGACTAAAGTATTGGAAGAACTCCCTATGAATGGAACAAGATGAGTGATTTGGTTTTCGGATACGTCCGAACTGCCATCCGATATTCACAAATATCAGCCACTTATAACAATACTCGTTTAACTTAACCCTGCAGCCGTCGGTCTCCCGCGGTCAGCCGCCGTTCGGGCGAGTCCTCGGGTGAAGACCGCGACAACGACATGGCTGTTTGGATAAAGCACATGGCTGTACAGGGTTCAACTTCCCACCAAAAGCCCACTCAGGGGCTTTGCAGTTGGTCTTGTTCCTTTGACGCATGATTCTACCATTTAGGCCACGAAGCTGACGTCCTTCGGACGGCCGCGGATGGCCGAAGGAAAAGCGGCCTGATGAAATATGGGTCCCACCGAGAGAGATTGGAACCGCATTTTAACAAACCCCCTTGCCTGATCTCGCGATCTTGCAGCAGAGCGAGGTTCTCGCCAAAGTTCGCCAAACTCACAAAGGCTACCAGGAAGTCCCCGCTCAAGGGACTTCATCGGATGTCCGCCACTCCGGGATACTATCCTGTTCTTCTTGGCAGATAGATCCAAATGACGACGGTTAGAATCAAAGTCCATGGGTCCGGTGCGGATCCGTTGGAATCGGACGAACATGCGCTCCGAAAAGATTGGGATGATGCAGAGAGGCCCTCTGAAGCTGTTGCCCGTTGCAGCTGTTGACACGCCACGGAACCGGCCTCCGGTGGACGCCCCGTCTCGCCCCACTGAACTGCGGGACCCACCTTTGCCGTCCCGGCCGCCGAGGAGTCCAGTACTAGGTACTGGACGGGTTTCCCAAGCGACAGGATGCATGGACTGGACTTCACGACACTACAGCCACAATCCATGCAAAGAGACGAATTGCAGAAGTCCAAGTTACTATCTAGTTCTAAGTCATTGCATGGTTATCTCGCATTTGGCATGCTCGCAACGAGGGCCGCACGCAGTGTGTGTTCCAGTAATACCAGTCCAGGCATGGAAATGCTTCCGTGTCCGCCAGCTTGACTGGAAAACAACAGCTTCCACCCCAACAAAAACGCAAACATCCATTCGGAAAATCATAATGTCTACAGTCATCCTCCATAATCCTCATAAACCATTTAAATCGTAACCATCCATCCAAAAGCTCATCAGTCATGACCAACCCACCTCTCCGCAACTCGAGAGGTAAAGAAGACCCCAGCCGCCAAAAGCGTGAACCCCGGCGCGAACAACAGCAAGATCGCCACCACGACGATATTGGCAAAGAACTCGGTGGAGGCAAAGGGCGGGGCCCGTCCCATGAACCCGGGCCCGATCGTCCGCACCGTCACCTTCGGGCGGGGTTGCTCGGTCTTATGAGTCTCCGACGGGTGCTGCAGGCCGCTGAGCGCGTGGAGGACGTCGGTCACGAGCGGCTTGTGTTCTTCGTCCATGACGACGCCGTCCAGCCAGGCTCGTATGTTGTCGTGCGGATGCGTTGCGTAGGGGTCATAGCTCGGGAAGGGCGTCGGGTGGGAGCGCTGTTGTGGTTCCATTGTGTAGTCGAAGGTGATTGTCGTGCGGTCATCCTCGTAGAGAAAGGAACAGCCGTCTGGGAGAGATATTAGCATCCGGTCTGTCACGAAAGTCAAGGGGATGAGTCTTACCAAAATCTACAAAGTTCATATCCAGCAAACTGAGACGATCTCTAACTTGGGCTATTCAAAGCTCGCCTAGAAGCAGTGGACCAGGATGTGAGGATAATGCGAGAAGGGCGCACGAAGCAACTGCTTGCAAGAAATATCGATGTTAAGAAGGTCAGAAGATCTGCGGTTTGTTTTCTTGACACTTGCGTTGCTGGGAGGGAGACAAGCCAAGGGAGATGCGACATCACTGGAATGCCTCAATCAAACAGGTCGGGCGACCACTGTTAGCGGCGCGTTCCGCGACTTCAATACTCGGGGCCCCATTCCAAGTAGCTGGCAACAACGGCGATCGTGTCTGAGGACCAGAGGACGTTACCGAGTCTGACTCTATTCTTCGAACTCCGAGACGATCTATCCTTGGTCATGTATCATGCTTCTAGGAAACGTTCCCGCAATCGGGGGCCGACGATATTCGTTGTTATGGCGGTGGAATTAGGCGATCTCCAGCTCTTCTACCGCTAAAAAATGCATTCCATGCTGGGGATCTATGTTTCGCGGATCCCTGATGTTAGCTTTGAAGTGCGAAGAGATCTCCACGTCCAACAACATTATACCAATTATGAACTCAATTGATTTCAGATGAGACAAATCAAATCCGTGATGAAGAGAACCGTTGAACAGACAAAAGCGACTAGGTAGTTATCGATGACTCTCTCTAATTGGGTGGAAAAAGCAAGGACTTTAACCGAAGCTGACGCCGTATGACTGAGGCCATTTTACCCCCTGTCGATGCCCGTCGCTTACGCTCATGAGTCCTTATTGAATTTCAACATCAAAAAGCCGTTCGACCGCCACATCGTGACATTTTCCCTCACCTCAAAAAGCACGGAACAAATATATCTCACTAGTGACCTCATCATGGTAGACCACATACCCTCTCTTCCGTGGGAAGAACTCGCCTCCAACTTCACTTACATCCGCGCCAACCCCGCCGCCAAAGGCATCACAGACCTCTTCCCGCAGGCCCTCCCAACACTACCCGAAGACCTGAACAGCTTCATCCTCACCCTGACTCAAAAGCTCAAACACGACTCCTCTCTAGAACGAAGCAAGTACGCAGAAACATACGACGCGCCCGACGAAGAAGAAGTACTCATCGACGACGAGACCGTCCGCGAAATCACGCCCTTCTTCCGCAGACTGCACAAATACCACCCGCAACACCGCCTCAGCGACAACAGATGGCCGAACGGCATCGCCGATGACAACCCGGGCTGTCGACACCCCGCGGAGGTGCGGTGTCGATGCCTGATCCCGTACGAGGAGAGGAAGGTCAAGGCGCTGACGCGGACGCATGAGTACAACACGTGCTTCGAGTTCTGGATGGTGAACGGTATGGGGTTCCGCGGTTGGGAGATTGTGAGGACGTTGCTTGTTCATGGCAAGATGGAGCCGCTTTTGAGGCTTTGTAAGTGCCCTTTTGTTGACAGCATTGGGCAATTTCCGTCTTGGTGGGATGTGGGCTCTTGTGTCTGCGAAGTAAGTCAACCGAATCTATCCTTTCCGAGTCTTTCTTGCTAACAGACGGTACAGGGTCCTGATGGGGCGATGTCCTTGCTATACGAAAAGACCGCAATGTCTTTCATCTGTCTTCAACTCCTGCGCCACCATCCGCAAATACAGCAGAGAGACAACCCAGAAGTCGATTACCGACTGACGCGGATGTACCAGCACACAGTCAGACACGTAACCAAAGACGAAGGCATCTCCGACCTCCCCAACATCGCCCACCGCGACTTCTACGGCATCGGGGACCAGCAGTTCTTCACGACAGACCCGCAACCCCGGGACAAAGAGCGCTGGGTCCACCTCAACACGGAGCGGTTCCAGTTCGAGCCGCACTACCCCGAGGGCCTCATCACCTTTGACGAGCTTTTGAACTTTGAGGTGGAAGCCGCGTACAGACCCCACGGATCCGACGTCGCGTTCGTGCAGAACTTGTTGTATGCCAGACGGCTGCCGACCGAGCTCGTCGACGAGGTGCTGGACTTGGCTGAGTATCAACCTGGACGGAGACTCAAGGTCGCGCATGACCCGCTCCATCCGGGGAATAGTGAAGAGTTGGACAAGTATCTCGAGGAATGCTGGGCTGTTATGGTGAGGTGCGAGGTATTCGCCGCAGAGTTTGATGAGGAGATTAGTTGGATTGCTGTTTTCGCGAGGGCATTCAGGGAACTGCTTCCCAGTCTCAGACTTCACACTAAGCCGGGGATGGTTCGATCTGATGATGGCTGGGTTGAGGACGTGGCGATTTTCGTGTGAAGGAACAGAATGCGCCACGAATCAGATGTATAGGGCAAGTAAGGTGCTTAGTTGGTGGTAGTAATCGGAAATGATACCCGACGTCATTCATACTCGCTCGCACCTTGCCTCCTTCTGGGTGCCGTACTAGATAAGAGGGCTCTTTCCCAAACACACCTCAGAGTAAATCACGCCTCAGAGCAAGAGACAGGAGGGAACCAGCCTTCTTGAGAGCTGTTTCCTCCCTGCCTCTCGCCGAAAGCCATGAGACGAGTTGGTCGAACGGTTGATACTCCATGATAGGACTGCAAGGTGGTGCCCAGCAGTACCGTTTCTTGAGGTCCCCTCACGTTCGAACAACAATACATCCGTCCATGGCCTTCGAGCTTTTGCTTTTCCTCTTTTTTCTCGTCTAAATTGATTTCGTCCTCTCGACAGTTGCACGGCCTACCTGCTTGCTAACCCTTTTACCTGCTGCGATTTGTGTCTGTGTAAGGTAACGATGTTCTCGATGGCTGACTATGGTGTTTGTGAAATATGCTGGAGCAGATACACCGCAACGCAACGACAAGTAGGTAGGCCTGCCTCTGCGCTTCTGTGTTGTAGATGGAAGGTCAAGACCTCGAAACATTTCAGCACATCTCAGCGGAAGCTGTCGACGAAAGAAACACTATCGTCATCACTGCGATTCGCGACACCACCGACCCCAAAGCACTCCAGCAAAACAGGCAGCCTTCGCCCAAATACCATCATATCACTGCTCACCACAACACAGAGACGACACAATTTCGAAGTATTAAAGGCCCTTATATTTCCCTCCCGACTATGCGAGCATTACTCCAGTGTCACCATCCATCCTCCCCTTTCCCGGCACAAATAATCTACACTTCTCCGACGCTATGCCAAGTGCCTAAGAGCTCAAGGTTGCGTATCTAAAAACAGAAGAAGCCAACGTCCCATCATCTTGGCGGGGCGAGAGTGATTTCTCCCCTTCTCCTCTGCAGCAAAAAAAAAGTGAAGAAAAGAGGTTCATCATCGAATTTTGATTTTTGCCCAGGGTCGGAAAGGAAAAAAAGAAGTTTGGTCATTCCATCATCCCGTTTGCCCAATCCCGATTCCCCAACAAAAAAGAAGTATAAAAGACACCTTGGTTGCAGCACACCCCGCGCGCAGAAGGACTCGAAACAAAAACCACTGGGTAGAGCAAAATCCGCCCATTCCCGCCCCCGTGTTTGTGTTTCCTGCCCCTGTCCCTAGTTTCCTGTTGTAGAAGAAATAAGAGACAAAGGGAAGGGGGGAGAAACACCGATCGTTCTCGCAGTTCATACAGTGAAAAAGAATACCAAGAGTAGTAGATACAAAGGGAAACCAACATGATGAGCGTCAGTGGAACGAATGACCGCTGTCAATGCATAAAAACGCCATAGGTATTTAGAACGCCAGAGCCAGAACGACGCGCGTTGTCTAGAGAAGCGAAGAAAAGATGCAAAGCCATTATCGTCAGTGACGGGGAGCCGGCTCGGGCTGCCAGCCGTTGATATACGCCATCAGGCCCATACCTAAAATCACCACACCTAGCATAGATGCGTAGGGAACCCCAGCCATGAGTGCCTGGTCCTTGGCCAGCTTGCCTGGTGGTATGGTAAGCGGCGTGATGGTGTTGGCGCGTGAAAGCGTCGGCTTGTCGCTGAGATCCTCCGGAGAGGACCCGGCCTGAGTGGCGGCTGGTGTTGATTCATCAGAACCGTCCGTCTGCACAACAGACGTTGACTTTTGAGGTCCTGCGCTGCCGTTGCGTCGTCCTCGTGACCGTGAGCGGGCCCTCTCCTCTGCCGCAGCCTGCCGGACCTCCTCGTCCCTCCGGATTTGAGCAATCATCTCAGCAAGTGTTTTGCGGTCCGCGTCCCGCTCCGACTCGGCCTTGTCGCATCTTTGCCTCCAAGATTCCATTTGCTGCTTCAGATCGCTCATCTCCGACATCATGGTATCGATCTTGGATTGGAAACGGGCAGCAACCTCTTCGGCGCTTTCCGGTGCTGGCTCCCTGGGAACGGGCTCGGCGTCCGTCATCTCCACGTCTTGGTTGTCGGAAGCTTCACGCGGGGGCTCGAATGCTTCATCCAAAAGGGTTTCCGTGTCGTGCTCCTTGGGCGCGCCGTTCGCCTCCTTCGTCATGGCGCTGTCCTCAAGAATCTTGGCCATATCTTCCGCTAGCTCTCTAGCCTCGCGTTCTTTGCGAAGCATATCCTCCAAATCGCGAATCCGGGCAGTCTGCGTGTCCAAGTCCTTTTTAGCATTGTTCAACGCCTCGGTCAGTTGAATGATTTGATGTAGGTTATCGCGTCCGACAGGCGAAGTGGTACTGTTGGCTGCGGAGTGCGCCTTCGGTCGTTCGGTTGTGCCTCGCTTCAAGGATGGCACATCGGGTTTCTCGGGGAGAGGTTGCTGGGGTGGAGGAGCGGGAGGGTCTGAGAATCTCGTCTTTCCGTCGGGACGGTATGGCATACCGTTGCCGTTGGGGAGCTGTTTTTGAGGCTCAGGTACCTCCGGCTTGTCGAGGTCCTTAACGTCCTCTTTGCCGAGAAGAGCGCCGATGAACTGGCCTGTGCGGGTAAGATCTTGAGATTGCAGACGCGCGCTTCTCATCTCGTTCTGTATTTCATAGTCAGTGGCTGCGCACGAGTTGCGGTGCAGTTACTCACGTGTAGCCTTTTCACAATGTGCTCCGTGGTAATGGGCGTCAACAGAAACCCACGAGCAGCTCCACCGTTCGCCGGCATGCCAGCCATCGGCTGAGGCTGCATAATCCGTCCATTACTAGCCATCGACGCGTTGCTACCCGTCCTCCCGCGATACGGCGCCGCCTGAGGTGACGGCATCATCATATTACCGTTGGCAGGATCCAAATCCCCAAAGCTCATGTCCATAACATTGCTAGAAGGGGTCATGAATCCCGAATGTTCCACCTTGGCGGCAACCTTGTGGTGGACGACAGTCTTCTGATCCTCGCTCACGATGTCGATACCCAGTTCGAGATGGTCTCCAGTCTGCAGTTCGTGCGGTTCGGATTCGCGGTTCTCTTGCGAAAGGCGCGTACCATTGACGAATGTACCGTTTGAGGATTTGACATCTCTAATGTAGATCTTGCCCATACGGTCCGCCCAAATTTCGGCATGCTGCCTGGAGAGCACTTTGCTGTCGAAGTAGCCATTGACCGCAGTAGGGATAGTCTTTTGGTTGGTTTGGCGACCGATCCGGAGGCTCTCGGGGTAGTAAGGAACCGAGATAGTCTTGCGCTCAAAAGTGCCATTCAAAGACAGCAAGTAAAGCACGGGTTGGCCGTTGGGCATCGGATCACCCATGGGCCTGGCCCCAAGTCCCTGCTGCGGCATCATCTGCGGCTGACCAGGTGCCTGTTGCAACGACGTCGCGCCGTTGACGCCATTCATCTGGGAGCGCATGACAGGCCTGCCGAACTCGGCCTGTCCTTCTGGTTTGCCGGCAGGCCAGGGGCCCTTGGGCTGGGGTCGCTTCCTGGACGCGGTGCTCCAGGAGCTCATGTCTGAGTTTGTAGAAGCCGGGGTGCCATTTGGTTGAGAGCTATTGGTAGCAACGGTGGTCGTGGACGAGTTGGAGGATGTGGATGAGACGGAGGAGGAAGAGTTGCTTCGCTGGAGCGTTTTTCGCGGCATGAACATGCCTCTGACGTCTTCTGGATTCATCGAATTCAGACTTTGGCCGCCATTAACGTTCCATCCCGGTCGGTTGAGTTGCTGGAAGCTAGGGGGGCTCGCGACGGCAGTCATGAGGGGTACGGTCGTCGAGGGAAGGGTCGTAGGACAAAGCAAGTCGAGTTAAGTTGCAGGCGATGGTGATGGAAGGGTATCGATGGGAGTGGTGTCAGTTGGTCTAGGGACGCCGGGAGATTGATCCGTCACCATTCGCACAGCAGCCCTCTGGGTATCACAAAAGTCGCTGGTCGCTCGGCAGAAAAGTCGTCAAGTGAAATAAAAGGTCTCGATAGGGCAGGACAGGAGGTGTCAAGGGATGAGGCTGCGCTGGCAAGAAAAATAAGTCAGCGATGATGTCGCGGCAAGGATAGGGGTGGTCGCAGCCAATTGGGGCGACGCAGGCGGCCGACAACGGGGTCGACAAGATCGGAGGGCCACAGAAAACGGGCCGGCAAGTGCAGAGGAGACTCGAGACGTACCTGCAATTGAAAGATGAGGCGGGCGAAGGGGGCGTGTTCGGCACCTTGATCGACGATAAGCAGACGTTCTCCGTAGGGGAGCACAGGTGAAGTTGAATCTAGGATTTGGGAAAGAACAGAGGTCTCGCCCCCGTCTCGCTAAGCGCTTAGCGTGTGTACTGGGGGGACTCGTGAACGGACCAAACAGCGCTCGGAAACACGCGCCGGAGCCGACATGGGAGTGGAATGCTCAGTAAAGCACTCCTCTGATTTCAGCACCGCACGGCCCCCGCGCGACCGTTGATGTTCATGCAACCTGTGGGTTCTGCAGCAATAAAAAAAAAGTCGAAGGAGAGGCGGAGGGAACGGATGTTTGCTTGTTTGCTAATCTGATGGACCGGGCATTTACGGCTGGTCATTCCCTCCAGAACAGTCACTCTTTCCTTGTGTTGGGCTGACCTCATTCCCTAGCCGTAAAAGGGGACCCACTGCGCGCTTGCAGTGGGCGCTGGCGGAACAAACTCGGCCCACGTGACCCTCTTTCATCACAGAAGGCGCTGATGTCATTCGCTACGACGGGGGCATTTGGCACCGTGCTACCGCACTCACAGTGACAGTGACCACCCGACCTGAGTGGCCAGCTGGAAGAATTTCTGGTTCGCAGTGGCCTGTGCGTCTGGTGACCGTGACATCGATGTCGATATCCACCCTCCAATAAGAGCGCGTCCCACCTCATCGTATTTGCCGAAGAACTACCGTACCCCGGATAGGATTCGTCCAAAGCTTGGGTGGGCGCCGGGAGGCTGCAGGGCATTTGCAGTAGCCGCAGCAAATTGGAAGAGCTTCTCCAGCCCACCATTGCCCGCAATCCTGACCATCACCAAAACGTACCACTTCGAGGTTGAGCAAGCAAGAAAGCTCGACTTTCGCGACCTTTTTTCCTACTTCTTCTACTCTGACCGAACCCGAACCTCAATCGAAATGCCTCCCGTCCCTTCGCAGCACGCCGGCGCCATGGGCCCGTCTGTCGCCGACAAGCGTATGATCTCTTGCCCTGCCGACCTTTTGGAGCTGGAGCTGACCTTTCGCAGTTAAGATGGGTGCCATGATGGGTGGCAGTATGTTCCCGACTTGTTCACTAACAACAATGGACATACGACTGACGTTGTTATAGCTGTCGGAGCTGTCATGGGCTTCGTTTTCGGTATGCGGCCTCTTGCGCCTCTGTCGCATTCTCTGGACTAACCACATGCGACTCCACAGGCTCTGTCAACATCATGCGCTACGGCGCAGGCCCCAACGGCATCATGAGAACTCTGGGACAGTACATGGCTGGTTCCGGAGCTACCTTTGGGTAAAGGGAACCTCATCTTGCGTTGCTCGACGGTGCTGACTTTGTCTAGATTCTTCATGTCCATCGGCAGTGTTATTCGATCCGATTCCTCCCCTATCGCCGAAGCCGCCTACCGCAACATGCAGCGAAGACCTGTGCTCGTCTACGGCCCCGGTTCCGACTTCGCGAAGCGCCAGCAATAAGCCGAGACGTATCGAATCGAACGACTGTATATCATCATGTAGGAGCGTAGCAGGGGAGAGGATATGATGCTTGAACACCGGCATCAACCAAATATTTGTATAATAGGTGTTCTGGGCATATCACGACTACACGAGAAAAGTTGCATCTCTTCAAACCCAACTCCGCAAGTGTCTGGAAGTAAAATTCGGTCGAAGTCCCGCTGCACACCTGGAATTAGCTAGCTCAAGCCAAAGGGCTATGGGCTTAAGCCTCTACGCTTCCGAAACGGTCCTGCAGGAGCCGTTATTCACCCCCTGGAAGACGATGGTTTGACGTTTGAATCCGGTGACGAGCGTTGAGCGTTGCCGGTTTGTCGGAAGACAACCCGCTCGCACATGCGCCAGAGATTAGGCGGGACTGTGGATATTCTTACAACCTGATATCACTGTCAGCACCTGCCAGCGCCCTTTGATTAGCCGCAACATCAGTCCAGGCCGCGATGGCAATTGATTTACTTGCAAGTTACATGTTTCGAGATCCTGGCGATCTCGTCGGCATGCACTCACCGCACTGCCAACTATCCAGAATTTCGAGAAAACCCCATTCTGAACGATCAGGCCTCGCTAGACTTTTCGATCATTTCTTTTCTTACCTACGTCCGAAAGTATACTCGACCCCTGGTTTAGCACTTCTCGTCTAGCCTGGTCTCGATAGCAGCATCGATTATCATGTCTCAGGCCAATTTTGCTTTGGACCTTGCGCTGCGCTACATCAGAACTCTGCGTATTCGCCCCCAACAAACATGACCGACTGGAAAAAGAAGCTTGTTGGTGGATAGCAAGTAGTCAATGACTGACGTTCTGTCCAGAATCTCAGCTCTTGCAGCGCTTGACGAATTTCGCTCACATCCGGCCATTTTCGTCATTGTACATAAAGGCCGATGTCACCCCTCCTATGCGATAGCAACTATGCAACTCAGGCTTTCCTTCATATCTCTTCGTACATCATTCAATCATGATTTGGACTCATTACTTTCAGGCAGTGGCTCTAAGCGGCGTCTTTGTAGCCAAAACCATGGCAGAAACTTTCGATTACATGTGAGAAAGAAACTGTTCTGGCCCTTTATCATGATTGCATCCTAACAATGACCCAGCGTCGTGGGCGGTGGCACCGCGGGTCTCACCGTCGCCAATCGACTCACCGAGGACCCCAGCGTGACGGTCCTGGTTCTCGAGGCTGGCGGCGATCATTCAGACGACCTGAATGTTCTTGCGCCGGGTCTCTTCCCTGTCATGTACGGTGATCCCGAGTACGACTGGGACTACAAGACCGTCCCTCAGGTAAACCTCTCCCGCAGCCAATCGGTCTCATCAATTGATAGCTCTAGTCTGCTGCCAACAATACGGTTGTGGCTCACGTCCGAGGTAAACAGCTGGGAGGCTCCAGCGCCATGAACTTCATGGTCTGGACGCATCCGTCTCGCCAGGACATCGACAATTGGGGCGAGCTGGGCAACAAAGACTGGTCGTGGGATGCGCTCACGCCATACTTCCGCAAGTCCGAGTCTTTCGTGGCTCCATCGAAACAGCAGACCGCCGACCTCCGCCTTGAATACGTTGACCCAGGCGCTCACGGCAAAACTGGACCCATTGGCACCGAGTTCCCAGCGCTGTATAGCTCTCTTACCCAGGCCTGGCCTCGAACCCTCGAGAATCTTGGACTGGGTGTCGAGGGTGACCCCCGAGATGGACTTGCTTTGGGTGGCTACATCCATACCCTCAACATCGCCGGAGCTACGAGGCGCTACGCTGCGAACGCGTATCTGGGTCCAATCCGTCAGCGCCCGAATCTCAAGGTCGTTACCAGAGCATTCGTAAGAAAGGTGCTGCTGAGGAGGAACCGACATGGGGTCTCGGCAACTGGTGTGCGATGGACCAAAGATAATGCAACGCACGAAGCAATCGCCGCGAGAGAGGTCATTCTCTCTGCGGGGTCCATCGCCTCGCCCCAGTTGCTCGAGTTATCTGGCATAGGCAACAAAGTCCTGCTGCGGAAACACGGCATAGAGAGTCTCGTCGACAACCCCAACGTGGGCGAAAACCTCCAAGACCACGTTTACGTACCTCTCGGGTAGGCTTTTGAAAACAAACTTGCATCAAGAAGACGGATTGCTCACATCTTCTAGATTCGCAACCCAGCCTGGCATCGAGACCGTCGAGGACTTCAACAATGCATCATACTTCCAAGAACAGCTCGACCTATACCTCCAAAACAAAACAGGCCGACTCTCATCGACCAGCGCTAGTGCATCTCTGCTATCGCTCAAGCAGGTCGTCTCTACCTTGGACCTCAACGCCCCGGCTTTGAAGACTCATGGTTCGGGCCTTCCCGAACAGTACCGCATCATCCTACGCGACCTAAAGTCAGAGGCCGTTTGTCAGCAACTCGCCTTCGAAGGTGGCATGTCGCCGCAATTTCAAGCCGACACAACCAAGCTCTTCTCCGCGGGCTCGCCCGGGAACTTCCTCACTCTCCTCGGCGTCCTTGAGCATCCCTTGTCGAGGGGAAGTATTCACATCCAGTCTGCCGACCCGACCGTGCATCCGAAGATCGACCCCCGCTATCTGACGAATCCGATCGACGTCCAACTTCTGAAGGCCATCGCCCTTCAACTGCAGGTTGTTGCACGAACCAAGCCGCTTAGCGATCTGCTTCAGAAGGATGGAACCGCTTTTCAACCTGGGTATTACGAACTCACTCCGGAGAATGTCGAGGAGTGGGTGCGAGGTGGGCTACAGAGCGAGTATCACCCGTGCGGTACTTGTGCGATGATGCCGAAGGACAAGGAAGGAGTTGTCGATGAGAAGTTCAGAGTCTACGGTGTGAGGAACTTGCGGGTTGTTGACGCCAGTGTCTTTCCATTGATCCCGAGAGCCAATATTCAGTCTCTTGTTTATGCAGTGGCGGAGAGAGCAGCAGATATTATTAAGGGAGGTAGTAAGTAGTAACTAATCCAGGTATTATGTGAGTCTCTATGTAGGCAGCTCGGGAGAAAAGCCACCGACTAGAGAACCAAGGTAAAGACAGCAAGTCCCGCCGCAACTATCACTCCAGCAGGCCCAAGCATCACACCACCGCTTACCGGCGCCGAGGTTGGAGTCGGGCTCGCAGTACCATTGCCTCCGCTCGTAGCATTTGCCTTCAACTTCGCAACACCAAACTGCAACTGTTCAGGGTTCGTTCCGTTCCAAACGGTGTAGTACCCCTTCAACAACGGACCACCCAGAACCCAAATAGACGCAAGCTCGCTGATGGGCGCAACAGGGTTCAGAAACAGCGTCTGGCAGATACCCTCGTGGCCGGGGTACTCTCCCAGGTTGAACGCCCCCTTAGGCACAGTCAAGTTCAACGCCTGGGATCCGGACCCGATAGTGAACGTCAACTCCGGCTCGAGCTTCTCAACCACGTCGCATGGAGCACCCCAGACACCCAACTCGTCGATCTGCGTGATATCGCTGCTGATGGCGGCGTAGATGTCCTTGGCGGTCTGGTAATCCGGAGTCTGCAGGAACGCAGTACCGGTATCGAGCAGAGACACGCCGGCAGGGAAGGCCGCGCCGTCGTTGGACGAGTCGGTGACCGTCTTGCCGTTGACGTAGAACTCGGGCGAGTCGATGAACCACTCCTTCCCGAGGGCGACGACGGTCATGTTGAAGTCGACGTTGGCGATCTCGCCCTCGTAGCGGTCCTTGTTCACGCCTCCGAGAGTAAGCTCACCCGGCGCGCTGCCCTCGCCCGAGTTGAGGAAGATGGAGAACAGGGGTTCCGGCACATCGCCGTTCTGAACGAGGGACCAGAACCAGGTCGAGAAGGAGGCGTTGGTGGCCTCGGAGAAGTGGGAGAAGCCGGGGGGTCCGAGGCCGAAGATGCCGTCGATGGGCATCTCGTTGAAGGCCTCGGCGTAGGTCTCGCAGAGGAGGAAGGTCTGGTTGGCGACGGTGTGGCCGGCGATGGTCACGCTGTCGGTCACGACGTTGCCGTTGGCGGGCTGGGCGACGGCGTAGGGGACGGACTTGCCGCCGGTGCCGAAGGCCGTGGTGACGTTGTAGCCCGGGAGGGAGGAGAAGGTGGACGAAGTGGAGGAGTTGAAGAGGGCGAGGTGGGAGGCGCAGGTTGTGCAGTTCGTGGCGGGGATGATGAGGTCTGTTGAGCCGGTGTCGAAGGTCACTGTGCTAGGCGTGTGTTAGTTGATGATGTTATGAAGGACTGGGGGAGGGATGCTTACAATTTTTGAGGAGGGGTTCCGACTTCGACTTCGCCGTACCACTGGAGGTCGAAGTTCTCGAACCAGTTTGTCAGCTGGACAGAGCCGGATGAAGATCGCTTCGACATGGCCCTTGGTTTGGAAGGAGTTGCGCGACGGTTGTGCAGTTTGATGCTCAATGGGTCGGCGGCTACTGAATGGCTCAGCGCCATGAGGGCCACAGCGCCCGAGACGGTATTGAATCTCATTCTTGTGCTGGCAAATGTGATCTCAAGATGATAGGAAAATATAAAACAAGAGTGAACGAGGTAAACCAGATGGATGCTGCTGAAGATGATGAGATGAGTACATTCTTTTCTTCCCTGATCAACGGGTCAACTCTAGTTTATATACATTTTGAATAGCAGACGCTGTTCCGACTTTCCGTAACCCTCGTCACTCACACAACGGTGAACATAAGCTCAAAACCCTACTTCTAGCATAGTGATGTTCGCGATGTGGGCAGCGATTCTCCGAATACCAGCTAGCAGGGGGTCAACATACCTTACAACGTCTGCAAATGGGGCTGAAGCAGGCATGCATCATCGAACCGCCTCATTGGGCTTCCCCAGATCTCAAAAAATACCATCAATTGCGGCGGCCGATCCCAGTAACCATCATCTTCACACTAGACTAGAATCTCTCGCCGTGCCTCTGACGAGTTAGTTTGATACCCACAATTAGCACCCCCGGTCGCCTTCTGCCTACACGAGTGCTGCATATTTTCCATCCAGACTCGAGGTGAAAGTCGGTGGTGTTGTAATATCGACCAAAGTCCCAACGCTAAGATACCGCGCTAAGAGAGCGGCCGCTGCCGCAAGCTGCCCTTGGCTGGATTCATGCTGCTGGGGTGGGCGAAGCTGACGGAGGATGCGCTTTGCGTGGGTGCCTGCGCAGGGCTGAGTGGGTTTCTAGTGCCTAGACCGCGCGTCTGGTACGAGCGGCTGCATACCCGTGGATGAGCCTCTGAAAGCTTGGTTCCTAACAGCGAAGTTTCAAGCAGTGAAGAGAGTTAGGAAAGGCAAATGAGTGAGCTCGAGAGGGTGGGCATCCAGCCCTATTTCGAAGAATTCTGCGGCCAGGGTTCGACGCCTCAGAGTGTGCCTGGCTGCACGAGTCCACCTGCCAAACGCGATGGTACAGCACCCGTAAGCCAAAATCTCCGACGATTTAGAAGACTCACACCTTCATTTGTTGTGCGATGAAGTCTCACAGCCCGATGGGTTGACAAATGTCATCGCGGCCACACCGGGACCAGAATTAGAAGCAGTCGCTTGGAAATCGATTGACTGAAGACAACACCAGAGCGGCACATGCTTGCACAGTTGAGGCTATCATCGTAAGGGGTAATGGTCCCCGAGAAAGAAGTAGTCAGTCAGAGGTAAGAACAGCGCCTACAGACACGGCCGGGTCGGTGCGGCTAAAAAGGATGATTCTCCGGATTTGGTACCGGAACCGGGAACAGTGGGGCCGCGGTCGGCACCGGATCCACACCGAAGCGGATACCAGCAATCGCGGGGCCCCGGACTCTCTGACTGCTCCGCCATGCGGCGCTGCGCCGACCCTAAGCCCCCAGAAAGGAAAGCTTGATCCGAGATTCAGTCCTCCACGATCACTGTTTTCCTTGCAAATACTCCTCGCCACCTGTATCATTGCCTTTGTTGACTCTATTATTGCCTTCGCTACCTCCATTGTTATCCTCGCCGCTGGTAGTTTTATCATTGCGCTTACTATCCTTTGTCGTTGCTATTGTTCAAGTACTCGACCAGAAATACTAACCGTGAATGACGTGACTGGTATCGCCCACTATCAGCTTTCGTCCGATTGGGTTACGGATGTTCATCCCAACCCCGGCTTTGGGCTGATTATCAACACTGCACGGTAAAGAAATCGGATTACCAATTCTCATCATCTTCACAGCGAGAATCGACCCACTTCAATGTCTCAGAGGCTTAATATCATGGGGGTTCTCGTTACGGGTGAGCCCAAATAGCGGCGGACAGGGAGGTGTCGAGTCGCTGTGGTCGAATCACGACAGCGAACCCCGCGATGGCGACACACCCCACGCCAACGTAGAGCGAATCAACACCGCGTCGCAGCACATCATTCAACGTCGGACCCGTTGCAAACCCACTATCAGCCTCGACAACCACTCTCCCGCTATCTCTGATGTCGTACCCAGGTCTCCTAAGCTCTTGCGCGATGGCCAGGTTATCGGAACCCGACACCGGCTACATAAATTTCGGTATGGACCCCTTAAAGTTGCTTGGTAGAGCATGAATTCTTCAGGATACACCATCCGGTTGTCCTGATCCAGTTCTCAATCGCGACAACTCTTCCGGCCATTCTTTCACGTTAACGCGCTGGGTCCTTCAGAAGTGACGCCCCTGCTCGACATGCCGTCCGAGCACGAGGGCGAGTCCCCCAAGGGGCTGGCGGTGGACGAGTCCTTTTCAGACCGCACCTCGGCGACGGCGACGGCGACACACGACAAGGAGAAGGCGCCATGGTGGTCTTACATCTGGGACTACGAGCCTGGTCGGTCTCACGAAGAACGCATGTTCATCCAGAAACTCGACGTCTTCCTCGTCACCATGCTGAGCTTCGGTTATTTCATCAAGAATCTCGACCAGACCAACATCAGCAACGCCTTTGTGAGCGGGATGAAAGAGGACCTCGCCATGAATGGCAACGAAATTAACCTGATCGATACGGCATGGACAGTGGGCTACGTCGTCGGTCAGATTCCCTCGCAGATCGTGCTGACGAAGGTGCGCCCGTCTATCTGGGTCCCGTCATGCGAGCTGCTGTGGACCGTCTTGACGTTTTGTCTGGCGGCGGCGAAGACTTCAAACCATGTGATTGCCATCCGCTTCTTCGTTGGTCTCGCCGAGAGTATCTTCTACCCAGCAGCCCACACCATCTTGGGCTCATGGTACAAGCCCTCCGAACTAGGCAAGCGGGCCTGCATATTCCACGCGTCTTCGGCGGCAGCGTCAATGTTCTCGGGCTATCTACAAGCCGGAGTATACAAGGGCTTAAACGGGGTCCACGGTCTCGCTGGCTGGAAGTGGCTTTTCGTGAGTGTTTCTGATAACTACTTCGACATGTGACTGGAGCTGACGATTGATTAGATCATGGATGGCATCATTAGTCTACCCATCTGCCTTGCCGGTTACTTCCTCATTCCGGATCTCCCTGAAAACACCAGGGCATTCTACCTGAATGAGAAAGTTTGTGCCACCTCCTTCTCAGCTCATCGGCGACAATTTCTAACCCGAAATCAGGAACGCGAAATGGCACGGAATAGAATGAATGCCGTTGGCCGAGCACCCCGAACGAAGCTGGGCCGCTCAGCTTTCAAGCGTATTTTTGGTGAGAACAGCGCGACTCGCGAAGCTTTCAGCCCACTAATACGTATCAGGGCGATGGCACGTGTACTATCTGACGATCTTGTACATCATCTTCATCAATCTGGGCCCCTCAAGCAGTGTCAACCCCTTTTCGCTATGGCTCAAGTCCCGAGGTGAATCAGTGGAGAAGATTGTAAGTCAACCCACCCATTCTTGTCAATTCGCCACAATGTATCTTGATGCTGATCTCTTTCCAGAACATCATTCCTACAGCCGCTTCCGCAATACAGCTGGTGCTCACAGTCTCCTTCGCCATCATCTCGGACGCCATCCGCCACCGCGCGAGTATCATGTCCATCTCCACCTTCCTCGGCGGTTTTGCCGCACTCCTCTTGGCCATCTGGAACATCCCAGTCGGGCTCAAGTGGTTCGCCTTCCTACTGCAGCGTGCCTCGGTACCTTACGGGCCGCTGAGTATGAGTTGGGCCAACGAGATCTGCGGATCCGACGCCGAAGAGCGCGCCATCGTCATCGGCATCATGAACTCTCTCGGCTATGCCTTTAACGCCTGGGTTCCGCTGTTGACGTACCCGCAGGTAGATGCGCCCAAGTTCAGGAAGGGTTTCATTTTCTCAACTTGTGCTTTCGTTGGACAGGCTATAATCACTGGTACAGTGGCGTACTTGTTCAAGAAAGAAAAGAATAAGACGAAAACTGAGAGGGACGAGGAAGGATCAAATGCTGCTGTAGTCCCACCCGTCGAGTAAATTAGCACCACTCTTACGTATACTTTTTTGATACCCAAATGATGTTATCAAGCCGACACAGACGTGCAGCCCGTTTTATTAATAGCAGAGAAGATCGCCGTTCAAATGCAGTCGAATGAGGGGTGAAGAGATCTCTGTGTCCCTTGCTCAAATTATGACGCGGGCGGTGACAGCTTCGATCGGGTACATCAGGATGCATGGCATTCGTCTGAAGACCGTGTTACATCCCGATTGGTGATTGTCACCTTCCGGATAGATCTGCGAGGAGCCGCACAAGCTTTGATGTCTTGCGTCTGTATCGCATCCCCGTCCTGCTGTCTGGGTTGTTGGTGGCTCCTGGGCCTCAACAAGCTACAAATGACCACCGCTTGCGTTCCCCCCTAGAGACACAAAGTACAGTTCAACTACATCATATTGTTAGTGATTCATCTCAAATAGCTAGGTGAAGTCATAACTCATATTCCTGTAGCCGTGGTATGCGGACACTTAATTATTTTCCCGCATTGATGAATAACATGTTCTGCATTATAGAGAATAAGATGCTCTGCTCCCTCTCCCCGCCTCAAAATAAGCATACGCACTAAAAGTTAGCAGTATCCTAGCTGTCAAGCTCTCAAAATGTTCATTTTAGGACGGCCTAATTAGCTCTAAGATTTTAAGAACCATGTCATGCTTGATAAGGTGTTCTTCAGTCAAAGTTAACGATCACTAGTTCGGACTGAACACTATTTTGGGCCTGGATTTCCTCATCATAAGATCTAAAGAATGGAACAGTGTGAGGTTGATAGTACTTATGTGCCTCGTTGTAGGACTATTCAGGGGGATTCATGTAGTTAACTTGTTCTCGCTTTCAGTTACATATTTTAAGAAACAATGGAGCTTTGCTGACTATATTCCTGATCTTCCGATCCCGGCGCATGTTACACATGCGATACATCAGGCTGCGTGTCAAGCGAGTGGCATCATGTGTCCACTTCAGATTACCAACAGGATGTTGATTCGTGGAATTCGCAGCGGTTGCCTGACCCAAATATCGCTCACAGCCTGCTTGGCGTCCAGCCTGATTACTTCTGCAAATCTCTCCGCACAAGTAAACCAAATATCAGTAAACTTTGTATTATCTCGAAACGTCGATGAAAATGGCGTCTAGCAACATGCTCTGCGAGTACTGCTCGCTGATCGACTTCAGCTACCTCAGAAATCCCACAGCGGCCGAGATCAAGTCTCTCAACGCTGGCGAAAGGCCCACTGAGGATCGATTCCCTCTCAAGTTTGGCCAGCCCATCGATGGCGACCCGAGTTGGACCTTGGGGCGTACGAGCCGAATTCATACCTCAGTGGCCACCTGCGCCTTTTGCGAAGCTATCACAGAGGTCTTGTCCCAGTACGAAGATGAGCTAAGGAAATTGGCCGATGCTGGGTTGGAGGACCCCTTATGCTATGCTACATGTGATATCGCCGGGGCTTTGCAACCTCCACAAGGCACTGTATGGGAAGGGGCCCAGCCTGGGGAGAAGCATCCGGAGTTTATCATGAGACGGTTGGCAATCTGCTTCATTCCTGTCAGCCAAGGTAACATGGGTGGATTGAAGCCTGGACGTGTGGGTTTCAAGGAGAATTCGTGGAAGCGAATATTCCACTGCTTCCAGACATATGATGCCGAACGACAGCCGGCTTCCTCCAATGTGGAAAACTTCTTCGGGAAGGTCCATGATGAACCAGGAGACGTCCTCTTTGCCGGAAGAAAGAGACCAGGCATGGTGGACACAAGCCTTCCTATTCAATGGGTCAAATACTGCAGAGAAAATCATACCACATCATGTGGCTCTGCTCAAGACAGGCATCAACACAAAAGCTCCAGGTAAGCTTCTACATCAGTTGCGACAGCTCACCCAATGGTTGATGAATACTGACACCAGCGTCACTAAGTATGCCTGTGTTCCGCCTCATTGATGTTCATAAGATGGCCGTTGTGGAGAAGAAAAATGTACAACTCAAGAACTTAAACTACATGGCTTTAAGCTATGTTTGGGGTTCTAAGGAACATCAGGGAATAATGTTAGAGGAGGAGAACTACAACAACCTGCTCAAAGACGGCGCGCTTCGGGGCCAGGTCTCTCAAACAATCCAGGACGCCTGCCATTTCACAACCGCCATGGGAACTCAGTACATATGGGTTGATGCACTATGTATCATTCAGAATAGCAAGTAGGATCAAGCAGCACAGATCGGCAAAATGGCCGACGTATACGCCAGCGCCTTGCTGACCATCATTGCTGCAAGCGGAAAGGATGCCCGGGCAGGGTTGCCTGGTATTTCGACTCCCCGTGGCCGGACACAAAAGGAAGTAACGATACGACTACCTGGGTCCGATGACAAAATATCACTCTTGTCCACGTTGAATCATACGTCAAACCGATTTGAGAATTTCACCTCAGACACGAAATGGTCAACGAGAGGTTGGACGCTACAAGAACGAGCCGTCACACACAGGAGTATTACGTTCCTCGAGGAACAAATCACCTGGGCGTGTTGCGAGTCACACTGGAGCGAGGAGACTAACTCGGAGGCATCTGGTGTGGTTTCATGGTTCAACTTGTCAGGTTCCGAATCCTATCTCAATTCAGCATACAGAGACCGGTACGCCGCCGAGACAGACAGTGAGCAGATGTGGCACAAACTGCATCGTCTTGCTCTTGATTATTCAAACAGAAATCTTACTGGGGAAGGGGATGCCTACGATGCCTTCTCGGCTATCATTCAACAGGCACAGGATATGTCGGGCGAAAAGTTTCTCTGGGGTCTTCCAGCCTCAAGATTTGAACTCGGCTTATGCTGGGAACCAAGCTCGGGGGGTGTGACAAGGCGATTTGGACCAACTACTCTGCCGATAACATCCCTCAAGGAACAGGTTCCATTCCCCAGCTGGTCTTGGATAGGCTGGAAAGGGTCTATTGGACTGACAATTGAAGATCGCCATGTTGAAGCTGGGTAAGTTTTACCAGTGGGCTTGTAATCTAAACTCACTGACCAAAGAAATAGGCTAGACCCCGTGATTTCGTGCTACGTTTTGAGACGCGAAGTTTTGAAAGGCATAGTTTCTTTGAGACTGGTTCAAGTCCGCCTTTTGTTCATGGACCACCCCAAAATACACATGCCTGCCCCACGTGGAAGCTCTGCCGTTTCCATCAGTATGATCAAGGATCACTACCCTGCGTTGACGGCTGAGATACTCGATAAAACAGCGGAGGACCAAATCCTGTTTTTCTGGGCTGACTCGGTGCGTTTTCGGGTGACCGAAACCATCAAGTCGGTTCTTTGGCAACCCGGCTGGAACCCGCTTGAAAACGATCGACACGAACACTACATTCAGCATATAATTGACCCTGATGGCAGGGTAGTTGGCGAAACTGGGCGATGCAAAGAAAACTTTGCTGCTGGTGCGAGTGAGAGCGGAGAGTACGAATTTGTAGTCATTGCAGAAAACACGGCACCTCCAGGGTTTGAGAAGAAACGGGTTGCGTTGCAAGTTGCACGCAGACCCGATGGAGTCGCGTACCGCATCAATATTGCTGAGATCAGTCAGGTCGGGTGGGAGCATGCAAACGTGACTCATGGTTTGATCGCACTGGGCAGCGAGACCGGCATTGCGTAGAGGCAGGGGAGCCTCGGTCGCTCTAGTTAGAATACTGTTTCTGTTGGTGGTGACTGATTCCCAAGCGATTCGAACGCTCAAACTCAGGCTTCGTGCACATTCAGGGGGGTTGACACCAGCTCTCTTCGTCCCGTATCTGTGGGCTTCTCTGAACAACCAGACTTTGGTTCTAGCCTCGTTCTCATGTCATACCGTACTAATCAACTTTGATGAGTCCGGGTTCTATCTTATGCCACTTTTCCTATAGCCTATACAGAGACAGAAACCTCTTCGATCATAGTTCTCCACTCCTCCCACATTGCCTCCGCATAGGTCTCATTCTGCAATACCTCGAGACCAGTTAGTGCTAGAATCTTGGCGGTCTGTATGGCCGATTCGTGCGCAAAGTCCTGAATATTTATCAGCCATCCCGCATATGCGTATCGCTAGGGCAAATAGAGCGCAAACGCACCGTTCCGGCGAGCTCTCGGAAACCAGCGTTATGTACCGGAGCACCTTCACCAACAGGGAAGCCAACTTGAATAGCCGGAAGGAACCAGGAAACGTTACCCTGTTTATTAGAACTCAATAAGTAACTCGATCAGAGAACGCGCCGTAGGTACGTACCTGGTCAGATGACGCGGAGGCTCCTCCATCTCGTCGTGACTCTTCAGGAGAGGATACGGTGAAGTTGGCCGTTTCCGGGTCGTTGGCTGGGTCGAGATACTTCATCTGATGACGGTAAAAAGTGTTCGCTAGTTGGAAACTGGGGTTCTGGTCCCAGTAGTCCTGGAAAGGACTAATCTCCACAGTAGTGTTCGTTCCGTTCCCGGACGCGTACAGGATAGACTGGACTTGGTCAAGAACCACGTCACGTCGCGGTCTAACACCTGGTCAGCTGCAAGTCTTGAAAGCATGAACCTGCGACGTTGTACTTGCCTGGTGTTTCCTCTCACGCCCCATTGGCTTTCAATGTAGTCCGGGATAATATTTGCCACGGACCATCCCTTTGTGACGACATGATGAATTCTGTCAGAAGGTTGAAGTTGTTGGCGAAACAGCCCAGCCATCTGGTAAGCAGCGACAAAGCCGTCCAGAGCGTTTTGACCGGCCCATGGGGCTGCGGCCGCGTGTGCGGCAACTATCATGGAGTCACGGTAAGCAAATGTTGCCAAGACGAGCTTGTTCTAGTTGACTTGCCTCCAGTCCAAGAGACGTTGCCCCTCCAAGAAGCCAAAGTTCTACCCCAGGCAGCATAATCGGAATTCCCTGGGTGGGCCATCAAGCTGCAGTCAAGTCCATCGTATGCGCCGGCCTCAAGTAACTTCACCTTACCGCCGCCACCTTCCTCTGCAGGAGTGCCCAGTAGACTACAGATTTCATGTTAGACCACAATCGCAATCGGAAGGTAGGCGTACTTACACCACCGAGCCTTTCACGTTCTGATTTTCCAGTGCCTCCTTCACGCCAATAGCCGCCGCAACACCGACAGTAGCGATGAGATTATGCCCGCAAGCATGTCCCAAGCCCGGAAGAGCGTCAAACTCAGAGTTGAACGAAACGGCACGTCCTTCACCGTTGGAAAACTCGGCTCTGAAAGCGGTGCTCAGGTTGTAGGCGCTGCGAGTGACTTTGAATCCTTGCTCTTCGAGGTAGTCGGTGAGAACCTGATGCGCGTGGACTTCTTGATACCCGATCTCGGGATTCTCCCAAATCTTGACGACACTGTTAGGAAATTGCCACAGAACACACAAGATTATTTGAAATCGCCGTGTGCTGATGAAACAGGTTATACCTCGGTGTTGAGTGTTCTAAGGCCATCGTTTCGGGAATCGATGGCAGCAAAGACCTCGTCCGCTATCTCTTGGCAGTTGACACCCAAGTGCAATAGAGTGCTTGACGCGAGAAAGGCGACTGCGGGTTTCAATAAAGATTGCATCGCTGCGATTTTCAAGCTACTTGTGCCGCCTTCCCAGCAAAAGAACACGAGGCTTGATGCAACAATAACCAACGAATAACACTTTAAGGCTTTAAGTAGCATCCCATGTCGCTCAAGGTCAACTGCTACACTCCGATATCGTATCAATGGGAATCTTGGCATATGGGGTTGATGCGTCTTGGCAACGACACAGTATTCGTAGGTTTGCCCCTGTCACCCCGCAAACTGGATGAAGTTGAGTTGACCTGCTGAATTGATCCTAGGTAATGCTACTGTAGGAGCAACCCCGCAATTCGCCGGAGGTGGCAGAATCACCGGACGATAGGTGAGTGGGCACGTCCGCGATGTCACGAATCCTATTATCATGAGGAAGAATGTTAAAGGCGAACTTGTGCATACTTTATGTAGATGTACACTTAGCTGCATAAAACTCCTATCCATACGCGCTGAGGATCCCCCAACCGGGTGCAAAGGTGCGTACATGTACCCATCTCCCAACGCAGTTGAGGTCTACCGCGAAGCCCCCTTGTTTGTCAGTGGCGTCCACGACGAAGACGCTATCTGTTAAATATATATCATTCATCCATTTGGGGGCAGGCGGCGACGAGATGTCAAATAAGGCCGGATAGCCATCGATCGTGTCGAAGTTGGGTCCATAGTTAAAGTCGTCTTCATTGTCAAATGGGTCCCTCGAGTCCTCAAAGTCTTCTAGCCACTCTCTCCCCCTCGCCCTGAGGTCTCATTTCAGGTGTATCAAGGTTGCCAGTAGCGTAGACAAGCACGACCTCGGCGGACTCTAGCTTCGCGAGAACCTCGCCGAGCCTGTAAGATAAGGCAGGGTGTAACATGCCCTCGCTACAGGCGATGCAGGACTTGGACAAGAAGTCACATCTGTCGTCATAAAATCTACGGCTCAGAAGTCGTATTCATTGCGGGAGAAACCCCACGCCTGCTGGAAAAGACACCATCATCTCCTGGACCGGCCAATGTTGAACCCAGAAGAGCGGAAAGAATGGAAGAAAATGGATGTATAGGCGCTACTGCTACTGACAGCTACATGTAGATGCAGCATAGATTTCGAAATCAGGTTCTTCTAGCCACTGATACATGTATACGCCTTCATGAAGTTGCGAATATGGACATTTAAGGAAATAGACAGGTATTGCTTGGTAATGTACTGAATTAACCCAGAAGAAATACCAAACCCTTTCATCATGGCTTCCTTGAAATTGAGGCCAAACGGTTTGGACATCATGACCAGACGGCGGCCGGCGAGACTGGTAACTCAGGCAACGGACAATGAAGCCCTTGTCAGGCATCAACCCATTGTTCCAACTCACATTGTGTCGAAACAGTACAATCCATTGTTCAGACAAAGTGGGGCTTCGGGGCATTTTATCTTGCGTCGAAGGAAAGTACAACCCTTCACCTTTTTACTTCCCATCACACAACCTGTCACATCTACAACTTCACCTTCCCCATCCCACAACAACCGTCAACACCACACCTACATACATCGTTACATCATCCCCCCGACTACCAACTTCTTGCAGCGGGCGTGGATTAATCGCGGATTCTTTTCATTCTTCCCAATCATTCTACTTACTGCTTGCTGCGCACGCCTGCCTCTATTATCTCTGGAGACTGCAATTCATCTCTTTCGCGCTCTAAAGCGTGACTGCCGATCGCGCACCACAACCACGCGACTATCGCGAATCTTGCTGATCATCTTAACCGAAAGACGCGTGTCTTCATACCAGTATGATACCCTCATTCCCTGCTCGATCTTTGCCATCGTTGCTATCGTTGCCATCGGCCTCTGACGCGTCGTTGCAACTTGCATCGTGTATGGAAAGAATACTGATTAGTATCCAGATCTCAACATGGGTTTCTTCAAGCGCGTTGTCAGCTTCCTGGCGGAGGCCTCTAAGGACACGACCGCTGACGGAATGATCATCCCTTACCTCAAAGACGGCGTCGTCAAATTTGACAGAACCGCCCAAGACCCGGCCGTCGCGGCTCAACACAAAGGCAAAACGCCTCGCAGCGTCCGCTCATCCATCAAAAGGCTCTATAAGAAGCCTAGCCTTCTCGCCAAGGCTGCAGCTCGTTCCAAGCCCTTGGCCTCGGTAATCGAGTTGGACTCGCAGGACGGGAAGGTTGTTGCGAGCCACGAACCCATTGTCATCACTGCTCACCCGCACAAAATGAAGCGGCCTTCGACTCCTTCTACCATGTCGACCACTTTGTCCCCTCTTACCCCCTCAACCCCCTCGACATCTTCGACCCCCTCGGCCCCTGTCTCTTCGATCCCATTGGGCTACAACGAGGCCAAAGCCGCCAACTCGTCCACCAAGCCGGTCGCCAAAGCCGCTGTCCAAGACGCTGACTAGTTCTCACGCGTCGCGGGCAACAGGTCCATCCGCGCCTTTCCCCTCGCTTCCAGGTCCATCACTTATCGACCTATCGACATCATCACGCCCAGCGGTTGCCAGGGACGCAGTCGCGCCGCGTCTTCCGCAACCAACAACTCTTCAGCGTCCTCGTCGGGCCAGAGCCGGACCAGCAGTCGCGTTCTCAAGAAGAAGAACAGGATCGGCTGCCTTTCTGAGCGCTACCAGGACGACGGGCACCGGACCAAGCCTGCCCGGAGACACCGCATTAGATCGGTCTCCATCTCTCAGGTGTCGTGTGCCAGCTCCACCTGCAACGATGACGAGCCCATGCTTGTCACTTTCCCTTCTTTTGACCAGGCCGGAGTGAGAGGCGCCGAGCTCGATCAGCTTCTGGAAACTGAGGCAAAACTCGCAATGTACAAGGACTTCGAAGACAACCATGGCGATGGCAACGTCTCTTACCTTGACACTGACGGCGACGCCTGGATGGAGAGGGCGCACGACAACATTGTCACGTATGCGGCCTACTCCGAGCGAAGCGTCGTCCAGCAGATCTATCAAGACCTTCCCAAGGTAGAAGGTGTCAACTTTGCGACTTCTAACAAGTTCGCTCGCGACCTTCTGTTTAGTAACTACGAAGATGGAAAATACAAGAAGATCACCCGCCAGAAGAACAAGCCCTTCTTGTCCGACCCCGGCAGAGGTGCATTTGGGACTTTGCTGCAGTCATTGAAGTCACTCTTCCAGAAGACGAAGACCAGAAATCCGGCTTCTGTTCCGAATGACGACGAGCATCTGGCCTCCCCCTGGCTGGGCCAGTCCGACGAAGACGAAGACAATTTCGATTGGGCCAAATGAATCTATTTTTCTTTCTTGCATGAGATTTCTACTGTGTGTGTCTTCAAGGGCCCTACTTTTGTGACGGTCCACGGAGCGCCATCATTCTGTAACCGGCCTGAGCCGTGTTTTATTTGGCTCTCTGACTGGTGCGATTTACGGGTATTCTGTCGCCTTCGATTCAACGCTCGCTTTTTGGTCCCAAGCCTCGTAGGCACGACTGCGTCGGAGCATTTGGAAAAGTTTGATTGGACGAGTATGACGATCATGAAGGGAGTGCGTATTGCGTAGTGGTGGACCTATCCGGGTTCGCTCACTGGAGTCGCTTGTTTTGCTTGTTATGCCGAAGACCTGCTATACTGAAGTTGTTTTGCATTTGGTGATTTTGCTCTGGTTTTTGAGCATGATATGCCGTCAGATTAGTAGACGTGTGTTGTGCTTTCGGTATCGCGGTCTGGACTATGGAAGGATGGACGGATGATTGATGATGACATGAGAGACGGACAATGAACCTCAGCAACTATAGCTGGCGACTCTACTTGTAAGGCCTTTTCTCAACTCATAGGATGACTTGGTTCTTAACGGAACAATATTTTGCCAATAAACTGAACGTCAACATTGTCATCAGCTTACTTGCAGTTCGTGATGAAACTAGTGCGAGCAAAGCGTGAAGTGGAACTTGCTTCGCGGCGTCTTGTAATTGCAATCGAGACCCTAGAAGCCTCGTAAGTTTATGCTTTCTCTTCTACGCCGAGTTCTTGCTGTTCGGAGTTTCTGGTGCACCAAATGATATCTAACCGACCAGGAAGCCTAGTGAGACACCGTCAGGCTGTAGCCTGAATGAATGTAGCACAGGGGACATTATTATCCCGAACCATCAAGATAGAACTAATCTTGAAGAGAAATTAGAAGGACTTCCAAAACTGATTATTGCTGCCTGAGGTGAGGCACGCCGGCGCGCCTCGCGAACCGCTTACAACCAATCCATCGGCAACCCCACCAACGGTCGCCGAACTTCTTCTCAACAGACTCTCCAGCCTCTGCTGTTACGCAGGTTACCGCACAAGATTGTAACTTCCCGCCTTCCCAAAACCACCGCGACGAGACTCTTGAGTTTGGGGTTATCCAAGACACCGTCGATATCTTCTTCTTATCTCTGCCTACCTGTGGCGGTTTGCTGCGATCGCCCCAGGCTTCATTGGCGCAGCGCGATCAACCGTGTCAGTCACAGTACCGTCCTCGGTAAACTCACCATCCACTACGCGTCTCCTCCTCACAAATACTACGGCGGTGTGACTCACATCTACTCGCTATGGCTGAGCTTCATCCGAAAGCCTTGGTCGATGTACCTGGCCGGGATGAGCAAGGTGAGTCTTCCAATCCGCAGATGCCCATTTGGTGGTGTTGCGTCTCGTTTCTAACTCGAAGACTGACTCCAGGAGAAACTCAAGCAAGCCCATTGCTAGCTGCACTCAAGGCGCAAGGCCAATACCCCTTCTGCAATCGGGCTGAGCTGGGGCACGGTTCTGGTGCCACAACAACTCCTTTCAATGGTCTAATCATACCTGCCTCTTCGGCAACCCGAATCGGCCTCGGACTTCTCATGAAACTTGTCCAGTTCGATTGTCAAAACTACCTTCAGAGGTCCATCCGCCTTCAGTCTTCAGCCCCCTGCAAATCTGCAGCTGCAAGCTCTCAAGCTACGAGGCAGAAACATGAACAGAGAGACATCATTCGCAACGAATGCGCCAGGCTGGATTACATCATACCTTCCACAACGCTCAGTTGGACACCTCAGGATGACGAAGACAATGACTAGGAGTCATTGTTTGAGCCTATGCCTGAGCATGACGGGATGGGTACGGGATCAAATCTTACTCTTCGCGAGCTTACGATTACACCTGACGCGACGGACTCTTCATCTCCGGACTCTTCTCTGATGTTGGACGAATACCCCCACGATGACACCGACGATATTACCGTACTCTTCGTAGGCACTCCAAAGCCTCCTTCTCCTCGAATTTATCTGGCGACCACCGAGTATGGCGAGGAAGAAGAGACCGAAGTAGAACTCGCCTTGATGAAGCACGGCGAGACTCATCTCGATGATGATCCCGAACTCGATCTCGATTGCTCAAAGCTCGGTGACGATGAAGTTCTATGGTGCGAAAAGATGCACGAAAATGTCTTGACCTACGACTAATATGCCAACCAAGAGCTTATCCAGCTGTTTCACGAAGACATGAGAGAGTACAGTGACACTAAGACCGACGAAGAGGCTGCAAAAGGCTGCACACTCCAGAAGGTTACGTGGCTGGACATCCCGGAATGCATTCGTACGACCGACATGGAGAATAAAACGCCGTTTCCTCTAGGCTCAGACGTAAGCACTGCCCAGATCCTTGGTTCGCTTCCGGATGCCCCGACTAGTCGCAGAGTCACATTTGAATCTGTGATCCTATAAGACCCAAGTCACTTGCTTCCTGATTCTCTGGCCGAACTAATTCTTTGAGACTGGGGGTTATTTGTTTTCGGAAGTGTTGCGTTGATGAGAAGACAAGCCCTGGCAATAATTGAGACCTGAACTTCTGAGTCTGGGGATGAATTCGGCGATCTTCTCGACACCACGACATTTCTGCATGTATCATGGGTATCTCACCAGCCCACAAACTGCCTTGAGGAATCATTGGCCTGAAGCTGGAGATATCTGCCGCGACCCTTGGCTCTCTTTGGCGCTTTTGAAGCCTTGGTAGGTCATAGTATCTTCATACGAGTCCATTGTATCGTCTACTGATGTGCCGCGTTGTCTCAGAGAAGAAGTCTTCTTTCCTAGACAGAGTCATAGCTGCTTTCAACGAGAATTCATTGCATAAGGGCAAATTGCAACGTTTGGATTTTATGGTCGAGTTGTGTCCGAGGTGGATAGAGTGCAAAGACAGCTGTGTGTTTTGCCATTTCTGTATTCTTTATTTGCGTTTTCTTTGTCGTGTTGTCCGGTTTGGACTGCTTAAGAACGACTTGGGTAATTATTGGGCGCAGGACGTCGATTCTGAGTCGACTCGACTTGTTGTGTGCAATCACGCTTTCTGACGATGGAAGTGGCAACAATAACATTTTACCTCTTGTAAGATAGCCCAATGCCAGCCTCTACCAAACTGCACGCTTGCTTTTGTGATAAAGACGCCAGTTGATCTAGAAATCAGCTTTACTGCAAAATCTGGCCCGCAATATCTCCGATATGAGTGATTCCATGTTGATGTTTGCTCTCTTACCTACGGCGCAATGCTTTCCATAAACTGCTCCTCAGCTTCGAGTCCGATCTCAACGGCCGTAAACTGAACGAGAGATTAACTAAGGTACTTCAAACACATCACTTATCAAGCTCATTCGAGGCCTCAAACCTTCCTGCCGCTGCTTATAATGTTAAGAGTAAAATCTTCGAAGAGACTTCAGATTTTGCAACTATATTGTCATTAATTTCATAGACGCCCCGCACGATGCTGTGGTCTGGACTGTTTCCGCGAACTGGTGGGCATCGTTGACTGCCGTCTCCATGGAGACTGACGTGTGTGCCCCAGGCTACCAAGTCCTCCCAGCCTTAGCTCCTGCCATTTTGCCTCCTTCCTTCCACCGCAACTAAGCCTCGGCATCTTACCTCTTTCACTCGCGCTACCTCCTCAACTTTCTTCTCCCCTTCATCAACTTGCACTTTGAGCGTCCATTTTCGGCTTTGAAATCCTTATCCGAGATTTCTTGAGAACCGGGCCAGCACTCCTATTGCCTTTGCCCCTGAGAAGGGATACATTCCAATTGCCAGGGTCTTCTTCATCCTCCCACGAGCGGTAAGCCAAGTCTTCATCTACTCCTGCACTCTTTCCTTTCCTCATACGAAGGCAAGCTTGCAAATCCTTGCAACTAACATCAACGTTGGTGCTGATTCTTTGCCCAGACGAGTCACGAGACACGCAAGAGAGCGGATTCCGGAAACGCAGCGCATACCAGCAGTGATTGGATAGATGGTGCCATCCAAGCTATCTCGCGTCCAAGGCGCCGCGTCGAGTAAACACGCAGATTCGATGCCCTGCCTGCGAACTGAGATTTCTCTTCTCTCGCGAGGTGCAGCCAAAGGTGTTCTTCGCAGACCCTGGCTCTATTACAGCTTCTCAATGACCTTTTTCATCGATCATATGAAGGCGTTGTCGGCGTCACCTCGGTTGGACAAGATGTCGACGCAATCTCGCAATACTTTGGACAAGTCTTCTGCTGAGTATTCCGATGGCAATGCCTCGCAGTCCACTCTGGATCAGATCATCGACATGTATGGCGACTAGGACTCGTCAGATTTGTCGGAGCCTGATGGCAGAGGTTCAACAGAAAGCCCCGAGGTCCCTCGCAAAAGTTTGGGCCGCCCTTGTAGGCTGATCTGTCCTGAGAAAACATCGAAACTTGCTAACGGTTCTCCAAAAGCATGGAATCAGACAACACCCAACGAGAATGAGATTGCGCAGCTGCCTCAGCTCCTCGTCTCCCTGGAATCGTCATCTGGCGTTGAAGACTACCTGGATCCGGCGCAATTCTATCACGGCCTTTCCGAAAATGGATTGCAAATCTTTTGCAACTCAGATTCGTCAACTGATGAGACCCAAAACCAAAACAAAGTCTCTGTCATAATGGACAGCATCACTCGCAAAATCGACGCCCTGCTGAACACGTCTCAGCTTGTATTCTCTTCTAGGACACCTTCCGAATCTTTCTGCGACAGCATCCTTTCCAACATTTCTGCCATTCCAGAGCCGCTATGCCTTCGAGGCAACACTCTCTACTGTGTATCAGCAAAGCCCAAGCCTTTGAGAATTCTGAAAACGAGCAACCGTGGCCCTACTCCTGATCCTCCAGCCAGCCCTGCGTTAATGCATCCCAAAAGGGACACCACCACCGTGCTGAACTTTGAGAAGACCACACTCACGGACATCACTGAGGAGTCCATACTGCACATCTCTGCTATGCCTGCGCCTCTTTGTCTTAACAACAATAAATCAAAGGCCTCCAACAAAGCTGCAGTGCGCTGTCACATCCAAAACGAACAGTACGACAAAGAAAACATGGCGCCCTTGGAGGCTGAACAAACACAGCAGGCCAGAAGACAAGCTGATTTGCGATGGGCCGAATGGACTCTTGGAGCGCACAACTCTGGTTCCTTCTTTGGACAATGCGCATATCCTAAGAAAGCCACAAAGCGCACTGATTTGGGGGAGGCCTATCCCTTCTCAAACCAGGAATTCTCCATCTACGTCGATGATGAGCACCTCAAGTTGTCAGCCCCTAAGGAGGCCAATGATGGTCTCATGACTCATTGCCTACACCTGATGAGCGCAAAAGAAAGTTCAACAGGCCTCGAGCTCTGTCCCGTTGACAACGCACCTGTTCTCCCTTCTCGCAATCCTCTCCTTGACCACAGCTTGATCTTCAGTCATAACGAGAGCTCCATGTCTACCACAAGCTTCCAGGAGGCTTTATCGGAGACGGTCCGCGGCACACCCCGTGCCAGCGAGCCACACGAGACTCCCTGCCCACAGCGGCAAATCGACATTGATTCACTTGTCTACGAAATTGCGCAGCCCTCGCACGAAAACGTATACGGCGAAGACGGTGTACTCGTCGAAGAGTCTAACGAAGCCGAGCACAGCGTTGCCCACTTTGCTGACCTTGACGATCAACTGCAATATGGCCGAGTCTATCCTAGCCAAGTGCTGTTGTGGCCTATCCACCACCCCTCAGAGACTGGTGATCCTACAGGTGACGTAGATGGTCCGTACAACTTTGCTGTTCCTTGCGAACCGGACGCATACCCTCCATCCCAACCCAGGTTGCCTGAGATATCTCGATGCGATGACCTTCGATCTTTGAGAGAGAGATTTGACCTCCTATAGCTGCATTTTGGTGCTGGCATTTCAGCGACGGTATAGAGTAAGGATTGTGTATGTGCCATATTGGAGACTGGGTTGTAGGGTGCACCAGACATGAATTTGAGTAGGTAAGAGGTGTTTGAGGCTGAGAAATGCTTGCCTTTCACGTTAATCAGGCGTATGTGCAAGCGGCGTTGATGCTTATGAATTACGAGGAATGGTGTGACGGTATGATGGTATGATCTTGGGGTATGGGAGAATGAGTTGTATTGACATGCTGGACGGATGCCTGAAAGGTCTTGAGTGAAAGCTTCTGGCTGAGTTTGTGCGTCTAAGTGATGACAGCTACGAGTTACGGGTATGAGAGCTTGCTGTATGCCATCTACTCTTGGGTGTTTATGTAAACATTCTCTTCGACCTTTGGTCGATGGACTACGTTGTCAATAGACATAGATGATGAGCCAAAACGCTATTCCATAAATAAGTACCGCACAAAACTTCCCAGAATCAACGACTATTTTGATTCCATGAGAGATGAACAGAAATGCGACTTGTTCTCCAAATACAGCATCAGAATGGTAGGCCTTGCAGGGGGCACCGATAACCCAGATAATGCCAGCAAATTCACATGACAGAATAGCCAGCGTTTTCAAAATAGGAAGATTCTGTTTGATCCTACATCATCTAACTTCCAGTGACTAGCACTGCTGAGCTGAATTCTGATATCACACGAGGCCTATCTCCCCTGTTTCTCGGTCTAGTAAGGGCATCCAGAGTCTGGGTCACATCTGTTCTTGCCTTTGGGGCAAGGCTTGCCCCAACCGGTCCTCGTGTCACAGCAGTCGGCGTCCTGGTCAGAGTGTTAGCTAGATTACACAAAGAAAGTTGACTTAAGTTTACTTACGCATTTGGAGTTCGGAATGCCCATATTCATACAAAAGTTCCCGGCTTCAGCGCCCAGAATGCAGCCGGTGCCGCCGTTTTGGCGCGAGCAGGCGTCGGATCCCTGATCACCTCCCCAGCAGCAGTTGGGATCAGTGCCATCAATGGTACACTAGAGAAGTATTAGCAAACCTAGGCTTGATATCAGTTTTGCTTGAACCGAGATCGCTTACAGCCGCGTAAGCCGTGGTGGCCAATGCAAAAAGGAGAACAGGTTGGAAGAACTTCATAGTAACGGTTTGTGTTTTGCAAAGGAATTTTTCGAAAGGAGGATGACTGGAGAAACAGATTGGATGGAGAATGGAATTTGAGAGTGAAGATACTGAGAGGATCGGAACGGTGACTTATTGAGATTCCTGCTACATTTTATATCTTGATCATTTGGACCAGTGGATGAGAATTTAGAGATAGGCCTCTCGCTAGTGCAGACAAAGGACCGATAGTAGGACTCTCTAACGGCCAATTCATCTTCAATTGCCGATTTGCCGGTTCATTAACACCAAACCCTTTTGCCAAGAGATACGAATAGGTTGTGGCATCGTTCGAGATTGGACATGCAACAGATGTGAAGGTAGATTGGCAACGCGACTACCTGCTATAAAGTGCACTACGAAATTTTCAAACTTGAATCATGAGAATAATCTAGCTGAGCCTGCGCCCTATGAACCTCCCATCTGATGTTCAAGTTGACACGAGGTTGTGGGGTCCGGAAGCCGGGTCATGACAAGGCACGGTGTTGGATGACTTTAGGGCTGCCCTGACGTTCTAGGCTGCAGCATTGACAGCAGAATCAATATAAATCTCAAGTTCTGTGAGCCTTGACCGCTCGTATACCAGCGGTTAGCGGTAGGAAATAGACAAGCAGGTTGAAGACAGCCCCCTTTCCCCAAACTCAATCGTGAAGTGAAGCGGGGGCAACATGGACTACAGCATTATGCTTGCGCCAGACTGGGAAATTTCCCACAAAAATGGAAGTTTTGCTCCCGTCGCCCCTAACTTGCCGTCTGAACTTGGAACTATGCACAGCCGCATCTCTCGCACACCGGCCCGTGCAGGCTGGAGTATTCAGATGACCCATTCACACGTGTAATCTGTGATATTGGCCCCCTGGAATCAGATATACTATTACATCGACAATTCCGCCTGGCTGAAAAAGCTTAATATGTAGCCAAGGCTCATTTAGTGGGCTGAATAATATGGATCACATATGGCAAACATCGAGATAGATCTCGGCGATGCACTACTGACAAGTCTAGCTTGGACAAGGTCTAGGCACATCTACACAAGACTAGACGTGTCAATTAAAGGTAAAAACGCAGTTATGTAATGGGAATGATTCGTGTGATGATGCACATGGTCTGGAACTCCTGACTCAAATTCTGAAGTCTGAAGACCACTTCGTCGGACTTCGTAGTCTCTGGTTCTCCGTTGATTACTTTAGTGAGGTTCTCGTTGAATACGGCAGAAAGATTAAATAGCCTCCTTCGACCCCCAAGTTCCAGTTTCTGTTCTTCACTCTGTGTCACACACTCCTTGTCGTTTCTCCATACACTCACTTGAAATATCGTTCGATTCTCACGGTCCGAGACTGTCAAACTTATCGCATATCTTTCTGCAGATCAAAAACAAAAATGCAATTCTCTCTCTTCGTTGCCGGCTTCATCTCCGCCCTTTCCATTGGCGCCGCCTCCGCCTCTAAGCTGGACATGAGACTTACAGCTCCTAAGGCACCTGCCAAACGGGGAGTTCTTGACGAGGTCAGGATCAATTCCCCATGACACGATACCGAAGCATATTACTGATATGTCAAGTAGTGCACACCAGAGAATGACTGTTGCCTGTCAACTAAAGGTATCTCAATATCCTCCTCCCTCTCTTGGTTTGCGATGCCATAAGGGCAAACATGACTCGACGGTACTAACTGTCGCTCCAGGCGCCTGTCAACGACAGAGCGAGGTGTGGGCAGAGGCCTGGATTCAGTGCAATGTTGGCTTGAAAATTTGCCCCGATTACGGAGTCTCTTGGGACGCTTGCGTAAGTGATCCGTTCTATAACAGCTCCCATAGCAAGGTACTAAACATGAACAGAAAGCCGATTGCTGTTCAATCAGCGGTAAATCAGGCCGTGGCTGCCCCGGAAAATAAGGATTGGGATGATTGGAATCGGCGAACTTCCGTAAAGGCTCTTTCTCTGGAAATCATGTATCAAATATTCAAAACCGTCAAGCTCATTTAGCAAATTTTCCCAAGTTTATATCGGATTGACTTTGAATGTGTATTCTTAGCCTGTGAAAGGGGAAAGCCGAGTCCTTAAAGCCGCAAGGCATAATCATTGCCGTGAAACCAAGAAGACCCCGGTGGTCTTGTTTGAAAAACCTGATTCATCAACAAAACCCGGCGTTCCTGTGGGTGAATAGGAACTCACTCCCAAGCTGTAGCCAATTCATTGCGTAATCTCAGCGTCCCCGAAAGTCGATGTCGTGATGTTTTTTGTCGGTGCCTTGAGGCAGCAGCAATTGATGTGGACTTGAAACCAAAAAAGTGCGGACTCGATGGTGCGGAGTTGGTCTTTGTCGTTGGAGCCTAACGAACACCACGTAAGCTTTGGACTAACCAACTGTTTCATTTTCTAGCAGCCTGCGCAAGAGCTGGATCAATTCCTGATATAAGTACGTTAAGATAAAATGCGATCATGAAATGAAGAACAGAGCAATTCATCAGTACGACATCTCAAATCCGAGTCAACACCAACCTTCCAGCCTCTGCGTAATTAATCGCAACTCATCCCAAAACACCCAAATTTACTCAGGTCACCATGTCTACTTCAATCTCCATTCAGAAGGCCAACCTCGCCGACGCCCGTGAGACCTTTGAAGCGGCCCTTCTGAGTCTCTTCACAGGCAAAGTCGAAAATACGGAGTCAGATCTCGAGAAGATATTCCATCCCGACTTCACCTTCCGCGACTCGCGCGAGGACGGCCTGGTCAAGCACAAAGACTATGCCGACTGGGTCAAACACGTCAAATTCCTCCGCACGGCTGATATCGGTCTTGTGGACTTCAAAATCGTCCAGTTCTTGAGAGACGGCTCTCTGCTCGCCGAGCGCCACATCGCGCAGGGCAAAGGACCCGACGGAAAGGTCGTGCAGTCGGAGACGATGATATTCGCCGAGATTGCCGAGGACGGAAGGGTCAAGTCTATTGTTGAGAACGTCAATCTGAATGAGCCGGTCAAGAAATAGATCTGCCAGGGCAAAGCGGACCCGGGCGTGCTTTCGGAACCCCGGGGTGCACCCGGTTCGGGGCCGCACAGACCCGCTATCTCTGCTGGGGGCTCCTGGAGAGCCCCGCTATGCCGGCCGGCGGAAGACGGCGGATGGTACCCGCTGGGCTGGGTGCCGCGGCGTCCTTGCGCCGGTGTTGCGGACAGCATGGACGCAGGCTAGGAAAGCTTCCTTCTTTAGCTCTTATACAATCATGTTGTCAATTCCTGTCTTTGATCATGACTCACGTGCGGTCGTCCTGTGAGGCATTCCTTGACCTTTGTTTAGCAGGAGATGTTTTATTGCAATCTCATTAAGTCCTATACATGTTTTTCGATGAACTTTGCTGCCGAGTTTTAGGAGTTGTTTTGAGAACATGACTTTTGATCTTCGTACGCCCCGAAACCTTCTTTGTCGATCAATCTTACTGCGGTGGATTTTCCCAGTCTCAGCCTCTTTCTTCCTCCTCCTCGATTATGTCTCGGTATCTTTCCTGCTCGTGAATCACCACCTCCTCAGTTTCGTTAAGTCGCTCGATCTCCCCGTCGTTGGTAGCAGAGTCTACCTCCACATCCACCTGACTGCCACGACTGCGTGATCTCAGCCCGCTCTCGCCATTGGGTCTCATCGAATTCATCCATTCAAACAGGGGTTCATCTTGAAACGGCGCGGGTCTTCGTATTCGACCCATTGTAGTTTTGCTTCTCCTTGCGCTCATCATCGGGTTCGTGTTTCGCACTGGTGGACGGTAGTTCCACTGCCAGAATCTTCTCGAGAACAGCGGGCGGAGAATGGGTGCATTGATGGCCACAAGCCCGATCTCACATTCTCGAACTCCCCAGCGGTTCACCGTAAGTGTTGACGGCTCTGAACCCATCGTAGCCGCCACTCTCATTATGGAAGCTGCCATGACGAACAGACCGGAGCATAGGAGGGCAGCGATGAAGACTTTCTTGTACATTGGTACTCTGATCTCTCGGAGAACTGGAAGTGGGAGACTTAGTATTGCCGCATCGGTGAGGACATCTGCGAATTCCTCAGTGGCACATCCTTGACCTAGCTTCGACCTTATGACTCACTCAGAAGCGTTGTGACCACCAGATTCTGTGCCTTGAAGACACACCTGTCGTGTGGGAGAGGCCGGACGCCCCAGTTATCACGAAATCTGACCGCCGATTAGGGCCTTCCATCACTGAGGGCAGATACCACGACTCACGGACGACAGCTGAAAGTGATGGTGCCAACCACTGCCAGATATGATGCTACTGTGAACCAAGTCAAGTATGTCAAGACTCGCTCATGCTGCCATAATGCGAATGTCATTCTGCTGCTGTTAAAATCATTAGTTGAGTTCTGGGCGGGGTTCACCGTGGAAGCCTACTAAAAGAAGAGCAAAGCCACTTTCAAAGACCATAGATACGCTGTGTATGAATACCATGCGACTTGCTGGAACTTCGAGCCATTAACCAGTTGTGCAACTTCTGCATCGCTCAGAAGTTCAATCTGGTCGGCTACAAGATCAACATTCGTGCCGTATCGATCTGCATTGAAGTGTCAGGGTACGTGGGCTTGCAACGGAGGAGCTGTCCAAACTGACAGCAATACTAGAAGCTTTAGACTCACAGACAAGATCCACCATGACAGCACAAATGGCATACATGATCAATGTCTGCATAACATTTCGTGTCAGCACAGGTCCCCATCTCCTGACTCGATTGTCAGAGACTTACCACAAACATGACGTAGTCGTCGCCTTTGAGACCCTTGGGTCCTACCATGCGGACGCGAACCGCAAACCTCAGAAATATCACCCCAGCTATAACGCCGAACGATGCCCAAATTTCTCCAAGGAATTTCGAGTCCCGCTTCAGCATACTCTCCAGGTAACCTGTCTCCATGTCTTCCACAGCTACCGCTCTTCTCACCTACGCTTCAATTGACACAGTGGCCATTTGGATTCAGTATCAGTCGTCTCGTGGTCGAGGTCAAGTAAACAATGAATGGTTGTGCTGCTTGGTGGTCAATGCCCGCGCCTTTCATGGAATCCGCGGCGACAGAGACCTATATGCCAGGGTGCACGCAGGCGGGGCACCTGGTCATGACTGACGCCGGAGTCTACCATACTTCGCGACCTACCCAAAATCAATGGAGAAGTTCGGCCAAGAGTTTCGCAGCGCCAACTCTAAATATATGCACGATCACCGTTGTATCGCATCTCGCAAAGATCAAAGGTCTAGATCAGATTCACATCGTCTGAAAGTTCGATGCAGGTATGACATGGTTGACTTTTATGGAAGGGAATCGTGATAGCTAATCATCTCCGCCAATTGAATATGACATCTCCTGTCTCGGCGGCAGGTGTATTCTACCGATCAGCCGCAACATAGCATTCGTAAGTGAGATCGCGTGCATGCATGTGCCCGCAGCGTGGCATACATGTGGTATTTGACGTTTCTTATTCAGCTCTAGTCGACGAAGCATCCTTCATCGTCTCCGACGAGAGGGCGGGATTTTCCCTTTTTATCGGGACTACGGACCGACTTGGTAATCGTCCGCGATGAAGCTTTGGCCAGACCGTCAGCGACCAGTCAAGCGCGCTTTGATCAAGGGTCAGAGTTTCTGCTGATATCTCGATCCCGAATAAGAAGATGACATTGATGACATGGTTTCGTGTGGGATCCGGGATTCCGGGATGCACACCAAACCGCCGGAAAGACTGTGGGGGATCCAGTAAGACAAAGCATTCGGCAAACGGAAAGCTGAGCATCTGTCAAGGCATGCGGGATTAATCCCAGACGACTTCCTATTCTGTCTGCTGCTGTGAACACTCGGCGAAATGATACGGATTTCACTTGAGCGGGGCCGGTCGGTACGGCCCCACTCAACGGTGTCGTATGTGGGCCTTGGCCGGTCATTCGAAAGCAACATATCAACAATCTTACCAGGCAAGACATTTAACAGCAGGATGGCAAGTCCTGGCTTTTTCTTCTCTTCTTTCATTACCATTATTCATTGGCTATGCTATATACTGTTTACCTAGCTACAGGCCGGCTATCCTTCATGGAACCAGCTGAAGTTCCGTCTCATTTCTGCGCCACTCTCTCGGGCTGGCAGAAACAGCTTGAGCGAATGCTTAAGCAGAGCGCTTGACAACGAAAGCACCACGCTCAATGGTGTTGACCAAAATGTAACCGCTCTTGAAGTAGGGGTAGTGGCTCCAGGTACCGACGAAGTCAATGGATCCGCCCTTGGGCTCCTGGTCGTCCTCGGGGTAGATGTCGAAGTAGCCAATCTCGCTGACCTTGCCACCAGTGGGGTCCTCGGGCAGAGAAGAGACGTCGAGGATGCGGAGACCGGAGCCGTAGTGGCTCTGGTAGGCGATGCCGTCAATGACGAACTGGTTGTGGTCGATACCGTAGGCAGGGCTCTTGTAGAAACTGGGTGTTGTTAGCGTGCGTTCGTCATTGCGAGAGAGAACAATCAGAGCTTACCCAGTTTGCTTGGGGCTCTCAAGAGACCTGATGTCCCAGAAGAAAGTGACGGGGTAACCGTCGGCACCGGGGCCAGCACCGTCGTACTCATCGTACTCGTCATCGAGAACGAGGTACTCCTGCCATTCTGTGTTGGTGACCCAACCCTGGTGAGTGTCTGCAACGCGCATGTTAGTAATAGTTCATAAGTTAAGTTTGGAGTCCGGCTTACAGCTGGCACCCTCGTAAGAGGTACGAGAGATGATGTTGGTGGTGTTCTTCTCAGTGACATCGTAGCTGTTTACTTGGTAAGCTTTTGATCTTCATGGGAGCGAAATACTCCAACTTACATGGTGAGGGTGTCCTCGTTGTAGCCGTAGCAGATATCCCTTCCGAAGTACTTCTCATCGGGGCCACGGTAGACGAGGCACTGGGCATCGTGGACGTATCCATCGCCTCCAGCGCAACCCGGAGAGGTGGGGTTCTCGATGTCGCTGAGGTCGATGAAGATCAGACCAGAGCGGCAAGCGCTGGAGCGAGGCTGAGCGCCGACAGCAACGGCGTACTGCTTCTCCTCGTTGATGACGATGTTGTGGGTGGAGCCAGCCGGAAGGCCGTTCCACCAGGACGTCAGATCGGCCTTGGCATCGAAGGTCTTGGGGTTGGCGGGGTCCAGATCCAAGAGCTAAACACAACATCAGTACGTTTTCAAGGCCTCATCGAAGCTTTTCATAACTCACCTTGGTAAGGTCGAAGATCTGAACACCGTGGCGGGCAGCTTCACTGCCAATGACGATGTAGTTCTTGTAACCACGGAGCTCACGCCAGATAGACTCGGTAGAGTACTGGGGGAGGCGGCCGAGGTAAGAGAGCTTGCCGTCCTTGGTGATTTCCGCGAAGGCGGCACCGTCAGCCTGGGCGATGACGGCGAACTCGCGACCGTCAGGGCTGGTCCAACCCCAGGAAGAAGATCCCTGGCCGGCGCGGGAGCCGAGGTCGGAGTGAGCCTTGAAGTCGTAGAAGTCGACTCTGTCGCACTTGAAGGTGTTGTTGGCATCGCCGGGGACGACCTCAGCGACACCGTTGACGCAGGAGACAGGGCCCTCCTCAGCCAGACGGCTGCGGTAGGCGGTGGAGTCCATCTGGCCACTGGCGATCTGGCGGTCCCATGATTCCTAGTTGGCATAGTTAGAATGTGTCAACTTGTCAATTTTAGCGACTGATATTTACCTTCTTACGGGCCATGAGGTCCATGTGGATAACACCGCTGTCGTAGATCTCAGAAACGAGCTCGCTGGGCGCGACCTCCTTAGCCGAGGCTCCTTGAAGGAGCGCCGACAAGGCGACGGTTGCCAAGGTTGCGGCCTTCATTCTGTGTGGTTCAAGGTGGTTTGCTGAGGGTTATCTGGAGCAGGGGTAGTTGGCGATTGAACCACGGCGATCACTTGGCGTGTCAAAGAGCGGAGAGGTGTAGAGCCTGAGGAGACCTCATCATCAAGCACGGGAGAGAAAACCATCTCTTTTTATCTTATTTCAACGACATCTTGGCATTTCGACATTCCCCCCTTCTTCGCCCCTCGGGAATAGCGGTATCTCTCCCACCTCCTCACGAGTCAAAAACATGGTTTTCCCGTGTCTTGTGCTGGCTGGAAAAAGAAGGTCACGAAGCAATGGTAGGGTCAGGAGAAAAGCAACCAACGAGGTTCCAATGTCGCGATGCGGAGCCTCCTTCCGAAAGAAGCAGGTGGCTTCGGCGAGTGACCCGCTCGGTACTTGGGTGTAACGAATCAACGGAGCCGTAATCCCGGCCCGGCAGTCCACATCCTTCGCCGCAAATTTACCTACATACCCGCCCGGACTTGGCGACAAGCACAGCCGTCCGGGTAGAGTGCTCGATTGAGTCTCTGGGCATATCGTATCTGTCGCTATCCACTGGCCTGCCAAGAGCGCCGTTGTAACACTCCCGCATATTAAGCCACTCAATCACTATGCGTTGCCAAGTCAAGTCGTCATGATGGCCTTTTGTCTCACTCTCACCTTCTCAAAAGAACCAACCGCGTAGTATCCATACATGGCGTCAAGAGATTACAAAAGTGCGAGATATGGGTTACATTATCTCGGCATGGAAGCCTTCCCGTTCTATTCGGGTGAGGAAGGTTACTAAGTGCAAGTACGGAAGGTTGCCAAATCGCGCATCTCAAGGTCGAAGGGGGCAGGACCGGAACCATGCAAGCCAAGTCATAGGCAGTTGTCACACCGCATGCGATTCCGCACTACTCGCGTCTTCAACTTCAACTCAGCAGGGCGCTTAATAGCCTGCGCGTCTTGTACCACTCCGGAGAATACTCTCTTGTTGGAAACTGTCGGTATCCTGGAAACCTACAGATCTTTCACCGTCTCCAACCGTATGAAGGAAATCACAGGCACATCCTCGTAGCTGGAGAGGTGTACTGTCAATGCCTAACAACAGTCACTGTCCGGAGGTATTATGGTTCGTCAGCCATGAATCATGGAACCAGTATGGAGTCTGTCTCTCCCATTCACTTCCGAATTCAAAGATCCGCGGCTTCACAAAGTTCGGTCATTCGTACTAGTTGAACGTACATTTACTCCTTTGGGCCATGGACATGGACGTCGTGCGACATATCGGATAAGACATGAAGCAAATCCAGAAACATTCATTCAGCCTCTGTACACTAAGCGGGAATTGTCAAAAGGACTAGCATGCTGTAGGGCAAATCCACTAGACAGCTGTCCAGATTCTTAAGGTTGCATCACGGGGGTACAGAGATCGTCCCGGGATCGACCCGAGATCGTTTGCAAACCAGAAGCAACCGATCTTGATTCAATAGGACTTGGCAGACACGTAGTCATGTCTAAGGAATTTGTAAACAATGGGTTTATTGAGGGAGAGAATGTATTCCCAGTGTCTCAGATTTGTACTTTGCACGACGCACAATTCACTTCCTCTGGCACATCAGAGAATACGTGACATCTGAATGGATCAGTTGGCAAATCTTGCGCGTGCCAAGACCGATCATGTTCCTTGCATACGGCGTGGTGGCAGTGCCAAGGTAGATAGATATAAGTCATCAGGTGATACATGATAAACTTCAGAGAACCTCTTAACTAGAGCCGTGCCTTTCTAAGAGAAACTCGGCCGATTTCTCTGCTATTGCGTATACTGTGCTCAGTATGTTGCCTCGCGGTATGATCGGAAACACACTGGTATGACGAGTACGGAGGTTCATGGTCCCTCGTACGAGAAGTTCGCAATTGACAACGGCACCTTTCAAATCGTCCTTCATCATTGAACATGTCCCGCAAAGGTGATAGTTTGTAGCACCAACCCCTCAAATGGCGGCTTTGATCGCATCATAAGTCAGGGGATTTGCAGCTGTGGGAAGACGGTTGCCATTATGCTTTTGCAATCCAATGAGTGCCTTTTGACCAAGCAGCTCCTTAACCTGCAAGACATGGAATGCGAGAGTCTCCACTCCCAGAGGTTGCGATAGATACTCACAGTCTATCTCCGGTTTATCATGCCAGTCTGGACTTTTGACGTGGCAAGATCCTCCCTCGACTGCAGTGATGGGCCAGCATGGCCACCGGAGTCATGTACTTTCCCGGGGCGGCGTTGGAAGGGCTGGTGTATCTCTGTTTGCTGGTCATAAATAGAGTAGCGCTATGCTCGCTTCCGTTGAGGATCATCTGGTTGATAAACTCATGTTGTGACTTGGTGGCTTCTTTTTCGACAGGTGATGTGGCTTTAAGTAGCTGTCTCAGATCGGACTCTTCGCTCTGCGAGTTGAAGAGCTGGAGGGGTCAATGAGCAAAGCTGTACGCCGCTCCCTCAGCTAGAAGACCATTCTTGTGCTTGTCATACCTCTCTCGATGGGCTGCGGCAACTTTGGGATCCCTGGCGTAGACATCCGGTGTCTCACTCTTAGGCCTCACCTCGATACTTGACCCGAAGTTGAGATGATCCTGGAGGTTCTCTGTGTCGTTGAAGCTAGCATGAGTGACGTGCAATATTCGTACACTGCTATCAAGCCCACTTGCCTCCGAGGCCAGGCAAGTCGACGAAAATTGAATTCCCAAAGGTTGGAGGATCTCTTTGTTTTCATTCCGGATTGTTCTAGAATCTTTGGGCTTCCCAAAGCTCCCGCGTAGATGACGACCTAAGTGTCTGCTCTGTCCTGGAAGGATCCTCTTGGTTTATCGTAGACTACGGCCACCACACAAAGCGGCCCGCCGTTGCTGGGCTGGCACCCAAATATATTTCTTTCGACGTCTGCTCCAGATATGACGACAAGATTATCCCTATTCCACATCGGCCTAAGGTAGGCGTTGCCAGCAAAGCTTTACGATCGCATACACTGGCAAGGTCGACTGTCGATGGCATTCGTCGTCGTGAGTCCCGTATCGCTTTTCCAGATGGACCATGAGAGAGAGATATTGCGCCCAAACTTCCGAAAACGGCTTTCCATGCCTTTTGTAAAACGTCAAGCTGTCTTGATAAATATGCTTGTAGGGGCCCTTCGCCTTGAGACTGCTTCGTTTGGAATTTGCGATAGCAGTCTTTGATCTTCTCCCGGCTCCATCTATTGTCGCCTGATATGTCGGCTGATGCTTCAAGCATCTCTTTGTTCGGGAATACCGGACTGTGTGACCTGATGCCACTGCTCCCTCCGAAGATCTTGCCCCTAGTATGCTGAATGATACGTCTGTCCAACCCTTCAATTTCTGGGCCAAAGATTCCAAACACCAGTCATAGTCCGGATCGCCAAACATGCGTCGACTGAGTAAGGGCAACTTGACTTTCTCATCGTATGTGTGGTCAATTCCTGCCTCAAGTAGGAGACTTTGCGAATCCTGTTAGGCAGAGAGTCGGGATGCAAGCACGCATCCAACTGTGCCACCACTGTTGATGATGATCTTGAAGACTTCGATTTTTGTTTTTTTTGGTTTAATTCGGACTCAAATCTTCGCATGTTGCTTGGTAAGGGTGCCGATATTTTCATATTCTCGTTGCAAAATTCACACTGCCGATGATTCTTGGAGACAGGACTCTGAGAGCAGCAGTGCCGAACGCGGGGTCTGATTGACTCTTGATGACGATGAAATACTTCCTGCGGATGTAAATATTATTGCAACAATGAAGGATTTGGGACGTCACATCTTGGCGAATTCTTTCGGGTCCGACATAACGCATACATGTAGAATCAGCTCTCCGAAATACTCGCACGTAGCGTGAGCCAACACGTACTGTGACAATTTGTGTGCAAGTGCATCAATGTTGCGATTATCTCTTTCCATGCAAGCTATCTGAGTAGCAGATATGAAAATGCGCGTAGAAGCCATGGCTTTTGGTCTCATAACTTCATCAGATTCCGAGCAACCTGCGCCTCAGGTTTCGGGTCCCCAACCAACGGCATGACATGATGAAGACCCTTCCGATTACCACTGCCAATAATTAAGGCACCCGTTGTCTACATCCTTCGTGTAATGCGCGCACTCCGTCATAGGGGCTATGGTAATGACCCCTAGTGCGAAATCTTCTGTACAATCATCATTGGGTATCATGCATATTCAACGGCAGCAACTCAGTGACCAATGCCCAAAAACATTATTTGTCGTCCAACTCTTCCCAGTTGGGCGGTGGATGTGTGGTGAGCTTGACCTGAGGCGGTCTGTCGATACCGCTTTCCGGTATCGAGTCGAGCCCTTCTGGAGGCATCGCCTTCTCCCATACGGCCTCCCACGACTTCCTGGCCTGAAGCTCGTGGTCCTTCCATTTAACTGCTCTTGACGAAGGCCCCTGTGCACAGCTCTCGACATCGTGCGCAAGCCACCCTTCCCGGCGACCGTCCATCGAGTTTGCTCGTGGGTTGTAGGCCCAGTCCTCTTCATCTCGTTCTTGCAACACTGAGTCCTGGCGTTCGGTGTCGACTGTGGCGGGGCGCATTCCCATCGGTTGACCAGCTAGAGTCGCGAGCTCAGTGTCAAATGTAGCAGCGTAATTGGGACTCCGAACAGTCTCGACGACGGTGGCTACCTCGGTTCGAGCGGCTTTCGTTTGCTTCCCCGTCATCATACTCCACCAATAAGATGAATTATCGCCGCGCTTCCTGTAGTATTCACTGGTGTTTTCTGGCGTTCGGCCGCTTTTGGCTGATTCGCCTCGTCGTATTCTTTCGTAGAGGATGTTCGTGGATGGTAGGCATGCGCAGACGAAACCAATGACAAGTTCAAGTGATCTGCTTCGTGTTAGTGGCACTTGAGACGACGTTCGTTCCAGTCTAGCTCACGTTACGAGGTCAAGGACAACAAAATCTGCCGTAACGTCTTTTGATGACAGGAACAGAACCACAAGATACAGCCGGTATATCGTCACGGCGGTGGCGACCCCTCCGGCGCCAAGAAGCGTGAGGATCTTCAGCTTCTTCCGCAAGGGCATTCTCAGCGCCCATAGCAGTGGTATTGGAATGATAAGGATGAAGAAATCGGTTATAATAGCCAGGCTGAGATCGGCGATGAAGATCTTGCGTTGGTTGAGACACTTGGGATTCGGCGTGTGGGGGTCCCAGAATGCCGACACTGGGATGCAGATTATGGTTTTCAGTGTCTGTATCGGGATGTAGCAGACGAGCAAGACAATGACGAAGATGCGGATTCCGCGTGCCATCCTCTCGTGCGAGGAGAAGACTCTGGCCTCGAGCAGCAGGAGTGTGACTTTCGTGAAGTACGCAGCTGGACAGTAGATGATGGAGCTTGCGTAGAGCCACTGCAGTGCGATTAGAGGTCATTCTTTGTCATCGCCGCCATTGGTTACCTACCCGCATGACCTCTCGATAGGACTCTTTCGTCAACTCCCATGCGTGATATCCCTCGCCGTAATGTGCCACTGCCGACGCCGTCAGAGAAATCTCTGTGAAAACGTATCGAGCTACTTACTGACGAAGACTGTGGCGGTATACAGAATTATCAGCGCCTACTCATGGAAAACGTGTCAGTAACGTGGACCATTGCTTCTGTGTAGCTACGATGCGGTTGTCGGCGGAGGCAGAATCTCACATATGCGATAGCGCATGTCCCTGAAGTCCCGTTAGTTCATCCACAGGAAACACTCGAGTTCATCGTGACGTACAGTCTTCGGGGAGGAACTGGCTTCCGAAAGAGAATTTCACATATGTCCGAATTCCAAAGAAAAAAGTCGTTATCGCGGCCATGACGCTCATCCCAACCACATTCCACATCCATCCGGCGTCCCTCGGGTCGTCGAAATTGGGGATTTCGCCCGGCGGGGGCGGAAAGGCCCCAACCGGGCTCGTGGCATTGCTCATTGTTTCGATCGCTCGGCACGAGCTATGAGCCACGGGAGAAGGCTCATCGCTTTGGGATTCGACGGACGCGGTTGTTGGTATTGAATGGTCCTTCGTCGAAGCAGCAAGACCTCTTCTACGCCAAAGGACCGAAACTCAAGGTGCGGTAAAGCAGCTGATAAAGGGAAGTTTGACGACGGCGCTACAAGGGGCGTCCCGCACCGGCCCTGACTCGCCCGGCCGCTCTAGTTCCGATTAGAGTTCATCGAGTGGTCGGACGTTGTCAGGGTCGAGGCGCAACACAATCCCTTGCCAAGGTGAAATGATCACCAGCAGAGGAAACTCTAACAAATGCCACAGCACGGGGTCCCTGGTTGCCGAAATTCAGATGGAAGACACGCAGTATGACAAAAGATTAAAAAGAACGAGGGACTCGGGGAAAGCCCCGCCGCCCACCATTCGTTCCCCCTCGGAAAAAGCGATATTACTTTCAGGGAGCTATGGTCACGGCAAAGAGGTCACATATGTCCGCACACCGAGTCGATTGGGTTCCCGCCTGAAAATCATCCTGGCTGCGCTTCTAGATCAGAAGAAACCTTCCACTTTTGCTAGAAGAGGTAACACCGGCCCAAGGGGGAAACTGAGGAGCTATTGGTTACATGCAAGCCAAGCTGAACTAACGCGAGCCACGATCCAGGGGGCGCCCGTTGTCCCCAACGCTCAGCCGTGCTGATCCAGAACTGTTCTAGAAAACTCGCGGATCGAAAATTCCGGCGGGAGAAAGAAAGAAGGCCATGCACACTGATGCTACATGCGCCGTAGGTCAAACAGACACCAACTCTTCTTGGTAATACATTAGCCGGCCACTAGCCGATGAAGACTATGACGACACAAAGGCTCCTGTGGAAAAGCCCCTGCGCTATTGGCGACACCTTCATCGAAGGCTGCGTTACGCGATGTTCTGCGCCAGAATAGGGTGACACGCGCCCTTGGGCCTTGTGACGAAGTACTAGCTTCAAATTGAACATTTAACAGCATCTAACTCTGGACATTCCAGCGCTTACTTCATTGGGACAATAACCCAACAATTCAAGAAGGAAGTATGGAATAACCCAAATCTCTCGAGAGAGTCTTGGTTAGTTCGTAACTAACTGCATTCGCCGTTCGCATGCTGTTGTTCTGGCCCAAAGGTGCCCAATACGCGACAGAGCTTTCTGCATAGGGTGGAACGAGCAGGTCCTCCCGAGAGACTTTGGTCAAGGATTGATCTCAGTCTCTCGGTGAGTATGTGGAAGCGCCGAATAGGCTTCTCCGGGTCGGGTTTAGGAGGGAAGGTTCACCACACCCCGATCATTCCGGATGCTACCAAACCAGTGTTATGCCTCTCGGATTGATATCCTCGACTCAGTCTTGCTATCAGACTCATCTTCGAAGCAACTGGGGCAAGTCCAATACTACTTCATCTCGCCTGGTATGACAGCGGAACTGAATAACAGACTATCGCAGCAATCACCCAGCTCATTCTTTCTGCACTTGGCGCATCTACCAACAAATTTAACTATAGTCTGTGTAAAATCGCTTTCAAAGCTCATTCTAAGCAATAAAGGTGGAGAGATATAACACATCCTAGTCGCCTCCCAACAGGTTATCTCCTAGCTTAGGAGTTGAGCTGTGAAACCTGCAAAGGCCAATCAGTGCAACACCCGAGGAGTGATCGCCGAAACTCTACTTAAGCGGCCGGAGTGGAGAAGGGCCATCCCGGCTCGGCAGCCGGCCGTTTCTACCCACTCCTACCCCGCGTCAAGAATCATCGGGAGCCGGGATGGTGACCCATTCGGGATGCGGCCGCCAATCTTAAATGTTGCAATTTCTCGAAAGCGAAGCAGCGACTGCTCAATTCGGACCTGTGCCGGATGCCCGCGGGATGCCGGTGGCGCGAATGATGATGAATGCCTATGAGTGCCTCACGAATTCGTGCGGTCGGAAGGTTCAGGGCGGCAGCAGCAACTAAGATACCATTAATTCCGTCTTATTCACGAACCTACTCATTATCATCATGACCGTAGAGAAACAATGTCTTTGTTGCCTGATGGGTCGGTCTTGCAGGCACGGTGGGCAGAAACCACGTTGTTGCGGTTGATGATCCACCAAGACTGGAGCTGTGCCGAGACGGTACGACTTTTAGATGAACCCATTCGGAGTTACGACGTCTCGCTCAAACAAGCGACGTATCAGTCATCTCAGGCTTCAGAGAACACCGCGAATGTCCGTGGATAAGTCATCATCATAGGCGTAAGTGCGCAGCACATGTGAAGAAGTGATCACTACACCGAGTGGGTGACGAACCCGTGTTCGTTCTGTTTCAGCTGCCAGATGTATAGAAAACGATCCGGCCAATTGCATCGAAAGATCTGAATGCCTCCAAGAGGTTAAAGCATATTGAGTTACTCATTTTACTGAATGAGAGCGCCATATCCAGATTGGAACCAACAGCGAAGGCGGGAATGAAGTTAGTTTGTAGATTTTGCTCGCGGCTATAAGGTTAAGGGTCCCCATGAAACTTTCCGCGCCGCCTGATCATTGATACCAGCAGGCGACCTCGGGATCGTTGCTTCAGCAAATCTTTCTGGAACTGCCAAGAGAAGCGCCGAATGTGACTTCGGATGACGAAGGTTCGCTGACTTAATACGCCGCGGCCAGATAAACTAGATGAGCTGAGTCGAGGCTGGCATGCATCGCGGCAGTATCAATAATCAGCCGCTCTGTAGTTTGGGTGAAGGTATCGCCACCGATTTCGTACATGGATGCATGTACCATAGATGACAGAAATAGGCAGTCGGACCGAAAGTCAATGCACATCACTCTTCTTTTAAACGTTGACTAGCTTCACAGCCTAAGAAGCCATGCCACGATGCCAAAAACAGCGCAAAGATATGTTGACACGTTGACATTGCTACTCACGTTTTGTAACCGCCGGATTTCAAATTATTGTAACATCAACCTCCGTACTTGTAAAAGAAAGTGGTCTATGCTTAGCTTCTACGGGGAAATAACGGGCGAAAGATACCACAAACGACCCTTTTGCCCGGGTAATCTCTCGTGTCATGCCACTTAGATCTATGCTTCCGGGGTCTTGGTTCACCTCACGAATCAGACTAATGCGACGGCTCGACCACGTGGGGTCAAGTGACAATCCCCAAGTCAGTGTAACACTCGACATCTCATCAAGAGCATCTCAGTTGGCTGTCTTCGTTGTTTTCGTTCGGAGCTTCATCATCAAGAACACAAGAGCGTATGACGATACACAAAAGAGGGCGGTGATGCCAACCTGTGTGCTTGTTAGTTCCCATGGTTTCAGTGATACAAAACAAGACTTACACCTCGCCAGCCGTAACTGGAATCGTTGATGTTCATCGTCCGCATATAGTCCGCGCCGGTGCTGTATGGGCAATAGGCACAGGAGGTGTCATTGGCCGAGTCGACGACATAGCCTGCATTCGACGACAAGAACTCCGAGATGTACTCTCCGCAAGTACTGTTACTCGGCAAGGGGATATGTGTCAACTCGTTCGGTTGGCACTCGACTTCGACACCCCAAGACACAGGTTCGAGAAGACCCTGGATAAGATAGGTGAAAGGATCCAGCCAGTAGAGCCAATATCTCCAGAAGGCAGTGATCTGGGAGTATGGAACAACCACACCGCAGAAGTTGATCAGGCCAGCGCCAATGAGAATGGGGTTGGCCAACGCCGCGAAGTACGCGTTAGGGCTGTAGGCAGCGATGGCTTGACCAAGGGATGTGTAAAGGAACTCATAGACTGCTGTTTCGTTAGCATGGGTAAGCATGGAAGTGACATGCGTGGGAGAAAGCTCACGGATCATTTGCAGGTAGACCTGTCCCGACACACTGGCCTCAGTCGGGAAACCGACTGTGAAGTACCACGTAACGAACGCAAGTGTGCCGCACACAATCAGCACGGGGGTCTCGGACAAGAGCTGCGCGGCAACGAACGCGAACCAATGGTACGTCTTAGACTTCTTCTCCCGGGTCTCGAAGACATCGCGGTTGCGTATGAAAAGCGGTTGCAACTGATTGATGCATCCTGGTGCGACGAAAACGAAGTTGAACACGGCCATCAGCCGAAGCTGCAAGTCGAACGTCCCGTTGCCCAACATCCAGAAGGTGAAGCCGCCGAATAGTCCGTTGGTAATATGCAGACCGATCTTGTTCCAGACATAGTCCGGGTTGCGCCACAAGGCAACCAGCTGACGGCGAGTGACGAGACTGACTTGGTACAGGAGAGGTGTTGCGAAGCCAGTCAGCTGTTCATCGTCCTGGATCGTGGTTGTCGAAGAAGCTGCCGTCTTCTCGTGACCTTCAGGAGAGTTCAGCGCTTCCAGTTCGGACATGGCGGAATTTCGCTCTTGGGACTTGAGCCAGGTCTCTGGCCAATCAATCTCGGTTCCGAAGCGACCTTGGACAACATCAACTATGTGCTCGGCAGGGTTCGAGTCGGGCGGACAAGGAGCCCCATTCCGGGCGAAATAGTCAACTACTGTAGCGGATGTCTTCCCCGTTGGTCCGAAGTAGGTCGTTCTACCCCCACGTGCCAGAAGGAGTAACACATCAAAGGCATCGAACAGGGTGGCTGAGGGCTGGTGGATAGTGCATATGATTGTCTGGCCAGAAGCAGCGAGCTTGCGCAAGAAGCGGCAGATTTCGTAGGCCGACTGGCCGTCGAGACCAGACGTGGGTTCGTCGAGAAACAGGAGAGATGGCTTGGCGACGAGTTCGGTTGCGAGGGTCAGTCGTTTGCGCTGTTCGATCGAGAGACCTGATCCAGGGGCTGCCAAGAAGAGTTAGCTTTCCGTTGTTTGAATGTTGTGATGGATGCCGTGAAAGAACTTACTGCCGACAAGGGCATGCTGCAAGGGAGTCAACTCCAGCAAGTCCATGATTCCTTTGACATATTCCTGCTTCTCCTCGTCAGGGACCTTGAAACTTTGGCGTAGTCTTGCCGAAAAGAGAAGACTCTCCCAAACTGTTGCGGTAGGCTCGTGAACGTCGTTCTGCTCGCAGTACCCGGTAGTGCGCTGAAAGCTTATTCCTTGAGGCTTGCCGTTGACCATGATGCTTCCCTCGATCCTCCCGCTGTCCTTTCTCTGTGCCAACACATCCATCAATGTGGTCTTCCCGGCACCTGAGCTTCCCATCAGAGCTACCAGTTGCCCTGGCTTGACGTAACCAGAAACTCGATCAAGAAGCTGAAGATCTTGGCCACCATGGCGAACGAAATAACTGATGTCCTTGAACGTGAAGACCGTCTTGCTCAGTGAGACAGACGACGCATCCAATGATGCGGCTGTCACAGCTGCCTTCTCCGTGTCGGCATCGCGAGCCGATTGTTTTCGCCGACTTCGGCGGTCAAACACAATCTTCGAGCCAGCGTCTGCATGAAGGTTGATCTCAAAGCCGACTGCCGTCATGAAAGCAAAGAAAAGCCAAAGTCCGATGAGTATCCCGGCGTTGCGCCAGACATGGGCCCGGTACACCGAGTACTGAGCATTCATGTACGTCTCGGCGTCAATCATGGAGGAGCCCGACGCAGCACCACGGACAGTACAGCTCCGATATTGACTGTCGTTATAGCTCGGTCCAAATGGGATGTACTGAGGTTCAACGCAGTCGAGATTGAGATCTCCCATTTCGGTAGCCATGATCGCCTCGAAGGTGTAAGTGGCTGGATTCAGCCAACTGATCCAACGAAACCAAACAGGCATACTCGGAACCGGGATGAGATATCCTGAATGAAGTCAGTAGCCATTCTTGAAGGTTTGGGTCATGTCTCACATACCTGCATAGACCATGTACACCATGGTCATCCATCCTGTGATCTGGGAGGCCAATCCGAAATGCGTACACCACGCCCCGATCATGCGGTAAAGAGAAGCGAAACAGAGTGCACAAATGATGTGTACGAACCAGTTCGTGAAGAAATGCCCAACCTCCCTCTGAAAATTGACCATGAAGTAGTAAATCAGTTGAAACAGCGAGAAAACCAAGATGGTCAGCGGAACATCCGTTGCAGCACACGCCAGTGCGTAGGCGCCGGGTCTGTTGAAAGCGAGCCGTTTGTGTCGGGAGATGATGCGGCGTCCCATGAACGATGCCGTGGTTTCTGACATCTTGTTCATGGCAAAAAGCTGAATGGGAAAGAATAGAGCACCCGGTCGGGTGAAAATTGACGTGCTGTCCTCCTTGAGGTCATTGAACAGACTCGCTGTCACCAAAGCCATGATGAGGGCAGAGGCAATCTGGAGTACATTCGACCATCGATCACCCCAGATGATCTGGAATTGTCTGCTGAAACGTTAGAAGGAACTCATCCAAAACATTATTTAATTCCCATACCTCTTGATGCAAGTCCTTACTTGGCTCACAAATGAGACTTGGTATGGACTTCCTTGGCGAGAGAGGAACGGCAACGAGCGGTTCTTCTCTTGTTGACGGATGGCGAGCAAGTTTCCAACCTCATCTGAAAGAGATTTGTCCGACTTCTGCTCCATTGTTGCTGTCATGCGGTCAAAGAGAGGGCTGGCTTTGTACGCAGATTCGAATTCGGCGGCAGTGCTCGGAACCTTGTCCTCGTATCCTGCCCGGACTTGTCGTTCGGTCTCGACTGAAACAGAGGTCAAAAAGTCGGAGATATTGGCTCCTGGGATGTATTCAAAGCCCATGTTTTCGAAGTACTGCTTCGCTTCGGATGTAGGACCATAGTAAATCTCTCTCCCCTCAGCTAAGACAAGAACGTTGTCAAAGAGGTCATAGATTCCGTTGCCGGCTTGGTACAGAGTTGCAGCAATGGACTTGTGCTCTTCATCGGCCATCTTGCGCAGCACGCGGACAAAGTCCAACGCGTTACTGGCATCCAAGCCTCTTGTGGAGTTGTCCCAACACTGAACCGTGGCCTGCATCTAACGTCAGTCGATCATGTTAGGAACATCGTGAGGTGAAAACATACCTGCGTTGCCATCACTTCTGCAATGGATACTCTCTTTCTCTCGCCGCCCGAGACGCCACGGATCACTTCATCGCCGACCATGGTGTCCTTGGTATGACCAATCGCTAGCGAGTTGAGAATCGCGTCCGTTTTCTGCGACACCCATTCGTCCGCGTTCGAGAGATCTCCCTGTCTTTGGGCTGGGAGTTTGGCGAAGTTCGCAAAATCGAGAGTCTTCTTGACTTCCAGTGTTGGGAAGTGCAAGTCGTCTGTAATTTTCAATGTTAGAGAAGCTTTCCCAAATATTTATGGAAAGCCCTTACCCTCGGTGTTCATCGCGATCTGGTTGCGAAACTGCTGGGCACCCTTAGGCCCAAGATCTCCGTATCTCACATCGCCGCCGACATGGTGGAACTCTTCTCTATGGTTGGAGATGACTTTGAGAAGTGAGGTGCAACCGGAGCCAGGCCGTCCGAGAACGAGTAGCTGACATTGGTGTAAGTGATTTGCTTGGCATCGATCGAGACCTAGTGGCTTACCATTTCGCCAGGGCGAACCTGACCGTGAACATTTTGAAGAATGTGCTACATTCCAACGTCAGCTGCAATAAAAGGCCAAGTTCTTGAAGTTGCGTACTCTTTTAGACTTCTTGCTCTTGCTGAACGGAACCAAGTCGCCGAGTACAGAGAGGCATGTCGACCCGAAGTCCTCTCCCAGTCCATGAACTTCAATGCTCACATCTCTGAAAGTGACAGTGACGCCTTTGATCAGATCTTCAGTATCACTCAAGCTACGATCACCCTGGATCGTCCGGTCGCTATCGTAGGTAGGTGTCGTAGCCATCATGTGTAAGTTCAACACTAAAGAATGTGTTCGTGCACGCAGAAGATTGAACCAATACAAATCAGATCATGATGTTCAATTATAACAGTTCAATAGCTAGTTCAGAGACATGCTGATGAATCAAACCCCGAAGCAGCCTCCACAGGTTTTCTGACGGGCCCTCTATGTCTCCTCAGTTATGATTGTGTCGAGGCTCAGTGGACCCTGTTCGGTGTTGTCGGTGCCCGGACGTACGGATTTACGGGTTTCGGATTTACGGGGCAAGACTGTCGATGTCATTCATTCTCTTACGCTTTCTTCCTCCATCAACCGCATCCATCTCACGACAAATATCTTTCCTTCGGATTTGAGGAATTACAATTGCGGCTCTTTTCAACTTGAACCGATCACATCTCGTTCTTCTCTGCTTCAAATCCCTTGGGGGGCAGTGGGGCGCGATCCTCCGGAGATACGGCATGCGATCCGCCATGAAAATTCCAAAGGCCTGCGAGCCATGCCGTCGCCGTAAGATCAAGTGTTCCGGCGACAAACCCTGTCAGCAGTGCGGTCACAAACCATCCGACTGCATATATCGACTAAAGCCACGCATACGCCTATCTGCGAAACGTAGAGCGGCTGTTCTTGGCGAAGCCGGGGATGCCGCGTCAACTCCAGCCCCGGAACACGGTCCGCCTGACGAAGCTGCGTCTCGGCGGTTGGCAGAGGACCACCAACAGCAAGTCGCGCAGACCGAGGTCTATCACAGCGTTGCTGCTGCGCATCATGCTCCGAAGTCGACGGATAGTTCCCAGCTTTTCTACGGTCCGTCTTCGAATTCCGCCTTTCTGCAACAGATTCATCGAGGTCTTCTGTCCGGTCAGTATGGCCAAAATCATGGCCGAGATGTTCAGGAGGGTGGAGCGGGCCTTGATATGTTCATGCAAAGGAACATTTTCTTCGGGATGCCACTGAAGGTCAACATTGAGCCGACGCAGCCCGTAAGCTGTCCTGTTTCGATAGAGCAGGCGAAGGAGTTTGCCCAGCACTTCAAGAATACGCACATCTTGACGCTTCCGTTTTTTACACCATTGGAAATGGACGAGATACTCGAGAGTCTGTTCGAGCCTGGCGCTGAAACGACTGTCCAGCCGCAACGGAAAACAGTTTTGCTTGCCGCTCTTGCTCTTGGGGCGCTCGGAACTCCACAGACGAGTGCCGCCGAGTCTCTCTTCATCCACGCAAAGAAGGAGGCTGTCATATACGAGGACGCCGTTACACTTCCCATGATTCAATATTCTATGTTGATGGCTCACTATCAGCTCAACATGGGGCGGCCCAACTCGGCGTACTTGCATATGGGTGTCGCGAGTCGGAAGGCCCTTGCCATGGGCTTGCACGTAGGCACCACCAGCGCCATATCTCGCAACGAAGAAGTACAGTCTCGTCTTATCACAATATGGTCGCTTTACTTCTTGGAAATGTAGGTTTTGTAATGATTTCTAAACGTGGTCTAGATGCAAGAACTGATCTTTCTTCAGATGGTTGAGTTTAGTTGTGGGACGACGCAGCATGGTAGGGAAGTCAGACTTCGCTTCGTGCCCGTTTCCCGACGGCCAGCCGACCATGGTGGCTCTTTGTCAGTTTGCGACCATCATAGAAGAGGCTGTCGAGTCTATCTACAATCGAAGAACCGATTCACTTCGACAACTGTACGGAAAGGCAGAGAAGCTTTATGCACAAGCACGTCAATATGGCGACAAATGGGGACTCGGCTCCGTTATTCCGACGCAGCAAGAGGCATGGAACCCGGAAACATCTTTGCTGCTGCACAATGGTGGGTACATGTTGCTTGACGGGGATGCATTGTCATAGTTAACAACTACACAGTTTATTTCCACGTCATCCTGCTCATATTTCGACCATTCCTCATAGCTGAAGCAGCCCTTCAGTCGGGAAGTGGTGCCGGATCGACGGGAGACATCTGGCTTAGACAAGCATGCAGACATGCCACAGATGCTGCGCAAGATGCTGTCGCCTTTACGAGCAGCAAACTTCATGGTCCTGAAGAGTGCAATGTGAGTCTCTTGTCTTTATGAACCTATGAATTGGGTTGGGGTATTGACAATAAATCTTGCAGACCCGCAGGTACCATGCCTTCTTTATCGAATCATGCTGTGCGGTCCTCCTGTATGACAGTCTCCGCCATCCGGCCAAACATCCTCACAACCTAGAGTACATCCAGATGGCCATCTCTGGTCTGCACTCTCTGGTTGGAGACGACCCAGTCACGAATGCAATACGCTCTATTAAGCGTATTGTGTGGGCTGTTGAGAATACCATCAATGCCTCAAGAACAACCTCTGGCGGTATCCTTGACGGAGGCTCAACAGACTCCTCGCCCTCCTGGTCCGGCGATCGGTTCCCTACGAGCATACAATTTCCATCACTTGACGAGAACAGAGCCACTACCTCTGACGACCTGATCTACTTTAGCAACAGGCCGTATCGTCAGCAGCCTGAGCCAATTGCTCCGGATTATTCGATGTCTCTGCCCGGTGCAGGAACGGGGTTGAACCCCTTCCCAGATCTGAATTACGACGTACTCACCACGGACTTATTCAACTTTTTTCCCATCGACATGAATGCGGGTCCAACTGGTCATAGTTCATGATCAAACTTGAATTACAAGCCCTCGGAGGCATCGGAAAATCAGAGTTGGGTGGCTCTGTAATGTTTGATCTCGAAAAGAAGAACAATTGGGACAAACAGCCATGACGGATTTCTATTAGAACAAAGGCATCGAATGGAACAGGAAGAACACTCAAATCTTTGTGTACTGGAGCTAGAAAGCCATTTCCTATGAAAGGAAGGGATAACGTTTGAGGCGAATAGAAAGCTTTTCAGCGTTCCTCGAGAGTCAACTACATAAAAGAGATCGATCCAAGTCTGATGAATGTCGAATTGGTAGCCATCTGATGCGTGGAATGATGCCTCAGGTTGTGTGGTCTGATGCCGTTTGATATTTCTGTTGTTCTTCTTATCCTTGTCTTCTGTGTTGTTGTTGTTCTGTACCGTCTTTCCGTACTGTCCTTTTGCATCGTTCCTCGTTTATTCCTCCATGATACACAACTTCACCTTGGGCACCGTCTTCGCCGCACCTGTTCTTCTCAACCTTTTGGCAGACTTCGCTGCAAACTAATTTCAGATACCCGGAAGAGAGCTTTTCGTCCATAAAAATATTTTTTCGTAACATATTTCTCCTCGCGACTTTGCTCAGATTACGTTTACCACGAGATCGCATCCCCTACATGTAGCAAACGAGTACTGACACGAATCCCAGGCATGAACCTCATCATTGTCTTCTTGTTCGTTGTCTCTCTTCCCGGTTTGTCTGCGGATCAGCCAGCCAGGCATTGTTGTAAGACCCAACAACGCGTCATCGGCGCTCGCGACGGCGAGCCGCGTATACTTTTCCAGAGCCAACTTCGCTCAGCCCAGTGTCATTCAGGCTCATGTCGCTCAAGCTGAGGCATAAAAGAAGCTAATATGCAGCAGCAACGGCATATTTGCGAACTTTGCCATCCCCGAGCATCTTATTTTTCATCTCTCGACGTCACCTTCTAGCAACCTTGGCGGAGACCCCATTCACGTCTTCTTGGCCACCCACATCCCGCTTCGTAGCGTTCTCCGCGGAGGCAGTCGGATAAAGCTGCTTACTCTTGGCATCTTTCTCTCCCGCTACTTCTTCAAGGGCGCCCTTGCTGGCTCAGTGTCGCCAACAACTCGATCTTGATGCCTGCTTGTGGGATGAAGACCTCGAAAATCAATGGCTCTCGTACGAATACTTCGGCGGTCTGTCGGCATTTTGCCCCATCACCAAGATGTCCGCCTTATTGACACCTTGGATCAAACTTCTCTGTCTCACAAACCCATCTTCAGAAACGAGGAGTACGCTCTCTTTCTCCACCCCCAAGCCCAAGCCTCTTTGATGGCAAACATCATGGTTGACTGTGCGTTTCACAGTAGTGCAACCTTCAAGTGCATAGTTCCCAAGGACAGTGTCCAAAACCTTCTCATGGATACCTTGATCCTCTGCTCGAGAGCCATGGCCTTGATGAAGGAGACTCATATATTGAGAGCCCAGATCGTCGCCGCAAATGAAAAGTATTCCACGCTGAGGGCCCAGATCGACACACCTGTCGACGAGAGCACTGAACTGGAGGCCCAACTTACAAAGGTCGAGGCTCGCTTTTCCAGACCTGAGCAGCGAACGTATCTGTCCGTCTATTCTCGGGCGGTGTTGAGGATGTCACGGAGATTTTTGAGCGGGTCAAATCCAAGCCTTGGTCCTTCTGGCTTACCATGAACGGAATTCAAGTGATTATCAGTGTGCTGTTCGTTTCTGAATTCATTGTCGGACGTAACATCAATCTTGTGTGAAGGTGCAGGCTTGGTTGCGCCTGAGGATGACCAAGGCCCTGTAGATTGGAAGAGACAGCTGGATTGGCTCTTATGCATTAATAGTTTAATAGCGTTCAATCAGCATCGTTCTCAGTGGTGATACTACTTGCGAGATAGTGACAGATATGATGACATAGACAGTTTTGAGTGACAGAGCCAGAGACAAACCTAACAGGAAGAGTGGCCCAGAAGCGCCCACAAAGCAGAGGCATACATGGAAGCTTACAGTGATAATAACCAAGTCTCATAGCCCACATGCGGCAACAGAAATACTTTTTTAAGCTGACGCATACCATAGTTCCAGCACAGCGTACGGGCCTATGGCGATGTGATCCAACACAAATGGACGTCCATGATTCGACTCTGCTACTGCTATGGTAAAACTCGAAAGGTTCTCTGATACCTTGTTAGGTTATTGGGTCAAGCTCATGTACGAAAAGCGCATTTTTGAGTTTCGCTATTCCATGGAAAAGAGTATGTAACTGGCCTATAAATTATCCCTTTTCTCTCATCTGCTGAAAAGAAGGTAATGGGTATAGTAAAGGCAAGTACATCGTATGATTGAAACTGACCAAAGGCAGGATTTCCGCCATGTGCTCTTCTGGCATCGTTAAGATTTTAGGCTCCCTTCGGCTCCAATGGGGCTCCAAGAACGACACCCAAGACCAAGCTACACAGACGCATCTGGAACAAGATGACTCCGCCACTATTGGGCCGCCTGGAGACCTCGAGGCTCTGCCAGCAATGTCAGAAGCGCCTCAACCAACTTCGATGAACCACACACCGACGATATCGCAGCTAGAACCCCCCACAGTATCACAAAGGTTGACGAAACCGTTCCTAAAGCCGCTTGTGCTAACTGCCGAGCCGCACTATTAACCGATACTCACGCTCCCAAGCCCACCTCACGAGACTGAATACGGGAGCTCTGTCGAAACCCGTCCAAGGTGGGAGATGGCTTTCCATCAGAACCTCAAAGACTGTCAGCTCTTGCGCCTCCCAGATGAGATTCTACTCTCAATCATGAAAGCGACAGAAGCTACCGACCTGTATATGTTACGCCAAGCATCCATTACATTCTGGCGTCTACACCTGGACACAACACTTCAAAAGTTCCACCCGGTGGTACATTCTCTACATCGGGGGCCCGTAGGATTTGAAAACAACAATGGCACTTTGCTGCCCAGAGCAAGGAAGAACGCATGGTGTGCACCGTGCCTCCAAGAAAGAGAGTCGCCAGATCACAGGCACCATCTGCACAACTTGGACAGACTTCTGTTCTGCTCCTTCTGCAACGCAAAGCACAAGAGAACCCACTTCTCCCCAACACAACGCCCCAAACCCGATATCCAGCGCAAATGCGTCATCGCAGAAGGCATTATTCGAATGTGCCCCCATCGGACAGTCAAGGTTTCGTCTCTCTGGCACTGGATCTCGAACGACAAAGGCTCATTCAAAATACAGCCCGAAGAACAGTTCATAGCGGAAACATGTCGCCAGTGTCACGACATCGCCTTACGTTCCGGCTGGGGAGGCCGCCGACCTGAGACCACCCCACCGACACTGACCGTCCATGACACAACGCCTAGCCATGCCGAGCATTGGAAGGCCTTTGCCCGATTTGAGCTTCATTGGTCATTACCGCTGTTCAGGACCTCGGAAAATGCACGTGTTACTCGCTCTGACTTGGAGATGGCGCTTGTCAATTTTGAGAAAACTAACGGAGCAATGCTGTGCCCGCATTTCACTTCCGACCATGAACAGCTTTTGGAAGCGTTCGACCCCCGCGTCTGCGCTTGCCTGGGCGATGACACTCGATTCGTGACGCAAGCCATTCCTCTCCCTCAAAACTCGTTTCTGAGCGGTTGTCGGGAGGACGCTAAAATCGATTCCGGCACGAGGGCGTTCATGAAGCAAAGAGAAAGCCACCACCTATCTTGCAGAGTTTGCCTCACCTTGTATTACTGGCGAAGGCACGGACGACACATCTTCCTGTGCCGACACACGACCAGCTACCTGGCGTGGAAAGACGATCGAATTGATTGGGACCATCGTCTTCCTGCGTTACTAGAACCCGACTCATATGATGCTGATTCAGATGAAGAAACAATGAATCTTGTTCGTTGTAACGATAAGAGCTGCCGAAATGGGAGGAATCGGGGCTCATATATGACTTACCTTAATTACTTGGAGGGTAGTCAATTGAGCGTCAATAACGTCGCATAGTTTCTTCATAAGAAATAAATTCAGAACTTAGGCCCCTCATTATATAGGAATAACTCAAATGCTATTAGTAAATAGAAGGATGCTCTACTATCTTTAGCTCACAGCTAGGTCCGCTTCACTTCCTCTTGGGCCGAGGGTGTCTTACTGGAACGTGATGCCTACTGATTCAGAGTGTTCCTCATCCTCGCTCCCACGGTGGTAACATTGAGCTCTCATTATGATTAAAAGCTATCATTAATGGTGATAACGATGTCAATTTTATGATACTCTGAGCCGGAGGACTTTGTTTAGCACAAACAAATGCAATACGCCGCGCAATACAATGCAGCCACCCTTATAATCTGGTCATAGATATCTCGCCATACCCAATGAGTACACATTTAACATTCAATATTCTGAAAGACTTTGTTTAGCACGAGGAGACGTGGTTAAGGTACTACGTAGGCTGGAGGTTGGTCATGCTCAGTCACCAGCTGAATCCAGCTGTCGATCTGCCCCGCCCAGCTGTCACCCGCCACCCCACCATCGGCAGCGACCGGCACCGATCCAAGCCGGCGACAACGTCAACGAAACTCAAAGCCGTGGCAACCGGGACAAAGCTCCTTTCATACAAATCCGCTTTCCCCTGTAATTCTTACAAACCTCCAACCAACCGACATCTTCCTCCCACCGAATCTCTCGCGAAAAGAACCCTTCAAATCCGACAAACCTCCCCCAGAACCCCTCCACGAACCCCGCACCGCCCAACACAATGGAAGACGTCCCCCTCGAACACGGCGCCCTCGAGCACCTCCTCCCGCCCAGCTGGAAAACCCTCGTCACGTCCTGGCTCGCCGAGGACACCCCCTCCTTCGACTACGGCGGCTTCGTCGTCGGCTCCGACCCCCGCACCGCCACCCTCTGGGGCAAGTCCGGCGGCATCGTCGCCGGCCGCCCCTTCGTCGACGAGATCTTCGCCCAGTGCGGCTGCGCCGTCGAGTGGCACGTCAAGGAGGGGTCCCACGTCGAGCTGCGCGGCCACGGCGGCGCCCCCAAGGGCAAGATGGCCGTCGCGACCGTCCGCGGGCCCACGCGCGGCCTGCTCCTCGGCGAGCGGGTCGCGCTCAACACCCTCGCGCGCTGCTCCGGCGTCGCGAGCATGACGCGGGGCATGCTGGTCAACCTGCGCGCGGCCGGGTACGCGGGCGTGCTGGCGGGCACGCGCAAGACGACGCCCGGGTTCCGGCTGGTGGAGAAGTACGGCATGATGGTGGGCGGGGCGGACGCGCACCGGCACGACCTGAGCTCGATGATCATGCTGAAGGACAACCACGTGTGGAGCAAGGGGAGCATCACGAACGCGGTGAAGGCGGCGAAGAGCGTGGGCGGGTTTAGTTTGAAGGTGGAGGTGGAGGTGCAGAGCGAGGCGGAGGCGGACGAGGCGATCGAGGCCGGGGCGGATGTGGTCATGTTGGATAACTTCACGGGCGAGGGCGTCAAGGTCGCGGCGAGGAGTTTGAAGGAGAGGTGGGCTGGCAAGAGGCACTTCCTGGTCGAGGTGTCTGGGGGTTTGACGTTGGATAATGTGGAGGATTACGTGTGCAATGGTGAGTCCCTACTTTTGGCCGATGACTTGTGGTGTGAAGCTGACTTTTGGTGCAGATGTTGATATTCTTTCGACGAGCGCGATTCACCAGGGCGTGCCGCATGTTGACTTCTCGCTGAAGGTTGAGCACTAGGCGATGCGAGGTCTTCAGATGAGACGGAGCTGGCGAGGATTCCCCGCCGCTTGTGAGAGGGGATGGGAGCCCTCGGGTCGTGAGGCAAGGTTGTCTGGATGGGAACAAGGCAGCGTTTGATACCTTTGGAATAAACAAAACAACAAGAAATCCGTTAATGAGTGGTTTCAACGGCGCCCTTGCACACGTCTCGTCTACCGTACATGAGCACCCGCCTCCTTGGCATCGACGTCCGGCCCTGCCCCTTGAAGATGCGTCGCCGCCGACGTCTGCACGCTCCCCTCCTCCTTGATACCATTCTCGGCCTTCTCGCCACAGCAAGGCACGATGACGCTCGTCTTGTTCCTCGATCCGGGCATGTCTAACGCCGGGTTCGCCTCGAAGAAGTCCGCGGGTCGGATATGCATCTGATGAATCTCGACGGGCCTGTTCGTCGTCAGCATCTTTACTCTCACCGTCTCGTGGCCGTTCCATTGGGTAAGGGGGAAAATGCTCACATCACGGGCCAGTCCTCGACTCTAGGATTATGCGTCAGTCCGAAAACGCTCCAAACGACGGGACTGCTCTTCCTCCCATCACCAACTCCGTTCTCAGCCACCTCCCCGTTCGCCTCATCGCCAAACCAATCTCCACGCGCTACCATATCAAAGACACCACCCTCCTCCTCCCGGCTCTGATTCGTAAACTCCCCAGCCGCCCAGAGCTCGTCGTCCCGATGCCCCGTGACCCAGACGTGATGCCTCGCGAACTTGGCCCTCTTCGAGACCTGGCTCTCCTCGTCCGCGAGAATCATCTGCGTCGCGCTCGGCGTCAGCTTGAACCCCACGTTGCGCCCGGACATGGCGTTCTTCTTGTCGCGGTGCTGCATCTTGACGACCCGGTTCAGCCTCGGCTCCGCGTCGAACCAGCACGCCTTGTCGACGTCACGTTTCGTGAGGCGGTAAAAGTTGCCGTGGGGATTCGTCTTCTTGTCCATCGCCACGGGAACGCTCTCCTCCACGACAACCCGCGTGTCACCCTCGATGTATGAGTCGATCGCGGGGTCGAAGCGTACTGCGAATAGGTGCTGGTGATTCTGTGCCAGCACGCCCGGCGCAACGACGACTCCGTACTCGCTCTCTTTGCCCTCGTCGATGGCCACGACGCTCATAACCCCGGTAGCTCTTGTCTCTAGCGTGATTCCTCCCGCCGTGTCGAGCTTGTACGCGAAAACGTACTCGTAGTTGGCCAACGTGACGACGCACTGGATGACCAGTTCTCTGAGCCTCGTGACCACCGCTCGGTTCGTCCTGAAATTGGTATGCTTCCATCCGATACCGTTGTCCTGCTCGTGCAAGCACACCACCGCCTTGGCGACCGTCGGGTTACCCTCGGTATCAGCAAGCAGCGCGTCGAAATAGTGAATCGCCCCAAGACAGTCGCAGCCAAGCTCTAGGTTGTTCGCGACGCGGCCGAACCCGCCATCGCCGAGGTCGAAGGCCTGTTTGCGCTGAAAGGGCGGGCGGGGATCGCCGTAGGGCACCGTGAGCTCGCTGTAGCTCAGTCTGAAGAGAACGGGTCTGTTGTCGTAGCAGAGATCGTGGAGGACGGCGCCTTCTCTGGGCGTGAATCCGAGCCTGAAGCGCCATTTCTGCCATTGTACGAGATTATCGCTTTGCACAGTGAAGCTCGCGCCTTCGGGCTGGGTGATATTAATCGGCTTCAGGTCTTGCCTCTGCTTTGCGTCGAGAAGTTCCGGGACGTATTCCGATGAGATGGTTTTCTCAAACAGCGCCTTGGGTTTGGTGCCTCTTTCCTGTGGGGTGAGGCTGTCGTCTTTGCCGCCCGTGGCTAGGCGGTCTACGCGGACAATCTTCTTGGTGGTGAAATCCATGACGGGGATGATTGGGATCGGATAGGCGTAGTGGTTCGAGTCGAGGTTGTCCTTGGATACGTCGCGGGCGAAGACGAGGCCTTGCATGTAGCGCGGTATGGCACCGTCCTCGGCGTCTGGGCCGCCGTAAGGCCATGGGTCGATTACGACAGTGAAGTTCTCTGGGAGGGAGAACTCTGACATGGCGTCCTTGAAGGCTTGAGAAGATACGCAAGCATCTTGAAACGCACCGAACTCGTCCCTGTCATAATGTCAATACTATGGCGCGGAATTTGAGGGATGAAAAAAGGGTCTCTCACGGTATATATCCAGTTTGGGCCTCTGGCTTGGCTACGATCCGCTCGACTTCAGCGTTCTGGCCGAGGTCGATGACGGATGTAGTGTACTCGGGAAGCTTCCCGCTTTTGATCACGTCATATTGAAGCCTAGCCCTCCGAGGGGGGCGGGAGGTCGAATCTGAGAGATTGCCCGCGTGCTCAGCTTGTAAGAAGGGAATAAGCTCTGCCTTCTTTGGTTCTTGCAGATAGATTGCGCGGAAGAAGAGTGTGACGTCAGAGGGGTAGAGACCCTTGACAGCATCGCGCGCTTGTTTGAACTCGTTTTCAGAGAGATCTTTCAGCGGATGAGGAGCCATATTTGCGAGCCACCAGAGATGATATGGAAAGCCATGAATGTGAATTGTGTGGCGGCGATGAGCCTTATCTAGACTTTGGCGGTCGGCTGGGCAAGATGCAATGCGGGGGATTCTTGCAGTAGTCTGATGATGGGAGCCATTCAAGTCCAGCAGTCTGTGTGATAGCCGCATTGGCGTGTCACCACCAGCACACAGGTCGTTCACATGAGACCTGTAGGACTCGGCCGTTCTGGACGCAGATGATCATATTGAGATGTTGGTTAATCCGGCTACTCAGATGCCACGATGGTGGGGTAACTGGCCCTCAATCGACCAACTGAGATCGTAGGATGGCGGGGTACGCAAGAACTTCAATCTGTGCCATTGAACAGCTAGTTTTCTCCAATCTTTGGGGAGATCTCTTCGACTCCTGGGGGGTTGATCCTACTCCCGCATTCGGAAAGTCCATGCGATGGAGCGAGGCGATTGGCTGCGGCCATTGTCGGCATTTTGGCATTCAGTGCTGCAGATTCGAGATAGCTGGGTGGTGAAGCTGGCGTCTTCAAAGATAAAATCCCCCGGGCGCGAGGGAAATCTGAGGTTTAGAGATATCGTTTGGCCACAGGTTCGCCGTCGTGCCATCAATCGAATATTTGCCGATTAGATACATTGGTGATCTGATCACGTCTGCTTCGGCCACTGTCTGGCACTAGACCGTGCATATGCGGCATCAGGCTGGATCTGCGGATGAACAAGATTAAGATTAAGCTACTTGCGAAGCATTCGATTCATCTGACCTCGACGGTCGCATGTCAGGTATTCTTAAACCAGAACGTCGCAATCCGAATGGAGTTCGGTATCAAAAACATCTCGGCAGGCCAGGCCCGTTGGAGATGACAATGAACTTGGAGCGAGCTGCACGTTGCCGTTCGGTCACACGGCAGGCCGTTCGCGTGTTGCACGTCTCGGTACATGAGACTCGAAGGATATCAAACGGCGGAACACTCGAATGACAATCAGAGACAGGCCCGCGACCCTGAGATTGATGGTCATCGCAGTCCGGGCAGGGGGCGTCGATCCACATGGCACTCTGCCATGTGCGGCGAGCTGTGGCGGAAGCAAGGACGGCCTTGCCGTGAGCCGCACCGTATTGATGAGCCAAACAGATCAGAAGTTCGGCCTTAATGGTTTCGTGCTCAAAGTTTCGTTGGATAGAAGGCCTATCTCGTAAAGACGGTTTGGAGAATATTGCGACCTAGCAGCAGGAGTTCACATATGCTCGATTATGTCAATGAGAGGATATTCGACGACGGCAGACCCGTGCGTCGTCGTCCCTTGTGCGGAAACAGACTTCGGATCAAGTAAGTCATGATAGGCACTGTCCAGCTGGCTCCCCTGGCCATGCTCAGATTCTGATCGGCCGTCGTTCGCCGACGCATGACTCGATCGACGGAAGAGCCGCTTGGCCGGGTCCCAAGGGTTTGCGGTTATTGGCGAGGCCATCGCAAGATGAAGCAGTGGGCCGTTGTCTCGGGAGGAAAACGGAACAAACAAGCTTGAAGGGCACGAGGTGCATTGCCGAGGCGCAGACTTCGCTTCGTAGTCATCTTCGAGGCCGGCCTACCATGCGAATAGCATCAGTAGATGATGACGGAGACGCGGCCGAGACCAAGCTTCGTCGTCTAGAGTTCGGATAAAGGTCATCCGCATAGAGCCCAGGCTGAAAGTTGGACCCGGCAGCGGGCGGCGGGCTTGCAGGTGTGCCATAAGGTGGCTTGCGCGGCATGGCATTTCAGCATGGCGATAGGGCGTGAAATTCTGCTGTCTAGACTTTTGGAACAGATCAGGCCGAGGTGGACTCGTGGAGGGAAGCTCAGCCCCAAACGCGGAAGTAGGGTTGATGCTGTTTGGCGTCAGGATTTGCTTGTTGGAGTCAATCACTGTGTGTGAGTGTTGGGTGGACTGTAAGGGAGCGTCTCATGTCTACGAACTTGGCAAAACGGAGACGGAGGTTCGGAGAGAGGTGACGAGAGGTTGCGTGGTTTGTGTTTCCTGGGCAAAGTTTGGCGACGCGAAGCATGACCAGGAGGCGTTGATGGCTTGATCCTGCGTGGGGGGTTTGTCGAGGACAAGAACACCTTGGCGTTGATATGCCGCGAGACAAGCCAACATTGCTCAAAAGACCGTGGCGGCGATGATACGGCGGCACGGCAGTTCAAGAGGAAAAGCGGAGGACGGAGGAAGACTCCCGGTGATGGTGGTGCGCGCAGTGGATGAAGTGCGGAGGGAATCTGGAGACTGTTCCCGGTGAGAAAGACGGCCGAAGGCTGTGGTGGTCTGGAAGCTTGGGTTTGTAAGGAGAGGATGAACATGCAGCGTGCTGTGTGAAGAGTGAAGTGTGGGTGGTGACTGGATGCGGACTGATGCAGATTGATGCCTATTTTAGGAGGTGTCCATCCAGGGTGCTCCCTTCTGAAACGCGCCAATTTATCTGATGTCGTGATGGCCTGGGGATCTCCATGATTGATTTCTGGGACGCTGGATTTTTCGTGGAAGCAATCCAACATTCTTATTTTTCCATCCAGGCCTTTTCGGAGCTCTCCAGCGGCCCTTGTTTTAGCCAAAGGCAAGGGCACGCCAATATCCGTAGTGCAAACATCCACCGGACGGATCCCAATTACCAGAATCTTGCTGCATCCCCTGTCCGGGACATTGAAGCGAGAGGAGGAGAAGATACGTACCTAGGTACCCTGAGATGCAAGTCGATGTCGACGGGATGATGGAACGGCTTAGGTAAGGCGGCCTCGAAGTCCAAACACGTGGAAGGTTCGAAGTACAAAGGTACATGGCACTTGCCTGCCTCAAACAGAAGGAGCTTTCAAGACTTGGCATTGATCTGGCAAGACGAACATCAAGCAAAGGCCAAGTGGTTCCACCTGTTGGGAACTGCATCTGGCATCGTGATTTGACTCGAACCTGTGCGCGTATGTACCTAGTTTCTGTCCTTGGAAAAAATCGTTCTGGAATCTGGGCTTTTGAGGGGAACTGACCGATAGATATCTCCGCCAAGACCAATTGGGCTAGACGTCCGCTCTTACCACGACTCATCCCTCATCGAATACGGAGCAACTCGCCTGGGTACACGGCCTGGGAGCGACGGCGCACTCATCTTACTTTTGCTCTTACCAACATAGGTAGCTAGCCATTACTTCCATGGGCATCGGATTGGCCAGCAGTCAGCATTTGCAACTTGACACGACGCGATACGAGACTCGACTTGCACCAGACGGAGACGGAACGCAGTGAGGGAGGACGGGACGGACCTGGACTCGACTGTTCCCCGTCGTCTCACTCGGCAGCTGTTTCCGAGCACAGATCCCACGATGCTCATTCGTCGTATCCCTTTTATTCTTTTTTTTCTCTTTCTTGCAGATGGCGTGGACTTTGAACAGATATATCGGATTCTATCGTATCCGTCCCTTCTCCCGCCTCATGCTGTACCTGATGTGTGGTCCATGCATCCAGCATCCAGATTCACAGAACCAGGAACCCTTTCTCCTGTTCCCATCTGTCCGTGCAATTGCCCTTCCCGTGCTGTCTCATCCGTCTGAGGTGTTCCCATCTGTGCAGTTCTGTCCTTCCCTGATGGATGAATCCCCTGGCAGATGCGCCAAGCATCCAAGTACCCGTCAGCACCACCACTGCACCATCTGCACCTCAAGCAGTAGCGTATGCGCGCTGAGAGGTATCATCATCATGGATCCGCATTCGCCTACCTTACGTACCGTATTGCGTATCTGAATGGCTAGTGTTGTTGTTTCGTCGCTACCTATCCGAGATTCTGTGCCGTAGCATGCGAGGTACGTACCTTACTCGCAATCGTGCCTTCCATGTCGGCGCACGCAGCACGCAGCACCGGCAGCGACGCCGGCTCCACCAGGGGGGCCGCGCCACGGAAGGGACCACAGTGACTTGCTCTTTCCCTTCCATTGCAAATCACTCAGGCAGGCTCCATATCGTTTTTGCTTCCCCGACCAGTGCAGCCCTTTTTTTTTTTTTTTTTTTTTTTTTTTTTTTCATCTCCTCAATCTCTTTATCTCGGTGCCCTCCCTCCCTTGCCAGACTACGGAGTTCCTATTAAAAACTCGACTCGTGCCAAGTCTCACTCCGACTCCTGCTACTCTCAGGTTTGCCAAAATCAACGCTCTTTCTCTCAACCAGCAGACGAGGCCGTCGAATACCTTCACGTGTAAGGCAGTAAGCCGCAGAAGAACACCTGTACTTCAGCTGTCCAGTCGATTTCCCTAATTGGATCACAGCAGTCGCACTCGGCGCGGCACAGCACAGCCATCCCATCCCATCCATCCGCCCTGGGCTCTTACGCAATTCGACATCCACCGTAATCGTCGCCTCCAGCCGCATCCGCATCCGCATCGCCCGTCCCGAGAAAAAAATAAAAATAAAAATCGCCAGGACCCTGAACTGTTGCCCCTGATAATATCTACGCCTATCCCTCTCGAACCTCCCAACTTCAACACGAATCCTCTCTTTCAGCTGAAGTCGACAACTTTACCTTCTCTCGTCCCCATATATCTCTTGGCATTCAGATCGATCGCTGGGGAACTTGGAACCAAGTCATCCCATCCCAAACTTTCAAAGGTGCGCGCGCTCCAAAGTCCGTCCTCCACGTCCCGTCGTCTCCCCGTTACGTCTCCAGGCCCCACGCCCTCTCTATCCGCTACCAGCTCATCCCTTCACCACATAAACTTTGACAAGCTCCCTCCCCTATTCCTCCGGCCCAGACTTCATTTACCTGCCAGCCCTACCCGCTCGTTTTCTGCTGCGCATTCTCTTGCGCCTCAACCTGCTGCCGACGAGCCCGATTTTTCTAATAACTTCCAAACTGACATGACCTATCTTGGTTTCGCAGTAATCACCAAGCCATAGTCCAGGCCTTTGAGCTGAACCCGGCTCTGTCCTCTTTATACTCTCGATCCGACCCCAACGATCGCCCTCTTTTTCAGGAACAACGTCGCATTCGTTTCGACAACACCGTCTTTCTCTATCGTACATACCGAATCCCTTCGCCATTTCCATCGTTCGAGCCCGTCTTGGCCAGGAGGAACTCTATACTCCAATGACTTCATAGTCGCCAATTGACCTTTCAACAACACCATCAACCGCTCTTTTTTCAACACCATACTACCACCATGCTTACCCCTAAGAGAGCCGTCGCCGCCGCGGCCTTCTTCCTAATCGTCTTCTACTTAATATCCTCCTCACACGACACAACAGACGTTACGAAAGCCCCAGTCGCCGCTTCGAACCATGACACGAAAGAATCCTCAAAAACTACCCACACTCCGTCGACCGAAAAAGTCGAGCCATCCGTCCCCAAGAAGGTCACTGGGCAGAAGCCCATGATGGACATGTCAAAAATGTCCCTCGCGGACAAGCTGGCATACCAATACCCCTACGATGTCGAGACGCGCTTCCCGGCATACATCTGGCAGACGTGGAAGTGGACGCCTGCCGAGGAGGAGTTTGCTTTCCGCGAGCAGGAGGCTTCCTGGACAGAGCAGCACCCGGGCTTCGTTCACGAGGTCATTACCGACAAGGTGGCCGTCAACCTTCTTCGTCTGCTTTATGCCTCCGTTCCAGAAGTGCTCGCGGCCTACGACGCTCTCCCTCTCCCCGTTCTCAAGGCCGATTTCTTCCGATACTTGATTTTGCTCGCACGCGGCGGCATTTACTCCGACATTGATACCTACGCCATTCGATCTGCCCTCGAGTGGGTTCCCGAGCGCATCCCGCGGGAGAGCATTGGTCTCGTCATTGGCATCGAGGCCGACCCCGATCGCCCCGATTGGAAAGACTGGTACAGCCGTCGCATCCAGTTCTGTCAATGGACCATCCAGTCCAAGCCCGGCCACCCCGTCATGCGCGAAATTGTTACTCGAATTACCGAAGAGACCTTGAAGCGTAAGAGGGCGGGATTGCTGGACAATGTCCTTGACAAGAATGTCGTCGAGTTCACTGGCCCGGCCGTCTGGACCGATACCATCTTCGACTACTTCAACGACCCGAGATACTTTGACATGAAGAACTCAAAGGGCGCCATCGACTGGAAGAACTTCACTGGCATGGAGACCTCCAAGAAGGTTGGCGATGTCGTGGTCCTTCCCATCACGAGCTTCAGCCCTGGAGTACAGCAGATGGGCGCCAAGGACTACGATGATCCCATGGCGTTTGTCAAGCACGACTTTGAGGGTAAGACCTGAAATATCATTCCCCAACGAACAACAGCTAATCAACTAGTAGGCACGTGGAAGCCCGAAGAACTCCGCCATATCGGCGAGCAGACTGAGGAGGCTTCTTCATCATAAGACTCCATGACAGAAACGATTTTCTCTTTCAGTACATGTCTTTTAATATTTGCATCTTGAGCGGCGTCACATGGGCCAACTCCAGCCCGGACAGGTTTTACATTTGAGTTCTGTACTTCGATTTAGCTTTGTTTTGCACCAGTACAAGGGATCACAGGTGAACTGCATACCCAGGAAAACGGGAAAAGCATAGAGCTTTCGGCATAGATGTCCTTTACAGCTACTTTGAGACTTCAAGAGGAGAGACGGCACCGCGGGGAACGCAGCGAAGCAGCCAGGGAAGCTGTGCACACAGGCACCAGCTGAGGAATCTCGAGAGAACTGCAGCCATCAGCATCGCGGTACAATATACCCCAGACAGTCAGTGGAATGAAACGATTGAAAGACCAATCACAAAACACCATTGGTACCGACCGTGAAATGCTTCTTATCTGATCTACCGGTAACCCAACATTAATCATTCCAGTGAGAGTGGTTCGCGGCATCACAACACATTCCCAGCATCCGGTCTTCGGCCGACGGGCTTGCATGGAGATTTCCAGCAACAAGCGGCTCCGTCGGCACCCGGTCCCCGGCCGGATCTGTCGTCACCGTGGACCTCTGTGTTTTTAGGGAGTTATTCCCTGTGATTAACCCCGCATCCCGCCCCTTTTCTCCGCATTTTGGCGTCGGGAAGCTTGGAGCTGCCCCCCTCTGCCAAGTCACTGTACGGATACCCCAGCCAGCAGCGGACCGGAGCATGGAGGTCTTTCTGAGGCCGAGAGCTGAAGCTCCAACCTCCCCTCACTACGTTTTAGCCGTGGTTCATTTTTGGCGGTTATTGCTTATCCGCGAGGGTCATGGGGAATATTAACGACGACTGCGACGACTGCATGGCGACTCGATCTTTGATTGCTCTCTTCGTTTTCTGAGATTTCGCTGGTGTGCATCAGAGGTTCGCTTGGCCGGCTCCCACCGCACTTACGACGATATCCGAGAAGGAGCTTCCGAGCCCACGATGCCTTCACTCTGTTTTCATCGCCTTACCAGCCTCGCGAGGCGGCCGGGCTCAAGGGTTGTTTACTCGAGAAGCGTTTTGGGCAGGTCAATTGCGAGGGCGTACAGCTCTACTCAACTGAGCTTCAGTACCGGACCAGATGAGGTATGCTACGATACACGTCCTTGTGGCCAAGGCCGGAGATCTGAACCTCACGAACTTCATACTGTCTACCTTCATTGCGATCTCACATCTAACACCCTGTTCAGCCTCCTCTCCTCAAACACACAATCCCCCAACACTTCGCCTCAATAGTCTCCGCCCACGGCGACCTCCCAGCCGTCACAGCCCGCGCCCCCACGGTCCTCACCGCGACGCCCCTCACATCCTCCGCGCCGCTCCCGCCCGCCGTCACCACCTCACTCACCTACCACGATCTTGACCTCCTCTCAAACACCCTCGCCCACGGCCTTCGCTCCCTCGGCGTCCGCAAAGGCGACCGCCTCGCGGTATCCCTCGGCAACGGCGCCGAGTTCGCAGCACTCACCTACGCCGCCTTCAAGCTCGGCGCCGTGCTGGTCCCGCTGAACCCGGGCTTTAACGCCAAGCAGGTCGGCGCCGCGTTGCGGCATTTGGGGGTCGAGGTGTTGATCATCGGCAAGGTCACCGATTTGCCGTATAAACCGGGGTGGGGGCGGAGTAATCTCGAGCTTTTGAGGAGTATCGTTCCTGATCTCGACTCGGTGAGGGCCGGGGGCGACGTGGAGAGCGAGGTCGTGCCGAGTCTGAAGAAGGTCGTGGTGGTGGATAACCTCAAGTTCCACCCGAAAGTCGACTTTCCGAAGTTCAAGGCCCTGACGCCGTACGAAGTCCTGCTCGACGGGGGAAGGGGGAACGTCGTGCCCGACGAGGAACTCAAAGCCGACGAGACGGTCAACATCCAGTTCACGTCCGGGACCACCTCGCAGGCCAAGGCGGCCATGCTGACGCACACCTCCGTGCTGAACAATGGGTACCTGATCGCCAAGCGGATGGGCCTCGTGCCGGGCGACAGGATCGTGGTGCCGCCGCCGCTGTTCCACTGCTTCGGGTGCGTGCTGGGGTACATGGCGACGGCCACCACGGGGGCGGGCATCCTCTTCCCGAGCCCGGCGTTCGACCCCGTCGCGACGCTGCGGATGGTCGCCGAGTACGACGCCACGGGCCTCTACGGCGTGTCGACCATGTTCGTCGCGGTGCTGGAGGCGCTGGCGTCCGGGCAGGTCGTGAGGCCGGAGGACATGCCGAAGGGGTTGAGGAAGGGCATCGCGGCGGGGAGTTCCGTGCCGGAGAGCCTGATGAGGCGGTTATACGACACGCTGGGCCTGCAGGACCTGGTCATCTGCTACGGGCAGACGGAGACGAGCCCCGTGAGCTGCATGACCGCCCCGGACGACCCGTTCGAGAAGAGGACGGGGAGCGTGGGGAAGGCGATGCCGCACACGGCGCTCAAGATCGTGGACCCCCTCGATAGAAACAGGATCCTGCCGCGGGGGGAGAGGGGGGAGCTCGCGGCGGCGGGGTACCTCGTGATGAAGGGGTACTGGGGCGACGAGGCGAAGACGGCGGAGGTGCGTGTGGCGGACGGGGAGGGGACGGTGTGGATGTACTCCGGGGACGAGGCGGCGATGGACGGCGAGGGGTACGTGGAGATCACGGGGCGGATCAAGGACCTGATCATCCGGGGCGGGGAGAACATCCACCCGCTCGAGGTGGAGAACTGCCTGTTCCAGATGGACGGGGTGAAGGAGGTGGCGGTCGTGGGCGTGCCGGACGAGAGGTTGGGGGAGAGCGTGGGCGCGTTCGTGGTGGTGAAGAAGGGGTGGGAGGCGGACGGGGAGGGGGAGAGGGGGGTGACGAGGGAGGGGGTCAGGGGGTGGGTGAGGGAGCACCTGTCGAGTCATCTCGTGCCGAAGCACGTCTTTTGGGTGGAGGATTATCCGAAGACGCCGAGTGGGAAGATTCAGAAGTTTAAGTTGAGGGATATGGCGAGGGAGATGTTGAAGGGGGAGAAGGAGTGAGCTGGCGTTGAGGTTTTGGGTGGGTTATGAGTTGTGAATGCATTGGCTTGAGTGGATGATTAAACGATTTACTGCAGACATGAGAACGATTCAATTTGAAGACCATTTTTCATACCGATATTGGTACTATGGCAGACATGGGTGTCTCGATACCAAATTGTGTATAAAAGGTCGCGGGTGCGTTACATGACTTTTCTTCCTGACAGCAACCGCATCCAAAAGAGCGGCCACTGCCATATCTCGTTCTACAACCTTAATGATCGAACACGCATGGTGTTGAACGTCAAAACATCAGCATGGCTAGCCAACTCACCTGCAAGAGACCATGTCTCGGGGTAACATAGGAACGAATAACTACAAAAGAATACTGGACGCCGAGGGCCTGAAGTCAATCAAAGTGAAGTTGCTTACATACGCTTCATGGCCGAGAATAAGTGTCTTCGCACCGTTGCATGCCTCATGCTGACAGTGTCATGAATGTAATCTGTCCATCTAGTCTGTTATAAAAAGCCTCACATAACGCCCTGCAGTTCGTGGTCCACTCAATCTGGTTCTTGGCCAGAAGCCGGACCAACTAAACACACGTGGTGTCATGTTTGGTCTCGAATGGGTAGGTTTCATTCATCGACAAGGTGTCAGTTGTCAACGGAGTAAAATCACTGAGTAGAACCGGTGCACTAACAGGCCATCAACTGAACGATCATTTTTCTGTGATGATATGGCGAAGAATAATCTTAAAACGCTGCCCAATGCCAGAGGTAAACTTGATGAGACGTGCTGGTGTGAAATCGATCTACCACAGGATCTGATACATCAGAATCTCGCCTGACGGTGTATTCTTGCGAGTTAACAGGTGACCGCGGTTTCGAGAGACCACAATCAACTACTCGGTCGAGTCCGTGGCTACGAGGATAGAAGGCATGGCCATGCAAATACTTCAAAGGTTTTGGAAAATCACTATAAATTGAGGCTTCACAATCTGCGTTTCGGCTGTACCACGGGCGAGCACGGGTAGTCTCTCGTAATATCTCCCTCAGACTTAACGTGGACCGTTACACATATGCCTTCAGTTATGAAATGGATAAAACGACTGGCCAGACTCGCCTTTTGTCTAGGATAACATGCCTCTGTGGTAATTCGTTGACGAATAGTCACCAAAAGCTTTGGGACGACAATGGTAGAGACTGATAGAGAAAGGAAAACATCGAAGATTTCAGTCACGAAACAGACGAGCTGGATGAAATGCTGGACTGAAAATTTGGATTTGTATATATTCGTGACAACGGCTTTGCCGTTATTTTCAACCTGTTGATAGTATCTTAAGAAGTATGAAATAGCGTTTAAATATCCACTCCATCGCTTGTTGGTTATGATCTTATTGATAGTGTGAGTAATGTATCTATAGATTCTTGTTTCAAGATTAAAGCAGTACATGTAGTATTGCAGTCTGACATTTGATAGACATCTTCGCCTGGGACATAGGCCGGGAAATAGAGCCTCCTTGGGGATATGGGGACGAATAGTTACAGGAATCCACGGAGCAAGGAGAGCGCCAAATCAAGAAAGCTTCTTTAGTTTCAAGATAATATGAGTGTTTTCTCTTTCCTAATGAGACGATAGGTTTGGGATGTATCTTGCGTATAAGAAGGCCAGACTGTGACCTGAAGTAAAAGGTTTGACGTAGTTAATCAGTAGTTTTCCCTATGTAAAGTTCTAATTGAGTCAACTATAATGCTAAGGCAGCATATATTAGCCTCTCAATAAACGCTACTTATCAACATCCGCAATTGTTTGACAGCTGCGGCGCTGTGGTGCACGTGAGGAGGCGCGGTTGGCGGCATTATGTTTGATGAATAAGGCGTCCACTGAGCTATCTTTGTCTAGGAAAGCATTCATCATGTCTTCTTTGTGGTGATACAGGGAGGAATAACCACAAGAAGCTACAAACTGCCAACAACAGAGAGTTCTTAGTGCTGTGGAAGTTAATCAGTAAGAGATTCAGTGCATCTAGATTAGAACTACCTAAGGTGCTGTAGTTTGGCGCTTTTAGGGCCCCATTGCTGCCTTTCTTGAATTTGAGGCTCAACACATTGCTGAGAAGTCATAATGTTGAGAAAGCAGTCTTTATATCTTCTTTTTGCTTGTTAAAGTGCATAACATGTTTGTTAGACTAAGCTCTATCAATTCACAGCATATCAGTTTCCATAGCTGAAGACACTATTTGCATTGGTGTTATGAACGAGCTCTTATTAAGTGGCATTCAGCCGGTCACAACTCACAAGCTGGATTTAAAAAGGGAATGACATGGGACTTGTTGACGTATAAATCGACACTAAACATAGACATCCTTACTTCCTGGCTGCATGGAACATGAATAAATCCACAGCGCATGGCAAAATCTCAACTACTATCTGCTGGTCTCATTTCTATGGGATGGACACTAGAAGTCATCCCGCATCTCATTCTTCAAAGTTCCAAATGGTATCTAACATTGCACATTCACCCATCTCAGCTCGTTAACGTAATGGTACTACTTTCTTCCAGTTGACAGCTGCGTCATTTGATGCCAAAGACTTGACCCAATATTAGTAGTCAGTCTGTCTAAGAGGCTCCCATGAGCCCTTAGTTTCCTGGCCAGATCCCTCAACCAGGGGCAGACTCGACAACAGCCCAAAGAACCGTCTCCTCCAACGGTTCGTCAAGCCAACACAGACTTGTCGAATCCACAGCTTGCCGTTGACCTCAAACACATACGAAGAAGACGCATCTTCCGGCTCCATCTTCATTTGCATAATGTCCGTCAACATGCGGTCCGCCGTCTGCTTGTCCTCAGCGATGAGGTGCATGACGGGCCTCTCGTGGTACATCGTCTTGACCATCTTCTGCACGATGGCCCTGCTGAAGAAGCCGGATCCCACGATAACCATCAACACCATCTGCGACATGGGAAGTGCCAGTAGGGTAACGGCGGCGAAGACCGAAGTGGCGAAGACGAAGCAGGTCAGGCCTCCGGCACGGAAGAAGAGGCGCAGTCCCGACAACCAGATGGGGGGCCGCTTGTCCTCTTGAGAAATGGAGATCACGACGAGCATCTGGCGACCTGTTTGCGACTCGTCGCCGGTCTGGGCGTAGACTGCGTTCTTCTTGGGCGCGGCGCCTCGCATGGCGCCCTCGATGACCATCTCGTCAACACCGTCGAGCTCCCAGCTGCTTCCTTCGAAGACGCCCGATTCGTTGCCGATGAGAGTGGCGTTTTGGCGGGAGATGTAGACTTTCCATGTCTCGTCGAATGGGAGGTTGATGTAACCATCGACGATGGCGACGACGCTGACTGTGTTAAGGGCGTCAGCATTACAGCAAATATGGAGGGTGCATGATTTTCTTACCAACGAGATACCAGATGTGTGCCCACCAGATAGCGGTGCACCATGTTGAATAAACAGCACCTTGCTCGATGACCGCCAATGCAACTTGGGAGCCGGCGATGAAGACCGTCAACACAGCACAGCCAAGAAGGAAGAACTGCTTCGGCGTAAGACCTGCGTAGGCACGCGGCATCTTACGGTCCCTCTTCAAAGCATGTCGGATCCTCTGTTGCGCCTCATCGGAAACACGTGCGTAAGTAACCTCGCTGGGGTCCTCCTCAACCTTCTTCACTGGCGGGACACGCATAGCCGTGCATCCCTGACTCTTCGAGACCTTGAGGTAATCCTCGGTCTCGGACGGCACCATGGTGGCGCCGAAGGTCAGCGACTGCGCCAGGAACCCGGCGATGGGAGACATTTTCAAAAGGGCCCACAGCTCCGCGGTGGGACTTCCGAAGAGGGCGCCAGCTGTCGGAAGGAGGGTCAAGACGCCGGCACCGGCTCCATATTCGGTGCTCTGCAGGGCTGACAGGTCGTCGAGGACGGCGATGAGGTTGCTACGGCACTGCGCGTACGAGTTGACGTCTCGGATGCACTGGCCGCGTCTTAACCAGACGTTGCTTGAGAAAAGACCACCTGGGTGCTGGATGGTCGGATCCTTGAATCTGTCGCTGAGACAAGGAGACTGGTAATCTTCTTCTTGGGCCAGGACGCTGGTAATAATCCATGTGAGGATCAAGAAGGTGGCCGTTCGAATATGGCGAACCGGGGCCGTGACTTGACTCCACGATGGTAGAGGCATTGTGAAGGCCAGTTGGCGTTGCTGGTCAACTGTTTGGTGTATTTGGATAAGGGAAGTTGAAGATAAAACAACGAACAACTAGTTGTGCAGAACTGGTAGGAACAACGCGAAAGAAGTATTTCTACACTAGCCAACATAACGATCCTTGTTCATGACTCAACAGGCATGTTATCCGTTAACTTATACACGTCTTTCAGCTATACCCACATGTTTGTGACGTAAATGGAGAAGAAGTAAGCAGTAGCAGCGGGAAAAATGCAGTGTAGTTGGGCTCTCGAGGTTGACATCGTCAACTACCCCTTGTCATGTTCTTTCGAGTACTCAGCCCTACGATCATGTTGGGATTGCACGGTTGTGGACGCAATCGAGACCAACAAGTACAACCAGGCAGAAGGATTAAACGCATGTTGTCGCAGGGGTCATATATGGGTGCCTGTGTCTCCCTGGTTGACACCCGCATATGGCGTGACTTTACACGGCGACTAGCTGCTCTAAACGGCAAAAAGGAATCACTGCTGGACGGCTGCCAAGGGAGGATTCCCTCAATCCAGGACTTTGGGTTAAGCCCGCGCGGGAGACGGGGTCGACTTACAGCCACTGAATTACCAAAGTCCCAAATGAGCCATCGTGAGGTTGCATCCATGCACGGTGCAGGCCGCAATTCCTACATCGCAAGGGTATTCATTCGGCCCCAGTCGAGACTCGTAGCGGGTCCCTCGGACTTTGCCTCGGACTCTGTCTGCTTGCTTTGTCGCTGTTCAATGGAGATTCATGGTATTGTGAACGGACACGCATTGGACACTAGGCTTGACGGTGACAGTTTGAGCCAATTGAAGAACACACAAGCAAAGTCCTCCACAGTTGATACAACATTTGGTTATTTTAAGTTTCCCAAGGCGAACTTTTGGCTAATGTACTTGCTGATCGACTGCTTGGTAGGCTTCTTCTATCCAAAGATGCTTCATGTTACTTCGGAGACTTTCACTCATCGCTCACCAAGCGGCTGTGAAAAGGATGAGGATACACATGTTCAGCCACCTTGTCTTCTAATTCTCTTCTCTTCTACCTGGCTGGCTTCATGAACATCTTGCCTCCACGAAACCAGACAAACTGTCCAAGAGCTCGCCTAAGGGGAACTAGCATCATACCCTAAGCTTGTTATAGATACCAAGCCTCAATCCAGAAATTGCATCTTGGTTTCATGCTGTCTGGTTTCCTTTGTGCTTGCTATCGTTTTAGGTAGCCATTAGTTCTAACTGACATCTGTCTGTGATCACCTCCACAGTCTAAGTGCGGTGACTGGGTTTGGCAGCATACTACTGCAAGCGAATGAAGCCAAGACACGGCCCAGCGGATCTGTCCATGGGGGAGCAGTCAGCATCATGTATTCGAGGCCAGGGCAACTTATGTGACCGGAATTTCTCGATAAGGATATGATGTCGGCGAGGTCACATATGTGGCTGCGGACGAACACAGAGAAGGATCACTGAGCAAATGCAGGCACGAGTCTTTGACCAATAGCGACGATCATCCCATGATTATGTCCGTAGGAAAGTGCAGGACAAGTACGTTGTAGGCCACATACTAAGGCCTACCCCGGCATGATGACTGCAGCAGCAATCTTTGGTGGATATGATTGGGGTCTACAACGTGTAGGGAGATCTCACGTCAAGGTTTAGGTCGCTCAATTATTCCGTCTTCTTCCTCGCGTCCCATGGTCCACTGCTGCAGAGGCTTGGATCCCATGTCGAGCGTACGTCTAGGACCAAGATGGTGAAAATTCATGCCCGTACGTTAGTCTTTATACTCGAAGAAAGCTGTTGGACAGAATATATACGAAGCTGGATTGAAGCTAACAGAATAAGTACTGATTTGAGAGGATATAGTGAGCCGACGGGAGGGGTCAGTTGCGTGTAGTATATTTGAAGAAGAATAGTTGGGAATACATTTTCTGGCAGTGCTGGCAATGTCAATATACCAACTTGTAGGGCGCTGTGCTATCTCAGTGACAGATTTTCGTGATCTCATCGCATCTTTGCGACAGCATCTCTCATGGCTTCCTGTAGCCAACTCGGGAAACCTCGAGTGGCAGAAATCCACCACGTGTTCGCTGGCATGAACAGTTGGGCACCGCGGCAAGAGAACACTTGCCCCGTAATAGCATCGGCTACCTCCTCGGGCTCCAGAATGTTGCGTCCCTTCCCGGTCGTACCCCTTTTCGACCTGATCATGTCGGTGTTGACAAACATGGGATGTGCTATTGTTGTGATCACACCCGGCGCCTTGTAGATGTTCTTGATTTCAGAGGCCAGACCCTCATGGAAGCTCAGTGCCGCCGCTTTCGATGACGAATAACCCACCGCCGAGGACATGGAAACGTGCGACGCCATGCTGGCGATGGTAACGATATGGCCCTTGTTGTTGTCGACCATGTTTGGTAGGAATTCCTTGACAGTATACCAATGCGAAAGAATATTGACTTTGAAAATCTTCGATATGTCCTCCGGTTCTGCGTCACGAATGAAGGCTTTGTACTTCATCGTGACCCCCGCGTTGTTGATGAGAATAGAAGGATGACCGAGATCAGGGTGTTCGCGGATGCTGTTTGCCGCTTCCTTCACAGCATCGGATGAGGTGATGTCGCATTTCCAATAGAAGACGGTGTCGAGTTGCGCGAGATCGGGCGGCAAGTCGGCGATGTCGAGAATAGCGACCTTGACGCCCTTTTTGACAAGACCGAGAACAGTGGCTTTGCCGATTCCGTTGCAGCCCCCTGTGATGACCGCAATCTCCTTGTCCCAGACCCATCCATCCTGGCCGGAGAATCTCCAGTTGTTGCTGGCGCGGATATTTAAGAGCCGATTCAAGTGTCTAGCGACACCGAAGCCGAGAAAGACTTTCAGGGCTACCTTCAGCCCGTAAAGTCCGACATATCTTTTGAAAATCCCCGAATCCACAAGTTGGTCGACGAGACGCGGGGGGCCATAAGCCAAAAATGCGAGTGCAGATGATGTGAGGACGGGGTTGAGAGCAAGGCCACTGACGATCTGAGCAGCCCTCACCGTGTGTTCAATCAGAGTGGTCATAGTTCATGAAGACCAATAACCGTGGTAAAATAAGAGTTGCAGACGAACCAAGCTTGCCCTACCAAAAAAGGCTGCGGACGGGAGGGTGTCCGGTGGACTATTTATCCTAAAAACGCCGGTATATTTCGGGTCAGCAATCTGGCCGAATATGGTCTGACGCCCATGTTACCACCTCACCGAAGTCCCATATGTAGTTCAACCCTTGAGGTTGACCAACGAGGATGGCCTGTAAACGGTGTAGCGTAATTTACTTACGCATTCGACTTGGCGGAAGGAGCGCTCCATACTCATTCCGTGTACATGCACACATTTGCCTACATCAACTCTGAATGTGTTGCTGCATGAAGGCACTTATTGCGTCTTTCGTGGAAAGCTACTCTCAAGTTGCCGCATAATGCGACCTTTTTCTTCTGGTTTTTTTTTTCTTTCCTTTTCGCTTTTCCTCCCTTTCGTAACACGCGATGAATCCTCTTCTTCATTATGTTTGAATGCTATGCATCAACTGTTATGGTCTTGGCTGTAAGGAGGCTGCAATGATCTAGAACCAACATATCCTCAAGTTCCATGCATCAAAATCGATTCTTGGTCAGAAAGGGCTCACTAGCATGATTTTGCGACGCCATACAATAGAAACGAGACATCATGTACAACTTCTGCGAGGTCTTGAAACCTGTCGCGGTCCGCAACATGTTTACTGCAAGCCAAAAGTCTGCGAAAGGCCAAGGATCCACGAGACTTCCACAAATGTCGGCGAGCTTCGTGACTTTCCAGTGAAGAGAACGCCAGGCCGGTTTTTTGAACATGAAGTGAATTGCAATACCTGAGTGCGGCATTCGTGCATATGCAAGTCAAGCTAGTGTCAGGTGCCTTGCGTGGGCCATACTCGTGTACTTGAGCCCAGGCAAGTATTTCGCCTTCAGTCGACACACTCTGTAATCGAGTCTACAGACTTTTATTGCTCCTGTATGCCATGTTTGGGAACTCTAGCCTATCAAAGTGCAGGGTGACGGGGAGAAGGCGAAAATCATGTCAGAGACCTCATGGTTCATTGCTAACCATCTCAGCTTGAAATTTGTGAATTCTTTACTTCACACAATGACTATATATATCAACTACTTGTTGATAGCATATTCTCCCGATTATTCAAGAAAATAAATCGCAAGGAAGTGGCAATCATGAGTGTGGTCAGTAGTGTCCGCCAGTAACTTCAACTCGTATGAACGAACACCTCCCTGGCCGTTGAAGAATCTAAACACTCGGGTCAAGTATGTTTCCGAACGACGTCAAACAAACTTTCAAGTTCTTACTGAATTTTCCGGGGCCATGCGGGTCTTCTCACTGGTTAGTTACCTATAGTATGTCTCAAGCTCGCCGGTGCGGCCCTATCCCTAACGTGTTTTCCCGCCCAGGGCCGATCCATCATCCATTCGATAGCGCCACAGTCTAGTGTTGTTCTATTGGTCACATTCTCCAGCGTCGAAAAGAAATTGCGTCGCGGATGCTTTTGGACCGAAAGGAGCCTTGAGACACCGGTCGAGCACGTAAACCACGCGTAGTTGACCTGACGATCTCGTGGGATACGATGTCTTATCTCAGCTCGTGAGATGGATCTATCGTCTTTGCTCCATTGGAAGTATCTTCTGGCGTCATACGACCTACGGATCCTTCTGTGCCTGTTTCAATGGCCTTGTTTCGGCCTGAAGATGTATGTCTACGTTGACATTCAAATTCCATGGGACATCGTAGCCTGCTCGGCGTGTGGAGATCTCTGACGCAGCCGGAGTACGCCCCCATTCCTTTCCCCGATCACAGGAGGCGACATGTTTGAGAACATTTTGAAGCTCGGTAAAGCAGGTTACTGTGACACTTTTCCACGTCCACAGCGCGAGGTATAAGAGAACTTGCTCTTCCTCGCCATAATCTTGCCTAACCTCTGCTCAACTACACAACTTACACCCTGTCATACTCATAAGTAATCCATCATGCGCTTCTCAGGGCTAACCTACCTCTTCGCCACGGAGTTCGTGCTCAGCGGCGTATCCGCAGTTGCTCTCAATAACCCTTTCGAGGGTGCCGGCCACGGGAATGAGAAAAGAGCCAAGTGCAACGCGGTTGGATTCCCAACATCTCTCTTTTTCAGAACATGCTGCTAACACAATATCAAAGAACAACTGTGCTCGAGCGGTGACTGGGACAGCGAACGGCTTACAAGCCACGCGCCTCGCCGACTGCTCATCCTTCATGCAATGCTTCGTTACGCCGATAGCGGTCACGGTCACTGACACCGTCACCATAAGTGTAGAGGCAGAGACAACAAAGACGAGCTTCTTCACGCTAACTCGTGATAAATACCCCGAGGTAGTCATCAGATCCAGAGGTCCACTCTACAAGCGGACCGACGGCGTCAACGCCGTCCCCGTGACCAGCTGCCCGGCTGCTGTTCCTACCTACGCCTCGGCCTGCTCCGGAGCCGTCAGATACTCCAGCGCATGTTCTTGCGGAGGTGTCACCCAGTCCTACAGCACCCTGGGTGCGGCCGTGTCGACCGTCACTTCCACCGTGACCAGGACAAAACCCGACGGCTTCACCGTCACCACCGAGGTAACGATCACCCATCCGACTCGAACCGTCACCTTTGAACCGAGTCACCTCACTGTCGCAAATCCCACGGGACGATTCCGACTGAGGACAGTCGGCGACGAATACAACGATCTCTACGCCGTCGGCAGCACGGGGAGCAAGCTCGAGGGCTGGATGTGGTTCGCCGTGACGGGGACCAACAGCTACTTCGAGATCAACTCCACAACAGGTTACCTCACCGACTTTGGATACCAGTTCGTCAAGCAGAAGATCGGAAGGGAGGGCGGGGAAATCGGTACTCCCTTCAACCGCGATGACTCTACGTTTGGGCCGGTCAAGTTCAGGACGGTCTCGAACGACGGCGGTGCCACGCTGTGGATGCCTGCCTTTGGCACGAACTTCCAGGCCAAGATCCAGGTGTGTCCTCCGGACGATGACCATAGCTATGCGCCCTGGTTCTGGCTGGGCTCTCAGGACAGAGACGGGTGTACTCAGGTGGCTCTTAAGATTGTGCCCATTTAGAGGGGTTGGTTCGTACATGTAAACAAACTTCAAGACAAGAACACAATGCGTATTACCTTGTTGAGAGCATGGCATAGAATCCAAGAAGATAGATCTTCAAGAAGTTAAGTTATTTCGAAGTCATCTACGGCGTCTCAAATAAGCTACACACATCCCAGGCCGTCGACCTCGGCGCACGCGTCTATGGGTAATCATAATTCCCAAAACTCCTCGCCAACTACCACCTCTTATATTCACTCAATCGAATGGAAGCGCCTTTTTTTATTTTCTCGGACATTGACAACCCATTCCCAAAACAGTCACGCGACATCACCTCGGTTGATTGGACGGTAGCCACCATCCTCGAGACGATACGCCCCTGGCTGTGCCGAAAGAAGGAGCTCCTTGAGCATGGGGCTTCTGTTGGCCAGCAGATCGTTCTCGCTCTTGAGGTAAAGAATGTTCCGTAGCCCGCCTCTGGCTTCGAGGTGAATCTTCTGCAGCAGCCTCTGAGTCATGACGTCGTCCTCTTCACCGTCCTTGCGGATGATGACCCAGGTCGCTCCGCCGAGTCGAGCCGTTACGACGCCGGACAGGAGACCCGGGAAGAGCCAGGGGTACTGCAGAACCTCCGCCTCGAAAGCGTTAATGGACTCGCGGCCGAGAGCGGTGTAAGCTTCGTCGCCGAGCATGATACCAAGACGGAAGAGGTTGGAGACGGAAACGGCGTTCGTAGAAGGCAGGGCCGTGTCCATGCCGTCTTTGAGGCGGAGAATAGTGTGCGGGGCGTTCTCGGGGGTGGTGTAGAAGGCGCCGCAGGAAGAGCGCGAAGCCGGGGGCTCGGGAGCCGAGATTTCGATTGAAGTGCTATCGTAGAAAATATCGATTTGGACCTCTGGAGATACATTAGCAATGCGGTGCATTGGACTGAAGGAGACTTACTCTGGAGCTCATCGGCAAATTCGATCCACTCCTCCTCTCCTGTTGCTTCATAGAGGTCGAGAAGACCCTCGATCAGGTGGGCATAGTCGTCAGCCAAGCCCTTGGTGTCGCCTCGACCCTCGTTGTATATCCTGTATAAGATCTTTTCCTGATCATCCCACAAGTTCGCCTTGATGAAAGCGGCGGCCTTGCCAGCTGCCTCGAAGCATGCTCTGCTTCTATCAACATCGACAAATGAGAGCGCCGATCCGGTTCTTGCCAAAGCACCGATCACAAGGCCGTTGCGTCCCGCGACAATCTTGGTGTCGGCTTCTGGCCTCGTACGTTCCTTCTCTCTGTGCGCCTTGAGCTTCTGCTTTGCGGAGTCCAAGACCCTCTTGACCTCGTCAATGGTGATACCGGCCTGTCTTCCGATCTCGGCCTTGTCCTTCACAACCCGCAAAATGTTCTCGTTGACGAACTCGTCGTTTGGATCTTGATCGGGTTCAATGTTGCCGTGCTCCAGGACGTTCCAGTACGATGCAGCCAAGGCAGCTTCGTGGTCATCCCCGATGACAGCATCAAACTCCCTGCGCGTCCACAAGCTGTACGCCCCTTCTCGGAGGTGCCTGTCTCCGCGGCGGTACGAGTCCGCGGCTTCGCTCGAGACAAAACCACCACCCGGCAAGCTGATGGGCGGGCTGGTGAGGTAGTCCACCAACTCCACCACGACGTCGTAGAACTCCTCATCCTTGTCACCGTTGCTGGCGATCAACCACGCATCCAGATACAGACCAAGAAGCAGGGCGTTGTGAACCACTAGCTTCTCGAAGCGCGGCACACTCCAGTCTGCCGTGACGGAGTACCTCGCGAAACCATGTCCACCAACGTGATCGCGCAATCCACTATCACGGATCTTCCTCAGTGTGAAGAGCGCCATCTCAGCGGAGTGCGCGCATTCGGTCTCGCCAACAACGTCCTGAACAGGCCCAAGGTATCGAGGTAGGCGGAGGAGGAAAGATAGCTTCGGCGGGGTCGGGAACTTCGGCGCCATCCCGAACCCTCCGTAGACGGTGTCGAAGGTGCCGGCGATGTGCGAATAGGCCTCCTCTAGCTGGTCGAGATCGAGCTCGCTCGACATCGCCGCCGCCGTTCTGCCTATGCTGGGATGTTCCAGGCCGGTCTCGGATCTCCCGAGCGTGAAACCCTGTGATCCAGCAACACCGGGCGCGACCGTCCCGCTCATACCGAGAGTTCCCTCGGCCGCGAAGTCGTGCAGCTTCACCACGACCTCCTTCGCTTCCTGCCTACATCTTGCCTCCTGCTCCTTCCACACTTTTTGCAACTTGCGCAAGATGGCCAGGAAGTCGAGACGCTCATCGTCGCCGAAGCTGCCGTTGTTCGGCTCCGGGGCGGGGTAGTATGTGCCGCCAAAGACGGGCTCGAGCTCGGGAGTCAGGAAGAGGTTCAGAGGCCAGCCGCCGTTTCCGCTGACTGCTTGCACGTAGTTCATGTATATGGTGTCGAGCTCGGGACGCTCCTCGCGATCGATGATGACGGGAATGAAGGATTCGTTAAGGATCTTCGCGCATTCGGGATGGGTAAAGCACTCGGTAGATGTAAGTCGCGAGTCTGTACAGAACGTCAGCGCATGTCTCGGAGATGTCTCGGTTTCACAGCCACTTACAATGACAAGCCTTGAAGCCAATGTGGAGGTATATCAGTTTGTTCTCCTGCTTCGCCCGCTCGACCGTCTCGTCGTCGAGAAGCTGCCAGGCAACGCGGCCTTCGGCATGGCTGCGGACGTAGGGACTTTTGCTCTGCCCGACACGATTGACTAGCGGTGGGAATTGCGGCGCGTCGTTGTTGAGAGCCACCGACAGCTGCGATGGTCCGGTCTGCTCAGTGCGCGCCGCCTGCGACAGCTCAGAGGCGACCATGGTGGGAAGGCTCTTGGTATTGCGGAAGTCGTGATCAATGCTAGGTGTAGGCAGCCAGTGGGAAGCTTGAGTCTCGAGATCACAAGATGCGTTCTCAATGTAGCCGGCCCGGGGTTTCCAAAAAAGCCCGGTCAACGATAACGGATAGAAGCAAAGTAAAGTAGCTTTAGCTTGGGCGTGGTGTTCGCCAGTCGGCCCGGGGAAGCTGCGGTAGGTGGTGGACGTTGTACCAAGTCGGAGAAAAAGCGAGTCATGTGGCGAAGGAATTCGAAGTTTTCCAGAAAGTGGCCTTTGTACGGATACCGTATCCGTACGCGTTGCGGTCTGACGGTTGCGGGCTGCAGTCGTGTGGAACGGGCGACCCGTTAATTGTTCGACGAGTCCAGCGGTAAAGGCTCAAAATACTTTCGACGTCAAGGTTTCGAGGGGCCCGCGAGACGTCACTGCTGCAGCAAGCCTGAACCGTCATTCGGTACCTGATTTCGACCTGCCCCACCATGCGCTTATCACCGAATGAGGGGTATTCTGTTAGGTAAGCATTCTGAGCTAAAATAACGATAACGGTCTTGGTGTTTTCTTTTTTTCTTTTCTTCGTTCCTTTTTTCACGACATGCGACCGTGTCTCATTTTCATCACCATGAAATCATCTTGGTGAGAAGAACTTTTCATTTTTCCTCTGTTCCCCCTCTTCTTTCGACAGGATTTTTCTTGTTTCAATTCAGAAGCTTTAAGCTTGGAAAACACCATCATTCATGCGCTGGTCTGCTTCTCAGTGGGATGCGTCGAAACCGTGACTCGCGCGGTCGCTAAGCTTGGATTTAATAATCTTGATGTTCAGGGTCTGAAGTTTCAACCGCGAAGACGCGTCAAATAGACTTTCTCTTACAGCCATTTCAAGCAAGTATTCCGAAAATCGAAGTAAACTCACATACCGCTACGCTGTCTATCTACTCCGTTTCTCCTGGTATCATTTCCTGATAGAACTCTAACAAACGAGGGTATTACGCTGATTACACCACATCATATCACTTTTGACTTTGAATCCTCCTTCGGGCCCCTTTTAAATGACTTTCTTCAACACATCATGATGACGGAGCCTCTCAAGTTGAAGTAATCGTCTCGTTGCCCCCCTCACTCTTCTTCTCTGGTGTCGCAGTTCCCGGCCTGCTCTTCTCGGTGACTTGCTCCTCGCCTTGCGTCGCGATGTGGCGTGTCGGCTTCTTTCCGGAGACCATCGACTTGATCGTATGGATGAGAGTCGCGCGCCCCTCAATGATAGGGAACAGACCAACCGCGAAGAAAGAGCAGAAGATCCAGAGGATGCCGACGACGACCCAACCAGTGAAGAAGGGCTTGCTGAAAATGTAGCCAGAGCCGTACATGGGCATCGGCCACAGGATGAGCATCGCAATGGTCCTGTCATGAAATGTTAGCTATCCGTTCCCATTTTCGATTCTTAGGTGAAACTCACATGAAGGCCGTCATGGAAACGGAGATCTTAAAGGCACGCGAGAGCATGGCTTGCTCGCGCTCAAACTCAGTCTGCGTTTCTTGACGTCCACCGTGGACGTCCTCCTCGAGATCGAGCCCCGCATCGGTGGCAACGTCGTGATCGTCGCCCCTACGAATTGCCATCATCGACTTCCAGTCATACTTGTCCAATCCAAAGACAAGGGTGAAGATCGGGATGAGAACAAGAGGCGACAACAACGCAATGACGTTGCCAGCCAACATGGGGTTGTTCGAGCCCGTGCAAGTGATATCCAGAGCACCGCACGTCTTCTTAGCGGTAACGAGCCACCCGATGATTGCAAAGGCAGTACCAAAGATCGGAGAGAGCGTCGCCGCCCACTTGTTCTGGCCCTTCCAGACCAGGGTCAGGGTTGCAGGTAGCACAGCGGCAGAGATGAGCACGCCCATCAGCACGTAGAGATATCCCATGGAAATGCCGTTGTAGTACAGTCCGACGGAGACCGAGCTGATCACCAGTGCGTAGATAACGACGCACACGTGCGACATGTAGATAAGGCGCTTGCCGCTGGCGTCGGGCTTGAAGTAAGTGCGGTAGATATCGTAGGTGAAAATGGATGAGACGGCGATGAGCTCGGCGGAGCTGGCGGAGGTGACAGCCATGAAGACCATCAGCAGGGTCGCGGCTGCACCGCCCTTTCCGAGGAGAGCAACGGCGGCGTACGGGAGGGCGAGGCCGGCGGAGACTTCGGCTTCGGTCATGCGCTCGGGGAACGTGGGGAATCGGGGGTTCGACTCGAGGGCCAGGGCGGAGAGACCCATGGTGGTGGCCGTCAGCCAGGGGATGGCGAACCATGACAGACCACCGAGGATGTAACCGGGGAGGGCGTGGACGGGGGAGGCGGCGATAGCCTTGTTGTAGTATCCGTTGTCGAGGAAGACTGTGCCGAAGTTTCCGACTGTTCGTGTTAGTCAGTTGCAAATGATGTGCTTCATCGAGCAGACCTACCGATGTTGATCACGAAGAACTCAACGCCACCCTGGGACTTCATCGTCAAGTAAGAACCCTCGGCATTGCCAGAGACCGGGTGTCTCAGTGCGGCCTCAACAAGCAGGTCATACACCTTGGAGGGGCTACCCAGCACGTCCGAGTTGCCGTAAGCCGTGAGCGAGAAGATGATGATAATGATCAACAGGATGAAGGTGTGGACCCAGTCAGTGAGGAACGTCGCCTTAAGACCTCCGACGAGTGTGTAAGCGACGACACCAACTGGCAGGAGGTAGATGGCAGCAACGGTGTGCCTGTGAATGTCAGCTTCCCTGTACTCTCTCTCGCACTTGACGAAGCGTCGACTCACATGCCAGTCAGAGCATTGACTGTTGCAGCACCTCCCACGATCAGCATGAGAGTGACGAGAATGTTTGTCATCAAGCCAAACACAATGAAGACGATGTGCGTAGCTGTGCCATATCTCGCCTTGATAACCTCGAGGAATGTGTGTGCATTGGGTGCTCTGCGCTTCAGCTCAATCGCGAGCGTCGCAAAGAGCAGAATCTGAACAGTAGCACCAGATGCATACCAGAACGGCCCTGAGACACCATACTTGTAGCATACGCCGGATGACTGAAGAAGAGTCGCAGCCCAAGTCCAGGATGAGACGACTGCGGAACCGACGAGACCAGACTTGACAGTTCTGCCGGCGGTCGTGAACATCTCAGAGGTCTGGAGCTCCCTGTTGTATCGTTTGAGGACATAGGTCGTGGCGATCTGGGAAACTCAGCACATGAACGAATCATCAGCATCACAGGGAGTCACTGACCATGCCAATGGCGAAAAGAAAGCCCACGCCAAGGACGATGCCATAGCCGACACCTTGGTTGAGAGCCGCTGTCACCATCTTGGGCGGTTCTTGGTGAAGTTCAGGAAAGTAGGTACACCCTGTCAGTGAGACTACCGCGAGTTTGGGCCTGGGCTCGCTGATGTATATGTATGCGGCCTCCAAGTTCTGCACACATCAGACTGACAGCTGGCCGCCGGCAGCATCGATTCGCGAGCAGCGGCCTACGGTTATCGGAGCTTAAACTACCGGAGCTACCCTTGTTGGTTCCATCTGCGGGTTGAGACATAGACATGCGTCCCCCACAGAGGCAAGGAGGAGGTCTCGCGACATGTGCGAGATGGCCGGGGTTGGGACTGAGGGATTCCAGCCCAATCATGGTTAGACTGTCCCTTGAGGACTTCAGATGGAAAGTCTGCGTTGCACATCGGCAGAAGTTGCGGCACGCAGGGAACAGATAAGGCCAAAATTCAATCAGTCATAGAAATGGTGTCGCCCGCCTCGAGGACGGGAGCCAATGGCAAATGGCTTGGACTTGGGAACGCTGGGGATCTGCAGCCACTCGGGTAATAGAGGCATGCTTGTTTGGGTAGTATTCTTGTAGATGATACAGCAGAATGATATCTCTGAGAAAACGGCCTGTCTCCATGCACAAGCATGCAGAAACACCTTAGTAGCGACAGGTTCCTGTCAGCTTGACAGGGTGATGTTTTCATGTGATGAGGAGTGAAATCCAAGAAGGATTCTGCCGCGAGAGCTTGCCGGGACGACTTGGATCATGCCTGAGTAATGAAATTGCTTGTTTTTTCTGGGTATTTTGTCAACACTGGTGATCAGACCGGCTTGAACATGGACAAGCAGCTCGAATCACCAAGCTCCTATGAGACAGCTGCAGATGCTGACCGCATGGGGGTTCGTCAGAAGGATCAATCCCCGCCTATGGTGTATCCCTTCATAACGAACTCATCAAATACGCGAATGAGCTTCACCGGGTCTCAATCGGCCGGGTTATGGCGCCAGCACTCGTTCGGCACGGTATCGGGGGCCGGGAAGAGAGCTGCGGGTGCAGGCCTTGGGGGCCAGGGCTTGAACGCGGCCGGCGGCCAAGAAACGGACTGATAAGACATTGAGCTTTAATTCTTCCTATCGTCCGGCCGTTGAGTCAGTCTATTGGGCTATTGGTTTGGTTTGATTGCATCAGAGTTCAAATCGAGGTTGCAAATCGCGCGTCGTTATCGCTGGATGTTGACAGGGAGAAAGATAAGAAGTCGAGATGCGTGTGGATGGCGTGGAGAGACGGGACCCTTGTCCATGCACGGACCATGTTCGAAAGACATCTCCGCAGGGGTTCGAATGAGCTTGCGGATAGCATGAGCAGATTTTCTCACACTTCTTTCATAGACCGAGGACCAGTGGACATGAATCTCATCGATAATCCGGGTTCAAACAGATTGTATATCATTTTGATACTGTTTCTTTAATGATCAACAATCAGAACGGTTTAGGATTCATCTCAGCATGCGATTAACAGCCAGAAGATGCTGCTTCACGTCGACATCCATCACATGTCTCCAAGCTTTGCCAGCAGTCAGGTCAAGCTTTTTGCAAAGCCTTTTCCAAGAGACCCAAGACGCATGTGTCTCCGCCGTGGAGATCGCTTGTCTTAGCGCATAAGTATCCTACTCGGCGTTTAAGCGATGGCTGACACAAAGCGAGAAGCTGTCGAGTGCAGTCCCGACAGCCAAACATGAACAGGTAAATACGTTTCAAACTAATCAAGCAATTGACCAATTGAAAGGGGTCTCTAAGTCCCCGCGCGGGTTGAGAAGCTCCTCCGCACTAAGCAAAAGCACTCCAGGCGTCGACTAGCCAAATGACACCACGCTTCTATCGATGAGATATGCCGGCAAGAAATGATATCATGAGTGAAAACAATTGAATACAACTACATAATATCGAAGTTTTTACTCATGAGAACAGCAACTCTCAGTTTTAATGATTCGCTAAGACCCAAAAGATGCCGCACGTCTCAGCAATGGCACATCACTCATTGGCTCGGCTATCACGTCTGCAGTCTGTTTCACGGTGTCAGGCATCACCACTTCAGGCCGCAGCAACATCTTAGCCTTCAGCTTGAGTGGCATGTAGATTATGCCGCCGGCCCCGATCCGATTCAATTACTTGCATATATATGGCCGCGGCCAGGCCTCCGGGACGATTCCAAGGTGTCAGGATCGACATTATCTCGATCTTTTGCGCGCTAGCCTCCTCTGTGTCCCCCAGATAATCTATTCAGGGACATTTAACGTCTTTTCTCCGTACTCGATGTGACTCTGGTTCATGTGCAGTCGCCGCCGGCCATGTCGTGGTCCGAGACTCTTCAGCGAGCCGTTGAGACCGATCGAATCAGGGAACCCAATCATGAAAGGGGCTCAGCCGCAGACACGACTCAGCTATACAGAACTCGAGAGGGTGTATTCATCTTCTAGGGTACAAGCAGTCAAAAACTATCCCAAGATCAACGGCATCTCTGGAACTTTCTAGCGGTATCTACACCACTCCATAATTATTGTTCGTGACCGGACACTTATGTAGCAGCAATGGACAATAAACGCAATACTAGAGCCACTAGCAGCAGGGGCAATTATGAAGGTAGCGAGGAGTAGTTGCAAGGAGAGCATAATCGTGAAGGACTCTAGTGCTTTCACGGGTTCTGAGGCGAAGAACAGATCATTCACTGTCCCTATGAACACAAACTCTGAATCCGATGAGCTTCCCAAGCAACAGTCATCCAGGCAATCCTCAGTACATCGCGTGAGACGTTGGCCCAATGAATGTCCCCTTCGCCTTCCAATAACGCTCTATCATCCATCTCTCATTCAAGCTCAAGCAACGCGATACGCGCTTCTCCTGTCTCAGTATCAACCAGAGCATTGAAGAGATGGCATAACTCACTCGATGACAAGCTCATTCCTAGTCCACATCCCACTTCCGACCCACAATGCAGAGCCCACGTTGTCGATGTACCTCTCTTCTGTTGTGGTGATGTTGATGAACATTCGGTACGAGTACGCTCTGGGGTCTACTGGCTTCTCCCCTCCGGTCTGGCGCAAGCTTTCCAACGTATTCCACGATCCGCTCAATGTTCCACTCGTCTTCAACTCGAGTCTGGACTAGTAGTCAGTTGAAGAGCTCTTTCCGCGTTCAAGCTGTCCAGCAAAGTTCACGAAAACGACAACTTACATTGCTGGATCATTCTCATCATCCGTCTGGAGCTTGTAAAGTCCATTTACCTTCCGTTTCTTTGAACCAGCGCCACTACTTGTCCCGCAGTAGAGTCCTCCGGCCACAACCTTACCTGACCCCAACGATCCCGACCACGAACCTCCCACAACCTGAGCGAACTCGACGGGATTTGAAGCCAGGTCGGCAATAGCTTCCAATCTATGGGCATCGAAAAGAATAGCGATTCGAAAGTCAAACTCTATCGTGGGCGGCGGAACGGACATGCTCGGATGAGGAAAAGATCTTGCTAAACTTGCTTGGCTGCTTTTTGCAGTGCTTGGGCTGCTAGGAGTCATGTCAGCTGTCTAACAGGCACTCACTAAGCCCAGTCAACACCACTCGTCTAAGATATACAGAGAATGGGGCTTCATAACCTTGCGATCTACCTTTGAGTCTGAGCCGGGATGTTCTGCAAATTATCGTCACCAGAAGTGCCCCATCCGCCATGCTGTCTGGCCAAATTCCTCTCAGGAAGGCGAAATATTGGGCTGTCCGTCTCAGAAATCCAGGTAGGGTCCCATTCCAGCTCCTCCGGCCTCAGTCTTCGAGGCGTAAGGACGGTTGGTGATTCTTGGCTGCCCTTCCAGAAGCCATGGGTGTAGCCAGCGACGGCATGTTCATCGTGGCGTGCGTCGCTCATCGATACTTGGCCTCTACACCGAGCGGCTCGATCAGTAGGAATACTCAAGTACTACGAAGAACCGCTGATGAGACGCCGGAAACAATTCATCAAAATCGAAGTCTTGAACGGTGACATTCGGTGACAAGAAGGACGTTGGATAATACCGGAGTCCTCGTTCTGTAATCAATCAATGATACCCCGCATGACCGCGTCGGTTGACGGGTCTTACGGCGCCGGCGGAAAGCCACACGGAGAGATCATGCATCACGATCGGGGGTTTCGGAGGGACTATCACGCCGCCCACCGCCAACCACGGCCCGATTCCAACGCCACAATTGGGCCCTGTCGGCCTGTCGAGCTCTCAGCATCACTTTCCATCTCCACATCACCGGACCTTACGAGAGGATTAAGACTAATCCGTGAGACATCCGGGGGATCGCGTACAACAAGATGCATTGATTCCCACAAATAAAACGAGTTTTAAGGGAAAGGGAATGCATGCCGCAGGAACTCGTCCAGTAGTTTGTCCCGTTCCGACAATACAGGACACAGGAACCGAACCTGGCACCCAAGACAAACGTGTAATCGTTGGGCATGGCGAGATATCGACTAAAATAATAAGGGTGGCTGCATTGTATTGCGCGGCATATTGCAATTACGTGCTGGCATCCAAGAACTTGACAAAAGGAGCTTCAAAGTCGTCGACCCTTTTTCATTTCTGCTCCCTTCTCGCCAAATTGAACACTTAATAAACATGAGCGTCTCCTGAAAGCTCTGCAACACCTCGGTCTTCATTCTCACGTGCCAACAATTCCGATATTCCGACATTTCTGGTTCCGTTTCCGGCTTCGCACTCGTTCAGCAACGCGTTAAAAACGTGGCACTGACTTCCCGTGAAACTCTGTCAGCCCAATTTCTTCTTTCGAGCTTCTTCAAGGCCAATTCCGGCATCTCATCGTCCAATAAGACAACACCTCCAGTCCGAACCGAGGTTTGTCCTCTTGACAGCCCAGGGAACCTGTCTTACACGACTACCGAAGCAACTGCCGGCGGGCGCATGTCTGATAATTGTCTCTGTTGAAACCTGATGATGCTAATATCAACGACATACATTCCATTCAGGGAAATAGACTGTTATCTCACACAAGGCTATGTTGGCTTCACACAAATACATATACGGGGAAAGAAGTCGTTTATGCACGGCTTGTACAGGCTGCTCGCGTTGAGCTTTTGTGATAGCTTCATCATATAACTTTGGTAAAATCAATTTACTTTCGTCTTAGACCCATCTCAATATGACACCAAATCTTCTTGCAAGAGACAAGCAATACTATAAGCTTGACATCACCGACAATCTACCTCCCGGCACGGACAGCATACTTCAATTTGAACTCGAACCACGACAACCGAGGCCACCACCTCCCCCCAAGAGACCGGTTCCAGAATGGCCGCCTGAAGCGGAAAGAAAAGGAAAATGGATCTCCAAGTATCTAGACAAAGTAAGCACACGTTGTAATCTCAGATGCCGCCCCTGACGTTGATTCTCATCGTCCGACAGCTCGATCCAGAAACAGAATACGACCAAATCGTGAAAACGGCAATCTTCTTCATGGCAAATTCCTTCGCCTTTTCAGCAGGATATGCGTCGACTTTCATCCACCTGGTCCAAACTCCCGCCGGAGCCGCCGCGGTGCACCAGACCGCCAAAGCCTATCGCCGCGGTCACCAGCGGTTTTTTGAGACCCAAGATTACTTCCTCGACTGGATGTGGTACGGAAGCGGCTCCGAAATAAGCATAAAACGCCTCGAGAGCGTGAATAAGATCCACGCGAGCGTCTGGAAGCAAGTGCCCGGCGCTTATAGTCATCCCTGGGAAGGCGAGATGGCCATTATTGGCGCGGCGTACTTCGAGACTTATCTGCGCAAGTTGACAGGGGCGAGGAGAAAGGAGCCGCACCCGAACGTCCAGAGGGCGTGGCCGGAATGGGGGGAACGGGTGTGCGCCCTCTTGAGAACAGAGCCTGCGGATGGGTCGCGCAGCTTTGGTGTCAACTTTCCGAGAACTTGGGAAGAGCTTGAGGGTTTCTATCTGTGGTTTCAGAGGATTCCTATGGAGACGTACACCAATGAGGAAGATAGTAGAAAGGCACATGATGCTTCGGAGGCGTTCTTGAGACAGTTCAGTATGCTTTGGTTCCCGAGGTGAGTGCCCGCAAGATGGAGCAGGACTAGCTAACGTTTTCAGACGATTCCAATGGCTGGGTCGACAGGTTGTGTTGACAGTGATACCGGCTCAGGTCCGAGAGCATAACCGGATTGGACACCCGAACCCCTTGGCAGAGACGCTTGTTAAATTCGCGATTAAGATCTACTTGGACGTAAAAGATGCTTTGCCGGATCCTGTGAGACCTGTCTTTTCCGACGAGTATCATGCGGCTAAAGGAGTGAATTGGAACAAGACAGACATCAAGGCGGAGGCAGAGTGGACGCGTCGAGACCAGATCACCAATGCTGTCATGGTTGCAATGGTGTTAGTGTTCGGGCTGGGTTTGTTCCTAAGAATCTAAAGTACTTGAAGTGTACCTAGAATGCACAGTGATTCATTTCAAGTTTCGAACGCTCATCAGCCGCAGCTTTACTCGACCCTGGGCTCGCATCTTGATTTCATCTTGTATTACGATGTCTAGTATTGTAGTTGGTCAACCTGTTAGCTTGTTAATGCAGTACGCATCCTCGCGCGTACTGGGTAACTTGTGTGGCTTTGCTAAGATGATTCACAGTCTTAGCCTATCAAATTCCTGTTGCTCAGCTGTCAGCAACAACACCAATGATGTGAACCGTTCTGCTTACGAGGCGACGTGCGGGGGAAACTTCATCGCACGATTGGTTGAGAGACTCGATGTCGATGATTGCCTGCAGCCTGATTTGGCAGCCCAACATTCATATTGATGGATGCTAGGCATCCATCATGACCCCGCTTCTGCCAAAACATCCTTCAATCATCCACCCCTGTGCTTCGTTTGCTTGACATCAATCACTCCGACGGTGATCGAGTACATATCTACAGGCCAGACTTGGTCATTCACGATGTTATCGTACACCTATCGGGCTTTATCGCCTGGCTGTATCCGCCTGCTTCGCCTCAGTCCGCATGAAGATGAATCTGCCCCAGTACATTGCCGCCTTTTCGAGTACTCTCTCTCGCCCCCAAGACGAGGAACTCACCTTTACGAAGCTCTGTCGTATTGCTGGGGCTCTCCCACAAAGTCTCAGACAGTCTTTACCGACGAGGGCTCTCTACAAGTCACAGAAAACCTCCATGCGGCACTCTTGCGCCTGCGAGATCCTAGTCTCGAACGAGTTATCTGGATAGACGCCATCTGTATCAACCAGAACGACGTGGATGAAAAAGGTCAGCAGGTTCAACTAATGGCAGAGATTTATGCCAGAGCAAGCCGTGTTGTTGTCTGGCTTGAGAACATGACCGGCGACCCCCTGATTAACAGCGAGTTGGAGGCCAATGGTCAAGAAGCACTTCAAGCCTTGGAGGCTGCTGCAGGAGTTGCGATTGAATCGCTGAGCACATCTTCCCGTTCAAGACCTGTCGGGTATTGGGGAACAAAGCTGGCGGTTGAGAAGTTATTCGAGCGAGCGTGGTTTCGACGCATTTGGGTGAGTAATGATCGTAGATAAGCAGAAAGTTGATGTTTGCTCCTAACAATGTATTTTCAGGTACTTCAAGAGGTTGCCGCCGCCCGAAATATTCTGATCATGTGCAAATCCGCGGAGATCGATGGCCAGGCATTCTGTCTGGGTTTTGACCGACTCGATTTATTTCTTGAAGACAAAGACAGTTATATGAGAGCGCATTCCGCTGTTTCTCTCATGAGAGGTGCCACAATTCGTTCCAAGTGCGCAGTCAGTGGTTCCCGCGGGATCTCTCTCCAGATTTTGCCCCTCCGACGTTTGGTGGAGTTGTACCATATTCGGGAGGCCACTGACGTTCGGGACATGGTGTATGCATTGCTTGGCATGAGTACTGATACGCCTGTTGGCCTGGTCCCCGATTACAGGATCTCGTGGAAAGATCTATTTGGTCGACTCGTGAGGTCACTCCTTTCCGAGGACATTTCTGTAACTACGTACAACGAGCATACGACTGCAGTGATCAAAAGCAAAGGCTGCATTCTAGGTGAATTGCGGCGCCGTCGAACCGAGAGCGATTGGGGTGGCCAACAGGAAGTGTATGTCGATTGGTTTCGATCCGAACATTACTACCATGGAAGTTCTGGGCCCAGATGGGAGTCAATGAACCTCCAGGAAACGACGAAGCACGTTGAGGATGGCGACTTCATCTGCCTCCTGCAAGGCGCACTGCTTCCCACAATCGTCAGACTACACAAAGACTATTGTTCTATCATCGCAATTGCCATCGATGCAGAAGTGGACACCGCCGCACTTTCTGGTCCGTGGCTGAATTCATGGCGTAACAAAACGCAGTTCGAATTTCTACTTGTCTGGGAGTGGAAAACTTCAGGCGAAAAAGCCGTACAAGACTCGACATTCGACAGTTTTCTGAGTAACCGAGGCTTAAGTTGCATCAATCTGGGAATGCTAGATGACTTGAACATCACGCTAATGCTTCTGGAAGCCAGGCGAAGTGCCCTGGGAATGGGAAAGCTTCTCTCGTTGATGGCAACTTACGAAGATGCCGGGCAAAGCCAGCATTCCATTGCCGTCGCTGCAAGGAGACTTTTCGACCAGAAGTTCCAGCGCGGACATCTTTCGCTCCCTAATATTGGATGGGATCAGAAGACAATGCTGAGCAGCTTCATTGGCAAAATTGAACGCAATGCCGACGTGACGGAAGATCTTGTGATAGAAGCCGCTTCATTAGACAGCATGGATCCAATGGTGTTACTACTTGAAGCGCGTGGAAATCGCATCACCATTACAGAAAACATTCTTGCAGCGGCAGCAAGAAACGGGAGCTGCGGCGAAGTTATTACCAGACTTCTCTTAAAGCACGCAAAGGATGAAATCACCATTTCAGACAACATTCTTGCGGCAACAATGGGTAACACAGGAAGCAACCAAGAGGGAGAAAATGTTTTGAAATGTCTTCTTCTTGATGGAAAAGGACGAATTGCAATCACAGAAGGCGCTTTCATAACAATGGCGAGAAATGAAAGGAGCGTAGGAGTTTTAGCACTTCTCCTCGAAAATGGGGAGGATCAGATCACCATCACAGAAGACATTCTTCTGGCAGCAGCAAAGAACGAACGATTTGGTAGAAAAGTTATGGAACTTCTCCTTAGGCGTAAAGGGGACCAAATTATCATCACTGAGAACGTTATTCTGGCAGCAGCAGCCAATAGGACAGGCAGTTCCATCATGGCCGCTCTGTTCGAGGAGAAACTGGACCAAGTTACAATCACTGAGAACATTCTCGTGGCAGTAGCATTGAACCACAATGCTTTCGGCATCATGCCACTACTCCTTACGCAGAAAGGGGTCCAGGTGACCATTACTGAGAACATTCTCATAAACCTACTGGCGAATCGTTGTTCTGAATTCACCATAAAAATCATCCTGAAGAAAAAAGGGAACGAAATCACCGTCACTAAGAAAATACTCGAGGCCGCACAAGACCCTGAAATGAGGGCCCTTCTCCTCGAGCACAGCAGAAGAAAGAAACATTACAGAAGACTTCCGACATCTACAAAGCAAAAGCAGGGTGCTTTTTCAGGATGACACTGGCCGGGACGACTTGCGGAGCCGGACTATGAGGAGTTTTTTACAGGATGTGTTCTTGGATGTTGGGATGCTCTCCGGCTGAACGTGGGAAGGAGGACAAGCTGTCGTTGCTAAGGATGGAAAGAACGCGATGCCGCTGGGTTCCACACTTAGACGTTGTCAAGGATATTTTGAGTCTGAAATTCGAAAGTTGGCAATAGTTGGGTTAGTCGGCGCGTGTGCAATGTTTTCTTTCAAATATGGATCATGTAATTCCCCAGCATGCCCCTCGTTCCTAGGTTGTCTCAACTATACTGAGCCATTGGCCCCTTCCCTGGAACAACGGAGTGATGCAGAGGGCACATAATTGACAAAATCGGGGTATCTTTTCTACAGCGACTGACTGACTGACTGCTGAACGTGCTCAACCCGCCCTCCAACCGCCACAATCTTTTTTTAGTTTTTTTTCGTCGTAGTTTGCCCCTTTCATCTAGCCACATCCCATCTTCTGGCTTCGCAGCATACGTCTTCCCCGACAAATGGTATACGCTTCTCATTCAAAATCATCTTTCCCTCCACAAGAAGGGGGATACGCGCCGGACACTGGGCCATGTCCGAATCGTTTCCCCGTGTTAAAACTTTAAAGTCACACCTTTGCTACGCCCCAACAGTCTGTGCTGGCTTCCTGTGGGGTGGTAATCAGGAGCCCCCTCGAGGGCTGCCGTTGGCGGGTTGTTTGCGGTTCATGAGACCGCTGAAGAAGGCTTGCAGTTTGTCGTTGTCCATCTCGTCGGGGTTCTCATCCGCGGTGTCAGCGGGTGGTGTAGTCGGTTCCTGTGCAGAGCTGTATGCCTGACGGTCCTGTATTCCGTTAGTCCCGTGTCTCGTCACCGACAGACTCAGCCCGGTGCTCACCTTAAGCCGCTGCACCATGTCGTCGGCATCTACCTGGATGCCTCCCATGTTGAACTGTACAGGTCCGATATGCTGGCTGACTTTGCCGTCGCCCTGCCTAAGCGTTTGGCCAAGATCAGGCTCATCCGTCCGCTGGCCCGTTCTCGACTTGGCCGCGTCCGCCTTCTTGTCCTCGGCGCTCCTGCTGCGGTATTGCTCGAGCGTCTGCAAGCTTGAACCCAAGAACTCTTGCGTGTCCGTTGATGACATCTCCAGCTGTGAGGCATCTGCGTCGCGTCCTGTGAAGGAGATGGCACTGCCAGCGCTGCTGAGATCGCGAATCCAGTCCTCGAAGGGGGCGACGGCGGAGGACCAGACCTCGCCGTTGTAATCTCCGTCCGCCTTGGCTCTCTGAATGGTGTTGAGGCCCTCGGTCGTCATCGGGGGTGAGGGGAAGGTAGACTGCAGGTCGTGGGACCAGCCCTGGCTCGTGGTTTCTACATCGAAGCCGTCGCGCAGCACGCGGATCTTGCCCCAAGAGTCCCAGTTTGGGGGGACGAGGATCTTATCCCTGTCGATCACGTTGTGCTTGAGCGGTTGGCGCTTTAGGAGGGAGGTAATGCCTAGGCTAGAATGTACCAGGCTCGGTATGGATGAGGGGACATTCGGTGTGGTGTAAATAAGAGAAGCGCCGTCTGCGGAGTGTTAGCTAGAGCTTTCAATAACGAGTGGCTCACGTACGTCTCAGCAAAACAGTTCGGAGATATTGTAGTACTTGGTCGAAGTCGCCCTCTTTCCAGCCCTGTGTCTTTTCCAGCTGCTCCATCTTCTCTGCCTGCAAGGTAGTCAGTACTTGCAAGTCTCTTTCCAGCTGTTGTGTTTCTCACATTTTGGCAAACCACACATAGCGGCAGTCCGATACCTTCCTCCCATTCGCCAGGGCCGAGAGGCAACGCTACATCACCTTCGCTCGTCGTGGCTCCTGTGCCGTCGAGGTTTGTCGAACCGCCGCCTCTACCCCTGTCCCGCCAGCTGACCATTACTTCTTCCATCGCCGCTTGACACTCATGGCTCGAGTTCTCCAAAATGCTCCGCATGAACAGAATCCATTCTCGCAGTTGCCGCATCCAGAGGTGTGGTGTAGACCAGTCCAGCAGTACAACCATTAGGGTATTCGGTATTGTCTCGGGCGTGATTAGGGGTTGGATGAGTTTCGGGAAAGCTTCTGATGGCGTCGACAGCATGTAGAGGGAAATTCTCGCCAGTATATCTGTCCAAAGTCAGCACCAGGCTCGCGACACCATGTCGGGAGCTCCCCCACGCACCTTCTTGATCGGCATCCAGCACATCGTAATAAGTGTAACCCAGAGCGAAGCTGTTTGCGACAGGCGGTGTCTTAGAGCTCTGTCGGTCCAGGCTCCGCTTCTCGCTGCTGTGCGACAAGGACTCGATAAACTCCCGCTGCGAGTCGGGGTTGCCGCCGAGCACGATCATGTTCTTCTCCGGTAACCGCTTGCCGCTGGCGACGTTGTCGAGCATGGAGCTCCAGAGGTCCTTTTTCTCGCCATTGCGCCCGTCCGACTGCGTCGAGGCCGAGGTGTACGTCGACACCCTATTCGCACTTGCCGTCATGTTTGTGGTTGTTGGAGAGAACGCATGGGGGGAGCGAACGAGGCGGGGGGGCTTTTCGTGGGTCCGGAGACGGGAATGTGGTGTTCTTGGTTCGGGGCGGTCGGTGGGTTGAGAGTGGACAGCTTTATGCCGAGACAAACAAACGCGTCGTCGCTCAGAAATCGCGACTCAGGAGACTGGAGAGTTGGCTTTGGGTCACGGGACTCGCCAGGGCGGGTAGAAGCTGCAAACTAGTCGGAAACGCAGGCTTGAGAGACACGGAATATTATCACGAGAAGCTGGAGATCTGCCTCGAGCAGCTGGACCAGAGACTCGCGGAACAGGTAGTCCTGTCTTAATGCCCCTTCATCAAAGTGTCGGGGAATTTCCAGCGCCGGACCGGCTGTTTTCCCGACGCCTAAATGTGCGGTGGGCGGCTCAGCGCGCTAACGAAACGCCAATTTAGGGGTGTCTTGGGCCGAGCTTGGGGGAAATGACGCACTGACGGTTGCTACGCAAGCGACCTTATCGACGTGAAGAGTGGAGCTGCAGTGAGCTTGCAACGCCATTTCTATCAGCCTTGCAGATTTGCTGGGTGCCTCGGCAGCCTTCTTCCCAAAAGTTGTCTCACGTCAACATCTTACTAGCAGAGGACATAGCTTCTGCCAATCTGCCAAGATGAACAAGATCCGCGCCATCCAGGAGTTGAATAAGAAGGAGATCGAACATGGAATGTGAGTAACGGCCCTACTCCCAATATCCGGACTGCGAACTGACAGAAACAGCTCCCCCGAAGGCTCCTGGCACGTCGACTACCGCGACACGGCCTACATCTATTTCGGCGGTCTTCCCTACGAGATGTCCGAAGGCGACGTAATCACAATCTTCTCCCAGTTCGGCGAGCCTGTGTGGCTCAAGCTTGCCCGCGACAAGGAGACGGGCAAGTCCAAGGGCTTCGGATGGCTGAAGTACGAAGACCAGCGCAGCTGCGACCTCGCAGTCGACAACCTCGGCGGCGCGACGATCGGCAGCCGCATGATCAGCGTAGACCACGCGCGCTACAAGTTCCGCGACGACGAGGACCCGGATGAGGGCAAGGTGGACTGGGCGACTGTCTCGAAGCTCGAGGGCGACGGCGACAAGACGGACGAGGAGTCCGACGAAGAGGAGGAGGAGCGGCCGCAGCTGCCGGAGGAGAGGGAGCTTGCGCTTCTGATCAGAGACCACGATGACGACGATCCGATGAAGGAGTTCTTGATCGAGGAGAAGAAGAAGGAGATACAGGAGGCTTTGGCGCGGCGTGGGGACAAGTCTGAGAGGAGGAAGAAGCACAAACATCGTCACCGATCGCATCGGTCGCGGCGGCACGATAGTGACGAGGAGATGAGGGATGGTGACCGGGACGAGGATAGGCATCGCAGCCGAAGGTCTCACCGTGACGACACGCCAGAGGAGAGGGAGCGCAAGGACGGGGAGAGAGGTTTGCGCCGTGAGAGGCGACGCGACGATTCTCGTGACAAAGAGTCGACAAGGGATGACAAGAGTCGCCGAGATAGGGACCGATCCAAGGACCGGAGGAATCGCGACCGCGGGCGAGACGATGATCGTAGAAGGGAGCGTCGCCATCGTGATCGTGACGACTCGGAAGAACGCCACCACAGAAGACACAGAGATCGCGACGAGGAGCCGCGGCACAAGAGGAGAACAAGAAGCAGGTCGCCATAGTTTCGGAGATGATGTAATTTTGTAATGAAAAGAGCGCTGCTATCGCTGATACCCTTTGAATGCCTAGTCCCTTGATGATCCCGTAAAACGCCTGCCATGACCGAAAACCTGTTGACATGAGCTTCGTAGCCTTTCAACTCATCCACGACAATAATTGGAGTTGACGTCGAGGTTCTTCTTCCCTAGGGTACACTGCCCAAGTATCTCTTCCATCCTTCTCGGGTAACATATCGTCGCCCATCTTCGCCCTTGGTGATGATAAATTTTTCCCACTTGGCGTCTCGCCCAGCGCCAACAACAGCCAAGCTGTCCTCGTTGATCCATCCGATGACGCCCTTTTGCGGTTTCTTCATCCCAGTTCTGGTCTCGTCTCCGGTAATAAGGGAATCGTCACCCGCCTCGAATGGGGCCGATGCAAACGAGTAGACGTCTGAAAATAATCTAGGCAGTAAGGGAACCTTGCCCAGGAAGCCCCATCTACCTTTTCCGTCGTCACCTGGCCTTCCCGCAAGAATGCCCGATCCTGCCATGGACGCCGATGGACTAGTCGGCGCAGTCGCAGGCTTGTTGGGATGTGGAACATCGAAAACATGCAAGGTGGACTTGTCCGATGTGCAAGCCAGTTTTGTTCCCTCCGGACTGAAGCCCAGAGAGAATATTGTTGCAGGGTCCACGCCTCTGCGCAGCTCAACCAGCTTGGCGCAGTTAGTTGTTGCAAATACTCTGATTAAGGTGCCTGTTTCGCTGGCGGTGGCCAACAACTCTCCATCTGAGCTCAGGACGAGAGCTCTCAGCGCCGATGAATGCGCTGGGATGATGCTGACGTTGCCGGTGCTCGTGTGGACGAGTTGAACCTGGCCTACCGTTCTACCGGGGAAAGCGATCATCTTTTCCGACATGCAGCAGAGCCCTAAGGGATTGTTTGCAGTCTCATAGACAGCCTGAAGGTCAGGCAACTTGGCAAAAGAGTAAAAACGAACGCTGTGCTCGAGCACGACGACGATGCGATTGCGGCTGATGCGGACGCCTCGTACGGGCATAAGGGAAGCGATCTCGATAGCGATCTTGCCCTTGGCGTCGTCCCAAACTATGGTCTGCACCTTTTTAGATGTCGATGTCAACGAGAGGGGCGGGGATTCGTACTTTATTAATGCTGAATTTTGGTGGTTTGCCGCCGCCGACCATGGCGAGGTAGTTGGTGGTTCCCATCATCTCAACGAGACCAATGCCGCCGTTGAATTCTGCATGATCCTTAGCCGGGCTCATCATGGCTTCGAACGGCATGAGTACGAACCTCTCGATCCCTTCAGTAGACATGACTTTGTGTGAAAGACTGGACGATATCAGTGGGTGATTTGCTACTGGAAGCTAGCGACCATACTGCAGATTCCGGTGTTGAGGCCCACAGAGAAGCAACTGGCATCGCTGTTGAAGGCAACCGATAAAACAGTGTTCATAGGCACCGTCTCTATGGGGGGCCGCGTATTCATTTTCGGTGAAGAGAGATGAGACTGGCGATCTGTAAGTCGATATCGCGAAGCGATCGTAGTCTGTGCGACGATGAGGGGCGCGGTTGCAAGGGATGGAGATGCAGGCGCACAGCCGGTCGACCGAGCTAATGCTGTGTTATTTGCTGATGCTATTCGCTATGATTTCATGTCTGATAGAAGTTCCTCGTGAAGTGAAAGAGAGGCGACCGGAGGATGGTTGACGATGCTCTGGACCCTGCTGAATGACAGTCGTTGCTTCAGCGGGTCACAGTCAGCTGGACAGCCGAGTCAGGAAGCTAGGAGAACCAACAGGGGCTATTGATAGGTGGACGTCTGCAGTCAAACAGTGTCCGGAGTGATGCTTTATGAATCCTCTGGAAAAGCGACGGTGTTTGTTGGTTGTCAAAGTCTGAGATTGATGCGATGAAGAAACAAGATCCCGTGGTTAATGTCTCACCAAAAACTCAGCCAGAGTGAAGACGACCTGGAAATGAGGTACCTCAGCAGCCGCAGAAAGAACGAGTGGCCGGTGAGGTGCCGTTGATGGACGGATGGTTGAAGGTGGCCAGGCATACAAGTTTTGCCAGCTGGCAAGCCAAGCTGACACCTCTTTGGCAGCACCAACGCGAAACATGTTTGGCCTTGCTGGGCAAACAGACGCGTTGCAGCCTTCAGGCACCTGCCAACGACCGTAGAGCTGCAGCACGGACCACTCCTAGTCTCGTGACCTGTCACCCTTCTTTCCCTTCTTTCCCCCAAAATTGCCCGAGGATCCCCCGCTGCCCAAACCAAGCCTCAAAAGGATTAGCGTCAAATTTGGGGGAAAGGAGCGTGGGCCGGGGAGTTGATGGGCCCCTGAATTGGGCGTGCAACAGCAAGCAGCGTTGGCCGTCAATTGGCTGAGGACAACTTGGGGACCTCCTGCCGCAACATTTTGTGTGAAATTGCATTTTCCAACAGCCGTCGGTCAAGACCCTCCCGTCCCCTTTAGCACCTGCACCTCCTGTCCGACCCCCCCAGGTCCATTCCACTACAACGACACTTGGGATCCAGCACTTCTTTCGTTCCGTCCACACGACACGACACGACAAGACGCTCGTTGTCCCTTTCAACGCCAATTCACCTTTCTTTCTCGCCTGTCGTTGACTTGGTCGACGACTTCTCTCACCGACCGCGTTCGAGTCCAGCCGTTACACCTCAACCGTCGTCGTATGTTTGCCCGCCTCCCCTGAATTGGACCTTCTTGGCCCCCATCAACGTTTCCTTCGAGCCTCGAGAAGCCACCACCACTGCCTCAATGCATCTATACCCTCGAATCTGTACAGCTGCTAATCACCAACGTTACCACAGAAGATGATGCGCAGAAAGAAGAACGTGAAGAAGGGAATCCAGTTCTGTTTGATGGTCTGCGGAGCATCAGGCACTGGTACGTCGTCCTACACTCGATCTCCGAGTCCCATTGATTGACATCCGCCTTTTACAGGAAGAACGACCTTCGTCAACACTCTCTGCGGCAAGGGCGTGCTGGGCCACAAGGAGGCAGACGATCCCAACAGCGCGTCTGTCGAAGATGGTGTCAAGATCAAGCCTATCACCGTCGGTTTGTGCTCACCGCGTCACATCGTTCATCAATGGAGCAACACGCTAACCAATACGCAGAGTTGGAGCTGGACGAGGAGGGCACTCGCATTTCTCTGACGATTGTCGACACCCCCGGCTTTGGTGACCAGATTGACAATGAGGCCAGGTACGGCGTCCCAGAAACACTTGCTACCTCCTTTTGCTAATCCGCAATAGCTTCTCCGAGATTGTCGGCTACCTCGAGAGACAATACGACGACATTTTGGCCGAGGAGTCCCGTATTAAGCGTAACCCCCGATTCAGGGACAACCGTGTCCACGCCATGCTGTACTTCATCACGCCCACTGGTCACGGGTGAGTTCAACAAAGCGACGTCTGCCATTGGAAGATGCTAACACACGCCCAGTCTCCGTGAGCTGGATATCGAGTTGATGAAGCGTCTCGCTCCCCGTGTCAACGTCATCCCCGTCATTGGTCGCGCCGACTCCCTGACTCCCGCTGAGCTTGCCGAGTCAAAGAAGCTGGTGATGGAGGATATCGAGCACTACCGCATTCCCGTCTACAACTTCCCTTACGATATCGAGGAGGATGACGAGGACACCGTCGAGGAGAACGCTGAGCTCAGAGGGCTCATGCCGTTCGCGATTGTCGGTTCCGAGGAGGTGGTCGAGATTGGCGGTCGTAAGGTTCGCGCCCGTCAATACCCCTGGGGTGTCGTCGAGGTCGACAACCCGCGCCACTCCGACTTCCTTGCCATCCGTTCCGCGCTCCTCCACAGCCACTTGGCCGATTTGAAGGAAATCACTCACGACTTCCTGTACGAAAACTACCGTACCGAGAAGCTCAGCAAGTCTGTTGAGGGTGGTGCTGGAGTGTACGTATTGTCCGATCCCCTTTCCCCGCAGCATGCACTGACCCACCATAGTGACTCGTCCATGAACCCTGAGGACCTCGCCTCGCAATCCGTGCGCCTCAAGGAGGAACAGCTGCGGCGCGAGGAGGAGAAGCTTCGCGAGATCGAGATCAAGGTCCAGCGCGAGATCAACGAGAAGCGCCAGGAGCTCTTGGCTCGCGAGTCCCAGCTCCGCGAGATCGAGGCCCGCATGCAAAGGGAAGCGTCCGCGGCAGCCGGCGGCCCGGCGGAAGCCAACGGCGACAACGAAGCCAACTAATTCACCTTTGGCCCTGCTTATGGTTACCCCGAAACTGCGACGTTGGTCTTTTTCTATACTGGCGTTGGTTTCCGTGCTGTGTTGAAAGAGAAAGAACATTATTCCCCCCATGCGAGTTCGTTTCTCTGACACGAAGATAAAACCCCAAAAAGGTCTACTACGAATGCGACGACTGGGAAGAGGCTGCCGGTTTGGTAGAGTTTGTGGGCGCGAGCGGTGTGTCGTCTTCAGGTGGTGGTTGAAGAGCTTCTGGGTGAGGTCAGCGGATGAGGGCGTAGGACGTCTGGATTTTGTTACCCGTCGATCTGCAACTCTTGTCCCGATTACACCGCCCAACCGCATCTTTCCGGCTGTGCCTTTGTAGCCCTTTTACTAACGCCCCCATTTTCATTTTCTCTTAGTGGACTTCTAATGCAGATATCAAATTACTTTACCGCTTCACCAAACATTCGTGTCGCTCTTGATGATTACTGTGTGAGGTAGCCAATCTGATTCACTACGTACGTAAATGACCTTGCGCCTAAGACTACCGCGAGCCCTGAAAAGAATGCCTGTCGATACACTGTCGATGCGTTGAAACAAAAGAACCACTTTCTATTAAATCCATTTTTGTGGGCTGTCACTTCCAATCTGTCGGTTCAACCTCCGCCCGCTCCGTCAACACATATCGCTTAGTTGTTCTGCTGACTGTTCAGGATGCGCAAAATGGCAAGGAACAGGTTGATAATGTCGAGGTACAAGCTGATGGCGGCGGCGATCTCCTCCTCGACATGGTGCTTGCGCATGACAAGCTGGGTGTCGACGAGGATGTAGGCGCTGAAGATCAAGGCAGCGAGACCGCCGTAGACGAGCTCGCCGGTGGAGCTGTAGGGGAAGAAGGCGGCCATGAAGCCGAACAGGACAAGACCCCAGAGGGCGCCGAAGAGGTAGGGCATCCAGGAGGTGAAGTCATATTTGGTCTGGCAGGCGAAGAGGGTGAGGAAGACGAAGATGCCGGCGGTCAGGACGACGGCGTTCAGGACGATCTCGGTCTTGTAGAAGGAGACGATGACGGAGATGGTGTAGGCTTCGGTCAGGGTGAAGAGGCCGAGGAAGAGCAGGTTCGTCGGGTAGGACTTGCGCTTCCAGTAGGTCAGGAGCATGAAGACGATGGAGCCGAGGAGCTGTGGCGCGTGATGTGTCAGTATGACAGTCGTGAGACTGGTGGGGGGTATTGGAAGGGAGCATACCGAAGCCCAGACGAGACCTGGGTGGGATTGGATCCATGTCTTGTAGCCCTCGCTCCAGAAGCTGAGGGCGGAGACGGCGCCGGTCGCGATGAGCTGGACGGTCAGGATGGCGTAGACCTTTCGGATGAACTGGTTGCGGATGTCGGTCGTCGCCTCGGCCACGGAGCCGCCGAACTGGAGGAGGAAGCGTGTGTTAGTCGGATTTCGAGTGTCGCGGAGATCGCGGAGGATAGGAGGAGGTCGCTTTCGCTCGGGCTTACCTTGAAGTCATCGGGGATGTCGTCGTCCTGGCTGCCGCGGGGGGCGCCGCCGCCGAAGAGGCGATCGGTGTCCTGGGCCGAGGAGGTGTCGGCCTGGTAGGCCGGGGGCGGCTGGGTGTAGCTCCTGCTGGCCTCGTCCGGGTCTTGGGTCGGGGCCTGGGTGTACTTTGCGGTTGAGGCCATCGTTGCGGTTGGGTTTTTGCGCGGTGGTGCGCTGACGGCGGTAGATGTGTGCGTGTGGTGTTTTGGCGAAAACGTGGCACGGAAATCTCGGGGGATGCGCTGGTGGTGATGTAGGAGAGGGAGGGCGAGATCGTTGTCGTCAGGATCGTGTGGGGATGGGAGTGGTGATGCGACCGGCGATTCCAGATGACACTGGAGTGGTGGCTCCGGCTGCAGCCTGGGGTAAAGTGTGGCGGTGCTGGGTGGGGTCATGTGATGGAGAATGTGGCGTTGGAATCGTCGGGTGAATTCCGTCGCTTTCTATGAATATCTCTTTTAACTCGATAAAGTTTGCTTACTTACCGTATTGATCTCTTATAGTACGTAATCCATGACATGTAGCAAAGCACCACAGAGCCGGCACCTCCCTTGCACCTCACTTCGTTCACGTCCTGACCAGCCCCTGGGCGCGAACGCTAGCAACGGGCGCCGAGACTGGGACAGTCGGGATTTTCATGAATCACTTGGGTGGGAGCTTTCAGTGGTCACAGCTTGGCAAACGCGTGGTCTGATGTTGGACATCTCTACGTAATGTGAGAAGAGAAACTGAGGGGTTGTGTGAAAGTTCGCGACCGCTACTTTCCGACCACGAGAGATGGGATGAAACGCGGAATCCGATCTGACAATTTTGCTCTGTTCTCTGCATGGAACACAGCTGCGAGGAAGAGGCGAAAAAAAAGGAGGAGGATATAAGAGGGAAATTGGATCGAGATTGTGTCTGTGATGCGAGGTCCGTCCGTATTCGTCTGGTGTTTTGGGGGGAGTCATTCATACATGGTGAACCGTGAGAGCGTAGTGGTTTTCTTTGACACCCACGTAATTGAATTAACATTGAGTGCTGTAATTTTAGCACGGAAGGATTCTGGGTTGGACTGGCGGTGCGACTGCTGTGCGGCTCCTTGAAGATGATGTTTTTTTTTTTCGCTGGATTTAGCGTTCTGACGGCAGCAAGCCGTGTCGTTCTGGATGCGGATTTGGGAGGGCGACAATTGGCTGGATGTCGCCATCGCACATGGGACATGGGGTGCGGTGAGAGCTGTGTTGGTGTGGGAGGGGAGCAGCGGCTAAAAGGAGGCGCTGTAGCCAGTACCTGAGAGCGAATGTCACCGACGACGACGACGAAAGGGACTTGATCTCTCGAGAGAGTCAAGACACCGACTGGCCCCGGCGGTGTCCCACGGAGGACGGACTCGGGAGTCCAGGCGTGAGGCGGGTTGTCAAAAAAGCAGCGACGGACGGGGACCAAACATGTTTATCGGCGCATTGGTGCAGCGTGCAGGTCGCAATTGCATGTCAATTGTCAGTTGGTCGCACAGATGATGGGAAAAGGGGTAAGCAATACGGTCAGGGAAAGATAAAAAAAAATAAAGATTGATGGACAGGGGGGCATATATGCCAAACGACGATAAGTTGATAAGAGGCTGGGGTTGGAAAATCAGGTCAACCTAAGATGAAGGTAGTCCATTGACCGTTTCTCGTCACATTGCAGAGTAAAACTAACGAGTTTAACGCGATTGGCAAATGGGCGCAAAAGCAATCAATGTCATCAGGAGAAACGGGACATTGTCCAGGAGAGAGTAAATAAACGAGATCAATCCAATTGGATCAATGGTTCGACATGGTTGAAACTTGTTGAGGAAAAAGCGACCCGCCGCCGTCGCCTTGTCACTCTGTTTTGTCCGAGTCTTTCGCTCTCTTCTGCTCTTCGTCCTTGGCATCTCTCTCCACGTTCATGATGGCGGCCCCTCTCCGTCTGGCAGTCTCCCCGTCCGTCCTTGGCCTTATCATCTTTCGAGTCCAGTTTTCTCGTCAAAATAGACTTTATCCATTGGCACTCCGGGTGGCCGCGGATAACATGAACATGTCCAAGGAGGACATTCAGGAAACGTGGGACTTTGCACAAATGACACTGGCGGCAGGACTTGGCAAGGGCCAATCATTCTCCCAATTTTAAGCTCCGTCCAATTCGACCAATGCTAGGCTCGAAATGGATAGGGGTCCCCCACCCTTTTCCCAAGTACCGCAAGTACGTACCGATTCATACCTACCTCGAATTTCTGGGACAGCCTGTGCGAAAGGAAGAAAGGCAGGACCCCTGTGTTGTAATTGGCCATTGGCCGAGAGCACCCTTGCCCTTTTTTCCCTCTCACCCACATCCCTTGCCAACAACAGCGTACCTTTTCTTGTTGCTTTCCCATTTCCTTTCTTCACCGCCTTTGATGAGCGAGCTCCCGTCTTTTAAGGGTATGGGCAACGGGCGGGTTGGAGATCTGTGTACCGCGTGGTTAAAGTCCCCTGTCTTTGAACCCCTGCCTCCGGCCTTCACCTTCAAAGGGAAGGATGGAATCGCAGTCTTCCAGGTTGAAAGTTGAATGTTCCTTCAGCGATTGGAGACCCGGCTGCTGCCCTCCCCGAAGACACTGGAGTAGACTTGACATTGTGACATGGGACCTTGAGAACGCAAGGGCTCTGAGTTGTGGAGTGGAGCGTCTTCGAGGCGAGTGGAAAGGTGCTTCCATGGATGCATCCAACGCCCCTCGCGTACCCTGTACCTTTTTTCCCACTCTCGCGTTTCCAATTGCTGCCAATTTCTCCAGGTATACTTTGGGGTCACCCTGTGAGAACAACAACAAAAGGAAATTCAGCAGCGGAAAAAAAAGAAACGAAAAAAGTATCTTCGACTTTTGCACCTCCCCACCGAACACGCAACCCACCTCCAGCAACACCTACCCATCTCCATTGCACTGAGCACTCGGCGAGCAGCAAGAATACGGTTACGGTACGGTACGGCTCTCTCGCAGCACACCTTACACGGAGCACTTCTGCTGCACTCCTGATCCTGGCAGCCTCTGGAGCAACAGAGCAGATCCTGACCCCGTCCTGGCCTGGTCGGGTCCTGTGTACTCTGTACGGAATACCAGTGGTCTATCCCGTCCCTGTCCTGCTCCTGCCACCGTCTCCGTCTCCGTTGTGTGCGACGCTGCCCTTACAATTCCCATCTTCTCGATCTTCAACCTCCCTAAAACCGACCTGGTCGTTCGTTTCTTCCCCCCTCCCTCCCTGACCGAGATCACGAAGCAGAAGCGCCCTTCTCGACTTCGAAAGCGCTCTGCAGCACGAACCCGCGCCGCAAGATAACGTCCTCGACCGCCCGTCGTTATCGTCTCGTCAAGCACCGTCCACTACCACAAGCTGTGGACTCGGAGAGAAGGACACGCTCACTGCACACCCGTCCTCCCCTCGCTGGCCACCACGGTCTTCCCCGCGACCTCAGTCCGAGCCGTCGCCCTTCCGAAACAACCCAATTGAGTTCCAATTGGAGCTCAATCACCACCGAACATGGCCGACACCGCCGGCCATGAGGCGACATCGCCCGTCTCCCCCATCTCCCCAGTCTCCCCCGTCTTCGAGAAGCACAGGAGTGGCATCAAGCGCAACGCCAGCACAAAGCAGCTTAAGCTCATGAACGGGCCCCTTTACCAGCAGGGCCACAACAACGTCAACGTCGTTCTCGTGAGAAGGGTCAGGAGGAAAGATGACAGCGCTTGGAAGATGCTGAGCAGATGGATGGTTGAGAACCAAGTCGGTATGTCGTCTCTTGTGTCGCTCTGCCATGCTCTTCCCTGTACCCCACACGCGCCGACTCCAAGCCACAGTCGAAGCATCACTGTGTTCCACGACATTGCCACGAGACATTGACTCCATTCGCGTGTGTTCGGTCGCAGATTAAGCTAACCTCCGCTACCTCCAGGTCTCTCCTTCAACCTGCTCGCCCTCCTGTTCCTCGCCCACTTCTTCATCCCAAAGGCGCAACCCCACACGATCAAGTTCTTCACTCTCTCATACAAGAATCCCGAGACCGGCATGTACGGCGCCGGTCTCGGTGACGGCTGCCTCATTGCCTTCTGCATCGTCCTCTTCACCGGTCTGCGCGCTGCGACTATGGAATACGTCCTGGCCCCCCTGGCCAAGACTTGGGGTATCTCCAAGCGCAAGGACCTGACGCGCTTCAGCGAGCAGGCCTGGCTGTTGGTTTACTACGGTGTTTTCTGGCCTATGGGAATGGTACGTGTTTAGCGTGGAAGCTCGAGGCTGCTGCGCAACGCAAGCTGACATGGTTGCAGTACATCTACAAGACATCGCCCTACTGGCTGAACCTGAAGGAGCTCTGGACGGACTGGCCCCAGCGCGAGCTGTCCGGCATCAACAAGTTCTACATCTTGGCGCAGTGGGCTTTCTGGCTGCAGCAGATTATCGTTATCAACATTGAGGAGCGTCGCAAGGACCACTGGCAGATGTTCACCCACCACATCATCACCTGCTCACTGATCTCCTCCTGCTACAGCTACCACCAGACTCGTGTCGGTAACTTGATCCTTGTTCTCATGGATGTTGTCGACATTTTCTTCCCTGTAAGTCATGTCCTGTCGCCCTGATAGCCGGCCTGCTAACCCTTTCTAGCTCGCCAAGTGCCTCAAGTACGTCGGCCTTAACACCCTGTGCGACTTCATGTTCGGTGCCTTTGTGGTTTCCTGGTTCGTCGCGCGTCACATCTTCTACGTCATGGTCTGCTGGTCCATCTACGCCGATATTCCCGTCACGATCCCCACCGGCTGCTTCAGGGGCAAGGAGCCCAACTTGTCCGGGCCGCTTCCCATTCCCGAAAACTCCTACACACACATTCTCGAGCCGTTCTACAAGCCCGATGGCCTCGTCTGCTGGAATGACACCACCACGTGGTCTTTCCTTCTGCCCCTTCTCGTCCTCCAGGTCATCACCATTGGCTGGTTCTTGATGATCGTCCGTGTCGTCATGAAGGTCCTCCGCGGCGGAAACGCCGAGGACACCCGCAGCGATGACGAGGGTGAGGCTGAGGAGGAGGCTGATTACGTCTACGAGGAGGCTCAGCCTCTTGAGCAGGAGGTTGGCGTTGAGGACATCGACCTCAAGAGCTGGGAACGAAGGACGGGTATCAAGAGGCAAGCGAGCGCCTCTGGCGTGAGCCTTCCGGGCCACAGCGACCGCAAGGAGCTGCTTGGCAGAATCGGCTGCGAGAAGCAAGTCGACTAAATGAAACGGCTGTCATTCCGTCTGTCGTGGGCACGAAGCAAAAGCCATACGGACGGGAAGATAGAGCCCAATGTACAAAGCATGTTGGTGTGAGGGGAAAGAGGAGTTTCAGAGGAGTCGTCATTGGCCGAAGACAGGACTGAGGCAACGCGACAACATCGTACTATGTTAGAGACCAATGGTGCGTCGCCTGGACGGTGGGCACCACACAGGCATAGATAACATCTGGTTCGGTTTTTTCGGTTTTTTTCCAAAGAACGGCGAAAAAAGAGAAAAGTGTGGAGGTCGAGAGATGGTCATCTCTTCGCATTGGGATTTATTCACACAGTTGGACGTATTGAGAAATGAATCAAAAGTCTTTTGAGTTGATGCACATCGACGTAGCTGTTGCGACGTGTGAGAAGGTGGGTAAATGCCGTCGACTTTCGGAGCTTGCGATGTCATGTGGGGCTGACCCCGAGATTTTAGGTCCGGAAAGCCGGCTTCGGGTCCTGCGTTTTGACGACGTTGCTTCAGCGTCATGATTTATTCAGTCGCTCATGCAGAGATTCTACTTACTGTCATACAATACTGCGTACTAGCATGGGTCAGAGATACTATTAATACCTTATATTTTACTGCTTTTTATATTGGGTAGATGTGAGAGCTGCGCGAAGCGTAAGCCACGGAATTAATCAAACGGCTTCAGCGTCATATTGGCAGAACCTCTGGAACATCTTTCTTGCACTCCATTATCCACATGCTGATGTTGTTTGACATTGGAGGAACATGCAAGGCTTCCAGGGGTAAGGACAAGCCAGTAAAACTTCGCAATTACTTTGTTCAGACATACATATTATGGGTATATAAGAAATGGCAACGCGGCAAATTTCCCTATTCACTCCAAAATGATATCCTTTGTCTGTGCTTCACAGGTTGATGGTACCAAGACCGCTTGAAACCCTAAAAACCCCAGAAACCCCAGAAACGGAGCAGTGTCAACTTACTGCACTTGCTCTATCTACGGTGGTTTCGAAGAATATCTAGTCTAATAAAACCTTTACCCCTTCAGCACTCGATAGGACAATAGTCAGGTTCTGCTTCTCCTGTCCAACGGGCAAGTTGGGTACGCTCGGCGGTAGACGGATATTTGGGTATCTCATCAGAAGACGAACGACGCCGTAACTAGCCTCCATGAGAGCGTAGTCCTCTGAAGTAGATTAGCATTTTGTAAAAACTAGTCTCAGAATAGGAGGCTTACTCCCAAGGCAGACTCGAGGGCCAGCGTGGAAATCGAGAAATCCTGAACCCAGTCCAACTTTGCGAATCAACTCGCCACTAGCCCATCGGTCTGGTCGGTATTCTGTGGCGTCAGGGCCATACAGTGCCTCTCGTCGGTGAAGGTGATACGCTGACCATCCCACGCCATTACCTTTCCGTAGGAGAACTGGCGCGTTTCCATTATCTCCGCCCCCGCGAGGAAGAATGGTAGTACGGGCAGCATAGCGTACGTTGACAGGAAGCTGAGGGTACAGGCGAAGAGCTAGTTTGAAGTCAGCCCATTGAAATATGATATATAACAATCTGATTCCCCGGATGCATGGCATAGGTGATCTCACTTTCTTTCAAACAGCAATCTAAGAACGGGAGCTGTTTGATGTTCTCGCGTGTAATGTTTTGGTCGGCAGACGTGATGACAGTCGCTATCTCTTTTTTCAAGCGGACGAGTAGTTCAGGATTCCGAACCAGATGGAAGCTGGTTCTATTAGCAACTGTCGAGTCTTGATATAAACTTGACCACTTACAATGTCCAACTCAGCAGACAGGCTGTAGTGTCTCGTCCGGCGGTAAGAACATGCAGCAGCTGATCACGCACTAATGTGCGATCTTTCAGACTCTTCCAAAGGTCCACGATGAACCCATACTTCTCTTTCGCAGATGCCTCGCCGTGGTCTTCGAAGTGGTCGATGGCCTTGCTGGCAAAGAAGGACGCCCAATCGCGAACCCCGCGGCAGGCCTTCTTGAACCTTTTCGGTGTGTAAAGCCAGGCAAGATCTGCCAATCGCAGGCGCATGGCAGACACCATACTAGCGTAATCGAAGTTATCGCGCAAGGCGAGGCGATCGGCCTGTGGCAAGCTGCTGTGTGGTTCGCCGAACAGAAGGTCGGTTGTGGTGCCAAGTGTGTATTCGAAGAAGTGCGGTTGTAAGTCTACAATGTTTTCAGGGCTTTCTTTTGCCTCTTTTGCAATTGCATCGAGTAGTTCCATTGCATGAGGTTCGAGCGCATCCAGACCAAGACTTCGCACATGGACGAACTGATGTCGCAGAATCTCTCGGGAGTGCTTCCAAGCGGGGCCGTCCTGGGTGAAGATACCCTCGCCTAGCAGGGGAAACAAGCCCTCGCGGCGGGAACCAAGAACAAAGTCTTCAAAACGGCTGTTGAGGATTGCCTCGATGTTGACAGGATCAGTTATGATGTAGCCTGTCCCCAGAATATCCATTCGAATGGTCGAAGCCATGCTGAAGTACTTGGTTTGGAACTCCAACATTCGGCACTGGGGAAGCGCATCATATTGGAGTTTGAGGAGATCTATGGCGAAAGGCCACTTGTAGGGCAGGGTAGCCTTCACGGGCTGGCAGCCGTGTTGAGCTGCAAGTGCATCTTCCTCCTGTGTATTCTGTAAGCACTTAAGTCTTTGGGACTCTAGCTGAAGGAGGGCAGAGACAAGAACTTACGGTTCTTCTCTTTCTCCGACTGAGATACCATTGAGTCAGTCCACTTAAAGCGATTGCCGTGACGACGCACTTCAGAACGAAGCTGGTTCCGAGAGCCCCCATCATGTACGAATGCAATTGCTTTTGTTAGATAAGGCAATTGGGTGGGAATGAGGAAAGGCCACCAGCGCGGGAAATGACTGGAAACCCCATGCAAGGGAAAATCAGGCACGTTGGTGCCAATTTCGACACGAAGTGGAAAGGAAAGGAAAGGGCCGGGGGGGGCAGGTAAGGCTGTCACATTTGCTAGCAGCTAATTCTTGGCTGCATATCAACTGTCCAATGATCTTTATTTCGATGTTATCAATTTCAATGTGCATCATTCGTCTGAATGGTTCCGGATGCGCCAACACATTTGGGCGCAGAATCCGCATGCCATTATTGCACACGGAATGCAATTGCGATTGGCTAAGTAATTCATGTGGTCAGCTGTGCTACTTGGCATACACGCATCTTCTCACACATGTCCTTTCAAGGGCGGTTGGCCCTCGTAGCACAGTACTCTGGAGACTTCCATATTAAGTAGCGTTGTTGACGCCCGTCTTCTTGTTCGTCGCTAAGTTCCAACTCCCAGCGACTTTCGACTTCAATCTTCGTTCTTCACAAACAATTGAATCAGCCACATGTCCGCCTCCTCCGAAGACTCTGGCAACTCCGCAAGCGACATCATCACCTATGTAGGGGTGCCTCTAGCTGTTGCCGGAGTTTTGCCAATTTTATCATCATTATGGAAAGCATTTATGATACTCAGAACTAAGCGGAAAATTAGGTCCAAGCTGAAATCCAACAATATTGACGCAAAGGTAGAAAGTGACGGATTCACAAGGGTCATCGAAGTACGCTGCGAAAAATACTTCGCGAAACCGCCGAGGCTTGTTGACCAGTGTGATGGTGGAGATAAGCAACCTGGGAGGGCCCTTAAGCCTGAAGAAATCCGCATGATCTGTGCTGAAGGCCATGAGATGTACATCCCAGGAGGAACTTGGGCTATTCTTCAGTGGAATCTGCTCCCGGACCCTCAAAGGCATGCACAGCGACTGCAACATCCCGAAGATCTTCGTCAGCCGCAGGTTGAGGTCATTTTTGAAGATCTTGTCACATATCTTCATGACCTCGGTGCGGTTCCAGATCAAATTGGCTGGGGTAAACTACGCTCTAATGGCATCTGGACTGCACCGAACACAACTCTTATGAGGTCCCCAGGGGACTCACCCAAGCCCCTACTCGTTACCAAAATGCTTGAGCATTCAGGCAGCAACTTATCTCTTGCTCTTACCAAACACTGGGGAGAAAAATGGACATTGCCTGGAAGCTCAGCTTTGCCTCCTTATTCGATATGCCTACCATCTCTATCTGTCGACATGGCCCAGACTGGTACGCCGGATGAAAAGGATCAGAAAGACTTAATATGCGAGATTGCCCACGATGGGATTACGATAGCTTATAAAAGGCCCGAAGGAAATGCGTCCCCTGATCCGTATGAAGACCAGATTGCAACGGCGCATTTGCGAATTCGGAATGGGATGTCGTCGAAAGGTATTTGGTTTGCAAGTCTTGCTACCGCATGCAAGATGGCAGATATGACAATCGGCTGGAAGTATGCAATTCCCAAAGACATTCTGGATTTTGCAAGAGCGGACACGGTTCCTTGTGGTGTACTTGAGTGTCTGGGTGTGCTGAGCAAGCAACAGACTCCATCCTGGACTGTCGAGGACCATTCTGATAGGCACGAAACTTGGCAACTTTCGATGAAGGTGAGGAACGAGCTTTTGGCGGAAGATGCGGAGAGACGTATGCCACATGAGATACGCGAAAAGGTTTTAAGGGAGAGGTTTGAGAAGGATCATCTTCAGCTTTTGGATGATGGTGAGTGTCCTTGCCGTGTCAAGTGAGACCCGAGCTTACACCAATAACAGCTTACAGCCAAAATCTTCGCGAAGTTGAAGCCCGTGAGCGTCATATTCATGACGCCATTCAAAGCCCGAAATGGAATCCTTCCAAAGTCGCTACGCATACTCTATTGTGGCTTCAAAGCAAGGGACTCGTCCCCAGCTCGGTCGAACTGAAAGACGCCGCCTATATCCTCTTACGCACAATGATCCTGGACCCGAAGGTTTCAACTTCGGTTTTCGACGTTCTCGACAGGTGGAAATCGTGGGTCGAGCAAGGTGGCATGAGAGACTATGACCTGACGGCACTACAGGAGATGCCAGAAGCTTTTGGTCGAGCAACAATCGTGACAGCCATGATTGCGGAGTTAAAAAGCCGCGATTCCAATTTTTTGCTCGACTTAGATGAATGTGTTAAGACTTGGAAAATTGCAAGATTGGGATAATGGATATTATAATAAGTTTTCGGGAATTGAGGCGTAAATTTGATTTGATATGGTCATGCATGCTTGTTCTTGTTGATCTGACCGTTATCGAATACTGCAACGTGAGCTTTATTTTAGACATCCTCTGTGCGTCTTGAGCAGTCTGCTTTCCTCTGATCACATGCACGGTGCACTACATGTACATGAGCAGCACATGGCTGGCACAGGCGCAATCATCCAAAGTTAGAGTCGCCCACTAGCTCCCCGGGGAGAAAACTGCACCACCTACACATACCATGGCATAGTGCGCTTGGTGGAGCGTTCTGTGAATGGTTTTTTCTTGTCTTCTTGTTCGGCCTCCTCTCAATTACCGGACTTCCTTGGCTCGAGGCTTCCGTCTGAAGGTTAGATGCGTAGCAACCCCTTCAACACCCGATATTTCAAGCCATACTGGACATTCTGATCTAGCTCTGTGTCAGTAAGGCACCGGCGAATGGGGGCCCAAGAGACGTATAGCATGGTTCTCATCATAGATATAATGGGTACGACGTCTTTGTTTCTAACTCTTAGCATAGTGAAAGGGATCTGCAGGCTTCCCAATACTTCTAGTGCGCCAGATTCTGCCCAAAGAGTCGAAGACGCGACATAACCCGGATCGCTGGTTCCATAGCTACTCATCAGCCGTAATCTAAAGCTGATTACCTTGATATATTAAGTTCATTGCCAATAATTAAGCATTTCCTGGACCTTTTGAGTTATGGTGTGTTTCCACTCTAAGTTCTTCATAACCCAGGTAGAGTGTCTTTATGGTGTTCACCCTGCTGGCACAATGGCTTGGGGGTATAAATGTTCCTGACGCTCTTGGCCGTCGCCATCCTACGATGGTACAAGATTACATTGCCCCACGTCGTTTCAATCACAGATGAGTGTAGAAACCAAATCCCACGACAAACCCGCCAATTCATAAGTGTACGATTGACTGTTACAATTTCGCGACAAGATGGACTACCCTAACGCCGAAGCCCTCAACTCATCTGTACCTGGGGTCTGGCGGAAGCTTGCGAGAAAACCAGGCGAGCTGTACCGGTGGGGTTTTTACCTTTACCGCGCAACGTACGATGATCAACATCTTTGGGAGCGTTACATTTCTTTTCTTTCTGGGATGGCGTCCAGTTATTTGGCAAGGGACACCACCCACAGACGGCAGGAGATCCGAGACAAATTCAGACTCTCCCTGGTCGAGGACCCAGATGCCCTGGACGGCGCAACTATGAACGATGTCAAAGCAAGATTTCAAAACTGGTCAGACAGTCTGCCCGACGAGGGAATCGAAGATGAAGAGGTTCCAAAGGAGCAAAACCGCGATTACGCTCGGTTTAGGTACTGCTTGTTCGTGGACGCTGAGTGTTTGGAGTCGTTTAAGCAACAGGAGGGCAGATTGAACGACTACGCTGGCGGAGATCATGCTGAAGGTGGTGCATTCGTAAAAGTCATCAACGCGGAACACCAAGTCATTGACTCCGAAGGCGATGACAGTGAAGCCGACGAGAATCTGGAGGAAGAGGAAGCAGGCCAAGAGGAAGATGGTTTCGAGGAAGACTGGATGTACATCGATTGCAGATGGGTTTGCGCATTCTACGACATTGTGCAAGACGGAGGGTACGAATGGGACAGGCAACTGGGGATGTGTAAATACCCGACAAAGACGCCTTGGAGGCGTTGCTAGAGGCGCGGAACCTAAGCAAAGTGAGATCTGAGGTTTACTGGTAATTACTGGCTATATTCAATCCATGTAATTTCGTCATTTCACTGTCAAAGAAGTTTCAACACGGTGTGAGAATCACCCCTTAATTTCGGGATATGCTGTGACACCGATGAGACCTGTTGATGTTGAGAACAGGCTGTCAGTCGAAAAGCTCAGAGAGGAGGTTCAATGGAATACGATGATGATTGAGATGCCACACGGTACCTGGGATCTTCTCAAGCGGAATCCCGAAGAGCTTCGCGTATGCAACATCTCGATGAACGCCGCCAGGCTCAGGCCAAGTTCACACGCGAAGATCGCTGTCGGGGGAAAGGATGCCTGAAGAAAATTTCAAAAAAGCGGCATCTGAACGGGAGAGACCGGAGGCTTTCGCTCGAGTAGCGATAGGGATCGCCATAATAACGGAGTTTAAAAGCCGCCATTATGATGCTCTGTTCGATTTTGATCAGCATATCAAGGCATGGAAATTTACAGGATGTGAACAATATTGCATCAACCGTTCGGTTTTGGAAGCATGAGCTCGTTTTGATGTAATTGTACTTATTTCTTGTTTTCCGTATTATTGAAGCGTTGAATGGGTTCACATGAGAGACTTCCGGTGTCCTTCACATTTGACTGTCTTGAGATCTTTGATACTAGAAAGCAATTGTGTTCATCCTGCTAACTCAACAGGATCTTGCTCTCGGCTCTTTGGCCGATAACCCTGCCCTGAAACTGCATATTGCGGTGCGTCTAGTTCCATCCTCTCAGTCGCATCCCTAGCATGTAGCTCCGCCCTCTCATAAACGACCTTTTGCTCACTGGCAGCTGTGTGATTTTCCACGGCCGCCTTCTTTCTCCGCCTCAGGAATAACCAAACACCTAACGCGGCGGCTAGCACCAGCAATGCGGCCCCGATGCCAATACCAGCTTTGGCTCCGGTTGAAAGCGAAGGATTTGACTCCGGTGTGACCGTACCTGAGCTCGTGGGCTCAGTGCTCGCCGCCGTGGTCGTTGTGGTCGTCGTTGTGTTCTCCGCTTCCACAATTGTAAAGGCTGAGCCCGTAGCAACACTCCTGAACGGTTTTCCGTCCGTGCTATTGTATATCTCAATAACATATGGGTTGTCCAGATTGATGGCGAAGGCCTTGGTTATTGTCCAATTATACGTCATCTCGGTGCAAAACTTGTTCGAAGGCATTAGGTACCAGTTAGCGGATTCAAACTTGAACTCCTGGTCGGCTAGACTAGGTTAGTGTTGGTTCGTTGTTCATGGAGACTTCAATACTTACTGGCTATTGTATAGGGTGATGAACTTGGCAACGCGCCACGATACCCGACAGTAATCTTGTTTGAACCCCCTTCAGGTATGTCGAATTCGTAGCCGGCTGCCCACGAAATTTTGACAGTATCTCCAAAACGCACTTTAGCGCCGTTTGCTGGCTGTAAGACATAAACACCACATGTTTGTGAGGAGGTTGGCGACGGCACAGGGAGAGGGGGAGTAGTCATCGCGGGGATACGCAAGTCCGCAAAAACTGGAATTCTGGCAGTCTTTTCAAGTCGGGGCCGGACTGAAACCAGCGAATGCGCCGTCTTTATTTATTCCGAGAGTCGTCTCATCACCAGACGGGCGCGTAAGTGCGGCACAAGCCAGGCAACCTGGCTTATCACCACATCCCTTCCGGCGTTGCTACGCCCCTGGAAAGTGCACTTTGCAAAATGACTGCATATGCAGTCGAGCCATCGCTTGCGCGCGTGTTTCGTTGGGCTTCGCAGATCCTCGCAGGATTTAACGGCTGAGTTTCCATTTTAGGCCCTTCACAGATTTAGCCCGATAGCCTCCAGTCACGCCAACATGGCCACACCCTCAGTGAGTTTGAAAAGCAAGGACTGGAACCTTGATTTGTGGTGATGCAGTATTTGGAATGGCGACTACATGGCGTAATTGGCTGATAGATTAACTTAAGATCTTCGGTAACCCTACAGCCTGCTTCTAGTCGTGGCCGGGTGATTGTCAAGCATTTGGGATCAGGCTGTGACGTTACATACACCTGAACATCACTGACGGCTGGACAGGACTGATGCGCAGCCTGCTCAAAATGCAAGAAAGAGTAAGGTAGAAAGTAACCATAGATGATAAAATAAGCGTGAACAGTGCTTCGTGGGGCTGAGCCTGTCGAGGCTCTCCGTCTCGAAATTTCACACCCGCATACAGTATCCCTACGCTCGCCAGGCAGATCACCCCAGCCGCAATCCCTCGCACTATTGAACCAATCATTACATGTCCAGGAAGCAAACATATGACACCTTGACTTGGAGTATAGAGGTCGGGAACGTCGGGCCGCCGCTACAAACGAGCACGCTGGCAGTAGATCCTCGAAACGTGAGCTTGCCATGTGTTACTGTATGGCTTCTTAGTCGACACACCCTTGAGCTAACACAACCTGCTGAGTTGGACTCGGGTACGACGGCTCGTAAAATTGCAGTCACTGGATCATCATGGGGAGGTCCTCCAAGTTGATGCAAGTGCTCCCACCCACAAGGTGCCATACACGGGTAAGGGTACTTTCGATGTGAGTCTTAGCAAAGCACGGGTTCACATGACATCCCTCGTTCCATTACCAGATCAGCGATCATTCCATTTCTTTCATTCTTCTCAAATTACTCAAAAATAGGAGTGACACCCTTCTTCAGAATGATGTTTCCATACTTCCTCGTCTCGCCCGTCGAAACGATCGCAAACGCCTTCTTGGACCTCTCATAAAACGCGAACCTCTCCAGCTTCTCAATCTCTCCATCGTACCCCAACGACTTTCTAAAGTCTCCCTCCACGCTCGCGTCCGCCGTGTCGCCCTTGACGACCTCCATCATGAGCACGGGGACGACGCCGTAGTTGTCGAGCTCCAGGAGCGGTGCGATACCAGCCAGAAGCCTCGAGACAGTGATGCCTGGTGCAGGCGCGTCAGTCGTGCTGTGATACAGCGATGGTGATATGTCCGGACGTCAACTTACCGTCGGCTCGCAGGACCGGGATGTGAGGCGGGCAGATGGAATGGGCCGGGAAGTGGGCGTCGGCGAGGACGATTTCGTCGCCGTGGCCCATCTCGGCCAGAACCTTGAGGAGGTCTGGGGAGATGACGGGGGAGATTCCTTTCAGGACCATATTTGCGGTAGTGTTGTCCGTGAAAAAGGATGTTGGTGTAGTTGGTCAAGAGTGATGTGAGAAGACGTCTTTTTTAGCCTCAAGGTTGGATGTTTGTCGGTGAAGTGAACGTCGTCGTTGTAATAACCCCCCACGCCGTTTCGCAAAAAGTGGGGAGCTGGACCCTGAGCTCTAAAACACACCGTGGAGACTTTCTAGGGATGTTTGCACGAGATTGACGACATACAACAAACACCTCATCTCATTGAAACTTGCATGGCCAAAGAGGCCCGTATCCTCGCCGCGTTCATCCGGAAACACTTCCTCAATCGTCACAACCTCACTCCTGCTCACCCAAGCTAATCCAAGCCTTCTTCCCCTGCCCCCTCAGCCTCCCTTCAATCGCTAACCCCATCCCCCTCAACTCCTCCTCCCCAACACCCGCCCACTCGCGCAAGAACAGCCGCACACCCTCCACAACATGTTCATCTTTCGGGTCTTTACAAGCAAGCAGTAGATCGCCAACGAGCTCCAGCCGCAGATAATCTGCCAAGGTCGGCTGCTGCGACAGAGAACCCCTTCGCCCCAGCTTCAGCGCGAACAACGCAAGATCTTCGCTCCGGATAACCTTCAAGACTTCGCTTTTCACATGCGCAAAGTCGGCGTGGTACAGCCGGCGGCTCGCGACCGCATCGATGAGCTCCGACAGCTCCGCGACGAAGAAGTCGACGTCCTCGTCCAGCGCCGGGTGCCGGTGGTAAGGCATGGGGAGCACCGCGGTCCTCAGCCTGATCGTGCTGGGCAAGACGCGGAGCTGCGATGACGTCCTGGCGGCCTTCCCTGAGCGTATGTCCTCGATGAGCGCGATGGCGTCCTTCATCAGGGGAACGCTATTGGCCTGCCAGTTTTTCCAGCCCGCCGACCAGTTATCGGCCCCGACCGAGCGCAGCTTGGAGAACAACGCGTCGAGCATCTCGAAGTCGCCGTTGAGGACGAAGCTCCTGGCGGCCGCAAGCACGAAGTCCTGCACCAGCTGGAGGGTGATACCGCCTCCGCCCTCCAATTTCGAGGGTATCTCTCGCTCGTACCGCTTCAGCACGAAGGCTGCGTGCCCGAGTCCGAGTGCGAATGAATTGTTCCCGGTGTTGTCGAACTGCTTCAGCCAATGTTTTCCCGCGTTGCTATCGACCAGATCTCGGTTCTTCTTGACTGCTTTTGTAACGCGTTGAATCTCGACAGACGGGCTGGCGTTCGTAAGTGCGATTTCGCACAGCATCCCGAACAGAGAGGCGGGCATGTACTCCGTCCATCCAGCAAAGAACGACGAGAGCATCGCGGGATTCACCGGACACCTGGGGAGTTCGATCTCGCCCTCAACGAGCTTATTCGTCGCGAGGAAGAGCTTCATCCAGCGAGCGTTGGTGACCGCGGATCCCTCAAGCGCACTAACGACGAGCTTAGCGATTCTCTGCTTGTCGTCCGGGTTAAGCTTCGTGTTCTGGGCTTGGTCAAGCAGCAACTTCAGCAACGGCGTCTCCTCGCCGACCTCCGGAAGCCCGTCGGCCCAGTCCTCCTCCGTATAAGGCCTCCTCTCACTAAGCTGCGCCGCCGCAGGCACCACATGCCTCTCCAGCGCGTCGAGCACACGCGCCCGCAGCTCCGGTGGGCATGACGGGACCTCCAAAGTGCTCATCAAACTCTGCACGATCGTGATCCGCGCGTCGATGTGTCTCGCCTCCGAGAGCAGCGCCGTGAGGATGTCGCAGGTCGAGAGCGCGCTGATGAAGAGGTTGTTGTGCAGCACCTGCGCCATCATCTTGATGGTCGTGACCTTGATCGCCGGCTTCGGACCCTTGTTCTCCCCGCCCTTGACGAATGGCCGCGCGTTCTGCTCACGCATCTTGTCTCGCATGGCGCCGGCCATGGTATGCAGGAACTCCTTCGCCGCCTTGGAGGGCAGGTTCGAGAGGAACCCGACGTTGATGAGCTGGCGATGCCACGAGCTGTTCTCGCCTCCGTCCATGATCAGGTCGCGGATGAAGGGGCACGCGAGAGCGGGCTCGTCGCTGTTGGCGACGCGGAGGACGATCTCGATGATGTTGCCCATTTGCACGTTTAACCTCTTCTGGCCCAGGCGCGCCCTCATCCCGTCCATGAGAAACCGGGCCAGCTCCGCCAACAACGCCGGAGTCGCGCCGCGGAGGTTTCGTAGAACGTAGACTGCTTGGACTTCCACACTATTGCGTGAGTCCAGCAGAGCCGTGGCTGTCTTGCTGTAGAGTAGGGCCTCTATTTCGAGGAGCACCTCCATCGTCGGCTTCCACAGCATCTCCGTGATATCCCGGGCCTGGTCCTCCGAGTCCGCCGACTTCGTGATCTCGTTGAAGGACTCCACGCTCTCGTTGGCAAGGCGCTTATCGACCACGGCCCGGGGTAGTTGGAGCACATTCTCCCACCTCGAGCGCTTGAATCCCGGTTCTTGCACGGCCATGATCGCGGTCTCGGTCAGGTCGACGAGAATTCTGTCGGCGAGATCGACGCCCGCCTTCACCGACGCGGGGGTGGCAGCGGCCGCGGCCGGGGTATTCTTCTTCGGCACGCCGCACAAGAGATCCTTCGCCTCCTCCGCGACGAGCACGTCGCCGCTGTACAGCTGCCACGACGTCAACGGATCCTTGACGAAGCGACGAGCCCACAGCACGGTGTCCCCAAAGGTCTCGAGGTCTCCCGCGGCGATGGCCAGGTTCATCGCCGACTTGGCCCAGAACGCGCGGTGCGCGGGCTCGCGCGACTGCTCCGCCCTCTTCTTTCTGTCCTCCACGATCCCCCGTGCTCGGACGAGCCAAGCCGTGTCGTCGATCCCGGCCTTGGACTTGCTGGTCAGGAGAGCTCTGAGAACCTCGACGTCGCCAATGCGGCTGTTATCCGGTCCCTTCGGCTGGCTCAGCACGCTCTTCGTGGTGGCGGGGGAGAAGAAGTCGCCGCCCGGGTAGGCCTGCGCCAGCCTCTCGAACAGCCGACGCGACCGCTCGATCTCGATCTCGAAGAATACCCACGGCTGCCAGAGATTGCCCTTCACGGGAAGATCCCGCAACCGGGCGAGACCCTCCTCCGAGTCGTCCTCGATATCGATGCCGTAGCCCTTCAGATGTCGAAACGCCAGCCTCAGAAGCTCGTACTTGGACTCCGGATCCAGGCGTTTCCTCGTCCGCTGGGCAATCCCGAACATCGCAGACAGATCGAGCTGCCGCTTCCCGCCCGGCTGGAGCTCCAGCAGCTGCACCACTCGCAGCCTGAACCTCTCCTTCCCGTCCGCGGGCGCCATCTTCCACTTCTGGATGATGAGCTGGAGCAGCCCGCTCTGCCGGGTGTCCAACTGTTGGGTGATCTGGCTCGGGTTCTTTTGCAGAGCTCGGATGACGTAGTCGAGGAACTTCTCCTTCGTCGCCTCTTCGTAGTTCTTCTTCTTCTTGTTGATCAGCAGCCGGACCAGAAGAGGCATCGCAAACTCATTCATGAAGTCCCCGGAAACACGCGGATCCTCGTCCTCCAACAACCTCCCCAAAACCTTCTCACAGAGCGCCAGATTCCCCTGCACAAGCGCCCTATCCTCCCCGAAACTCTTCCCCCCATCTCGCGCAAAGATCTCCCGCAGGAACCTCTCCTCATACCTCTCGCGATGGCCCCTCGCCAGCGCCTTCTTCTGAAACCCGCTCCACTCGACCCCCTTCGCCTCCCACTCCTCCACGACCTCCAACTCGCACGCCGGGACGATGTCCTGATAGAACCGTCTCAGCGGCCTCTCGTCCGGCGCCCCGGGGCCGTGGAGGAGCCTCACGAGCTCGCCGAGCGCGGGCCGCCGCTCCGCCCTCGCGTCCGGCGCCGACGCCGTGCGCCCGAGCCAGCGACACGTGGTCCGCACGTCGCTGACGCTGAACTCGGCCATGGCGGCCGCGAGGCCCGTGGCGCCGCCGACCGCGTCCCACGTCGCGCGGAAGCGGTCCGCGTGGCGGAGGGATTTGCTGAGGCTCTTGATCGCGGCGGTGCGGTCGCCGGTTTTGGAGGTCGGCTGGAGGGCCTCGGCGATTTCTGCCGGCTCGATGCGTCTCATTGTGTCTGGTGGTGGTGTTGTTCTGGTGTTATTATGTAGGAAGGTGATTGATTATTACGGCCGCGTTGTACGGCATTGAGAGTGATGATGCAAGTGGTTTTTATTTGCATTGGGTCGTCGAAATATTATCTCGCTTTTAAGCACTACTTTAAAGCCAAATTGCAAGTGAGCACACGCGCATTTCAACAACGTGACTCAACTCGCCGACTGGCTCAATTTCTTTCCAGGCAGTCATGTTGACGACGGCGGCAAGCAATCGTGAGGCACAGCTCTGAAAGATCGCCAGTCTAAGCCAGGAACGGATTCTGAGTCAGAGTAGCATTCGTGGCTGGCGTTCCTAACGATCAACACACAACCCGACCTGGCGGTGAGGGGGGTAGTCGATTCAACGACTATTCTCGTCAAAAAACCGAGGCCAATTCCATCCAAGCGGCCAATAAACGAAGGATGACGATGCATCATCGTGATCGTCGGGCGTCTTCGCGGGCAGCGGGTTCATCCAGTCTTACACGAGCCACATGTACAAGTGGCACACACGTCCACATCGGTGACTTCTCAGCAATCCGTGCAATACTGGCAATGTGATGTAAGGAAAACGTCCCCCTATCTTCATCCGATCTTTGTCGTCTCTTCTAAACAAATTCCTCGTCGGCATTGACGCACATCCCATCCCGCCCACCCGTCCGAACCCTCAGCCTCGAACCCTCTCAATGCGAGCCGCAGCACGTTTCGGAATGAAGAGCCGCCCAATATATAGCAGACAACACCTGCCCGGCACACGCGCCATCGGGTGGCGGTGCGCGGCGGCCTCGCTTCAGGAGAAGGGGAGGTTCAAAAAGCACCGGACTCCCTTTGAATGCCAGGGTTTTCGATTGCAGAGGTCTATCAATCACTCTTATGAGTTCAAAATCATCATACTACTTTTTTGCCTCGTTGGTGCGGCTGCTTTTAAGGACGTTCTCATTGAAGCCACGCCGATCAAGCGCCAAGACGTCTTGCATCATATCACGAGCATCACGGTGGACGAAGCCAACCACGTTGACGAGCATTTAAGACCTGGAAGCAGAGCAGGCCGTCCTATTTGGTACCGACAACGTTTGCTTGAGAGGAAAGACACGATACACGGAAACATCACCAAAGACCAGCTTCAATCACGGCCGAACGTGGACCCGATGGTTTGCGAAACGACAAAAAAGATGGATCCCATTGACCAAGCAGACCTCCCTAACCCGAAATTCAAGTCGAAGAAGACGATAGGTACAAAGAACCAAATGTCCATAAAAAGGGTGCCGGGTCGTGGAGGTTGGACATCATCAAGTGATGAAGTCTACCCGCCACAGACCGGGCCAAGAAGTGAAGAAGGAAAATGCAATGTTCCATGGTAGGGTCGAACCTTTCCCCCCAGTTTTCTGATTCCACGCCAGATCCGTAAATGCATCATCATGAATGTCCAGTTTCCTCGAATCATGTCTCAGCTAGCGCGAGCATACCATAACGCAAAGCCTATCCATCACGCAAGTGCCGTATGGAAGATTGTGTTGAAGAGAAATGTACTCATGCCATTCGTTGGCGACCAAAGCGCATGATTCAAAGGGTCCCATCGACGGGGACAGAGGAGATCGAAAAAATCAAAGCGATCCCCTGATAAAGTACAGCGGTAGAAGTGAAGAAATGCCTCGCTCATGCGATTGAGTCCATCTGCACCCGTACCCAGTGGTCGTGTCGCAAACAAAATCCCAGATCTGCTTCAAGCGGGCAGGGCGAAGGGTGCAAGTGCAGTTTGGACGAGTCCGAGAAGACGCCGCCTAGTAGCCGTTGACGGTGGCGAGGCTGCCGGGAGGCAGGACGTTCTTGTCGAAGCTGCCGATGACGTTGCCTGTTTCTGGTCAGTGAAGAGCTTGGAGAGTGGTCGAGGTTCAACATACCCTGCTTCTTGTAGTTGCAGACGGTGTACCAGCTGCCAATGGAGCTGAGGGAACCAGCGGCGCAGTAGTGGACGGCGCAACCGACGCTGGTCGTGTCAACCCAGACCATCTGGGTGAAGTGGCCCCACTTAAGGAAGTCGGTCATGTCAGGGCTGGCCTGGCCGTAACCGGTGAAGAGGTTGAGCTCGCCGTTGTACCACTGGTCAGAGATGGCCTTCTGGGCAGCCTTGGCCTCACCAAGAGTCTCGGAGCCAGTGGCACCCCACATGGCGAGGTTCTGGCCGTAGCCACCGCTGCCCTGGGTCATGTCGTGCTCGAAGACGCAAGTGGCGGCGGTGTTGGCAGCATAGCCGGCAAGCTCGCTGTCCCAGGTCAGGGCAGGAGCGGAGTGGTTGGAGCGGTGGACGTTGTGGGAGTCAATGCAGGCGGTCTGGAGGTCGTTGGTAGCGGGGACGCTGGTGGCAGGAGGAGCCTGGGTGGTGACGGGCGCCGGGGTGGGAGTCGGCGTGGGGGTAGGAGTAGGCGTGGTCTCCGGCTCGGGAACGGGGACGTAGACGGACGAGGGCTTGACCACGGTCGGCTTGGGGGGCTCGACGGTGACGGTCGAGAAGACGGGCGCGGGCGCGGAAGTCTCAACGACCTTGGGAGCAGAGCTGGCGGGAGCCTCGTAGTAGATGGCAGGGTTGGAAGGCGTGGGAGTAGGAGTAGCAACCGGAACACCCTCGGTGACGGTGACGGTAACCCACTCGACGTCGAGGACGGTCTCCATGGCACGGGGGTCAAGGCCGATGGCACGGCCCATGACCGCGGCGGCGCCAGAGGCGGCAAGAACGATGGAAGATCTCATTTTGGCTGAGGTGGTTGATGATCAACGATGAGTGTCTGAAGGATGGTTAGCTTCGCCTGCGAAGTGTTGCTGTTGGGAAAAGACGGAGAAAAAAATGATGGCAGGAAATGGCGAAGGAGTGTGTATGCGTAGGCACTGAAGCAACACAAGATGTCTTCAACTCGGAAGACACTTGTGGCTTCATATATCTTGATGTAGGGCGAAGAGAATTCCCCAGATATACCGGATGCAACACAACGACATGCCACCGGCACGTCTCCGTGATCCAGACTCCCGCCCACAACGCCCTTTTTCTTCGAGATCCTGAGTCAAGCGGGACGGAGCCACGTGATGGTCAAGACAGATGAACAAAGGTCTTTGTTGGAGGGGGCAGGCTGTGTCGCGGTGGCATGTGGTTGTGTCGCAAATGGCATTTGCCAACAATAGCATTGACTCGGGAGGAATGACGGAGAGACAATTGGGGTATCGGATGAGGCTAGATCGACCACTCACCTTTGTGATTTTGGCTTGATGTCTTGGGAGATTCGCGGAATCTGGCAACCAGGGATCCTGTCCGGACGATATATGGGATGGTTGTTGCGGCGGGGAGATACTTGATTTTTGTTGAGCGAGGCAAATATGATCCCGTGAGATGATTCTCAGAGCCAGCTGTGTGGTGATGCAGCACTGCTGATACGGTTCCGTCAAGGACCTTGTGGTAAGTTGGTGAATGAGTGTGGGTGAACAACAGGAAAGACCTTGTTGTTTGATAGTTGGATACGCAGGTCGGACGAAGGAAGCCGTAAGTTTATTTTTTGGTGGTGAGCCGAAAAAAAGAACTCTCGTGAGAAACGATGCGAAGGAGTGACGATGCTGCGAAGAGAGCGTGAGTTTGAAATGCCGCGAAAAGGAATGTCGGTAGCCTGCCTGCCCTTCTATCCTGGAAGGTTGAGGTGCAGAAGAGAAAAAAAAAGAGGGGATCTCAGGTCGGGACCCGGGGCGAACTTACTTGGTTTTAAAAAGGAATGGACAGTGTCAAAAGACGACACGATGAGGCGACCTGGGCCGAAGGAGTGGAAGAGAAGGGGGTCGTTAGAAGCGGTCTCCTTGGGAATGGTGAAGCAGGAGGAGAGACAAGACGTTGGTGGATGGCGACGCCGGGCTACTAAAAGGGAGACGACAGGAATTGAGGAACCCGCCTAACTGGGATTCGAAGGACTGGGCAAGAGTCTGAGCGCGAGTCCAGTGGGTGGTCCAGCTGCGTCTACCTGCGTAAGGTACCTTGCCTAGGCGGGGGCCAGGGTGCTGAGGCTAGCGCAGTTGGTCGTGTTAGCTGCTGTCCAGGGGAGGTGTTTAGTTTGTTGTGGTGCCTGTGGTGTGCGTGTGCGTATGCGTGTGTACGACTGATTTCGTTCAAGGTGAGCGGACTGTGGAGGAGGCGCCGTCGATGGCAACGGCAAGCAAGGATCTCGAGATGTGGAGGGGAGGGAGGGGTGAACAAAAAAAGAGGCAGAGGCAGTGGGGGTGGATAAAATCAAAGTAATCAATGAAAACGAACGAACGACAGACGGGACGACGGGAGGCAGTTGCTGCTGTCCTGGACCCTGCAGAAGGAGCAAGAGAAGGTGGACGAGGGACGGGGGCCGGGGAGTCAGCGAGTGGAGGCAAGTGTGATGAAGGGCGGTAATCTGGAGGCGAGACAAGCAACGAGAAAAGGCCCCAAAACTCAAGAGATTGGGTGTGTTTGACACCTTATTCTTCAATATGTTTGAATTGTGCAGGGCGCAAGAAACACCAATATCAGGCACAGGGACTGATGCTGCTGTTGTTGCCGTCAATGACAGGAAAATGGAGGGGTGAATAAGATTGATGTGGGGGTGGCTATATCCCGTCTCCTAAGGTGAGGGGAAGGGAAGGAGCGAATTGGGCTTCTTCGAATGGTCCTTCCTCACTTTAAACGTGCGCCAGGTCAGAAGAGAAGATATGACAAAAAGGAAGGAAGGAACAACCTGAGATCTGCTATGACGCTTCAAGTGCTACCCTCCTCGTGGGCGCCAAACAGAACTGTCAGCTTGCTCTCATGTGCTCAAGATAAGAGGTCGATAATAGCAACACCAATGCAGCCTCAACCGCAACGGCAAACCGAACGCAAAAAACAAGCCAAATTTACCTGCGCCTCACCCGTCAGCTCGTCCAGTCAGCTTATTGTGTCGCAAAATGGCTCACTTCTAGCTAGCATGCGTCGAGATATGAAGCAGGCATCGTACCTAGGCATCTTGGCTACAGCTATCCGCTGCCTGCATCAAGTCAAGCATTTTAATCCATCACTGGACCAGCTTCCTGATCTGGGGCGCTGTCTTTCCCGAATAAAATTGTTGGATATTCGATATACACTCTGATATGCATTCATTATCGTCCTTCCTGTCAAGATCGGTTCCGTGATTTCGCCGTGCCCTGTTGTCGTGCTAGCCACCACCACCACGGACGGCACCGACAAACCCCTCAACACCAAGACTGCCCAGCTGTATCCAGGAGACGCGAAAGTCTCAAGGAGTCGTCCACGACCTGGATCAGAGTCATGGCCCAGACCGTCCGGCGGGACTCTCGAGCAGAGCAGACGCAGACCTCGGACGACGTCTGGCGGTCCCATCATCAACATCGATCGTGGTTCCCGGTCTGTTCGTCCCGGGGTTCCTCAGATATCATCGCGATAGTCTTGGCTGACACCGGCATCCTAACAGCCACTGGTTGCAGTCCCCAGCATCTCACGATAGCGACAAGCGACAAACACCAAGAGCTGTCCATTGGACGAATCCAAGGAAAGAAAAAGGGGCTTCCTCCTTCCGTCCCGGCGTCTCGTCTCCTGCGTCGACGCCCCCCTCCTTTCCCTCCGCCCACGTCCCGATCCCTGGGGTTTCCTGCATTTTGGACCAATCCCATCGCGGCGAGGTGCAGACGCCCACTCCTTTCCACCCAATGACGAATGACTTCATCTGGTACCTTGCAGAAGGTGGGCTCCTCTGGCCCTGATTGCTGCAAGGGTTGTGCGCTTGGCCCGGGGTGACCCACCGTCTTGAAACGGCCTTAATTTCGGTGGGGACCCGTTCATCCAGTCTTGCGTGGACATGGACTGTGCTCCTGCCTGGCTCTTGCCCATTCACCATCTGTGCCTGTTGTTCTTGTCCACTGTTTAAAATTGTTTTCTCGACAACGATGGCGCTCTTGCCGGGACGATCACTACAACGCTGCACTTGCACGGCGCGCCAGCCAACTGTTCCCTGCCAGAAATGCATTTTTTAACTTTATCAGCGCTTCTTCTTGGCCGTTTCTTCCGCTGTCTCGCCAAATGACCTCATTACGCTTCGAGGGGATTTCCTTCGCTCACATCCCCACATCAACCGCTATCGTTGCCGCTCCCGTATCACTATCACCGCTGTCAACGTCTCATCACACCCGACAACTTTTTTGACGTCCTGATTGCCGATGACGACCACCCATCAACAAAACCCTGTCAGCCCGGAGCGGGGGTTACGATGAGCGAGATGAAGCTGCAAAAATCTTCCGTTGCCTTTGTCCCAGTCCCAAGTCCCAACATGATGCGGTTTTCTGGGGTACAGGCACCGGCACCGGCGACCGCACCGCAGGACACACGTCCCGTGCCCACAGCGGATGGAGGTGCATGCGGATACCGACCTGCAGCAATCATTTCCATGGTGGAAAACCCAAGATGAGCCTGGGTCGAAGTTACCATTGTTTGTTATGCTCCTCCTCGGATGCCAATCTGCCGGTTCGTCGCTGTCATACCTGGGGTTGAGCTCGACGCTGGACGGCATGCCTGGCAACCGCTTGGTACTACCGTCCAGCTGCTGTCCTCGAGGTAGGTAATTGTCACGGACGTCTAATCGGCTACTGTGCCTCTCGTCCGGCTCTCTGCGAGGCGCTTTTGGTGCGGCCACCACCTAAGAAAAGATGACAATCCAACCGAGCACAGTCCGGTTCCCGAAAGGCAGCGGTCGTCTATCACCAACATGGCAGTCCACTTTGGTGGCGTCCCGAAGCCTTTCGCCAGCCCCAAGCCATGATTGCGGACAATTATGCCACGGAAAACGCCTCGGGTCCGTGTAATCCGGCACTTGATACCTCTGTGCCAGAAGACCTCCGTGAAGGCCGAGCAAGGTGCAGTACCTTATCTTACGACGGATCACAGCCAAATTCAAGCATGAGTTGTTGCAACGACCCGAATCCCGACTGCTGGATAACCCGGGGCTTCTGGGACATCGCCCATCGATCAACAACAGCCAGGGCCAGGCGGCATCTCCAACTATGCCCATCTCCCGTCTTGTTCGCAGCGATCAGCGGCGTGATCAAGATGGCCAATATGACAGACACCGGACGCAACAGAACAGCTCCATCCAAGAGCCTGGCCGGCTTGGCAGCCTACTCCCACATGCCATGTCAACCTAGCCTATCGAAAACACAAGTCAGACTTCGAAGTTCTCAACATTCGGTTTCCCGCCTCCTGTGGGGCACGCCGTCGTCTGTTCTCAACTCGGCTCTCTTATCGACTATCCGGCATTGAAGCAGCCAAGAAACACAGTTGCTCGAGCTCCATCGCTGCAACGTCTAGAACCATCGCTACTTCTTGACGCAGAGTTCTCTCTGCGACGATCACTCGGAGGTTTCTTCCTTGCATTCAAGACGCGCACAGATAGATACTTTCCGCTGCCCAGTTCGACTGCTACCTCGCCGCCAGTTGACAACGGCACCCGGTCCCTGGATCGGACGACTTACATCATCTCGTCTCTGCAGCGAGATCAGATGTCGTCCCATCTTCCCACATGGCTTACAACAAGTCAGCTATTGATACCCCATTCACTGCATTCAATTCACCCTCATGAAACTTATTGCGGAGGCGCCAGTGCAACCCCGATATTGCGATCCCAGGTTTGCTGACAGGACAAGCAAGGAATCCCTCTAGTTCATCACTTCGTCTTGACTGAACGCTTGATGCAACAATCAGACGCCTTCTTTCGTCTATGCATTCCAATCACGCCGAGCCATGGACACCCTGGACATCAAGATAACACAATAAGATCTGACGGGGAGAGCCCTGAAGTTGGTTGCGCACGAAATGAAGTTTTGTTCACCACAGGCCCCCAAACACCCTTAATCTTGCCAGCGAGATTTCACTGAGGGGTTTTCCTGCCCTGCGTTGCTCCTCCATCCCCATGCCGGCGACCCGTCTCCCGCGGGCCACACGGCACATCACACCAGCCTTCGACCCCGGGGAACACGGCATTCCTTTTAGCCTGGATCTCCCAACGGAAGACCCCAGTTCTCGTTGGAGATGAATGTTCGAACTCGCCATCTTTCCATCGCCATCAGCTCATCTCCGGCCCACCCTCACAAGGAGACTGGTGCATGTCAAATTTGCCCCCGCAGGTCCAGAACATTTCACTGCTGTTGGGTAGCGAATCCTCCGAATGGAAACGGGGCACGGCAAGAACTCAACGGACGTGCTCTCAAGTTTGAACCAAGATCCGAACAATTGAGGTTGAGTCAATGGAGTTCTTGGTTAGCGACCCAAGACTGAGCGTTCATTGATTCAAGCCAGGCCTTGCTTGACCTGACCTGACCGTCTTGGGTCGAACATTGAAAAAGCCTTTCGTTGGTCGACAGGCCTCAAGTAAGCCAAATAACTGAGCGACCCGAAACATGTTGTTTGACGACAGCTGCGGCCATTTCGCGCGGCCCGGTCGCCCAGCGCCTGTGATTAAGGTTGCACTACGCTGACGCCCTTGGGCATGATTTCCCGTCCCCTCCTCATCTCTCAACGAAGACCAACCCTTGACGTCAACCCGTAGTGGTTTCACGATAGCTTCACGAATTTCGATGGATCACATTTCCGAATATGCAAATCCATCACCATGAGATCCTCTAGGATTTGCCCATTGACAATACTGCTGATCAGAAGATCTGAACGCGTTGGGGGACCAGAATTTCCGGGCCTCAAGACTGCAGGATCTCAACGCCTTCGATTCATCATGGAGGCAAAGAGTCTTAGACAGTGACACCTCTGCCAGGATGTCTATCCGCTCGACAGCCGAAGCCAAACCACCGGCGTATCGGCGCGCTGGAGATTGTAGCACAAATCTTCCATCGAGAAGTTTTGGGTCATCGCGCGGCAAAGGAGCCGACATCAACCATCTGAGAGGGGCTTGGGATGCATGGTCTTCATACGCAAACATGCAATCGACTTTTAATGTGTCCTTCGGGGAGAGCGAATGAATGCTCTTTCCCGTGCAGCGTGTTTTATTTTTGGGATTTTTCTCGGTCTACCCATTGTCCAGTATGTAAAATCAGCGTAACTGCTGAGTTCCAGACAGTTTCCTGGCTCTTCTGAGACTCTTTCCATCTTGAGTTGTGCAATTTCAAATCCTGCGCCAGTCGCGAAATCAGCCGAGCCAGCTGACTCTTTCTCATCGTCCTGTGCACCTCGACGACGGCTTCTAGAACTTCACGCTGACCTCCTTCTTGGCATCCAGAGACAGGCGCGGGAGGACAGTCATCGTATAAGGAAGACATCGTCCCGCAGACTTTCAGTCAACTACTGGTATTCCAGACGCACCACACACGTACCACCCACCATCGCGGCATCTTGCCCTTTCACGTTGACCGTGACGAGCCACGAGCCTCAATAAGACGGTATGCTTGGCAACGTGGCTTACCATCCGCGCCCTCAACGTCAGAGGCAAATTGCATGCTTGGACGAGACCGCCGGCAAAGCTTGCTAAAACATAGGCTCGAACCCGTTTGCCCGCCCATGGTGGCGAACACACGACGACAGCTCGCGCTGACAAGTCGACTCTCTGACTGGCCGAGGAGAAGTGACTGACAAATAGAGACAAAACGCACGCTGGGAGGCTCCTCACATGCCCGGCGCAACTGTGGCTGAACTGAACCCTTCTCACATGATCCGCCTATACGGGCTTTCACGGGCCTTCATAGGCCAGGAGATATATGATGCGTCGTTACGTCCGGGGCGAGCAGTTGACACGCTCTCGCCGCGACTGTCTCGGGTGGCTGCTCGTAAGCAGGATATGCATCGTTGACAGCTGAGAGACACGGCGAGAGAGCTCGTGCCCACCGCGGGAGCTTGTGTTCACGACACCAAGACAAAAAAAAAAGGCTCCTCAGCATTTTCCCCATCCCCTTCGTCCGCTTCATGGGGAGGAAACTGAGGAGACTGAGCGACAGAAGTGAGCACCGTTGCACGTCGTCCAGTGGCAGGGCAGAGACATGAACACCCGCCGGTTGCCGGTCTCAAGCGGATGATGGACCTTGGGTCCTGGCCCGGGCGGAAGCGGCCTCCGCGGGCAGATGCAATGCGGATCGGCGTGTCTCTGCGGGATGTGATCGTGGATTGCGGAGCGTTGTACGGCACATGTCTTTTTGCGATGATTGCGGAGGGATCGTCATGCTGTGGCCAGTCAGGCAATGGAAAAAGCCTGGGAGGTTTAGATGCTGGCGGGGAGCTGCCTTGGCCTCGTTGCTCGAAAAGAGGGGGAAGAGGGGTTGAGGTCGGATGAGGGAGGGGAAAACGCAGGTTGCTGTCGTCTCCCGATGGTGTTGAGCGGCGTGCCGTGGGGTTGGGGCGATGACTCCTATCAATGTTAGCAGTTCACGATCACCGCTCTTTAACGGTGAACGCATAGCAGCAGGCCAATCCGCGAAATAGAGCAAGAGCAGCAAGTCATCGGTTGATCCCAAGTCTGATTGATGACATATGTACACAGCGTTTCTATCGCCAGCCTACATCTCTTCTTCCCCCTCGACGCAAAGCCAAAAACAAGGATGTCCTTCTTCCACGCAAACCGTCCGTGAGACGGGTCTACGACGCCTGCTTGCCGCCCTCGGCCTTTGACGGGGGGATGAAGGGCTTGCCCTCGAGGGTGTTGATGGCGATGTCGGCGTAGATCATGTGAGGACGGAGCTCGACGGGGGTGACGCCGGGGCGTTGGTCGGGGATGTGCTTCTCCAGTTTCTGTGGTTCATTCGTCAGCGTAATGTTTCTCTCTGATGGAATGAAGCCCGCGGTTGGTGCTTCTTGCTTGTCGAATCATCAACGAGCAGAGAAGGTGGATAGGTAGTGTCCATCGGATGAAGAGACGTACCAGGTTCTCGTAGACACACTTGTTCAGCTTCCACTCGGCCGGTCTGCACTGGTAGAGCTGGTGGTTGCGGTTCTCGACGCATGTCCAGTGGGCACGGAACTGCTCGAGGCAGTGGGTGTTGATGTCCTTGATCCTGCAGCGGGCGTTTCGTCGTCAGCATCCAACTCCCCAGATGTGCCCCGTCCACCAGGCCTGGATCTCTCTGCCGGCAACCCATGTTTCCCCCGGAAAGAATTGCAAAACGTACACGCTGGAAGCACATCTAGTAACCCGGCGGCCCTCCTTCAGGCAGTCGAACTCGCCGCGGCCCGCGCTCTCCGTCTTGCACTGCATGAAGTCGTCGTTGTATTCGCGGCAGCGGGCGCCGATGAAGTAGGCCGCGGACATGAGCGGCGCGGAGCTGGCGCCGACCTCCTTGACCTTGGGGACGTCGTCGGGCAGCGGGGTCGTGTCGACCTGGACCTGCTGGTTGAACCTGCGTGTCGTCGGGTGCCGGCCGTTAGCGAAACCACTTCATCTTGATATCGCGACATTTGTCTGTTCTCGGAGGGAGGAGGGGAGGAGCGGTTCGGGACGCCAATTGACGGACGACAATTGGGAGGGAAAGCAAACGTACTGGGGCCGTCGGGATGCCATGGTTGCGGTTGTGGTTTGATGGGATCTGGGCCGGCGGCGGGGGGAGACGGACGGTTCGGTGGGTTTATTCGCGATTGGGACTTTCTCGCAAGCTTTCCGGCTATGGACGCTACGGAATTGAGGTGAGGTCGATTTAGGAGGGTGCTGATTGGCTCGGTTGGCCGCGAGGCTGGAGTGGAGCTCTAGAGGTGTGGCGCTCGCCGTCTCGGTCTGGGCTGTGGCGCTCGGTGAAGGCTGCAGCTCTGGCCAGCTCCGATTTATTATTTTCGCGTCGCTTGTTGCTAGGACCTCAGCTCCGGTCTTTCGCACCTCTGCCCGATTGACGCCTTGTCGAGACCCTCTTCGACGCCCTGCGACGTCTTGTTACTCGTGTTTTCTAGGAGGACGAACTTTTTCTTCGATACCCCGGATTTTTTTTTAGTTCCTTCTTTCTGGCGACGATGCACTGAGACCCTCCGCATTGTTTTCCTCCCCGATCCGACTTTGCGCATCGATCTCGACCCCATTCTTCTCGTCGCGACCATCGTCTGACTTTATCTCACGACACCACGCATAGCCGCTTCGCCCAGACACCATGAGTTTGTTCGGAGCACCACCGAAGCCCGCCGGGCAGACGGGTGGTGGCCTCTTTGGAGGTGGTGGATTCGGCGGCGCCTTGGGCCAGTCGACACAGCAGCAACAGCAGCAGCAACAGCCTGGCCAGCAACAGGGCGGGCTCAGTCTGTTCGGTCAGCCCCAGAATCAAGGAAACGCCTTTGGTCAATCCATGGCTCAACCACAGCAGCACCAGCACCAGCAACAACAACAACAGCAGCAGCAACAGCAGATGCCCAACCTGTCACAATCGCAAGCGCAGCTATCCAGCTCCCTCTGGCAACCCGGCAGAGAAACACCTCGTATGTTGTGCTCCCACATGCATCTGCCTCGTGGCTAAAGATATCTCTACAGAAAATCAGAAGCCCATCCCCGAGCAGATGGCGCTCATCTTCGAGAAGTGGAACCCCACGAACCCCAACTGCGCCTTCAAGCACTACTTCTACAACAAGGTCGACGAGGCCTCCGTCCCCTTCTACAAGCCCGGCCCGCACGAGGACCCCAAGGAGTGGGAGGAGGCGCTGCAGAAGAAGCCCGCGCCGGGCTTCATCCCCGTCCTCTGCACGGGCTTCAACGGCGTCGCGGCGCGCCTGCAGACGCAGAAGAAGGTCGTCGGCGAGCTCAACGTCCGCCTGCACCAGATCAACGCCAGCCTCGACGCCATCCTGTCCCGCCACGACCTCGAGACGAGCGTGCGCGCGCTGGCGGCCCGCAGGCGGCACGTCGTGCTGCGCGAGCGGTGCCTGGCGCTCGCCGCGAGGGTGCAGGTGCTGCGGAACCGCGGGTACGCGCTCAGCGGCGACGAGGACGACCTCAGGCTCAAGCTGGCGGAGCTGGAGCGGAGCGTGCAGGACCCGGCGCTCGCTGCGAGGGAGGAGGAGCTCTGGAGCCGGTTGATCGTGCTGCGGGATTATGCGGGCCAGTTGATGAAGGAGACGAATAAGCCTGCTTTTGCTAGTGGAGAGGGGCTGAGCGAGGAGACGGAGCACAAGGCGAAGAAGGTGAGATTTTGCCGTGACTGGTGCCGTGAAGGGTTGTTGCTAACTGGGTGCAGGTCTTGGAGGACTACGAGAAGCAGATCCAGCACCTCAAAAAGGAGGTCGAGTCGATCACGAAGGACTTTGAGCAGTGGGAGAAGGAGCGTAATCCGAGCTCATGAGTAGCTTGACGGAACGGGGTACGGGCAGTGGACATGTCATAATAGAGGATCCGGCGCGAGCGGAAAGCTTTTGATGTAGGAACTGGATTGGTACGGTAACTTGGACGACAGCTCTCAGCCTCACGTCGTCGGCAATAAAAGTAGCGAAGAGCACGCGTGAACACGAGAGAGGCATTAGTCAAAAGTCGTGATGATTGTTTACCCTGACTCCGATGTGATCTATGCCCATATAGCACCCCATCCGAGCGGTCTTGTTTGTACAGAGGTATTTTACAACAAGGGGCGTGTATCCTATTACACATCTCCAGCCATGGATATCGGCCCGCGGCCGTAGTCCTTAGTGGCTACGGCATGTCTGCGTAGAGGTTGAAGCAGTTGTCTGCGTTCGTATTCACAGTTGAGCGCTTCTGAAGGCTCGGGAGGTTGGTTCGTCGACGTCAAGGTTTCTTTACAAGACCTTGGAGGCGGCATCGATGACGAAGGGGGCTGGTAGGGGAGCGTCAGTCAGCGATTGCCGGCGAGGAGTGCGTCGAGTCTACTCACAGAGGTAGAGAAGGACGGCGGAGACGGCGACCTGCTGGATGGTGAAGCTAGCCTCGGCCTCCATCTGCTTGATCTCCTCCTCGGAGAGCTGGGGGGGCGCGACTGCGAGAAGAATTAGCAATGCCCTTCTGACAGGATGATTGTAGGTACGTACATCCTCCGAACATATTGACGGTGTATTAAGGTATTGACGGGGGTGGACGGGGTCGAAGAGGTTCTGATCTCGTGATGCTTCTTTCGGGTTTGCGCGTCTGCCAGGTCCCAGCGATGATGTCGTCGCAAAAATTTAGAGAACGGACCCAGTTGAGCCCAGAGACCGCGCGGTACGTACCTCACCTGTGCGATTGTGGTGGTGTGGGTGTGAAAGTCCCAGTTTTCCACAGCCTGCTTAGCAAATCCAGTTTGACACATGCACTCGGAGTTGACGACCGAGTGCTTCGGGTAGCCATCCGTCGCCCTGATGCCAGCGCCCACCGCCGCCGTGGAAACAAACGCTGGGGGAGGAGGCTAGGCGACCCCTGTCCTCCCGCTGTTTGAGGCTCTCTCAGTGGTTGGGTGGTCTGATTTTAGGAGGTGAATCCCGGGCCGAGAATAGCCCGCCGCACCCTTTTTTTCCCAGCTTGATGGTCTGCCCCAGGGAATTTTCATGGGGGATCTGGAGATGGTTCTTATCGGTCTTGTTAGTGGTGGTGGCGCTTATCAGCGGACCTTTGATAAGGCGATCCTCGCCATTCCATTTCCTGGATGGCCCAACCCGCGCGCCGCAAAGAACCGAAGGGGTGGTTGATACCTTAGCTGCAGCGCGGCAGCAAGCGCGGTCTGAGAAGATGGCGGGCGCTCGAGTTAAGGTAAGAACGGCATCCCTGGGGTAATAGTTTGCCTTGTTTGTACTTTACACGCCACTTGAAATCAGAATATTTGACCGTTGGCTTCACCGACATCTTCAAATCCAGACTCGTCGACGGCTTTCTTCCTGGTGTCTTCCCAGCGCTCCACGTCTCATCCTTTGTGAGGCAAGCCTATTGTTCCTTTCTGAGAAATCTCGAGTCAATTCCGGGACCGCGCAGGTCCTCTTTGCTCCAGTCCGAGTCGCATTCTCGGGTGGCGACAAGGGTGTTGCTTTTCGTGCGGCAACGATATCGGTCTTCGGTCCCTCATCCGAGCAATACATACAAGACACCAGCGACTCGACAGCTTCCTCTCAACTTCTTTCTTTCTTTTCACTCACAACTTCTCCCACAAAGAGAGTCGCCAGTCGTTGTCCCTCGCGCGGCAGGCAATCTCAAAAACACTGTTTCCTTTGAATTTCACCCTTCCTTCCTTATCGCCACATAGTCATGGCATCATTGAGATTGCCCCTCCCCCGCCAGCTTCGGCTGGCAGCTCCGCGGTCGAGGGTCTTTGGCCGCCAGACTGCTCCCTCTTCATGGGTTTGCAACTCTTGCGCCTCCGGAATGGCTTCTAGCCGTATCCCTCGCGTGAGGACCTTTTCTGCCATTACTTCTCATGCCCAGGCCACAAGCAAGAGGACATCAGTGGATGCCTCCCTGGAGCCCCTGCAGAGGCCCGAGTCCTTCATCCCTCGCCACATCGGACCTGATGTGAGCGACGCCGAGGCGATGCTCAAGGCGCTCGATCCCCCGGCGAGGACAATTGACGAGTTCATCGCCCAGGTTCTTCCTGCGGATGTGTATTCCGAGAGGAAGACGTTCGCGTGGGACAATGAGGGTCACATGGATGAGAGCAAGATTCTGGCAAAGGCAACAGCCTGGGCCAAGGCCAACGAGGCCGCCCCGAAGCCGTTGATCGGCGCCGGTTACAACCCGAGCGTTACTCCCAGAGTTATCCAGACGAATGTATTGGAGAGCCCTGCTTGGTACACGAGTTACACGCCTTACCAGCCCGAAATCAGCCAGGGCCGCCTCGAGTCGCTGCTCAACTACCAGACCATGGTTTCCGACCTGACTGGCCTTCCCATTTCCAACGCCAGTCTTCTGGACGAGGGTACGGCCGCCGCCGAGGCCATGACGCTGTCCATGAACGCCCTTTCTACTTCCCGCGCAAAGAGGCCCGGCAAGACTTTTGTAGTCTCTGACCTCGTCCACCCTCAGTCCATCTCGGTTCTGAAGAGCAGGGCGCAGGGCTTCGGCATCAAGATTGAGATCCTCGACGTCAGCACCGCTGAGAACCAGGAGAAGATCAAGGCTCTCGGCCAGGACTTGGTCGGTGTTATGGTTCAGTACCCCGACACGAAGGGCAAGGTTGAGGACTTCAAGGGTCTTTCCGAGCTCGTTCACTCCCAGGGCGCGCTCCTCAGCGCTGCCACCGATCTCCTGGCTCTGACTGTGCTCGCTCCTCCCGGCGAGTGGGGTGCCGACATCGCCTTCGGAAGTGCCCAGCGTTTCGGCGTTCCCCTCGGTTTTGGTGGCCCTCACGCTGCTTTCTTCGCCGTCAAGGAGGCCCACAAGCGCCGCATGCCGGGCCGTTTGGTCGGTGTGTCCAAGGACCGAACCGGTCGCCGAGCTCTGAGACTGGCTCTCCAAACTCGCGAGCAGCACATCCGTCGTGAGAAGGCTACTAGCAACGTTTGCACTGCCCAGGCTCTCCTGGCGAACATGGCTGCCCTGTTTGCGGTCTACCACGGCCCTGAGGGTTTGAAGGAGATTGCCTCGAGATTGGTCCGTCTCGCTCGGGGTGTTCAGGCTGTGGCCGAGGCCGCCGGCTTGGAGACCGAGCAGAGCGGAGCTAGCCCCGACGGCAAGGTTTTGTTCGATACTGTTGTCATCAAGGCCGGTGACCGCGCTCAGAAGATCCTCGAGGAGGGTAAGAAGGCCGGTCTGGGATTCCGTGATTATGGAAACGGCGATGTTGGTATCAGCGTCAACGAGCACGTCAACGAGGAGATTTTCAACACCATTGCCACCGTTCTCGGAAACGTCACCGGTGCCCAGACTGCTGAAGTTGCTAGCAAGTCCTACGCCGCTCTCACTGAGAGCATCACCGACCTGCTCCCTGCTTCCCTCCGCCGCCAGTCCGACTACCTCACCCACCCCGTTTTCAACACTCACCGCAGTGAGACGGAAATCCTCCGCTACATCCACCACCTCCAGTCCAAGGACTTGTCTCTCGTCCACTCCATGATTCCTCTTGGTTCCTGCACCATGAAGCTCAACAGTGCGACTGAGATGGCCCTGATCTCCCTTCCGGGTTTCTCCACCATCCACCCTCACACCCCCGCCAGCGAGCTCAAGGGATACACTGCCCTGATCGAGAGCCTCTCCGAGCAGCTCAAGGGTATCACTGCCATGGACGCCGTTTCCTTGCAGCCCAACTCCGGCGCCCAGGGTGAATTTGCCGGTCTCCGTGCCATCCGCAAGTACCTCGAGCAGAAGCCCGACGGCAAGAAGCGCGACATCTGCCTCATCCCCGTCTCTGCCCACGGTACCAACCCTGCCTCCGCTGCCATGGCTGGTATGCGCGTCGTCCCCGTCAAGTGCGACCCGGTTACCGGTAACCTCGTCATCGAGGATCTCGAGGCCAAGTGCAAGCAGTACGCCGACCAGCTCGGTGCTTTCATGGTTACCTACCCTAGCACCTACGGCGTGTACGAGCCCGGCGTCAAGAGAGCCTGCGAGTTGGTCCACCAGTATGGTGGCCAGGTCTACATGGACGGCGCCAACATGAACGCCCAGATCGGTATCTGCTCGCCCGGTGAGATTGGTGCTGATGTCTGCCATCTCAACCTTCACAAGACCTTCTGCATTCCCCACGGCGGTGGCGGTCCTGGTGTCGGACCCATTTGCGTCAAGGAGCACCTCGCTCCTCACCTGCCGGCCCTCGCCGCCGACGGTGAGGAGGCCATGGTTTCCAGTGCACCCTTCGGCAGCGCTGGTATCCTGCCCATCAGCTGGGCTTACAACGCGCTCATGGGCAACGACGGTCTCCGTCTTGCCACCAAGACTGCCATCCTGAACGCCAACTACATCCTCTCCCGCCTCAAGCCTCACTTCAAGATTCTCTACACCAACGACAACGGCCGCTGCGCGCACGAGTTCATCCTTGACGCCCGCCCCTTCAAGGAGACCGCAGGTGTCGAGGCCATTGACATTGCCAAGCGTCTGCAGGACTACGGCTTCCACGCCCCTACCATGAGCTTCCCCGTTGCCAACACGCTCATGATCGAGCCGACGGAGAGTGAGAGCAAGGAGGAGCTTGACCGCTTCATCGAAACCCTCATCAGCATCCGTGAGGAGATTCGCGAGGTCGAGGAGGGCAAGCAGCCCAAGGAGGGCAACGTGCTCAAGATGGCGCCTCACCCGCAGGCGGACGTCATCCTTGGTGACGGTGAGGGCAAGTGGGACCGTCCCTACTCTCGCGAGAAGGCGGCCTACCCGCTTCCCTTCCTGAAGGAGAAGAAGTTCTGGCCTAGCGTGGCGCGTGTTGATGACAGTAAGTTTTCTCGCAGCACTGATATGTGATGATGGCAGCTAACAGTAAACCAGCGTACGGTGACACCAACTTGTTCTGCACGTGCCCCCCTGTTGAGGACACTACTTCAGAGTAAATCGATGTGCCTTTCATAGACATGATACCAGCGGAAAGATAGAGGCCCGTAGAGGGCCATATCATTACTGCATGACGATGACGACAAGAGGACTGGGGACGCGTCGATTAATTCAACATTCGACTGTGTCTCTGGTCTCATCCGATACACGATACATCTTTGATCTTTCTACATCATTGTTATTTTTCAACATTTTATATCAGCGGGGATATGAGTTTCTACTATTTCAACAGGGTATACATATCACATATAGTTCGGGGGTTATGGGGGTTCACGTAAGGACCTACCGGGAGTTCAACAACCGTGGAGATACGGGTTGCATCATGGGTCATTTGATTTATCTGGTAAAAATAGCATTGAGCCGGAAAATACATATTTGAAGATTAGGTTTGGCGGTCCTCGATGTCTGTGAATGTTGAATGATAAATATCCTGGCTTGGATGATTTGTAGGGAGTGAACAAGAGTTGCGAGATTTCGACAGACGACCCATCGAGATGTTGAGATAGCTCATCAAAAACAAAATGCAACTCCATGTTATGAAGATAGGCGTGTTTTGCGACGATTGTTCGAGTTCATGACGTCTCCAAGTCGGCCGGGGTTAGAATCCCATCGACCCCACTCTTTCCATGGCCGGCGTACCGGCCTTCCTGATCAGGACGCCGTGCCAACCGCCCGGTCACAAAACATGCGGCTCGGAACCTTGATGTCCTCATCTCAACCTCCTCTCACTTTAACAGCTGGAAATCAATTGAGCGCGCTCGACCTCAATTGAACTCTCACCGACAGAGAATTGAAAGAATTCCGAACCCATTGGGAAGGGTTAGCAAACATGGCACGTCTCGCAGCGCTCGCTGCAACGGGCTTCGCTCTGCTCACGCGACTCACATCGGCGGTCGCGACGCAGGCGGACATCGAGTCCCCGGAATACGCCACCTTATCGCTCTCTGAGCACCCGCACTATGCAATCCGTATCAAGGAGCAGAGCGACGAGATTTGCGCCGCGGGGTCCCGGCAGTGGACTGGATGGCTGGACACCGGCGGCAAGCATCTCTTCTTCTGTGAGTCGTTCACGATGAACCTACATCTCTGCGGCACACTTACACAGCTGCGACAGGGTACTTTGAGAGTCTGAACGACCCGCAGAATGACCCCCTCAGCCTTTGGATGACAGGCGGACCCGGTGGCAGCGGTCTCGTGGGTAAGTCACGTCGGTGCATCGCGACCGGGCTCAGTTACTGACAAACGACGCAGGAATGATGCTCGAACTCGGGCCCTGCCTCATCAACCCCGACGGCACAGGCACCGTTCACAACCCCTACGCCTGGAACTCCAACTCGTCCATGATCTTCATCGACCAGCCCGCCGGCACAGGCCTCTCCTACCACGACCCGGACGTCCCGCAGCCCGCGACGTCCTCCCTCGCCGCCGAGGACATGAACGTCTTCCTCCGCATCTTCTACACCGCCTTCCCGCACCTCGTCGAGCTCCCCTTCCACATCGTCGGCGAGAGCTACGGCGGCCACTACATCCCGGCCCTCGCGGCCGAGATCGTAAAGTACAACACCGAGGTCCCCGCCCCGCGCTTCAAGATCCCGCTCGCCTCCGTCATGATCGGCAACGGCTTCGTCAGCCCGGCCGACACCACCTGGGGCTACCACGAGACGCTCTGCACCACGAAGCCCGGCGTGCCGGAGCCCGTCTTCAACGCGAGCACGTGCGCGCTCATGGCGGAGGCGCTGCCGCGGTGCATGTACCTCCAGCGGGCGTGCTACGCGTACCCGGACCCGATCGTGTGCGGCGCGGCGGGGGATTTCTGTTTCAGGCACGTCGACGACCTGTACTACCGCGACGTCAAGGCCGGCGGGCGGAACCCGTTCGACATCACGGCGCCGTGCGAGACGGAGTCGATCTGCTACAAGGCCGGGGACGGGATCGAGGACTACGTCAAGAGCGACGCGGTCTGGGGCGCGCTGGAGGTGCCGGCGGCGGTGTCCAGGGAGGGGTTCAGCCTCATCTCGATGGAGGTCAACCGCGCGTTCGAGAAGGCGGGCGACGTGTTCCTGAGCACGGAGGCGGAGGTGCGGTACATACTCGAGCGGGGCGTCGACGTGCTGATCTACAACGGGGACCTGGATCTCGCGTGCAACACGGCGGGCAACGTGCGGTGGACGGAGAGGCTGGCGTGGGCCGGGCAGGTGGAGTTCAACGCGAAGGAGTTTGCGGCGTGGTTCGCGCCGAAGGGGGGAGAGGTGGTGAAGGCGGGACGGTGGAAGGAGGTGAGGAAGAGGTTGGGGGGCAGGGAGACGCGGTTCGCGTTTGTGACGGTGGAGGGGTCTGGGCATATGGTTCCTCTGGACCAGCCTGAGGTCGGGCTTGAGATGGTGAGGAAGTGGATGTTTGGGAGCTTTGAGGAGGCTGCGAAGGGGGGGATGAGGGTTCAGGAGGATGGGCAGTGGTCTTTGGAGTTGTAGGTGAGATGTTGGTGGATGGAAGTGAGCGAGTGGGTGTTCGAAGAATGATATCAGGTAGGTCGGGATTGTATTAGTTGGTCCATGATTGTTAGTCAGAGTGGTTACGCTGGCTTTACCTGCCAGTTATATGTGTTGCCAATTCAAATAATGTCGTTCCGCAAGGCATTATCGAACGAGGGATGTAGCAGCCCAGGACCTGTGGACATGACTTGCCACATCAGTTTATGACAGGCAGGCCAACTCATGAAAGATGATTGACGATCATCTACTCATGTGTTGTAACTGCTCGCTTTGAGGGCATACGTATATTAAACGGTATGAGAGTACCTACGTGAATGCTCTCATTACAGTACCTATGTGAATTCTCTTATTACGCATGCTCACTGCGCGTATGCGTTAAGTACTGATATAGAGAACATACCCATAGTACCATTCTCATCCAGTATCAATAGTCTGTCACTGCTAGGTGTGGCTCGAATACCGTGTGGCGGAGGGGTTACCGAACAGCCCGAAAGGGGTGCCGAACAAGCGGTCCCCCACTCATCCTCGACGAGTCGGAATATCCTCCACAGAATAGGGTTGAAATGTGAGTTGTGAGATACTCTTGACAATGAGAAGTATCGAGGTCGTTCCGAGCTGCCCGGGCTGGTACATATCCGTATTTCCATTTGGATCCCCTGTGGAGCCGCCGTCATTTGCAAAGAAAGACGCAGGAATTTGTCTCGATAGGATGCAGAACAAGAGGCTGAAAGGACCGCATCACTCGAGGGCCGTCAGCATTGTCTTCTTCTTCGAGTGCCTCGGTGCTCGGCCGAGACCGTCGGATGGTGCACCCGGCTTCATCTCATCATTGATCAGTAGTCCACTCTCTCCTCAGTGGAGGCTCACTTCTTGGCTTTCGAATGGACCCCGAAATCGACAGGGGGCTTGGGTTGACGTGATCGCGAGTCTTCGAATGCCGAGGAGAACCCCAGATGTTTACCAATCAGCGAACGGCCGCAGAGAACCGGTTTGGAATCAATCGAGGCGTTAAAAAGAACAGCAAAATGACCAAGAATGCAAAGGGGTCGTGGTTGCAATTCGTCCTGAAGGATTGGGAAGGAGCGGGAACCTTGACTTGCGGTCCCGCTCCTGCCTCCTGCCACGAGTTGAGAACGCACGGGCCATGCAGGTATGTACCTGTGTGGCTTCTGAGAAAGTGATGAATGGCAGGAGCGACGAGGGACGATCTCCTGCTGAATTTGTAGATGTCCGAAGTCCGACCTCGTTTTTGGAACCTGAATCTTCCGTTTAATTTTCACACCGTTAGTTCCATCAGCTTCCAAAGCCAAATGCCGACCACCAAGCGTCGAAGCTGTTGGCTCGCGAATCTACGGATACATCAAATCAGTGGTTCTGGTTCATCTCATGCCATTGATCCTCCCTCCACCAGCTAGCCGGCATCCCCCAGCACCACGGAGCCATAAAGTCAATTTGGCGGCACCATTTCGCGTTACACGAGCCATGAGATGGCGCTCGCGTATGCGCAAGACGAGATCAAACGGTTCGCCATGGCACTCATTCCATAACGGCAGACATTCCTCGTCGACAAAACGGTCTTCCCGCAATGGCCATTCCTGCTGAAGAACAGCAAAGTCAGACAGACATCCGTACATCGACGCTCATCAAGACGGGTGAGCATCCATGACCGGCAGCCATCCATCATCCATCCATCCAAACGTTCCCGCCAGCCATTGGACCGTCCCGTCTTCGCCGCTGTCATGCAGCCCAGCAAATCCTTCGACCATGGTTCCCCCATATTCAGCCCTGCCCAGATGCGCCTGTGCCATTGGGTCGAATGGGCTGGATTCCTTCAACAGCAGCCAGAACGAGGAACTTTTGGTGTCGGCCTGCGTTAAGAAATCTGGCCATTTCCTCCATGCCTTGTCTCATCGACGATCCCATCTCACCCGTCGTCGAAGCAAGACCTCGCGGACAACACGCATCACCCCCGGAGCCACTCGTTTGCCGGGTCCGGCCCAGTCACCCACGTTGAGGTTTTAAGATGAGCTTCGCGCTCTCGTCATCGCAGCTTGCAAGGACCAGGGCTTTTTGACTTGACGCAGACCATCTCGACGACGCCAAATTGGGAGTTCACCAAAAAACAACACGCCGAGTTCGGGAAAAACGAGAGATTGGTTCACTGCAACACCACCATCATTTTTGGGACGCTTCGACTCCAGCATCCCCATCATCCCACCCTGGTCAGGTCCCCGAAACCCACTGCCCTGGTTTGTTCTGGGCCCCTTTAATGGCACTGATTCCCCGATGGCCCCCTGGTGTCCTGTCGGTTCTTCTCTGCTGGCCGTCAGCGTCAGCTGCGAGAACACAGGACCCGTAAGGCACGTCGGCATCGAAAGAGAAGCGAGACTTGGTTCCATTTCTTGCAGCCGGCCCCCGCTTCTCTTCACATCCCAAAGATTGTCTGTCCTTCCTCCCACTTTCAATCTCCCAAACGTCGTCCCAGAAACTACCAAAAACAAGTCGACTGCCACTGGTTGGGTACAGCGATCCTCCCGCCCGCGTCCCAGGCACACCACGGCGTTGGTTTCAACCAGATACCTGTCTGATCCGAACGAAAGCAAAGTCCAGACACTAGTTGTATTCGATCGTTCCATCTGGTCTTAGCGTCTTCGACGCCGTCCCCGTATCGGGCCCGGTTTATTCTGTGTCTGCTCCCCGGCCCCCGCGATCCTTCACGGCTGTCGTCCGCCATGGCGGCCACCGCGACAAGCACGTCGGCGACGTCGGCGACATCGACAAACACCTACAGCAGCGTCATCATCTCCAGCTTTCCCTTTAGACCGCTAACGACACAATTTGTCCGGCCAACCTACTGCGATGCTATCTACAATGGTAATATCTACATGATCGACCCGCAGGAGAACTGTCTACCCGAGAGCCATTCGAAGCAGGAGACGGCTTATTATTCTCCGGGTTACGTCTGCCCGGAAGGGTACATGACGGCCAGAGTCGATAACAAGGGCGTTCACAGCATTACGACGGTCACTTGCTGTCCAACCCGCAGCGACATTATCCTCTCGGCCCTCGACCCAGCCACTCTTTCCGGCCAATGGGTCGATCTGTTCTGCACTTGGATCGCTCCAGAAGCCACGCGCATCGACATCGTCCACACTGCTGGTACGAGCACATGGACGCAGCAGGAATATGTGACTTCCCCCGGAGGCGTCAACGCGTACGGCGTTCGTATGGTTTATCAGTCAACCGATCTCGCTGCGACAGCGACAGCGACGGTCTCGGCGACGAGCACGGGGAACGTCACCGTGCCTCAAGAAACCAACGCGCCGGCATTGTCTACGGGAGCATCCATCGCCATCGCTGCTGTTGTGCCAGTAGTTGTTCTCGCGCTGATTGGCGGGGCTCTCTTTTGGTGGTGGAGGAAACGACAGGCTTCGAAATACAATCGCGTAAACGAAGCCGGAAACCCCAGCGCGTCCGGTATGCCTCCCGGAAACCATCAACAAGGCCCAGTTCATGAGGCACCCTCGATGCAGCAGTATCAGCAAGGTTACCAACAGCATCAGCATCAGCCGATGCAGACAATGCCCTCCACGCAATCTTTCCCATCCACGTATCAGTCCTCGACAGTCGCGCCTTCCAGTCAACAGCATTCACCCAGCGCTCCCTATACTCAGCAGTACGGGCACAACGGAGCATACACAAGTTTTGCCGGGTACAAGCCGCCCGGGGTAGCGGAGGAAACTCCGGCGAGCGCACAGGCGTTCACGTCGGAGTTGCCGGCCCCCGTGCCGACGGAATTGGCTGAAGACCGACCAACTCACACGGCTTCGGGACAGCATATTGACGAACAAAAGATGATGGGCGTCGGCCCTCTCAAATGATGGAAGAAGGACAGAGCTTATAAGGGGTAATTGGGATCTGAGCATGAATGGATTAATCGGCATCTTTTACAAAACGGCGCGGCGTTCGGGGTGGCGTGCCCATCTAGGACGGCCCAGTAACTGACCTGGGAACATTATTATACTATACTCACGCCACATCGTGCGCAACATTTCTATTCATCTACAGATATCATCCAAGGCTTCCTCGCCTAATCGAACGACTAATGAGCGAAGCCACTCTCGTTTTACAGAAACCAAACCGTGAAATTCGAGCTTGCGGCGGCTGCTCCGCCACGAAGCCCAAAACATTTGACTGGCAATCAAAACTCCGTTTGGATGATCTGCCGCGGTGCCGTCTATCCGTCTCACCATCAGCACCAAAGGACCTGAGCCTTGCTAGGCTGTCGAGGGATGTGGCTGAGTCTAGGAAAAGCTAAGCTTCGTCAGAAGCTTGTAGCGAGTACCAGTTTCGACTCTCGAACTGCGTGGGAGCACCTCGTTCCCGCGACTTTCACATCTGCCAGACACCGACCTGTGTCGTTTTTTTCTTCGTCGAGGCACCATTCCTCAACCATTCCCCTTTCACCTTGGTTTGGAGACATCATCTCGCCAGTGGCCATCAAAGCACAAGGTATTGTCAGTGTCCACTCAGCCACGGAGACCCTAACCGAAGCCATGGACATCCGAAGCAGTCGAGCCATCGCACAGCCATCTCCGTCATCGCAAGCGCCTGCCGCAGTCTCACACCAGTCGTCCTGCACTTCTGCCCACGCTCATCAGACTGAGCTTTCAACTTGAATCTGGAAATGCAAAGGGCTGGACACATCCCTTCATTTCGAGTCACGCTAGATCGCGCAAAGAGCCACTAATTAGGCAGCGATATGTGAGAGCTAGCACCGTTGTAGAGGAATCCACAGGGGAGACGAGCCGAATTGTCTTACATCCACTTCTCCTTTCAACTTGTCGTCAGGTGTATGGCAAGCTTCATGAGAATATGTGCTGCAGCTCTACTACATACTAAGCTCAACGAGTGTCATCTGGATGCAGAGACGGCCGTTGGCAGCTTTTCCCCCTGCCGAAGGATTCGACTGAGGGCTTGGCCACATCCTTCCTTAGCGTCACTTGTTACGAATAGTCGAGGATGCTGTTTGGTGTCTGACTTCGACGGGCCCCATGGCCACCACTTTTTTCCCTCTCAAACTTGGGATCGCCATTGGATTTGACTCGGCGCGAGTGGTTGGCGGGAGTACCGGCAGGATCAAGGGGGGGTCCAGATAGAACTAATCGGGCGAAGGATTCACCAAAACCAGACTTAAGCGTTTTTCCACGTCCCATTCAAACCAATTTCCACTGCCTTCTTGTTTCTTTCGTTTCTCTTCTTTTTGTTCCTGCACCCTAATATCAGATGCTTTGCTGACTGACGTTTCTAACTCGCATCTCACGCAGCCTGTCGTTCAATCACGATCATATCCACAAAACAAACTCCTGTGCCTCGTTACACAAGATCCATCACCGGCCCAGGGTTCCCCAGACGAGGTTCCCAAAGTCCCTTCCAACTACCGGGAAGACACTTGCCGAGTCCATCTGCGAGTGGTGAACTGGATCGCATCCGCAATGGCGACGGCATCATCCACGTCGAAAACGCGCTTCGTCGCCTCAACGTTTCCCGAGAACCCTCTCCCGACAGCCAACTTCGACCCTCCGTCATCCTGCTCCGGAGTCTACTGGACGAACAGCGTCTTCGCCTTTGACAACGACCCAGCATGCCTTCCCAACAAGTTCAACGGTGCCAGCACCGCCTTCTACTCCCCAGGCACCGCCTGCCCGACGGGATATACCGCCCAACCGCAGTGCTCCAGAAACAACGGCGTCCGATCCGTGACCACGGTAACCTGCTGTCCTGCCCGCGGGGATATCACGTTGTCGTGTGTGGAGGACGACCTGACCTTGTCCGATAGATGGGAGACACAGTTCTGTACGTGGATGGCGGGTCCGGCTACGGTTGTCGAGTTCACTGTTGTCGACGGCGGAAGCACGACGAAGAGCGCGGCGACGATGAGCAATCGAGACGGTATCAACGCGTACGGGATCAGGATGGTCTACGAGGCGAGCGACCTCGTGCCGAACACGGCATCCGCCACCGCTACTGGCACAGATGCCGCGGGGGCCACGAGCTCTGGTGACAGCGGCAGCAGCAGCGGCAACGACAGCTCGTCCAGCAGCGGACTTTCAACCGGCGGAATCGTCGCCGTGGCGGTGGTCGTGCCCGTCGTGGTCATCGCTGCTCTACTGGGGCTGTTTTTGTGGTGGCGCAAGAGGAAGCACGCCTATGCCGGCGTGCAGCAACAGCAGCCCGGACAATCCCCGTCGCAGCAGAACGCGTACGCCTACCCGAACAGTACCAACTACCAGGGCAGCAACTATGCGCCGAGCGAGATGGCGGGAGGGAGTGTCGCTGGGTATTACCAGAACGATAAGGTGCTGCAGCCTGGGCAGCCGGGCGCGGCGGGACAGCAGTTTAAGGGGTATCCTCATTCGACGCCGGCTGCCCCTGCTGAGTTGCCCGTTGGAGATGCGCCTGCGGAGTTGGATGGAGGTGGAAGGTAGTTGAGGGGCGGGGGGATATAATCAGGGTTGGCGAATTTGGGTTTGGCGGAGTATATTGCTTCGGCGGCATCAGAGGGCGTATCGGAGAGCAGCGAGCAAAGAAGTGCGCGGAGTATTTGTTGATACCTCGGTCATAAACGAGCTTTTTGGATACTTCAGAATACCAAATGCATAGATGTAAGCATGAAATTGGAAGATATTTGCAATCCAGCTCGCTTGTGGTATTATTCCCTCGCGGGCTGTCCCAATTAGGTCACTTGTGCTTGCATCTGTTTCTAAGGGAACATAATAAAACCTATAGCCTGCGTAGTGAGCACGCGATGTTGAGTCACGAAATCTACCCACTAGTAATGCATCGGCGGACAGTCATGCCGGCCAAGCGCCGTGTCGCCGACGAACCGGGGCAGCATCTCCCCGACCGGTGCTCCACAGCACCTCCGAGCTCTCACCGCCTGCGCTTCTTGGGCAGGTTCTGTAATTACCCCGCCACCCCGCCATCCAAGCTGCAAAAAATTCATTTGCGTCGCTGCAGGTCCTGCTTATCAAGCACGCAGAACTTCCTCGACACATTAATAAACATCGCCCTTTTACGTCTGCGCTTCCTTTTAATACCCCGATACCCAGCGCATACGAGACTGCTCTCTCAGAGCTCGCAAGCGCATCGCCCTTCGAAGCGCGAATCACCGAAACCCACGAAGGAATAAGAAATACCCAGGAAAAATGTCTTCCCACAACGAGCACAACGACGACCATGACGAGCCCGAGTTGCTCGGCGCCGACGATGTCGGTGAGGAGGTGAACATGGACAACGACGACGTCGCCATGGACTCGGACGACGACGAGAACGTCGAAGTCAACCTCCAGAACGACTCCGTCGCCTACTTCGACGCCCACAAGGACTCCGTCTTCGCCATCGCCCAGCACCCCGTCCACCCGACCATCATCGCAACAGGCGGCTCCGAAGGCGACTCCGACGACGCCCCCGGAAAGGGCTACCTCATCTCCACCGCCGCCGCCGCCTCCCGCCCCGTCCTCCCCGCCTCCTTCTCCGGCGACAACACCCCGCAGACCACCCAGCTCGACGCCATCCTCCCGATCGACGGCCACGCCGACAGCATCAACGCCATGTCCTTCACCCTGCCCAAGGGCGACTTCCTCGTCTCGGGCGGCATGGACGGCAAGCTCCGCGTCCACGCCGTCCGCGTCGGCTCCCCGACCGCCGAGGCCGCGAGCGTCCAGATGAAGTTCATCGCCGAGGCGCAGGAGGTCCCCGAGATCAACTGGATCGCGCCCTGCCCGAACCCCCAGTACCCCAACACCATCGCCCTCGGCGCCAGCGACAACTCCGTCTGGGTCTACACCATCGACATCGCCGCCGGCGGCGGCGACCCCGCCAACTGCCTCCAGCTCGTCCAGACCTACTGGCTCCACCAGGCCCCCTGCACCGCCGGCGCCTGGACCCCCGACGGCAACCTCCTCTGCACCGTCGCCGAGGACTCGAGCCTGTACGTGTGGGACGTCTGGGGCGAGGCCGGCGCCAAGGGCCTGGTCGAGAGCAACGGCCAGACGACGGTCAGCATGACGGCGGAGGACCAGCGGTTCGAGGTCGAGGGCGGCCTGTACAGCGTCGCGGTGGACCCCAAGGGCGCGCTCGTCGCGGTCGGCGGCGCGGGCGGCGCGATCCGCATCGTCAGCCTGCCGAGGCTCGCGAGCAGCGCGCAGCCCGGCAAGGGGGGCAAGAGCAAGACGACGGCGGACGTCGCGGCGGGAGGACAGATCCTGGCGGCGCTGCAGACGGCGTCGGACGGCATCGAGACGCTGAGCTTCACCACCGCCGCGGGAGGGCCCGGTCAGACGTCGACGCTGCTCGCCGCGGGGTCCGTGGACGGCAGCATCGCGGTGTTCGACGCGGGGCGGAGGTTCGCCGTGAGGAGGAACCTGCCGGGCGCGCACGAGGACTTCAGCGTCGTCAAGGTGGAGTTCGTCAAGAACACGTGGCTGTTGACGAGTTGCGGCATGGACGGCGTCGTGAGGAGGTGGGATCTGAGGGCGCAGGACGCGGGACTCGTGAAGGAGTGGAGGGGACACCGCGGTGATGGCGAGGGCGGCGGTGTGCTTGGTTTCGTACAGGGCGAGACGGGCGAGAGGGTTGTTACTGCCGGCGACGACGGTGTTGTTCTTGTTTTCGAGGCTTGAGGTGGATTTTGCGGCTGGGTGGTTTTTCTTGTTTTATGAGAGGATAGATAAAAGGGGCGTGGCACCGCTGGATTTGCGGTATGATGAATGGATCAGATAGATCTCGGATTATGAGACGTTTTCTACGCTATTGACAAAAACTATTTCCGATGAGTGACTCTGTCTTGTATTGCACATCAAAGACTTTTGTGCCGTTGGGAGTGGATGGTGAGACAAAGTTTCTTTGAGTTCGTCTGATGAGCAGTTGGGCTTTGAAACATGCCTCCCGCCGTTATACGTCTTCAGCCATCATCAACCTCTGCGGCTCAGCAACGTCGAACCCACACCAGACCATCTATCCAACTTCGCGAATGTGAGCATTCAGAGCCACTTGAATCGACCATTTCGAAGCCTCTAGCCCGACCTCATGAACAGCTTGCAATGGGATGAGGTCATCGGGGTGGCGCTCATGATCTGCGGGGTAATCGAGTTCCCGAAGATTTGCTTCTGCCTGGCGATGTGCTGGTTCTCATGGGAGACGGTCGTCAATTGTGAGTTCATGACGGGATTCGTATGAGGATCTTAAAGCTTACGATTTGTCAGTGTACGCCATCCTTGGTATCTATCCATTCTTGCGCAACATCATGGGTCCGATGACGAGGACGGTTTTGTTGAACGCACGAGAGGTTACATGATCGCACGTATGGCGATGTGTCTGGAGCAAGTGGTGTTGATCGATCGTGTGAGCTCCCTGTTTTCTCAACGAAGCAGTATGACGGCACCATAATACATCGCGGCATGGTAATACTCTCGTCGACGACATCGCATATTCACGTTCAAATAGCATGAGATTTTGATGAAGATATCAGTATTAATTGATTCATTTGTCATTAGACTACCTCATGTAGTCGCCACCTAGGCACTGTCCAATCGTTCAAGACAAGTCGCCTGACTGGTGACATGTATCATCCTCTCTCCAATCCCGAATCGCTCCCATCCAACGCCGTTGGTGTGAAATGTTCGTACATGTGTGCTTAGCTGCTGCGGCCTCCCTGGCCGACGTTGTCGCCCTTGGCAAGGCCCTGGCTGGTGCCTCCGGAGGCAGGCAGGTCCTTGATGGCGAGACCCTCCTCCTTCTCGGGCATGGGGGCGGTCTTGTCGGCGCGGTCGACGTGGTCGGACTGGGATGCGTTAGACGATAGGTTCATCAAGAGATTGTCGGGGGCGGGAGGAGTGAGAGCTCACCTTCTCGACGCCAGCACCGTGCACGATGTCGTGGCCGGCCTCAACGGCGTTGTCAGAGGCACCAGATCCGTCGCGAGGCATGTTGATGGTTGGTTGTAAGAGTGTGATTTGTTGGAGATTGAACTGGTTTCGTGATGCTTCAAGAAGCTGTTCGTTGGTGATTGTCTTGTGAGAGTGGTGGTTGTTGCTGGAGAAGGACAGCGGTTAAGCAGAAACAGTCTGAGAAGCTTTATTTAAAAGTGATGAAAGAGGCTGAAAGAGCTTTTAGCTCTGATCTCGATTTGACGTCATGTTGGGAATGCGCAAGTGCCTCCCCGGGTACCTGCCTCCAGACGTCATTAGTGGTGGGGTCATTGATGATCGTCCCCGCCCCGCGATGTCAGATCGGACCTCAGATCTGCTCCGGAGCAAATGCCCCGACCTATTTGGCTGACCCATTGCCATTCCAGCGCGCAATGATGTTGGTCTACGGGCCCAGAACCTTTTTCTGGAATGATTCCCACCTCTGTGTCCTGGTTTTCTGACACAATCACGAACGAAGGGACTGTGGGCTGGCCCGCCCGCCTTGAATCCGTGCAGGTGAGAAGGTTGGCCGATGACGACAGGCCCAAGCCACGGCAGCCGTCAAGGGCCATGTCTCGGCCGTTATCGGCATCGTGGGAAGTGAGGCTTTTCAGATGTATGTCACGATGTTTCTGTGGAAGGCAATTCGGTGTTGTCTTGCACGTTCAATTGTCGCCTTCGCGACTGGTACGTCGGCCATTTCGCTCATCGCAGGACACTAATAGGTGAGTCTTCAATCGCGTGAGTTCTCGGATATCAACATTTTCAATAGATTCTCCCGACTTAGGTATGCGAAGATATCGTCTGCAATAACGTACAGTGCCTTTCCCAATGCCAATTCCTCCCCCTCAGCTTCGTTTCTTCCTTGCAGCTAATAAGACCACCTTTCCACAATCTCATCACCGTCTTCAATGTTGCATTCCAAAACCAACTTCATCACCACGAGCCTCTCTTCTTTACCACAACATGAAAGTCGCGAGGCTTGACAAACCAGTAGTTGGTGCAGTGCCAGTCATCCTCCTTCTCCAAAATGAAATCGAATTCCTGAATCATTCGAGGAATTGCCTTTGACACCTCCAACAAGCTGATGTTCTTGCCGATGCAGGTACGGGACCCTTGGCCGAACTAGGGCATGATTAGCTCGAGCTCCGATGCGCATCTTCCATTTTACTTACGGTGAAGAAGTATGACTCCATTGCACTCTTCTGCTCTTTGGATGAGTCAATCCATCGTTCCGGTCGGAACTGCGCTGCATCGTGACCGAACACCTCTTCGTTGTGGTGGGCAACCCAGGCGTTGATACCCACAACCGTCTGTGCCGTGAGGTCAGCTTTGGTTCAACTCAACAAGCATCAACACTTACACCCTCAGGCAAGAAGCTTCCAGCAAGCTGCCTTCCGCCTTCCGGCACAACACGGGGCATCGTGAACCCAGTTGCCGGGTGAACCCGAAGACTCTCCTTAATGACAGCCTGGAGATACGGCAGCGCCTGAGCCTCTCTGAAAGTGATCGGGTTCGAGATGGATCCATCCGCCGCGGCATCATCCAGTTCCTTCCGAAGTCGCTGCATCGCGTGAGGATGCTTGCAGAGGTTGTACATCATTCCGCTGAGGGAAATGGCCGTGGTGTCTGATCCAGCTGCGATGTTGGCACCTCCGGCAAGCTGGATGGCGATGCTTGTCACCGTTTCAGGTCGTTCTTTCTGAGCCTGCACCAACTTCGAGATGAAATCCTGGGGTCCATCCGCGGGCTTCTCTTCCTGCTGTCTGGCAGTGACCTGTTCCGCCGCATATTTGACCACGAAAGCGGTTCCCTTGGGTTCTTTCCCTTTGCCTAGCTGCTGGAGGAGTTTGAAGATAGGAGGCCAAAGCCATGGGTAAACGCCGAGTGCGCTGGAGAGCTGGATGGAGTCGTCCAGTTCCTTCATGACGTGCTGAGGGTCTCCGCCAGCGTCAAGACAGCCAAATCTTCTTGAGAACTAACAATGGTAAGCACGATCTTCCATAGGCTTACAGCCTTGCTGGTTTCCCACTTACAGTGATCTTGCCAATGACATCAAAAGCGTAGCATTGGAACCAGTGACCCAGGTCGATCACGGTCCCTTGTGCAGAGAACTCCGAGAAGCGCTGCGACAGAATCTCGGTGCACTCATCGACGTAAGGCTCGTATGATACCATGTTCGACATGGAGTATACGCTCGAAACCTGCCGGCGGGAGTTCGCATGCGCTTTCGGGTCCGTCTCGCTGAAATGGTTTCGTAGGCTCGGGTCTCCCCAGACAGAATACCAGTCATTCTGGCAGGTCACTGGGTTAGTTCTGATTATCAAAGTTTCGTCCATAAGATGAAGTTACCTTTCTGAAGTGACTGCCGTGACCGTAAATGGTCTTCGCCGCATCGAGGCTGTCGACACTGTACTGTCCCGGTGCGATACGGACGATTGGTCCTGTCGAGTGCATGTAATAATCAGCAAAGGTTTCTTCATGATTATGTAGAAGTAGTGATGTTCCGTAGATACCGTATTTCCGATGCAAGTCAATATTCGTCTTTTCATAATCGCCGCGGGTGTACTGGCGGAAAAGCCACAACCGAGTAAATCTCGCAAGTAGAGGGCCGGGAATGCTTCGAAGAGGATCTAAAAGAGCTCTGAGGACACGATAGGATACGAATACCACCAACGAGATAGGAACGATCCACCATACTGGCGTCAACGACGACCCTTCGAGGGCATGAATTGGTAGAATCATTTTGCAAGACCTGGATTCAATGCACCAGACAAAGCTCTTGGCCGAGTAGCGTCCATATTTGACAACAGAAAGAGTATGAAGACCTATATACTCGAACGAAACTCAAGAACTCAGTGTTCGGGAGTCAAGGCCGACGATGGGATGACCTAAGGATATCGTGGGGTTCGGCGTCCGCGCGAGAGTCGGCACTTACACGACTCCAGGCCCCGCCATCCCGATGGGGGACCGCAGCTAAACCCCCCGGAACGGGATCCCCACCTCCACAACATCTGCCGAACTGCCCCGGGAAAATGATTCATTGGTGAATATGCAAGATTCATCCCGTTTGTGATTGGGCTAAGCACGGTAGGTGCTGTCAAAATGATGACTGGCATGCGAAACACGAGATGGACGAGTTCCGATGACGCGTGGACACCTAGGTCTTTCTGCAGGCTGCGGGCAAATAACTGGATGGTCTATCTGCTTCATGCATCGTGAAGTGCGCAGAAACGATACACCGCGAGAAATAACTGCACAGATTAGACCGAGTAATGATCGGCCGGGACGACGGGAAGGAAGTGGGGCCGCTTAGTGATTCGAGACAGCCCGAAATGTCGGACATTTGAGAGAAGACGGCATACTCTTACACCTCCACCACCACATCCCGCATACCGGTTGGTTTGCCCCAGCTCTTTTTACAAGATGAATAACGGCGTGCGGGGGCTACGATGCAGATACTGCGATGAAGCTTTCAAGAGAAAGGAACATCTTGACCGTCATCTTCGACGACACTTAGGCTCGAAGCCCTACAAGTGCAGTTTCTGCTCAAAGGCATTTTCGCGAAAGTGAGTGAACAATAATCTCCTTTAGAAACCTCGCTCACGGAAATTCCTATAGAGACGTACTCACCCGGCACCAAACTACCCATGAGCAAGCCTCAAGCGGCAGTTCGTCGCCAAGGCGGCCGGGGAAGAAGCCGCAAGCCTGCCTGGCATGCTCGAGAGCGAAACAGCGTTGCTCAAAAGAGAACCCCTGCCGTTCGTGCGAAAACAAGGGCATTGACTGTCTCTACCCGTCCGATGGGGTTGCCGTCACCGCATATCCCACCGGCCAACATGACGACGAGACACCGGCACTGGCCGGTGGGGAACGGTCTTTCGCCACTCCGTTACCCCAGAATCCTGACCCGAACACGGCAATCACCTCAAACACGATTGGCGGCCCAAGAGCAAGTCCGATGGCCGAGAATATCTCCATGCCCGATGTAAATGCGATCAACTCGGGTGGGAACGAGTTCCTCGAGACGCCGGGATCTGGGGCATATTTTGACGTTTTCAACCCGCTTCTAATTGATCCTGGCCTTTCTCTGAATCATTCGTCCCTTCTTTGGACGTACACTTATGACGATTTTGACCCAGGAATTCCCAAGCCTCCGATACCCGTTCCAGGTTCGAGTGGTGGGACACAGTCGTATGGGCCAAACTCATCATCACATGTGGTCAGGGGGACCAGCAATGTCACGGCCCCTTCGTCCAACTCGAGGAACAGTTCATACCCGACCTTCTCAGCGTCTCATACGCCCTCCATCTTCCCGCCGTTGCAGCAAGACGATGAAAATGTTCTGTTGGCAGAAGACTTCTGTCACGTCAGGGAAGTCAGCCGAATCGCCTACGAACACATTGTCCGCTATTTCGAGTCACAGCACAGAACCAGCAATGGAGGTTTTCCGGAGTTGAGGGTAATTCATACCTTCGTCCAACTCTATTACGAGCATTTCGATGCTCAGTTCCCATGCATCCACCCCACGATGTTAGAGAATGGCGACGAATCATGGATCGTGTTACTGGCCATGGCGGCCGTAGGCTCACAGTACTCTTCATTTGCTAGTGCAGAGCAATACTACGAAGGTCTCCAAGAACTTTTGCAGCAAGCCCTGACGACCTATGTAAGTTGTTAACTCCTATTCATAGTTGAAGTACCTTTTACTAGAACATGTCAGAAACCCGAGCCGAATCAAATGCCAACCTTTCAGTTCGTGCAGAGCACACTTCTCGGCATGGTCAGTTTGCAATTTTCAGGCTCCCAAAAAGGTTCGATCAAGGCACAGTGGGATAGGTGCCAATTAGCCTCCATGTGTCGCTACATAGCGAGTTCCTCATGGGATTGCACTAGCGATATAACGCTCTCTACACAGGACAAGGAATGGAGGACATGGCTTGCCTCCGAGTCTAGAATTCGACTGATCCATTCTCTATTCAGTAGGTTAAACTTCTTGAGAACGTTTTCATCGCTGACAGCTTGTTCAGAATTAGAATGTATACAGCTCGCTTTCATGGGCCTACCGCCAATATTCAAGCTTCACGAATTAGCCGATAGGTTTCCTTCACCCGAGAATATGTGGAGGTGCCGAGATAGCGCGAGCTGGCAAAATCAACGCCGATCAACCCGAGGTTGGTTGTACTTTCCCTCTGTCTTCAACCCTCTGCAAAGTTTACTGACGATGTCTCAGTCTCGGGGCCCATCAGTCTTGACCTACTAAACGAGCCGAATGCTGCTTCGAAAATGTGCGTCTTCGCCCGAGAAATGTACATGCTCAGCCTCCACGCCGAAGAAGAATTCGTCCGTTACCAACTCTCGTGCCCATTGTGGAAGTTCTTGGTCACTGGAACCTCACTTGGGCAAGGTGCAGTCGAGAACAATCCCGTAGCGGATTCCCTCCTCGCAACCGCTGCAGCTTCCGTCAGCGATGCCTTTGAATCAATGAGAAAACTGGCCACTGCAGGAGGAGACAGCCAGTGCTCCCTGATGAAGTACTACCACATCCTGTCGATCTTACGGCTCGTCCCACTTCGAAAGCTATACGAGTTCTCGGGTTGGCAGGTGACGGAAGCGCAAATCGAAGCTGCGAGAGAATACTTGCGCTCTTGGATGAGAAACAACCCAACGGCCGCTCGAAGATGTCTTTGGCACGCTGCTGCCGCTTTCAAGCTAATTCGAAACAAACATTACTTCGGGTGCGATGACCCGTTTTGTCTACTAATCCCCACGCTGTACATCTGGGCGTTCGATCAGCTCGCCGAAGCAAAGGAGAACGATACGTCGTCACCGAACCCCGGCGCTCCTGAGAAGGATCGTCCGACCAGAATCGACTTGTTGCAAGACGATCGCGACATCGATACGTGGCTGGAAAAGGGTAGTTCGAATGTGCACATCACGGGGGTAGGCGCCTTGAAGAGTCCTAAAAGTGGTGCCCGGTTGATCAACGAGTGTCGGAGGATTTTGCTGTCTTCCACGGGGTTTCCACGTTTACGCATTTTCCTGGCTGGGGCCTGGGAACGAGTTGCTGAGGGTGGTCGGCCTCATGGGTGGCTTGGAGAATGAGGAACCCTTGCGTTGAATGCTTCTGCGATCGAAGCTGAGCCGGATGAGAGGGGCAAGCCATTGAGGCGGCAACAAGAGGCGCTAAATAAGTGGTAAAACATAGAACAAGCCACCAAATATCATGTTGATAGTTGTCAGAGGAATACTTGGATCCGTGCACCTCTTCCCTCTCCTTCGGGCTTTTCCCTGACTTGGTAAAGCAGCCGATCCTTCCAGCCTTACGGCATGGAGTCCCGCTCGACTGTTGGAGTGGCTGAGCACTAAGCCCGTATCAAGCCATGGCAACGAAGCTCCGAGAATACACTCAATTAAGCTGTTCAAAGTTGCAATGTTAGGAACAAATTGTCCATGTGTTGCGCTAGCCTCTAATCCCGACTATTATGCCTCAGAGCAAAGACGAGGAGGATGCAGGACCGAGAATACGATGTAGCTGATTTAAAGGTGCTTGCGCGCGACTACTTAATGCCCGTTAACCCCCATCTGTCTTTTCAAATACAACGTGAACGACCATCTCGTATTCAGAATCCATCGAAACAACTTTCAAAATGACGAAGCAATGTACGGTATCGCCGGTCAAGACGGCAATGAAGTGTTTCGTCGGGGCTTGGGGGTTCATCAACTCGACTCTCGTGTGAGACTTACCCCTATCAGACACGATCCAGATTACTGACAATTCCCTCCCAGAAACACCACGTCTGGTGATATCATCACCGCCGACTGGGCTTACCCGGTTCCCTCCGGCATGTCTCTGTTCACACCCAACGGCTACACGGCGTTACTCGTCACAGCGAACGACACTACCCGACCGGACCTGAGGCCTCAGGGACTGGACCAGAGCAACCCAAGCTCCTCTCCCGATTCCGAGTGGGCCAAGATTGGAAAGTACAGCGTTGCGGGTGCCGGACCTTACCATCTCTCCAACGTGACGGGAGAGAAGGGTCCCGAGGGTCCGCAGGGTATCAACTCTGGAGAGTTCCTGACTTCGACGCTACCGGCTCGCCTTGGACCCTACGAGTTTTCCTTCAAGTTCTACGACGACTGTTCAGTCTGGAACTTACATCAGGATGTTGGGGCTGGATTGCAGAGAGTTGCGTGGTACTACAGACTTCCCGACCAAGACGATTACTGAGTCTTGTGTCCGCGAAGCGCGTCAACGTGATGAGAATCGTGAAGCCAATTATCTTTGTACACACTATATTCCAATATCTAGTACATACAACGAAAACTCGCAGAGGATGAGGCTATAAGTAAGCATTTGAATCATGCGCATTTTGGTCGAATGTGGCTATTGGCGAATCTGGAGTGAAGTACGCCTTTCATGCTGGATAAACACCGAAGCTTATCAGACTAATTTCCCTACCTATTGGCAGACAAAGGAAGAAGAAAGAGAAAAGACAAGTATTGAAAACTCAGACTACCAACTGATTGATGTGTAGTTTTCGGTATTTCAAAGCCTTGAATTGTCGGAGCGCGATAGCCTGCAAGACGAGTCTCCATGCCTCATCCGCGAAGTTACAGTCCTCCATGGTAGTTTTTCCCTTGCAAATACTCCTCGCTATCTCTATGCCTATCCTTAATGACAGTAGCTCTATCATTGCCCTTAGTGCCTGTGGCTATTGCACAAGTATTCAACCAGGAATAACCGTAGCGTGGTGTAGTCTGGTTGAATAACAATGCCAACAGGCGAACTATTTTTAGCTCTTTCCCGGTAGATGGAACCAATGTAAATGAGAGCCCTGTAATTGTGAGTCGGGCGCACCTCAGATAACATACAGAACCAACCAACAGCAGGATAATTACATGTATGGCTTGCTCGGGCTGCGGTCACAAGACGAGTTGGTGCCAGGTGGGGGTGGCTGGGGACGCAGCCTGATTCTGTCGTTGGGTAATTACTCACTCAAAGCTCGTCCGGTTTAGGTATCTCGTGTCAAATTTGGTTATACGTATGCGAATTTGCCCATGTTCTCCGCTCATGTAAGGGCAGACATGTACCTTGGCACCCAGAAAGCTGCTCCGAAAAGCTGCTCCGAGAGCAAAGTTCCCTAGCATTGGTGGAAGCACATGAAGCGAACATTCTGGTCTTGGGTGAATAAACTTTCAAATTCAGCATGGGAAACACTACTCTAATAAGCATTGCTCATAGTCAGCAGCGTGTCATTCTTAAAAGACCTCATCTTCAATCCTTTCTCAACAGCCTTGTGGGCTGCATTTTGTCTTCGAAAACCCTTGATTTTCTGCGACCCGGCAGCAAATGCAGCTGAACTGATAAGCGGGTGTGATACCGCAGGCTGAAGGGATCTCACTCTTGGCTGCATGGATAGGGTTCGTTTGATTGCTCAGACAAAGGTAGAAGGGGGTGCCAATCTGACCGTCAGCACGCAATACGAATTTGAGTTGTTTGTTACAACTTACCGGCTGGAGCCAGGTTAATGTTTGCATCTTAGAGTTGGGGTCCGTTAGCTGGAAAGCATATAAGCACGAGGTGATGCTAGATTCTTCATTCCCGATGAGGTTTCGGCATAGTTGCCTGCAACATTTATCTTTCGCTCCACGATGGCTCACAACTATGCTTTCAGCGGAAAAAATGGTGACGTCTATCACCTCATATCTCCAAATACCCCACAATCAGATACCAGCACCGGTAAATTAGCATCGGTTGCACCTCCCTCGGCCCCGAGAAGTCGGTACTGGGCACGAACTTTTGTTCTGCTGCTTGTGCCGCTTGGCATCACGGCATACTACTACTGGATATGGCGAGCTCTACTATGTCGAACCCTTGACGATGCCGCGAAGTATGGATCAAGGACCGAGATCTGGATCTATTACTCGTGGTTCATCCTCGGTGTGTTCGCCTTGGAATGGTCCAAACATGGCCTCGTCGGGGTTGAGGTCGCTATGCTGGAAACCACGGCTTTCGGAGCTCCTCATCTCGTTGCGCTCCTGAGCCACAGCGAAGGAACTTGGAGCGGTCCCGGGGGCTGGTTCAAATGCCTCACAAAAGCTTTTCAAAAGAGCAGGAGCGGAGAAACCCCTAGTTTACGACTTTCTTTGAGGACGTACAAACTGTGGTACGTCCTTGCGTTCATCAGTCTGTCCTTATATGTTGGAATGCCCCTCTCTGGTCTGACAATGGAATTGTCCGATGGATACGTTCGTCTTGACGAAACTCCAATGGTTGTTGGCCGCAACTCGACAAACTTCCACAAAAGATACGGCCTTTCTGGTGAAAGTACGAACGGAGCCCAGAATGCGTGGAACATGGGATCCCCCGTCACGTTACCTGGAATTGGCATCATATTCACACCTGAGTATATCAATCGCGAAGACTACGAGGTGTTGAGCGATGTTCCCAACAGCCTTCCAAGCAGCTCAGGACTACCGGACATGTTCATTGTCCCGCAGGCTCTTGGACCAATTTCTGGCACAGCGTGGGGTCTCAGAGTCGGTTACGACTGCTCAATCGCCAAAGACGTCTCCGAGCTTACCATCATCGGTCATTATACGGGCAGGACCTCGGGAGATCCGTCAGGGCGCTTTGCCAAATCTTTCATGAAAAGTGCGGTTACCAATGTATGGTCCTATTCGGAAATGGGTACCACACTCAATACGACTGAGCCGGAGCTTCCACATACACCCCATAGTGTTGGACAGGAACTGCTTAGATCGATCGACTCTAGAGCAGACGTTCTTGAGTGGGTCGTCTGGCAGGTACGGACTGGTGCTGATTATGTTGAAGTGGACAACTTCAACAACAGCGTTGGCGCTACCGTCCAAGGTCTCGGATCCCCTTTCATGAGAGCGGACAATGGATCTTGGGTTGCCAATGAGACATTCTTCAAGGAGAATGATTATCGTCAAAGAGACAGCGTAATGGATAAGGTATGGAGTAGGCTCCTCGGCTCCACCGGCAACCCGTTCCAACCGGGCGAGAAAAACACCGTCGAGGTAGCCGAAGCTATCGGGGTTCGCTGCATTGTCAGATCAAAACTTGGTTCCGCAGTGATCGACGCGAGAACATCGAGTTTCGCGCACTTCAATGCCGAAGAACCTACACCGTATAACGATCCAGAAGTCAATGCGGAAAGCCCAACTCCGCCATTGGGAGGTTTGGCGCGGTCCATACCTGGTCAGGCTAGCCTGGAGAAGATTCTCACTTCCATTAATGTTCGAGCCATGAGCTCAGAGTCCAACTCGATTCAGGCCTCTAAGTTTGTGAGCTCGAGGGATCTACAGAAGTCGGCTTACTTGGCACACGGGCAAGAAGTCCTCGGCCACATGTACGACAATCATTACGGTTTCGAAAGTAGCTGGCCTGCGCCAAACCTGACTTCGTCCAGGAAAGGCAAAATTCTTACGAAGGGTGAGCTGCCGCCGTTGGTGGCGTTGATTCCTCTGGGTGTTTGGGCTCTTGGTTCTTTCTTGTTGGGAATCTCCTATGGATTCAGACGGAGATTGGCGGATTCTCTGAGTGGATTCAGTTTCTTTCGTTTTGGAGTCTACTCTGCGGACAAGCTGAAGGACACGGGAATATTTGTTGCAAAGGAAGCCGAGGATGTTGCCAAGTTATGGCGTTTACCAGGTACATTGGAGAAGATATAATTCGGGAGTCAATTTCTAGTTCCTTCTATTCTGCCTTCACGCATCTGGTTCTGTTCTGTCCTCCGCTGGTGTGGTATTTGTTGGCTTGGATGCCGAGTAGGCTGAGATTGGGAAGAACACGGAAGACTCCTGATTGCCTCGATAATACTTAGGATATCAATTGAAGTTTAAATCACGTAAACCCGTGGCGTCTCGAACATCATCTTCGCTACTGCCAATCGTGGTCTGCTACGAGATGGCACGGGGAGCATTATGTAGTGCTAGCCCGTTGACTCGTTCTCCATTACGTGCGACCTGACGGGGCACATGTGGTTTTCTTGACATTCGGGGTTGATACATGTCGAATCTCAGAGGTCACATCTTCCAATATACACCATTCTAATGATTGTAAATATCTTGTAAAGATTGTTCGAATTGAACCCGCATTTCTTCATAATGCGTTCACAGCCTGTCGAGCTATCGTAGATGTCTCAAGAATAGCCAATAATGGGGCTTAGCAGTTTTGATGCATCAATGGGACGCTGTGCCTGTCTCCTATTCGTCGACTGACCTACGAGCCATGCTGACCACCAGCTCCAGGCTCCAACCCCTCGAATGTGTCACTATCACCTTCCTCTTATCACGCTTCCCCGCATGGTCTGTCTTCACGAAGCTCACGCCTCAAGACTTACAGTTCGGCAGACGAGGCTTTTCTAGTATTGATGGCGAACCGCGACTTCTTCTTTTTCTACGCGCCAACTTGGGATTACCCCCCAGGAGGCGCAATCAGGCTTGGCAATGTCATTACATCGGTCAAAAAGCCTCATCGCCCGCTATTTTGCGTGCCGCCGCCAGGTGATTCCGATGTCTCAACCACAGAGAAGAAGAGTGTCCAATACACCAAGGAGAAACTGCGAAGCGGCAGATTCTCTATCTTAACCAAGTTCCTCAGCATCCTTGGGCTCGGCGTCGATATTGGTGCTGAGATCGACAATAGGTAAGTGAGCCACTGAAGTGAGCCACTGCGAGACTGTGGCTATCATATCATAGCCCTTGATGTGCTGACTGTGTATGATTCAAGTGATGAGGAAAGGTTCATCTTTAAAACTCTCGAAACTACCCAGTTTACCCCTTCAGCACAATATGTCCAGAAGTCCATCGAGTCTGACAATGTTCGGCGCTTCCTGCAAAACGCTCGATACCGCAAGCCCGTCTACATCATTACTGGGGTCAAGATTGTCCGTGGCGCTGAAGCCAATACCTCGAGATCCCGGGGCCTGGGTGGTACCTTCGCTGTTGAAGTTGACGGTACACTTTTGAGCGGCGGTGCGGTCCCTATCGGCGGCGGTCCTGGTACAGAAGGTAGAGTGGGCAATAAGACTGCGACAAGCTGGGAAGGTAGCAGTGATTTTGTATTTGCCTTCCGTGTAAGCAAAGTCTTTGTGGGCGAGAAGACGGGGCAAGTGACGAGTGAGGAGGAATATCGCAAGGGGGCTATGCTTGGGGACGAGACGGAAGAAACGAGACGCCCAATGTTGTCTGTTCTGAAGATAGAAGATCCCACCGCTGAACAGGAAGGCTTCGGCTCGCAACAGCTCATGGATGACGAGGAAGTAGTATTCTGCGCAATTCCCGAGGAGGAGGACTCTGACAATTGAGATGTATGTAGTTGCACAAGTGTTTACACACTTTTTACTTAGGTATGACTATGTACTCCCTATGCAGCATCCGCCTTCACGTAACAGCCACGGCCCGATTTTCTTTTCAAGACATGTAATGTAGGAATGATTGGGATGACGAACCCGACTCAGAAGGGACTCTTGACGTATTCACAGAGCGCGCGGGAGCGAGAACCTTAAGGGAGAAACTCTCATCCAACCACACGGCGGTTGGCAAGCACACAGTTGCACATGGAAGTGACTCTTAAGTCTTTCTGCATCAGTTGCGAAAAGAACATTCAATTGCTACCCTCTCCCTTTTGTTCGCTTAACTAGAGCTGGTGGCAATGAGCTGTGACAACGCCAGGACCTCGGCGGTGGTGATGGGCTCAGACGACGTGTTGAAGCCCTCCTTGAAGGGCAGACGCTCCTCTTCAAACACAATCTTCATCCACTCCAACGGCGCAGCAGGCGACGAGAAGCTTCCACCCAAAGTACCGAGAATAACAGCAGATTCTCCCAGGGAAACCGTGACTTGGCTGGTGGTCAAGTTGAAAGAAGGATTCGTAGCCTTCGCGGTGGCAATCCTCTTGCTCCTAGCGGTAGCCATGGTCGCAACGTTGATCTTGTCCTCTGTCGCGGCAGCGCCCTCGGCAAGATATCCCTTCGTCTCTCCCCACACGGTCTCGTTGAAGGTCTTGGCGTCGCCCGTCACCGCAAAGTCGGCACGAGACAAGCTGCCATCATGCTCGATGACGTTGTGCTTCGCGATATCGTCCAGGTTGAAGGTGTTCGCGTCTCCAGTAGTCGATGTGGCGAAAGCCGGTGTTCCAAGGGTGCGCACGAGGGACTCGTTGAAGTTGATAGCCTTGCCGAGGCCAGAGATCAGATTGTCCATGCTGATAGACTTGCCATCGCGGGGGAGATAACCGTGGTTGGCGAGTGAGTTGAGCATCGGGCAAGGAGAGCGCTTGGCGGAGGCATCCGGGGCTTGCCAGGCGAAGTTGGGATCCTCATCGCGAGGAACAGCGTAGGCGCTGGTAGTAGCGGCGCAAGCTGCGGCAACCATGACTGAGGCACGCATGTTGATTTAGTTGAGGCAGTTCGAACAGGTTGGAAAGAAAGAGTGGTATGCAGTTGGAAACTGTTAAAGAATGTGGTGGCTCACTGGGCCGATGTTGAACGAGAGTATTTACCTGTAGTAGGAGTAGTGATCCAAAAGGAACAGCTACAATTGGGAGCGATTGTGAGGTCGGTTTTATAAATTCAATTGCTTGGGAAAATGGCCAAAATTGACGTAGTTGACAATATCGTGTTACTCCCTGGGAAAGGGGCTGAAGGGTACGCTCCCGAGAGCACCGGCCACCGGGTGGATCCGAAAGACGGTGAGCCCGAGAGAGCCGGCCCCACTACCGCGCCTTACGTGGTGCCCTCGGAAGCCGGGCTGTCCTGCACAGAAACATTCAAATCAGCACGAATGATACCACTTTGGTCTATATTTACTTCCGATATGCGCCCTAAAGTCATAGTTCATCCCTTTTCTCGGACTTGGGAAGGCCGCCACGCTGTTAGCTGACAATTGATTGTTTTCTCATTGGCTGGCTGCATTACCACCTTAGATGAAACGGCGATCGAATATTTCTAGAAAAAGTCAACTTAAGTGAAAGTCTTGGAAGGCCACCGGTCAGGTAGGGATGTCCCATGAGATCCAATCTGGCGTTTCCGCAATAACAATGCGAACACGAGAGTTCCCGTGATTGACAGCTCCGGGCGGGAAATCCCACGGCTGACATGGGCCGGCTGCAGGGAGCCCGGAAATGCATGATGTGGGTCAACATCAACCCCTTCGCCCACAAATTTCGTTCAGAATGCTTCATATTGACAGATTTCAATGCTTCAACCATCCAACGATACAAATGCCTCGTTGGCTTAGTGGTACAGCGCCTCACTAGTAATGAGGAGATCACCTGTTCGATTCAGGTACGAGGCAATATCTTTTGTTTTTGCCTCCTTCAACCCCATGTGAAGATGTCCTGGTACTCCTCGGCCCTCTCACGATGCCTCTAAGTTATTTCATGGCGCCACAGCTTCCACATCCGCCTCCGCACCCGCCGCCGCAACCTCCACCACAACCGCTTCCGCATTCAGCACCATCTCTAGGAGGACAGCAACTCGTGGGGTGGTTACCGCAGTCTGTGCACCGAGGGAAAGCGAGATCAGCCAAAGGAAGGAGTTCTCTCTGGCTCTCCTCAACGCACAGCTTGTCCTCGACGGCTTCGACGTTGACGTGAGCCCTGCCAGCTTCGCAGGTCCAGCAGAGACAAGCGTGGTACTCCGTGCCGAACTCCTCGCGCCAGAGACTCTGCATGTCCGTCGTCAGTTCCTGCAACCTGTCGGCGCTGATCTCGTCATCGTGGTCGATGAGACGACCGGCCATCTTCTTGGAGTAGGCGCGGTAGCGGAGGGGTGAAAGCTGGTGAGTGTGCCAGACGAGGTCGATGTCCAGGGTCGGGACCATCACCGTACCGGGGTGAGCACCGATAAGGTGGAAGAAGTTGCGGTAGCGTTCGATGGACTGCGCGATGGTGGCTTCTGCGGTAGGAGAGCGCAGCCAAGCATAGCGTGACATCTTCGAGGAGAAGTCGAACTGTCGGTTGATGGCCGCGGAGAGGTTGTATGAGAACAGGACCGTGCCGGCCGAGTTCTTGAGGTTGAAGATGCCAGTGGATTGGCGACCTTCAGCAACGAGGGATTCAAGCGTGCTATCCTCCTCAATGAAGTCAAGGAATCTCGACAAGGTGATGTCAGCGTCCACCGAGTTCGACTGTGTAGCGTTGTTAGCACGGGCAACAAACTTCACCTGAAATGAACCCGTCGCGAGTCATTGGAGAGCCGAACTTACAACTTCAATCCAGTCAAGCCCGCTCAGACCGAGGTTGCCGCCAAGCTCAATGAACCTGGCGTAGGCCTTGGGATGCAGCATGAGGGCGTGCCATGCCATCAGTACGTCGACGGGCGGCTGTTGTCTCTCAACGGCGGCGCTCCATTTCTCAAAACGAGAGACTGCCCGTTTGCAGTACAGATCCCAGCCTTGTTCGGCAGTGAGGTTTGCTTCATCGGCCAGCAACTCGACGCTTCTTCGGAGAGCGACGAATGTGTCGAGGAGTCTCAGGTGAGTCGCGCAATCGGCGATACCGGGAAGCTCGCGCTGGGTGACGTCTTGGTCTTTGACCGAAACATCGAGCTTCGTCTTCTGCTCGTTCCCAGCGGGCAGAACTCTGTTAAAACATGTGAGTCAAGGTCTTCGGGTGCGAGAAACAGGAGACGAACTGGTCGGCGAAGATGGCAGGCATTTTGAGGTGAATTAGTATGGGAACCGGCCCTGTTTGATGGCTGTCTGTGCAAGTGATTTGTAGCTTTCAATTGACCTCACAGGAAACGGCAAGATGAGGATGAAACTGTCAACTTTCAAGGGAAGACGAGCTTCTTATCAGCTCGCCATCTTCACAAGAGAAGAGCTTTATCAAGATCCTACTCGCACATGAACACAAGCAACAGCCCTGTGACCAGCCTCCGAATCCCAAAACGGTATGGAGGTGAGCAAGTTTCAGGACGCCAGCGCAAGACGGATTGCTGTGGCATCATCCAGCTGCGTCGCTGATTGGCGCTGTGGCTGGACTGGCCCGACTCAAGCGGCACGCGGGGGCCGCTGACTGTCAATTCCCCCACTGATACCAGCCCAACACGACGCTGAGTTGGAGGAGATGTTGTTGGAGGATTGGGGAAAAGGGCGGGGGATCCTTGGCAGCTTTGCCTACCTGTCAGCGGGAGGTGGGAGCTGGAAAAGGGATGGGCCGTGGGGGCCTCAGCGGGCTGTAGGGGGCTCTCTTGACCGATGAATTTCCATTATTCCCTCCTCCATCTCATGTTCGTTGAAGAGCCTCGTCGTAGGGATGCCTTCTGCGAAGAGTCTTCATAACCCAAAGACTCGAGTATGGCCCGGCATTTATCGATCTTTGTATTCCCCTGTACCAACAAGACAGGCCTATGTAACGGAGCCCTGATGAAAACACTGCCAAGCTCCTCTTCAGACCTGACAAGCTGCTGATTTTCGCAGCAAACAATGCCAATCGACGTCTTCCCGTCGCGCAAACACCACAGCCTGGCTTGTACACCCCTTCATTCATCTCCTCGCCCGAGGTCCTTTTATCCAGCCGGCCATCGTCTCTCCGTCTCCTCTCTTGTGCCTCCCAACGCCGTAAGCCCGTCAGCAGTGACACTCAATCGAGCAGGCTCTGTCTCCCTTGCATCTCGAGGCGTATCTGCCCAGACAAATGAGATTCACGATCCCTTCACCACTTTCCCCAACGGAGCCCAATGGCAGCACCCTAGCTCCCGCACTCGCCATGTGGCCTTGATTCGATCGTCGGCCAGACCGGCCGAAACGGGCATGTTGAGGCTTTCGTGCTCGCCCGCCACTGCAGCTTTATCGAAAGCTTGGGTTGCGGTCCTTCTTCAGCCCCTCGTCTGTTTGTCCCATCTGAGACTGTCGCCGGTGATGCTGGTGTTTGTCGAGTCTGACCCTTGCCTTTCCACTGGGTCGTAGATACGGCCTGCAGAATCCAGCCAACGCCTCATATGTTCTGCAAATACCCATTCCCGCCCCCCGCCCGGCCGTTTTGTCTTCCCGTTCCTCATCTTCTTTAATCTTTAATCAAGTGCCGTGATGGAGTTTGTTTTAGTTTGGCCGCTCTTTGCGGCCGCATTAGTGTGTTCTCATGCTCTGCTGGACGACAGACAGGTTTCTGAGAGTCCATCTCCATCTGTAATCGCAACTTCGTCCGCTAGCAGTACATCGGTCTTCACGGCACCTACCGCGATTCCCGCACCCAGCATTAACAGCAGTGTCTACGATCTATCGCAACATTTTTGCAGAATATTCAGACATGCCAGTAAGACAGACTATCGGCGTCCCGACTTTACTGAAAGGGATTCTGAATATATCTAGGCGTCTATGCCGATGGCAAGATTTACATCGACGGCGGCAATACTTACGTGCCGAAGGGCGGTAATACCTTCTACAACACAGAAGCTGGGGGCTACACGGCAGGAATGCGTGAGTCTAGCCGCGTCTTGCTACCACTTCTTCACTAAGTTGAATGCCACAGACAACCAGCTCCTTGTCTTGGACCTGTCCACCAACTTCACCAACCAAGAGATAGGGCCTTACAGCTCCATCTTCAAATCTCCTGATGTTCCGAATGGCCTTATTGAGCATGTTCTATGGTACTCCGAAAACACGAAGAAGGTCTATCAGCTGGGCGGTTGGTTTTCCTTCAACAGCGAGCAGAACCCGGCATACCTAGCAGACGAGAACATGCCAGAACCTGCCATCTGGGAGTTTGACGTTGGTAATAAGCGATGGACAATGTCGAAGGACTTCGACATCTCCAACAATGGTGAGATCATTGATCGGCCCGGGGCAGCAGCCTTCTGCGATGCACCGACGTTGAATCGGAGTTACGTTTTTGAGGGATACGTTCAGCACAGGTCGGGCCCGGCAAACACTCAGTATGCGCAGTCGTCAGACTTTCGGTGTAAGTTTGAAAAGACCTCATCGCTGAAGAGCTTTACTGACATGTCCAGTTCTCGAAGGACTGCTCGAACTCGATACTGCCGACAAATCCCAGCCTAAGCTCACCAACATCTCGGTTCCGACATACATCGGTCCACGCATGAACGGCGCCATGGTGCATGTTCCCGTGGGAGACAAAGGTATAATCGTGAACCTCGGTGGACAAACCACCCGCAATCCGACGCCCTACGGAGTCCAAGTGAAGGGCGCAAACTCGGGAAACATCAACGTAAGTCGTCATCTCATGTACTTCCATGGTCGCGGAGCGAGCTGACGGCAAGCAGATCAACATGTCTTTCGTCGACATCTACGATATCGAAACCGGCTTCTGGTTTCGCCAGGAAACCTTCGGTCTTCCGGATATCCCAACCGGCCGCTCCGACATCTGCGCCGTGCTCGTGCCAGCCAAGGATTCCTCATCATGGAACATCTACATGATAGCTGGCGTGGAGAACTACGCGACCTACATCACCTCCGAGGAGATTTGGGTGCTCACCTTGCCAACTTTTCAATGGATCCTGGTGCACACCCGTGCGGACGGCATGTATGGGCACACGTGTCATGCAGTCGGCGAGAATCTTCTCATCGTCGGTGGTATGCAAACGAAGAATGACGGCACCGGCACAAACGTCAATACTTGCTCGGACCATATGCCTGCGGAGATCTTTTCGTTGGTAACGCACAACTATACCGGGAAGTACGACACCGAAGCAGCAAAGCGGCTGGCTCCGGTCCCGTCGCAAGTTGTGGACGCCATCGGCGGCACGTCTTCCGGGGGCGCATATATGACAAAGCCACGTGCATGGAGCGACGTCTATCTCCAGTACATCTTCGATCCGTCCCTGAAAAGACCGGAGTACACCCCGACTTACACGCTTGTCGTGCAACCCAGCGCCGCCAACAGCTCCACCCCATCTCCCTCTTCTCCTTCCTCAAATGGACCGTCAAAGGGCGCCATAGTCGGCGGTGTGGTCGGCGGCGTTCTCGGCGCCATCGCGCTTGTCGGTCTGGGCATCTTCATTGTCCTTTTCCGCCGCAAGAAAAGGAGAAGAGCGGAGGAAGCCGCTACCGCGGAAGCAGCGCGCCAAAGTGGTGCCTTCTCGGAATTGCCGGGATACACCCCGTACTCGTCACCTACCGAGCCGAAACCTGCCTACGCTAGGTCGCCGACACCGGGTTTGCAGGCTGCGGAGTTGGAGGTGCCTCAGAATGCGAGCGAGATGCCGAGTAGCCCGCGGTATGGAGGGTGGGTTGAGATGGGCAGTGATGTGACGGCGTCACCAAGGGTCGGTGATGTTAGTCCCACGCTTGGTTCGGAGGGACATGGATACGAAGGTAGTCATGGGAGGTTGAGCCCTGCAGGCCGATGACGATGAGGTACTTCGAGGCGGCCGGTGCTTGCAGTGAACTTGCGAGGATGAAAAAATGGTCCGTCATCTCATTTCATATCGAGGAGGGAACTGGTTTCCTAGGAGCTAAACTCTATATCTGTCGCTAAAGACCTGCTCTGCAAGCTGTTTTTTCCTATGCTACATATTTCCCCTCAAAGAAACTATACAGAAGTCCTACGCCCAAATAATCTCAGGCAAATTGTGTCTCTAAATTGTAGAAATTTCGTAATAGGCCTTTATATCAAATTTCCTGCCCTCTTACGGCTTGAAAATAAGGGAAGGCACCTCCAACCTAAGTCAGTGGATGCATAGAGCCCAGCCGCCAGTTCTCCGCTTTGGTCCGCAGGCCGATCCGTCTGAGGTGGAGATGACGGAGGCCGAGGATCCACCTGGAATCGGCACTCCATCCGGGGATCCCGGAAGGCCGCGTAGGTTCTGCATTTAGCGTCACTGTTTGGCCCGAAGTCTTCGGGTGCTCAGAGCCACAGCCCGGACGGTTTTAGTGGTCCATACTTCATTCCCGGCATCTGTTGGGTAATAGTTGAAAGTTGGTCAACCGCAAAGAAATGCCTTCAGAGGCGCTTGCACCGTATGTGAAGAGCGTATTATAAATTGACGTGGGTTCCATTATAACCATGTCTAGCTCAACCTGTCTTAACACACTCAACGTGGGAGGCCGGGTCGATCAATGCCTGGCAGTCTTGCGTCGTCAACTTGGTTGTCAACCCATTGCATGCCTCCCCGTCCTTGTTGGAATCTACGCCAGTAGCACCACCAGCACCGTTGCAGATAGGCGCCTTCATTTGGCGTTTCTTTCCATTAACACAGCTGCAAGAGAATCGTGCTGGGCCTTGAGGTTCTCGTTCGACGAGAGATTTGACACTGAGTTGAGTAAGTTGATAAGTCAACACATCTAGTCTTTGGATGCAAGCAATCTTACTCTTGAAGGGGACTAGCTGTAACGGGGGCTGCTATCGTCAAAGCCAGAAGGGCGAGGGTGAGAATACTAGATTTCGAGAAGGTCATTGTGACTTGCCAGAGATAATCAAAGAAACTGTTAGATGAGCCGTAGATAACGCAGAATGTGGGCGCGGATACAGGCGACTATTTAATCTTCTCGATCTAAGAGGGTGAAAGTCAACTATTGAAACTCTCATTACTCACGGGACATCAGCAACGGGCATTTCTGATTCGTGGCATGACCCAAGAGCATGGGCGAACAGGTGTTAAGCTTCGGCCGGGACACTCGCTAAGCCTCAAAGCCTCCGCCAAACCTGGGGTTTTGCATCTCGGCCGGCCTGTAACATCCAGAAATGCAAGGATCAGCGTGGCAGTTACAGCCCTATTCGTGGCTATCGGCAGAAGTCTCAGCTACTCGGGTTCATCCGATACGTCTCAGATCTACCACGAGTGGTGGTTAGCAAAGGGGATCTGACTCGCTTTCTGAAGTCTACGGTCAACTACACTACTCCACGGTTATTCCTGGCCGAATACTTGCACAGTGATAACGGATAATAAGCGCAGTACTAGAGCTAACAACAACAAGGATAGGCATAGAAGTGGCAAGAAGTAGTTGCAAGAAAAGGTTAACAGTGGATGACTGTATTGCGGAGGTTGTTCCGTCTCGGCGGAGCTGAACCGCTTCTTCCGCTATGGCTATTGTTTTTGTTGCGATATTAGTGCGAAACCTAACTTCTCTGGTTATTTGGGAAGAGCATGGTGCGTGTTGTCCCAGCTGTTGTTTTTACGGGCATTCATTTCATATCATCAAACGGTTCGGAAGTTGGGAAGGTTGCGGAAACGTGTAAAAGATTAAATTGATGATTACTTGCGCTCATAATGGCAAGTAGTGATTCAGTCTTGGTATTGTTAAACAATACTCTACGGTGATTGACGCTCGTGCTCCCTCAACGCTTGCTCTCCGTGGCGATCTCATAAGAGCCCGAAGAGAAATGGCAACCCCCCGGTAAGTAATGTGGCCATGACTTCGGTTGCTGTTCCTCCGCATTGTATGTGCTTCATCGCGCTGCAAATGATGGGAATCGAATGCCTGGCGCAAGTGTCGAAAGTTAGGTTGATAGAAATGCAGGTGATAGGCAATGAAAAGCATACGTAGAAGAACAGCCAGACCGAAAAGTAGAACGGTAGCGCTGAAGCCGTGAAGATTGCCCTTGATTTTGATCGTTTGGGCATTCTGCTGTTGAGCTTTTGAGCTTCTAATGTGAACTTTGATGGCATCTTTCCCTTTGCAACTTGATACGCGGTGGCCGAAAATATTATGTGGCTCAAATGAAGGGTGCAGAATTTTACGATATTGGTTACACAGTCATCGAGAATTTATAGCAAGAGATATGTGAGATTGCCAACGGCTGGAGTTAATCACTTCATTTGATCTCCAGCCATGATGGAGACAGCGTGAATCAGTGACAGAAACTAACTGCGCCAAACAGGTCTTTTCGCGACAACCCCGACGAGAGCGTTGCGAAGTACAAGCTCTGATGGATACGCTTGGCATGGTGCCCACGACTGACTGCAAGGAACAGTTTCCTCGTGGTTGACGTGATATACCAGACAACGTCAAACATGCCCGCAAGATCAAAATTGACGCCTAGCGTTGCATTTTCTAACGGATCCGGTACCTCTGTTACCGGCAGGTGCTTACTGTGAAATGCGATTGATGTCTATGCGATAGATAGGTGGGCTCGACGATTGACAGTGCACGTTGTAATGAGTAATGGCTGTCTCGTACTCTCGTCCGCCGGGCTGTGTGGTACACGATATTTTATGTACTTGGCAAATGCGACCGTATGGCAAGAGGGTTCGGCTACATCAGTGTACCAGCTGGACGGACCAGCATGTTGAAATATCGCCAACATAGCCTTCTTATGAAATGAAGGATAGCCGCGTATTTGTGAACATACAAGGCTAGTGAATGAGAAAATCTAGGATTGAAAGCAGAAACCTGGTCATTTTCTCTTGCGAAGTTGAATGACATCCCTTGGATCAATAGCTAAATCGACTCCACGAGAACCGCTTGAAGACGATGACGTCCAGTTTCTGTCCTAATTTCAAACCTACGGGGCGCGCAGCCGCTATGAGATAGGTTCACCTCGGCTATTCCCCGTCCCTAATTCAAGAACGTGTCTTAAGCCGGCTCGTCGCCCGGATTGTCTGTCCGAGAGGAGCAAACAGCACGTGCAATATGTAGTTCCGTCAATGGCACCGTCAATTTGATGTTTCTACTGTGCAAAGATCACTGAAAGGACGAACATCGTTCCGCGGAACGCGGGTTGATAGCACACCACAACGGAGCTGCACGGGGACGGGAAGCCAGGGTCCAACCCCGTTCGTGGTTAGATTACGCTTAACGAGAAGAATGCAAAGCTAAAGGTGGTTCCGAGTCCCCGCTGCGGCAAAAACAACCACTCAAGACCTGGAAGCAATACGAGGTGATCGTCACTCGCTAACCCATGTTTATGGTTGTCCATTGCAACAACCAGCTCGGCGAAGTCAACGTTGCTCTCGAGGCGCTCAATAGGTGTCGAATCCATTCGAGTTGGTTCGGTTTACTGACCCAATTTGCTTCCCCAGACATCGTCATTCCGTCGAGGGAGGGCCGCAGACGTTCGCTTCCGGCCTGAAGTTGCCGCTCCTCTGGGCACGCTGAACCACAAATGGAACTCTTAACCTCGTTGAGGCGAGTTGGATCCAAGATGCATCACCTGGTTCGTCTCGTTCTTCTATTTCTGGCCACTCCCGCCCGGTGGGACCCCTAAAAGTTAACGGGGTGATCCGACGCTTCTCTTGGCTTCGCTTTCGGAGGCGCTGGTCGTTGGCTCCCTTCGGAGATCTGGAGTAGCACACCCAATTCTTTGGGCATTGCCGGACAGGCATTCCCCACAGAAGGTGACGGTGACGTCGAAATCACCAACCTCACTTGCTCGACAACCGACTTGGCGAGGATGCCTGCTCATCCACTGTGACCTTCGTGTATAAAGGACAGCCCTTCTGCCACTGTGAACGCATCCTGTTAACCACACTTCACGATCCCAACAACCACTCAACATTACTCCAACCCAAATCACGCATCACAAAACGTTTTTCAATATGCAGTTCACTCTTGCTACTGTTGCCGCCCTCTTCGGCGCCTCCGCCATCGCCGCCCCGGCCCCTCAGGCCACCGACGCCCCCAACCCGTCGGAGAACATTGAGATCACCAACTTCTCCGTCCGTAAGCAGGAGAACGGTACCCTCACCAACGTCAATTTCAGTCTCACTGGCCGTGATGCCACCGACCTGGCCTGCGTAGGCGCCAACCCCGCACTCCCCTCCGAGGTCATCACCTGCGGCGAGTCCAAGTACCGCTTCACCTTGAGAGAGGGTACTGAGTCGGAGTTTGCTCTTCGCATTTACCATGAGCTTGGCCTTGCGTAAGTTTTATGAACCATGTTGTGATTTTGATCGTATTGCTGACTTGACCAATTAGTGTTGGCTTCTGGGGAGAGGGCGATGTCCCCTCATACTGCCATGCTGGCGGTCTCGGTGATCTGCTCTGCACCCAGGTCAACTCTCCTACGACTATTGTCATTGACAACACTCCCCCTCCCGTCAACCCTTAAGAGATATCCGGATGAATGATGGGTCGATTAGTACATAATGTGTAAACTTATCTTGTAAATGTTTAGCGATACATGATTGCATCGAAAAGTCTAGACTTGAGAACAATAGACATTGATGAAAACTTGCATTTTCTCACATGGCCATGATATTTGAAGCTCTGAAAATCAAAATCATATGATGCGATATGAGATTCAATTGCGCAGGTCTCAAAATGGGGGATCTAAGAGACTCGTCTTCACAGCGCTGCGTCCATGAGATAACAGGTGGGCTGGGATGAGATGAGAGGTTGCAATAAGAAGAACATCTAATAAGCTGAAAAACTGGAAATTGGCGATTTAAATGCTTCGAGAACAATGAAGTAAACTCATGGCAGCTGACTGAGTGAGATCAGCTATGTAGCGTGAAATGAGCCCAGCTATTGTATGAGCAGTGAGAGTGAGAGAAGCTCTGGGAAACCCACCGACTGTGAGGTGGAACACAGACCACCCCACCTGGCTTTGTGGGGCAGCCGCAGCCGGGAAAAGGTGCGCCCTTCCGTGCCTCCCCGCCTTACCTAATCCGGGTACCTAAGCATCTGAGGTGGCCAGGGTGAGGTAGGCACGAGCATCTTGCGTAGCTGTTGTAGCCTCCCACCAAACACCCATCAGCCTTGCCGTCTCGATCAACAATCCCACGAATTCTTCCCACGACGCCGCGCGAACCCTTCCATCACACACCAATCACACTCTACCACACACAAGACCTGGAAAAATCGCCAACATGTCCGAAGGCGCGCTGAAGCCCGAGAAGGACTTCTCGAAGGAGACGGACAAGCAGATCCCGGAGGCCGAGCAGCTCGCGAAGGTGGGCAGCATCGGAATTGCACAGCTTTGGAGCTATTACTGACTATTCTCTGCCTGCAGAGCGATATTTCAGCTGCCATCGAGAAGCTCAGCGTTCTTGAGAAGCAGACCCGTCAGGTGAGCACGCTGCCCCTCCCTTCCCCGACGTCACCAAGCTAACCCAGAGCAGTCGTCAGATCTTGCCTCGACGTCGCGTATACTCATCGCCATTGTCACACTCGCCAAGGATGCTGGAGACTGGAGCTTGATGAACGAGCAGGTCTTGGTCCTGTCGAAGAAGCATGGCCAGCTCAAGCAAGCTATTACCAAGATGGTTCAGGCGGTGATGGGCTTCCTCGACTCTACACCGAACCTCGAAACCAAGCTCACCGTCATCGAGACCCTGCGAACTGTCACCGAAGGCAAGATCTTCGTAGAAGTCGAGCGTGCCCGCGTTACCAGAATCCTATCCGACATCAAGAAGGAGCAAGGCGACCTCAGAGCGGCAACAGACATCCTGTGCGAGCTGCAGGTGGAGACGTTTGGTTCTATGGACCGTCGGGAGAAGACCGATTTTATCCTCACACAAGTCGCACTCTGCATTGAGAGCGGTGACTGGACCCAGGCTGGCATCCTCAGTCGTAAGATCAGCACCAGATACCTCTCGCGAAAGCCGAAGAAGACGCCCGAGCAGCTGGAGAAGGAGAAGAAGGAGCGCGAGAAGAAGAAGGCAAGGGGCGAGGAGGTCCCAGAGGAGAAGGAGGACGATACTACCGACCTGAAGCTGCGATACTACGAGCAGCAGATCATCCTTGCGAAGCACGATGACAAGTACCTCGAGGTTTGCAAAAACTACCGCCAGGTCCTGGACACCGAGGCTGTCGAGGAGGACCCCAAGAAGCTTCACCCCGTAGGTCGCCCATCCAATTACCTTGTGCTTCCAATACTAACAGGCAGCAGGTCCTGCAGCGCATCATCTACTTCGTCATCCTCGCCCCTCATGACAACGAACAGCACGATCTCCTTCACCGAATCCAAAAAGACACTAGGATCAGCCAAGTCAGCCAAGAGGCTGACCTCCTTAAGCTCTTCACCGTCCACGAGCTCATGCGCTGGCCCGAGGTTGCGAAGACCTTTGGCCCTCACCTGTGCGAGACCGATGTCTTCGACGCCCAGGCCGGTCAGTCTGGGGATGAGAAGGCGCACCAGCGCTGGCAGGACCTGCGTAAGAGGGTGATTGAGCACAACGTCCGCGTTGTGGCTAAGTACTACACTCGCATCCAGATGAAGCGTCTGACACAGCTTCTGGATCTTACCGAGGACGAGACGGAGAAGTACATCAGCGAGCTCGTCACCTCCAAGACTATCTACGCCAAGATCGATCGCCCCGCACGCATTGTCAGCTTCGCGAAGCCCAGAGACGCGGACGATATCCTTAACGAGTGGAGCCACAACATGAAGAGCCTGCTCGGCCACCTCGAGCGTATCGATCACCTAATCACCAAGGAGGAAATGATGGCCAACATCCAGCCCAGCAGCGGCTCCAAGTCGGGGAAGGGAAAGGCTACTAAGGCGCATTAAACGGTTCTAACGGCTTCCGGGGTCGGCACACGGGATACGGCGTGTAATTGTAGAACATTAGAGGCAGGCAATGAACAAGACTGGGACGCAAAAATGTTTCAGTCTATGCTTTGATGAAACCTTGCCGTCTATTCTAATCAGGTCTATGGCGTCTTCTATAGTCTGTTTTAGGCGACATTCCGCCCATCTCGCGCCTTACACCTTGCTCTTCGCTTCCTCCTGGTCGGCGATCTTCTTGATCAACCCAATCAACGGCATGGCCCATTCTTTCGAGATGGGCACATGGTGTCCTCCAGGGTGAATAACAACCGCTGCCTCCTCACATCTGTCTACCAGCCCCTGGCTCCGCGACTCCTCGACAACAGTATCAAGACTACCCATGAAGTGCAGCGTAGGCGTCTTGATCTTGGGCTCATAAGCCCACTTCAGCTCCTCGGGCGGCGCGAAGAAACCAGAGTAAATAACCGCAAACTTGAACGGCTCGCCCCCGTTCGCCTCCCTCAGCTCCTCTACCCAAGGACGGAACGCCTCCGGGACCTCGAGGTGAGGCTTCTCCAGCATCGCCGTCAACAGCGCGGCGAACGCGCCGCCCTGGCTGAAACCCAGCACTCCGTCGACACCGGCCGCCTCGCGGATGGCCTTGGCGACGGCGGACACGCCCTGGTCCAGGTAGCGGTAGGCGCCCGAGGACTCGTCCTTGCGCCACCAGGCCCAGGCGTCGAGGTCCTCGTCTTCGGGGGTGGACTCGTCCGCGACGAAGCCCGGGATGTCGCGCGGGGAGAGCTTGGAGGGGCCGGTGGGGTAGAAGAGGGAGGTGGTGATGTTGAAGGGGTTGAGGGATTTGATGATGAGCTTCTCGAGGGCGCGGGTTTTGGAGCGGAAGAGGGGGCCGGATTGGGTGTATCCTGGGCATGTTAGTGTTTTTGCGTGATTACTTGTCTTGCGAGGTAAGGTGGTTGTGAAGCTTGCAGGGGTGTTCAATGAGAGCCGCGTGAGTTTCGATGAAATATATGGTACATATCTTACCGTGGAGCATGACGACTTTTATCTCCTTCTTGCCATTGCCCGGCTTCTTTGCAGCGCCGTTGGGCGCTTGTGTTGCTGCGGTGGACATTTTGCAAGTGAATGTTTGGGCAAATAGAGACGGCTGTCTGGGTTCCACGGGTATCAGAAAAGGTGTCCTATGAGAAAGAAGTCTCGAGTTAATGCGCAGGTGAAGGGGAATCTTCATGAGTATATTTAGGTGGTTTATGAGAGGGAAGGTGTGAGGTCGAAGTTGGCAGGTGGGTTCTGACAAATCCACAATGACTCTACGCCGCGACGTTACCGAATGGCGTGGGATAAGTTATCAAGTGTGATATCTTTCACGGTGCACAACACCTGACCAGCCTCGAATCACTTCTATTCGATTACTCAATCAATGGACAAACTAACACGAAAGCTCATCGCCCAAGACGTGAGGGTCAAGGCCAAGGTCATGGGTGCCGTAGTCACGTGATCTCCGTTCCGAGCGTCCGGGCCTCGAAGCGGATGCGGATACGGATGTTGATCGGAGCAACCTCCTACTTGCCGGACTCGGCTCAATTGAACGTGCGCCGGACTTCGCGTAGAGCAGCTGGCCGTGATTTACCGACTCTACGTTTGCAATGGCAAATTCTATCCAGAGATTCCGCTTGAATCGACCATTTCTGATATCACAGGGCCACACAGAGCTCGCAAGTATGGAACGCACGATGACATGGGGATCAATCGATTAGTACAACAGCTCAATTGACTCCAAGCCGTCTGTCTATGGTACAGCGTCCATAATGAATACGCGTCTGGCGGGTCCCTCCGTCCTCGAGAGGCTTCCCCCGCTGCTTGTCTATGCCATAGCCCGGAAATATCCCATCGAATGCTTAGTGGGCCTTCTTGGCCAGGGGGTTGCGGGCATCGTTCTTCCACTCGTCGGCTGCGGTCTGCGTGTGAGTACCTCGTTTCGAGAATGGGGAGCCGGTGCGACGTACACTTGAGCATGGCGTTCTGGGCAGAGTTGATGCCGTAGGCGATGACCAGACCTATATCACAATCAGTTCCTGTTCTGTCGCTCGCTCCTCCTCAATCTCCGTCGCGATCGTTCGTGGTCGGAGTCGTAGATATCATTCGGGGTCTTCGGACGTACCGGCAGCGAAGAAGGGCGCCATCGGCTTAACTGCAAGGGAGGTTAGCAATGTTGCGCGGCGGGATTTCGAGGGACGGGTCGAGGCGCGGCGGGCGCGGTTCACGTACGGACGGGCGTGGGGTACTTCTTGAGGGCGCGAGCTCCGAGCCAAGACATGGTGACGGTTTGTGATGGGGGTTTGACCGGGGAGTGGGATTGGAAAGAGGTTGATGGCGGGCGGGATTCCGAGGGTCGATGTGAAGCTATCAGAACGAGCCTTTTTCCTCCGATTGAGCTTTCGGCGGTTGGACCCGTAGCCGAGATGCGGCGGTTGTGGCCTGAGGCATCCAAGCGAGGAAGGAGAGAAGTGGGTCGTCAATTGCTGGGAGCACGGGCCAGCTTCGCTTCCTGAAATTCAGAAGGCGATGCTCTTGCGTGCCAGTGGCAGGCAACTACCTCGGTATTAAACTGATTTCCAGTTCATCAGACGTGCCTGTATTGAATGAAATTTATTGCTAGGACTATACTCAAGCAGCTAGGAATGGGACTGCATGTTGCATTAGATTTGGGAGCTCAAAAGTCACGTGACAATAGCAGCTATCTTCGGAGTCTTAACGGCAACGATTATCCTGCAGGAGCTAGGCTTCACTCACTACCTAGGTATTAGCTAGCTCTCGGAAGACAATGTACGTAGAAGAGACCCGTTGCAGAGATCACAGATGCTCTGATACATCAGCTGAGCATGGGAATCTCGCTGGATTATTTGTCCGCCTTTCTTCCGACGATATCCGACTTGTGTAGTCGTGTCGTTCGTTGTCTGTTTTACCCCTCTTCTTACCTTCGTACCATTATCTCGTGTTTCCTCCTTGAGGTTGCTTTTCTTAGATATGCGGCCTCTCGCTGAATCGAACCGAGAAAGAGACATTGTGAAAGTCAGCTGATCCTACGCCGCTCCTCACCGGGAGACGTCCCGGTACCCCACGACCCCACTTCCGGTCTGCCACTTGCGGCTGCCGCTGAAACAATTGTCCGTCGCCACTAATGGCCCCGACCACCCCTGCCGCATGCTGGCATGTGACATCATCTGACCCTTCTCCGCATTTGAGCGCAGTTGGAGGCGGTACGTACCGAAGCCTGGAACAGCCGGGGACCTCAGCTCCTCGACCGCTCCTCGTTGCCGTCACAAAGGCGTCAGCTTTCCCCAGGTTCGGGGCCCTGCTTGGCGTGGACTGGCGTGGTGGTGGTGCCAATGGCGTAGCAGCAAGATGGAGGAAAAGAGGAGAGAGCAGCAGCAGGAGGTCGCAGCAGTTCAAGCAGAGCAACCAGCCAAAACCTCCTCCTCCCTTGTGTCACATTCATCCAGGTCTTGTCTTCCTTCTGACACACACACACCACACACCACACCACCACGCACCTCCTGAAGAGCTCTCTGCATTGCTCTCTCCCTCAACGCTCACCCGAAGAATAGTGCGGGGAAAGCACATTCAAAGACACAGAGGTCGCACGGTTGTAGCCCGACCATCAGTCTCTACTCGTCCAATTACATTCATCCCATTAGCCCAGTCTACCATTCTGCCGCTTCCCAAGCACGGTCTCGACCTGACCACCACCACCACCTTACCGCTGCTACCAAACCAGACCACCAATCCCGCCGTCGCCGCCGCCGCAGCACGCCGTTACTGCTTCCCGTTCTGTGATCCAATACCAAACCACTAATCCCCTGCTCTCGGGTGCTTCCTGCTTCTTGCCGATCGAGACGTATCGAATATCGTTTTCCTTCCCTTCTTCACATTACCCGTACCAGAGGCTTGTTACCTGCAAACAAAGAGACAAGATAGTCTGTCCATTCTTTGTCGGACCAGGCGAACGGACAGCATCCCTCTCGCAGACAAGACACCTCTAGGTCACGTCGTCACCACTACACCAATCCCATCCCATCCCATCACTCAACTACCTATATCCCACCACCAACACCTTCGACAATGCTGAGCCAGCGATTGGTGCGAGCAGCCGGCGCGGCGACCCCGCGATCCGCGTTGCGAGCATTCAGCTCCACGAGCCAGCAGCGAAAGGTCCCTTCCATGGCCGACGTCAGTGCCGCTCCTCAAAGCGTCGCCGACTTCAACCAGAAATCGAAGCAGTTCCGAGAGCAGTTGGTGGAGCAGCAGAAGCAACGGGAAGCAAGTGCGTATCAATCCTCCCCTCGTCCCCCTGCGTCTGAGCCTGCCTCGGACTTGGGCTCATCCTTGAGTGCTACTTCAGGACAGAAGGCAGAGGCCGCTTCGGAGCCTCCGCGCAAGGCTGGTCCTCTGACCAACCTCATTTACGGTACTAAGGAGGGTCGCGAGCTGGACGCGCAGCTCGAGGCCAGCTTCAGTCAAGTCCTCGCCCGAGGCAAGTACGTCCACTCGATCGTCTTCCACGAGGTCAAATCCGACAAGGTTGACGAGTACACCGAGCTCGTTGGTAACTGGTACCCGCGCATGGCTTCCATGCCGGAGAACAAGGTCCATCTGGTAGGAAGCTGGAGGACCGAGGTTGGCGACTGCAACACGTTTGGTATGTTACTTTCAAGGAGCTCAAGCACCGCCGAAACAGCTGCTAATATTAGCTTCGACAGTCCATATTTGGGAGTACCAGAGATACCAGGGTTACCACGAGTCGATCCACAACATTGGAAACCACCCCGAGTTCTCTCAGTTCGATAAGAAACTCAAGAGTCTCATCACCTCGAAGAAGACATCCCTCATGCAGGAGTTCTCCTTCTGGCCCACGACTCCTCCCCGCCAGCTCGGTGGCATTTTCGAACTTCGATCTTACACTCTGCACCCCGGTAACTTGCTCGAGTGGGAGACCCACTGGAGACGGGGTCTGAAGGCCAGACGTGAGGTCATGGAGGGCGTCGGTGCTTGGTTCGTGCAGATCGGAGACCTCAACACCGTCCACCACCTGTGGCAGTTTGCCAACTTGGAGGAGCGCAAGATCCGCCGCGAGAAGAGCTGGAACCATGAGGGCTGGAGCGAGACGGTCCACAAGACCGTTCCTCTTATCCAAACCATGAAGTCGAGAATTCTTGTCCCCATGCCTTGGTCTCCTACTGCATGAGGTGGTCTACGACATGACTTTGTTTGGACTTTTCAGGCATGTGTGGCGTTGACATCGAATTATCATCTCGCGACTTTCATTTGTCGACGCACGCATGATACATACAACAACCCGTCCCACGTTGGACTTCCTGTCAGCTACAAGCGAGCCCATTGAGGTGCCCACCTGCTTGGCTGGACATGGACGCTTGGTCTTAGCTTATAAGGATCGTTAGGGGTTACCAATCTTGATATGTACAGAATACTGGTAAAACCCAGTACATAGGAATTTGAAAACAGTAACCTCTATATTTGATGCAAGCCTCCATTACCAAGCTTCGGGGTATCCCACGATTAACAGATTCCCTGTCACTGCGCGTAGACAATGTACAGCTTATTGTACAGTTCTACATGCAAATGCGTCTGCCATTGATGGAACATTAGTGCACCATGAACTCCTACTCATCAATCTCTTCTCCCATAACAGCCGCCAGATTTCTCCGGGCACCGGCCAGCGTGTGCCCTAGTGCAACCAACTTTGCCGACAACGACATCAAGTTGGGGTCCGGCAAGCTCTCCACCCTGACCTTCTCCCTCACGAACACCTCGTTCGGCTCCCCGTTACTGGACGGCGTCCCGAGTCCACTGACACTACTCTGCCTGCTCCTCGGATGTGCGCCCCCGTGCTTGTGCTTCTCCCCACCGTCCGTGATATTGCTATACGCGAACCGAAAAGGCCGATCCATCTCGTCGTGCTCCAGCCTCCGTACCGTACCCAGCGCCAGGCCCAGCTTCGTCCCGAAGTTCTGCGGCGCGTCGACCGGCTCCAGCGCGCGCAGCCACAGCACCAGACTCGACTCCTGCAAGGCCAGATGCACGCTGATGTTGGGCGGGAGGGGCGGGGTGAAGTGGACCGGCGGACACGAGTCCGTCTGCCACCGCGGATCGGACTCGTGCAGCGGCGGGCCCTTGAGGAGCGAGGAGGACTCGTTGAGGGAGGCGGAGAGGATGCGCAGCTGCGCGGCGAGCTGGCTTGGGTTCTGCGAGGGCGAGGGGTCGGTCGTGAGGGAGAGGAGGTCGATGCATTCTGTCAGGTGGGTGTGTATCGTCTCGAGGGCGGCGATGTGGACTGGGTGGGAGGGGTCGAGGGTGAGGGTTTGGGTTGGGAGGGTTTTTAGTTGTAGGTGCACTGCCTGGGAGCTCGTTGTCAGCTGAGCGACGAGAGAACGGCGAGAGGGAGACGTACGCCTTTTACTATTCGGGTCCCGACGCGGGTTACTGTTCCCTTGACGCGCTCGTTACGCTGCGTCGACATTACGAGGGTGCTTCCCGGGTCGATTGGGGCGAGGAGGGCGTAGCAGTCTTGCAGGCCGTGGCGGATGTCCTTTAGGACTTCGTGGGTTTCTGTGACTATCCATTCTAGCTCGCGCCTCTGCGGTGCGTAATTGATCCTGATCAGCATCTTGTCTCGTCGTGGTATGCGCCTTAAAGCTGCTCTCGAGCTTGGGTGAGGATGTCACTCACGAGGGATTCCTCCTTTTTGATCGCGAGCTCTTCTGGAGATATCGGTGGCCAGATTGCGACGGCCATGTTGCCTGGATGTGCGAGTTTGGAGTATCAGAATATGTGTTCGAATTGAGGGAGACGTCGCAGGCAGCCGCGCGAGGCGTTGGGCGATTGGATGTATGTGAGTTAGCTCATGGTGGATGTTGAAGCTCTCCGGATCGCATCTCGTCATCGTCGAAGGTTTGGGGGGACCGGGGTCGGTGGGGTGACGCGCGCTAGCGGGGCACAGGGCACCTGCCTCCGCTGAGGTGCACCTGCTGCGAGATGCGGATCCACTTTATCGGTTTTTTTGCGCTGGGGTGGTGAGGTTCAGACGGCTCATTCATGAACTTTCAACTTCATCATAAGGTATCTCCGATATCATCATATTCAACATTATTAGCACCTCAATCACCCCGGGTTCTCATCAAGTGCCACGGAAACAACAACACCCTATAAAAAAGGCATCGATATTCCAACAACAAAAGAGGTCCAACTCAGCAGCCCTTGCCTCGACTCATCCTCCACCTTTAAACTCACACAGCTGCCTATCATGGCGCCAACACACCCCAGCCGGCAGCAGCCTGGCAAGACCGCCTCAGACTCAAGAAGAAAAGATTCATCAAGAGAGAAGCTACCCCGTCTGCCTGAAGGTAAGTCCCACATCAGCCAAAGCCTTCTTCATGGACCACGTCACCTAACACTCACGCCCAGGCACCAGGATCCAAAAGCGCGCCCTAGCCCGATCACAGCAGCCCATCTCCTCCAAGTCAAAACTGATATACGTGTCCTCGTCGACGCCCTTCATGGCCGCCGTCTCGCGCGTGCGCAAACAGCTCGACAGATCCATCAAGGGCAACGTGCCGTCCACGAAGGGCATGTCGTTACCGCAGCGCGTGGACCTGCTGCACCGCGACGGGGGCACCAAGACCGAGGGCGAGGCGGTGGTGCTGGGCACCGGGAAGGCGATTGAGAAGGTGCTTAGTGTCGCGGCGTGGTTTACGGAGCAGAGGGACTGTGAGGTCGAGGTCAGGACGAGGACGGTGGGGACTGTTGATGATGTTGTTGTGGAGGATGATGATGCGGGATTTGGGGGCGATGAGGTTAGAGGGAGGAAGGTTAGTTGTTTGGAGGTTACTGTGAAGTTGAGGTGAATAGGGTGTGGATATGGTATCGACTGGTCTTAATCCGCTGTGTGATTGAAGCAGGATGACCGTTCCCCTGCGGAGAGTAATCACCCTGCCACCCATGGCATTCTGAAGATTGGAGTTTGGTAAGCTCTTTCTTGGTCTCAAAGAATCGAGACTCTCAGAAGAAGGCCAAAGTGCCAGAGATTGTGAAGACCCAGGAGAAGTCTTGGTGTGTCTCGAGATAAGGCTCATAAACGTTCGAGTATAAATAATAATATGCATACTGAGAAAGGCCTCTGGAACCAGTAGTGTGAAACAATCATAAAGGTATCTCGAACTTGCATTATTCCTTCCTGAATTCCCTCTTCGAGCCATCACCCTATCCTATCGAGTGCCAACCAACGCCAAAAAAGGTCATCCCCAATTTTACCCTAAAAACAGGCTTTCAGAATTCCTTAATTAAGTAACAAAAAATCTCTTAAATAAATACACTAGCTGACTCCTTATGTAAGTATTTTTGGCGTTAGTTGGCGCTCGATGGCATACTTATCACATTGTCTTTACTTGAGATATCAGAATGTTTCATTTGAAGGCCATTAATGACGAATATTTAGATAGATCTTGATTTTACTTCCAACGAGGACACCCTGAAGAAGCTTGATCTAGAATAAGACAACTAAGCAATTATCTCTCACTGGAGAGCTTTCATTGGATGAGTCCAAGTTCCCAACTGAGCGAATAGCCCTAGTCCCGCGCCTAAAGTTTTCATGTGTCAATAGGCAGAAGATATCAGAGAGCAGGAAATGCATTATAGATAAGTATCCATCATGTCAATTTTCTTAATCCTTGACATACGGTTTGTGATTTCTCAGAACATGACTGGGAGCTAACTGTGCGACCCATGCGGCCGGCATCCATGCGACCCGACGAGACCTCAAGGGCTGTGCCGAGACTCAATCACCGTGTTGGTGCTGCTGTGCCTCGTAAGGCTCATTTTCTCGCAATGCAGCCCTCAACTCTATTCCTCCTTCGATCATAAAGCTTTATAATCGGCCTCCCTCCCCGAAATAGGAGTTCCCAAACGTAAGAAAGGCTCATACCGCAAGACTGATCATGAAAAACGCCCAGCCTTACTACACCGAGCGACTTAATTCGTCAAAGACGGAGATCCGCCTGCTTGAAATCGTCTCAGCAGATGACGATCCGGGTCCCATTCGGTGCCGCCTACGAACGGTCAAGCTCAACGACCGTCCGGTGTTTTTCGCCCTTTCCTACCTCTGGGGTGACGCCGCCCAAACAACGCCCATACAAATCTTGATCAAGGAGTGCTCGGAGAAGAAGGCCCCAATCAAGAGGAAATGTTTGCACCGTTTGACGCAACTCTCAACCTCGAAGCCGCCTTACGTCATGTACGTAAACGGTGGTTCTCTCAATTTCCCAACAAGAAGCATAGCCTCAACTTCCTTCTCTGGGTGGACGCTGTTTGCATCGATCAGGCCGATCTGGAAGAGAGGTCAGAACAGCTCGGACTCATGCAGAGAATATACTCATCTGCAACCTGCGTTCTCTCTTGGCTCGGAACGCAGGACCGGGCGGTAGCCTTTAAAGCCATCCAGGGCATCTATGTTGCGAGAGTGGCAGCGGGCTCCGATGAAGAGTTCTTCAAGATGCAGTGGATGAAAGCTTCCCCGGTCTCTGCGGTCATGGTCGTAATGAGGAGCAAGACACTGCCTGGGACCAAATCATCCGTCTTTGCAGTGATCGCTACTGGCAGAGAATATGGATTTTCCAAGAGGTCGCCCCCGCTTTCAGGGTGCTCTTGGTGACCCCAAACCAGATGATACATCACTCGGTGGCGAAAGAAGTGGCGGTCCTAATGTTCAAAGCAAAATATGCCTTGCAACAGTCAATGAGTTCAGCTACTTCTTCAGTCCGACCTGAATGGATATCACCTACTGCTTGGGTTCATCTTTCCGTCAGTGGCCCGGACTGGCCTAGGTTAGTTCAGTCCTCTGTCGTGCTGGTCAAGCATGATCAGGTTCAGACAGGACTGTCCAGCAATAATCAGCAACAACATCTATTCAAGAAACCGATGGAGCTGGAAGGTAAATCTGGCCATATCTGGTTGGAATGGTACTTTGTGCTCATGCACAGCATGAAGATGGAGGCTACAGACCCAAAGGATCTCGTATATGGTCTTCTTGGAGTATCCCAGCTGGACATCAAGCCCAACTACAGAAGAGACGTTTCCGTCGGTGACGTCTACACCGAATACGTATCCCGCTGGCTTGCCGACCCTCGAAGCAGGAGCAGCGAGGTTTCAGAGCCTCTGGAATTTCTCAATGACTCCGGCTCCGCCGTCGCCGCCCCTGGCTTTCCCAGCTGGGTTCCGAACTTCGAGGCCTTCAGCCAGAGCAGGCACCGAAGGCGACTGAGTCCGTTGGCCGGCACAGTGAAGAAGGGTCTTGTTACTCTCGGAAGTTTCAAAACTGAGCGCTTTCCTACAGCTGCCGGAGCCAAACTTTTTGGTGTCGGCTATGAGCTGGAAAACGTGGCGTCCGTGTCGGGATGGTCCATCGGGCAGGGCAGAACGAATGGAGAGCTTCTCAACTTTCTGGCCTCTAATCATGCCACGTCCCGCTGCGGAATTCCCTTTCTGGGCGTCTGGATGCGGCTCATGATTCTTGAAACGGATCTCGAGGTGTCTCACAATACGGCTCGTCTTGCCTTTTATCTTCTACACGACCTTGTTTCTCAGAATGAGTCACCGGAACTTTCGGCCGACCAAATCACGGTTCAACTCGGACGGACATATCACTCGCCCGATGAAATTGAGCCTTGGGAGGCTTGGATACTACGAAGCTTTCTCTATCGCGTCGACACCGATGCCACGACGCCGGACTCTGGCACAATTAACCTTCCCCACAAAGACGAAGACATGGAGGCCGCAGCTCAGATGAGATTGGAAGAGACGTATGGAAGTCTTCAAGATTATCACATCTTCGAAACGGAAGGCGGTCGTGTCGGTGTCGCTCCTGATGGAGTTGAGGTGGGTGACCCGGTCTGCATATTACAAGGCTGCGGTCTCCCACTCATCTTGAAGAGAAAGAATGGCGGAAATTGTGAGGAATCGGAGTATATCCATTTTAGTACTTCGTTAATTGTGGGCTTGATGGACGGTGAGGCCGCTGGAATTATCGAAGAGAAGAAGTTGGAGCCGAAAACGATAATCATCGTTTGAGCAAAGCCAATACATATCGAGAGTTCCAATTCAAACACTATTGATTCGCAGCGATCCAATATAAGACTCTCTATAAAGTTCTAGGACTTGAGCAACGAAGCCAGTCAAATGGTCGTTGAGGTTCAGAGAGGGGCAGTGTTTGTAGAGATTGCCTAGTAGCGGTTTATCTGATGCTACAACAGCTGAGAATATTGAAGATGTAGGCCTAGGTCATGGGGTTTTCTGCAGGCAACTCGGTCCTCACCCCCTGCGATCAGTTTAGACTCGATGATCACTGAGTGCCATGTTGAGTTTTCGGTCCAAGTCAGAATAATGGACAACTAGTTATGGCACTGGGCAGCAGTCATCAGTTCAAAAACTTCATTACTCAGAACATACACTTGTCTAACGCTAACAAAATTTGAAGACTCTCGAAAAGACTGAATTCTAAGCAATGAGACTTGAGGCGTGTATATGTTGGCTTGCACAATTGACATCGCATTGTTAGTAAACAAAACCTGACTTGGGGCTCTGTAAAGTTCCTAAGAGCGCAGTGTAATTGAGTCGGACCCAGGAACGTGGTGATCGACAACTTCATCGAAACGGTTCTTGACTAGCCTCCACTACTCAGCAAATGACGGAGTATGAAGAGAAGCAGGAATCCTTCTTCCACGACTCAGCGGGTAATCAGGTCATGCTTCGGAAACTCAGCGAGTGTCCACCCAATGAGGGGTCTTCGCCGCGGTTAACTCGCGTTAACCTGTAGAGTTGAGTCGGCGAGAATGTGTGCAGAAGTTCCAATCAGGAAACTTGAGTCGCTTATTTTCCCGCATTGAATAATATTGCGGGTATAGTTCCTTGTCCCTGGGGAAAGAGTGTTCAATTCCCGCAAACCGTTGGGGTCATTTCACGAAAAACAAGATCATCCCTGTCAAACTGCGCACTTATCGAGGTCAATTAGCCGTGTTTATTACGGCCCTTGACGCGTTTATCTTCACCGCTAGCGATACCGGAAATTTCGGTGTGGGGTACCACAGGCCGAAGTCACGTCGGCGATTCCCTTGACATCATTGCCGCCAATGGGTCTCAAAGAGGGTAGTTGAGGTCCCGCCTCGATTTTCTCTTTTCTCTCGTGTTCCGTGGTAGAAAATCCTTCACTTGCCCAACCTCTTCCTGCAAGAGCCATCTCCGTCAACCAACGGGCAAGATGATGTTCCAAAGCTCTGCCGTTCTGATGGCGGCCCTCGCCGGGCCGGCCTCCGCCAGCTACGCCTTCTACGTCGGCAAGGACCTCACGGCCGACGGCAGCGTCATGGTCGGCGGAACTGGCGAGGAGGTCTCTTCTCACTGGCTCCAGCTGTTTCCGGCCCGTGACCACGCCGCCAACGCCACCATCACCGTCGGCGTCACGGAGAAGGCCAGTATCCCGGGCGAGCTGTTCACCATCCCCCAGGTCAACCACACTTACCGTTACCTGTCGATGGAGTACTCCGACTTCGAGGGCTTCCCGGCGCCGCTCACCAACGGCGGTCTCAATGAGAACGGTGTCACCGTCCGTGATGTCTGGGCTCAGAACCGCGAAGAACTGGTCAACATGACCCCAACGCCCCAGCACGGCATTCAGTACAGCGACCTTGCGCGCATCGTCATGGAGCGCGCGCGTACCGCTCGTGAGGGTGTTGAGATTATCGGCCAGCTCATGAACCAGTACGGCGAGGCAACCTACGGCGGCAACACCCACCTTGTTGCCGACAAGGACGAGGGCTGGGTTGTTTGGGAGATGGCCGGCGGCAAGAAGCTGTGGGCTGCCGAGCGTCTCAAAACCGACGAGGTCCGCGTCTTGTACCCGGGCTACATCGAGGACTTCCCCACCGACTTTGCCAACAGCTCTGACTACATGGGCTCCGACAACATCGTCTCATTCGCCGTCGAGCAGGGCTGGTGGGATGCCAACAGCGGTGTGCCTTTCAACATCTTCAACGCTTACGGCGAGAAGGGCGAGAACCTCACCGCTCGCGACGGCGGCTTCAAGTTCATGTCCCAAGCCGCTCTTGAGAATGCTACTCTCGAGATGGTTCCCGTGACTGAGGAGAAGCTCATGGAGCGCGTCCGCGACAAGCGCATCTCCGACGATGAGGCTGGCTACGGACAGGTTGTCAGCCTCAAGGATGGCATCGACCGCGACCTCCTCCGCATCTGGAACGCTCCCACTGCCTCCGTCGCCGCCCCCTTCGTCCCGTGGTGGCTCGGCGTCAACAGCATCCCGTCCGAGTTCGGCGAGCACCGTTACCTGACCACCGGAGCCTCTGGGAGCTTCTTGAACCCGGACTACCAGCTCCAGGAGGCCAGCGAGTTCGCCGGCCGGATTTTCAAGCGTGTGCTTTACTACATGTGCTCCGCCCCGGACACCTTCCACCCCATCGTCACGCAGATGCTCACTGGCTTCGAGAACCAGAGCCGCAGCGACGTTGACTGGGTCGAGACGAGCGCCAAGCTGCTCATTGAGAGCGGCGACAGGGAGACGGCGAGCTCTCTGCTCACTTACTACTCTCAAAGCCGTGCTTCCAAGGCTCTTGAGCTTGGCAAGGCCATGACTGCCGCACTTGACGGATACATCAAGCTCAGCGGTCAATGGCGTGACCCTGTTGGCAGCCAGATCAACGACGCCGGAGAGGGTGCTGAGACTGTCAATTGCTTGGTTGGCTACGATCCTGACCAGCCCATCTGGAACCAGCCCGCGCATCCGATGAGGAAGAAGAGGAGCATGATGAACAGAATGTTTGTCCAGCGCCACCGCTCTTAGAACTCAGATAAGACCTGGCACAGTGCCATAATACAAATACGTTGATCTACGAATTTGCCAACATAAACTTCGCTCGTGCTTCGGATTGGCCGTTTCTTGTCCGATGATTGGCTGGTGTGGTCTTAACGTTATTATCAGGCTGGGCCCCCCGGTCCCCCTCCGCCATTCTGTCCCTGACAGTCATGACGGACTTAACGGAGTTCTGACACTCGACGAACTGAAGAAAAAGCCGAGGGATTCGACTTTCGGAATTGTCGACTCCCGGCTGATGAGAACTCCGATACTGATATCAAGTATATGAAACGATATGGTTTACCACGTTCTGATTTCAATCAACAGCACCGAGACAAGTCCAAAAGTTAACAATTCACTCCACTACATCACCATTTCAAAACTTATTTTCTGATATTTCAGTCATCATGACGTCGTCTGCCTCTATTGTCATTATCTTCGGCGCAGCTGGTGCGATTGGACGAGCGGCAGCTATTGAGGCCAACGCACGTGGTTGCCGTGTTTTCCTGGCAATGCGTGACACGAAGAAACCGATTCCAGGGCTGTCCCGAGAGCTTGAAGAAAAGAGCAGTTTCACGCGCATCCAGGCAGACCTTCTCGACCCAAACTCGATACGTAATGCCATTAGCAACTCAGGCGCAACCATTGCCTTCACCTACGCCGTTCACACGGCCCAAGATGCCATGCGCTCAGCTTTTGGTGCCATGAAAGAGGCAGGTATACAGCGCGTCGTCTTCCTCTCGTCATACACAGTCTACCCGGATGTGGAGACCGCCATCGCTGGTACACGCCCCATTGCTTCTCTTCACGGTAGAGCAGAGAAGTCACTGGTTGAGAGCGGATTGCCTCACACGATCCTCCGCCCCATGTTTTTCAGCAGCAACATCAGTGGGGATGCTGAAGATGTTAAGAATGGCGAAGTCTATGTGCTGAGGCCTGGTTCAATAAGCGACTACATCGCCCCTGAAGACATTGGATATGTCGCTGGCGCAACGCTCGCCGAGCAAACCACCGAATCGCGAATTATTCCACTCTGTGGCCCTGAACTGCTGTCACAGCGAGAGGCATGGAACATCGTTTCCCAAGAACTTGGAAGGGAGATAAAAGTCAAGGAAGTTGATGAGGCGGAGTTCCTGGCACGTCAGAAGGTTCCGCCACCTCTGGCGCGTAACCTCGCTGACTACTGGTTGGAGGGGGAGGATACTTCGGTGAGATACCCATCAGAACTCTACAAGGAGGCCTCTGGGAACATTCAGAAGTATACTGGAAGGGAGCCGACTAAATTTGCGGCGTGGATCAAAGCTCATAAGTCAGAGATATTTGACTAAACATTCAACCGAACCAGTGCGAGACGAGCGGACAAGACTCGGAGGCAAGCAGGAGACAAGAAAATTCGGGACTTAATCACGGAGGAACACCGAAAGTCAGTAGTTTGCCCTTTGGATTAAAAGCCCTTTTGAATGCATGCAAAACATTGATATCAAAATTGCTACGTTGTGACCATATTAAAATACCTGGAAGTGATCAGACCAACTTGGAGCAGTCTGTCAGTTTTCCCAGGTCGTTCCCCATGATGCTCATTTTCCCCATGCTGTGATCAGGTCAGTAGGACTCAGGGTGCCTCAGGCTGCTGCAAACTTACGCTAGTTTGAACGCAGAGTTCCATCTCGTTTGGCTTGCTCCGAATCCTTTCCAAATGTTCTTGGTTTCAGTCGCGTTGCTGAGGGCAAAGTCGCTGCCTAGCGAAGTCGGCGAAGTCTCTTGAACCGTTTCCGGGTAGAAGACAGTGCTATCGAGCTTGTCGGGTGTGGAGTCGAAGGATAACTCCTGTAAGCTCATGCCAGCACTGTGAGCACCCACGAGAGCTACCAGATCCGTTGAAGAGAATCCCTTCTTCTTGAAGGCTTTGATCTGAGTAGCGGCATCCGAGTCTTGTGTGGGCAACTGACCCTCGGCGTTGGGTGAGTTGGAGTCTTTTCGCCCGACCAAGAAGTAGGTCTTTGGCCCTCCGCAGGCAGCGACACCGAATGCTAGTCTTCAGTTAGCATGCCCGAGTCTTTTTCTTCAGGACACAAGATTCAGTTACGTACCTGCTGCTGCTTGGATCATGTCTGCCGTGCTGACCTTGTATTCAACGGCCTTCTGGCCCAGAATCTCGCAAATTGGCTGAATTTGAGTGTTCTCTTCCCTGTCAAGGCATTCATTGGCCAGAATCAGGGAGCCATCGCAGGATCCAGGAAAACAATCATGGAACGCGGCTCTCATGGCTTGTCTGGCCTCAGCTGGACATCCTTGAAAAGTGGCCTTGAGATCCGTTGCAACTTTGGTCCAGACCGGGGGGCATGTTTTTGCATTACACACCGTGGAAGCAAGAACAAGCAAAGAAACGATTTTGTGAAAGGAAGGCATCGTATGAGAATCTGTTTATGGAATGAGGTTGAATGAGGCCTCGATGGTAAAGGAGTGACACAGAAGATGAATTGAACGACACAACCCAGACAGTCGCAGGCTTGAACCGCTTTTGAGGATTTGTTGGGCGTTTAGGGTAATGTCAACGGTCTTTTGTGGCTACCTACCAGTTTTGGACATGGAATCCAACGCTTGTCTCTATTGGTTGTAGTCTTACGATATACGGGTTACGAAAACGGTTTAGACAACGCCAATCCATCCCGGAAACTCTATTTTGATATCAAAGAGACGACTTGCCTGAATAACGGGAGGTTATCCATGGTATGTTAATGGAATGGCGGATCTTGACTTGGCTGAACAACTATTAGCGTAGGCGATTCACCAGGTCGTGCGCAGGGACACCATTCAGGTACGGAAACCTTCTCTGAGGCTAGTTGATCTATTCTGGCAGTCGCATTTCTGAAGCAGGCATTTAGTCCTTGTTAGACTGAGTTCTAAAGCTGTTAAGCACAAGCGTGGTGCGCCGCCACGGCTAAACGCTCTGGCACTAAAACTTTTAATCATCAAACTGGGGTTCTTGGAACTACTTCTAGAAGACCAGAGCTGTAAGCAGTCTGTCAGGACGGTCAGACTGTAGCTCAGGGGCAAGTTGAGAAGCTTCGACATTTAGACACAACGCCTCCAAATTGACTGGAAGTTCCGGGCACCGCACTGGCAAACTTGGCTGTAGCTTCCTGAGATCTACGATCGTATTCAACTGATCTGCCCGAACTTTCGAGTTGACGCCACTGTGGTGAGTTGTCTAGACCAAATGAGTGGCTACATGCTTGCCTGAAACATCCGGTCCTTTTCACTCAGCTGCCAGTGGCAAGTGCACGATTACATCAAATCCACATACAGCGGGAGAGGATCATTATGGTTGATCGAACAAAGTCACCGGTCGGCATGAGTATAATTACTGACATGCAGAACTTCACGAATTTCGAAATCATCAACCTCATCAACCAACAACTTTCAGGATACCTCTCATTTCCTCCTCACCACACTCCTTGTAATCATGGTTGTCATTCACTCTGCTATCCGCAGCCTTCCTGCTGCTTTGCTGGCATTCTCTGCGGTTTCTGAGGCCCAGAATGTCGGTCAATGGGGTCCCATGATCAAATTCCCTGTGGTTCCTGTCTCGGTGGCCCTGCTTCCCGAGACGGGCAACATGCTGGTTTGGTCCAGTGGCTGGCCGTAAGTCGCAACCTTTGGCGTGTCTTAAGAAGATCAAAGCTGACGTCACCAATCCAGTAACCGTTGGACAACAGCTGGCAACGGCAAAACCTACACATCCCTTTACGATGTTAAGACGGGAAAGGTTGGCGATGCCATCGTCCAAGTAAGCAGCTATCCGTGCCCTCCTACTCTCATCTCCTGCCGCACTGCCTCAAACCAAGAAATACGCACGAACTTCGCGCTAATTTGGCTTCTTCCCCAGAACACCCAGCATGACATGTTCTGCCCAGGTACCTCAATGGACGAGAACGGACGCATCATTGTCACTGGCGGATCAAGCGCCGCCAAGACCAGCGTTCTTGACTTCAAGAATGGCGAGTCCTCATCCTGGACGCCGCTCTCCAACATGCAAATCTCAAGAGGATACCAGTCTAGTTGCACAACGTAAGTACATGAATCATTCATCAGTGTACGAGTAGGAACATGCTGATTTGGTTTTGAACAGTTCTGAGGGCAAGGTCTTCGTCATTGGAGGTTCCTTCTCTGGAGCCGGTGTGCGAAATGGCGAGGTCTACGACACCAAGACCAACAAGTGGACGAAGCTGGCCGGTTGCCCAGTCAAGCCGTTGGTCATGGGAGCTGGCATGTTCCCTGACAGCCACACGTGGTTGTGGTCTTGGAAGAACGGATCAGTTCTTCAGGCTGGTCCCTCCAAGCAGATGAACTGGTACGATACCAAGGGCACCGGCGCAAACACCCCTGCCGGTCTCCGCGCCGCCGATACCGACTCCATGTGCGGTGTCTCCGTCATGTACGATGCTGTGGCCGGAAAGGTCTTCACGTAAGCTATGACCAAAACCCACCCCTTGTCAGATATCCTACAGAGACTAACATGCTTGCTTGTAGTTACGGAGGTGGTAGAGCTTACACAGGCGTCCAGTCAACCAGCAATGCTCACATCTTGACCCTGGGTGAGCCCGGACAGCAGGTCCAGGTCCAAAAGCTCAACAACGGTCAATACAACCGTGGATTCGCCAACGCCGTTGTTCTTCCCGACGGAAAGATCTGGATCGTCGGCGGCATGAAGACGATGACTCTGTTCTCGGACTCCACTCCTCAACTGACCCCTGAGTTGTTCGACCCTGCCACTGGCAAATTCACCCCGACAACTCCTCACACCGTCCCGCGCAACTACCACTCCACGGCACTTCTGATGGCCGATGGTACCGTCTGGTCTGGTGGCGGCGGTCTCTGCGGTGCCGGCTGTGCGGCCAACCACTTCGACGGCCAATTCTGGTCCCCGCCGTACCTTTTTGAGGCCGACGGCAAGACCCCTGCCAAGAGACCCGTCATTCAGAGCCTCTCGGATGATGATGTGAAGGCGGGAGCTCCTCTCACTGTCACCATGGAGGAGGCCGGCCAGTACACCTTCAGCATGATCCGTGTTAGCGCCACGACGCATACCGTCAACACCGATCAGCGTCGTATTCCACTCAGTGGACAGGATGGCGGTGATGGACAGCAGTTCACGGTCAGTGTCCCCAGTGACTATGGTGTTGTCATTCCCGGATACTACATGCTCTTCGCGATGAACGAGGCCGGAACGCCTTGCGTGGCTAAGTTTTTCAAGGTTTCTCTTTGAGATTGATGCCTTGTAAAGCAGTTTCGAAAAGTGGTCCAATTCGGCTAAGAAATGGTGGTCCCGGGAAAGGAAAAGTATCGGGATTGAGAAATGACAGGTCTACTAGGATAACTCATCCACATACAAGCTCTCATATATAATAAGTAATTCAAAACCATGTTTCAACTGCGTCCATGACCTTGAGTCTGTGCATTCCTTTCATCCCCTTGTAAGATGACTCTTACACCATAAATTGCGTGTTCAAGGCGGTCTTTTTGATGCGACTCTGAGACTGGACTTACGCATGAGGCTATGTGCTTGAATTGTGCCTTATTGGTCCTCCTGCATACCCTCAAGTAGAAGCTAGTGTGATGACATAGCATGTTAAACACATGGTCGCTAAGGCCATCAGTTCAACTGCCAGAGTTCAAATATCTGATGTCCTTTTCGTAGACTAAGACAAACCCCAAACTGCGTCTGGTATTTTCTTGAATCAATCCTTTGAGAAAAGTGTCAGACCTCTGCCTGTTCTTGGTAGACCTCAAGCAGTTTGTTCCATCATCTGTTTTTCGCGTACCAAAACCCCTAATTCTGTCCAAACCTCGTTGACTTCATCCTCCGGAACGCGTTCGTCAAGTGCATATTGCCGCGCGGCAATATCCTGAAGCTCATAGATAAAGTTCCAAACCGTGTCGAGAGTCTCGTCTCCATAGCCGCATAGCTCGGACGTGGCCTGGTCCGGCATGGCATAATATCTGCAATCGGATGCGTGGAAGACTAGCTGCTCCTTCTCCCAGGAACGGCCAACTCCAAAGACTTCTTTACTATCTTTCTCGGTGAGAACCGTGCTTTTTCGGTAAAGTCTGGGGTCGACAAGCCAGATTGTCGTGTCTGAAAGACGCAAAGTGGCCTGCATGGCTTCAACCAAGGCGTTGTAGATCCCCCAGCGCGCAGGATCCAGCTCAGCATCCACCTCAGGGTCTTCCCATGTTTTCTGGTATGTCTGGAGCTCGTCCGTGCTCCACGTCGGATCAAAGTCCAAGGCTAGGTGACGAACGCCTCCGAAGCCATATTGGGGGCATGAAAAAGGCATATCCAAGTCGAGATAAGCAAGATGTGGACTGACACGCCACGGCTGGATGAATATGAGGTCGTAAATTGGGAGGACGGTAAAATTCCGGAGCCCCTCTCTGTCATCTTCGACGACGAAGGTTGCCGGCATTTGAGAATATTTGTCGCTATCGTACCGGCTTATCCTGCTCTCATGATCAGGGCGGCCTTTCTCACGTTGACGACTGTAGAAGCTGGCCCACCTGACGGGGTCATACCGTCGATACATCGCCGCGCGGGACTCCTTGCAGGCGGTCCAGAGACCACCATCGATAGCGTAGGTTGACATGTTGGCTTTGGTCCAAGAGAGAGACGAATCGTCCGTCGCAGGCAGTGCGGCGCCAACTATATGGAGCGGGTCTTTGCTAGTTGGTTTGATGAGGTGGTGACTGAATCTTTCTGGGGCTCCGTAATAGCTAGAGAAGATGGAAAAATAATGAACGCCCCGTGTATCACGGGAGCGGACCGACAAGTCCCAGATCTGGTCCCGGAGCTCACCAGGGAGCAAGGGAAACAGAGGGAATACTTGTGAAGCCATTGTGTGTCTGCTCTTAGAAATCCTTAATGCGTACCGTAATTGACGGTGTTGCTGATCCGTCAGTGAAAGTCGGAGGGTGGTTTATGTGGTACATTTCCTATGTCAGCGCTATTATTCAACGAGAAGGGCCAAAGATCATACCTCGCATGCTGACAACTTACTGCCGCGTTAAGTAGGACAGTCTGGCCTGTCTCCGTAAAGTCCTGTCCTTCAAGGTTCTTAGCCGTTACCTTGAGAAGGGCACAAATCAGCTTTAGAGCTATAGCAGCCTAGAAGCTTATTAAGAAACCTTTCTACGTATTAAATATCAAATATATAAGGTACCTTTTAGGTATAGTGAGCTAAAATAATAAGGCTGGCTGCATCGTATTGTGCAGCAAATTCCATTAGTTGCGAGACCGTATGCCTTGCTCTTATATGGATTATGGGACCAGGTTGGAATTCCATTGTTTTTAGCTGCTCATGTTTTCATGTTCAAAAAGATTGATTCATTACCCAAGATAACATGACCCTGCGCCCTGCAATGCTGCACCGCTTATTTGTCTAAACCGCCCCTGAACACTCTAGAGCCCAAGAGTGAAGCAAGTTATGATAATCCAGGCAACTCCTCAAGGTCAAACCCCTTGAATCCATCCTCAACAGCCCATGCTCTCCCTTTCTCCTTCTCGTAGAGAGCCTCGCACGCCCTACCGACAACAAGCAGCCCAGGTGGCCTGCTGCCCTCGGACTCGATAGCCTCAGCGACGTGCTCCAGTGTCGTCCTAATGACTCTTTGGTCAGGGCAACTCGCCCTCTCAATGACAGCACAGGGCGTACTCCTAGGCCACAGAGTCCTCTTAGACTTGACCTCTCCCTCAACTTCCTCAGTCTCGAGGTAGCACGTCAACTCCCTGACAAGCCCTGTGATGCGGTGCAGCGCCATCAAGAACACAACTGTCCTGCTGGCAATGTACTCAGGCGGGGCAGGCGGCTTGCCCTTCTTCCCAGTACCCGTGCAAACCAGCACCTGGTCAGCGACATCGCGCTGGGTAGGCGGTATACCGGCGAACAGCGGCGCGCTCAGCGAAGATGTGATACCAGGCAGCACCGTGACGCGATCTCCGAATCCATGTTCCCTGAAGTACGCGACCTCCTCTCCTCCGCGGCCGTAGATAAACGGATCGCCCTGCTTCAACCTCAACACCGTCTTGCCCTCCTTGGCACCGGCAAGAGCGAGCTCATGGAGTTCCTCCTGCGCTTGGTCTGCGTTTCCGGGGAACTTCCTCGCAATCTGTACCGGCGTACGGCGCGGGATGAGATCAAGCACACCTGCCGGGACAAGCTTATCCGCCAGAATGAGATCCGCCGTCTCAATCGCCTTGTGAGTCGCTCGAGTGAGCAGATCGGGGTGTCCGGGACCGCTACCGGCAAGAATAATCCTCCCCTGCCGCTGCGGCACCCGCGCTCCCGCACCAAGTCCAGCAGCGGGCGGCTTGCCCGCCGTCTCCGGCGCCGCTGAGATTGCAACGGCCGCCGAATATGACTTCAACACGGAATCGGCCTCCTCGTCGGTGATCGCGGCCAGCCTCTTAAGCGGCCAGTACTCACACACCTGACTCAGCCACCTCATCCTTCTATTCTTCGCCGCATCCAAGTCCGCCTCCGTGACGAGCTTGTTGAAGTTCGCCGTCTGGTCGAACGAGTCATCGACTTCGTCAGGAAGATGGTCCTCGGACTGGATCTTCCTTCTCACCTCGCCCAACCGCGCACATGCCGCTCCGAGATCAGTAGGCAGCGCAGCAGCAACTTCCCTCCGGATCCGCGACGCAAGCTTACAACCCCTCCCGTTCGTCGTGACGCCGATCTGCAGTGGCCCGTCCGTGTGTGTCGAAAGCAACGAGAATGAGCACAGCTGCGGCGCGTCGACGACGTTGACGGGGATGCGGTTCCGCCTGCACAGCGCCGAGATGTGAGTGCTCAGCGGGTCTCGCGGGCCTGAGGTGACGAAGACGGCGTCGACGACGTTATCGACATCGTCGCGGCCGAGGGTGAAGAGGTCGGTGTCCTCAAAGGCCTTTTTGCGCCATTCTACCTCGCCTGCCTCGATGCGTTTTTGGAGGCCGTAGTGCAGGTCTGGGGTGTCTGGGGCGAGGAGGATCGGGGTTGCGCCGGCGTTGATGGATTGTGTGCAGCGGGCGGCGGCGAGGGGGTTTGTGCCGATGATGAGGTGGGTGTTGCCTTTGCAGTTGAGGGCTGCGAGGAGGGATGTTGTTGTCGCCATTTTTCGTGTGAGATTTGCGACTCGGATGAGTCTTTCTTTGGTTGGTTTTCTTCAATCTTCAGCAGGTCTTACAACCCCTGTCTCCTATGTGGAAGTATCGTGAAGCTGTGTTGTAGGAGTGAGATGAGAGTAAGTCAACTCTGAGTAATCCTCAAGAGGAGAAATGAAAGAAAGTCAAAGATAAAAGGCCCGTGTCCAACATTCGGGCATAATCAGAAAAAGATTAAACCACGCGCTCTTTGGCCACAATGAATTATTAAGACGCAGTCTAATAAGAATTTAGAGGAAATCGTTCATGTTATTTTGCCCATGCAGCGCAGACCCCGAAAGAAGGATGCGGGTCCAATCATGCGCCGGGCATAAAAGGTCAGCTAAATTTTCATTCGCTGGCGATGACACCATCCCGACAGCCGGCGCATTGGTGGTTTTGCGGGATGTCTTATCGGCCTCTATCGGCATCTCCCATCCTGGCCAATCAGCCGCTTTCGCCCCGACTCCCGCGGAGCCGTCACCGGAGATCCAAGGAACTGGGGCCGTGCAGTCGTGGCATCTCCGGTCAAGGAAGCGAGATGCTGATGGAGGGGTAGAGGGGTAATTGTTATCACAGATAAGGACATGTTATGTTCCAAGTCGATTGTGTTGGTATTGAGACGTGATATTGACGGCTCTTCATGAGCGGTTTGTGGTGTTTCGTTGCATGCCCCCATTCCCATCCCCGAGTCTATGTACTGGTATTGGTTTTTTGGTGTTGTTACAGTATTTTTCCCCACCCGTGTTTATACACAATCATACTCATACATCTGATATGACAACTTAATCATCATTCTGAACACGCTTGTTCAAGTCCTGCCTGGCAGTCTGCCTGCTGCTCTTTCGGCGTCTCGGCTCCGCCGCCTTCGCGATAGCGTCAGGGTCACCAACAACACCCTGCTCATTCAGGTCGACGTTCACAGGCTTCTTCGACCTGCGAGCCGCCTCCTTCGCCCGCTGGGCTCGAACGCCGCCATCATCCTCAGCCTCGGGCTTGCCGAGACGCACATTCCGGCGCATCCGCGTCTTCGCGCCTAGAGCCCATAGGTCACCCCATTTCGCCTTGCGCGCGTCGTGGTACGCCTGCTTGCTGAAGCTCTTGGGTACCGTCCATCGCTCAATGTGAGCTGACGGCGTGCACACGTCAAGGGTAACGTGTCCGCGGCGCTTGATGGGCGGGAGGATCTGGCGAGGTAGGGAGAGCATGTCGGGGGCGGTTTCGGCGTTTTCATAACCATCAAAGGCGCGGTCCGTCGCTTCGTCGCCGGCAAACTCGCCCTCCTTCGCCGCAACACCGCGCTGGATGGCGACGTAGCTGAATTGCACGTCGTCGTGGTTCCGCTGCGTTGCGCCCATGATCTTTTGTAGGAAAGGAGGGCGAACGAAGCGTTGGGTGAAGTGGCAGTAATCCTTACGTCCCTTGCTCCTGCCGGGAACGAGGTACATCGGGCATGACTTGTGGTTGGTGCAGGGTGCGATGATCATGCCGGGCTCCTTTACTCGGATAAAAGCAGATGTCTCCATTTCGTCTTCGGCCTTGAGTCCCTCACCTCCAGGAGGAATGAGGAACTCGTCCAGAAGGCGATCACGGACCTCGGCGACAGCCTCGAAACCGCGCGGCTGCCCTTTCTCGAGGACGATGAGGACACCGCCCTCGGGGTTGAGAAGGGACCAGAGCTGGTTGAGAATGGCCTTGCGTCTGTGGCCCTCCTTGACTGGGAGTAGCAGATGAGATGCGATAATAACATCAAACATCTTCCTGGGCTGGGGAGTCTGGTTGGCGTCGACGTGCAAGTGCTGGTTCTCGAACGAGTGGATGTAATCCGGTAGCCGCGGCAGGAAGGTCGTGTTCTGCAGGAACTTTGAAATGCGTAATCTCAGCTTTTCAGCTCCAATAACCACGCTCTGCTTTCCGGGAGGTGCCTTTGCCGTGACCTCGCCGCGAGACTTCATGGCATCCCACTCAGCGCGGGTGACATCTTGCCATGCCAGAAGGCCAGCACCTCCAGCGCCGACATCCAAAACTCGGGGGCCTTCACCGTCACCTCTTTCAAACAGCTTGCGCAGCCATTCCGTACCCAGGCGCTTGCGGACCTCGACAAGACTGCCCATGGCGGAGGCGTAGGCGGGTGGCAAGAATGTGGAGACGAAGGCGTCTGCGTCAATCTCTGACATCCTAGCTTGCCACACGGCCATACCAACGGGTTGCTGAGGTAGGTTCATCTTGGAAGCAGGCGTCGCGGGAGAGTACGGCAGACCAGGGCCTCCAAAGGCTCTCTCTGCTGCTTCCTGCACGTGCTTGATGTCTGTTCTGCCGAGCATCGTCGTGACAGGCGAGATGTAACCAACGTATGGCAGTGCGACGGTGGAGGGGTTTGTCGAGAAATGGCCATCTCTGGTGAGCGGGTGCAGGCGACCGGCACGGTTTGAGATGCCCTGGTCCTGGATGCCATCCTCCATCTCGTCAAGGTCCTCTTCGTCCTCGTCGAACTCTCGGTCCTCGTCTCGCGCATCTTCCTCCTCTTGTGCTTGCTCCTCCGCCAGAGCCTGCGCTCTCTCCGACTCCTCGAAAGCGCGGGCGTTGGCTTCGAAGTCCTTCTGCAACTTCATGAGCGCATCGTATTCTCGCTTGTTTCTCGCCACGATGTTGATGTAGTTCTCCCGCTCCTCGGGTTCGACTTCTTCGGTCGGCTCGACTTCGGTGGATATTTCGGAGGTGACGTTGTCTTCGATGATCTCGCCAAGCTCCTCGTTTGGAGTTTGCGATACTCCTTTGCGGACGTAGGATACCTCTTCGTAGGAGCCGCCCTCGACCTGTCGAAGGAGGGCAGGCTCGGATGATCCATCATGCCGGACTCGTGCTTCGGACACCTTTTCGTTCAGGTACTCTATGCCCACATCCTCCGGAGAGGTCTCTCGCAACGGTGGCCCGTACCATCGCTCGTATAGCCTGTATTCTTCCTCGCTGAGGTAGCCCTTGGGCAGTGTGTCGCGGAATCTTTGTTTCGCCTCGCGGACGACGGTCTCGATATCGTCTGGTCGTGAGAGATCTTTCGCGTCGGGTTTGCTTGTCTCGGAATCCTGGAATCTGCGTGATGTTGTCGTGAATGTTCTGCGGCCGGCTGATCGGACGGTTGATTGCGACACAGCTGGCCCTGAAGAGCTTGGGGGGATGCTTCTTCCCACCACAGTTGCACCGAGACGGGATCCTGTCAAACGCAAAATCCGGGCCCGACAGCTGGGACAGGCACTTCTGAGACCACCTGCTGTCAACATGACTGCGGTGTTGTGGTCGCAATTGAGGTTGTGAAGGAGAGGAGGAGTGGCTAAATTTGGAGCTATCGCAGGAAATTTGGACAAGGGATCTACCTTAGACTTCGAAGGTGGTGCCCCACCCTTTGCAAATGAAAGCTTCATGATTGGTCGGCTGTAGTGAATGCCGCTCCAGACCTCACCGGGCATCCACTCCCGCTCGCCAGGCTCACACTTTTTACCTAACAACTTCAACTTACCTAGGTCGGGTACTACTTACTTCAGGTCGGATTTTGCACTTGTCGGGCTATCTTACCTAGGTGGGCTCTTGCACCACCTCGACCTCTTGCTTTCAACTGTTTCATAGCTTTGAAATATACGTATTTGAATCGAGTAAATCTGACCTGGCTCCTTCTAATTGTGCCTCTATTCCTTTCGGCTCGGTACATCCTGACCTTGATCATGCCCCTATCAAAGTGTTAAGAGAAGTAACATTCCTAACCTCTCCTTTAAGTGCGCAGGTCATATGTAGATGTACAATCATTCTACTTTTTACGTAGCTTGAAAAAGCACGACTGCTTACTGCTCACGTTCACTCATCCTGTACTCTTCACTTAGCGTGAGCAACTCATCAATATTATCCTGGCCAAGAGCCTTCAGGACAATAATTGTCTTACCCTGTAACTGTTGAGTACTAATGTCTACATAACGCGACGAACAGGTTACTCACCTCCTCAATATGGGGGTATCCTAGGTCAATGAGAGCCCTCCTAGAAACAAGGCGCGCAGGGATCCGGGTCTTCCCCTTCTTTGGATATTGACTTGACGACGGCCCCTCATTGGATAACAGCGACTGATCGGTTGGTATTGTAAGTTCTCCTCCCGTCAGTGCTTGTGTCTGAGCGGAACCCGCCTGGTTCTGTGCTGGTGTAGGAAGAGCTAAGAGAATATCGAGGATCTCTTTGGCCACTCCGGCTACAGCGCTGTACGTTTGTGATAGTTTTGACGCGTATTGTAACGCGCTAGGAACAGTACCATCGTGAAGCCAGACAGCGCTTGCTTCCTCGAGCAAGAGCTCGACAGCTTGTCGACGGCCATTGGTGATGGCTATGTGAAGAAGCGTCTCTCCGATGTTTGATGTGGTGTGAATGTCTGCTCCTCGTTTGATAAGAAGAGGCATGATGATGTCGCATTTTTCATGGTTCATGGATAGAGCAAGTGCTGTGAGCCCTTTGACGTCTCTGCGTTCCAACTGTGGTTGATGACACAGAAGTAGATTGACAATCTCCTCCTGCCCATATCGTGAGGCCATCATCAGCGGCGTTATCCCTTCTCTATCGGCCTCATTAACCATCCAGTGCTCGTGACTGATCAGCAGCCTTGCGATCTCGTAATGGCCACAACCAGCCGCAATATTCAGGGCGGTACCACCCTCCACATCTTTCGCCCCCCGAAACAACCCCTTTTGATCAAGGAGTAAACTGACCAAGGCGTGATGACCGTTACTCGCTGCAGTTAATAACGGTGACCGGCCCCGGGTGTTCCTCGCCTCGAAGTGCGCCCCCCGGGTAAGCAAGAGTTCGGCAGTTTCTAAGTTGCCGTGGCACGCCGCAACTCCCAGCGCTGTCCATTCGCCGATCGCAGGATCGTGTGGTATCATCCCAAACCCAATGACGTCTTCGATACCATTCAAACGGGTATCCATAGGCTTTGGTGGCAACTCAACGCTGAATCTTCCTAGAGGATCGAAAGGTGGTTGCAGGTCTGCTCCACGGTCAAGAAGCAGACGAACAGCACTTGGTTTATCTTCTTGAATTGCCAAGAATATAGGAGCCCAGCCATCTGGACTTCTCATGTTTATGTCTGCGCCATTGTCGAGCAGCGCCTCCATGATGTCAACGTAGCCACGTTTAGCTGCAAAAGCTAAGGCAGGCCAGCCACTCGGAGTGATAGCATTGGCATAAGCCTTGCGCGCCAGGAGGAACCGGACAACTTCAGCCTGGTTTGCCACAACCGCTAATATCAAAGGAGGGATTGCTAATTTATCGTCGATGTTGAGGTCTGCGTGTTCATTCAACAGGAAGTGGCAAGATGCAAGTGAGCCTTGACACGCCGCTTGTCCCAGAGCAGTCATGCCCCGAGTGTCCCTGCTGTTGACAGATAACCCCGACTTTAATAGCCAAGCAGCGGCATCCAAGCTCCCCCCAGAGATTGCCGTCGAAAGCAAACCTCGTCCGGCTCCATCTTCGAAGCTGAGATCTGTTGATTTGCCGTGAAGAGAGCACAAGAGCTGCAACGCCACAACGTTGCCATTGAAGGCGGCTTTCATGATCAATTTCTCAGCTTCGTTCGACATTGAGTCGATGTGGGGATCTTCGCTCGCCAACATGAGGGAAAGGTCGTGACACATCCGACGTCGCAAGGACTCCGTCTTCGAAATGTCGATAGACTCGAGGAGTTGGCTCAGTGGTGACTGCCTCTGCAACATGCCCCTTTGTTCCATGTATAGCCTCTCCAATTCGTTGGAATCATGGCTCAACAGTTGCTGATGTTCCTGCAGCTCATCTTTCAGTCGATTGTCTTCTTTTTTAATGTCCTTCATCTTTTGCTGCAGGGCATCCATTTGCTGAAGCAAGATTTTGCGTCTTTGACGCTTCATGTCCCCATAGGCCCTACGTTCGAACATAGTGCTGGCCAGATTGTCAAATTTGGAAGCAACGTCCTGGCCTTCCTTGTAGAAGTGGAAGACTTGTGAACTTCTTTCGCGAAGCATGACCAGATCAGTAACATCGATAGATGCGGTTGGTACATTGTCAAGTGGCTCCAATACAATCAGATAAGATTGATATCCTCCTCTGCGTGTTTCGGTCAGGTTGGCTTGCAGGCTGCAAACGTTGGTGCCTGCGCTCATTTGACCGAGGACCGTCGTTGGTTCGTGACGTGTATGTGTTGACAGGGTCTCCAGCTTAGTCTCCCGTGATGCAACCATGACGTGACACCGAGGGTACGGCATCTTGTTTCTTACTTCCAGCTCTAGTAATAGTACGAAGTCCCGAAGATGAGCAGGCGCATAGTCTGTTCGTGCTTCGCCGAGTCTGACCCACGCTCGTATTAAACAATCGTGGTGGAAGTCAGCGCCAGTGACAATGTAAGCTTCCCCTTTCTTCATCCGATTTCTTGGATAAACTTCGAGGATTCTCAATTGGCTTCCGAATGATCCTTTAAATTCGAAACGGAAGCTGAATCTTTTGTCCTTCTCCTGGGATATTCTGGGATTCTCGGGTGCATGGATTTGTCTGGTTGACAAGGAGTTTGCTGACATGGAATCTCGGCAAGCATCCTTTGCAAGTAAAATCGCTTTGCTTCCTTCTGGTCTCATAAGCCTCACCGTATCTTGGGATCTTTTGTTGCGCGGATCCGGTCCAGGTGTGAAGCGAGAAAGAGGAATCGACACGATACCGTTATTTCTTGAATCGTAGCAGTTCAACAAGCCAAAAGTTGCGCCGTGGCCTGTGGGATGTAGATGCAGTTGGATGTTCAGGAAGCCACCAGAAACTGTCATGGATTTCGTAAAGTCGTCGTCCCAAGGCTCCCATATAATCCCTCCACTGTCTTTGAAGGCGTCGGGACGAGTTGCCAAGATAGGTCCGAATCGATTTTCTTTGTTGTCTGAGATTTCGTCGCCCAGGTCATTTTCGACGAGCTTCGTGTCCAGATTCCAGGCTAGTATCGAGTCATCTGGCGATGACATCCTTCTCATGATTTCTTCTTGTAGCCGAACGAAGGCTCTTTCGGCTCCTTCTCCATAGTGCAATGGGATTACAACATCGAAAACTCCAAAAAGACAATATGCTATGTCTTCTGGCTTTTTCGTCGTTCTGTTTGCTGCCCAGGACATGCGCTGGGCAACGCTTGCTGCTCGAAACGACGCGCCTCCCGATAGGAACTCGCCCGGAATGCCTGTTGCTTCCTCCACTACCAAGGATAGCGCGTGTCTTGAGCCTAAAGACTGCCAACCCACGTCGTAAAACTCGACTTTCGTTGGCGCTAGGAGCTCTTGCAAGGTCCATCCCCTCTGGAACCACCGGCTTTCGTGAAACGATTTGGTCGAGTCTGATGGCTTTCCTCCCCACTCATTCCGTGCATCAACCTCAGTAGATAGGCGTTCCTCGGATCGCACATCGTCCAGATACACGTAGCATACCGCAGCATCTTCGTACCATCGGAACATAGAGTTCAGCGACTCCTGCAATTCCGAAAAGTTTGCCTTGTTAATGCAACAAGTATCGACCCAAACGTATTCAAGCCCGTCGACTTTTGCTTGCTTGTAACACCCGTCCAGCTTTTGCTGTCCCTTCTTCTGAGATATTGGACCTTTTTGGATATCTTGAAATGTGATCTCATCTTTGTCTCCACTTAAGCTCCAAGTGTGTGACAAGATCGCGTACTGGGGAGTCGTTTCTCGGTAGTCGAACGTCGTGAGCTGGCCGGTGTTTACGTTGATAAGCCGCATTATGAGGCGCAGGAAGCCCAATGGACAGGCGCAGTGTGTGCCGTGTTCTAGGTAAATCAAGACCACACGTCTATGTGGTCTGGATGCTTGCGTTCGCCGTAGAGCGTCCGTATTGTCGCTTCCCCGCCTGTTGCAATGACTTTTACTGGGAAATTTGACTTCGGCATTGATCAGGCTGTGAGAATAGGAGGCGGAGAAATGTAGTCAAGCCGGCAAAATAAGCGCTTATCCTCAATAGAGGGGTAAGCTCGGCGGCTCGGCTGTAATCGTGCGCAGCATCGCAAGAGGCGGTTCTATTCGTCGGTCTGTACCAATCATATTAGAGCTGCGCCGCGGAGGTCGGCTGACACGGGGATGTCGCAGGTCGGCAGACGACGGCAGTTTGTGAACAGTGAAAGCGAAGGTGGTTGAAGAAGTGAGTTGAGGACATCGCGCGAAGGTGGTTGATTGCGTACTTATTTTAATCATCAGGGGGGTCACGCTTCTAGGAGAGAGAGAGCCCCTAAAGAAAGATCCAACGTGATGAATTGATGGCTATGAACACAATCTGGTACATTACACTAACACTGAATTTCCAGGACGCCTTGGAACCACGGTCGTTTGAGTATCTGAAATTTGCATGGTCTTGATTATGGTTGCCATTTGTCGCCTCAAGCAGACTTTGATGTATTTCCCAGCGACACTTTGAACATTCCGCAACTTCAATATCTGGCTGTTTCGACATAATTACTTGGAAATACGCCGCATTCGTTTCCATTCATGCCCGTCCTGGGAAGAATTAGCATGCGTGGTAAGAGGCAAGTGCAGACTACTTACCACCAGTCCACATCACCCGTTTTCTTGAGCACCGTGATGACATCGTTTGCTCTCATACTCAAGTCTCCAGGCTTTTGTGCCACGAAAGGGAACATTGCAACCACCTTTAATCCGCCTTGGGCCCCTTGATCGAGCAATGCTTTCACAACCTTTTCGTGGCCTGCCTCCATTGCTAACATCAACGGTGTTCGACCCTTCGCGTCCCTCACTTCGATGTTCGCCCCTTTGGCTAATAGAAGCTCCACGACCTTGAGATGACCTTTCTGAGCTGCAAGGCCCAGTGGAGTGCAATCTCCGTCGTCGCGAGACTCTAAGTCCGCTGCAGAGTCGACCAACAGTTGGGCAGTTCGGAAATGGCCTTCCTGGCACGCTAATGCCAATGGCGTATGCCCCCAGACGTCCCTTGCATCTATAGCAGCGCCAAGAAGAAGAAGCCTATGGATGATGGACTGATGGCCGTTTATGACCGCCAAAGACAATGGAGTCCGTCCATGCTGGCTTTTGATGTCGACACTTGCGCCATAGTCGAGTAGTGTATTCAGAACTTCAAAATAGCCCATGTGAGCAGCGAGGGCTAATGGAGGCATGACCGGAGAGCCTCCCGTCAAGTCTGCCCCCTGAGACAGTAACATCCGTAAGACCAGGGGCCAATTTGATAATACCGCCAACACAAGAGGGGTGTTGCCGCCGTTGTCTTCGGTTTCCATATTGACGTTGTGCTTCAGCAGTACTTTGGTTGCTGCACAATCTCCTTTGCTAGCCGCTTGTGCTAGAGGGGACAGTCCGAGACTGTCAGACTGATTTGGATCGAATCCATTCTGAATGAGCCAGTCCAGTGCTGAAGAATTGCCTCCGGCGATGGCTGTCGACAAAACCCCCCTTCCATCGGCGTCTTCAATATCGCGATGCGGCACCCAATACTTGTAGAGATACTTCATAACAGCGTTGTTCCCAAGATATACTGACCTCATAAAGGTCCACGGTAGTAGACCGGTCGTTGAGGCGTTTGCGGGCTCATCAGATCCTCTAAGATACCCGCTAAGGTAGTTCAGCATAGACGCATGCCAATGTAAGAGCCTTTTTTCTCCAGATGAACGCGCGACAACTTGTTGTATCTCCTTGAGCATCTGTGAATGTGCTGCTTCTGTTTCCTCCACGAAACCGTTGATCTTTCGTCGAATATGGTCGATGTTTGATTTGTTCTCAACCCAGGAGGTTCCTTTTGGCCGATGCATGGCATTTTGCATCTCGTCCACGTCACCTCGTCCGCTGACGAGCAAGCCCGCTTCCTTTTCCGCCAATTCTTCCATCAGTTTAAGCATCGTGATCACGGTAAAATGATCCCGTGAGAACATGTTCCGGATGGTGATGGTACGGTTGAGAATGTCCATCTCGGTGCCTGCGTCAATGGTTGTTTCGTTGGGTTCCATCCGGGATGAGAAGAAGACAACATAGAGCTGCGAACCCATCGACTCTTCTTCCACTTTGACTTCTAAAGTGAGGTAACCATTGTTCGCGGCCTGCTCTTGGAGCATGTCTTGGGCTCCCGCCAGCGCATGGGCTATCGCGCTCAGCGTCGTGCTGCTCGCCGCAACCATAACATAACAACGGGCAAGGGCTCGCGTCTTTTTGATTTCCAAATCTAGGACCACCACGAAGTCGCGATGAAGCTTTTCTGAATGCTGATGAAATCTGATCCAAAGCTGTTGAGAATCATCTTTTCGGAGGTCCATGGTTATACTAAGAACATCGTCGTCCCTTGTCCACTTTCCGAAGGAAAATATCTCTCCCATTCTCAGCCCGGTGCCTGGCTGCAGGTCGATATGGAAGCCGAATCTTCTATGGTGGCTTGGAGCGTCTTCGGCACGAAGTAGTTCATAGATTCGTACAGATTCTGTTGCTGTAGAGCTCCCATCGGCTGCAGAAACTAATAGTGCCTTGCTCTGCGCCGGCCTAATGTACTCGTCTGATTCTTCTCCAGGAGGGATGCTACACAATGGTATACCAACCGCTGCTCCTCCATGAGCAAGAGAACGGCAGCTTAAGAGGCCGAGCGTTTGCCCGGCTTTGGTTGTGTGGAGAGGAATCCGTACGTGGAGAAAACCACCTGATCCTCCTATGCCTTCTATAGTTGGTCTCGAGTTCTCAAAAGGAGTGACCATGCCGCTATTTGCGAAGTCTGCAGGACTGAAAGCTAAAACGTTTCCGAACAGATTGGATGAAACTCCTTCGATAGCTTCTTCAAGAGGATTGGCGTTGAAACCCCAAGCAAGGACCGAGTCGTCCTTGATCTTTCGGATAATCTCCTCTTGAAGTCGGACAAAAGCCTGAATTCCCTCACCGTAAATCATGGGAATATTGACATTGAAGATGCCGAGGAGAGAGTAGGCGACATCCTCCTTTCTCTTAGTAACCCTAGTTGCAGCCCATGACATTCTCTGTGCCACGCTGGCTTTGTGTAAATCGGTGAATCCTAGGATAAATCGCCGCGGGATACCTGTGATAGTTGCAATTTCGCGTGCCAAGTGTTGTTTGTGACCTAACAGGCACCAATTCTGATTGTAAAAGTCCATTTTCCTTGGGGCTAGCAGCTCTTGCAGAGTCCATCCGCGTGTAAACCATTTACTGCCACGAAACTGTTTTTCGAAGTCGATTCCTTCAGTTGAAGACACGTCGGAAAGAAAGGCGTAGCATACAGATGCGTTCTGGTACCACTTGAACATCGAGTTGATAGCCTCTGAAAGCTCGGTCGAGTTGCTTTTATCGATACAACATGTGTCTACCCACACATAGTTGTGATTGTCGGCTTTTGCCTGCTTGCAAAGCCCGTCCAGTTTACTCTTGCCGGTGCTTTGCTTGGATACTTGGGCTTTTTGCATATCCTGGAACGACACTTCGTCGTGATCCTGGCCCCAAGTATGCGATAAAATGGCGTACGGGGGGATGAACTCCAGGAACTCTTCCAGTCGCCCGGTATTGACGTTTAGCAGCCTCATGATGAAGCTTGAGTGCAGAGGATGTAGTAAGAAGCTGAGATTAGGAGTCGGGCTGGTTGGGCTGTGATCGTGTGGCCTTGCTGCTTGAATTCTTGTCTGGTTTGATCTTCGCTGTAGACTCATACAGCAAGCAGTCTTGCGAGTCACTTCGGCCTGCCGTAAGGCTTTCTACCGCCGACGCGCCAGATGTTGATCAGTAGCAAATACGTTAGATGAGTTCGTTTTGAAGTGGAAGAAAGCTAGCAATGTAAAAGGAGGGGACCAGAGAGGTATTGGCTCAGCCGCAGGCGCGTTGCCTTTCGCAGCGACGAGTGCTGATGTTTGATTGGACGTCTGTCTACATGACTGTGCCGCAGATGACCCACCAGCTTCGAGATATGTCAGCTGGCAGCCGCCTTGGACTTGCAGGTAAGAGTATCTCTCGAGTCGGTGTACTAAGTTGAAGGCACTAGTAAGCATGAAGATGAACTGGTGCCCGGGTATGAATGAGCTTTATAGGGTTTCTCGATGCAAGGTTCCACAATATATTTATTACAATATGAGCACTTTAGCCCGTGCTATCTCTCAATGAAACAAGTGGATAACAATACGAGTTGAAGTGGTATACAATCTCAACCTGCACTAGGAAGCATATCGCACTGGAGTGGCCGTGATAGTAGGGAAACATGCGTAAAAGGATGAGACAAGCTGCCAAGCCGAGATCTTGCCGGCCTTTTGAGTAAATTGCCCCCGAATATAAAATCAGGAAAGCCATTTGGTGATGCTATCTACCCGCAACTGCGTTGGTGCCTCACCGAGCCGCTCGTCTCTGACTTCGAGCTCGCGATTTCTTTGCCTGCGGTCGACTTCCTCGAGGAGTTTCAGGCCGAAAACCTCCGCTCTGCGCTACATCTGACCTTGGACTCAAAGATCTGGCTCTCCGCTGTTCGAGCTTTTGTTCGGCGTCCTGGAGGAGCTCGAGTATTTCCGAGATATCACCACGATCTTCAGATACACCCCTCGCATACTGCAACGGGGTTTGCCCGTTTTGGTCCGCCAACAAGATGTCGGCTTTCCTCTTCAGTAAGTCCTGTACGGCGGCCTTGTTTCCTCTCTGAACGGCCATGTAGAGCGCAGTCTGGCCGTTCTTGGCCTTGGCATTGATGTCGGCCTTTTTGTCCGACAGGGTCCGAAGTATATCGAGACTTTCTGCACGTGCAGCGTAAAACAGGGCAGTCTCCCCGGCCTTGTTTCTCGCGTCGACCTGAGCCCCGAGTCCGACAAGCCAATAAGCCATACGCCCATGTGACGTTTCTGCTGCTAATATCAATGGTGTTCTGCCGAGCTCGTCTCTAAACTCGATGTTTGCGCCTTTCTCAACTAGCAATTGTGCAATTCGATGGGATCCATTCCCTGCCGCGATGCAAAGCGAGGTCTGCTTAGCAGCGTTGGTTGAATCGATCTTAGCGTCGCGTTGCAGAAGAATCTCGACGATCTTCTCCTTCTCCCGAAACGTCGCGTACGTCAGAGGGGTCCATTTCTTGCTGCTCGCCGTCGGTGCCTCAATATTCGCGCCACGCTCAAGAAGAATCTCGACGATCTGGTCGTAGCCCCGAGAGATTGCGTACGTTATAGGAGTCCATGCCTTACTGCTCGGTGCCTCGATATTTGCTCCTCTATCGAGAAGCAGTTTGACCATCCTTTCGGAGTTTGTGCCGCATGCCTCTAGCAGAGGGGTCCAGCCATCGCGGCCTCCAGCCTCAATGAGGGCACGCTCATCCAGAAGAAACTCGACAAACTCAAACTTCAACCTGCGTACTGCCTGATTCAGCAGAGTCCAACCTCCCTGATCCGTCGCATGGATGTCTGCTCCCTCAGCGACCAGCACACGAGCAGCATTCATACTGCCGAACGTCACAGCAGTAGACAATGGTGTGTGTCCCTTTCGCTTTGCCTCGATCTTGGCGCCACGTTTGAGAAGAAGAGTTAAAACCTTGCAGCTATCTTCTTGAGCGGCAATTATTGCGGGAGTTCTGCTGTCAGAGTCTCTGTGCTCAATGCGAGCATTGTGGTCGAGGAGAGTCTTGGCTTCCCCCTCGGCATCGCCCAGTGCAGCCTGGGACAAGGCAGTCAAGCCTTGGGAATCTGTGGCATTTACCTTCGCTCCCTCACTGAGCAGCCACTTGAGCATTGTCACGCTGCCTCTGATGACAGCTCTTGAAAGCACTCCGCGGCCACGAGTGTCCGTGAAATCGAGATTTCCCACTCTGGTAATAAGAAACTTGACCGCAGGCTTGTGCCCAGTTGCTATCGCCTGCATGAGGACCCGTTGAGGCTTGCTCTTGATCTCGTTTATCGTGGCATCATCAGTCTTCGGGAGTCTGTCTGCTATTTCGTTGACGATGGCACTGTGCCATCGAGGCGCGCTCTCGTTCCCGAACATTGCCGACAGCTCTGGAGTCGATATATCACTGTAGAGTTCATCTCGTCGGCGCCTGAGACTCTTGTCTTCTTTCTTAAGCCCGTCAAGGTGTTTGGTGCTCTGATTCAGCTTCTGTGATAATTGACGCTTTTGATCCTCGAGTCGTTTTAGTTGTTGCCGCACCTTTTTCAGTTCTGCCTGGAGTTCGTCGACCTCCTTTCTCTTCTCCTGCACTGGCGCGACCAAGGCTTCAATACGCGGCACGATTCGATTGGCCTCTTGTATTGATTGCAAGAGATTCACATGGCGATCGAGCCTTGTCAGCTCGGTGGTCAGGTCGACTGTGAATGCTGGAGGCCCTGGCATCGAGGTTATCGTCAGAGAAAAGATTTCGTGAGTCTCTAAGACGCCGTCTGACACGTTTGCGCGCAAATTGTAGGAACCATTCGATGCATCACGATTCCCAAATGTGTACGGCGTTGTCTCGAGTGCACTCGTTGCTATGGCAGAAAGGCTGGTTTGTGCTGACGCGGTCATCAGATGGCAGTCAGCAGATGGTCGAGAATCCTTGACTTTTAGTTCCAACATGACCACAAAGTCGCGAGCCCTTGTGTCTTGCGCCTGCTTCACCGTTTGGCGATATCTCAGCCAAGTTCGTTGAGTAGAATCTTGTTGGAGATCCACTCCCGTGATGATGAACGATGTTTCCCTCTCCCATCGGCCGTGTGGCTCCACGTCGGACAACTGTAGCCCATCGCCAATTTGATCTTGAATCTTGAAACCAAATCGTCGATGTTTGCTGGGGAGCTTCTGTGACGGCGGGCGCATGGGGACGCTGATCAACCTTCGCGGCGTGTCTGGTTGAGGTTCCGAGAACAAGACGGCTCTATGGTTGGCTGGTCTCATGTACTCATCGGCGGTTTCCCCGCGTGCAGCAAAGCATAGCGGTATCCCAATCACCCTTTCTCCATCGCATGTGTAGCTACAGTTCAACAAGCCAAAAGTCTGAGTCTCCGTCTTGTTGAGAAGCAAGATTAGGCGAAGGCCGAGATGTCCATGCACACGCGCAATCTCAATCGTGCGGGTGGGATTTTCTCGGTAAGTGATGTTCCCACAGTTCGCGAATCTCGCAGGGCTTTCCGCGAGGATGCCCCCGAAGGAGGTTTTCGACGGGGTCTCGGGCCTTTCATCGGAGTCGATCCTGAGGTCCCAGGCCAAAATCGAGTCGTCTGCCAGTTCCGAGTTCCCCAAGATCTCTTCTTGCAGGCGCAAAAAGGCCCTCTCTTCCTCTCCGTAAAGCATCTTCATTGAGATGTTGAAGATTCCGAGAAGACAATAGGCCAGGTCCTCGGTTTTGGTCGTTTTCCTCTTCGATGCCCAAGACATACGCTGTGCTACACTTGCGAAGTGAAGCTCTGTTCCCGTGAGGAAAGCTACTGGTATCCCAGTGATTTGCTCGATCGCTGACGACCTGTCGGTCTTGGAACCTAAGGGTCCCCAGCTTTGGCTATAAAACTCCACCACTTTTGGTGCCAATAGTTCCTGCAAAGTCCAGCCTCTCTCGAACCAGCGGCTGCTGCGAAATTCGCCTTCGTCCTCCGAAGCTACGTCTGCCAAGAATGCGTAGCAGAGCTCGGCTTTCCGATACCACCGAAACATCGAATTGATGGCTTCCTCAAGCTCCGTTGAGCTGTCCTTGTTGATGCAGCACGTATCAATCCAGGCATACTCGAGGTTGTCCTTTTCTGCTTGTCTACAGCATCCATCAAACTTGATGCGGCCGGGCCCCTCCTTGTCGGGAGGACCATGCTCAATGTCGGAAAAGGATATCTCATCACCGTCTGCCCCCCAGGTATGGGAGAGAATAGCGTACGGAGGGACATGATCGGCAACGTGGAACTGCTCGAGCCGACGTGTTTTGACATTTATGAGGCGCATACATAAACTATTGTTAGCATTGAGTCTTGTTAGTTGCATCTGTATCAAGCTTACTAAAAGAACTTTTATCAGAATGAAGCAATCTTTTGGAGACGAAACGTCCAGAGTGATAAGATCAAAAAAGTCGTCGTCACGCTGGCTTGGAAATAGAGGTAGATAAGTCGTCGATTCATTAGTTTAAGAATTTGGATATCGATGCTCAATACTCAACTACAAGGGTTTCCAGTTCCCCGGAGTGAATCAATTGAAGAGTGACAAATCGAGGCTACACCAAATCCTGCGATGTCAGTCAGGTGAGGTTAAGAAAGAGGGGTAAGATAAGCTGGGGAGAATACCACGCAATTTGCGCCAGCCTGGCCTGATGCGGGTCAGCGCCGGCATTGCATGAAGGTGCTGCACGAGAGAGCCCCATGCCTAGTCACTCGGCTGTGGACAAGACGCGAATTTGGACCCCGAGAAAATACTTTCCTTATGATGACCGACTGAATGCCGAAGTGTAGCTTCCTGTGCGTAAGTAAAAAGATACAGCGCCATTGCAATGAAGAAGAAATGATGCGTAGAAAAACTGTGGTATTTGAGTAATAATGATACTATTGCCGGTATGAATGGTGAGATGGCCTTTGCCAATTGTTAACAACGCCGAACGCCGCCTGCCCTCATAATGATGTGTTTGTCTTCACTCGTCACCGCCAAGGTCCGCCAAAGTCTTGAAACCGGCCGCCTTAGGAGCCTGCCTCGCTCCAGGCCCGGACCCCTTGCTTGACTTCATTGTTGGCGGCGGGGGGTTGACACGATTGAACTGCGACATCTCTGCTGCCTTGTGGGGGTCAATCTACCAATCCGTCAGCAGGCTGTTCTTCTTTCCATCGGTGGTATCGCTCGTGAACCAACGCACCGCAAATAGCGAGACGAGGTAAAGCCCGATAAACGTGATCAGGCTACTGAAGATGCCACTGAGTTGCCATTGTACAGGGCGCTGAAGACCCGCGCGCGCAGACTTGTCGCCGCCGAGGGTTCGGCCGGGGGTACTGAAGGAAGCGCCGGTGCGGCCGGCCTTGTCGGGAAGCTTGAGAGCGTTCTGGATGGCTTGCGTCAAGGCGGGCGGGTTCGCGCCCTTGATTGTCTCGACGGCTTGACCACCGTGGAAGATGATGAAGGTCGGCATGGCGCTGACGCCATGGGTACGGGCGATACCAGATTGTTGGTCGACATTAATCTTGCAAAATGCGACTTTGTTCGGCTTGGAGTATTCCTTCGCGAGTCGCTCGAAGTGCGGTGCGATCATCTTGCAAGGGCCGCACCAGTCGGCGTAGACTGCGAGGGCGTTTGTCAGCGTTGTCGGATGCGCGGGGGCAGCGTGTAGATGGAGACTCACAGTCGGCAATGACGACATTGGTGCCGCTGAGGATGCCTTGCCACTGAGCGGCAGACTGGACGCTGATGAGGCTCATGATAGCGAGTTGAGATGCAGCAAGTGGTACAAACTGAGCAGTTGAGGTTGAAAGAACGAGGAAAGGGGACACTGGGATGCTCTGTAGTGACGGAAGCTCTCGCGGCCTGGTCCTAGCGGAAAGGTGGCGGGTACCCAGAACGGCAGGCGGTGTTGGCGGTCAGAAGTGTCTCCACCTTTCTGCCGGATATTACCCCGGAATTGGATCCGCACTCTGCGGGACGCGCGCAGAGAAAGTTTTTGGGACCGCTACGGCAGTAAACTTTCAACCTCACCATCACCCAAATTTTGGTATCGTTCAATTGCGCCAAAATGTCTTACGATCATACAGCAAAGGTAATAATTGTTTCCGCAGTCTGTCGAAGTTCTTGCTCACACTAGGCAGAGGAGGAAAATAGGCGAGGAGGAGTATGTCGACAGCACCAGGTCGACCAGGTTCTACAACTATGAAGGCGGCCGTAGCTGGACCGTTTCAATTGCAGTTCCCAGCAGTATTTTAGCAGAGTATGTTCCAATCCAGCGCCGGATTCTCTTCGCGAACCCAACTGACACAATATAGTGCGATTACTCCCGAACGCCGCACCTCTGTTGCCGGTCGCATCGCCCGAGCCCTCGCCGTCTTCGGTATCGACGAGGTTGTCATTTACGACGATAGCCCTGTCGAGACCCGCCCAAAGCTCGTTGACACGAAGAGCTACACCGGCGATGTCGACCCCGGTCACTTCCTAGAGCATCTTCTCGGCTACCTTGAAGTACCTCCCTTCATGCGCAAGATGCTCTTCCCTCTCCACCCGAACCTGCGCCTCGCCGGCCAGCTTCCCTCCCTCGACATGCCGCACCACCCGAACCCACAAGAATTCCTGCCCTACCGCGAGGGCGTCGCTGGCAAGGGAACCCCCAAGGGTACCGTAATCGACATTGGTCTGAAGACTCCTGTCACCATTGAGGACGAGGTCCCGCCCAACACCCGAGTGACGCTTTCCTACCCCGATCCCGACTCCGACAAGGCCGAAGCCTGCGATCCTGCGGCACCCAGAGAAGAGGGCGGTTACTACTGGGGATACAGTGTGCGAAAGGCGAGCTCGCTGTCGGCTATGTGGACTGAGTGCAAGTACGAGGGCGGTTACGACATCACCATTGGCACGTCGGAGCGCGGTCGCACAATGGATCAGGCATTCCCTGACTTCCAGACGCTGGAATTCAAGCACCTGATGATCGTGTTTGGTGGACCGAGAGGAATCGAGTATGCGGCGGTGAACGACAAGGAGCTCGACATGGTGGATGTTTCGGGCGGAAAGACGAAGGAGCTGTTCGACCACTGGGTGAACGTCCTTCCTGGCCAGAGTAGTCGCCAGATCAGGACGGACGAAGCGCTCTTCATTGCGCTCACGAGCCTGAGGAGACTTTGGTTCTAATGATGTCTTCTAGGATATCTTGGATGCCATGTTGAGCCGGTATCCTGGCGAGGATGATACCCAATGTCAAAGTCATGGTTTTGTTCATTCACATACGGCGGAGAGCTGGGGAAAGCTCCAATTGGGAAGAATTCTGCAACAGAGAGTGGGCATGGGTCCATCTTATCCATGTCCGCCACCTATTAAAAGCGATATATATCCAGAGAATCCTGGTTTCTACCATGTCAATCAGTCCTCGGTACCCTATCGATATTCCGTGTCGCAGCACTTTTCCTGAAGAACAGTTGCAGGAAACCTGGAAGGGCTGCCGCAGCTAGTTAGTTTCGCTTAGGATTGTTGACTTTGAGAGCATACTCCTGAGAGCAATCGGTTCAGAATCACAAGACGTGGAGAGGAAGGTACCAATAGACTACATAAAAGCCATGCGGTAGACATTCAGTCTCGTCGTATTGGCTCTTGGTGTTATCTATTAGGGTGACTTGACTCGTTCGTGGGCTGCAACAAAGCCCGTGCTCGGTCCAAACAACCGTGGCGTCCGATGTTGTTGGACTACGATGTGGGGGATCATGTCTCAGACAGACACGTAACAGGTCTGAACGCCACGTTCCCGCGCGTTCAGACGGCTGCTTCCAGCTATCTAGTGACCACAATTTTGCTTCTTTTAGACCTTTAGTGCATTACATTCGTCAAAATTCCACTGTAGAAGACGAGTCTACAGCACGGTTCCTGCGAGTTATTATCTGCACTTGAGTTGTCGTGTCTGAGTCTGCCTTAAGTCGCCATGACATCGAAGGGACCGCTCAGGTTTACGGGCACAAAGCCTGGCAAGGCCGTCAAGCCTGGAACGACACTCCGTATTCTCGGTGTCGGCGACTCGATCACTGTTGGGTTCTTGAGCGATCTCGAGGGCGGAGACGGTAACGGGTACAGGTTCAAGCTTCGGCAGAACCTTTCAAGTACGTTCAGTTCAGTTAGTGCATAAGGCCTTGTAATAACATGTTCCACAGAAGACAGAGTTGTTTTTGTCGGTACGGAGTCAGTCCGGGGCACGATTCCCGACAACAACTTTGTAAGTCAGAACTGTACTGCTTCGGAGAACACAACTTACGAAGGATTTTGGTGTCACAGGCTGCTTGGAATGCCAGGACCATTCAGTTCATCTCAGATCATGCTCGCCCATCACTGGATTTAAAACCCAACGTTGTACTGGTCCACGCCGGGACAAACGACATGAATCCGAACCTGGATATAGCCCTCGAAGGCAACGACCCCAAGGACGCCGCAGAACGTCTAGGCAAACTAGTCGATCAAATAGTGGAAGCGTGCCCAGATGCTACAGTGCTCGTGGCCATGATAATCAACACATTAGACGAGGGACAGCAGAAGAATACGGTCCCCTATCAGGGACACGTTCCAGGGATCGTTTCATCACGCCAGGCTGCGGGTAAGCATGTTCTAGCGGTGGATTTCACGACGTTTCCGACTAGTATGCTCCGAGACGGGATTCACCCCACGAACGAAGGCTACCGTCACTTCGGCGACTACTGGTATGACTTTATCACGCAGATTCCGAGCGAATGGATCCAACCCCCGGTTGGCGATGCCGAGAGTCAGCTCTTGCCGATTAATAGCAGGCAAAATGGAGGCGATTATGATAAGGACGTCAGTTGGCTCAGAAGATTCACCAGATTCTTTTTGCGTACATAGCCAGCAACATAGGAAAGCTTGGTGTTCGTATAGATGTCGATGAGACTCGCGAGGTTCAAAGTACTGGATCTGCACTGCCTACCCAGCTAAAGGCCTTGCCTACTACAGCCTTCATTTTATTGTTTCCCTTCCCTTCATAGCTTAAAATGTGTATTCCATATCCATAAGCCGAGGAGAACTTCTTCAATTGGTCGCCTGAACTTTAAAATGAAAACGGAAGGACTGTACATATCTCTTTAAATAGTTCTGGTGTCTATTGATATCTGAGGGTCTTGTCTACTGCTTTGCTTTTGCGTACAATATTGATGTAAGCGGGCAGTGTAAGCAATACTTACTAAAGTGAGAGAGACCTGCAACTTTCTTCACAAGTGACAAATGCAATGCCAAAATTCCAAGCTCCCAGTCGCTATCATGGGAATCCACGAAGCTCCCATTCAAATCCAGACAAGGTTTCTAAGATGATCATGTCCATCTAGGTCCAACAAAGGTACCTTCAACATTTCCCGCGTGGTACATTTTTCTCCCATTGCCCCAATTTTGATAAAGGCGGATGTCTTCAAACAACGCCCAGGCGCCGGCGTCCTCCTTGTTTTGGGATATTCTCGATAGCTTCGTCGATGAAAGGCTGCCGGGAGTGAAATGCTCTTCACCCCTTTGGAGTGATCCAACAAATTGGCTCCAGTTTGGCTGTGGTAGTTCCTCGTCCTGTTCCTCCCAATATGGCCAGAGTTTTTCTTTGGATTGTTTGCAGTCGAGATGTCTCCATCGGGGAATGAGACACATGTGCCGCAGTAGGTGCCTTGTTTGAAAGTAGGCCACCTCGTTCCCAAGAGGACCTTCTGGGCGAGAGAAGTTGCATGAATACACTCGTCGAAAAGAACGAAGGCCTTGGAACGAATATCTGTTTGACCACAGAAACATGTTCTCGGGTGTCATCTCGCCAGGTTTCTCCGTCTTCACTTCGATGTCGATAATCGCAAGGTGCTTGACGAGCATCCACCATGGCGAAATCTCCGCCGCCTCCATGTGGTGCTCTGTGTCGGCGTATCTCAGACAAACCAGGTCGAGGTCAAAGTTGATTCGAGTGATTCTGGGCGGTTGCGTTGAATGTGAGTACTGGCAAGGATGCCATGATGTCCCAAAGAATTTCTGCCACTGGGGGAACCAAAAGCTGGGGCGCGTCGCATGTGCTATGTCTCTCGATAGTTTGTTGATGCCGTTGTCGATGGAGTGATAATAAGCTGCTTCTCCAGAGCTTGCATAATTCAAATTCCACATTGTGAAAGCGGCGCCACCGTATATGCTTTGGTTTTCACCGGTCGTTGGATCAGCAAACGGATACCTTCCTTCTCTCCACATGCTGAGTGCGGCGACGAGCTTTCTCTGTGGACGGTAGAAAAGCTTCCAAATCATTATTCTTATCTCGACAGGAAGATTGGGGAATTTGGTAAACGTGCTGGGAGCTGGCATGTTGGCTTTTGGGTGACCACTGACGAGGGTGTCTGCTGTCGTTGAGGGAGCCATCTTGGGTGGTTATTGTCAATGATGAAAGCTAACCAGGATGATAAACTCATGCACGCCTGTAGGGACGGGCTTTCACCATTTATACTGTCGAACAGCGAAAACCTTGATACGGAACATGCAGCCACGGGGCCGTTAGGGTTATGGATTCTCGTGGTCAGCTCCTCCGAAGTAAGTTTTAGGATGTATCAAGGTTGTGTTGTCGGGGGGCTTGTGTCCATTTATGGTATCTTGACCATTCACTAGTGTCTCTATAGAATTGAGACGAGCTCATGCCTAGATTTGACACAAACAATTCATGAATTTCATATTCGCAGCTTAACCCACGGGATTCTATGGGTCCCATACATGAAATCTCAACTCCTTAGACTAGCTTGATACGTTTGGCATCTCGCTCGCCGTTGATCGACTGATCCACGGCTTCTCCGTTCATGATGCCAGAAACATACGTTTCCCCGACGACTTTGAACTTATCTTCTCCACACTCACGAAGAATGAATGGGACTTCGGCCGTGAGCAAAATGGCCACGAAGTCTCCTTCTTGAGCATCCTTGGGTCCGATTCCCAGATACCCTTGTTCCGTCACAAAGAATCGACGACCCAGAACATACCTCTCTATAGGAAAATCAGCCGTACCCTGAGGGATCACAGACGGCTTCTCGCCAAAGGCCTTGAAAGCTCTTGCTCTCATGCGTTCCGTGGCTTCTGGGTTTGGTCCTATAATGCCATTAATCCACTTCTTGCACCGAGATGCGGCGCTCACAACCCGCGCCTTTTTGTCATCCCTGATACGGCACTCCCAGTAAGGGTCCGGAACCACGGCTGGAAGTTTGAAGGGGCGGTGATAGAGGTCATAAGGCTGGGAGTCCCATTGGTTGGAGAGCTCTTGAAAGCGTTCTGCCTTTGACAGTCGTTCTTCCTCTTCCCACTGGTCAGGGTTGAATGTTTCCTCGAACTCCAAAGCCTCCCAGTTTGTGTTGTCTTTGGTTTCCTTCAAATGATCTTCTTCCTCGGTCTTCATAAGCTCCAGTATTTCGGTCAATTCCGCCTGTCCTTGTTTGATCGAAGTGAGTGGTGGACGTGCTTTCGTCCATGTTGGTGGTAGGCAAGGAAGCCAGTCTTGAGGATTTGTGTCTAGACCGATAGCTTGCCCAGCAAAGAGTGTGTCCCAAAAGGCCCGGGTTTTGGCGTCGCCACTTCCGTAGGGGTTGAGATTTTCGTGCCGAATCATTGCCAGTCTTTTGCACTCGGCGACTTGAGCCATGAAATGAGTCGAAGCTTCCCAGTCAGAATCCAAGTCTTCAGGGAAAGGATGACTTAATGACTCGATCTTATCCCAAATTATGCCATCCAGAAGCATGCCTTTCAGGTCCGGCGTGAAGTCTGGAGTATTGCTAACCCCGGCTTGTAGTCCCGCGCTGTAAGCTGGCCGTTTCCCATTCTGCTCATCAAGCCAATCTCTTAGGAATGATCGCTGTGTGATTCTTTCGTTCGACTTGAGGATTTTCTCCAATCTGCCATTAATGCTCGAGACGTCTTTGGGCTCTGTGTTCTCGAAGCCAGGCAGACGCATCAAGACGAGATCACCTCCGTCGATGAGATCCTGTATCGTCTTCCTGGCATCCGCGGGTAGTGAGCTCACCAGGTTTGCTTGGGACTCGCTAACTGCCACGTCATTGCTGTCTTCGAGAGCCGCTTGAGCCATTCTCATGGCTTGTTCATGTGTTATGGGATAGATAATCTTGCCGACTTTGTGTTCTGGCACAGCCCACCAGGGGACTTCTTCCTTGATGAATGTTGTGCGGTTTGGTAGAAGTATTTCCCCTCGTTTGCGAGACCAATCCGGGACCCAAGATGGACTGCTTCTGTACTGGCTATCCGGTGACCAGATGCAATGTCGAAGCATCCCCAGTCCAGGTTTTCTGACAGCCGATATGACCGCGAATCTGAGGAACAGTTCATCCATGCTAATTCCATATTCCACGGGTAACAGCTTCGTGCCAAGCCCGGTTCTGCTCTTCAACATCCCCCGCAAAGCATAAATCTTGTCTCTTGGGTCTGTTGCGTCAAAATGCCGATACTGAGAAACCAAATGCAGAAAGTCGCCTTCATCGAAACCCTCGACGTACATCCGTTCGCTGCTCCAGCGTTTGGACTCAAGGTGAAGCACATTGCCGACGCCTGGAATCGTCTGACGAAGGCTGAGCTCGTGTACCCTAATCCGCCCGCATGCTAGAACGAGGCCCTCCCAGCTGATGGAGCTACTGCCGCAGCGCAGGGTGGCACTCAGCAACTTGCCCGCAAAGGCACCCCAGCAAAGCTCCTGTACTATCCAGACCCGAGTCCACCATGGTCTGCTCAGAAGCCTCCCTATCGCGGCGCATGTCTCTGGTGAGATCGCGGGCATTCGTTCATAGACGGTTGATCTCGACAGATTTTGAAGCTCCTCCACGGCTCTGTCGCTGTCGTCGGCTGCAAGCCCAAGCCAGATCGTGAGTTTGCGGGAGGCGAGATAAAAGGCGGTCATGGCAGGGACTTGTTGGTTCTTTTCCGCGATGTCATTCTGATTGATGCAAACTGCATCAACCCATAAGACTACTTCTGTATCTGACTCGCGACGTTGTCGTAGAAATGCTGCCAAGTTCGGGGTGATGTTGAGGACATGCGTTTCGTCGACTATCAACGGTTCGCGAGGGGCTTCTCCTCCCCAGGTGTACGACAGCGTCTCGAAAGAAGGACGGTTATGGCCGCTGTCAATCTCTAATCGGCATGCCAAGGGTTCAGTTGGATTCTGCGCAGGTAAGAGATGAAGAAGACGGAACTCCAGTTTCTCGTCACTGAGAGCCGTGTACCTATAAGCTTCGGTAGGCATATTGAAATTCTCTTTGTGTAGTGCGTTCTCCGCTGCAGACATTTCCGCGTCGTTGTGCCCTTCAAGAAGGAATATATTGGCGATGGTATAGTTCGCTGATAATTGAATGGAGGTATTCCAAAGTCAGAAACATCCATAGGTACGGTGTAAGACTATGTGGGTTATCGACCGACGGATTTAGGCAGCAGCGTGGGCGGCCTCTTCACATTCACAGCAAGTATCGCTTCGCTCTGAAATCTGACAATCCCAACGTTACCATGGATGACTAGATGTAGTTGGACTCCATGATACTTGTCATTAACTCTCAAAATAAAATGCAAGTGATGAAGTCTGATGTTGGAATTTTCTGAAGCCATCTACCTCAACTAGCAACTCCCCTAATGTTTTGAGCCTGGAGATCCCCTAAAAGCATTATGGCCCATCAATCAATCACATTTATCAGTAGCTTCAAGTTCTGGGACTCATCAGTAATTTACGATTGCCTCATTACATCGAAGCAACTTCGGTGTCGAAGGTCTGTTGTACCTGGGCAGGCTTATCAGAGACGTGTACGGGTTATGTCACTGGTGAGCACCTCACAGTCGTAAGAGCATGAACACGACAAGAAACACTTGTAGACAAAAGAACACCCTTGATGGTGAGGATGATTGACTTGAGTTTGAATGAAGGAACGACGTAAATGATACCAACAAGACTTGGCTATTTAGTCAACTCGATGAAATCACTGATATGGTCATGACCGCATCAGACACCGCGCACCTTTTTGCTGCCGCAATAGGGTCTACAGCGAGGTTGCGACACATGTCTTAAGTAAAATGAGTTCCAAGCTGAAAAGCTAGGTGTCGTCTTTGATATAACTTATCACTCTCTGGTGAGCTTCAAACCAGCACCATCTAAGCCTGGACAGAACAGGACCCCCCACGAGTGGGGGTCGCCATGAATGACCTTGAGCCGCTCCATCGCGTCTCCACCACCACGATACCGGCGAACCTATTCCTGTTGGCATTCGACGAGGGGAAGAAATCAGGTTTGTGGGCCGCATCAGCTCACGGACTCAGCTTGGAATGTTGTCATTCCAGAGGTTGTCATTGGATACGAGGCAGACAGGATTCATTTCCAATTACCTAACAAGAAATATCCGCCAGATGTTGCTGTGTCTGAAGGTCGACAGCCTCTCGAAGACAATACACCAAGCAAGCTTCTAGGGAAAAACTCATCGTCAATGCATATTCTCTCGGTTCACCTCATTGAAACAAAACAACTTCCATTGCTGAAGGCTTCAATACAAACTTATTCACAATGATATTGGAGATTCAAGGCACACCAGCCCGGCATTATTCCCGACACCCTCCTCATCCCCCGCATGAACGAGTCAGCTCCAACAGGGACCCATCCCGGGGCCCCGGACAACTCCCGAGCTCCCCTGGCACTTCTCCGGGGACTTCTCCGCACGAAGCGGTTGACGCCGCAACAACATCACAGCAACCACGAATTGAATGTCTTCCGACAGCGGAGCCGCACCACTTTTCATGGAGACCTGTTCGCGGGGTTTCGTGAGGAGAAACAAAAGGAAGGAATGGTGCCGTCTATCCAGACACGCCTAGGTGGGGGCTTCACTCGTTGTACTGCGTCATGGAACTTGTGTGACACTGGTAAAGCGTTCTGGGACTGAGGACGAACTACTGACGGACTTCAGTCCGCTAGTTGAGCGAAAGCCACCGGGCGCCGGCATCTGTACCACGGCGAAGTTCTCTGACCCCCACCAAGGAATTCAGAGTGTCCACTACTTCGCGTCGTGAGGTTGAGTGGAGCTCTCTTGCTTCAAACATCCCAGGTCGTTCTCCGTGGGGTAGGATAGGAGCTTCCTCCTTTCCTTGCGTGGCCGATCTGTTTTTTGATGTGTCCGGGACGCTCTTTCAGCTTCTCGGCATATGACTGAGCCGCATCTCAACCGCGCGCGTCCATCTCACCCCTCATTTTCTGTTTTTGATGCCCTTTGAGGCTTACGAAGTCATCACGATGGTTGTAAGCGGCACAGAGTTAGCAAAGAACAACACCAAAGACTCCTGTTGGGTCGTCATCCATGGGCAAGTATGGGACGTAACAGGTAAGACATTACCTATCAGTATTCTCATCACTACCCACCCACTCACACCTCTCAGACTTTCTGGATGAGCATCCCGGCGGCGCAAGACTAATATTCAAATGTGCCGGCCGCGATGCAACTGAAGACTACGACTCGATCCATAACCCAGACCTAATAGCAGAAACACTCTCACCAGAACGCTGCCTCGGCCCCGTAGATCCTTCAGCTCTCCCCCAGGAATCGTCATCACCACCAGAACCGGAGAAGCCAAAACCCGCCTTCCCTCATCTAGGCGCCATCATCAATGCGGATGACTTCGAGAAGGTAGCGGAGAAGTACCTCTCTGAGATCGGATGGGCGTATTACTGCTCCGGCGCAGAAGACGAGTACAGTATCCAAGACTCAAGGCGCATTTTCCGCAGACTCGCGCTGCGTCCAAGGGTGCTCCGAAACGTCGACTCCATCGATACGAGTATCTCTATCCTCGGCCTTCCGTCATCGCTCCCGTTCTACATTTCGCCGACGGGACAGGCCAAGTATGCGCATCCTGAAGCCGAGACACTGCTCTCCAAGGCAGCGGGGAAGGAGGGCATCTTGTACTGTATGCCCACGAAACCCAGTGCTTCAATCGACTCCATCTTCGGCGCGAGGGTGAGCGAGACGCAACCGCTCTTCTTTCAGCTGTACGTGGACCGCAATCGAGAAAAAGCTCAGGCGACGATTCGCAAAGCGGAGAGCCTCGGGGCCAAAGCCATCTTCGTTACTGTCGACTCGCCCGTCATTGGAAAGAGGGAGAGGGACGAGAGGTTGGCGGTTGGCGATGAGCCCATGTCTGAACCCAGTGGCACGGCGAAGACGACGGCAACCGGCCTGCTGAACGCCGGGCTAGCCTGGAGCGACCTCAAATGGATCCGAGAAACGACGAAGTTGCCGATCGTCATTAAGGGCATCCAGTCCGTGGAAGACGCACTCATCGCCCACCAGCACGGCGTAGAAGGCATAATTCTCTCGAACCACGGAGGGCGAAGCCAAGACACGGCCCAGGCGCCGATATTGACGCTTCTTGAGATCAGGAGATACGCGCCGCAGCTCCTCGCCCCTGAGACCAAAGCCAGGTTTCAAATATTCGTCGATGGAGGCATCAGACGCGGGACGGACATTCTCAAGGCGCTGGCTTTGGGAGCGAGCGCTGTGGGCATCGGCAGGCCGTTTTTGTACTCCATGACGGCGGGGTATGGAGAGGCGGGCGTGAGGAGATTGGTGCAGATTTTGAGGCATGAATTGGAGACGAACATGGCGCTTGCTGGGGCTGCGAGGGTGGAGGATATCGTGCCTGAGATGGTCAATAGTGAGAGGGCGGAGAAGGAGGTCACTGGACGGGTGAAGCTGTAGATATTAATCTTAGATTGTCACAGTAGTCAAGCATGTTGGAGCGTTTTTGGTAGGAATAGATCCCTTTTTTTTAATGCTACCATGAGATTGCTGACATTCGTGGGTCATATCGAGAGGAAATCTCGCATATCATCCACATAGATATACAGGCGTCTCCGTAGCCCAATAAGCATACAAATTCTTGTTCCCCTTCCGATCAATCCTGCCCTGCCTTCGTCTCTCTTGTTTCTGCCCCTTTTCCGCTTGCCTAAGTTGCGTGGCAAGTAATGAGTGCTGCCGAGATGCCGACAAATGCATCAGGCTGTTTCGGTCGTTTTTACTCATGTTGGTCAACTGATACTGCATGGTTGCCCTCTCTCGTTTTTCCCTCTTTGACATCACTCTCGTATCGTGAGCAGCAGAGTCGACCTCTTCTGCTGAAGGGGCTTCTTCATCCACAGTCGTGTGCTCCAGCTGCGGATTCACGGTCCAAGTCCGAAGGCGCAAACGAGTATGTGACGGCTCAACATGTGCTGACGACCGTTTCGATATGACCCTACCTGATGGCAGTCGCATTGAATCTTCGTCAGCCACCAAGGGCTGCCGCCTTGAGCTTGTCGTTGTCTCCTCCAGGTTCTTGTCTTCGTCGTCCTTGTTGTATTCGTCATCTTCATCGCCACTTTCAGCGTCCTCATCCAGCTCAGCAAAGTCATAAAACTCAGCAAACTCGGAGTCCGGATCTGATATATCGAATTTGCAGTGGCCCTTGCCGGTCATGTGTTGCTGCACCGCTTGCACGGTAGCCCTCTGCGTCCCGCATTGTATACATTCTCGATACTGGAAGATGACAAGATGCAGGTATTGGAAGAGAGTTTCGAGATCGACGATGAGGTGTTGCTTTTGGGGGATGAATAGGCCGTGGGACTTTTGCATGTGTACCACGCTGTCTGCGAAGTCGGGAGAGTCTTTGGGGCAGAACAGGCATTGCCCGGGTGTGAAAACCTGCATATTCGCGCTGGGAGATGCAGCCGAAACCTGGGAGGGTGTGGTTGCTAAGGTGGTTTGCGGGCCCGATGATAGATTCATCGATAGAAGTGATAGTGATGTAGTTGTGTTTGCAGTTGTGTCTGTTGTTGCACCGACCATATCAAATAGCTGGAACTGAGAAGTAGTTTTGTAGCGAAGTGAGTTCGGGTCATGCGATGTGCCCTAGGCTGTGTTGTTATCTGGTGTTGCTTGCTTGCTGGATGGAAATTGTAAGTGATCATGAGAAACCTCTCTCTGATTTATATAACCAATTGAATAAGACTGAATTATTGATGAGATTGTTTCCATTGCAGCCCAAGACCTGGCGTGGCTGTGAGATGCTGGCGGTAACGCTATTGGGACAAGCCTCTGCCACATTGCATGCGCTACCAATGAGATGCGATGATGAGATATGAATCATCATGAGCGACGAAGCCACGCCAAAAATCGTCCAATGAGACGCCATTTGACTCATACAGGGGCAATGATCCAGAAGCAACATTGAAACTCGAATGATCAAAGCAACAAGACCGACGCAAACCGTCGCGGATTAATCAATCGCGATGAATGTTACTCGAAAACGATGCACATACTGAATCCAAGGTTCAATTCAGCAAACTCTGAGGTATCTACTGAACAATCTCATACAATCTTACAATCGCCAACGCGGCGCAATCTCACCAGTCTAGATGAGGTACCTAAACCCACCAGCAACCTGCGCATCCGTCGGCCCATGCTTCCCGCAATCCTCGCCCCGGTCCAACTTGGCATTCAACCTCCTCAGCCAGATCCTCGTCACCGTCGCGAACGCAATCGCAAGCCCCGTCGCCGCGATGTTCACAATGAAGGCCGTGACGTACCGCGGCGCGCCGTAGTACAGGTAGCTGCCCCAGATGTTGGGCGTGTTGCACATGGCGTTGATGAGCGCGATGGCGCTGGCGCGCTTGACGCTCGGCTGCGACAGGCTGCCGGTGATCCACGAGAGCACGACGACGGCGGCGGCGTAGAAGGAGCCCGGGAGCAGCATCATGGCGACGTAGCGCGCGGCGATGTGCGTCGTGGAGACGGCGATGATGTTGGCGACGAGGGTGACGCAGAGCGGGATCACGATGTGCAGGTAGCGTTCCTGCTTGCGGTCCGAGTGGAAGCCGTTGACGAGCATGGTGAGGACGCAGAGGATGAAGGGGGGCGCGCTGAGGGCGTAGGTCATGGTGCGGGAGAAGCCGAGGCCGCCGACGACGGAGGGGAAGAAGTTCGCGACGGCGCCGACGATGTAGGTCTGGTTGGTAAGTGGTGGTCAGCGATGAATCCCATGGTGCCAGGGCTTCAGACGGGGTTTTTTGTGGCTTACCGAGTAGAGGATGCCCATGAGCATCCAGGTCTTGGGATCTGTGACGGCCATCATGAAGCCCTTGAGGGCGGTGACCTCGCTTGAGTCGTCTTCCTGGCCTTGGTCGGCTGAGAAGTTGTACTGCACCCATTCGCACTCCACTTGAGTCAGGGTCGGGATCTTCTTGTTAGAGTTGGGCAGGATCAGGGCGAAGGGAATAGCCAGGCCGACGGTGATGACACCCTCGACGAGGAATAGCTGCGGCAAGTTAGCAGGACTCTCGTGACTGAAGTAGATGATAGGGTGCTCACCCAACGCCATCCCGAAAGACCGCTCCTTCCATCCAAGTTCAGAATGCCGATCGCGAACAGTCCTCCAAAGGCGTTGCCGAGCTGCGAACCAGAGTATAGAATCGCAGTCCGGAGGGCGAACTGCTTTCGGTTGTAGAACAGCGACAGGAAATACAGCGCGCCGGGAAAGAAGATGGCCTCCACGAAGCTACATCTGCATCAGTGACTGTCTTGCCAAAGAAGCTGCAGCATATCGTGACTGGACTCACCCCAGAAAGAAACGCGCCATCAGGAGACCCTCATAGTTGTGCACGACGGCCATTAGAGACGAAATCACGCCCCACGCCGCCATGCCACCGCAGATATACACGCCGGGCCACTTGATCTTGCCGACGATCATGTTGGAAGGGACTTGCATCAGAACTAGACTGCGATGTCAGTGTCGACGACTCTCCACGACGGGATTCTCTGGGGGCGGCGGTGCGTACTGTAGCCGACGAAGAGGATGCTGACGGTGGTCTGGTACTCGACCTCGCTGAGCCCGAGCTCCGTGGTGATGTTGGCCAGTTTCGCGCTCGCGATGTTCTGCCTGTCGAGGTAGTTGACTTGTTGCGCTCTGTTAGACTTGTTCGAGAAGGGTCGTTGTGGTGGGTTTGGTGTTACTTACGGACGTACATGATGACCTTTTCCCGAGTTAGTCAAGCTCTGACGCGGGATACTGTCTCGGCGGTAACTCACCATGATAGGCATGATAACCAGGTCCATCTTCAAGGTGGCCTTCTTCCCAACCTTTTCGTATTCCTCTTGACTCAGCGCCGCCAGACTGGCAGGCATGATGAGCGTGCCATCGTGAACGCTGATCTTATCGGCGTTGACATCCTCGATCTGGTCGGAAGACCGTTCCCTCTTGACGTCCATTGTATCGTATCGATCGTGAGTATGGCTGTGTACGACGAACGTCTTAACCCAAGGCACCAGGCACAAAAAGGACTTGAACAAGAGTTGAGGAAGAGAGAGATGAAGACAAGCCGAGTCCTCCTGGGCAACCCGCGTCGCAGGAGGAAAAAAAAAGACGGGACTCGCCCGAACTAAATCAATGCCCTTCCCCCGGTCACTCTCAACCTTGGAGAAACCCTACCTCAGATGCTCCCCTTCTCCTCACTACCGAACGGGCCCAGGTTGCCTCGCACGCCCTCGATGCCTCACAAAAGCAGTCTCAACGTGGAGAACATACGAACGCGGGGAAGAGCCCCATGGGGTAGACCCAAACTTCCGAAAGATCCCCTTCCCCCGGTCCTCCTCGACGACCCCCAAATATTGTTCTGTTCCCCCACGGATCTTTCGCCCACCAACGGACCTGCTCTCAGTTCCGACGAGAGAGTTGATCCCGGACGGATTCCACGACGAGACGCATATGGGACGTTCGTGGGGGTCAGAATGTTGGGGTAAGGTCGGGGGAAACTGTACCTCAGCACTCCCCCGACCCAGATCCCCGCGGAGAGAAAGAGAGAGAGAGAGCCTCGACGCGTCTCCAACTACCTATCAATGTCTTCAGTATTCCTGCTGACGCCCGAAACCATCATAATCCGAACGGACATGTGACGATCGTTCCAGGTAATTGGAAATCAAGCAGATATGCCGCGAAGGATGACGGCCCATCGAGCATGCTCGAATCCTCAATGACATTGGTGACCCCCACCGGTCACAAACCACCACCCATGAGTCGCTGACCGCTTTGAGAGCCGGCTGGTTGGTCAGATGCGCCTCCGTGTCGTACGAGTCTTTTCTTATTCCAACGCAGCTCGGATCGAGTGCCGACCACGCCCGAAGAGAAGGGCTGGTGGTGGTTGATGTCGGGTGTTACGTTGGTGGTAGACACCGTTTAATTCACGTAAAAAGCTGCAGCTCGCCCTCGGAATAAAGGAAGAAATGAGAGGGCTGTTGGATTTACTCAAACGTCATCAGTATTGGTCGGCTGAGGCAAAGGGCTTGTCTTGCACTTGAGCAAACCGGGCCTGGATCGTCAGCGGCTAAACGGATCGTTCGCAGACGTGGCAAGCCAGTTCCCGTCGTACGAGAAATTCCAAGAATACAACCAATAGTTCAGGATCATTGTTCGTCACATACCACTGATTCAAAAGACTTGTGTCCAGACTGTCATGACAATAACAATACAATCGCTCACAGTAAAAATTGAATTAGATGTCAAAGATGTTTTGGTTTCCCAAAACAAGCTGTTTTGTTGGCTGTGGTTAAACATGAAACCAGCTTCCCAAACACCAAAAATGAGGTCCATCCAGGATTCGAACCTGGGCTTACGGAAATTCCAATCGAGATCAGAATCCGACGTCCTAACCAACTAGACTAATAGACCGTTGAAAGATGACACCACTACTCTGGGTTGGAAGCGATAGGTGGTGAGGGAATTCAGAATCCTTTGCTCTGGATCCGGAGCTCTCATTGTGGGTAACAGAGCGGAAAGAGTCCGTCGATAGGACTCGTCAGAGATGTTTCTCAAGACTAAATACTCGAGAAACAGCTGGAATACGATTGTCTTGAGGAAAATGATGGTCAGAGGCGACGGTATTTTTCTGCTGTGCATACATGTTGTTAAAAGGCGACAGTCTGCCTGTGGTTAATCTGGCAGCAATCTTACAGCCTTTAGGTTACTGTGCGTATGATGACGACTCATGGGCAAGCGTTGGACTCGACTTGCAAGTTGCCAGTTGATACTCGAGTTCGATTGACATAGGCAACACAAAACCTTTGTGCTGTCCAGCAGCAAGGTCCAGAAACTTGCACCGAGGTCTTTTGCCGCTTGCGGCCTCATGTATCGTCCAAGCATGCACAAGCAGAGTTTCACGTTGCGCAATCTGCCCTGGCCACGCAAGGTTTGCGCAAGCTAATCAATTTCATCGGTCCCAGAGTTCGGGAACAGTTGGCGCTCAGATGAACCTTGACCTTTGTTTCAAAACGGCAACCGATAAATGAACGGGGTTTGTTTCGTCGGATGTCAAGATCGGACATCGCCAGGGAGCCCGGAAGCAACACTGACAGACAAGCGACATTAGATCGTCGAGAGGCGACAGCATCTTTTGACGTCGAGTCTTCAGACTACTGCATGACTGCCAGCAGAGATAATTCGAGCGCTGCCCGCCTCCTTTAAGCGCCCCTTTCAGCGCATTGAGGATTTGCTTTCACAGCCCGGTCCACCGGGTGTCTACTCAATCATGCTGATGGAGGTAGTGACGACAATGACGGAGGCGCTCCCGGAGCTGGTCCCTTGAGCAATCGGCCCAAGGGTCGGAAGACGGGGGTGGGGCTCCGGAGATCGCTTCGCCTCAGTTAAAGATTGGGAAGTACCTCCGTTGGCTCCGTCAGCAGCAGAAATTGCTGCCGTCGCGCAAAAGTCTTGGGAATAGTTCAGGGTTTGATGGAATCGCAAGGTCATTTCCACTCGGACGGTAACGTCATGTTATGCGAAGGTGGAGAGCCACGAGACGAGGTTGGAGCGGCACATGGAATTCACCCTCAGCGTGTGAAGCGACGAGGATTCGGCCGGGCTATTTGTTGCGCAGCTCCAGAAGATTTAGCTGCAGCACGAGCCGTAGGGCCGAGTCGTATGCGCAACGGGCACACGCAAGAAATGATCCGTAGCGCAGTCTTGGATTCAAGAACCGAGTACGCAGCGGCTGGGTGCGTGTGCATACACGACGCAGGTCGCTGCATTTGCCCGTTGAATAACGAGTCCTAGACACGTTACGAGGCGGAAAAGAAATACCCAACGAACAAGACGCAGGTGTCGAATACGAACGTCAAGCTTCTGGTCTGACAAGAAACAGAACAGTAAGACATCAGACCGACAACCTTGGGCAGATTTTACACTGCAAACTGCCACCACATAATTAGCGGCGGAAGAAATGCGACGGCGCTGCGACGCACCGTTGATCCTTGGCCCACCAAAGAGACGTTGTGAGGTTGCCGTTGGCCATGGTTTGTTCTCCGCCGTGTCCGGGTCGGAGTCCAGCGTAATTCGTAACGTCCCGTCTCATTCGTGTGCCCAGTGGCGTGCTACTGTCTGAAATTTTGCTTTTGATGCCCTAGAACAGCCGAATTGCATAGTTCCTGGCGTTGAGAAAAGTTTTCCCCAAGCTGCATGAGTAGGGCCTGGGCGCGGGACGAGGCGGATCGGTCGATGAATGCCTCTGACTGATCTTTTCGACCCAGCCGTGCCAGCGCAGTGCGGAGGCAGTGCGGTGAGCTGAATCGCCAGCCAGCAAGGCTCCCGGGTGCTGGTCGACTGTCGGGCAACAGACCGCCAGGTCGGAGATGCTGTACTGCAAGGTACAGTACATTGAGGTGACCGTGGGTCTGGACAGGCCTCGTCGCTGGCCTGGCGGATTCAGCCGTGGAAGGGTTCCGCCCAACGATTTGCCCACGACGAGACAGAGCAGGCGCTGAAAGCAGGCGGCAGCGCCATTGCAGTCCCGTGTGACGCTGGGTTTCACGACGTGGCAGCGAACTATGGCCGCGACGTGTACAAGGTGGGCGAGGGGCATTCAGCGTGTGAGTGCGGTGATTCTGCAGACACTGGTGAGGTCTTGGTGGCACGAAAGAGGAGCCACGACAGCCCTGTCGCGACAGAGGCCTGTCGACCCGAGTGTCCATTTCGACAGTCGGAATAGGGGCCACCAGGCTGCGCACGCTGCACAGCAATTGAGCAGCAACGAACGACTCGCTCCCGGCGCGAGAAGTGGGAGGCAATCCGAAGGCGAGCTTGGGCCAGGAGTCGCCCTGAGAAATGTCAAGCCTTTCCATTGAGTCTTGACTCTCGAGTTCCACCGAGAGAAGGGGTTCGCTCGTGGTCGTGCCGGGTTCGGTCAAGGGATCTCCAGCCTGATCTCCATTTGTTCAGGTTCTTCCAGGTCGCCAAACTTGTGGGCACGAGGTGGAGATGGCTGTCGGGTTTCATCCGAGGATTTGCATTTGCAGCCCCCAGTTGGGACGGCAGCGGACGCCGTGAGATGACGGGAGTTCGGATGGCAGAGGAGATGGGACCGAGACGGGATGGGATGGGATGATGCTGTCAGGAACGGATAGCCGTGGCCGTCTCTCTGTCTCTGCCTTGATCGATTATCGAAAGCCCAGGCGAAGGCTAAATGAAGGATGCAGGATTCGACCTGGTTGGCCGTCGGTCTGAGTTCTCGAAAGCCTTCAGCCTGCGGTAGGATTGCCCGATGGCAGAGAGATGCGCGCGCTAGAAGGCCAAATTGCGCTGTGACTTTGGGGGACGAGAGAGGAAACAAATCGGCACGAGAGAGACGCTTCTCCGCGTAATCTCAACGGGGAATAGGAATGAAGATGATGACACCTCCCGGCCCCGGCCGATTTGGATTTTTTGATGAGTGCTTTCCCAGCTCGGAAAGGACAGAGGCGAGCACAGACCGCCGGACGACTTCTTGGGAAGGAAGGACCTGAAGCAGCCGCGGAAAGTGCCTTCCGACTTCCAGGTTGTTGCCAATTGAATTTTTTGGCAGGAGCGACGACGACTTCAATTTGACATTGGATTTTGGCTCAATGGCCCCCAGTCCACCCGGTCCCAATGCAACTTGCAGGGCCCTCACCACGCGAGCTGGCCATCCAGGGCTTAGCGTCAGGAACCAGTGCAACCAATGCAGGCAAGAGCAGCGCCCGATGAGCCAATAGGTGTCGAGGTGAATCGTTAAGCGGGGTCCGCCTCTGACGCGGGAGATTGTGCAATTCGATCTTTTATGAAAGCCCACTCACACGGCTGATGGATTGGGAATGGAGGCATTGGCGGTTGCTGCGCGGCAAAGACCAGACTGCTCTGATTCTCTGAGTGTGGTGCCGAATGACCAGACTGCAAATTATGCCATTTCACTCACCAGCAGCCAACGGCAATAAAACCGTCGCCACCGCCGATTCATCTCCTCATTCATCCACAATGCCCTTCTTTCGCCCGAGACTGGAGACAATAATGAGGGGAAAGGAGAAATGACCGTTTGTGTCTCACTCTCGGCCGACACACGATACCTTACCACGACACGACACACAAAGTGGACCGCCGTTTGCGTGTCTTTCGGCGCCTGCCCGACCTTGGACCCGCGACGACCGTCTCAGGCTTTCGTTCACCAGTAAGACTGAAATGGCTCAGGCCTCCTCATGGAATAAGAAAAGAAGACGGCTATTCTTGGGGGCTGGCCGTCAGCATCGTCGTTCTTGGCGGTTTGGCGTGGTGAGAAGCGCGAGGAATTCTAAGAAAAGAGCTGTCACTGCCTCAGGGCGGACGAGCGAAGAACCTTCCGCGACGCCCTGCCGATCCTTGGTTGCTGTCGCAATGGGAAGCTGAAGCTGTTTGGCCTTGCGACAACCGCGTGCTTGCACAATGGACGCATTTCATAATGTCATAGTACGGGCCAGTAAGGCAGAGTTGCGCAAGGATGCGTGGTCCAAGACGAGCGAACGCAACGCTGTGATTTTGCGCCTTAATTTCCCGTTGTGATCCAGACCCCTGCGACACATCACAGTACAGAGTACATAGATACAGCACCCAAATAACTGGTGGGTGAAGTACACAATACATACACAAAAATGCGCTTGGAGGTTTGATTCGCTTCTGAGCAACGGCAGTCCCCAGAGGCAGGAACGGGTACCTTGCAGTGACAAAGTGACTTGTCAGTACCTTGCCGGCCGAGTGCGGTCTCTCGTCCGCCATTGGTCATCGTAACCGCAGCTCTTGCCCAACCAGCAACTTGGCAGCCGGGGGCCTCTTTCCTTCTCTGTGTCACTCTCCCGTTTCTTCCTTCCCCCGGGGCATCTTGGGAGAAACTGTGAGAGGAGAGGAAAGGAAAGAGCGACTGGGACAAGGAAGGTAGGGCCGAGCGACGTCCAGGGCAAGTGCCCACTTGCCTGTCACGGACCACAGCTTCCTGCTTCCTGCTCTTTTGGCCGGCCTTGGCTTCAAGGTTCTCGCCTGCCTTCTGAGGGACTCCCAGGTCTGAGGCCTATGTGCCTTCCCTGCTGCGTTGCCGCCTGCATCGCGGTTCTCGTTGCTCATTTCACGTTGCCCTCGTCGACGTCCACCACCACCCAACACCATGACCTGTCTCCCCACACCAAAAAACCCCGTAGCCCCCCTCTTCCTTTCATCCTTACCCTCATCCTCACCCACCTCAGACTCTCTTATTCAAGCCACTCCCCCCCGAACTCACCCACAGACTTCGTTGGCAAAGTCTCTTCCTTCGCATCACGCACAGTCGTTGAAACAAACAAACACCAACCCGAACCTGACTACTCGCCGCGCAAGTATTCAGACTGACGCTCATTCCATCCTATTTCTATTCGCGAATAGACTTCTGTCCTGCCGCAAGCCCGCACCGCACAACCAACACTCGAGCCAAATCGCTCAGACTCAACAACACCCCTACGGTACAACCACTTATCTTCTGCGCCAACGCATATATACTTGATCTGCGGACGCCGTCCCATCTTCACAAGGAACGAAAGGACCGACCGTTTAGCACAATTTACACATCGCCAGCTTGGAAATATCTATCAACAACAGCCACGACTTGGTTGGAAACACTCTGGATAACCCACCAACACCAGCTTTGACAGCATAAACACACTTCAACAAATCAACACCAATTACAGACACCATGAAGGTCACCACGATTATCACCGCTTTCTTGCCGGTTCTGGCTCTTGCTCAGACCGACAGCACCACCACCATCACCTCGACTGAGACCCAGACCAAGACCATCACCCTGTCCCGCGCCCACACTACCACCATGACCTACGGCAGCAACAACACCACCGCAACTATCAAGCCTACCGGCTCCGGCGGCTCCGTCATTGCCACCGCGACGTCCGCTGCTCCTGCCGCCTCTTCCTCTACCGGCGCCGCATCAAGTCTCAACTCTGGCAGCATCGCCTTCGCCGGTGTTGCCGGTATCATCGCTGCTGCGCTGTTGTAAGACGGTCCAGAGAAGGATGGTGGATGGGTTGTGAGAGGGAGGATTCGCCAAGAGTTGGGACGTGGTTGAGCGGATGACAAACAAGCCATCCGGTACCGCCGCAACGAATTCGATGCGACATCCTCCCGAGCTTTTTCTTTTGTCTCGCGTCCGGAGCTGTTCCGACGCCACAGCACCCCACTTCGGAGCGCTGCCCATTTTTACGACCTGAACGATTGTAAAGATCGGATACCACCTGTTGACGGCATCGACGACCGATACCCTACTCCTCTTCGACCAACACGCGCGATGCTTGCATCGCCAACCTGCAGGAAAGGACGCAAAGACTTGTCATTAGGGACACTTGCCACGACAAAAACTTTCACTCTTTACTTCGACGACGCGTCTTCTGCCCTTCAGTTGGAAGGTGCAGCAGTCTTGCCAACACCATATTTTAATGTTTCGATTCTTCCCCAGCAGCACGAGGGTCGCATGGAACCCTTCACACGCACCGTCGCCTACCTCTTTGCGCTCGTCGCAAGTCTCGATCTCATCCCGCTGTTCATCTCATGTCTGTGTGGACAAGGAACATGAGACGAAGCTGTTTCAGATCTGGCCACCACCCAATCTGACAACGGCGTCACTTCGAGATCCGGGACGGTGCTTGCAGGCGTGCTTGCTGGCTGGAAATCAATTTACGAAATCATCTCACTGCATCTTACTCTTCGGAGCAACATCGGTCGAGGTGATTGGGATGGATGATATAGGGTTTTTACGGAGTTTTCGTGTTGGAACCAAAAAGTTTCACATTCTCTTCGAGTTGTTGATACCCCTATTGTTGTACACTCGTCAGCCAAGCGTGGATGATGTGTGTGACCGTCGTGAAGGTTGCCTTCGGGTGGCATCACCACGGGTCGCATGCAGTCAGACATGATGGCGCGAGGGAGGAAACGATGGATTTGCTTTGCTTTCGGATTGACGAACAGTTTTGACTTGACTGACGGCTTGGTTCATGATCTCGCCTGGAGAGGAGGGTTTGGAGGACATTGGAGGAGTTACATGGACATGAGAGGGGAGTTTACCAGCATAGCTGAATTGGATTGTCATTGATGACACACTCACGTCGCCTTACCATATCCCTGTGATGATTAATGCCCGAGACATCTCTCGAAGGCAACCAAAGACTGGCCAATCCAACCGTCTTGATTGAAAAGACTGCCTACCACCAAGACCAAGCCTTTGGCCCTTGAATGCACCCGACGTTGCCGACCTCCAGGGCTGGAATCCGTTGGGGCGGAAAGCCCCGGCAGCCGTTGAGCCCGGGCCACCTTCACCTTAATCAGCAGCATTGCCGCTGTCAGTCGCCCGCCCATCTCTGATTGGCCAAAGCACTCTTATGCCGATTCAATCCGGGGCGTCGGGTCTTCATCCGAGCTGCAGGGCCTTTCTAATCTCTACTGTCATCAATTTTTGCCCCATCACAGCTCCCAGCTCGCATCCTCCATCCTCAACCCACCAACACCACAACCGCGACTGTTTGCCCACCCCTGGAGATCTCGAGGAGGAAGCTCGTCACATAAACCCTCTCACAATGGCCTCACCCGCGCCGCTAAAGCGCATCCATGCGCCCCTCCGAAAAGCCCTCGGCGCCTACCGAGCCTTCGCCACCGTCCCCGAAGCACCCTCGGCCTCCCAGCCGAAAGCCCGACGACCGACCTACTTCAAAGACCGCACCGTCGCGTCCCTGGACGACTTCATCGCCGGCAAGCAGGGCGCCCTCTCGAGCGCCGAGGCCTACGAGATCCGCACCGTCGAGGTCACCGGCCCCACGGGCAAGAAGAAGACCGTCACGCGGCTGCCCGAGTGGCTCAAGACGCCCATCCCCGCCGGCAACGACAACTTCAAGGCGATCAAGAAGGACCTGAGGGGCCTGGGCCTGCACACCGTCTGCGAGGAGGCCCGGTGTCCCAACATCTCGGAGTGCTGGGGCGGGAGCAACAAGAGCGCGGCCACGGCCACCATCATGCTCATGGGCGACACCTGCACCAGGGGATGCCGCTTCTGCAGCGTCAAGACGAGCAGGGCGCCCGCGCCGCTCGACCCCCACGAGCCGGAGAACACGGCCGAGGCGCTCGCGCGCTGGGGTCTGGGTTACGTGGTGCTCACGACCGTGGACCGCGACGACCTCCCGGACAGCGGCGCGCACCACCTGGCGGAGACGATCGGCAAGATCAAGAGCAAGAAGCCGAGCCTGCTCGTGGAGGCGCTGACGGGCGACTTCATGGGGAACCTGGAGATGGCGCAGGTCGTGGCGCGGAGCGGGCTCGACGTGTTCGCGCACAACGTCGAGACCGTGGAGGCGCTGACGCCGTACGTGAGAGATCGGAGGGCGACCTTCAGGCAGAGTTTGAGCGTGTTGCGGGCGGCGAAGGAGGCGAAGCCCGACCTGATCACCAAGACGAGTATGATGTTCGGACTGGGGGAGCAGGAGCACGAGGTCATGGATGCTTTGAGGGGTAAGTTGCGACTTTTGATAGCGTGAAGCAGCGCAATGCTAACGATGTGCAGAACTCCGCAAGGCCAACGTCGACGTCGTGACGTTCGGCCAGTACATGCGTCCCACGAAGCGCCACCTCCAGGTGGAGAGATACGTGACGCCGGACGAGTTCGAGATGTGGAGGCAACGGGCGCTGGACATGGGATTCCTGTACTGCGCCAGCGGGCCTCTCGTGCGCAGCAGTTACAAGGCGGGCGAGGCGTTCATCGAAAACGTCCTGCGCAAGAGGGCCGGCGAGAAGACGCCCGTCGGCAGCAAGGATCTCGGGCAGACGGTCGCGCTGGAGGAGGGCTTGAAGCCGACTCTCTAGATTTGTCTGGCTTGCTGTTTTGTCACCGACAGCGTGTACGATCGAGCAAAGGAGGGGGTTTAGAAGGAATGAGAGGGGCAGGGGTGGAAAGGTCGCATGGTTGGGCGTTTGGGGGGAAGGGTAACATTTCATCATGGGCAACGATTGCCATCTTTCCCGGCTTCTTTCTATCTATCCAGGTGGTGCAGGACCGGAATATACATCAAGACGTGGCGTTCAACAAGAGCCACTACGTACGGATATAGACACGAAATAATCACGCATTTTTGACAAGACCTCTGAATTCGGGAGTTGCTTCTGAATAAAGCAACCACCGAGGCTTGGAAGGACCACTCAATGCAAGCAGTTTTCTGGTCGAAAATGGCATACGTCATCGTCTCCCTGGACGTTGTGTAAAGGCTTGTCGTCCAAGAGCCAACATTTGAGAACATAAGAGGTGGCGCTCAGCGAAGGCCACGGCGTGCAGATATAGGAACGGCACGCCACACTTTGAACAGGAAGCATTTGCTCGGCTTCGATGGGCATCCCCAAACGGGGCTTCTCGTGAGTTGTCAATTGCATCCTTCGATCCCGTAGTCAAGCCAAGGCTCCAACCTAATGGCCGTAAATCGACCAACCCCTCATCCATTTTCGCACGTCCCAGGACACAACGCGGGTCGCAGCTGCAGCTGATGAACCGGAGAGATCGGCGCACATTACATTTCTTGCGAATGATTACCCAGCGCACCGACCGCAGCTTGCTCTCCCTTTGATCATAGAAGACGTGGAATCTCGCATCCTGAATCTCTTCCCGAGAATGGCCACACCACGCGGCAGAATACCTCTTAACTCTTGGCCTCTCAGCAGATACTTCTTGAGCTGAACGAGTTCTTGGGAGTTCGCGCGTTTGGCGATGCAACCCTCCCATGTGCTTGGCTCTCAGGCGGAGTCGGCCGCCGGGACTACCCCTCTTGGCTTCTTAATATTGTTTGTTGGGTGAAGCTTGTTTGGTTCCCTGCATGAGCGCCTCATGTCCCGGTCTTTTCTTTTGTCGCTCATTTTACCTCCAGATTTTGACTTCTGACGTCCAAAACATCGGACTCACCCAGGAGGAAACTGAACCAGGCACCGCGACACCTCGTTGCTTGACGAGTCTTACATGACAGGGTTTGCTTAATTGATCCCCGCAGAGTTGGAATTCTACGGCTTTACTACTGCTCCCTTCAATCATCAGCGACACGAACTTTTCCAACATTTTAGAGTAACCAAGACCATAATAACCAAGACGATGTTCCCAGAATGGAACGACGGCATAAAAAGCTGCAAGTCAACTAATAGCGCCCCTGCGCGTAGTCCGGGGAGGCGTTGGCTCATTTCCCCCATCGTTCATCATTTCCCACGCCCGCCCAATCCCGGTCGGGACTAGCTTTCTGGCACACCCTCTTGCTTTCATCCAGTCTCCGCGTGGCCAACGACGAACAGCTTCTTTTTTTTGAACCTTTTGGCGTCGTCTCGACCAAGCCACTGGCTGAAGTGAGTTAAGGACGCCGAACCATTTGGCCGGCCAGCTCTGCGCCCCGGGTGCTTCAGGTTTCCCATAGTTGCCGAGTCGGTCGTTGGGACAGCTCGTCGTCATGAACGGCAGATTTGCTTCTTCACGCAGGCGGACCTTGTTGCTTGCGAGTCTGACAAACGTCAGTCAGCTTCCTTCGCATGCACCCCTCATCCTGCCATTGGCTTCGGCCCGGGAATGAGACAGGGAGAAGGCCATCTCGCGCAAGCCTCGCGCGGACTAGATCGAATGAGACAAACCAAGGTTCCCGTTTTCCCCCAGTCTATCCCTTCCTTTTTGGATTGGGCGCTGGTGGGTATGCCGGTGGCGCGGATTTGTGAACGGCGCGATGGGAAAGGGGAAAAACTCTCAACGGCGTGGTTTTCCTGCAAGTGAGCTCTCAAGTCCAGCCCAACTCTAATAAAGTGTCGAGGATCCCCCCCTTGTCGAGCTTTCTGAGCCTCTTGACTCGGGACTGGCTGAACACTCGAGATCAACTCTCTTTGGGTTCGTCCGCACCGACGGTAATAATTGTGTATAGTTCCTATCGTCGTCCATTCTTTTTTTACAATTACTGATCCTCGATAAGGGTCGTTCGTTCACTTTTGACTTTTCAATCCCCCACCTATCCAGGTGTATTCGTCAGGAGGAGGGGAACAGACATTCTCTCACCAGTCATTCGTTCACTCATTGAACCACTCACTACAGTCTCTCTTTCACTCGCCGATCTTCACTCCATTCGTTTTAATCTCAATCTTCAGACGTAATCGAATAGTCGACCGCCAGAATGCGCATCACAGCCGCGCTCTGGCTCGCCGTCGCGGCAGTCGCCGAGGCGGCGTACTGGATGGAGGACGTCAAACACCAGGGAATCTCGCCCTACAACGCGGACCCCAAATACCACGTCTTCCGTAACGTCAAGGACTTTGGTGCCAAGGGCGACGGTGTCACGGACGACACGGCGGCGATCAACCTCGCCATCTCGTCGGGAAAACGATGTGGTCCGGGGACGTGCAAAGGCGAGACGACGTCGCCTGCTACCGTCTTCTTCCCTCCCGGGTGAGTTTTTCAATCGAGAATGGCGAGAGGGTGAAAGACACTGACGCCCATCACAGTACCTATCTCATCTCCGGCTCCATCATCGATTACTTCTACACCCAGATCATCGGCGACCCGACCAACCGACCCGTGATCAAGGCTGCTGCCAACTTCAACACTACCACGAATCTTGGTCTCATTGACGGCAACCAATATGGTGCAAACGGGTTGAGCTGGGGTGCTACCAATGTCTTCTTCCGCCAGGTAAGGTGAACGTTGAAGCATGATGAAGGACACCGGCTCATATATCTCAGGTCCGCAACCTCGTCTTCGACACGACTGCCATCCCGGCTTCCTCCGCCGCCCTCGGAATTCACTGGCCCTCATCTCAAGCCACTGCCATCACAAACTGCGTCTTCCGTCTGGCTGAGGGCGCAGACAGCAAGCACACCGGTATCTTCATTGAAGAGGGCTCTGGAGGACTTCTCAACGACCTCGACTTCTACGGAGGCCAGTACGGCGCCAACTTTGGGAACCAGCAATACACAGCTCGAAACCTGTAAGTAACGTTCTTCCCATATCGCGGTCTTGACGTCAACTTACTAACGTGAACCAGCCGCTTCTGGAACTCACAGATCGCCATCAACCAGCTCTGGGACTGGGGCTGGACTTACAAGAGCATCTACGTCGAGAACTGCGGCATCGGTATCCGCATCCAGGACAACAGCACCTCTTCCGTCACCCTCATCGATTCGCAGTTCGTCAATGTCCAGACTGCGATCCGAACCCCGCGTGCTCCTGGCATCGTCCCCGTTACGGCCGGCACGGTCATGATGGAGAACGTCGCCTTCTCCAACGTCGGCGCTGTGCTCCAGGGCCCCTTGAACAACACCATCATCGCAGGCACTTTTGCGTCGATCGTCAACCAGGGCTTCGCCATGGGACACATCTACACTCCTTCGGGCCCCACGGACTACACCGGCAGCGAGGCATCCTATTTCCCCGTGTACAACGCCCTCGTCGCCAAGACCGCCAACGGCACCAAGTACTACGAGCGTTCCAAGCCTCACTACGAGGATCTTTCCGCCAACTGCTTCGTCTCCGCCCGTACCTTTGGCGCCAAGGGTGACGGAGTAACCGACGACACCGTCGCGCTGAACAACCTCTTCAACTACGTCGCCTCCCGGAGCACCCTCGTCGCCTTCGTCGACGCGGGAACGTACTACGTCTCCGACACCGTCTTCATCCCCGCCGGCGCCCGCATCGTCGGCGAGGCCTTGGCCTCCATCATCATGGGCGGCGGCCCCAGGTTCCAGGACATCTCCAACCCGCACCCCGTCGTCAAGGTCGCGCTGCCGGGCGACTGCGGCACCATCGAGTGGTCCGACATGATCGTCTCGACCCGCGGCGCCGCGCCGGGGGCCAAGGTCGTCGAGTACAACCTCAACGCCCTCGGCGAGCCGGCCGGCATGTGGGATGTGCACATCCGCGTCGGCGGGTTCGCCGGCACGCAGCAGCAGCTCGCGCAGTGTCCCACCACGCCCAACGCCACCGTCACCGCCGAGACGGTGGATAAGAACTGCATCGTCGCGTGGATGAGCATGCACATTACCAAGCCCGCCAGCAACCTCTTCATGGAGAACTGCTGGTTGTGGGTCGCCGATCATGATCTCGAGGACCCCAACTACAAGCAGGTCACCGTCTACGCCGGCAGAGGATTGCTGATAGAGGCGACCGCGGGTAAGGTCTGGCTGTCTGCTTCGGGCGTCGAGCATCACACGCTCTACCAGTACCAACTTTACCAGACGAGGGATATCTACATGGGCATGGCGCAGACGGAGACACCGTAAGTTCAAACAGAAAACACAAACTCCGCACAGAGAAGATTGACTAACACGAACACACAGCTACTATCAACCCAACCCGCCAGCATCGATCCCCTTCCCCCGCGTCAAGGGCTACCACGACCCGGACTTCGCGGCCGACTGCAAGAACGCCGACCCCAACGGCCCCCCCTGCGAGATGGCCTGGGGCCTGCGCGTCATCGGCAGCCGCAACATCGCCATCTTCGGCGCGGGGCTGTACTCCTTCTTCAACAACTACAGCACGGCGTGTTGCCAGATCGGGGCCGGGGCGCGGTGCCAGCAGCGCATCTTCGACATCCGGGACGCGCCCAACAACTGCTCCAAGACGGAGAACCTGGAGACGTACAATCTCAATATTGTCGGCACGACGGCCATGGTGACGAGCCACGGGAAGGATGTGGCCTTTTACAAGGATAACATCGCGGGCTTCACGGCGGGCATTGCGTTGTATCAGCATGCTTGAGCTTGAGGTTTCGATGTATTAGTCTTAATATAATTCATCTTCTTGTGTTAGTAAACTTGAACCGTATAATAATAGCCGCTGGAAACTCTGAAGTGAAAACAAGATACATCGTGCTAATATGGGCGATGGAATGCCCGTCTCCATCCTCCTCTCCCTCTTCCTCTCCATCCTCCCCTCCAACCACCACCGCCGCCTCCCCTCCAGCCTCCGCCGCCTCCGCCTCCTCCCCCTCCTCCTGGTCCCATGCGAGCATATGGGTTCATTTTCCTGCCGTTCTGATAACTATCATTAATCCTCCTCACAATATCCCAATCTCCCCATTTCTTCTCCTCGCTGATGCTGGCCAGGTGGACGACAAGCTGCGGCCTCGACCTCGACATCTCGCGCATCTTGGCCATGAACTTGGTCGTCCCCCACGTCACGTCGCAGACGGTGATGTTCTTCAGCCCGGGCGCCCAGTCCCCGTTCAGCAGCATGCCCTCGAACGCGCCGACGCCGATCGCGTTGCTGCCCGCCACGGCCTTGGTGATCTCGAGCGTCGCGAGGTCGGGGCAGTGCTCGCAGAGGGCGAGCACGGCGGCGTCCGTCAGGTCCGAGGTCCCCGGGAGCTTGACGGTCTGGAGCGTCGGGTAGGCCCGCGCGAGCTTGAGGATGCAGGCGTCGGTCAGGGCTTTCGCGTCGTTTTTGGCGTCGTAGGAGACGTCGGTGTAGAGGAACTCGAAGTGCTTGAGGGTTTTGCAGGTGGTTGAGTACGTGATGAGGGCGTCGATGTGTTCGCTGTTGAATCTCGCTGTTAGCGGGTGGGGTGGCCACGGGCAAGTGGAACCAAGATTGAGATAGGAATGACAATGCCACTTACGGTGTCAGGACGAATGATGAAAAGACGATCTTATTCGTGCTCGAGCCGATCTGCGCTTGAAACTCTTCTTCCCAGCCATGAACGCTGCGGATCGTGGCCTACTTCAAGCCCTTCGATACCTTCACAGGCACGACCTTCACGGGCACGACCGGCGCAGTGGGGATGTGGTTGGCGGCGCGGGTCAGCGCTTCCTCCTTGGCGACGGGCACGAAGCCGAACGCCGCGAGGGAGCCGCCGGCTTTTGATGGAGTCGTCTTTGGAGTCCGGATTGGTGGCATTTTGGAAGTATCACGATGATCTGGGGAGTTCGAGATGAAGCATGAGGGAAACTGGCGGGGTTTTCTACTTTCGGCGCGTCGCGTCGCGTCGTAGCAATTATCCTTTTTATCTTTAGATCACGCTATATATGCGCTGTGGATGTGACCTTGCTGCTTGTCGCCGTTGGCCCCTTAACGGCGTGCTCAGTTCAAATTCAGCCTTCTTAAATCGCGATGCGCCACCAACTTTCCTAAACATGGTCTTAGAATACGGTATTGACGGAGGTTGAGCCGGGAAGCCTGTGTTGGTCGTTAGGAGACTATGGCGGTATTAGTGCTGACAGGTTGACAGCTAAATCTACCAGTGCTGGCGGGTGTCTCAGGCTGGAGCTCCCCGGCTCATCGCCGGACCGGCCCGGGGCTCACGGGGGATATCAACTTTATGGTCTCCGTCTGGCCGCGTACATAACCCCAAAAGAGTTTGAAGTTGGAAGTAACTCAGCTGGACGAGTGAGAAAACACGACCGGGGTAACGGTTACGGACAAGTTTGGCCGATATTTGACAAGAGTCAGCCGGAGATAAGTCCCGGGCCTCGTAGGAGATCAAATACGGATACCAGTGGGCTTCACCCCGCGTTCGAATCAGTGAAATGGAGCAATATGAGCGCACACCGGCTCATCGGATTTGGACATGCAGGAATCACGGCATTGAATGTCAAGACTCTGCCCCTTATCGGCATGCGCCTGCGGGGGGGATCGGCTCCCTATCTCACAGAACCCCGCAGCAGCATCCCGGGTCGCGTTTCCTTTGCTTAAGACTGCCAATTTGGGGTTAGTGGACTGGGAAGCATGGGTGACATGTCACCGGCTCTGGAGGTCCTGTTAGCAAGACGTTGAGCGTAAGGCAAACCACCACGGCGTGCTGTTATCTGACTCGTTATCTGCGGCGTGATACCATGATGTTCATACCCGGTTGAACATATTTCAAAAGAATCTGTGTTCTCACTTCATGGCTCGTTTGCGTTGGGGCCTGGCATCGATTCTCCGCACTTTCACTGAACACAAGCTGTCTGCTCGCTATGGCCGGAGCAGCTGATGGCCAGAATGGCCACCTTCAGAAACGGTTTTCCAAAATTACCATGGTCGGTATGGCATTCGCCATTCTGAAGTAAGTCCACTCTGGATACATCAGACTTTTGAAGCAGGCAGCTCACCATACACAAGCACCTGGATCTCCTTGGCAGGTTCAATCGGGCTCGTCATGCCATCCGGCGGCTCGGTGTCTTTTGTGTACGGATTCATCTTCTGTGTTCTCTGCAACATCTGCATGAGTGCCAGCGTTGGAGAGCTCGCGTCAATGTACCCCACAGCTGGTGGTCAATACCATTATGCTTATGCTCTGTCGACTCAGAAATGGAGGAAATCGATGGTGAGCCGAATTCCAGCAAAGCTGCTGCTGCAAGCTGCATTTCTCGCTGACATGCCTCAAGAGCTTTTTCGTAGGATGGATCAACATTGCAGGATGGCTTACCCTCAACACCACGGCTGCCTACTTTGGAGGTACGACTCGATATTACGCCGAGAGAATATTGACAACTCACAACTGGACAGCTCGGTTCCTTGCCGCCGCAGCCGTGGCAGGATCTGGTGGTACTTACCAGATTACACAATGGAGTACATACCTGATGTTTGTCGCCGTGTCCATCATCGGCGTGTTTCTCAACATCTTCGGCTACCCCATCCTAAATCGATGGAACGAGGGCGCTTGTAAGTTCAGTAACACTCTAGCAAAAGGCCGTCCTAACCTTCCTCAGTGTATTGGTCTTTGCTCAGTGTTGTGGTGATCAGCATCGTCCTCCTAGCGACGTCACCTAAAACGGATGCCGAATTCGTCTTTACAAACTTCTCCAACACCACAGGCTGGAGTGACGGGACTGCTTGGATGCTCGGACTCCTTCAATCAGCCCTTAGCCTCATCGGGTTCGGACTTCACTTGAGTATCTCATCGAAGGATTCCACTGACATGTTTGCAGCTTTGATGCGGTGGCACACATGGTTGAGGAAATGCCACGCCCTCAAACCGATGCCCCTCAGGCAATGATCGGGGCAGTGCTTGTAGGTGGGACTACGTAAGTGAAGTCTCATTGTCAGTCAACGAAACCCCGTTCTGACTTCAGCCGCAGCGGCATTGCTTTCATCCTCGTCATGCTATTCTGCGCTGTCGACATCGACGTTCTCCTCGCATCGCCTACTCAGAGCCCCCTTACCGAAATGATATCCCAGGCCACCGGGAACCAGGCAGCAGCGGCGATTCTCAGCGTCGCGGTGGCCCTTTGTTTTGTCAACGGGGCGAATGGTTGCGTCACGTCCGGCAGTCGCCTGGTATGGGCTATGGCACGAGACAACGGTACGCCGTTCTCAAAGTAGTGAGTGCCCACATCTTGGCATGGCGAGCGTTACCTAAACTGACCTTGTGATTTCCAGCTTGTCGCAACTTCATCCGAAGCTGAACGTTCCTGTTCGTGCTATTCTAGTGCAGGCCGTCTTCAACTTGCTCTTTGGTCTTCTTTACCTCGGTATATTGTTCTACAGTCTCATAAGCAGCCGGTGATGTTGCAGCCTTTCACTGACACGCTGATGTAGGGCCCGAGGTCGCGTTCAATGCCTACATCGCAAGTTGCACTCTGTTTCTCAACCTCTCATATGCATTGCCGGTCATGATTTTACTGGTGAGAGGTCGGCATCTGGTGTCTGCCAACCCCCCTGAATTCTATCTCGGTAAAGGAGTTCTGGGGTACGCCATGAACTGGATTTCAGTTCTTTTTGTGCTGGTTACATCAGTGGTAAGTACCAAATTCTCAGTTTGTCAAGAATCATGGTCTTTGAACAGTGCTGCTCACATACTCCGGTCCAGTTCTTCTGCTTTCCTCCTGCGATACCCATTGACATATCTACCATGAGTAAGTCCTCGACGAGCAAAATCATGGTCTGCACTTTCTCTAACGACGTTCAGATTACGTCACGGCTGTCATCGGTATTTTCATCGTCTATGCAGCGGTACTACGGATTGTGAAGAGAAAGACCTACAATGGTCCGAAGTTCGACCTTATCCTGGGTGAGGAACTCCCAGTAGCCCATCCAACAGCCCAGGAAGATGATACTTTGAAAGGTGCCGGATTGGATGGCAACGGCAAGGAATGAGCAATATTCCCAGGTAGACCGTTGTCGTACGCAGCAGTCCAATCGAATTTGGTCGTCAGAAGTTGTTTCTTTGTATTAAAATCGTGTGTATGTCAGCATTGAGTTTACCGAGGAGCCCAATCAGGTGTGATGACGACCTTTCTAGGGATTCACACGCAGGATCCTGGATTCCCGTGGGCTGACTGCGTTAAACGTCCAATGATCAGTGACGGCAGTGAGAAGAATTCTCCCTTGTGTACCGGGCCGCGCCGTAAGCGACGGGATTTGTGAGACAGAAGCGCAGCGATTGGTCGCATCGGAATATTTTCAACCTTCGTCTGCGGCAAAGTTTTCTGATCGACACCCCTATTTGCCCTGAGAATGTGGCACGTCAGTGTTGATCATTATGTTGCAATCCTTCCCAACATCTCTGTCCGCACTGTTTGGTGCGTGAAACTCAACTTCATCTGCTAAGGAAGATTCCAAATAGAGTCGATGAATCGCTGTAACTCAGTTGGGCCGCTGTTGACTTTCATATCAACCCGTTGACTTTGATGCTGACACAGAGAAGTGTCTCCCAAATAGGGGTGCGTAACAATACAGCGCTATGTACGGACATAATACGACGACGACGACGACGGAGACAAAGGAGACAACGGAAAGACCAAAGAACAGCGATCATAATGGTAATCGGTCATCGACTTGTCCCGTGATGGGTGTGACGAGGCCCTTCAAATGCTTGCAACGGGAAAGTCTTGAGCTTGAGTTTAAGCACAAATCCGAGACAAGTATAATGCAAGAGAATCCACAAGGAAAATGATGCAGCACCGCATGATTCGTCATAGGGATGATGGAGCTCATTCCATTTGGACAGTAGCGCTTATTGATGATCCAGAATGGGCACATAAGACGGGTCCTTGTGAAACATACTGTATAATCTGTTGCCTGCTCACAAACTAGGCCTGATCCTTCTTGAAACTGACGATAGCTGAAAATTTCAATCCGCAAATCCAAGCTTGGGTTGAAGCTCTTTGCCCGAATGGACTAATATGATTCCTTCTTGTGAAACTTGTTCCAGCACGAGTCCGAGGTCGCAAACCAGGAGCCAGAACAGTGCTGTACTACATGGTGGGCTGTGCCTACATGACATGGATTTTCCAACTCCAGCTCTCGACGTATCACAGCTCGTTCATGTTAGCAAGGCACACATTCGATGATCCATACGAGGAGCTTGTCAGTGCAAGAGTTAGTTAAAACTCATAGAACAGTCACCGAGAAGCATTGCCTAAAATCTATATAAACGGAGCTCTTCCTCTTCATGGACTCGAAATCTGCATCTTCACTCTCACACTTTCAAACAGCAACATCACAACACTCAAACCACATTTCCAAACCATCAGCCAACCCCTCAGTCAACATGCAGTTCACTTCGATCATTGTCTCCGCCGCTCTCTTCCTGGCCTCCGGAAGCTACGCTTGGACCAAGGATGCCAACGGAGTTTGGACTGCGAACAACACATACTACACCATTCGAGGCTGTAAGTTCACGTTCTCCAGCCAATCTCAGATGTGATCACACGAAGTGGAGTTGAAGTGAACTAATCTGTTTTCCATCTCATAGCCACCGTCCATGAAGCCTGCACCACGATGAACACGGAGAGCGTTCACACTCCTGGCACTAGCTGCGCTTACTGGACCAACGGTATTGGTGATATTTTCCACGGAAGTAAGTGTTCAATGTTCTCACTTTCACAAATTATGATTGTCATATACTTACAAACCGATTAGAGTGCCAAATGCAAGGCAACTCGATGCTCTGCATCTAGGGAAAGAGACCCGAGTTCTGATGGACTAACGTCCGGGCGTGGAGGGGCTCTCCTCTTTATGGTCGTTTATGAGAATATGCAATGCTTTAGCTCACTAAGTCAGTCTTTCAATAAATACAATGGGATCCCAGAATATGCAAAATCTGTCTTTTGGTACAAAGAGTCCCTACATCAATGCCTCGCGAGCTACGTAGCCAGTCATTAAGTTTGGGAAAACATGTAATAGTCTGGTTGAACGGATACCAGCAGTTCATATTTCAAATCAACAGACGTTCTACTACAATTTCGCCCCTTTTTCATATCCGTAATGCCAGTTGGCTCTTGTCAAGTCCTGCCGGATTTGATAGTTCTTTTCTGCAATCTCAACAAGTCGCATATCCACATCAACAACGCGCATTCCCTCTTCTTCATCCGTGAAGCCACCAGGCACAGCTCCAACGATAGGTAGCGATACCTGGCTACATCCAAAGAATCCGTCTTCCCGGGGTCCAGTTGCGTTACAGTAGATGATGGCTGCTGTGTTTTCGAACGCTCGAGTGATGAGCGTGGACTGCACAAACATCTTCTCACAATTTGCATTGTATGAAAGCCCTTCTCTGCTCATGTCTGACAGGGTCCAATATGAAGGAATGATGATGATTTTTGCGCCTGCCAGAATGAGTTGTCGGAAAGCTTCAGGGAATGCCAGATCCCAACAGACTAGGATGCCCACGGGTCCTAAAGGGGTGTTGAAAACCCGGTGGGGACTGGCTGTGGCCGCTTCCTCTTGAAGTCGTAATTGACTGGCATAGTCAACACTCGAAGTAAGATGTTGGCGTTCTGGGATCCAGAGGTTGGTCTTGGTATAGACGCCGAGGATTTTCCCGTTATGATCGATGAAGTGCGAGCTGTTAAGAAGAGTCTTCTTCGGCTGGCCTGATTTCTTGCCGGGTAGAGGACTTGTCGACGCCTCGGAGACTATTGTGCCGGCGCAAATATTGACGTGCAACTCGGCTGCTAGATTTTGATATCTTTGTAAATAGCGACGTGCGTCTTCTGGGCTCAAAGCGAACGAGGGCTCATCTGGAACCCATCCCATCAAATGATATTCGGGCAGGACGGCAAGTGACGCTCCTTGAGTTGCCGCAAGCCGAATCTGTTTGGCGGCATAGTTGAAATTGTATTCGGCGTCGAGGATCTGTGGGATGAAAGACAATATGTTAGCCTCGACTTTTGGAAGCAGATGACAGGGAAAGGGCCTTGTTCTCCACACCTTCGGCGAAGTTTGTATCAGTGCAACCTTGAACGCCTGAGGTCCCGATGCGAGCGGCATGTTGAAGGAACTGGGATCATTCGAGGAAGATCATATGGACTCATTCTTGCGAACAGCAACCTGACAGTGCACTTAATGCTGCCGAAGAGTCTTATCAAACGCGAAGTTGACAACATGATGACACTCACTGCTTTGCCAATCCATCCCCCTTAAGGCAATGATATCCTTCGCCTATGGGAACCCAGTTGGGTTTAGCGGGTGGAACGCTCTTCTGTCGGTTCATGCAACCCCCACAACCAACTCCACAGCCGGTGATAAAGCCCCCGCATGAGTGCGAGTCATTCCGGCCGCATCGGCGGGGAGGACTCGGGGCCAATTTGACTTCCTCACGCCGTACAACGACGAAAGTACTTCTCAGACATGGCGGTTTTTCTATTAAGTTCGTGTTGAGACGACTTTCAAACATGTCATCAACGCGCAAAATCATCCCTAGATCTCGCAACGGATGTGCCGTTTGCAAATCCAAACGGGTACGTTCGCGTTGACCAAGCTCGGTTCACGACTAATACTAATACGTTGATGGAAGCTCAAATGCGACGAAGCAAAACCTCAATGCTCGCGCTGTCAAAGACTTGGAATAACATGCCCGGGATACCGAAAGGTTCTGAGGTGGAATGCGACATCTATGTCACCAAGTGGCAATCCCTCGTCACCAAGGGCCATGGGCCCAACGAGAAATTTGAGGGCAGCTGAGAATACTCTCGACCAGACGGGTCCATACGACCAAAGTACTGGAGCTGTATACGACTTAGATCTCTTCAACTCTTTCATTGATAACAACACACCCGAAAGCCTCGATCTGGACCCTTTCTTTACGGCACCGAATAACTTGACCGAAAAGGAACAGCGACCCGCGGGCGTAAGGCCGGAAAGCTTGAATCTTACAACGCCCGATAACAACTCTATTGAATCTCTCCTGTGGCCAGAAATTCTTTCAGGTACTTCTTGTCAGGTTGAGCCCTACTCGCGCGCAGGCGAGCCATTCGCCGCTCATTGCAATGCGCCATTGGTGCCTTCTTTACGAGACAACTCTTCGACACTCGTGGAGTATTACTTCAAGGAAGTATGCGGCATGATGTCTTGTTATGACAGCGACCTGAACCCGTACAGAACCACCATCTCCAACCTCTGGACGCATTCTCCTTCTCTCTATTATGTTACCCAAAGCATGGCTGCAGCATGCTTGTCTGAGGTATCTCCTGGCTATCTCGCAGCTAGTGGTCGTCTCGGAGACCAGGCGGTGAAGTCGTTATGGAACGAGAGCAAAGCCAACCCAAAAGACACATCATCCCTTCTGGCTTTGGTCATGCTTGGCTTCAGTCTTTGTTGGCACGATCCCCGTAGGCTGGGCCAAGCAGAATTTCAGCTTCTCGCCGAAACATTTATGTCTCTCAATGATGAAGTCGACGATCGGGATTCAGAGAACAAACAGAAAAGGCTGTTCTTCTACAACTCTCTCACTTACTGGAAGATGTTGCTCTCATTCGTCACCGACCAAGAGTTGCCTTCACTGGAGTCTCCCGTGGCCGTTCAACCACAGCCAAGTCACCCTTCTTTACAAAAGCGTGCAAGAATGCCTCACCCCCAGACCGGCCTCGGAGTTGAGATACAAGAGCTTGTTGCTCAGGTTGGTGTTCTCGTCAGAAGAGAACGCAAACGAATCCGCAGTCGACGGCATTCCTCGAGACGCGACATCGAGCAGTCAATGAACGCGATTCGAACTTCAGAAGAACTCCACTCGAAACTCTGTAGCGTCGAGTTACCAAAAGCAGCTTTGGTCATTGACTCTGGCGATGATATGACGCCCGCAGACCACCTGCTTAAGGCTGCTGAAGCCTATCGCTGCACCGGCTTGCTTCAACTATACCGGAACTTCCCTGATCTGTTCTTACGAGACATTGAATCCACAGATTTGATGAGTCAGTCATGTTGGCTTGACACGATTCAAAATTCCGATGTCGCTCAACATCGCAATCCTGGAGTCTTGCTAGACACCTGGCTGACTAGTCTCTCACTGCACATTCTCGATCTTGTGGAGGAAATACCAATGTCGTCTCGGTCCCGATCCATACAGCCGTTACTTCTTGTCAGCATTTGTAGCGAGCTTTCTCTCAATCGCTCATTTGTTCCGCTACTGGATTTCAGAGGTAACTCAGCGGCGACCATGTTTCCAAGCACGAAGAGGATGGAAGCGCCACCTACAACGACCGACATCCTTCATGCAAGGAGAACGATTCTTTCTCGCCTTGCGTATTTCGAGGGCGTACTTGCAGCTAAGCCTATACGGCAGATGTTGAATTTAGTAAAAGAAACATGGCAGACGATGGATAATGATCAAGAAGACATATACTGGATGGACGTTATGATAGAAAGGGGGTACGAAACTCTTATGGGTTGATGGACTGGGATGGTTCAAGATTCCCAGTAGCCACATAAACAGACGATTCGGGCTGAAGATATACCAAAGAAATAAAGAGCACGCAACGCATGTGAGCAATACGTAAAGCATCCCACAACCAAGATTCTGGCCCCAACGACGTATCCGTGCTGTTCATTATACAGTCTTTAACGGTCATCCTTGCCTTGCAACTACTCCCCTTTTTCTCTATAATTTCCGTTGCTGCTTGCTGGACTCCGGTAGCTCTAGCCTTTCCCTTCTTATCCGTTTCATCATGTAAATATTTGACCAGAAATGGTAACCGTGGAGTGGTGTATTATGCCCTCAAATGGAACAAGAAGCTGCAGTCACATATTCTTACAATGACTGGATCATAAGTGAATCTTGCGGAGGTCTGCAAGGTTTTATTGAATAGTGAACTGTCAAAACTCTTCAGATCTTGTCTCAAACGCTGCCATCTCTGCAAAAAGTGGTTGTAGAAAATTGCTCTGAGCAACAGGTTGTGTAAGTCTCCCGGTCGAGCGGCTCACATTCATAGCCATCTGATCACCGTTAGAGTCTACCTGTAACAGCGCGGTGTGTTTACTTACTCCATTTGTTCCCGTCGCAGCAGTTGATGGAGGCCGAAGTGCTTCGATCACATGAACATAAGATGGCCTCAGAGGCCCCGATGAACGGGCTTGGCCAGTTACGTTAGTTTCGAGTTCGTTGAGAAAGATATTGGGACTCACAGGATGGCTAACAACACCTTGGACAGCTGCATTTTAGCGATTTTGACTCTGGCGTTGTTATGATGTGGGAGGATGGATGACAACATTAAACATGGAATGATAACATTTGGCCCTGCTTTATAACATTTGGTCCCTGGCGTTGGCGCCTGAAGGCATTGTTCCCCAGATGATCCAGTTGCCTGTCCAGAACTTAAGGTTGAACGTTGCGGCACCTGACAAGTGTCGTCCTTCTTCATTAGGAAGCAAATCCGGACAAATAGATTGCCAAACCCCACTTAAGCCCGGCACGCAGCACACAAGGAGTCAGGATCGCTCCGGTAGCCTCGGAGACCTCGGAATTCATGGTCCGAATCTATATGAACCTCAATTAAGGGCTCCTGTAATCTGCCCCTTTCAGCTCGGGTTCGGAAGAAAGCAGAATGCATCTCATGCCAAGGCGAGATATGTGGCTGAGTGATGATGACCGCTCCGGAATCAGGGCATGAAGCAGCGAGTCGCGACTCACGAGAGGTTGAAAATAGGTTCACTCTTTTGGCTTTGCATTCGGAAATGAAAACACCGATAGACTCACGGCGACTGTAATCTAGTTTCCAGCATCCAGAAATCACACTTGTCTGTTTCTCAGACCGGACATTCGAGAAATTGTGATGCATAGGGCAGCATAGCAAAACACAAAATTCATATTACTCAATTGATACATCGGAAACAAGTCGTGAACGAAAAAAGTAGTGCCTCCTAAATGAGCACCAGCAGACTATTATCATGGTCTTTTCGTGGGCTAGTGCCAATTTACTCGGATCTTGACAAAGTCAGAGAGCCGCTGGCCAATGTGACGTTTGAGGCACGCCCCGAGCCGTCCATACTGAACAAAACTCGAATATCAACACCAGATCCCAAGGCGCCAACGTCCTGCCAAGTGATGCAAGTCGGTGTGCCCATGTCAACCGGGGCGCTCTTATCTTGGAAGACCGCGATGAACTGTTGCTGAGTCTCCGTCGCGATGTTACTAGGATATAAACGAAAGTCAAGATCGTCAGTCTTGATACCCGCCGCAATGGCAATCTCATTTCGAAGATCAACTTCTCCCTGCTTCAAGGAAGTAACAACAAGGCCAGGTCCATCTTTTGAGACGTTGAACGTCGCAGACCCAGCCGGACCTTCGAACATGCCAACATACCGTGCCTTCATCTCAGCCGCAGCGAGCTTCTGTAGTTGCACGATGGCGAGGGAAGCGATATCGGCATAGACGTTCAAGTCTGGGCCGTGAGCGGCTTCGGTGTCATGCGCGAGGATGGCGAAGCCGACATTAAAGTCCGGAGCAAGACCAAAATAACTGGCATAGTGGCCGATCAAGCCCGACTTGGTGTAGACGTCTAGTATCGAACTGTTGGCGTATTGACCAGCATGATAGATCTCCCAAGGACGCCCAACACTGTTGCGTAGATTGGACGTATCAGCAACGGGCTGAAGCCATCGACGGGTTACGGCTTTTGACACAAGGCGAGAGCTAAGCATGGCATGTCCGGCGCGGGCCAAGTCAGAAGCCGTTGAGACTACAGAAAGGGCTCTGAAATCTGTTAGAGGTCGGCGAAACAATATAAAAAGATGTGACTAACCCAGGTTCACCAACAGCAGAAATATTCAACGCCTGGGCGAAGATTTCCTCATTCATGATTGAAGATAACATTCTGGAATTTGTCATGTTGAGAGGCTCGAACATGCAAGTGCTGATAATCTCGCCAAATGTGGCATTTCCGTTGCTGCTGCGATGAGATTCCAATGCCAGGGCAAGTATTTGGAAAGCAGCATTGGAAATGACAGGAGTGGTGTCGGGTAGAAATAGCGGAGACTGCGTCGCAAACTTCTCAATGAAGTCTGCTCGACTGCAAGTTTCACTGATTCTGCAAGCGAAGGCTTTTGAGTGTCAGTTAGAAATAGTCCAAAATGCCAATGAAACTTTCAACTTACACTCCCGCGCAAGCCCGGACATGTGACCTGCCAAAGATCCGATGGTAATTTCCTCCCAGTTCACCGAGAAACCTGTTGATACGGCACTCTTGAGTTCTGGCAGAAATTGCGTAATTGATGTGCCCCAATGTCCATCGCCAATCTCAATAAGCCACGCGTAAACCGTGAAAAGCTGACTGAGGGTGCCAAGGGGGAAAGCGGTGTCGGAGTTGAGGTTAGAGTCTTTCGGGGCCTCCGAGGCGGTGTGATGATATTCGAAGAATACTGGATCCGCTTCGAGACTTTCAGAGCCAGAGAAGAAGACCACTGAGAAAGAGGTAGTGTTTGGTGTGATCTTGCCAAAGTCGTCTGATCCACCTGCGTCAATGAGTTTGTCGAAGAGTGAGGCAAACTCATTAGTGAATGACTTGACCGCGTCGGAAGTTTTGTCAATAGACGGCGAAAGGTAGTAAGCCCGAAGTAAAGGGCATGGTTGATATGCTGTAGTATCTGCCAAACACTTTGATGCCATTCCTAGGAAAAGCCCAACTGAAATGGCGGAGGCCTTCGAATGGCGCATATTGACGTGGTGACTTGAAGAATGATTACTCTGTGGTAGTCTTACAGTGAGTAAAGGCTCTGTTTACCTTTCAGATCATGAGAGAATCGAAGAAGTCTTATACTTTCATCTTGCTAACAAACATATTCTTCCGTAGTCTCGATAGTCGGACACGGAGTGAGTGTGTAAGTGCGCGCCTAGCAGATGAAATTTTGGCAAGAAAGCTAGGCAATGTTAGATGCATACTACCTTTCGCTGGTATTTACAGCGTCTGTGGAAGACAAAACGGTCTAAATCTCTTCCTGATACCTCGTTACAAGAAGTTGTGCCGCTGGTCGAGATGTCTGATGGTCATAGCACCTTGGCTGACATTCCGTATCCGTTTCCGTGTCCGAACCCGTTTCTTTCCAAGGATCCACGCTAAAATTCTACACCGCCACCATCATCATCATTGCCCATTGAATAATTCCAACTTTTGAAAGGAATGAAAGTATCGTTTATAAATCCAAGAGAATTGATGGCGAAGCTGGCGTTTGATTGAGCGGTGGCGTTTTCGGGTATCGTCAAGTCAGGACCATTTGGCTGTGAGAACACAGATGATACGACGGAATAGTCGAAGGTTCCGGTTTGGTCTAATAAATTAGACGTCGGCTCTCCGAGGCTTGGTATGGAGGCGGCCATAGAAATGTTTGAGTCCTGTGCCGAGATGCCTTGTTGGCAGTTGAGTAAATGGTTCTGCTGGTCTAGGTACCATTTTTCAACCCGTCGAATGCGGATAAGAAAGTGATAGAAGGAATCACGGTCTCCGCGGTCATCTACATCTGGTGAAGTCGCAGACTCGAGCCTGAGAACAACCTGACGAATGGTGTGACCGATATCAGAGAATTGCCGAAGGTGTTCCGTCATAAAGCCTATTCTTGGATCTGCTGCTTGAAGATCTAATCGAGCAGCAAGTGTGTGTCCGCAATGAAGCATGATCCAAACGATGTTCGGAAAAAATACCTCCTGACCTGGAGGTGTATGAAGAAGAATGCTGACAAGTGATTTGGCAGAGACTATGCTTTCCGACAAGCCCTGGATTAACCGTTGTGTGGACGGGGTTTGGGGCTTGTTAAGTCCGAACGGAGAATCTGGAAGGGAGAGTTGATTGAGGCATAGCTGGATAGTGTGCATCTGGGGTAGCAACAATGCTGCTTCTGGTTAGCAAAGCTGTGTTTCGGGTAGTATATTACTTACGACAATCGCCAAGAGGGAAAGACAAGTTGATCTTGAAAGTTTCTAGTTTCTCTTTGGCATCCGAAACTGCTGCCTGCACTTGCATAGGATCCAGCGTAGACTCGTTTTTCACAATATCGTCAATTTCTTCAGCTAGTCGCTGCAGACGGACAATGTAAGGCAGGTACTGATCTGTTGAACATTCGGATAGCTCGGCTAATCGCTCCGCAGTCTCCGTCACGTAGTTTGTGAGAGTCACAAAGCGTAGCTTTTGAAGAACAATACTTGAACTGTGAGTTCGAAGAGGTCAGTATTGGGCTCTTTTGAAGATATTCGGCACAGCCAACTGACCACGACGAAAGGTAGTATGCTCCGAGAAATGCCCTTTGCTCATCAGAAGATTCGACGTGGTGTTGAGGGGTCCCCACGTGTTCCGCGCGTTCAATGCCCCATGGCTGCACACTTTTCGGTCTATCTAGCCGAAGATCCGACACGATACTGATGGCCAAGTGTAGTTGTTGACTATAACGCTTAGGTCTGGGTTGGAAATGAGCCCAAGCTAGGTGAACAAGTAGACCTTGAAGCACGTCTAGGTTGGTGAAGTTGCCTCCCATGAGCAGTGAAGCTACAAGCTCATTGAACATCCGGCCAAGCGCTCTCTGTAGCCGGACATCATCGTGAGATGCTGCAGCAAGCACCGCGAGGCAAAGAGTTGGTCTTTTTTGTCGCAAGTCATGAATGCTTTCAGATGGGGCAATAATGATGAATGGAAAATGAGGCGTCAGCTTCGTGCGAAAGCGTTCGACGAGCTCATGGCCTTTTTCAATTGTGAGCTGGCCAGCCTCAAACGGGTCTTTAGCTTCAGCTTTTAGGCCAGCTAAACTCGAGAAAGGTTGACGTGAGCCACCATTACCGGAGGAGGAATCCACCGTTGCGGGAGACCGGCTGGGATCAGATGTCGACGTCGCTGGACTTTCCGGGGGTGGGGCCGATTGCTGCGGAACATGAAGTAGCTTGCTGGACCTAGGTGGAGTTAGTTTCGGCACCGGGAAAGGGATGTTACATGCGCATAGCTCAGACAAACCTCGAGCGGGCTCCCGGCAGTTTTCGGCCGCGGGCCGGTGCATAAGAGCATTCTTTCCCAAGGCGCATACAACGGTCGCAGGTGACGGAGTCCTGCGTGCGATCGCATTTGATTTTGGCGTGGGCACATGTGCGGCACGTCTTCAGGAGCGGGGTCGGGCTGCGCTGACGGGACTCCATGACTTCATTGGGCTGATGGCACGCAGATTGTGCGTACGGAACTAGGCTCGATGCTTACGTTCCGCTAGTAAACGGTATTTGGTAGAAGTGGTTCTCGCAATGGAAGGCTTGACGTATACCTGCGGACACGGAGTGAGAAGAAGGAAGATCTTTGGCGTACGGACACGGAGGGAAGGGACGGGGCCTTTGAGGCAGCAACACAGTGGCACAGCCAGGGAATGTTCTCAACTGCTCCATGCAAGTTTGAGGACTCATCCGCTGACGCCGCCGACGTGTGTTGTTGTCTGAGCCGATGGTAGGGGTCTATGGTGGCTTAGAGGACCACTAGTGTTGAAGGAATCAGACTAAAGTGCCGTCAGGGGTTTGATCCACCATTTCAGGGCCGATGATTGATCACCGCCGTCGAGGAATGCGGCACGGAATTGAAGTTCGGATTGTGGGTTCCATCAACTTTGCGACCCCCGGGTACAGCATACGTTCTGAACAGTTAGTCTATCTATTAAAACTAGCTCACTTGGATGCTTCGCCATATTCGCCTGTAACTTGCAAGATATCTGGTGTTTATATTGTACCTATAAGGCATTTCTGGTCGCAAACTTTGACTCTTCATCCATGAATCAGCACTTCAAAGGTCTTCAGAGGCAAGATCTGTCATTCAAAAGGCTTGTTTGTAGTTACATGTTAAATATGATGCATAGAAACATCCTTTTGTCGCGTATCATGATCAGGCGCCTTCCGCAGCAAATCTTGATCAAGCATGCACTTATTCCATATCCTCCCAGGAAGTGTATTCTTCGAAGAAACGCGTATGTATTCTGCCAGCGTAGTCAATCAAAACCGGATAGCTCTTGATAACCTTCTGTGTGTTTGGGGCCCTGTGGTCTCTGTGTTAGTGAACATGGTTGCTGGCTTGGGCCATTTGAAACAGCAATAAACACCAAATTGAAAGGACTTACGCTGAGCACACAAGATTAGAGGCAATGAAGCCGTACACGGTGGCATCTGCTTCTAATGGTCCAGAGCCACCCAAAATCCAAAAAGGTATTCTCGAATCCAGACTCTTGAGGCGGGCCTCGGCGAGCGACGTGTTAATATTCTCCCAGATGTCATGTCAAAAGCCCGTTATTTCGTCACCAGAGAATCGTCCAGTGCCTTGTCCGTAGAGGGTACGAGTCACACCGCGGTGAGCTAGCAGCCCAATCAGAGGCTGGATAGGCCACGGAATAGCTCCTAGGACGCCAGATCGCATGGTCTCGTAGTTATCATGCCATTTCTCGTGCATCTGATCCCGAATTAGAAGATGCGTGTCTTCATATCAAGCTTCACAGGAAAAGTCATTATCGAACTATGGACTTACTTAGTAGAAACAGAGCTTATCTTCGAGAAGCGCGCGGATAGCCACGTCATGCACCCTGGTGACCGGCGACAGCATAGCGTTCAGATCTTCACAGACGTTGTCATCGACAAGCTGCTGAAATATATATATATCCCAATTCGATTTCCTTAATACCTATATAAAAGTAGCTATAACAATGAGTATTCCTTCTTAGTAGACCCTACTATTAGATAGCTAACCGTAACAGCTAAATATTGTATAAGGGATTACTAAATACCGCTACTCAGTTAGAACAGCATGTCGGGAGCTAGTCCTAGTTTGTTTCCACAATAAGAGCCCCATTCTGTGTGACAAAGTTCCAAGCCTAGCACACTGTCTTGACTCGTGAATATGGACGTACGTGCATGTAGTATGTCCCTCAGAATGTCGGTCTGGGAACCCATTCCCACACATGCATCTACTCCTCACATGCCCCTAATCACCCCGAACCTTAAATCTGTCTTCGCTAGTGTAGAATCTTCGCCTCAGGGTTGGGGCGTTCGCAATTCGCGCGTGGCGTAGGGGAAGAGGGGGAAGCATATGCCCCATGGGCCGATGTGACCAGAGAAGTGGGTTGAGGTGGATTATAGAATGGGATAGGCACTGGTGTACGATACACGTGTAGTAACGCGCTTATTATATTCTCCCGACCGCCAGCTCCATCGACGTCCGGTTCTCATGCATCACCTCGCCGCTGACTTTCAACTAGTCCACTCATCAGAGATACCCAGAATTCACAAGCTTTTACATACAATACTGGGCTGGTCAGACCTCGAATGCCGGCCATGAACCTCCCAGCTTTACTCTTATTATGCGTGTGCACCTCGCGCGTAGCTAGAGGAGCACCAACCTCGAGTGCAAGCTTTGACATCAATGCGGATTGGGTATCTTGGGATGATGCTACATGGACCCTGAAATCTACCAAGCCACTGCCAGGGGTATTTACTGCATGGTTGCCACAGTCAAACGGGTATGTAAACTAAAATCGCTCAACATCATGGTTATGTGCCGACGGCGCAGGTCGCTCCTGTTGTGCTGTGTACGGGAGCTGATAAGCACATGATATGTCTTGAATAGCTATTTTGGCCTCTCCCAAGGTTCTCTGGGGCCATTCTACGAGCGTAGCCGTCGGAATGATTCTGAAGGATGGCCGTCTTACAGCAACCCTCGAACAACTTTCGCCACTGTTACGGGCTTTTGGGGCAGCAAGCCTAGTACACTTGAGCCTGGGGAGCTGGGCGAGAGTTTCATCTCCGGCGTGCCTCACTTTACCGATCTGCTCGTTGAAGCATGCGGAAGTGTCCTTAATGGAGATGTAGACGTATCCGAGATCACCGAGTTCGAGTCGACGCTCTCTTTGTAAGTGGGCGTGTGCGCACATGCTGTTCCACAAAGCAGAAGAGTATGAACACTAATTTGATATGCTCTACTACCAGCAAGACGGGAATCCTCACATGGTCGTATGTCTGGAGCCCTCCAACCTGCGTAGACGGCCGGAAGTTTCTGGTATCCTACGAATCTTTGGCCTCGCTAGTCGAAAGACGTCTGGCAGCTGTGAAACTGGTCATATCCAGCGAGCAGGGCCTCGACGATGTGTACATTCTCGATCTACTAGACAACAAGTCAGCTTTGCGCACGAGAACGGTCAAGACAGGTGTGAACCAAGCCAGAAGTCAGGTCTTTTCTGCTGTTTCACCAGACACAGTCGACCATGTCGTGGCGTATGTGCTGTCGTCGACGCTTGGCAACGAGTTGCTGTGCCTTGAGAGCAGCAACGAATACTCCAGCGACTTTCTTTCCGCCTTCGATAACGCAGCAACGTCGGGTTCAGCCAACTCATCCTACACAGACTCCGAGAACGTTTCCTCAACGCAGCGGTATCGGGTACAATCCGGTTCGCAGTCCGCAACAATTTACAAATACGCAGCTATTGCCTCAACAGAGCACTATGGGTCGGACACAGAGACAGTGGTCTCAGACGTTTTGTCATCTGCTATAAAGCGCGGATATCATGTTTTACGCGAGGAGCATAGCGCGGAAGTGGGCAAGCTCATGAGTGCGGACTTTGTGGCTGACTTTAGAGATCCAGCGACCGGATCGCTCCCATTAGACAGCGGCGGCGACGTGGTGAAAGCCTTGCAGATCACAGCCATCTCCTCTGCTTACTATCTTTACACGAGCCTCATCCCATGGAACCCGGCACGTGACGAGAGCCCAAGCACTTGCATTGCGTGCAACTCTCTTTCAGTCGGCGGCCTGGTTTCCCAAACATACGGAGGCAAGATTTTCTGGGACGCTGATCTTTTCGTGGCGCCCGCCATCCAAGGAGTGCACCCCAAGTTGGCGAGACAGTTTGCGCTGTATCGCATCAATCGGGCAGAGCAGTCTCGCAAAAACACGGAGAGGCATAGTCTCAAAGCGGGTAGCATGCTCTACGCATGGACAAGCGGTCGATATGGGCAATGCTACAACATGTCTGCACCATGCATCATGTACCAGTACCACCTCAATGCTGATATCGCCTTGAGCATGACCATGGGCCGGAACACAAGCGGCGATAGGAATTGGTTTGAAAAGCACGGGGCTGTGGACGTCATCGACGGCGTAGCCGTCGGCCTAAGCGATACACTAACACGACGAGAGGACACTGGCGTCTGGGGCATTGACGTGATGGCCGACGCCGACGAATATTATATGTGGATTGCAGACGGTTCATTTACTAGTACTGCAGTCAGCACTCTCCTACAACTCGCCTCCGAGACTCGTCATGAACGGGGCATCCCGCCCGAGACCGACTGGCTTGACCAGCTCGAGCATATGTCGATACCCACTTCGGATGACGGCGTTGTGCTCGAATTTCGGGGCATGACCAACGATGTCTACCCCAAGCAGGCAGACGTTATTTTATCCCATTATCCCTACGACTACAAGCGGAATTTCTCCCTCGCCAAATACCGGACTGCGATGGACTTTTACGCAGTCCGCACGGATCCGCACGGCCCAGCCATGACATGGAGCATGTATGCCATCACGGCCAACTCCCTGGCCACTTCGGGATGCGCGTTCTGGACATATCTAGTCAAATCGTTCCAGCCTTATATCCGCGGCCCCTGGTACCAGTATTCCGAACAGCAAGACGACGAGCCCGGAATCCCGGATCCCCTCACCGGGAACCCCATTAACCCGGCTTTTCCGTTCCTGACTGGCCACGGCGGCCTATTGCAGACATTCACGGCGGGGTTTCTGGGCTTGCGCGTCACGCAGCGAAATTTGGTGATAAACCCGTCCCTCCCTCCCCAGCTCCGGAACTTCAAGCCACCCATCCAATATTATAATGGTGCCGTCGTCAGCTTCCGCATGAATCGCACGCATACTGTTATTACACGGCGCGACGCATCTCATTTCGACGGTTTGGTGCCGGACCAGTACGGAAAGGACGACATGCCCGTCACCGTCGGCCGAGACGTGGACGATCCCAACGCGCGGACGGTATTATTGCGCGTTAATGACACGGTTGAAGTACAGAATAGGCTGTATGATGCCGCGATATCTGTCCCGGGCAACATCTTGCAATGTCACGGCGCAACCTCGTCGCATGGCGAGCTAGCGTTTGCAGCCACGGACGGATACGGAGGCACCTTTTGGCAGCCAGGCACATGTGATGTCACAGCCGCTGTTGTAGTGGAGCTGGGAGCTTCCCATGCGCCGCGGCTTCTGGAGGCTATCCGTCTGGATTTTGCCATGCGGCCGCCAAAGCACGTCAAGGTTTCGGTTTCGAATAGCTCGGATTTCGAGTCCGAGACGGTGTTAGCGGATCAAGATATCCTCATCACAAAGCCGTGGGTCCCGAACTCGCCGGTGGTGAAATATGTAGGAAACATTACCACCATCCCGCTCACCAAGCCCGTTTGGAGTTGCGCATTTGCGAAACTCGAGGTTACGGGCTGCTGGACTAACGATGGTGCTGGGGCAACGGTTGCCGAGTTTGGGCTCCTGGCTGCAAATGACTCCGCGAGTGGATGAATACAGTTCAAGATCAGGGATGGGCAGCAAGTATTGCGTAGGCGTATAAATGGAGTGAAGTTGGGTTTATACTGGATATGCTCTAGTTACATGTATGAAATGATGCGGCGAAAGTTCTCATTCTCTCCTCTTACAGAGCTTTCTCTGCCAGCGACCGTATCGACCTAGCAATCGTCTTGTTCATATCCAGCCCTCTTGGGAAGTCGTGCCCAAACACATGCTTAATATGCTCCGCTTGACTGGGTTCGGCAATGTCAAACAGCTGCTGGCCGTACTCGGGCGCATCGCCCAGGCCAGTGATGTGCAGCGACGGCATGGAGAGTGGGTGGCCATCCCAAGCCTTGTCAAAAAAGGTCATGTAGTGCGTTTTATTTACGAGAGCCTGGAGAGGTCGATTTCCGTATCGTCAGCCGGCACTGTGCATTTGTATCAAAGTGAACCAGTCTTCATGTGCGTACCTGTCTACCATTGGCGAGCTTCACTGGCCGCAATTTGTCCAGGTGTTCGGCGGGATCTGCTTTGAAGACGTCGAACAGCATCCGCAGCTTTGGCGCCTCTTCAATCGGCAGCTCCGTAACCTTTTGCTCATCCAACGGCATGATGAAAGGCGGCACGGCGCTGTTGATGAGCACCAGGAACTTGATCGGTAACTCCTGTGGTGTGGCGTATGGGTTCTCCATTAGGAGTCGGATGGCGATTTGAGCAGCCATCGATCCACCCTGCCTGGTTCAAGTTAGAACTTTTCCCATGGGCGAGAGCACCAATTGTGATGGTATCATCATTCCGACCCATCTCTTTCGATGAATAGAAAGTTTCCGCCGACTTACGAGTATCCCAGCAAACCATCGAAAGGACCATGGTCCTCTATCACTTGACGCAGCTCGCTCTCAGTGGCCAGAATGTCATCGATGTCCAGCATGTTGTAAAATCCATACAGCTAAAGCGCAAGTTATCATATCAGTTGTTAGCAATGTGTTCTTTTCTAAGGCCAGACTAAGGTAGGCATTTTGGCATGCAGAAAGACTGGCAAGGCTTTCAGGCCCAGCGCCTAGGTCAGATAGAGCCCCGAATGCTTACATTTGACTTTGAAAAGTCGACTGTGTGCAGAGACCAGTTTCCCTCCAAATGGGGCCACCGGCCCTCTACAAATTCAAACTCGTATTCTGGCTCCAGCAAGCTCCGTATGCCAGCCGTCTGCATCCGGAAAATCTACAAGGACGACGAAGCATTAGTCACTCAGTGGTAGTCTTAGTTTCTGTGCTGCCAAACAAACGAAAATTGCCCACCTCGGTGTTGGAACCCCTGCCGTGCAGACACAAAATTCGTATAGGCATCTTTATACACTGGCAAGATTGGAAAAGACTTCGTTGCTTTTGAGGAGGGTAGTTGCAAAGCAATTCAAAGGTATCAAGGTTTAAAGCTTTAAACTCATACGCGACAGGTTGGAATACTACACTTGGATCAGCTTGTTTGTCTGTGCCGCGATGGCAAATAAAACCTTACGGCAGGGAATGGCGACCGTAGGACATAAGACCTATTACCCAGTACCCATGTGTTCTCTCGCCTTGTACGGGGGAACGGGCTTGTAGCCCGAATTGACTCAAATCTGCAGGGGATGCCGATTGCCAGAATGCACCTGGCGAGAAAAACAGCGAAATAATGAGGCTGTTTGACCGCAAGTGCATTTGGAGTGGAGAGTCAGAAAGCCCACGTCGCAAGACCACGTGAGATAGGACAGGTACGGCAGAGCGGAGAATGACATGATTCATGAATTATCTCGTCAGTGATTCTGCCCGTGGGGGAGGCAATTTTGAATTTCCCACGCAGGGAAATGGGGAAACAAGCTTCATGGATCAATCTGGCCTCTGGGGAGTGCGGGAGAGTTGGCAGGGCTACCCCAGCGCAGCAATCCATGTGAACTTCGTACTTCTTGGAAGATGTCAAGATAGTGGTATCCATCGTCTATGCCTGTATGTTTCCATAGACCGCTGTCATTTCACTTTCAGTGGGTGAAACTGGACGAAGATGGACTTGTGGAACTGCGTCTGAGGTCCTGGTTGGGTCGGGCGTGTGCGCGTAGGATTTACTATGTAGTATTGCGGGAAATAGACTTTGCTAGTCTGGTCTTGCAAGCTCATTGTCTCCTCCTGATTCTAATTTTTGCCTTGAGAGGCGGTATATGGTTTGTCCCAAACCATAGATTCTCTGGTCTCTTTTCTTGGAACTCAAACTCATACTTGAGCAGGATGTTGGCCATCAGCACCTTTAACATTCCAGAGGCAAAGAAACGGCCGGGACAGCTGTTTAGCCCGGCCCCAAAGGACAAGTAGTCGGCTGACGTGGTAGCCCATGCCTGCCTCGCCCCTTTGATGTTATCACCGGCCCCCCGCGCGTCCTTCCGCTTGTCGTAGAAGCGAAACGGGTTGAAGGCCTCCGCGTCGGGCCCGTATATGTCGGTATCAAAGTGGATCGAGTATGCCGGGATTCCGACTTGGTAGCCGCGCGGGATCTGGACGCCGGAAGGCGTCGTGACGCCGTCCTTGCCCACGATGCGCAGCGGGCCCAGGCTCAAGATGGTGTTGACGCGCTGGCTTTCCCGGAAACTGCTGTCCATCCGCTCGAGCCGGGCCAGCGATCGTTTGTCCCACCCTTGCTGCCCACCGTCGGCAGCGCGGACCTCGTTGATTTCCTGACGGAGCTGGGCCACAATCTTCGGACCCTGTTCGGCGCCGGAACCGACAATGTCGAGGATCATGTGCGCGATGGCGAAGACGTTGGTGTGCAGCGCGAAGGCGTTGAGGAGTAAGATACGCGCCGAGAGGACTTCCGGATCCAGGAGGTACGGGTCGTCCTGGGATTCTCCGTGCGCAATATACCAGCTCAGCAGGTCGGCCTCGTCTGCTCCTTCAGCCTCTTGCCAGCCATCAGTCTCGGATCCCGTGCCGTGTTGTTGCGGGTGGCCTCTGGCCTCCAACCGTCTGCGAACCTCGTCGATTGTGAGCCTGAACCATTTCCTCTCGCACCAGCGGGATGGCAAGGTCACCAGAGGCGCCAGGAGACGACGCAGCGGGGTCGGAAGCAGCCAGAGCAGGTTCGCCTCGAGAGGAATGACCTTTGCGTACGAGAAGCCGGTTTCGAGCACCTCTTCGTTCCGGCAATGTCTCTTCCCGATGAAGATGCGGTTGATTGCCTGGCTTACGATGGGCCTCAGCGTGTCGTAAACACCCACCTCCTTCCACTCGCCGTCGCCTTCGTCACCCCAGTGCTTCGCCAGGGCGAGGTCAAGCTCGTCCGAGAGGGCTGGGATCAGGTTGCCGATCTCTCGGGTGAGCTTGGTGGCTATGATGTGGATGGTCACCTTGTTGTGATCCCGAGTGGGATAGATGGTGCCGAGATCCCATTGGAAGTGGTTGATGGTCTGCTCGTGCATGCTCACGACGGAGTCGGGCTGATCCACGAGCCATTTTCGTTCGGCAGAGGGCAGCAGGATAAGCTTGTTTTGGCCCGGGCCCAGGATGGGGACGCGGACCGTCTCATTCTTATGTTGTGTGTGGTGCCGGCGAAGCGTCTTCTTCAAGTCCAAGGTGTTGCGGTAGAGTGCTCGATAATACGGCGCCCATTCACCGGGCTCGCCGTTGAGGAATCTCAATTTGGCGATTGAACGAGGGGTTGGAAAGATCAAGTAGTTGTAGACTAGGTATACGATCAGGACCACCGCCGGCACCAGCGCCTGCGGCGGCATGAACCATTCTGCGGACTGCATTGTGGCGTGAGTCCGACTTGAATCGTCGAAAGCCTAGCAGAACACCCAAATAACCGGCGAGGGCGAGAACGGGATATGAAAGCCTTGATAGAGAATGAAGGCACTATATAACAGACAGAGATAGTTGTTTGTTTAACAGCCCTCCCCTCACCCCCTTCTCCCCTCTTCCGATGTACTACAGCAGCCCACATGACTCGGAATCAAATGCTCATAGGCCTCCTTCAGCCGTGAAAGACCCCAGCTGTCTGGATCACTCAGTACCGTGGTAATATGATGCGGAGTGTTGCCCACATTTGAGAGGAGTGGTCGACCCGGGGTGTCTTTGGGGACCGCATTTTATCGGTTATCCGTTAGTGCCCGTGGGGCTTGGCGATTCAGGATGCGTTGCATTTGAAGGGGGGTTAATTATAAAGGGTCTTATTGGTCAGTCAACTCGGGCCTTTTGAGGTCATGTGTGACAGAACTTCCTGGACCGGTTTATCTTTCGGTAAACGTTGAAGCTGTGGAGTTTTGGCTATACTGCTTTGAAGATGAGGAGATTCAAAGTAGTTCCAATGCGGGGGGTGGTTTGAATGAGGGACATTTGGGCTAACGCGGCCCATTACGGACAAGGGATCACTACATGCTGCATGGTTGGTCGGTTCAATGTGAAGGGAGTCACGTCTAACAACCGGTTTCCGTCTAATTTCATAGAAGTGTGATGTCCCAGGCTTCAACTACTTGATACAAGTTATTTATACGCTTCCGTACCCAGCTACCTTAGTCCTTCACACTCCTGTATGAAATATATTCTCACATCAACTTGACAACACGACATAATGGGGTCAACGATTCACGGCCTCGACGAAGACATCGCCATCATCGGCATGGCCTGCCGCTTCCCCGGCGACGCCACGAGTCCCTCGAAATTATGGGATCTGCTGATGGACGGCAAGTCGGCCTGGTCCGAAGTCCCGGCATCGAGATGGAACCAGGACGCACACTACCATCCGTCGCAGGAACGCGCGGGGAGCAACACCGTAAAGGGCGGGCATTTCCTGCGTGACGGCGAGCAGAACGGCAAGCAGTTCGACGCCGCCTTCTTCAACATCACCCGCAGAGAGACAGAGACAATGGATCTCCAGCAGCGGATAGTCAGTATGTGATTCTGTGTAAACCCAACTGCGTGAGTTTGGGGGAGTTTGCCTGCAAATAAACCTCTTGGAAGAAGAAAAGAAAAGAAAAAGGAGAAAACTGTAACCATCATCATAAGGCTTACCACCCAAAACCTCTAGTGGAAAATGTTTACGAGGCAATGGAGAGCGCCGGCCTCCGACTCGAAGACGTGAAAGGAAGCAAAACGAGCGTGTTCGCGGCTGTCTTCACCGACGACGTGCGTTCCATCCTGCAAGAGGACCCGGACTTGTCTGTCAAGTATAAACCCATCGGCACCAGCGCGGCCATCATCGCGGCCCGGGTAAGCTGGTTCTACGACCTGAGAGGCAGCAGCTTCACTCTGGACACGGCCTGCTCAGGCAGCATCGTGGCGTTGCACACAGGAGCCCAGGACCTGCGCGCTGGGCACAGCGATATGGTATGTAATGTCCCCAGGATCCCTCCGTTGGAGCAAACACGGCGGCAGTCAAGCAATCCGCCTAAGAACATCACACTGATGTATTAACCCCAAACAGTCTATAATCACCGGAGTCAACATAATCGAGTCCCCCGAGTTTATGTTCCGCGCCAGCGGCCTCGGTATGGTGTCGCCCGATGGCAAGTGCTATTCGCTCGACGCGCGCGCCAACGGCTACGGCCGCGGCGAGGGGGTGGGCACGCTGATCCTCAAGCCCGTGTCGGCGGCCATCCGCGATGGCAACGTGATCCGCGCCGTGCTGCGCGGCACGGGTGTCAACTCGGACGGCCGCGGCACCGGCGGCATCACGCTGCCCAACAAAGCGGCCCAGGAGTGCCTCATACGGGACGTTTACACCCGCAACAACCTCGACCCAGACCATACCGGCTTCCTCGAGGGCCACTTCACAGGCACACCGGCCGGCGACCCGATCGAGGCCAGCGCCATCGCCGCTGTGTTCCGGCGTGGCGGACCGAGGGCGGCCGAGAGGCCGTCGTTGTACGTGGGTGCTGTCAAGGCGAACATTGGCCACGTTGAGGCGGCGTCCGGCATGGCCCAAATCATCAAGACGGTCTTGGTGCTGGAAAACGGGATGATACCGCCAAACACCAACTTTGAAAAGATCAACCCCAGGATACCCATCGACAGATGGGGCCTCAAGTTGCCCCTAGTTGCGACACCGTTCGAGGCGGGGCCCTCGGGGGTCCGGAGGGCGAGTATCAACAGTTTTGGCTTTGGCGGCACCAACGCTCACGTGGTGCTGGACGATGCGAAGAGCTATCTAGACAAGTTGGGTCTGGGTGAGAGGCGCCACTTACATGCAACAAAATCGGGAAAATTGGCGGCACTCGAAAGCCCCAGCAAGGACAAGAGCTCGTTGCAGGAGGCCGCGTCAGTAGGCCACAAGGTCTTCTTCTTCTCCGCCAACGATCAAGAAGGCATCTCGCGGGTCCTCGCCGGCCTCGCGGAGCACTTACAGAAGCAGGTCGGAGAGAACGGAACATGCCATATGGACGACGCATATCTCTCCAGGCTCGCCATGACCCTTTCGGAGCGGCGCTCACGCCTGGCCTGGCGCCTCGCCATCACGGCCGACTCGGCCACATCCCTCCTTGCCGCGCTTGCCGATCCTACCACCAGCACAACCAACGCCGTCCGTCCCGGCAAAGCCAGCACGCCTGCCGCGGCCTTCATCTTCACCGGCCAAGGCGCACAGTGGTTTGCCATGGGCCGCGAGCTTCTTGTCTTCGACGTCTTCAGGGCGAGCGTCGCCGAGGCCGACAGGTTCATCACAGGCACGCTCGGCAGCGGATTCAGCGTGCTGGAGGAGCTCACGCAGCGCAGCGCCGAGACCACCAAGATCGACCAGCCTTTGTACTCGCAGACGTTGTGTACCGTGCTACAAGTCGCCTTGGTTGATCTGCTGGGCAGTTGGAACCTGGCGCCGAAGCGTGTGGTTGGGCACTCGAGCGGCGAGATCGGGGCCGCGTACGCGGCGGGTGCTCTGGATCGCGAGTCGGCATGGAAGGTCGCCTACTACCGTGGCGTCGTCAACGCCAGGCCCGCGGCCGACAACACGCGTGGCGCGATGGTGGCCGTCGGATGCACCGCCGAAGAGGTGGCCACTCTCATCGCTCAGGTCAATGAGAAATTTGGCGCCGACGGGGAGCTGGTCATCGCCTGCTACAACTCGCCCCGCAGCCTCACCATCTCCGGAGACGAGGCCAAAGTGGACGCCCTGGTGGAAGCCGCGAGCGGCATGAAGCTATTCGCGCGCAAGCTGCGCGTGGCCAAGGCCTACCACTCGAGCCACATGGTTCCGGTATCCGACGAGTACCGGTCGCTGATGGGCCCGCTCCGAGCTTCTCCTGCGGGCGACCGGATGCCGTCGTCCGGCGTGCAGGTCGTGTCCTCAGTCACGGGCGGTCTGATAGCGGCGAGCGACATGACCAACGCCGACTACTGGGTGCAGAACCTCGTATCTCCGGTGCGGTTCTCGCAGGCGCTCGTGGCCTTGTGCACTTCCAACGTCGCCAAAAAGCAGCTCAAGGTCGGCGGCGGCGCCGAGCTTCCTGTGTCGCATCTCGTCGAGATCGGCCCTCACGGCGCGCTGCAGGCGGCTGCCCGCGACGCCGTCCTCAACGACCCAAACCACAAGGCCCTGCGATATGTGTCCATCTTGACCCGCGGAAAGCACGCGTGCGCCACCACGCTGCACGCAGTCGGCACGCTGGCCGCGGCAGGCCTACCGATCGACCTGGCCAAGGTCAACAATAACGGCGGCGGAAGCGAGGCCATGCTGGTGGATTTGCCCCCGTACCCGTTCCTCCACTCGAAGGAGACGTATTCTTGGTTAGAATCACGTACCAGCCGCGCGTGGCGGTTCCGCAAACATGCCCGGCACGATATCCTCGGGGGCCCCGTTCGGGATTGGGACCCGGACGCCCCGAGGTGGCGCAACCATCTCCGCGTGTCGGAGGTTCCGTGGCTCCGGGATCACAAGGTCACGGACAGCATCATCGTCGCCGGCGTGACGTACCTGGTGATGGCGATTGAAGCTGTGCGCCAGCTGTACAGCGACAAGGGCGAGGTGCCGCTCGGCTTCAACCTGCGCGACGTGAGCATCTCCCGGGCGCTGCAGGTCAGCGAGGACGAGCACACCGAGACCATGTTCTCTATGAAGCGAGTGTCCGAGTCGCGCCAGTCAGACAGCAGCTTATGGTGGGAATGGAAGGTCACGTCCTTCAGCGCCCACGATAACACTTGGCTGGAGCACAGCCGCGGGCAGATCGCCGCCGAGACCGTCGCCGAGACCGCCACGGGCGAGGTTGACGGCGGTCGTGAGGCAAGGGAACGACAACGCCACTACGGCGAGCTGCTGTCTACCGTGACGCAGGCCTGCGCCGTGTCGCAGACGGAACTTCTCCCGAGCCGGTACGCCGAGCTCGAGCGCATCGGTCTCGGATTCGGGCCCCTTTTCCGTAACGTTGCCAGCATGCACTCCAACTCCAACAACGACAACAAGACGAGCGGCCAGTCGCTTGCCACCATCCGCATCCCGGACATTGCCACGGCAATGCCGAGCCACGCGCTCGCCGCTTCGGTGATCCACCCGCCCGTTTTTGACAGCATCCTGCAGTCCTTCATCTTCGCCCTGCAGACCTCGGCGGAACGGCTGACGGAGCCCATGGTACCGGTCGCGATGCGGAGCGTGTGGGTCAGCGCCGACATCGAGTCCCGGACCGGCGCCGAGCTCATTGTTCACGCCGCGGCCAGCCGCGTCGGCCACAAGAAGGCCGAGGCCGACATCACGGCTTGGAGCACCGACCTCGGCGCCGAGAGGCCGGTCAGAGTTGTGATGCGCGGCATCGAGGCCGTGCCTTTGCAG